CATTTAGGCCGTGACAGCTTCTCGTCGCTTGAATGCCACCGTGCTTTCGATTTCGACGGGCGAGGGCTGGCTGGGGAGAAGCTGGGGCGGGGGGTCTCACGGGTACGGTACCTTGCGCCGTACGACATGACAGGCGGGAACAGGGGCCCCCAAAAGTCGGCAATGATGATTCCATACCCATGCAACCCCAGCATGTGGAACCTTGGAGCCTGTGGCTGGCTTCCTTTGTGCCTCAGCTTGTGCCTCGACCAGCCTAGAGCCACGCTCCAACCTGGAATCCTCCAACAAGCTCTTTTGGGGGCCAGCCCGGATGGTGCAGCCGGGCACGGTCCACCAACCAAGCCTGCCCGGGCGGCTTGACTGATGCCTCCGTCACCACCATCTGCAGCCGTCGCTCTGCAGTCCGCATTGTCTGCTCCAAGCCACACATGATCGTCCATGGCCAGTGCGTGCTCCGGAAACACGCACACCCGTGTCTCACCCATAGCGCCGGGATTGAGCTGCGGGAGCCAAGGGAACCGTGATTGCCGCTGCCCCTCCCGGCCAATCACAGTGCTGCCCATGCACATGGCGCAACCCGCGTCTGCGCCGGCTCCGCAACTAAATCTAAACCTCGATTGTGACTGACCGGGGTGCAAACAACACCCGCCCGCACGTCCATCTGGGATGCAAACATGTCCGGCCCAAGCAGCTGCAATCTGGCCAGTAACGGTGACGGTGCGACGACCCTGGGTTCGCCTGCCTCTGCATCGTCTGGTTGTCGTCAGAGGCTCTGGTTGATTGCAGGAGACCCCTGTGGTTTGGAAGCTGCGTTGTCCAGGGGCAGACGTCGTGTTCTGTACTCGTGGATGGAGTGAGGTGCATGGGGGCTTGCTGCAGCGCAAGTGGCCGTCCCTCAAGCCACTCACTACCTAGACTAGAGAACAGGTTGGCGGCAAAGGTTATCGGACAACACCGTTCGCCAATATGCAGCCCGACTCCATGCCTGCATGAATTTTGCAATCTCAAGCAGACGAGCTCACCTGTAGACATCCGGCGGGGAAAAGCAAACACGCTCTCCGCCCCTTCCTGTAGCATCAAGTGGCATACTTGTCATGGGCGGCGACGATGCAGTCCATCGCAGATGGCCGCAATCGCATTTCAACGTCGATGAGCTCGGGCAGGCGAGCACCCCTACGATGACGACGAGGCCAAAAAGAAAGGGATAAAAAAAAAAAAAAAAAACCAAAAGCGGATGACCAGAGTCGACTGCGTGGATTGCTGTTGGAGTCAATTTCCCCTCCAAACAACACGGCGAGGAGAGTGCATGGTCGCACCGGGTTCAGGGTTCACGAGCTGCTTAACCAGGTAGCTGGATCCCCTGATCCGCAGCCAGGTTGGGCTGTGATGCCATGCCGGGCAAAATCTCATATTGTTCTGGCATGTGCCATATAGGCCCCGAAGCCACATGTCGTACAGTGTCAAGCCGGCCACGTCACGGCCCCAGCAATGCGCACCCCACCCTGGAGTCAGCTTGAGCCTGCAACGTAATCTTCCGAGCCTGGCTTTTTCGTCGTGGCACGTCCATGAGAGTGCGGTACTTCCAAATCTTAGGGTTCGCACCTGCATTGCCTGCATCGGTTGGCTGCATGAGCAATGGCCTTTGTTCACCTGGCGATGGTCGAGACTGTTTCCTCGCTGTTGGATTCCGCCGCGTGCACGCTCCATGTCATGTGTAATCTTGGCCATGGCCACTTGGCACCACCAGATAAGCGACTTGCGACTTGGCATCGATGTATGTCGCCGACCGAGTCTTGAACGACGTAATAGTCCATTCCCAACCTCAAGCAGCTGGAGCCGCCGCTGGATGCTTGTCCATATCAGTGATATTCCAGTTTCATTGAGCCACATTGTCTCGGATCCACGCACCAGCAATATCAAGCTGGGCAACTGGTGTCCTGTGGTTTAATGTTGCCATAGGTCGAAGAGAGCTAATTTAGCGCAACGCTCAGCTAGTGTCGGGCGCTGCGATTGCCACACGGCGCCAGGGACAGTACACTAAGGTGCTGGCTCTGGTTGACCCGAACTGCAAGTCACTGTTTGGGTTAGGGATGAACAGAACTGGTGCAGCCACAAGACCGCTCACGACCTGGCCAAGGACTCGAGGAATATCTCCGACAGGCTCGAGTGGACCGGAACACGCTCATATGCAACAATGCTGCGGAAAGCAAGCACAAATTTGTCCCTTGTAAAGTGTTGGTTGAAGAGACAGCCACCAGTCTGACCTGTTGCTAACTGGATTTGGATGCGACGAGAGACACTGTCTCTCTTCCAGGGAGCACAGAAGTGGGGATAGCTCTATCGGCGAAGGCCGCAGCGCTCCGAGAAAATCTCCAGCTCCGAGGACCAGGTGGAAGGCTGTCGCGAAAACCATGGAGGCAAGACACGCAGCCGAAGACCACAAGGAATACTGAGCCGCGCGGCGGATATATGTGAGATGACGTGCACTTTGTTTGTAAGGGGGCGGCGAATGGGCAGGACGAGCAGAGGACCAGAGGAGCTCGCCCGTGTGAGACCAGACTCGTCTGCGCGCTATTGCCAGGCCGTTGATCCATCGCGCTGGGTCTCCTGCCTCAACGGCGCTCTGAAGCGATCCGCTAAGCTCAGACAGGCCCAATGCCAAGGACTCAATATGGCTGCCCAGTGGCAGGCGCCCGACAGCCTGACCCAAAGATCCCCGACGGTGATCTCCATCAAGCCCCTAGCTCGACAAGGGTTTGCCGAGTACGTAGCCAATCAAGTTGCTGATCGTAGCCGTCTGCAGCCAGCCATGGACCAGGATCTTTCAGCCAATGTTCAGCTAATAAGAGCGACCCGACTCATACTAGTTCTTCCCAAGTTATCTCCATATCAAGAGCGCACGCGCGAACACTCGGACTTTCAGAGGCGCTGAGTCTTCAAGGGAGGCCCCAAGGCTCCCCCAAAGGATTCCCTGTCGCAGTCTCAGCTCCGTTCTGTATGATTGTCCATGGGTCTAGGGCCTTTGAAAAACCTATCTGGCCTGGCAGTCTCGGCAGTCGACCAGGACCTCCCGGCGGGAGAAACTGCACTAGCCGATCGCCATTCGGAGTCACGCGCGATATCCACCAGGAACACTGCCCGTCATTGATGTGTCCACAAGCCTTGTGGCGCGCGAGCGAACCGGGCTTGAAAAGGTCCTTTGCCTTAACCGGCTCATGGTCAAGGCTCCTGAAAAGCTGCGGTTTGTGTCGAGCCGGCGTTGACGCCCGATGAGCTTTATTGTCTGGCAGACCTTAAGCTTCACTGTCACGACTATTCGTCGCACTGCAGAAATCGATCGACCTCTTCCTCATGGGCTATGCCAACGCTGTCGTGAGGCAGTCGAAACACCATATTTGGCTTGTCTTGGGGCATTGCATTTGTGCGTCCAACGCTCGTTCCCCTCGATGCTTTGCATGGGAATATTACATGAGTGAGGTGCAGGTAAGCCCACTAGCGATGTGCAAGCCTAGCTCAATGGTCGTTGCAGATGGATCTCTGCCAGGGATAGCCCCCGTCACGAGAGCCTGTCTTTGTCGAAGGCCCGCCTTGTCTGAGCACGTCCTGAGGTGAATGATGGGCAGGCGCAGGGCCAACCCTGGTACTTGGGCGATCCAACTGATGCGCTGGCCAGTGGGCTTTAGATAGATCCAAGGAACAAATGCGTTATGCCAGGCTGTCGAAGGCGTAGGAAGAGGCAGAACGTGGAGTACAAGTGGCTGGGCCCTTGGAGCCGAGAACGCCGTTCGGGCCACAATGAGAATCTGACCACGCAAGCACTTGATCAGTCCTGGTCTCGCTGCAGGTCATGCCGGGTCCACCCCGTCGTGTCGATGCTCCAAAGGATATGCCGCGGGGACTGGTCAAGGCTGGCGGCCAACCAAAGCGTCATGCTGGGTGCTTGGTCATTCACTCCCCAAGGAAGGCTTGGTGTCAACTCCTCTCCGGCAACACCCAGTCTATTGTACACTGGTCTATGCTTGGTATGTCGGGTCAGGCCAAGGTGTGCCATGCATTACGCGTCCCCGATGTGCCTTTTGAGGATGTGAGCTTCAAATTGCTTACAATCATGCTAGTGTACAGGTGGTTCGAGAGTAGGCGAAGATAGGCGAGAAGAGCGGGTAGCCGGTAACTGGAGGAAGACAGCCACAGGGACTACATCGGTGCGACGACTCAGTGTGGGTGCGACCACCAGGACGCCAACCGGGTGATTTCTGTTTAGGTGGTGATCTGTGCGTCCAAACGGCAGTCGCAATTTGCTGCTTCCGAGCCAGAGAAGCCGTTGGGATGGCGTGGTATTGGGAGTCCGTTTGTGTTAGCGCCAGCCTACCGTGCATGCATGGCCAGGGCACGAGAGTGGCGCGGTGGTGCCATCCATCACCGAGTCTGTCCAAGTGTGGTGGTGGTCCTGGCTTGTGGAAGCGGCTGGCTGTGCATGGTCGTCGCCCCTCCCTTTCTTCAGCTTGTACGGTGCGCGGCGGCTGCCGCCAAATCTCGATTCCAGCCAAGCTGAACTGAGCTGAGTCTGACTGATGGACAATGGCAACTTTGTGGTCCGATGCATTGTCGTGGCATCAGGGTGAGGCGGGAGGGAAGAGTGACTTGGGGAGGGGGGGTTGTGGGCAGCAGCGGCCGGGTCGGAAAGGTCGCCAACGTGCGTCAGTTCCCCTGTGGCAAGAGGGCGACATGCTCGTTCACAAGGTAGGGACCCATCCGAGGAAACCCAGCCCGGACCAGAGGCAGGTACGGCCATCTGTGTCGCAACACTGTTCATGTCAACTGGACTTTGATAGGAACCCTGTCTCTTTGATTCTGACAAAAGGCCATCATCCTGTCTCAATCTAGTTTCTCCGTTTCTCAGTGTCGTGGTTAGAGGGTCCGCCGCTCGTGATTGTGATCAAAACGGCGAGGCATTTCTTGCGTTACGGTAGGGGACATACTTGCACACGGCACATATCCGTCAGTGAAGAAGTTTAGTATGGCGAAAAGAGATAAATATTTGATAGTATTATACGCCATCGCTTGGGTATCCGTCGACCAATCGTCAAGAAATTAAAGGCGCTATACATGTTGATGCTTTCCCTTTCCCCGCTCATATGCATTCGTCCTCTCCCACGAAACCAGTAACGCCATATTAGATGCTTGTACAGACGCGATTATATTTATGACAAAAGACTGCTCATCTTCATCCTCGAGTCCCGCGGGGCAACCCACTCCTCGCTCTGCGGTGTCCGCTGGAGGAACACAGGGGAGTTGGGTGCAGTGGGAAGCTGCGAGCGACTGTCGGCTTGAGGCTTGATGGGAGGCAGGCGAAGCTGGTCATGGCCGCTGGCGAACGAGTGAAGCTTGGGGCTGCAGCTGAAAGAGGGTGTGACTGGTGACGCCGACTCTCCGATTCGTAGTGGGGGGAGCTCGATGGGAGTCTCGGAGATAACAGTCGACTTGGGTGAGGTGGCATACACAGAGCCCGCATCCGAGACGAGAGACGGCACTCCATCAACCGACTCGCCACCGGGGGAGACAGCTGATGGTGAGGGCATGCCGTGATGCCTTGACCATGCAGAGGGCATGTAGTGTCCGGAGTAAGCTGGCTCAGTGTGAATGTGGTGGTGGTGGTGGTGTTGTGGGTAGTGTGGTTGCTGGTGATATTGCGGCTGCTGGGAGAAGGTGGCGAGGCGCAATGATGGCGGAGGGGCCGCCCTCGTGTATCCCATGCCGTCGTGGTGGTCTTCGTAAGAGCTGTTTCGCCTGCGGCCGACCATGCGCTTGCGTCTGTTCATGCTACCGTTCCACCAGTTCTTGACAGCGTTGTCGCTTCTGTTGTGCAGCTTTCTCGCAATCTCTGCCCATCTCTTGCCCATCTGCTCCACCAGCCTCTCAATCATCACACCCTCCTCTGGTGTGATGGGCTCGTGGTTTAGGGTCGGCTTGAGGTTCTGGTGGTAGCGTTCACGGCATTGCTTTGGTGTCCGCGAGGTGAGCTCTTGTGAAATTCTGACCCAGTTGAGAGGTCCAGACATGGAGACGAGATGCATAAGAAGGTGATCCTCCTTCTGGGACCACGGGCCACGTCGTTGTGAAGACATGATGTTTGCTGTGGTTGTTCTTGAGAGGCTGAAGCTTGGTTGTGATAATTTCTTTGAAGGTTGAGGCTTGGTGTTGCCGGTGTAGTGTCTTGAGGGGCAGAGTCGTCAAGAGTCTGCGGACCGGTGTCGACTGTAAGTGGACGAAGGGTTGATGGTGGACTTGGGCCCAGACAGTGGAGGGAGGATGGATGGACAGGAGGATATATAATTGTGGCGGGAGGCACAAGCGTGCGTGTGTGTATGGGTTTATTATCTGGAGAGAGAAACGGACCCGGTTAGTTAGTGAGACTAGGGCCAGGACAACGGAAAGATCGACGGATGACATAGATATAAGTATGCATAGTTTGGGAGACAGCGGACAAGGCTCAGCGGCATCAGATCGGGAAAGGGGAACGAATGGATGGAGGGGGAGTGGAGGAGCAGACGAGAGGGGTGGTGTGAGCGTGGTGGAGCACGCCAAAGAAGAGGGCCGCAACGTGCTGGGGGGAGTGTCCCGTAGAGTCTCCTCCTGTGGCTGCCGTCCAGGACAGGGCAGCTCACGTTAGTGATGAGCTGGGCGCCAGGCTGGATTGACAGGCTGGCTCCGGGCTGCTGGAGCGGAGCGTGATGGGACCGGGATCAGGGATGGCACAGAGTGTGGAGGAGGCGTGTGTGTCGATAGCGTACCTCAGACGGGGGTGCATGCACGCCCCTCTGTGTGTCCAAGTCCGGCAAAGGGGCCCAACCCTCGACGTCGACTGCCAGGCGGCGCCAAGACCCACGATCCGCCAGCTCCCAAAGTCAGATCTGCCTGGATATGGCAGGCCCCTCCTCCCCAATCTGGCCAAGGTCCATCTGTCGCACACAGAGTGGCAGCCGGGCAGGGAGGGGGCGTCGCTGATCCTGGCGTGCGGGCGTGCACTCTGTCAAGTACAGTACCTTGCTCCAGCACCCCTGTGTAGAAACACCGCCGCCGCTCCCATTCAGCTCATCCAAAGTAATGTCTTGTGCTCTGTCGTTGTCCTTGCGGCCCCCAGGGTGAATCGTCCCTCACCGAGGACATGTCTACTCTCTCGAGGTATTCGAGCCTTTCCTCTCCACAGCAAAGAGCAACCGTGCACCGCACGCAGAGAACAAGGAGATTACCGGCCTCGTTTCTTCTTCCGATCTGTTTCTCTCGCCAGATCTCTTCCTCTCGCCGAGTTCGTCTTGATGCATGCCAAAGGCTGATCGGCCTCTGCGCAAGACATCTGAGCGAGTGATGCTGTGTTCGACAATGGGAGATTCCGTGCCTTCAAGGTCCATGACGCCCATTCTTCCGCTCTCGAAACTCTTTGTGAGCCAGCCCAAGCTTGATGGCCGGCTAGGCTCTGTGGACTTTGCAGCCGGACACTTGACGACGAGATGATGCTTGCCATCCGCATCCGGACGGCCTAGGCTCCATCCAAGCCATCATGCCAAGTTGGCGCAGTGTCACCGTTTGGTTCAATTACCCCGGCTTATCCAAAGCTCCCAAATGTCTCGCGGTATTCCCGGCCCCTGCCTGGATCGCTGGTGGATGATGAGCAGCGCGGCTACGTTGGATCTGCAGTGCACAGTGCATGCCCGTTCGTTGGAAATTGGGCAGATGGTGGTTACCGCCAGCACGACGACACGACGCATGCCTTGGGCATTACGGAGTACACTGCTCGAGGTGTCGAGTCGTCAGCGTGGGTGTGTTTGGGGCACCCACCCCTGCGCACACAGCTGGACCCCTGCCGCACATCACGGAGGTTCCAGCGGCACGGAAACCCACGTCAAGCAGATCGAGCACGTACATGCACACGGGACTCCAATCGAGGGCCAGCCTGTTGTCCCCCTCCCCTCTGGCCAGTCTGCCCGCCCCCTCCACCAGGGCCAGGTACATACAGAGTGCCCATAGATAGCAACATACCGGCCAGGGGGGCCACCATAGAGCCGGCACCTGGGAACTGCTGCGGAATCCGAATAAGAAAAGCAGCATGCCCCATGGAGTGGATGCCTGCCTGTGTTTCTTATGCGGAGCAGCATCTTGTCGAACGGGGCCATCCTCCCCTGCCATCCCCTCCCTACCTTACCCTGCCCTTCCCACCTGCCTCCTCTACCCTGCACAACAACCCCGTGGCTCGCAACTCTGGTTGAAACAGGTAAGAGGCAATTTAAAGTGTGGGCGATCGTGGCCGGTGACCTGACAGGTTGTGCGTGCGCCTCCCGTTGACACTAGAGACGCCAGCTCGAATGCTGTTTCGTCCTAGGCCCATCGTTCTTTGTAGGGGCGAACGCCAGCACCCAGCTAGCTGTCGCAGGGCGACGACTTCATTCGACGATGTGCGAGATTCGACTGTGCGACAATTGAAGGTGCCACGAGAGGCTAACCAGCGCAGCCTCCACTTCTCGTCTACCCGGCCGGCCCGTCTCCTTTAGGGTACTTCCGTCCATTACGCCCCCGCGCTCTGGTCTTGTGTCTATGTTGTGGCTGGATTGACGATTCTGTCACTCGAGGGGCTCCAGAGAGTTTTGTACTGTTCCGGTGTGTGCGTGCACCTGCGATTACCAAAGCCTCGACACCGTCACAGGGTTCCCCCTCCCCCAGTGACGAGCGCAACGCTGCCAGCCGTTTCGCGCGCGGGTTCCTGTTTGCATGAGTAGGTCTGGCTGTGCTCGGTACGCTTTTGTCCCACGGTCCCAAACTTTGTGGACGAGGGGCGTCAAGCACCACAGTCCCGACGTGGAAATAGTGAGTGCGGCCTCCGTCTGCAAGCGAGTCGGCCACGTAGTACAATCCCTACATCGCGAGGATTTCTTCATGTTGCCTGCCCCCCATGTCGGGCACTCTCTCTTTGTCACCCGCGCACCGGCGTCCTCGTTACGTGCTTAGCCAGCGTTGCAACGAGGCAGGACCCCATGCCCCGGCAGCGACAGGTCTCAGAATGCATTACCCTCTTTGGGCCAGGTGCTTGCAGGGCCAGGTGCAGCTGGGCAATAATAATGTCGACCAGCCAGTCGGCCAACCAGCAGCTGAGCCGGGCCCTGGAGAGACAGCTCGCCTGTCTCTGAAGGACCCTGTGGGCGGCGGCGGCGCGCGCGCGTGCAACACAAGTATTTTTTTTTCGGCCAGCAACAAACGATCCCTGACCAGCTGGCAGTGGTTTGGCCCAAGCCACCACCACCACCAGGAGGCCCTGGAAACGAGCCACACAGGGCTGCGCTTGTGTCGATCGTGATACTGTCAGCCATTCCAACGTCAAAGGGCATCACTGAAAGAAAGAGAGAGAGAGAAGCCCAGCGAGAAACCCTATCGTTCTTTCTGTTACGCGATAGACCAAAACTGCCTTCCCGATCGAGCCCTATAAGGGTTCTCGCCGTTTTGTGGCTTTTCTTTAAACGCAGCAGCAGCAGCATCAGCATCAGCATCGGCGTGAGATCCCTCAGCCAGGGCTTGGAAACATAAGCCAAAAGATCTGTTGCCGATGTGGGCGTTGAGCGCGCACAGAGAGTTATCTCAAAGTCTAAATTACAGTCCTCGATGCAAGCTGGGGCATCGGTTGTGCAGCATACCGCTGACCATCATCACCTGGCTGAGAGTCTGAACAATTTAGAGTTCTGCATGTGGAGATGTGGAGGGCCTCGCCACCGCGGCCTGGAAGAAACAGCAGGATGTGTCCGGAAGCGTCAATCGTTGCGAGGCAGACTGTCCGTCCCCGTCGTCATCATTGCCATAATCGATCCCCCCCTTGATCCATCCTCGCTCTCTCAGATGTAGCTGTGCAATTATGAAAGGCAAGATTCATGGGGATCTTCCACCATACAAACCTGGGAAGCGCTGGAGACTCCTGCGTAGGCATGCAATCCTTACGCGCGATTTCGGTTGCAGTGCGGGTTATCATTCTCATTCGAAATATGAGACTGAGCCGAGCACAAGGGAATCTGCGCAGTCCGCATGCTCCGCGTTGTCTCAGTAGTGCACGCCCACGCCCAAACGGCGAGGGAAATCTCGGTCTAGATGCCTACCAGAAGTAAGATCTTAGGAGAGGAACCAGACCAACGCCGCACATACACACTCGAAGGCGTGTTTTTTCTAAGGTTTTCCCCAGACCTCAGACCTGCACCGTTTTCCTATTGTCCACTTTCCAACTGAGAGAAGGGGTTTTGGGCCTGTTGGCATGGGGGCTGACGTTGACATGCTGGCGGCACTAGGTTGCTGCTACTGCACCGGTGACAGCTCGTGGCAAGAGCTTAGCGCTTTGCTGGGGCGGGCAGACAGTACTGCCGACATGCCAAGCATGCATTAGCGGGGGATCATCAAAGTTTGGGCTGGTCACTCGCATATGAGTTCCGTACCGGCTACTCACTGGGTCATTCGCCACTCAGCTGAACAGTGGTCAATAGCTCTGCATGATATAGCTGAAATCACCACGCAAGCCCCGAGTAGCTTTCTAGCGAGTGACGCGATATTTGTGAGTCTATATCTTGACCCCAATCGTTGCTCGTGTGGAATCGAGGGCTTCGGAAATTTGAAGAGCCGCGACAGCCAGTGTTTATTGTCACGAGAAGGTGTCCTCTGGGCAGCTTTTTACTGAGACGTGTCTGACGGAGCTTTGTATCAGCCAGCCAACGGAGTAGAGATGGCAGGGCAGGGCGCCAGGTACCAAAGAGTAGCATGTGTAATACACTTGCGAGCATGACTGCGTGGCAACGCGCCATCTTCGTAAGTCAATCGAGGACTGTAGTTGTACCCTTTTCTGGTGTTTCCAAAAAGCCCTCTCGACCTTGGTCCGATGTGTCGACCCATTGTTACTGGCAGGATTTACCTCATCTTGCATCCAGAGTGACCCTACCTTGTATAACTGTGGTGGAGATGTGCCTATCCTCGGAGTCAATTATGGAAGTCTAAAGGGGGCATGCTCTGGTCGAGACGACGGAGATATTATATTGAACAATAACCCTAGCTTATTGAAATTTTTGCCGCTCTACATAAACCCGAAATGACACAAATGATGACGAGGGTTACCTGTCAATTGAACATGGTCGTCCTGCAATTTTCAGCCTTCGCGATTGTTGGAGACGGAAAGGGCATACGCTCAGTCAATAGATCAGGCAGGGCGAGGTTTGAGGCGTATTCATCGGCGACCAAGCGCAAGTATTTGTCAGCGTTCGTAAGAGGTCAGAATGACCATCGCAAGCAGATTAGCCAAGGTAAGTCTACGACAGCGCAGAACGGCTTTAGAAGAGCTCTGTATAACCCATAAACCCAAAGCTCAAGTGGGTGCGCAAGCTTTGCTCCAGAGACGGTAAGCTCACCAGCCGCAAAGTGTCTATCCCATAGCCCTTGGTGCATGGAGGATCAAATAAAGAAATGAGTCATGCAACAAGTTCTACTCAGGCTATCCTGACTGGGTATCTTGGCTTTCATCTTCTTCGTAGTGGCTCAGGATTTGGAGCACTCGATGGTTATCCTTGGCATGGCGGCCGACTTGAAACGCACGTCCTTGCTGAGACGAAACATCGTGCCTGACAAGAATACACACGATTCCCGCGCGGGTCGCTCGAGCCCCCATTGATGAATGGCAAGGATATCCATGTGGCCAGGCCGGGTTCGACGGCGCTTCAAGTAATGACCTGTCATACGAGGCGGCACGTGTGAGTCGAAAGCTTCTCTATTCCTTGTAAGCTAGCTTCTCTGGTCCTGGTCAGCGCAGCTCCATCAAAAGCAACATCGAGGCACGACAATGCCTTGCAGCAGATCTCCACGCACGGCCGCGCATAACTTATTTCTTACAGGCATGAGTTTGCCACATTGTCTCCGTCATTAACTTATTTGATGAACCGGTTTCTTTTTTTTGGTTTTGTGAAAGGCTCCTGGGGTGCATGCAGGAGCTGGTCCTGCATGTACGCTGTTGTAATCACAGTTTTACAGACGTGTTTGACCGTAGTGGACAATCGCCTATTACGCATTCGACCCCACGTCGGTCTTGTTGACAAGTCCGGTTTGCCATGGGAGGCTGTCCTATTCACGCTCCGTCGAGACTCTTTCAATAGCACACCTGTCTGGCTGAGTTTGGGCCGTCGGCTTTGTCCGGAAGTATGATCAGCCAGCTGAATGCACCAATCAATCGACAAGCGGGCGGCGGAATGAGCAGCGGGAGGCTTCCTCAAGTAAGCGAGGGGGCGGCCAATAAGGGAGCACAGCGCCTCACTGTGACGAGGAGCATCACCAATGAGGCATGTGGGATAGGGCAGAGAGAGTGCCCACCTTGCTGCCGTGGCCAACCAGCGAGCTGGCGGAGTCTTTTCCGTCGTTACGAGAATATAGTATTGGTAGGGTTTCGCACGACATCAAGACTTTCGGATCACTACGGTCCCGAGAAGGCAAAGACGTCAATGACTCCAAGGCAGCCTGCGGACCCGAGACTAGGCGAGCTCAGCGAGTGCAAACAACAGCCTTGCTTGGCGGCCGAGTTTGTTGTATTGCACCTGCATGTTGCAGGCCACGCCCGCGGGCAAGAATGGGTCGCACGCTGTTGGCGGATGGAACTTGCCGGTCATGAGAGCAAGTTGCGTCTTCTGCAGGTCGCTGTCGCGCCTGGCCAGGTTCGTGAGCCTTCAACAGCTGCCTCGTGCGGTGTTTTGCGCTGGATAAGATGCTGGTCCCGTCGGCTGCGATGCCCAATCAAGATCCTCGGAGCTGGCATAGGACAGGACGTGATCAGACAAGACCTAGGGGCGTCTGTCAAGAACGCGGCCGAGATGCTTGTGTCGAGAGGCTCACCTCGTGGAAGCCTGCGGGGTGTAGCCTTGAGGGCCGTTGCTGTCAAACTGGCCAACGGGGCGGCGATGGCGAAGGTTTGTGCCTATTGTGTGGGAGCCAGTCGCGACTGCCATGTACGCCGCATCGGGGGCTCAAGGTTCGGCGTCAGAGGCTGTCCCCGTTCTAGGCAGGAGCGCCCGGCGCCGTTTGGCAACCACCACGAGGCGGGCGCGGAGGCTTCCCCCAGCCTGGCCTAGTTGAGCAGCCACCCGACGTGCCTTACATACTAAGCCGCTGTCTGCTGTCAACGAGGGACCAGTCCGACTTCTATCGCGACTGCCCAGAGCCAACCACAACCACACCTCTCACCTTGCGACTCGAGACTAAGCGCGAGCCAGCGCGCTAGAGAACCATCGGAAGCGCTGCCCTGCCTAGCTCCACGCTCTCACCGTCCGAGCTCGCCAACTCTGGCCAATCCCACGACATCCACGCCGGACATACTCCTCCAGTCGCAACATACGGTGCTAGTGCCGTTGTGTTAGTCCAACTGCCAGGCCTCCTGAGTGCTGAGACGTTGCCTTCAAGGAGCCTTCTTGAGCAGAGCTCCATCCACCACACTCGGCAGCACGGAGCCGATATCATTCAGCATACGCTTCCGCCGACCGGGTGACTTCGACGCGGGATCATTCAGCCTCACAAAGAACCACCCCCTACAGCGACGGGTCCCTTGCAGGTGGCTGACAAAACCGGAAATAACTAATTCAAGACATGAATAAGGCTTTGACTCAAGCACTACCAAATCGGAAGGATGGGCAAGTGATCGACCGCCAAGAATGATTCGCGGTTGGAAGTGATTAGCATACACACAGAAAGTTCACATTCTTGCGCGGTCCTGTTAATTTCACATCACATCAGACGTTGGAATGTCTTGGGCGAGCCACTCGGCCGTTGACACTTCCGTGGCTTCTGTGTCAGATGGTGATGCACGGATCGGTCTCGAGCTGCATGCAGCCTAGCGATCCAAATCACAGCAGCCAGTCTATGGACCGACGGCAGAGGTACACGAAGCCAAGCATTCAGGTAAGCTCTGTTTGCCAGTGTTACAACTGAATTTCGCACAGGCATCTAATGACATTCCCATGCTATTGCCGTGGTCCAAAACGCCCTGTCCAATTTCAGCCTTGATAGCATCGACAGGCGCGGAAGAAGCCGCCCATACCACACTGCATCGGTAGTATAATCCTGTCGCCGCTCAAAGCAAGTGCCATTGCGCCTTCGGCTGGGCTTCATTGGCCGATCAGCTCTATCTGCCCTAGCTAGGTTCGTCATTCGCTTCACGGCAAGCAGAGTTTCTGCCAAGGAATGTTAAGCGCACCGGGAAACAGCGGTCCTGTACCAAGCTTGCTTGGCTTAGCAATATCAAGCGTAGCTTGGCACAAACTTTGTTCTTCAATCCACGGGGTAAATAATAGCCATACGACTCTCCGCTAAAGTACAGCTGGCGCATCTGGGCCCAGCTAGACAATCTAGACGTACCCGCGTGGTTGCTGGATCTCGTCGTTGCGGATAGGCTCCACGTCAAGGCCATGGCATCGGCCTGAGATGTGATCGTCTCTGTCACATTGCTTTAACTTTGACTCTAGGCTCGATTTTGAGAAAGACCCGTGTTATCCAGTCCGCAGGCATAACCGCAAAGCTCTTATTCACTGTGAACCCGTCAACGTCAAGCCGCCCGTTTCATCGACTTTCGGCGGTAGATCCTATGAGACGATTGGATGTCATCAGCCACAAAAGCCCTCGCCTGTCTCTAACTTTATCTCCCAAGATCGTGCCGACGGTGACAACACAGCGGAGCTGGCCACTCAGACTGCAGCCGAGATCCGGGATGTCAAGACGTTCAGGATACCATAGCACTCACTTGCAAGCCACTTTCCACGGAACTGTCGTCCCTGTCAACACATCAATTACCCTGGGCGCACACCAGCGAGTGGCCCAAAGCAGCACCAACGTCAAAGTAAGGATCAGAGACTGGACGGAAACAGACATGTTCTCTCTCAGACATATGTGACACCCTCTGCATTTTCCTTTTCCCCGTGAGGCCTTATGGTGTAATAAAGACCGAACAATGAGATCATTTCTGCGTCTCGATCTGAGAAAGCATCTTCTTTGGTCCTCTTGGGGCCTTGGCTCCATGTCCTCACTGCACACAGTCCAAGGGGACGAGAAGCTCCCACCACCAAGTCATCATCCCCCAGAATCGACCGCGATGCCCCATCAGTACACATGTCCAACGGCACCGCGTGCGGTCAGTTTCCTACCTGTCCCATCAAAGCTGTACTTTTCCTATCCCCCGCTAGTCGTCCGGTAGACCACCAGCCCTCTCTTTCCGCCACTTGGGGAAGCCCGGCCCGTCTGAGCCGCATCCCAGCCCAGCTGCCACTACACAACCCAACATCGAACTCTAATCGCACGTATGCAACCTTTCTTGACATCTTGCTTGATTATCAAGCAACCATACGTGCGTGATGCGAGCAATCAAAGGAAGTGGAAAGTATGCATCACTGTGGCTTCTCCCGATATCTACCTGAGCAAAGAGTTTGTGCAGCCTGGCTGATGTTCATCTACGGCCCGTCAAGGCAGCGTCACCACTCCTCTTTCCGGAATCATGGAACATGCCGCCCCCATTATGCTCATTGGGGTGGCGCTCGATGCCTTGGATCTAGGCTGCTGAGCGGCCATCGCGCTCTCTCGATGATATGTGTGAATAGAGCTTTGTAGCCTTGTGTTGGAGAACCTCGAACACGCATGGTCGAGCGCACGCCCCGACCAGGATTGGTCATCATCCGCACAAAGCCGTGGGATCACAAGAAGACTAAATCATGACGAGAGAGCCTTGGCAGAGAGGGCACTGCACCCGCAGTCAGTTTAAGATTTTACCGTTTTCGTTGGCCTCTGCGGTTTAATCGAGGTTACTCCGTCATAACCCTTGCCTCCGGAGGATTCTTCTTTACAGGTGACCGCTTGCTCCACTTGGGAAAGTACACGCCCATACGGCTTGTGGCAAGCTCGCATGTCCATACTGCACGCCTGGGTTGTCATCGCTACATGCGTTACTGTTGCAGGGCCCTCCACCACGCCTGCATTGAGCCCAGATACTTTCTCAGAGGCAGTTACTGCTTCATGTGTGTCGACGGCGCGTCATGCCATGACACATTTTATGCTCCCCACCACTGTCAACACCTGTGTCTGGGGGTTCCAATCGTCGTTTCGTTCCATGATCCGACGAGTTGCTGCGCGATCTCACGGTTACTGAGAAAACATTATCCCCTGGAACAAATGAGAACCGTGCTGCCCTCCTATATGAGTGAGACTGTGAGTCGTTTTTCGCACGTCTTTCGTAGGAGATCCCAATCATTTCCGACCGAGAGGGTGCTGCAGTGGTCAGTGTAGATATCGCTGGACGCTCGGTTGGAAACCCGCCAGCCTTAACAGCCACCGAATCTGTACTGATAGGTGAACGTGCGGTCACTGAAGATGAAGATACCTCCTGTGCTTGTTCGGAGAGCTTTTCCGCCCTCTCCGTTGCCAAATGGTGTGTCTGGTTCGAGATGGACTTCAGTACTGCATCACCACTTGCTTCGTGCCGCATGGTTGTCAATTCCGGCCATATGGAGCTCTCGCCGCTGCTCCCCGGGTTTGCTGTGAGCCTGGTGCTATGGTTTTCGCGTGCATCGGACTCTGCATTTATAAAAGCCTCGCCCGACTTGGCATTCCCAGTTTTTTTCTCGTCGTGTAGCTTCTCGTTCCAGCGCCGTACGGTGTCGCTCAGTACGATGTCTGATTTTTCTTCAAGAACCTTAAGAGGCGTGCCTGTACGGACGGTTGCCGAAACACTTAGTGACTCCAAGTCCAGCTACAAGAAGAACAATCAGACTTACGAGTCTCCGTACTTAAACCTGACTTTGATTGCCCACTGACTGGCACGGCCTTCAGTTTCTCACCATTTGATCCAGATCGGGTATGGCTGCCCGCTTTGCTGTCCGCCGGCTGACTGTCACGACACCCTATAGGGCACTGATGATCGGAACAATGCCGTGGCACTTCTGCTGGGGCATGGTCAGTCTTCCTGCTTGGGCATGCCTTAGAAAAAAACTGTGCACTTCCACATGGCATACCTGTCGTCTCCGGCGACGCCTTGAGTTTCGCGATCCTCGCGGCCATCTTATTTGGCCCGCTTCTCTCAACAATGCTGTTTGACCTCGCTACCTGAACAGCCTCCATACCCTGGGTAGATATCTTGGACAGCAAGAGCTCCAGCCTCTTCACCTCGGCCTTGTACTCCTTCTCTCGCTCCAGCCACTCATCCCCAAGCAGTCCCCACTCCTGTCTCTCCCACGCGTGGTTCAGCGACATGTCCTCCCACCGAGCCTCCTTCTTCTGCATGCGGGCTTGCATTTTAAAGAACTCGCTGAGGACGTGCAGCATGTGGGCATTGTACTCGATAGGGAGCGCCTCCATCACCCCGCGCTGCAACAGCACCGCCTGGACCGTCCTTGCGACATCGTCTACTTTTGGTGGTTGGCAGATATCTTCTCCACGCGTGCGCACGAATATCACGGGCTGCTCATCCTCTTCGTAGTCTGCTGGATCCGAGGACAAGTTGTTGCACCTATGGTTACTGGTGTTGTTGCTGATGTTGCCGGTGTTCCCCCCGCCGCTTCCGCTTCCGCCGCCTAGCAGGGACATGAAGCTGGACTTCTTTCGGGCTTGGAGGGCTGGTCGGTGCTGTGGCCCATTTGCTGCTGTGCTGACAGAGGATGGCGCTGCGGCTGCCGGTCGCACTGTCAGATTTGGCGTTGACGCCGAGGCGATTGCCCACTTCTGGCCGAGTGTCAGGGTCGGGGCTGGCAGAGCTCGCGGTGCTGCTGCTCCTCCCGTGGCTGTCTCTTGCGTGGCGGCGGTGGCTTGATCGGAGACAACGGTCGGAGACGGAGGCGGCGCCGGTGTGCGCGCTCGCCCGAGTCTCTGGAACCAGTTGAGGTCTGCCATGAGCGGCACTATGCTGGCTGGAGCCGTCCAGCAGTTGTGTCTTTTGTAGTGTCAGGTCCTTTGTGGGCAGCAGTGCTTTTTTTTGTTTTTGTTTTTTTGAACGTCGCCCGTCAGTCGGTGATGAGCTTGTGAGGCGACGACGAGTGTCCAATGGTCTGGGTTGGCTTATAGGATGGAGGTGTTGTCGACATCGCACACGCATATCAAGCAGTGCAAGTCACGAGAAGGCGGTGTTGATGTGAGATGAAGACTTCACACTTTTGAAGACGAGATATCTTACAAACACTGGCTTGTTGCCGCACTGAGGAATCGATGTTGGTGAAGTTGTGGTGAGCCAGCCGCACCAAGGCATCTGCTCGAAGTCTGGCAAGGCAGGCACAACACAATCGCAGACAACAGCGGCTCAGCAATCACTGGACACTCAACGCTCTGGTGTTCTCTGGGGTCGCAGCACAAGACCTCTTAATCGAATACTGAAGCTATCTAGGCGATGCATCAGTTCAGTCACGGGCAGCAGCAGCAGCCAAGAGGAGTCCGATGTGATTGCATCACTAAGTGACTGAGTGACTGAATGACTGCTTGCAAACGGGCGGCCAAACACTACAGCAACACAACAATGAGCAACGAAAACCCTCAACTCGCGGCACTTCCGGGCAACACAGACGTAGCCGCGCAAGTACCAGTGCTGCAGACTCTGGCGAAAGACACCAGCCAAACCAGTCAGTCACTGCTCGTGGCCAGTCTAGCAACAACAGTCATGCATCTTTGGGTTGTAGAGGGCATAGATGGTGCTTTCTACATGTCCTCCTTGGGCAACATCCTTGTACGTATCTCTCGATTAAACCATGTCGTTGTGACAATAAGAGCTGGTTGGAGAAACATGGCATCCCTTTTGCTGGCCACCTGCCTGCAAAAACGACAATTGTCACATTGCAGGGCGATGCCGAGCATTCAGAATAACGACAAGGGCTTGACCAACAAGAATCATTCTTCCTCGGACACGCAGCGCTCGCCTCGGACGAACCCCAATATGCTCAGCTTGTCCGTGACCCCAGGAATCTCGTTCTGGATCCACTCGTGACCGCCTCCGCCGCTTGCGAGGACAAGTCCATATCCTCCTTTCGGCACATCCTTTCCAGGGCCATCTCCGACTCCGCCGTCGTCACCACCACCTGCCCCCTCCCCAAAGAGATAGAGCGGGTCCACGGTGCCGATTGCTATCGACACATTGGGCCCGTCATCGCGGGACCAGAACATCATGCTCCCGCATTCGGCGCAGAACCCCCGCGAGCGGCCTGGCGATGCCTGGAACGACTTGTACGCCCTTGGGAAAGCCAAGAAGTCGACCAGATCTGGACCGGACGTGGTGGTGGTGGCGCTGCTCGCCGGAGCTGGCGCCGAAGGTAACGCCGTGTTCTCGATGGCGGCCCACCTGAATGCGGCTTTTGGCACCTTGTAGTACATGAAGAACAGGCCCGAAACGTTCTTCCGGCACTGCGTGCATTGGCAAGTGCCGGACTGGTTGACGCGGAGATATCCGTCGTTAGTTTTCTGATAATTTGTCCAGAGTCTTGCTGATTGGGTGCCGCCAGCCACTCGTCAAGGTTAAAGCGGCAAACCTTGCTACACAGGGAGGGTGACGGGGCGGGGGGGAATCGGGCGGAACAAACCGATTCTTCGAAATTGTGCCCGCTCGGGAAGTCAACGCGGTAACTCAAAGCCTTGCATAGGCAGCTGCCAGTCACAAATGAGGGCGTGGGCAGATTGTTGATGGAGGAGGTCATCTTGGGACGGTCTGGCCCCTTGCGTGGCTGGGGAGTGGGTTAAGTTCGAGATGAAGCGCCACTTGGCAAGCGTACCAAGTCGTCGGGTCTTGTAATTTATATTCTCCACGATTACCCAAAGATGATGAGGAAACCTGGGCTGGACGCCAAGATAAGCTTATGCATAACCCCTCTAGCCGTAACCTTGGTTTGCCCATTGAGCCTGTCAGACCGGCATGATCCAACCCCGGACCCCAAATGGCAGGGCTGAGGCGACTCAGCAATCGTCGAGCCCGGCCAAGAGTCGAGGACCATAAGTGCGGAACTTCCCCGTTGTTATAGCCTAAGTAACGACGCGAGGCTGCAGTTGTTGGGCTCGGCTATCGCGTCCAGAGATTTGCCAAGCAATGGCCGGGTCTGCTCGCTGGAGCCCGGAACATATCTGCCGCATCCGTGCATTGACGCCTTGCCGTATTTTGAGTATGTTTCGTGATGCCCACCAATCTCGATCCCCGCGGAAAGTTTCGATTAAGCCGGGCTATGATGAACCCACCGACAACCACAAAGTTCACCTGAAAAGGCGACGGAGGAGTCCCACCTTCCCCTGTTGTACTGGCTGATGAGCATATAGAGGATATGTCGCTTGGTGGCTTAAGGACTCCTCGTCGGCTGTAAGGTGTCTCACAAGGCGCGACCCGCGATATGGGATTTCGCCAAGTTTCGTGCTGTCCGACGACATTGAGATATATGACACCCGGGTGTGAACAAACGTGTCACAGTCGGCGTGCTGCTTCGTGAGCTTAGCACGCCTGCGCTTGGTGGCGGGCTCAGCTGCTGACGGTCCCGATGTTTGATGATGGTCTCGTGACAGATGTCTTGAGCTTCTTGAGCGCGCATGAGAGCGACGCGAAGCTTCCCGCATCTCATCTGGGCCTTTGGCTTCCTCGATGGAGAGCGAACCAGATGCTTTTGAGCCAAGTTTCTCTTTAGGACTACGCCGCCTGCCGCGCTTCCGCGATTGTGAGTCTGCAGATGAGGATGTCTTGGAGCTGCTGGACTTGAGACTTCCCCGAGAAGGTCTATGCAATCTTTGTGACAGGTCATCCATAGTCCGAATCGCGTCGATTCGCGATGCGTTTGATAGTGCCGTCAGAGCATCATAATCAATGGCCGGCTGCTGGGTCTTCGCCAGGTTCAGGATATTGACCAAGGCTGCTCTGAGCTTGCGAATGATGCCTCTCAAGTTTGACCTCGAAACCGCTGGAGTCGATGTGAGCCCATGCCGACTTACACGAAGAAGTGGGCAAGGAATCCTCAACTTACAATCACCCTTTGACAACCGGCCTCCCTCCCGATACAGTCGCGCAGAATAGGCCTTGCGGATTCTCGAACGGTCGGAGCGAATGGACTGGCGAAGTGATGTCTGAGATTGCGATGCCACCGACGGAGCTCCCCCATCACCAGGTTGCTGTAGTGAATGGTGACCCTTGAATGCCTTGAGCAACTTGAGACATCTGCCATATGTTGCCAGGAGGGACGATACTGCCTCGCCGAATCCAGACCCCATTGCCGCGTCTTGCCGCTGTACAGACGTGCGCGAGATGATCGACAATGGCCGGTGAGATGCTGATCTCCCGCCGCCGCGACACAGATGGAGTGTATGAACCTGGAGTTTGCCCCTTCGATTTTGTGGCAGTGCAACCTCAAGATACTAGAGGCGTCCTTGCTCACGGTTCCTGGACAAAAGGCTGGGCGGGGTACTATGGTTGGAGAAGAATAGCTGCCTGTGATAGGACAACCATCTTTAGAGCATTGAACCACGGCGCTTGCAACAACCAATGACACGATACAGCCCAGCCCGCGCATTGCATGTGCACTGCAAGATTGGCTAGCGAACATGCAGTACAATCAAAAATGGCAATAGAGACAAAAACATATCAAGGAGATTCCTGGTTGCGAGTTGATTGCAGCCTCGTCTGTTGCTTCTTCGTGCTATGTACTCATAGCAAGCCGTTTTGCAGGAAGCCAAGGGTCTGTGTATGCCGCCTTTAGTCGTTGTTGAGCTGATCACTGACCATAGGGTGACAGCGAATCACATGGCCAAGCAGCGTTGGTGTCGCACGCATCTAACACTCTTGCGCACATCGTGCTGGACCCTGCACAGCTCGCAGGCTTTGGAGACACCGCTGTCGTATATATCCTGCCAGTGTTCACACGGGAGGGCACGTGCCAAGTTGCCGTCAATTGTCGAACTGCCGACAACTTCGCAGATCTCATGCCGGGGGACCTTGGTTGCCGTGCTGGGTCCCGTGTGAGGCTTATCTCAGGAGGCTGCATGCAGCAGCCTGCACAGGGTTGCTTTCCCGCTATCATGATCCTGTAACAGCGCGGGATGATAATGCCCTCATGCATGGTCCCGTGGTCGACACATAAGTTTTGCCAGTGCCAGTATTGCCCAAACAGGCCACCGGTGAGCCGTGTCAAGTCCTGGACAGCGTTCTGGTTCTTATCACTGCCCTATGCTGGAGAGCTACAGCGTCGCTCGATAAGGCTCCGTGCTCAGAGATGATACTGTGTTGAGACCACCTTCAGCAGCTGATTTTATACGCGGGCAGGCCATCGGTGGAAGCCGTGGTCGCCAATCAGAAGAACTCAAGTCATGCGCTCCCGAGTCGTATTGCCCGCGTTGGCCAGTAGGACGCTGGGCCCAGACACTGACTAGCACATGTCAACGCGTCCCTGGGGTGGGGGGCGGGACGGGACGGAGCGTGGCTCATTAATTACGCCGTTAGCTCAATCCGCCGCTACTGGTCTTGCGTGTTGTCCTGTAGCCTCACGGGCGAAGTTGATTGCTGCCGGCTGGGAGCTACGACGCAATGGGCAGATGCTGACTTTTGAAGACCGTGCGTCTGCGTCCCAGCTGCGAGACGACGTCGAGAACGCAGACCTGGTGATGGTGCGATCAATGAAGTCATCCGGATGGACCGGGTCTCGAGTCAGGTAAGTCAACGGCGACGGAATGCTGGGCTCACTGTTGCGAAGACTGCTGAGGAACATAGAGAAAACCTCAGCTGCGCGTACACGAGGTACCTACGGCTCGACGCTACGCGACTCATTTGCAGTGAAAGGCGCATGGCAGGGAAGGCAGGTTCGAGCTCGGGCGTAGAGTCGGCAGGCTGTAGCAGATCGTAGACTTGCCAGCACCCACTGATCACCTGCATGGTACCTCAAAATATACCAGCTCGACTTGACAGTGCTCAGTCTTCAGGTACCACCATGGCCACTCTCCACCTTCTTGAGTTCTGGAGTGGCCCGTTCGAGGCCATTGAGTTCGCCCCGTTTGTGACATGCCGCTCGATTCTTATCAGCGAGCGGTATCGGTACAGCACGCCGGACTGGCACGGGCGACAGCACGTCCCCCACGCCCAAGATGATCCCATCGTGCCAAGCACCACGACTGGCACGCTGCAGTGCCTCAACGCTCATCGACAATTGCCGTCACCACAAAGGCAGCTCCCGATGGTAATGAGCACCCACGACCTCGAAGCCGCATACCTCACCTCGTTGGACGCTTCGAGCCAACCCGTTTTGTATTCGCGCGTCCAAGCCCGGGCTTTGAGTGTACGACTTCCCCGTGGCCTGCCTGTCTGCCTGCCTGCCTGCCACACGCTCTGACACATTGCGCAGCCAGGGATGGAACGCACACCGCGCCAGTCGAGGCCCGCGTGGCACCAAGCCAGGATTCTATTTGTCTCGCTGAATCTCGGCCCTATCTGCATGCTGGCCTGGTCTGAGTTGCACGCAGCCCAGACCCCGGCGCCCGCGCGCCCTTATCTAGCCATCCACGACTGCTTGCGGCCACTCATTCGATGGCCTGGGGCGGCACCCGGGCCCTTTGTCCGTCTGGCGACAGGCATCCTGGCTGACCACGGGCTGACTACTACACCATAGACCGCCAGGAGTCGCAATCACAGACATCCAAGCATGTGTGAGGAAGCGTAGTTCACGCTGCCGCTGCTGCTGCTTGTCCTGGGCGTAGCGCCACGACTTTCTGGCCACCCCGTTGAGGGTTAGCTTGCGCGCAGCCCGCCCATGACGAGCACGTCAAGGCAGCAAAGATTGCTTTGGCTTTGTGGACCGCAGGGTTGTGTGTGTGCGTGTGCGATCGCACCTTATCATTACGGAAAAGCACGCAAGAGTGCCGTGCAAGCCTCCGTGCCCGCCGTCGAGCCCCTCCACAGGGACGAGATCCCGATGGGCAGTGGGCAACCCCCAACTCTTTGACACGGCAAAAGGAGTTTGCTGCAGGGCTGATAACGGATGGTGGGTCCGCTAGGCGTCCTCCCGTGGGACGACCCCTGACTATCTCGTGGGCATTATCTATGGCCACAAGGAGCCGACGGCGCCACGGCCTCCCGCTGGGTGCGTCACTACCCGTACTTATCCTAGCCGGCCCGCAAATATCGCGGATTCCCCAGACTGCACCACCTCTCTGCTCGCCCTCCAGGTCCACATCTTTTCATCTCACCCCCAAGGTCAACGTTGCCAGGCACACGCTTCTTCATACTGCCTCTTGCGGGTCTCCCTTGTCCATCTTCCCACGTCCCTGAGGCTGTTTCCATGGACGACGCTCCTTCCGCAACCTGGCTATCGAGCCCTGCAGATTACGAGTGGTAGTGTCTGCGATATTCAACCCGGACAGGTCTCGCCGATTTCTGGCAAACGTCATTTTCCACTACGCCCAGCTGTCCAACTCACCATTTCTGACCGTCCAACACCTTGCTGTCTTTTCTTGGAATCTTCTGTCTTTCGCCGGGACACCGTAAAGCCATGTCGCCTCCAATATCTCCACCACCGCAGCAATCATATGCGACAAACCTCGATGAGGTCAGACTCCCCAGAGGCCAGTGCAGGTACATCTTGCTTAATCCCGAGATCAAAGGGCAAAGATGTGCCTGCATATGCTTCACGCTCAATCACGACCATCCTGGTGTTGTCTGCCAGTGCGGGCATCAGTCTTGCTACCACCTCAAGGACCTAGAGTCTCCGACTGGCACAAGTGAAGTCGAGCGTCTTCGTCAGAGAGTCCAGGCTTTGGAACGGCAACTCGATCGCGACTATCAGGGGGGCATAGGCGGAGATCTGGGCATGATTGTTAAGCGCCTTGGCGAGTTGGAAGAAATGGTAGAGAGGCATAAGGAAGAGGCTGCTGCCGACATCAAAGGTTGCTACCGCAACGTTTCAAGGACTTGGCAGTCCATCGACCAGGTCGCCAAGCGGCAAAAGCTACAGGATACAATACTGGATGAGCGGCTCGACGACCACGCGGACAACATTTCAAGACTTGACGAGAGGTTCCGAGAACTCAACGAAGCATCTATATCTCTCGAGGAACGAATCGAGTCACTAGAAGAACCCAGATCTGACATGGATGCTCCTCAGTCGACGTCGTCATCGCCAAGCCAGCATACCTACAGAGATCCTATATCCCCGATCCAGCCACGCGTTGACTCCTCGCGTAAAGAACTCCACCCCACGCTCGAAAGCGAGACTAGGAGTATGACAAATAAAACCAGGACTGTCGTAACACCGTCAAATATGACCGGCCCCGTGCAAGATTGGACGGTCCACGTGTCCCTGCTCCCCTCAATCTCGCAGCCGTTCCCCTTTGAGAAGGATACCAGGGCCTACAAACGCTGTCTTTCCCGTGGACTTCACCAGATGATTGCCGTCAGCGGACGGGACGGTCAATCGTTCGTGTCGGCGGTGTCGAGTGCTTTCAGCCATGTGCTCCAGGGGCGAGAGTGGGTACCATTCCACGCTCGTCTTTGCGATACACACCCGCTCGCAGGACTTCCGATGTTGCGCCCATTGGACCCAACATTAGCTGTGCCACACAGCTATACACATGAGTTTCTCGTCAAGCATTGTGCCGTCATGGCCGCAGACGGACGGATAGATTCACTATACATCGCCTTGCGACATAACGACTTGACCTGGGAGGAGCTACGCGCGGCACCAGTATTCCTCAAAGGCCTCGAATCGAGCTGGGATCATGATCCTCGACTCGCTCCTGCATCATTATCATTTAGCTGTCAGCCGGCCTCAAGCCCAACGCCTCACTTTGCCCGTCCCGTGCCAAAGAAGAGACACGCAGCCGAGATGTCTCAAGGTTCTGAGCCCTATACAGACTTGCAAAGCGCTGAAGGGCCCCGAACAACACCAGCGACAGCCTTGGTTAACACAACGGCCGACACGAGAACCGTGACGACTGAAGGCAGTGACAGTGAGGACTATGCGCGTGCAGCCAAGGTTCCACGCACCAATTACGACTTGCCTGTATCCCTGAAGATGCGCCCACATGGAGAAGCTACAGCGATAGCTTAGGGACCTTATGACTATATATATTTGATTTGAAGATACTCACACGGCATTTAGACGGACGGCTTAGCGACACGAGACGACTTTGAAACTTTCTTTTTCAGATTTAGCAATTTGGGCTTGGATTCACATGGATGTCTGTGCCGAAGAACAAGATGTGGATCATCAGCGGAGGGCAGGACGATGTGTCCTGCCAGGGTTGGCGTTCTACAGGCGTTAGATATGAGAAAAGCGCTGCTCGCTTGTCAGCCAAAGATGACTTGATGAACACTTAGATGAAAATATGGAGTCTTCCAAAACCGGTCCATGCACTCAATGAAGAGCCCCGGCCTCCGTGAAAGACCAATGGTCGCTTGTGATGCAACCCTCCGATGAGGTTGTGCAATCCCTATAAGTCGAGCCAATCATTCGATTCAGGTCCAGTGGGGCTGGCACGCCCAGCCCAACCCGCAACGCAGTGGTGCACCCTGGCTGATAAGCCCAGAATCGAGCTCCGCCTAGCTCAGTTGCTTCTGTTTTGGAAGTGCTTTATGCCGACTTCCTCAAGAGCAACACCCGCTCGAACTTGACGCAGCTCACAGCACACTGCGAGCCCGAGATCTCGCCTGCACAAAATCTATTTGTGCTTGGTATCACCGCAAGCTCACTGCCAACAAGAGTTTCGTGGTCGGCTTCACTCGCCACCCACATATCTGGACAGCCGACACCAGAGACAATCCTCGACTAGACAAGCTGGTTCGCCAATTGCGCCCAGCAACACGGCCAGGGCGTGCCCTCACACAGACACCAGGCGAAACACAGCCGGTCTAAAGTCTCGGTTCCCTCCACAGCACTCGCAAACCCTCACCAGCCCGACGAACAAGATCACAAGTAGCCTTCCGTCCGGCAATCCCATCCTTCAGAACCACACGAACGCGCCAAGCGCGTGACAATCGCCAATCATGGACACAATGGACTTGGACATGGAGATGGAGGTAGAGGTGGACCTCGTGCCCGACGAGCCGATAGTGCCAGAAGCATACCTGGAAGACTTGGTATGGCAACACAGCTCCCCCGTCACCGCCCAGTCACGCGAGCGGACGTCGTCGATCGCGCGGTGTGGCAAGTGGAGGAGTCCTACTCGGGTCACCACATGCTTGCTGTTATTCTAACATGGCCTTTTCTGGCTCTATGATGTTTAGGCACCACGCTCGCCCGGCGAAGTCACCGAAGACCCTGAAGCGATTGCGCCGACCAAAGTCCACATACGAGGCCTCGACGTGCTGAACCCAAAGGAGCTCAAGGCCTACGTGGCGGAGCACTTCCCCGAGACGTCGTTCAGCAGGATAGAATGGATCGACGACACGTCCGCGAACCTGCTCTTCGGCGCCGAGGACGTCGCCTCGCGGGCCCTCGCCGCGCTGGCCGCCGAGACCATCGTGGACGTCGCGGGCTTGCCGCTCAAGCAGCTCCTGCCCGCGAAGCCGTTCTCCCAGCGGCCCGAGGTCGCGCTGCAGGTGCGCCGCGCGGTCTGGGGCGACAAGAAGCAGCAGGGCGCCGCGCAGCGGAGCAGGTTCTACCTGCTGAACCCGGAGTACGACCCGGAAGAGCGCGCGCGGCGGCGTGGAGAGACGCGCAGGTATCGCGATCGGGACGGCGGCGACGACTACGGCAGGCGGCAGCAGCAGCCGCGGAGGACACGCGAGGACGAGCCCAAGGACCATTTCGACGTCAACCTGTACGACGACGACGAGGCTGCGCTGGCGACGCGATCTGGCGGAGACGCGCGCAGCTCGAGGCGCAGGAGGTCGTACACGCCCGACTCTGACGACGGCGGGCGGAGACGTGCTAGCCCGGGCCGGAGGGAGAATGCCGGCAAGGAGCTGTTCCCGCTGGGTGGAGATGCGACGACGGGACGGGAGCCGCGCTCGCGGCGGAATGGCGCCTCGCGAGACCGGTCGAGATCTCCGATACGCGACAGGGATGGCGATCGCGACATGGACGGATTTGCCAGCGACGCTTCGGCGGCACGGAACCGCGACAGGGCGAGGGCGGTCAAGAGCCACATGCAGCGCAGCAACAGGGCGAGGGAGCTGTTCCCCACGGCAGACAAGGGCGACGGGCGGCTTGGTGATAAGCTCGAGGACGCCACGGAGCTCCTGGCCAAGGGCATCATGCTGCCGCTCATGGACGGCAGCAACGACGTGCCTTCTACTACGACGTCATCGAGGAGCCAGAGCCGCCGTCTCGAAGACAGGATCTCGGCGCCTGGGCAGGGTGGAAGACTGGCAGACAGGATATCTGATCCGGCAGCAGGCGGCTCGGCGTTCAGCATTCGCGGCGCTGCAAGCAAGGAGAGCGCAGACCAGGGCTTTGCTATCAAGGGCATGGGCAAGTCTGCAAGAGAGCTATTCCCGGACAAGTTTGGAGGTGGAAGCACTGGCAACGAGAACAAGGAGCTCTTTGGAAACCGGGGAGGAGCGCGGAACAGGAAGAAGGCAGGTGACCTGTTCGATTGAGACTGGTCACGGAGGTGAGGCGGGTCATCCTGGATATGTCCAAAGGAGCAGACCAGGCACCAAGGCGACGCCATGCAACACAAGAATGACTTGGTGACGATGGCAAAACAAAAAGATATCCCAAGAGGCCGTGCCGTGCGATAGCATTGGAATATACCTGACTTCTGGTGACTCGAATACACGTGCCCACTCCGTCACTTTCTTCATCGATTCGACTGTCTAGAGAGGTGTTTACGACTATACGCTGGCTCACACTTGTAGCATGCATACTAGCAAGACGTCATGGCCTGATGGTTGGCGCGCACAAGCCTACATGCAATAATAGGGTAGAATTGTGAGACCCAATTGACCACACGGCGGATCCCAGTCACGTCCAGAGCCAAGCGTGTTCAACCCCACCATTGATTGCACTGCGTCCCTGGAAAGCTGCACCACACCACCGCCACCTGTCGAGACCCATCGCAAAAGCGGGATACCCCCCCATCCACCAGAGCACCAGAGCACCCGACGTCCTCAATCGCGACACAGACGGCACAAGGACGCACGGCCGTACTCTAGACTAGTCTGCTCTGCAAAGGTGTACTGTTCTATTGCATCTGCGCTCGCGCATGCCACAGGACAAGCCATAAAATCGGCACCCATCGCCCCACAATCGTCTTCTATCAGCGAGCATGTCAAGCATCTAGTCGATCGACCTCCGGACTTCCCAGACAACAGGTGGTCAACGAAACCCACGACCACGACCGCAGCCAAACACGAACCAGCGGGTACGCCGCCGATCTACTCGCCCCAGCGCCGTGAGACGACAATGTCAGAACCCACGGCAGCGCTCGCCAAGCTGCTCGGCGCATCCTCGATCGACGACCACGACGAGGCCCTCAAGATTGCCAACGCCGCCATCAAGGCCTCCAAGGGCGCCGACATCAACGCCCAGCACACCCGTGTTGTCGCCCTGCTCAAGCTCGACCGCTTTGAAGATGCGCTGCGGGCCATTTCCGACGCCGGCAGCGCCCTCGAGAGCCAGGCCTCCCTCGAAAAGGCCTACGCCTTGTACAAGACTGGCCAGCATGAGGAGGCCGACAAGGCTCTGCGCAGCGGCGGCACCGGCGCCAAACCGCGCGCCTCGACGCACCTGTCTGCCCAGATCGCCTACCGGGCAGAACGCTTCGACGACGCGGCCAACCTGTACCGCGAGCTCGAGCAGAACCACAGCCACGAGGGCGCCGAGGGCGAGGACAACGACATCAAGATCAACCGGCTCGCCACCCACGCACAGCTCGAGTGGAGCGGCCGGGGGGAGCTGCTGGACGAGAGCCAGAAGCAGCCCGCGCGGGAGGACCTGGAGGCCTTTGAGACGGCTTTCAACTCGGCCTGTGGCTGCATCGCCCGCGGCGATCTGAGCAAGGCATCGGTCCTGCTCAAGCGCGCAAGAGACCTGTGCGAGGCCAGCGAGGATCTCTCGGACCAGGAAAAGAAGTCTGAGCTGCTGCCCATCATCATCCAGCACGCCTATGTGCTTACGAGGCTGGGCAAGGAGACCGAGGCGGCGGCACTGCAGAAGTCGATAGAGCTTACAGAGTGAGTTTGCCATAAATGACCTATGGATCGTGAAAAGCATTGCCAAAGAGGCTAACTCCGATCCTTTTCCAGCATCACCGAGGCGCCTACCAAGGCCGTCGCCAGCAACAACCAGGTGGCTATAGGGGGCGAGGCCAAGAACCCTTATGTGACGCAGCGCCTGACAGAGTCTGCCACGACGCTGGCCGGCAACGACAAGCTCTTTGAGTATCAAGCTGCCGCGCTGCGCCGCAACAAATATGCTCTGGACCTGCAATGCCAGAAGTTTGACGGCGTACAGCGCGCGGCCACAAAGACGATACTATCCGCCACCGACTCGCCGGCCTCGCCCGAGATCGCGGGCCTAGGTGTCATTAGCGCCGCCGCGAAAGCCCGCCTGCAGACCGGCAAGGCTGCTCTGCACGAGATCCTCCCCGTCCTGGAGAAGAGACCAACGGACATTGGCCTGCTCCTGACCATCATCCAGCTCTACGTACAGACCTCGAACCCGGGCCCAGCGCTCGACCTCCTAGACGCTTTCCTAAAGCGCCTCGAGGCCTCTACGGCGCCCGGCCACGAGGATGCGCGCTTCGCCCCGGGACTCGTCGCCGTTGCCGTCGCGCTCTACAGGCTGCAGGGCCGCCAGGGCGCGATCCGCAACGAGTTGGCCAAGGCGTCGACGCACTGGCGCTCGAAACCCAAGGACGCCGCGTCGTCGCTGCTACGCGAGGCCGGCGTGGAACTCCTCAAGTCGTCCGACCCGGCACACGTCGCCTCGGCGGGCGCCACGTTTGAGAACCTCGTGTCCAGCAGCAGCAAGAACGACCCGCTCGCCGTGGCCGGTCTCGTCGCCTCCTTCGCGACAACCGACTACGCCAAGGTCGAGCCGTACCTGCAGTCCCTGACGCCCGTCGAGCGGCTCATCTCGGGCGTCGACGTCGACGCCCTGCTCAGCGCCGGCGTGGCCACGGTGCCAGTCTCATCCGGCAATGCCGCCGCCGCCGCCAGTGGCAGCAAGAAGCGCCCTGCCGCCGACACCGCCGACGTTCCAAACAAGGCCGCCGCCAACAAGACCAAGAAGCGCAGGATCCGCCTGCCAAAGGACTACGTCGAGGGCATGCCCAAGCCGGACCCGGAGCGCTGGCTGCCCCTGCGGGACCGCAGCACGTACCGGCCCAAGGGCAAGAAGGGCAAGAAGCGCGCCCAGGATTCCACCCAGGGCGGCGCCGTCAAGGACGAGGGCGAGACGCTCGAGCTCGCCGGCGGGGCGGGGCACGTCAAGGTCGTCGAGAGCGGAAGCGGCGGAAGCGGTTCCGGGGCCGGAGGTGGCGGTGGTGGTGGTGGTGGTGGTGGAGGAGGCAAGAAGGGCAACAAGAAGAAGGGCAAGAGGTAGATTTTGGGGGTGGTCTCAATGCCCCCCCCCCCCCCTCTGCTTTTTCCCTCCTATTCATCCATGCGATGAGTTGGTAGAAAGAGAGGTTAAAAAAGGAAATCATGTTCATGTTTGGCCCCTTGCTGTGAAACTTCCATGGGCTTCGAAATCATGCCGTGCAAACCCGCAGCTAGGCCACAGTTAAAGCGGATGAGCAGGCTGAAGCCGAGGAACAACCCTGCGTCAGATAAAAGAAAGGCCATATATCTGCATTGATCAAACGACGTCGGCCTCCAAGGGGGTCATTAAAGCTTACAGTGAAGACAATATCCACCACGTGTGCCCGCAATCACAGAGGAGCACCATTGTTACATGCAGACGATGAGGACAAGTATACAGTGATCAAGAAATGAAAAGGTATCATTTTCAAATGCGCGCCTCTAACTAGCCCTGTCTGCATCCTCTTGACCAAGTTCCCTCTGTTTTCGCCCTGACGTTTGTTCTCAATGTTCTACATGTCACCTCATTCCCTCACTTGGCGTTCCAGCCGTGGCCCCTGTCTCGGCGACGCTTGTGGCTGGGCCGATCCGCATCTCGTTTTCAGTCTTCAGGCAGAGACTGCCTGCACGGGTGGGCTGGGCAGTCGCTCGACGTCTTTCCCTTTCTCGAGGCTGCTGCCAGCCTTGTCGGTGCTAGTGGCGTCCCGGCCAGCGGCGTCATTGTTGTCGCCGTCATCATCGTCGTCTTCTGATTCGGAGTCGGAGGCATCCGCTGGTGGTTCAGGGGTCAAGTAGACAGATCTGCGTGGCATTCCACGAGGGCCGGCGCGGCCATCCTCTTCGTCGTCCAGCTCGTCCTCATCATCAAGCGGTGGCAGAGGCGTCCTGCGACCATCGGAAAAGCTGATAGCAGCGTCGCTGTCATCGTTGTCTGATGGTACAGTCAGTCCGCCCGCGCGACCTCTCGACTGGCTTCGCGTCGTCGAGTACTTGCGATGCAGTTCACGGAAGGAGCGCGCTGTGGCTGTGCTCGCGCTCGCGTTCGAGCCGCGCCGGTCTTCAGAAGGCTCACCACTCACGATGGAGTGGAAGTCGTCGTCAACGCTCCCAGGAGACATGGGCACTCCATTTTCATCGAGCTGCTGCGACTGCTTGCGCTGACGCATGCGCTCTTCTGGAGAAAGATTCTGGAGCTCATCACCAAAATTGATGACGGAAGCTTTCTTGCCATGGACAGTAAAACTGCCCGTCCCGCGGGAAAGGATTTCCTCGCGGACGGTCTCGTCGGACAAGGCAGCACTGGAGCTCGAATCCTTCCCTCTGCGACTGCGATGATGTGAAAGATGTCCAGCGCCGTCTCGCAGTGTCCTCTGCAAACTGCGACGAATCTTGTTCCTCTCCAGCTTGTCCTTGTCCGACACACTTCCTCGTGACTTCTTAGACCTCTCGGTCTCCTCATCTGGCTGGCCTACAAACGAGTGAGGTCTGCCTGCCGAGATTCCGGCTGCGTCGATTTCCAAAAGACCCGCTTGCTCCAGAACTTGGCGTTCGCCAGCATCTACTTCAGGCTCGTGGCCAACTCCATTGGGTCCCGCTGAAGGACTTGTGAGGCCATCTGTGCTGGACAGAGCACGGCCTGCGGCCGACGAGTTCATGCTCGACACTGACGTTTTACGATTTTGCAGGCTCTCTTGTGAGAAACCGGGCAGGTCTCTCAGGGATGGTACTTGGTAACCTGGCGCTGTGGCGCTCGTTGGCGGCGTTTGGAAAACATCCGTGTTGGGAGAACCGCCGTCAGTCTGTTTGGCGAGCGCATCATTGATCACACTCGATAAGGAGGGTGGGCTCTGCGGCAATGTTAGACGAGAGCTACCCTTGGATTCCTTGTGTCTCAAAGACGTCCTGTCCGCAGAATGAGCCAGTGACGCGGTCTCAGTGTCACCAAGGTCGCCATTGGCAGCCCTCTCCTCTTCAAGATCCATTCTGAGTATATCCTGGTAACACTTCAGACGCCATATCTCGGAGCGCGACCACTTCAGCAGGGCTATGATTCTGGAGGCGCCCGCTCGAACCTGTTCTCGGGTCTTTTCCTGGATCGGAGCCAAGACCATGATATGTCGGGCATTGCGCAGCTGCGTCTCGAGACTCTTGTCGGCCGTCTGAAGTTTCTCCGTCAACTCCTCGATCTTCTCGGCCATCATCCTGCGCCTCGCAATGTGAATATCGCGGAACATCTGTTGATCAATCAGACCCCGATTGATGCTGACTTCTCCAGTCGGGGTTTGCACAAGCTGCGTTGGCTCACTCGAGTCCAATCGCCGGATGGCTCTGCGCGTTTGGCCTTCGTGGTTCGTACCACGCATGCGAACTCCTGTGCTTCTGAAAGCGGCGGCGTAGTTGAGTTTTGCAAGCCAATCGTTCCGGTCGTCTTCGGTCGGAGCGAGTAGGACCTCTTCGAGGCCGCCATGTCTGACATAGACGAAAGAGTTCTTATGCTTCTTGTACTCAGTGTCGAACAGGGCAACCGCGCCTTCAGTGGACATGAGGGCATCAGGCTTAAAGTTGTCGAGCGGCGGCTTGAAAATGAGCGGGATGCCATCTTGGCCGTCTTTGATGTGCGCATCGTACTGGTGAATGAGGTTCTTGACCCATTGGATATTGCGGAAAAAGTAAAGCTGAGAGCCAGTCAGGATGGCTCCCCACTCCTGCCAAGGTGAGCGTGTCTTCTTCTTCTTGGCGTCTTTACGCCACAAGAGTCCGACCTTGGTCACCTTGATGTCCACAATACCGACATGCGCCTCCTCGGGATTGATCGATGTCTTTTCGGTCATGAACGCATCTGGCCTCGACCTTGCAGAAACGATCTGAAGTACACCAGTGCGGAAGAACGTTTTCTGCAGCTCCTTGAGATTGAGCTCTTTCGCGGTCCCAAGATAGCTCAAATGCTCTTCGAGCGGTATCTGATCCTTGAGCGGAGGTCGGAGCACGTCAAGCTTGTTGTCAATGATCAGCGTATATGGATCGATCGGGTCTTTGGACTTCCGATGAGGCTCAGTTGGGCCGTGAGGAAATATTGACTTGCGGACCTTGTGCTCTCCCGACCCGTTGATGCTGTTGTCGTCCTCGACATGGATAAAAGGGGTATATGATATGTTGTCGTAAAAGCACTCCAATATCTCGTCAAATATGCCTTCTCCGCTGGTGTTCTTCAGGTAGTCTGGCTTCTGCATCTTGTGCTTGTTGTTCTTATTGAAGACATCTGTGTGGAGGATGAGGAGAGAAAATGCGATAAAGTACGCTTGTTCTGGATTCGAATAGATTCCTGGATTGCACTCGTGGTAGCGGTTCGCAAACGCCTCTAAGCATCGATCAATCTGCTGTGTCTCCTTTGGCAACTCGGCTTCCATAAGAAGCTTGCGAATCGCCATATCCATAGGCTCTTCAAAGAAACTGAACTTCCGCATATAGCTTCTCAGCACGGCGGCAAAGAAAGGATCCGTTGGTTTCGATAGTGCCGCTGCTATCACACTGCGCTTCAGCTCATCCTCAACCCTTGCCAAATATTTGGCTGGCGAGTCGTCCTCTCGCCGCTCGGGCAGTGTGACGACCGGCTCCCGAGGTAACTGGAGTGAGTTGTTCTTGGAGTTGTTCGACGCTGGTGTGGCTGGTGTCAAAGTACCTTGCCGAAGCCCGTCGACGTTAGGACGCATTCTGCTCAGTCCGAGCAGGTCTCCGAAACTCTTGCGGCCAATAGAAGCAGAGTTCCTAGGAGGATCAAGCTGCCCAGAGCGTTCATTCAATGAGGCGCCACCGAGAGAGCTCATCGTTGACGATCGACCTCTTAGTCCCAAAGGTCCTCGCGTAGGCGATGATTGTCCAGAATGTTGAGATGGGGGGCGGAACTTTGGCGTGGCAGGTGAGCCAGCAGCTTTGGAAAACAACCCCAAGCCATGAGTTGGGGACGCTACAGGTGTCGTAGCTCGGTCTTGCCCGACAGAAGTGCGAGATTTGTTGCTCGGAACCAGCGACGAGCTTGAGCCGGCCGCAGGGTCCATGGATTTGCCTTTCTGCTGCAGATGCGCAATGGGGAACATTGGTTCAGATTGCTTTGGTTTGCGACGACCAAGCCGGAAGAAGCTGCTCGCAGAACTTGTCGATGCAGTGGTACTTCGAGAAATCCCAGGGTCATGGAAGCTGTATTCGGAACGTGACGATTCCGAGGCCCGTGGCGCTGGTGGTGTTAAGGTTGCCCCGTAGTCGTTGCCTTCGGCCTGCTCCCTGAGGGGTTCCTCAAAAGTGACTGTGTGCTTGCTCGTGGTTGAAGTAGAAGATAATGTCCGCTCGTTCATGCTTCGCCTTCTTTTGCTTGCGCTAGAGAAAGCTGCGCCTAGTCCCGATGGTGTCTCTGGTAATCCTTGTCCTTCACGAGCAACTTCTCCCGAGCGGCGCATCCTCATCGTCAACTTAAGACGTGGCTTCTTCGCTTCAGCATCGAGCTGCATAGTCGGTGCGGTCGTGATAATAGACGGTGCTGTGATGGAGCGGTCAGCAGGCGAAAATGCATCATTTGGCAGCCTTCAAAGGGTTATTTGTGCTTCATGGAGTGGCGTAAACCCCGGCTTTCCCAAAAACGCGGGCTCTTGTGGTGCTTCAACATTGCATGAAAGAGGGCCATCACGTACTTTGTGTGGGCGGCAGGGGGTTGTCGGCCGCTTCCTGCAGCTGTTGTTGTTTTATCCTGGCTGAGAGTTGCGAATCCGAGGCATTGCGAAACCTGAGCATGCTGAACCTTCGGTGCTTCTGACTGTCTGCCTGGATCGGGGGGGATATTGATCGATCGAGAGGGTCGAGGCCGCCACTGCGCAGGCGTGTGAGGTCCTCCTCATTCCTGTCACCAGAAGTGGACGGTCGCTCAGCACCATCTGTGCCGCCATTCTCTCCCGAATTGGCAGCAGTCGTGTCTTCCAAAATGATGGGTGGGATCGCCGCCGGGTCGGGCTGCTGGGTCTCCTCGGCTTCAGATTTGCGAGGCAGGGAAATAGGGCCGTCGTTGACAGGGTCGAGAAGTATGGTGTGGCGCCTCATATCCGATTCGCTGGCATTGACGCCACGACGCCGTAGGAAAGGCATTGTGCCCAAGAAAAGCCTGCTGGCCGCAGAATGCCGTGCCTCAGAGTCTATCGGCGGAGTCGACTTCGGACAGGATTGAGCAAGGGGCGGTAGAGACAGTAATGGCAGCGCCCGGGGTTGATTGGCAACTGCTTGGCGTATAGTCAAGTGGTAGAGTGTCGGCAGCCCATTGTTCCAAAAGCTCGACTCGCCTGGGGCGGCAGAAAGGGTCGCACAGGTCGGGGACGCAGTAGTGCAGGCGGGATCGTCTACGGAGTACGAGAGTGTGTCGTGAGAGGGAGTCCTGAAGGCGAGCCGCTGTCTGGGGAGCAGGGGGGGTTGACGACGGTGGAAAGCAGAGCGTCAGGACGAGGCAGCGCTGGCCAGGAATGTGAGCAAGAGACAGGCGGGAGAGCAGCTGGTCTAGACGGCAGACGGAAGCTGACGCTGTTGACGGGAAGCGGCGAGAGGATGGGATGTTTCCCAATGGCAATTGGCGTGTGTCGTGCCGGCGCGCAACCGCAGCACAGACAAGGAGAGGCAGCTCAGGAGTGGGCGAGGGCCCTCGCAGCGCCAGCTCCACAGCTGTCAGCAGCGCAGGGAGCCTGAGGAAAGGCCCGGCCGGCCAATGGGCGGGCCGGACCACGCTGTCTGCCCATTACGCGGCGCGCTGGAGCGGGGCCCGTGCCTGTCTGGCTGGGGCGAGGCTGGGTACTTGCCAGAGAGCTAAACTCAGGAGGACCTGGCCTGGGCATAATTACGCCAAACACCTGGACAATCCGATCATGGTTCCGTCGACTCTCCCGCGTGCGCTCGCCAGGAGCTGCCTGCGTAATCGTCTCACGCCAGCTCTAGATGTCAACTTGCACAGGCGGCTCGCGGCCGTCGGCAGGCTGTCCTTCACGGCTTCCAGCCCATGTTCCTCCTAGATTACCGTCCCCGTGGTTCCGCGCAAGCCCTGAAGCAGGGGGCCGGTATTAACTCAATCTAGAAGCTCTCTCGCGTTCCATAGTACTCCACTGCACCCTCGCCCTCCTTGCCATCTTCAGTCGCAGATTCCGCATGCGAGATCGAGAGAAGACCTTGAGCCACGGGAAGCCATGCAATGAACTCCGTACAAGCGCATGCAATCAAAGAGCCGCAACAGTAGGCGACTCTGACCAGTCTCGCGAGGCCCCAGTCTCGCGAGGCGAAAGGCATAAGACGTGTCTCGCCTCTGACGGACAGTACGACACAGGCTACCTTGCGCATTCATGGACGCCCGTCAAAGGGTTTAGTAAACGAGCATAACATCAGCAACGGCTTGCCGCCATTGCCCAAGCGGATCATGCCACAAGCTGACAGCGCCTTGAGGGACTCACAAGCAGATGATCCGAAAGTTCCGCAGCTGACTTCAGCAAGCCCGTCATCCTCGTCTAGCAACTCGCTAGTCTTTTGTGTTCGCCGGGCTTGGGCCGCTGCGCTGGCACCACATCTGGACGGTCTTCCACATAAAGGACATATCTTACATACCCTAGGTTGGTGGGCCAGCAGCGCTGTCAACAATCTGATGGCTATCTATTGCAACACACTAAACATGCGTTCTGTGAGCCCACTCTCACTCAACCCTTGGGACGGTTGTCTGTTCTTGCTGGTGGATCACAAGCAGCTCTAGCCCCATAGCTACGTTAGTGTAGTGAGGCCCAGTTCGGGGGCGAGCACAAGGTGGGGACGGGACACCAGAGAGCCAAAGTTCTCGGCACCGCCAACAAGTAGTGACTTGCCTGCATCAAAGTCGAAAGAGCTGCAAGACCCCGGTACGTCAGGCATGACCGGACGCTTTGCAGTGTCTCGGTCTCACATCGTGACCTGCAACATTGTGTCTGGCATCATCTTTATGCTGTGGCAGTTTGACCTCTGGCCCGTGGTGGAGGGAAACCCGCTGTAGCACAAGCTTGTTAAGGTACGTAGAGATAACAGCCCAGGCAGCCGAATTTCGGCACGCGCCTCCAAGCTAACAGGCCAAACTCCAACTTCCAAGCGCGGAGCTTCCACTTTCCATGTCCAACGGCCGAAGCTGAAGAGGCCTCCCTGGTCCACGAATACCTTCCAACAACATCATTTGTCTCGTCGCTCTGCTGCATCCTCGCTACGTCCCGAAAACCGTCCCCAGTAGTCAATCGTCGTTGCCATCGTGGCTGGGAGCTGGCGTTCAACGTCCCCCCATGCCCTAATAGCCTCGTTGCCCCAACCCACGCCACTCGCAACCTCGAGAATCCGAGCGCAGGCAGCCCGGGACTCCTCCTTCGACCGTCCACGAAGCGGGCACGATCAGCATGGCTCCCAAAGGCCTCGCATATCGGGCGCTTGCTATCGCGCTCATCGCCGCGAGTTCAATTGTTGCACCAGCTACCGCCAATCGCATTCCCGTCAATGCCAAGTCACAGCCAGCGCCGAGCTCCTCCTCCCCCTCCTCCTCCTCCATCTTGAGCCGCATCCTAGACTTCGGCCCATTCAGATGGTCTCTCAGCCGGACCAATCGACAACAACACAGCTGGTGGGAGAACGCACAGATACGCGAATCGCTGCGCATATACGAAGACCAGGTCGTGGTCCGCTTCAATGTCACCACACAAGACGACGAGGCTGCCCTTCGGCGAGCCATTGATCGCATGATTCTGGACGTCTGGGACTTCACGGCCAACCATACCGATGTGCGCATAGAGTCCAAGAAGCGGGTGCGCGCCTTCTTGAGTCTGCTACCCGAGTCGCTCCGCGAGGGCCACAGCATTCTCATCCCAGACTTGTCACGTGCGATCGCTGCGTCCTACCCGTCAAAGTCCCACGACGACGCCGAGCTCCAGTCACTCTTCCGGACGCGCGGCGTCACAGAATCAGTCAAGAACTGGATTCCATTCCTGTCAAAAACCTCGACCGGCACCGACGATCTCTTCTTCCAGGATTACCAGTCGTTGGCTACTATCACGACCTGGATGAAGTTCCTCGAGTCCATGTTCAAGTCTCGCGGGCACGTCCGCCTGATCAGTCTTGGCCAGTCCTATGAAGGGCGGGAGATACCCGGATTGCGAGTGGGACTGAAGGATCACGACGAGGACGAATGGGCTCGGCGCGAGACCATTCTCGTCACCGGAGGTATCCACGCGAGAGAATGGATCTCCACCAGCAGCGTCAACTACCTCGCATGGTCGTTTATCAGGGCCATCGACTCGGATCCTCTGGTGACCACGATCCTCGAGAATTTCGACATCGTCTTTGCCCCAGTCATCAACCCCGACGGATACGTATACAGCTGGGACGTAGATCGTCTCTGGCGCAAGTCAAGGCAGCCCACAACTCTGTCCATCTGCCCAGGTTTCGACCTCGATCATTCCTTCGGCTTCCGCTGGAACTCCCTGCAGCACCAGGATGAGCAGTGCTCCGAGAGCTACGGCGGCCACACAGCCTTCGAAGCAGTCGAGGCGAAGCAGCTCGCCGACTGGGCCCGCAACGAGACCCAGCGGGGCACCAGCTTCGTCGCGCACCTCGACCTGCACTCCTACTCTCAGCAGGTCCTCTTCCCTTATGAGTACTCGTGCAGTGCCCTCCCACCGAACTGGGAGACGCTGCAGGAGGTAGCATTCAACCTGGCGAAGCACCTACGCCTGGCCAATGGCGAGCCATACACGGTCGCGTCAGCCTGTGAGGGCGCCACGGCCTACAATCAGTCGTCGTCCTCCTCCTCTTCGCCGGCCGTGACGGAGCTCAACAGGATCGAGAACAGAGGCGGCGCCATGATCGACTACTTCTTCCACGAGTTCGGCGCGCGCCACAGCTACCAGATCAAGCTGCGCGACACGGGCAGCTACGGCTTCCTCCTGCCCGGCAGTGCCATCGTGCCCACCGGTGAGGAGGTGTTCCAGGCCATGCGCTACCTAGGCGACTACCTCCTCGGCAACAATGGCCACGAGTGGTCTTCCACGGCTGGCCAGGACGGTGCTCAGAGTTATGGAAACGGTGCAGAGAAAGGTGGCCCATCGTCACCATCTGCAGAGGATATACCGAAATCGCCTGATCAGGAGGCTCAGGCCGAGCTTCGGCGGCGGGATGGCATGCGCAGGGTTCTGCGGTAAGAGTATGTGGCATACTTGCAGTTCTCTATTTGTGCAGCGCTTCTCGTGTTTATAGGATGTCATGGTTAGCCTTGATTAGCTTTTGGCCTTTGCTACGGTATTCTTCGGGTTTGGAACTAATGCTTACTCCCCTTCCCTGCTGCACGAACCGGTCACGGTGCTGGGGAAAGTCATTCATGTTTAGTTCAAGGCGTTTGGGCACGGCTCGCACGGAGTAGGATGGTATAGTCACAATTCTATGTTTGATTACAACAATTTGGTGTTTGCTGAGTTCGTGATGTTGTACTATGCCATGTGAGACCAGTAGAGTTCCCTGCTCCCTTCACTTGACAAGGCACACATGCCACACCCCTCTCATTGTTGTGATTTCATAATCTTGGTTCGTCAACGTTATATCCAGTTTCCGAAAGGCATGCCTCGATCGCTGATCCGCGACGCTGGGCCCGGTCGGTCCGGCTGACTGCCAATTGGATCAGAGATAGATGGCGCAATGGTCATGCTGGGAGCTGTCGACTTCTCATGCTCTTTTGGGTGTGGTGTTGGTGGCCTTCCTTCTCGTTGGTGGCTTAGGCCTGCTTTTTTCGTTCCTCCTGTCTCCACCACCTGCGCGCGCGGGTTTCTCAGCCATTCTGCTTCTGAAATATTCAAGGGGATTGTGGCCAACACTTGGTCTCTGCCAGCTCTATATTCGTTCTGTGCCGATTTTGCCTTTTGTCCGCTGCGCGAACCCTTGCCCGAGATCACTTGGGCCTGAGATAGTTCTCCACTCCATCTTCCATGACCAGGCTGTGGAGAACGATCGCGGGAGCTACAGGTCACAGAAGATGACTGCAACGATGCACATTCAGAGTTATACTTGTCCTCGCTCATCCTGTGCGCATTACATTCGGGCTCCGTGTTCATAGTAGACGCAGGGGCAATCACCAATGGCTGTGCTGTACTGACCTGGATGTCCTCGTCAAGAAATTCGATGCTGTCCACATACTGGAGCAGGGATGGTGTCAGGGAGGGGCAATTGGATCTCATGGATGAAGCACAAGAGGATTTTCTCGAGCGAATGCTTTGCATTGGCATTGATTCAATGTCTTGCTCCTGCAGGCAGCTGGTCGTCGCCGGTGACATAGGATCGGATGGAGGCTCTTGCGCGAGACGATGCACCTCTGACGGGCGAAGAGTAGTCGGGTGGCTTGTGCTATCAAGCGCTATGTCTTCACCCGCACCTCCAGCTTTTCGTCCTCGCATGGAGGCTGAAGTGGTCGATATTTCCAACGGTGCGCAGGCCAAGTGATCAGACGCAAGTCGAAGCTTGTGGGGGGGCTCTCGAATCTCAGAGAGTGTTGACGATGGTGCTTCGCTCTTATGGTCATTGAGCTGTACTGGAAAGACGGGGCCGAAATGTTCATATTGCGACGGAATCAAGTTCAACTGGTGAAGATATGCCAGTGACCGATAGTGAAATAGAACAGCGGCGTATGGGGAATCTTTGGCGTCGAGCAAGAGGTAATCATAGTAGCGGGTGTCTCTTGGGCACTCGACCAAGCCACCGCTTGGAGAGCTGTGTGATTCTAATTAGCCTTCTTTGAAAAAAGGTGGCTGGTCATCTGGCACTCACGCAATGCCGTAGTGTTCCTGATTACGGTACTCGCCCAGCACGGGAGCCGCTCGTCGACGTCCAGTGCATCTAAAAACACGGACCTCGATGAGGCCGCCGTCCTCGGCTGCACACTTAGCCACTTGTCCTGGCGCAAAGTGAAAGTAACGTGACTCGATACCCGACCCTGAATCTTTTGAGATTGTCTGTTCGTCAGATTGGGTTTGACCTGGCTGGTATAAAGCTTTCGCTACCGTGCCACCGCTGCACAGTGCTGTGTCGATGCCCCAGGACACAATGTGGCGGCCGTTCATGAGTAACTTGAAAAAGAGATACTTGGATGGTGCTGGTGAGGTTTTGACGGAATATCGGAGTCTGAACTCGGCCCCTGTTGATCTCAGTGGTGAACCATCCCGTGGTAAGCAGTGACGACATACCAGGAGTCGATGACACATAAACAGACACACGAGCCTTCGACGTTTTTGGAGGGCTGTTGACGTCGGATGCGGCAGATCTGTCCAGCTTCAAAGGCGATGAATCCTGAGCCACAAGGTCACGCTCGCCCGCCTGACGGGCATCGACGCAAGTGGAGGAAACGTCAGGATGAGGATACTCTAGAAGAGCTTGAGAATCGAGGCCTGTCACAAGGGACAACTCGATGCCGCGAAGAGAAGGCATGATTGCCAGTGTCTAGGACTGGCTTAGGCCCGATGTGTGGAAAGCCGCCTGTGTCAGGGGAGTTGTAGCTTGAGGTCAAAGGTTCTGCAATTGGGCGGAACAGAGCTTCGACGAAACTTAGCATGGCGCCAACATGCGCGTGGGCGAATGCATAATCCCAAGTGCACCGCCATACGTTGGGCCGTCAAATTGTTGCTCCCGTCAGCGCTCGAGTGACTTCCCCGACTTAGGCAGTCGCGACTAACCGCCCCTCCTGCCAACACAGGATGACTTGACGCTCGAGCGTGCTATCCGTAGTGCAGTGCGCCATGCTAAACGACATTTAATGTTCCAGTCTCACATGACAGCTGATCTTACCAAGCAGGCTCGTAGCGTCGCCTTCTCGGTTGCGGGAAGATTAGGTGGTTCTCCAGGAATAGCAGGAGTCACACGAGCGATGCAAAGTATGGAGAACGTCCTCGTTTATTGCCGTTGGGAAACATCGAAATGGACCAGCGGCACCGAGCAATCTCGGGGATGATGACTTCTGCAGTTCGCTCACCATGGTCATGCCCGTTACGAGCTTTGTCCAACACCATCAGCCTGCATACTACACCGAAAACTGGCTTGCGCTTCCAGTTACGCACCTGACCACTCTGGAGCAATAAACTGTCCGACTCCATCCTAAGTCTGAGGTGATCCGTTTTCGAAGTCCCAAGCCTTTAGGCAAGGACACAGTCCTCAAGCACTACCAAGACTGTTGTTCAGGGCGAGCTTTGCCCAGACCATATTCTCAAAGGGCTTCTATTCTCCTACATTAGAAGCGGTCTGATATGTACAAAGTTTCGCGCTTCGATTCGCCGGAGCGCCTGACACTCCAGGAAGGCCGAGATGGTATGTATGGTGTCGTTAACTTATTGGCTGATCAGCTTCTTCGACTCCTCCTCCTTGTCTAGTAAGCCCAGATTCCGTATCTGCCCAGCTGTCGGTGCGTTGCTCCTGCCATTTCCGAACTCGGCCTTTCTATAAGCGGCCTGCAGGGCCATCGTTCGCGCAGCCTGTCCAGGAGAATGTGCGTCAGTTCAATGGCCCGTTGGGGACTGCACGTTTTGACAGTCCAAGCCGTCATGGGGGCTCTGACCTCCTTCTTGTGGTGCAGGCACTCATAGTAGTCCTCGAGCGCGGGGGAGCATTTCTTCTTCCCGGAGTCGTCCTCTGCGGAGGTGTTGACGACGTAGCAGGCGAGGACCTCCTGCCAGAAGGGAAAGCATCGGCCGGGGCCTGCGGGCAGCGATTGGGTCAGTAACAGGCGCTAATGATCGTTGCTGGGTGGGCGAAAGGTACCTCCGTCGTTTCCGAAACCAGAAGCCATGTTGAATCTGCCGTATTGATGGGGTTTGAGGCTCCGCGAACAGGTGGTGATATGCTTGACTGGTCGAAAGGTGCGAATTGACGTTGAATGAACAGGCCCCACATTCTGCCGGCCCCAATCACAAACGTGAGCGGCAAAGGCACCCAGCTCTATGACCGCGCATTCCACGGTTCGAAGGAGCCCACAAAGGCAGCTGGCGGCCAGGTGACGCAACAGCCCAACTTCCTTCAATGACGGCCACCCGGCGACCACCTGAAGGCAGGCCACCCCGGTTCCAAGCTGCTCATGCTCGTGCGTCCAAGGTTGACCGGAGCTCCCTGGCCCGGCCGGTTTGGCTGTGAGCCTTTGACGAGATTCACTGCACACATACTCTGACAACCTTGGAATGCACGAGATGGAGATACTTAGGCTGTGCGAGATTCCCTTCCGGTACTCTATTGCCAGATGCAAAGAACAAACCATGCTCCTTCTTGCTTGATCATTTGCAAAGTTGCCAGTCTCTTGCCCGCCAGTCCTGTGGTGAACACATGCGTCTCATCATGTTCTTGCCTCTTCCCCACCTGGGCAATCTGGTGCAGCTGCTGCAAGCCATAGTTGCACCGGCATACTCGTTGACGCACGGGCGTCGCAGATTGAAGAGCTGCCAGGCTGACCACGCCTGGGCAGCCCTCACCACCCTGGGCGGCTTCCGTCCAACTGGTCAGCCTGGCCGGCTGGCGCCATTGGGGTCGCGCCCCACTCCTATTGTTCGGGGCAGGCCGCCCAGCTTCGAGAGCGCGGGAGAGGAGGGGCCAAGAAGCTCCCAGGGCTGCCTCTCTGCCCACCTCCTGAGAGCCCAGCTGCCGGAGCCCCTCTTCCCAGGAGGTCCTGCCTGGACAAACCCACACGCTATCAACATTTACACCATCAACACCACCCTCACTCGTTCGCGACTCTAGTAGACTTTGCGGATTCTCTCCCACACACCAAGCTAAAATGGTTCGTCAATCGCTCCCTGCCGACCGCCCTGCGGTTCTCTGTTCGCTTTGAGGGCCGTAGATATCAGCACTACGCGCAAGACCAGATGTGCTGACCACACGGACTCGTTACCGCCTATAGGCCGATTCTCTGACTGAAGAGCAAGTCTCCGAGTTCAAGGAGGCCTTCTCCCTCTTTGTAAGTCCTGTTATGCCCAGTCTGTCACGCGAATCTCGCTTGGCGCCTTGGCACCTGCTATTTCCTCAACCCGCAATCGAGTGTTTCACTAACATGGTTTGACTTGCAGGACAAGGACGGCGATGGTAAGTGCCACTCGCCATCGAAGCCCGGCGGTCGACCGCAACGAAATACCCTCCCCCGCGCTCGAAGCACTTGCTACCCGCCCTAGCGACACATCGCAAGAAGACATATCCAGGTTGTGGGCAATAGCAGCTAATCGTGTGGTCGGTAGGACAAATCACCACCAAGGAGCTGGGCACCGTCATGCGCTCTCTTGGCCAGAACCCCTCGGAGTCTGAGCTCCAGGACATGATCAACGAGGTCGATGCTGACAACAACGGCACCATTGACTTCCCTGGTGAGACATCTCCGGACCCGGCCCGGATACTTAGCCGATCATCGCCAGTTTACTAACCTGATCCTAGAGTTCCTCACCATGATGGCTCGCAAGATGAAGGATACCGACTCCGAGGAGGAGATTCGGGAGGCTTTCAAGGTACCTTGTTCCATTTGAGCCCCATGACCATCGTTTGGACAGAGCTCCTCTCGCTAACATGAGTAAAAGGTCTTCGACCGCGACAACAATGGCTTCATTTCTGCTGCCGAGCTTCGCCACGTCATGACCTCTATTGGCGAGAAGTTGACCGACGACGAAGTTGACGAGATGATCCGCGAGGCCGACCAGGACGGCGATGGACGCATCGACTGTGCGTACTTACATCTTCATGATACTCCTCGATTGTCCAGGCTAACACAAGGAAATGTTTACAGACAACGAGTTCGTCCAGCTCATGATGCAGAAATAGATATAGTTGCAGCCGAACCACTGCGATTTAATCCAATCTTACCAAATTTGACACCAAGCATGATTTGGGCCTTGACGTGTCCGTTGGCTGCTGCGCGGGACTTGACGGAAGTGCACGGGTGGAACTGACTACACATATGGTACATGATTATGAGTCCTGACGGTCATGGGGAAGCACTAAAGGAAATGCTAGAGCATGCAGCTCTACAATGTGATATGAAAAATACGCTCATAGATGTGCGCAACAGATGGTTCTTGCGTGACAGTGATTTCTCTAGAGCAAGGCAAAACAGGGTTGTCGCATATCATGCCCTGCATCCTGCCTAACACTGTGTGGCACGTCGAACCTATCGGCGTTCATTGCAAAGCTTGAATTCCACAGAGTGGTCTTTTCGAACATTGCAAGAAAGCAGGGCATTACATGGAGTGTTTTTCTGTCGTCGTACCCGTATCATCGAGTGTCCCGCATACGCGCGTGGTTCGCATAGCAGGTCGAAGCCTTGGAAAGGCTACGTCAATGTCTTGAAAGTGACGAAAGTATCGCGGCGCGCCTGGGCTTGTGCAGATTCTCATGCAGCTGCTAGGCGCGCCGCGATTCAAGTCCTGATATGCTTGCCAGGACAAGACTGTAAAAATGGACCCTGAAAACACAGTGCTTGAGTCGGCCGTGGATACCTTGTGATCATGTCTTGGCACCGGGATGTCGGTCGCCTTTGCTTGTGAGCTTTGAGCTCTTCGCATGGGTCCCGCTTTTGCGTGCCATTGGGAGCGCAGCACAATTCATTGTACAGCCTTGCATCTTCTTCAACACAGCTCAGCATTACTGCTTTTAGGCGCTTTGAGGTCTCTGCCTGTCTTTTCTGTGCTCTTTTGACTGTCTGATCTCGACATCGTACCCTCTGGTGTGATAGCGAGGCCGCCAGAGCAGAGACTGCCCAAGGGGAAGTTGACGTCATTGTCTACTACCTTTCTCTGCTTTCTTTCGTGTTTTCGACTTTCCCCTTTTCACGTGCGGCCTGCAGCCTGGCGGAAGCCTCACTTAGCAGCGCCACCAGCCAGCCATGGCATTTCGCAAAGTGCGCACCCTGATAGCAACCACAGTCTTCCTCCTGACCATTACGATATGGCTATTCCAGGGCGGCGGCGGGGGCCTGCTCTTCGAGGACAACGGCCTGCCGACGTACCGGGCCAAGTATAACCAGCACGGGGTCGAGTCGGTCAACGATGACGACAATTTTGACCCCGGAGCCGGAGGGGAGAGCTCGCCCCTCATGGGCCCGGGAGGACACTTTAGGGGGAACGTGCCGTACCGCAAGATCACGCAGTGGAAGAAGCTGCCGCCGCGATTCCCGGTGAAGACGGTGCACGTGCTGCCGACAGAGCTTCCGGTGCCGGGCAAGATCCCGCGGGTCCAGGCCTCTGAGAAGACGGAGGAGTCTGCGGCATCCAGGAAGACGCGGCTCGCGAGGCGTGATGCCGTGCGGGAGAGCTTCCTGCACAGCTGGGCAGGGTACAAGAAGCATGCGTGGATGCACGACGAGGTCCGCCCGTTGACGGGCGAATCGGTTGATCCTTTCGGCGGGTGGGCGGCGACGCTGGTCGACGCGCTCGACACGCTGTGGATCATGGGGCTCAGGGACGAGTTTGAGGAGGCTGTCAAGGCGTGCGAGGAGATTGATTTCACAAAGACGCGGGCAGAGCTGGTGAACATCTTTGAGACCGTGATTAGATACCTCGGCGGGTTTCTAGCGGCGTATGAGCTCAGTGGGAAGAAGTACCCCGTGCTGCTGCGGAAGGCTGTCCAGGTTGCAGACTTGGTCATGTGTGCGGTGAGTCTTCACTCTGGGCTGTCTAGAGTTAAGAAAGTTCTGGAGGCATACTGATCACGAGATTCTCATCACAGTTTGACACGCCAACACACCTTCCTGTCGCGAGGTGGGACTGGCGGCAGTACACAGGCGGGATGGATCAAGGCGCATCGGCGCGGACGCTGGTTGCTGAAGTTGGCTCGTTGAGCCTGGAGCTCACCAAGCTGACGCAGCTCACGGGAGACCAGCAGTATTACGATGCGGTGAAGCGCATCTCGGACCAGTTCGAGAAGAGCCAGCAGCACACATCCTTGCCCGGGATGTGGCCGGTCTACGTGGACCCGTCGACCTGGCCGATGGGCTTCAAGAGCCACGACTACACGCTCGGCGGCATGTCCGACTCGCTATACGAGTACTTCCCCAAGCAGTACCTCCTGCTGGGCGGCGTGCTGGAGCAGCCGCGCAAGCTATACGAGGGCTTCATCGACGTCGCCATGAAGCACCTCCTCAAGCGTGGTGCGAACCCGCAGAACGTGCCTGTCGCATTCTTTGTGGACGGCCGGATCAGCGGCGCCGGGACCTGGAAAGCAGAGATCACGACCAACAACCACGCCCAGCACCTCACGTGCTTCACGGGCGGGATGGTCGGGCTCGCGGCGAAAGTGTTCTCGCGGCCGCATGACTTGGAGGCCGCCGCGCAGCTCACGAACGGGTGCGTGTGGGCGTACAACACCACGGCGACGGGCCTGGGGCCGGAGGCCTTTGCGTTCGTGCCCTGCGACGACGACTGCCAGTGGACAGAGAAGCGGTGGGTGGACGCGCTGTGGAAGCAGTGGCGCACGGCGCGCTACAACCAGGGCGAGGCGCCCAAGATCGACGAGCTGCAGACCTTCCTGGACGAAGCGCATTTCCCCAAGGGCATGGTCAATGTCAACGACCACCGGTACATTCTGCGGCCAGAGGCCATCGAGTCCGTCTTCATCATGCACCGCATCACGGGCGAGCAGGAGTGGGCGGAAAAGGCATGGGACATGTTCAAGGCGGTCGAGACCGCGACGAGGACTGACATTGCGGCTGCATCGGTGGAGGATGTGCTCGTCGACCCGCCGCTGCAGAAGGACTCGATGGAGTCGTTCTGGCTCGCCGAGACGCTCAAGTACTTCTATCTCGTCTTTGAAGAGCACAGCGTGGTCAGCCTCGATGAGTGGGTGCTCAACACGGAGGCGCACCCACTGCGCAGGGCAGATGCGCCTGAGGCCTCATGAGCCAGAATAATACCGGTTGATCGAAAGACTGAGACATCTTCAAGTCTCAGCCTGCTAGTCCCAATCTGCATGCTAGATATTGAATGATACCCTCCACAGGGAAAGACATATCGAGTCCTCACTTGGGAGTGAACCTGACAGCCTGTGACGACGAGAAATCGAGGTCGCCATGAGTGAGATCCTTCAATCCATGAATGAACGATACTAAAGCGCACTAGTCGACGCAGCTACATCATCACAACCAAAGAAACGCGCGATCTGGGGTCGACAAGCTAGGCCCACAAACCGAAGGTTAATTACTCGCACGTTCCGCGCTAGCATTGCACAGCCACCAAGACGCGGCGTGTACATAGGCACAAGGGAAAGTGATTGCGGGCGGAAACTGCCAACAATTGACGCAAGCTCAGGGGATGGAGGCAATCTTCTAGGTGCCAAGAGGACTAGACCTCCTGGTATGTGGGCTGGCTGTGTCTAGCTTGCGAAAGGATCAGGAACAGGTCCCCAGCTGAGGTAATTATGACTCGGGCATAAAAGCCTTCCTCTAAGCTCGGCAACGGGCGGCTGAGAAAAGCTGGGGTTTGCACAAGTGACGCCCTCTTCCGAGTGGTTTTCGCCCCTAGCCCACACGATCGGGATGTCATCTGAACTTAAGGACCAGGGCAGGAATGTTTATATAGACGACATGTGCTTGGGGCTTGAGGCTTGAGCACTCCTCATTCCTGACATCACGCATTGTCCTGCCTTTTCAGGACCTTTTTTCTGCCGCCTTGTCAACTGCATCTCGCCGGCTCCGTCGGCTGTAGGAGACGGACCGACACCGGGACTCCTCTAACCCCCCTGGCAAGAGGACGAGAAGACAAAAACGCTTGGCGACCCAGCACGCCCGCCGACACGGGACGCACTGCACTGTCTTTGGCCAGACGTGGGAGACCAGCGACACGATGGTATGCAATATCTCCTTTTTCTGTAAACTCTGCAACTGCATCTTCGTGCCGACGTCAAGTACGAGGCAGCTGGACACTGCCCTTGTCCTGAACGGGCAAGCAACCATGCGACTGGGACAGAGGACAAAGGGCACAATGGCGAGGCACACGTGGGCAGTTGGGTTTGCTGGGAGGCCCCCAGCGCACCTGCCTTAGCCTGCGCCGCAACCGCATCAGATCTCTGCCAAGCCAGGGCCCCATCTCAAAGGGCCCTTGCTCCACCCGCCAATATGTTTGGTTTGGTTTGGTTTGGCTGCTTCCCTTGCCCATCCACCCACCATCACGGACATTCGCCGCCTCCGCGTCGCCGTCCATTATTGCCCCCGCCTCTTCCCCAGTCTGAGGGCCTGCAGAACTATCTGCACCGCCAGCACCACCAAGCTCATAAGCTTTGGGCTTGCGCTCGTGCTTGAAGCGAGCAAAGCAGCAGGGGCCGCCCGGTCTGACGGGCAGGTCCATAAAATTGCGCTGCCTCCTCGTCACTATTACTTACAGGCATATTACCTCACCATATCCCCCATCCTTTGTCCTCCTTCAACAGTTGCTCTGTCACGTCCGTGGTACTTCCCGCGCGACATATACTCTAGTCTTTTGCCACATCTTTTTCTTGCTTGCTGTTGTTGGCAACCTGCCGTCAACTTGAGCTCATCCTCCCCTGACCGCCTGATAGAAGCGCCTCCTTAACGACCGCCCCTGGTCATCGTCCTGGTGGCATTCTCCTGCCGTCACAATGGAGCCAGACTTGTCCCACAGCATCACCCGGCACCCGCACGTCTTCCAGCTCCACGAGCACGAGAGGTCTGGCAGTGCTCGCTCCTCGATCAGGGCTTTCGCGCCGCCTCCGCCAACCAGCCCTCCAGTGGACAACAACACCAACAATGCTAAGAGCACCGGTGTCGAGGCTGAGGAGGAGACTGCCGAGCAGCACCCGGTCTCGCGTCACCCATCTCAAGCCACAGATGTAGAAATGCAGCCCGGGCAGCTGCGCTGGCGCGACGGCAACGACCCTTTCAATCTGTCGTCAGCCTTCCGGACGGATGCTCAGCTTGAGCAGATTAGAGCCAACACCTCTCGCAAGCGCGATGGGCACTCCGGCAACAAGACCCCTGGCGGGCACAAGACCAAGAAGGCGAACCCCAAGAAGGTTGAGGGCTTTTACCGCACACAAAATGAGACCATTGAGCGCCTGCTCAAAAGTGTCGACGAGCACCGGAACGAGGCGCGCCAGGAGCAGTCTGATGACCACCTGCGGTACAAGATCGCCGTCTATGGCTCGTTCGCTGCCAACGTTGTCCTGTCGATCCTGCAGCTCTACGGAGCCATTTCTTCTGGGTCGCTGTCGCTCTTCACCACCATGGCCGACTCGATCTTCGACCCTGCCAGTAATCTGATGCTTATCATGGCCAATCGCGCGGTCAAAAAGGTCGACCCGAGCCGGTTCCCGTCCGGAAAGGCGCGCCTCGAGACTGCTGGCAACATTGCATTCTCGTTCCTGATGACTGCCGTTTCGCTCATTCTCATCTGCTTCTCGATCCGGGATATTGCAACGCACGACGGAGCTTCGGATGAGGTGAACGGTTTCCATCTTCCAGCCGTCATTGCAGTCGCCATCGCGTTCACCACCAAGTTCTGCTTGTTTCTCTACTGCTGGGGTATCAAGGACAAGTATAGCCAGGTCGACATCCTCTGGCAGGACCACCGCAACGATCTGCTCATCAACGGCTTCGGTATCCTCACATCAGTCGGTGGTAGCAAGCTCGTCTGGTGGATCGACCCCATGGGCGCCATCATCCTGTCTGTGCTCATTAGCTGCATCTGGCTCCGCACAGCGTTCCAGGAGTTCCTCTTGCTCGTGGGTGTCGTCGCCAGCGTTGAGATGCAGCAGCTCATCACCTACGTCTCGCTCACGCACTCGCCCGCCATCATGGGCATCGACACCGTCCGCGTGTACCACTCTGGCCCGCGCCTCATCGCCGAGGTCGACATCGTCATGAACCCCGACTCGTCGCTGCGTGCTACCCACGATGTCGCCGAGGAGCTGCAGATGAAGCTTGAGAACCTGCCAGATATCGAGCGTGCTTACGTCCACGTGGACTACGAGACGACTCACAAGCCTGAGCATTTCTTCAAGAAGGACATCTGAGTTTTGCTGAAAACGCTCGATTGGATGGCTATATCTTGCCGCATGTGCGTGCCCATTACCAGAAGATTCAATGTCATGACTCGACTCGAGTGCATGTGCGACCAAGTGTGGGTCGTACTTGGAGTCGGCTCTTTGTACCGGGGAGAGCAGCAGCAGCAGCAGCAGCAGCAAGGTGTTATGAGAAAGCATTGAAGCGCTTCGTATACAGTCCTTTCCACCAATCGAGGATACTCGGATCTGCCACTGAGCAGCAAAGACGAGGGTGACTTGTGGACACATCGAGCACATAGGTTTGCGTATAGTTTTATTTCCTTGGAGCGAAACAGTGCGGAAAACAAATGGCAAAGCATCACAAGAAAAGTATAGAATATCCCCAAAAACAATAGAAAACAAGTTCGGATCCATAAGAAGAGTCCCTCAATTAAATTTTGAGACGATAAACAAACATGACCAAGTGTTCTCGAGCCCCTCGAGGTTGGAGCTTGTGTGGGTCCCAACCCCACACTTTCCCTCAGTCTAGCGCTTGCTCAACTTGCTATCCTACGACGACTGGCTTTCCCGAGGTCATGGTGGAGAAGTGAAGATGTCCTTGTTTGAGAGCCCATGACAGAAACAACACTCGTAACTTGACAGTGGCGTCCTTCATAGATACGCGAGGGCACTTGCATTCGACGACTTGGCACCAAGTACGGGTTTTCTATCTTTTTACCAGGGTTATTCTTTTCGTTTCACCCAGCATCCCCTCCGTAACACACTGACAGGGGGGCTTTGAAAGCTTGGGCGTGTTCGTCAATTGCTCAATCTGGTGTCGGGGCAGTCAGGCCGTAGGTTCATGTCAAGAACCCTGTTCCTCCCACGAAGCTCTGCTAGAGGTGTAGTAGGGCTCTCGGTATATTTGCCTGCTTGTCGCGCGGTCGGAGTCAGAACAGGCTCTGCTCACATCTTTCGTTACCCCCGGTTGTTCTGCAGAACCGTCGTGATGGTCGGCGGCGGCGGCACGGCAGAGGAGAAGAAGCCGAAAGGTGAGAGTGTGCCGCATTTGGAGAGGACGGCCGGAGAGCCTAGGGAGAAGGTCAGTCCATTGTTTTTGTGCTATTCTTTTTCTTCCTTCTCCATTTCTCGTCGTCATTCCTTGGACGCCTTCGAGAGAGTTTCCAGTGACTGTCAGTTTTTTCTGCTGTTGTATGGTTTTGCTCGGGGAGCTTTCTGTTGTGGTGTCTGGTTGTGTTGAGCAACTTGGAGTTGATATTAGATTTCATACGTCCTATTTCGTAGCAAACCTGGCTAACATGCTCAATTATCCCTACATCAGTCCCTAATCCCCGTCGTGATACAAAGAGTCGATCGCGTCAACGACCAGATCCGTCTCTTCCGTCTGGGTTTACCGGCGTCCGCGCAACCCGTCAAGGTACAATTCCCTCTTTTTTCCTTCCCTATATCGTTCATCATGATCGTTGCTACGACATGAACTACCGACCACAATTCCGAGGCAATGTTGCTCACAGAATCCGATTGTGCACCATCGTAGTTCCTCCCAGGCCAGTGGTTGGACGTATACTGCCCGGGCATCGCGAAGGCGGGCGGCTTCACGCTGACCTCGTCCCCCTCAACGGCTCTGCCTCGAAACGCCCCGGCGACCACGGGCCATGGGAGCAGCGCAGAAAGTAACAGCACCGACAACGGGATAGGCCGGGGATATCTCGAGCTCGCTGTCCAGAGGTCCCCGGACAACCCGCCCGCAGCGTGGTTATGGCAGGATCAGGATGCGCCTGACCATGTCACGAGTGGAGGCGAGCATCGCAGCAGCAGCACTGACTCGGACACTTCGTCCGCAGTCATTGGGAGAGAGCTGCAGGTCCGGATCGGCGGAAGCTTCACCTGGCCGCCACCTCCTACCGTCGATGTCGCGAGTCTTCGCAAGGTTGTCTTTGTCGCGGGTGGTGTGGGCGTGAACCCACTGATGAGCATGCTGAGCTACCTCGCCGAGGGACCCTCTGGTGTAGACGGGGTAAGGAATCATCAGTTCGAGGTCGAGTTCTTGTACTCGGTCAAGGACCCGGCGGGAGGTGGTGTTTCTGGAAGTAAGAAGGCGATGGGGGAACAGCGGCGGGGAGAGGAAGTTCTCTTTCTGGACCGTATCGCACGGGTGTTTGAAGAGGGTCATGTCAAGGGGCGTCTCAGACTATTCTTGACGGGTCTAGCGACCGGCGATGGCACGAACGGCGAGGTTGTTTGTGCAGATGCAGGGATCAAGATACCTTTTGAGAAGAGGAGGATCACTGTTGACGATGTAGCATCCGTTATTCAGAGCACAGACGGGCCATCAGCAGCGAAGGATGCCGCCGTGGTGTACATCTGTGGTGTGCCGAGCATGACGGATGAGTTTGTAAGGCAGCTCACAGACCCTGAAGGGGTCGGAATGGCGAGGGACAGAGTGCTCTGTGAGAAGTGGTGGTGATTTTCTCACAAGGTCTCGGTCCCCTCTCCAGAATGGACGCGGTACTGCACTTGGTATGAATGATGATGTAGGGGTGAAAGCGTGCTGAGGTGTTGAAGCCAAACTCACAACTCTCACAACTTGCAACCATTCACTGGTTTGGTCACTGTCAAACACAGTCTCGCCGTCACACACACACACACTCTCTCTGCAATAATTCTCCGTCTTCTGTCGTTGTTACGAAAGCTCGCAAAAGCTCTGCTACTCGCACACAAAGACTGTACGTATGCAAACTCAATTGCACCGTCAACGTTGGGGACACACGTTTGCAACAATCGTCAGAAACACAACTCCCCGACCACAACTCAACGGCTTACAAGCCAGTCGTTTGCTATCGCGACTTCTGAACAACGACTCTGGCATTTACAAGACTTGGCATTGTTCGAGTTAATACTTCATCCCCAGCCCGCCCACCGTTTCTTGGATCTTGTTCAATTCATATCTATTTCGCATCTCGCCACGATACTCAGCTTTAACTTTGTGGCAGTCAAAGGCTCCTCCTTGCCACCTTCTCTGGACCAGGCAGTCAACTGAGCGGAATCTTGCCTACCAAGTCCTCTCACTGCCACACGCTGCGCAACAAACATCGAATGCGTCCTCTGAACTCAGCTGATCGATATATACGACCGAGCAAGCTGAGCAACTTCACGCGTCCTTCACAGAAGACTTGTAGAAACCACAGTCGCCAACGAGCATCCAGCCCTTGAAATCTGCCAGGAAGCGTCCGCGGAACACTCCAAGGAACCACTTCTTCCAGCCTTCAATTCGGATTTGAGATTCACCAAGTGCGAGATCATCTACCAGGGACACCATGCCACGTAATCCACGGTCCTACATCCCGCCTGGCGTCGGCAAGAGGGTAACCAGAGCCGAGACTGCCAAGGCAGAACAGGACGAGGTACAAAAGACACAGCCAGCCCAGGCGCCCCAGCCGGCCCAGACGAACAATGAACCGGCCAGGCCAGCAGCGACAAAGAGCCAGGCACCAAATGCATCAAAGAAGCGACCAGGCTCCAGGAAAGGCCCACCATCGGCAACCAACTACGACAGGGTGTTTCGTGATTCCGCCCTGGGGGACGCGGACGAAAGATCAGTCGCGGAGACGTTGCTGGCCTTGTCTGGTGGCAGCGGCGGCAGTGGTCATGGCGAAGCGTCCTTGGGCACCACGGCAACGGCTGCTGGTACTTCAACTCTTCCTGCTGCTGCTGCTGCTGCCACAGCGACGGACTACAACACTACCACCTACAGCACCACACAACGTGTCAAAACAGAACGCCCAAAGAACTTTATCAGGAAGAGGAAGAGACCCGACGCCACTACTGATGCTACAAGTAGCGCCACACAATCTGCCGCCAACCCTGACGAAGCTCAAAAGCACAAGGAGGGCGAAACAGAAGAGCGCGAGACGAAACGTGCTCGCACCTTGACTAGAGAGGGATTGACTGCTACTGTCCCCGAGACTGCCGAGCCTCAGGAGGCCGCTAGCAGTTGGAATTCTGGTAAGCGGATGAATATGGCTGCGAGATTCGGTCTCTTTTCCAGCACTAACAAGTTTTGTTTCATCGTGCGCAGACGACGAGGAAGTCAGGTCAACAATCTACGTCAACACAGATTCACCGGAGCGTCGCCCACTTACAGCCAAGAGGAGCTCTCTCGCCACCAAGACTGGCAAAGGGACCGCTCGTGCAAAGACGAAAAAGAGCAACCAGCCTCCTCCTCCCGCTACCGCGGCAGCCACAGGGCAAGGAGAACGACAGACTAGGAATTCCAAGAAAGCCAAAGCCCTGCCCGTAGCGAAGCGGCCGTTGGAAGCTGACGAGCCTTCCACTCCGGCCAAGCGGGCCAAGCTAGCGATCTCGCAGATCATGGTTCATTCTTCCGACGAAGTCGTCATGTCTGACAAACACGGTGTTGACACCATAGTCGACTCTGACGACGAGCCGCTGTCTAATGAGCTGGAGGTCATCAGCGAGTCTCGCCAAGTAGAGGCAGACATTGATGTGCTTGAGGATTCTGGGACGCCGCCATATGGAGGTCAGAGTACTGACTGGACAGAGACACGGGCTGGCGGCCATGAGAACGTCTACTTCTTTGCCTATGACCGGCTCATGCAGGAGAGTCGCATGCTCAGAGAGTATCCGGACGCGATCCCTGTTGGCGTCGCCAAGATTGAAGGCTGGCGGTTCTGCCTGGCCGGCCCAAGGCGTGCTGGTAAGTTCATCAGTTCGAAGGTTGCTGTTCCAGAGACCTCATGCCATAACACGCAAGCAAGCATTTTGGCAAGCGCTCAAACCTCAAAATCTCGGCTAACGACGAATGTTCCTATAGGCACTCATGGTCCCACGAACGGCCAAATATCGTCCGAAGGGTACCCGACCATCGTATCCTACACTCAAGAGCCCCGAGATTCGGCAGAGAGGACCATGCCACCTCCTCTAACGCCGCGCGTCTACGGCCGCGTATATCTCGTCCCACGAGAGACATTTGACTATCTGATCCACGACGAGCTCAGCACCCGCCACGCCGCCGCGAGCCTGACTCTGAGCAACACTGTCGAGCTACTCCAGCCCATCAACACGGACAGAGACGGCAACGAGATCCCCTTGCTGCACACCACCCAGCAGAATCCCAATGTCGACGACACCCACGTCGCCAGGGATCCGGCCTTTGCGCACCTGTCGCTGCCCCTCCGGACCGTCGAGATCTTGGGCCAAGTGCAGACCGTGTACATTCTGGGCGAAGTATATCACATGCCAGAGCGGTGTGCCTGCCCAGCCGCCATGGCTGCGGGTTACGATGTCGCAGAGACACGTTACGACCAGGATGCCCAAGGAAGCGGCCACAGCGACGGTGCCAGCAGCAGCAGCAGCGGCAAGGGCAACAGCAACAGCGACGGGACTGATACCGCAACTACTCTATCGGCCCAACAACAACAGCAGAACACCACCGCGACGGCCCTGCAGGACAAGTACAAGGAACTCGTCACGGATGTCCACTTCCAGACCCTGCTCCTGCGCGACCACGAACGCCCACTCCTCAAGCCGGTCCTGGGCGCCGGGGAGACCCAGCGCTGGGCAGCCAAGGGGCTGTGCACCGCCCCGGTCCCCAGCGCGGAGAGGATGCTTCTCGACCTGCGACCGCGGCTGCTCGCGACGAGCAGGATCTACGCCTCGTCGCCCTCCGCGCTGAGGGAGGCGCGGAGACGGCTGGCCCGGGAGAACGAGAGGAAGGAGGTCATGGAAATGGAGCGGAAGAGGGCGCGCATGGAGAGGATCAACGGCAAGATCAGAGCCATGCGGGAGAAGAAGAAGGGCAAGAGCAAGGATAAGGGCAAGTATCCGGCCAAGGGAACGACAACCTTGTCGGACAAGGAGAAGCAGAGCGCCGTCGTCGGCCAGGCCGCTCACGGCACGGAGCAGAGGCCCAGACCCAGCGGCAGCACCACGGCTACCCAAACAGGTACCAGGTCTGGCAAGGAAGTGGCGCAAGCAACGGCGATGGAAAGTAGGGAACCAGCAGCAGCAGCAGAAGAAGGAGAGACTGGAGACCTCCAGCCTCGCCTGCGCTGCATCGCGCCCCTCGAGCCTCGCTACGTCCCGCCCGCGAGCTTCGGCGCCAGCGTCCCGCACCCGGTGCTAGGTCGTCACGGGCGCCAGCACGCTTCCTCGTCCACTAGCTCCGTCGACGACTATGCTGACGACGATGACGCCGGTGAAGCTGAGGATGAAGATGACAGCGATGAGGAACGCGGCGGTGACGGCGGCAGCAGCAGTAGCAGCGAGATCCAATACCGCGCTCTAGACCGCATCACCGAGGAGCAAAACTCGCTGCACGAGCGATACATGGCCGACCTGCACGACGCCGTGGTCGAGGTCAAGCTCGAGGGCCTGATTCCAGTGTGGTACATCTTCGAGGACCTGCGTGCGTGGGTGCCGAATCCGCGGGACGTCATTTGAAGCCCTAGAGGATTTGGTCATCTATCGCACTTTGATTTGCTCTCCCTCGTGATCTTGAGGCAAGTAAAGAAACAGGGTTGAGAGAGAGAGAGAGAAAGCCCCACCGAGTGTGTGCTGGATGGAGTCTCTGGCGAGCCGTGCCCCAGTGGATAGGACAGGCCCGTCCTACGAGATCAAAAGAATGGGATGACGGAAAGTCATTCGTATCATGGCTTGCATGGGGGATTGGCCGGGACGATACAGATGATTTGAAGACCGTACAGGATGTACTCGATAGATACCACATGCGACTTGTAACATGACTTTACAGCTGCTCCGGACCCTCATCTCTCGCCAGCCCCGGCTGCAATACTAGGCTGAAACCACATGAAAAATATACTGCTCCTGGTAAATCCTGATGATCTCTAGGGGTACACGAATTTGTTAGTTTGCTTTGCAGGCCGCGCAGCATCATGAATACGGAGAAATGTAAAACTTGCATTGTACAGCTTGCGATATGTACCTAGAGATGTTCATATGGGATAGAGCTTCTTTTCATACAAGTGGACTGAATTAACAAACTCAGTCACAAATGCAAGTGGGTGTCATATTGTAAGCAGTGGCCATGCTATTGTCACTTGTGTGCGCACATGACGCATATGGTTGGTGATGTCAAATGTGAGAACTCGGTCTCAGGCCTGTTGCTCATGGTATTTGCTCTCTATATGTTATTCACTTTGGACTACAATCAAGGTAGGTGATGGAGAGTTTTAGTTTCAGCCAACTCTCCGATCGCGAGTCGTAGTCCTGCTTCCTCGAGCCGACGTCGCCACTTATGATGGCTCGGTCCACTTGACCTCGTCCTGCACCTGTCCTGCCGATGGATGTACATAGTCGATCCGAAGCTTCAAACGCAATGGCTGTCATGAATGTTAGTTAATCGATCTCGTAAGAGACACATGGGCAGTATAGGCAAACTTACCCCCTTGGCGCCCATGATCCTCATCACTTGCGTTGCGTCGCCTCCAGGTGGGATGTTCGGGTTCGAGATGCTCAGCAGTTGCAACTTCTGCGTCTTGGGGACGGCTGCCTGTAGACCGACGTTGCCGATTTGGCCGCCTGCAGAGTTGCGGAAGCGCGCCGTCGCCTGCACGTTGCCTTCCGCATTGCGCTGCAACAAGATAGTAACATTAACCCCATTCTTGTCATAGCACGGCAGACCACCCGGTGCAGGTGCAGCCGCTACCTGCTGGGGTGGCGGAGATCCCATCTGCGATAACATGTCGAGACCAGACATGCCGCCGGCGGGTGGAGCGGGTGATGGAGCCGACGGGCCTTGAGAGAACAGATCCATGATGGAAGCGTTTCCTTGGGAAGGTGGCGGCGACGTGGCATTAGGGGGCGGCGACGTAGCGCCCCCGAGGATGTCGGCAAGTAGATCGGCATTGTTCTGGGATCCGTTGGTTGGTGATGTGATTGGAGTGCTCGTGCTGTCGCCCATCAGATCTAGCAGATCCTGGTCGGTCGTGGGCTTGGCAACAAGCTTCGACTTTCGGTTCGCAGCCTTCTTCTTCTTTGAGGAGGACTCGCCCAGCACACGGGACTCCTCCTTGATTTGTGGAGGAGGCATCCTTTCAAGCACGCCTTGCCGGACCTCGTTGAACGAGAACAGATTGCCGTACTCGACAGCTCGCTGCTGAATCTCGACATCCAAACTTGTCTGGTGATTGGCGATGAGCTGCTGCACTCGTTGGGCCTGGGCTGGGTCCGAGAACCTCGTCGATAATTTGATCAGAGCAGTAACGATGTACTCGGTGGCCACTTGTGTGGCGTAGCTGCTGTTCAGGATGTTGTTGAAAAGGTCAATAATCTCGTGCTCTTTGACATCCTGCACGAGCTCTTCATCCTCATACTGCCCACCGCTTAGCAAAGCATCGCCGTACTCGCCAATGCACCACGCACCAGCCTGCGTCAAGCTCTCCTGCGTGATATCCTTCTTCAAGTTCAGGTAAAGCTTCTGCACGGCATATGTTTGGAGCTCCGGTGTGGTCGCGACGAGACGGATAAACGACGCCATGATTGGCTCTTTGACGTAATTTCCGGCCAGTGTCAAGACCCTCAACATGGTATCGACATGCCACCGCTTGTTTGGAGAATATCTGTCGGCAGCGATTCCAATCTGTGTTGTCATGGTGGGCTTGAACTCATTGTCCGCAACCTCCAAGAAGGCAAGAAGCTCCCGAATCAGGACGCGAACGTTGCTCTCGTTGATCAGCGTGAAGCTCAGGTCGAGCGCTCTTCTCCTAATGCTAATATCCGGATCCCTCAAGCACTCGAGGATGGTGTTTCTATGTCGTTGGACTGCATTGGGCTCAATGGCCACGACTTTGATCAGCGTGTTCAGCGCCACATATCTGATATTGTTGTCACGGTTCGCCAAGAACTTTCCGAGGATGTTGACACCGAGCACGCGCAAACCCGAGTCGGCCTCAATGTCAAGGATCGTCCGCACGGCTTCGTAGAGGATCGAGTTGCCGACATTCTTGTTCGAGTCTGTGTTGGTCGCCACCTGTGCGAGGATGTCGCTAATCTGCTCGGTACCTTCCGGATCACCGCGGACGAGTACGCGCAACAGCCGGAGGATCTTGACCTGCAAGAAGGGGTCCGTAATGCCAGTGACGTCGTGCTCTGGAGCATAGCCCGAGGTTGCGAGGCCCTTGAGTGTCCGCACGAGTAGCGGGATGAACTGCTTATACTTTTCGATGATGCCGAGGTCCTCGCCGCTGTCGTCCTCCTCCTCAGCCTCGCACATGCTCGTCACAAGCGTCAGGCCGCAAAGCAGCACTCCATGGTTGCGATCCGAGAGCATCTGGGCTGCCTTCTCAACAAAGTGCTCCTGCAGATCCGGTACCTTGCGACATATCCTCATGGCGCAGAGGGCAGCTTTTCTCCTGATATAGGGGTTGGCGGTCGATATGCATTTCTCGATCTCGGCGAACAGGTCTCGTGACATTTCGACAGAGGCGATGTTGCCCAGCGTTCCGAGCGCCAGGCCGACGATGTATTGGTTCGAGTGGCCCAGGTCACTAGTCGGAAATACCTGTTAGCAATCTGTAATCATCACAGCAGCCCATGGCGCGCTCTCCAGGGGTTCAGGTGCCCCGACGCACTTTTGTATAGAGTTGGTGACCAATGTCAAGACCTCTTGGTTCTCATCAAGCAGCAAGCTTGTCGCCAGGTGTCCAAGTCGCTTGTCGGCAAAGCGCGGTGACGCCAGGAGCTTAATGCATTCGATCTGCCCGAAGTGTGTCCGCTCACCGAGGGTGAAGAGGTACAGCAACTTGGCGACATTGTTGCGTCTGCAGCGGCAAACTTGTTAGTATGGCGTGAGCTTAAGTGGAAATGCACACCTCTGCTTTGCAATTGCCCACGTGGTGTTGAGCTCGTAAGAGTTCGACAAGGTTTGCGATGCAATAGCAGGCGAGCGGCGGGCGGTAACAGCGGCGGGGGATCGATCGATTGAAAGTTGAGCGCACCTGACGTTGGGATCGTGACTCTCTTCGCGGAAGCTCGCTCGGATCGCAGCGCTCTCCTTTTGGATGACTGCACGCTCGTCGGCGATCGTCTTGGCGGCACGCACGTTGCGGATGAACTGCTTCACTGTTTCGGGAGGAGGAGTGCCGTCAGTGCATGCCACTTGAGCTTAGGGCCTAAGGCGCCGTAGAATGGGGTGATGGACGAACAGGAACTCATCTTGCTGGCATTCGGGAGCCCTTTGCGGGCAGCCTAGCGGTGAGAGGGATGCGGCCGAACCTGCGAAGAAAAGGGAAGCCAGGAACTATGCAGGTGTCGAGATGCGAGCTTGTGAGCGGTCGCTGGATTACGCTGCCTGTCTCTCCTAACGGGCCGGGGTTAATACTTGACACATTGGTCTGGACAGACACCCAGGGGCTCCCAAGGGCCAGTCCAGGTGAGCTGGACCCTCAGCTGCTGTGGAGCTACAGTCCTGCAAGTGGTCACACTTCAGGGAGAGAGGCACCCGCCTGGGCAACCCCACGTTTAGCTCGGACAAGCCACACACCGCTGGAGCTTCGTGGACCAGCGTTTGAACAAGTGGGGTCGGTGTGGCTGATGCTGAACCTCATGGCAACCTTGGAGTTGTTGGGGTTTTGTAAGTCGGGGGGCTGGAGCATCATCGATGCCTCTGTCTCGTGCAAGACCACAGGAATGTATGCTAGGTAAGATCATGGTGGTTTTTGTTTTTTCAATCTGTGAAATCCGGCTACTAAACTACGTGGCATCTTACACAAACATCTGTGCATCGCGCCGTCCTTAGAGCTTGGACTCAGCCTTAGTCCCCTCAGCCGGGGCAGGAGCAGGCGCACTCTCCGTCCTGGTAGAGCCATCGCCGCCACCGGCCCTTGCGAGAATCCAGTTTGCAGTATCCTCGTAATACTTCTCGCACCCAAGATCCGCATGAAGCATGTGATATGCGCCGTCGTACGACTTGAACTCGGCGTCAGGGATCGTAGTCTGCCGGTCAAACCAGGCCTTGGCAAGGTCGTAGCTTGTTGCCTTGTCCTCGGTGCCAAACGTCATGAACAAGCTCTTGACCTTGCCGCTGATCTTGAGCTCCCCACTGCTCAGCTTGCCGGTGCGGTCCAGCATACCCGCAAGTCCTTCAAGCGTGCCCGTGTTGTGCACGAGCTCGTCAGCGTGCAGCGACTTCTGCACCTCCGGGTCGCGCGTGAGGTTCTCGGGCGGGATCACGTTGACCATCTGGAAATTGGGCACCACTCTAGCCGCGAGCTTTCCGCTCGCGACGGTGAACCAGTTGGGCTTCAGCTCCGGCGCGAACCCGACAAAGGGGGACTCGAGCAGCCACCCTCGCACCTGCGCCACGACATCGTCGTACTCGGGCGTGCTGGCGAACGTGAGCACCTGCCCACCACCCATCGAGTGGCCGAGCACGAACACGGGCGCGTCAGGCGAGGGCAGCTGAGACTTGATGAAGGCCGCCATGTCGGCCATCACGCGTGTCGTCGGGCCCGTCCGGCCGCGGTGGGCCTTGCCCGGTGCGCTCTTGCCCCAGCCGCGCTGGTCAATGCCGTAAGTCGCGATTCCGCGACGGGCGAGTGACGGGAAGAAGTCGTAGTATCGGTCAATGTGGTCGCTGAAACCGTGGAAGAAGATCAGCTTAGCCTTGACCTCTCCATCGGGCTATGACATCTTGTCAGCTATGATATTGCGGGCCCGGCTTCAATCTGCAGTAGAATCTCAAGAGGCCGGAAGCAAATAAACCCAGCATTGGTTTGAAGGAGGCCGTCGAGCATGATATTCCTCCATCGGGACTCACCAGCCATGTCTTGCTGTGAAGGCTGGCGCCATCAATCTCGAACTTGCCCTCCGTAACCTGCACCATGATGCAAATGAGTCTCCTTGCCGTCAGCCGTCAGCTGGGATCAAGTGCTTCAGCACTGTGAGTAACGTGGATCAGCCGAGGCTTGGCGTCTGGCACGATGGACAAGGAGCTGCGTGGCGAAAGGGGTTTTCAAAGGCCAGGAGACTCTGATGAAAGACTGGCGATGCGGATGTGGAGTGCGAATGAAGTGCTATCGCCTCGGGTTTGAAGAAATGAAATCCAGTTCAAAGGATGCGGCGTCAGGCTCAAGGGAGAGAGACCCGGAAGTCGGAGTAAGCTCCTTCTCCACAACACGTGCAAGTGTGCACGCAAGCGGCCTTGCCTGCTTGGGACGTCACATGCCAGACCCTTGGCACCTTCATCTCAGGGCTGACCGAACTCTGTGCGCCACCTACCATAGTAGACAGGTCATCAAGCCGTGTCAAACGCGCATTTGTCGCATTCATAAGCTTACATGCTTAGCCTGGCATTAGATCGTTGTTGCTGGCATGCACGACTGGAGCTCCGAAACCACTTCCCAGCGTGATTTTAGCTTCGTAAGACTCTTGGGGCTAGACTTCCCAGTGAGTTACAGGCTTGTTGAGCGGAGAACTGTACAACATTTCTTATTTATGTACTTTAAACGTTGTCTAGACAATTACAATGTATCCCAGGCCGTCCGAGACCAATTCGATTTTGTATGATTGTTCCATGGTTCGCTCTGCTGTTGCCCAGCTCAACCATCTCTCGCATTCCATCCATGTGTCCAAGCGAAGTGGTGAATGCCCAAAACCCTTGCTCAATGTGCGAGTGCTGCTCCTTTGGGGTATCGCTGTCGATGTCCGATTACTTGCGGGATTTATCATCCTCAGGGTTTTCACCCTCTCGATGCTCTTCCTCTTCCTCTTCCTCAAAGTGCTCCTGATCTCGCTCCCCTGCAAACTCATCCTCGAGGTCTTCGAGCTCCGCCACACGACCGTCGACTACGTGTGATGGTGTGGTTGGCACATCGCCTCCACTCATCTGCCACTCCATCAAGTGGCTGAAGGCTGAGTCGGGGTTTGCGCTGAGGTCCTTGTAACGCCCAACCTCGGCGACGGTACCGTCGCTGCTCAGGACAATGATCGTGTCGGATCGCTTGATTGTGGAAAGTCGGTGTGCAATGGAGATGGTCGTGTTGCGGCCTTTGAGAAGCTCCGCGAGGGCAGAGTTGACAAGCGTTTCCGACTCTGCATCCAGCGCCGAGGTGGCTTCATCGAGGATGAGGATGTCGGGGTCCTTGACCAAAGCACGAGCGATTGCAATACGCTGCTTCTGGCCACCAGATAGTTGTGCTCCGCGAGGACCAACTTGAGTCTCAAGTCCATCGGGGAAATCACTGATGAATGAACAATTGGCCTTCTGAGCCGCTTGTACGATCTCCCAACGTGTTGCGTTCGGTCTGCCGTATGAGATGTTTTCAGCAATAGTGCCCGAGAAAAGCACAGGTTCCTGGCCGACCATGCCGATGCGACGTCGCAGCGACTTGGCATTCATATCGGTGATGTTGGTACCGTTGATTGTGATTGCTCCCGAGGTTGGATTGTAGAAACGCAGGAGCAAGGAGGAGACTGTTGATTTGCCACCTCCAGATGGCCCAACAATGCAGACATTGCTACCTGAAGGAATCTCGAAGTTCAGTCCGTTAAAGATCTTGACAGCTGGCCGCGTCGGGTAGGCGAAATGGACATTTTCGAACTTGATGATGCCCTGTGCCGACTTGACTGGGAGGCCCTTGGTTGGCGGTATCGTGGTTCGGCGATCTTGCAGCTCAAAAAGGCGATCGGCCGCACCAACTCCTTTCATCAGCTCAGACCAGAACTGAGAGAGGCCAAACAGACTCGAGCCCGCAAAGAATGTATAGAACATGAAGGTTGTCATGTCTCCTGGGGTCATCAAGCCATTACGCACAGCATCCCCACCAAACCAGAGCAGGGCAACAATGGTCATGTTACCCATCCAACCGGTCGTGGAGAAATACCGAGCGTCCATGAGCCCCTGCTTCTTCCCGATGTCGAAAACCTTCTTCACTTGTTTGTGGTACCGGGCTGCTTCTTGCTGCTCTCCAACGAAAGCCTGGGTAGTTTTAACATTACCCAGGCGTTCTTCTGCAATCTTGGTCATTGTGCCAATGTTCTTTTGCATCTCTCGGCTGAGCTTTCTGATAATCTTGGCGTAGATGAACGAAGCACCACCCAAGAATGGAGCAGTATAGACGAGTACCATGGTGAGCGTCGGGCTTATCCAGATCATGGCACTGAAGCCAGCGATACCGGAAACAAGAGACCTTAAACCATCCGAGACATTTTGTGTGATGCTCTTGCCAACAATGACGCTGTCGGAACCAAGACGGGAGATCAAATCTCCCACGCGGTTGGCGTCAAAGAACTCGGCATCCTGACGCAGTGTATTCGTGTACAGTTTGGACCTAAGCTTGGTGACAACACGCTCACCGATAACCCTCAGGAGCATGATTCGCCCCCAGTTGGCGGCGGCTCCGAGGCAGAGGATTGCGATATATGCTCCGAAGAATTCGTAGATGGACAGCCCAAAGATGTTGGCCTCGTTGAGCGGGACGTTCGACAGGTCCATGATTTTTCCGACAGACCAGGGTACCGTCATCGTGACTGCGGACGAGACAAGAAGCAGCAGAATGGCGCCAGCGAGCGGCTTGGTCTCGGGCTTGACTAAGGACAGCAGCCTCTTGGCATCACTGAGGGCGGACCATCGTGACTTTTTAGGTTCCTTGCCCTCTTTGGACAGGCGCGCCGCGTAGTTGACCTCGGCAGCCCTGTTGGCCTTTTCGCTCCGTCCAAACTCGAGCTTCTTTGCCGGCTCCACGCTATCATTGTTGTCTGCGGGGCTTTCTGATGCGGGCTCTCGGTCGGCAGTAGAAGCGGCGGGAGTCCCTGGATCTGCTGATTTGGCAGCAGGCACTGCATCCTTCACAGTCGTATTCGCCGCCGGTGGTCGAGTGGCATCACGGGCAACCACCCGAGTTGAGGAGAAGTGGGTATGTACAGAAAATGTAGGCAGGGTGCGCTGCAGTAATATCGCTGATGGCCGGGGTTGAGGGAGCCACCGGGCCGAGACGCAATGTGAGGAGAATCGCGCGTTCTGCGCAAAGGAAGCTGTGGGATGCTGAGTCGAAGAGAGCGACAGCAACGGCGGGCGCGCCGGCCCCGGGAGGAGCCGCGCAGAGGCCCTCGTCCATGTCGCCATGATGGTGTGGGAAGGTGCCCCTCAAGGCAGGCTCGTCATGGGCGGGAAGGAGACTGGCTGTGCACTCTTGCGCATGTTGGAGGCGGAGCGCGCGCACATTCGAGGAGGCCAGTCGCAGTCCAAGTCTGCCCGCGCGGCAAAGTCGAGAGAGTGTTGCAGCGGAGGGGACGCGGCGCTGTGGTGGTGACAACCTGGGCGGAAAGATGGCGATGGAGACGGTGGTTCCGTCATCACCTGCGAACATGTCCGAGCTCCATGCACATGCTGAGCTCGCCGAGCTCCAAGTCCCGCACGGCTCGGAGCAAGGGTCGGGTCTCCTGTACCTGGTGCTTCGCTGACTGCACGCACTCCCGCTCAGCCGAGCCCACTCTCCCACCCGCTTACCTCATCACCAACCGCAGAGCTGCTGCCCTACCTTGGGCCTTCTGTGGCCCTACTATGTCAATGAAGACCACGAGTATCCTTTTTGAGACGCAAATGGACGGCTGTCGACAAGCTTGTATTTACCACTCTCTAAAAATATTGCCATGCATCCTTCCAAAAACCCCCCAAGTGTAGTGCACCAGACCATGTCAGAACTGAGTCTGAATCCTTGAGCCGGTTGGATCATCGACTTACACATGACTTTTGCGTGGCTTATATTTCAGGAACGCATTCCAGCCTGTCCAGCAAAGTCTTGCAGCCTGATAGTTGCATTCTCGGTACTTTTCGTAGCATTATCAAAAATTATAGTCAGTCTGAGTATATGCCTACATACAAGACAGCAGAGAAATGTATTTTACGCAACATCAGACACCTACCAAATTCGGTTTGATGCATGATAAGAAAAAGTCTACCTGCTCTGAACGTCCTACCTGGAATACACCTCTCGCATGCTTGATCACCTGCTATCGAGTGCGATAACACGGACAAGACCTCATTTGGCGTTCACAGGCAATTCAACGGCCGGCCGGATCTTTCATCCATGTGTCATCCGCGATATGCAAGAACCATCGTCTCTCAGTTCTCGCAATGAACATTTACCAGGACTGAGCCGCCAGCACTACTGCTTGCCGAGTAAATACCCAACTCAAAATACATATCAACGAGAACTCCCTTGAATGTCACTGAAAGATGATGACATTATGGGCATGTCTACAGCTCTATCTTCCATTTTTCTTGCTGTCAAGGATGCCACGATGTCATGCTTCGGACTACTTTCCACAAGGTCAACACAAGACACGCACGATCTGACAATCACCGCGGACCCTCGCCGGCAAAACCAACAGAATATCCGGTCAAGACTTGCTGAAGCAGACAAGACGATAGACAACAACTCCCAACTGGGTTCTGGCGGACTGCAAGACAACAATGGCGATTTATACGGACAAAAGGAGGCATTTCCCTACCAGAATCAAATCATTGACCAGAGCGAAGAAAATAGCGAGTGCAAAGATATGCCGGAGACACCACCACGGCCGGCTTCACAAACCCTCTGGCGTGAGGATCGTGCACGGCGACAAAGGCATGAGGAACAGCGGTGGAGCTTGTTGAGCGACTTGCCAATTGGGCAGTCTACACCTCGACGGATGTGATTTCATGAATGAGCGGCGATCGCCGGGGTGTATCAGTTGTACAGGTTGGACATGGGCTTGACTTTCATCGTCACGAAGCTGGGAGGATTCAACGAAGGCTTATCATTGATTCAAGAACAGAAAATTGAGCTTATGATGCGAATGATACATATGGTGTAAACAATGGCTCCGACAGTCTCTCGAAACCTGAAAATACTTAGGCACCCTTGTGCTCATGGACTCCCGGACCACACCAATACAGACCGGCCTGTTCATACACAATCCCTCACCATCACTGAGCACCACTGCTGTCTGTCCGCAGCATGTCCACAACGTCTGCGTCGAGACCCTCGCCACCAAGATCAGGAAAACCGTTGTCGTCGTCCAATCTCCGCTTTTTATTACCATTAGTCCCAGCCACGACAATCCTCTGGAAAGATCCATCCTGTGAGTTGTTGCTGACGTCACCTTCGAACGCTTCGACTACAGCACCAATCGGTGCCTCCGGCGCCAGTGTCGCCATGATTGAGCTGTCCTCAGGACCTTCTGGCTCTATGGACGGTGGCGTCAATGCCTCCATTTCGGGTTGTTCGGGCTCTGGCTGAGGCTGCTCGCCGAAGCCGCCGGAGGGATAGGACTCATCGGGCGGAAGTCCAGCCAAGATGGCGCGCTCGACGTCACTCTTCTTGTTGCTCGCATCATCCTTCCTCTTCGTCAAGGTCTCAAGCTGGTCTTCCTCCGCAATCAGGGCCGTCCGGTTAGTCTCCAGGATCTTCTGGAGCTCTCCGACCAGTGTGCGCCGAGCTTTAACACACTGCTCCACGGCACCCTCTGCTTGGGCAAGAGTCTTCAGAAGCGCACTCAGACGAGCGGCGTAGACCGGAGCCGAAGGGATAGCGGCCGATGGTCCCATCAGCTTCTCAAACTCTTGGTCCGCAGTGCTGACAGCCGTCTTCATCGGGTTGACTGCTTTGGTGACATTCTGCTGTGGTGTCACGAGAGGTGCAAGTTCTGTTGGGACCGAGGGGCCACTCCCGCCGAAGATATTGCCACCAAGCCCGGTCTTGGTTGTGCCACGAGTCTTGTCAATCTCTGCACGCTGTTAGCCATATTCATAATTGCTCAGAAATATGGGGGTTGGACTCAGCATACCGGTCAGCCGAGCCTCCGCTGCCTGCTGAATGGGTTCCTCAAAAACATTACGTTCTCTCCAAACGTCAACGACGCGTTTGACTCTTGTCTGCACCTCCAGTGGCGCTCCTTTGTACGCTGTTGCTACAGCCTCAGCGATGACAGGAGAGAAGGCGACGAGGAAGTCCTCTTTGTGGCGTGCTTTTGATTGCTGGGTGACCTCTGTCACGGTTTGTGATCAGTAACTTGCATCATGAGACAAGAGTATGTCGTGACTCTGTGCTCACCATTGGCTAGGTAAATGAGGTTTAGCCTCTTGTTGCTAGGAGAGTCCTTTAGTCGTTGGAGCCAGAGTTGGACAGTCCGATCCGCGTGACGTCTGATATTGGCTGTGTCAGTGAGTTCCGTACATGAGCCATCAAGATCGCAAGAGTAGACGAGTTATTCGACCTACCGGTGGAACATGATCCATTGGGCCACAGTGACAATGCTGTCTTGGGTCTCTGCTAGGCCGGACAGCTTGGCCAGCACAGCATCGTCATTATAAGACATGGTGAGGTGTTGGCCGTGGTGCTGCTAACGTCGACGATGGCTGGGAGGAGAATCAGGCGCTGCGGAAAGCGGATGAATGGCGATGGCTCGGCTCCAATAGTGAGTGCTTGTTGGCGTGGCTTGTTGTGTCGATTGAGTAGGGCGTGCTTCATTCAGAACGAGACATGTACTACTATCAAGCTGCCAGGATACAATCAGAGCTGGGCAAAGCAGCATGTATTGAATGCGCAATGTCTAGCTAGCTCGCCTGCCTTCAGACCTCAATGGCAAAGACTATGTGATGCACAAGGTAATGCCTGGACTGCAGAGTGGCAGACCGCGATGGGTTATGTGCAAACACGCGCTAGATGATGGAAGTTGATGGATGAAAACAGTTGATAACCTGTGATTGAGAGGGACGCCTGGCAGGTATGTGCCTAGTGCCACGCTTTGTGCGGCGTCCAGGACGCGCTTCGGTGCAATTGCATAAAGTTGGGACTGGGCCCACGCATAATTCTGGTCAGGGGTACATCGTTTCTCCTTCCGGTTAGCTCAGGAGCTGCACAAAGTACACCTGGGCTTAGGTAGCGCATGGGCAGGCAGGCGACAACCCGGGCCGGTCAGCGACATTGGAGGTACGCAATTGCCAGCTACGTACATCCAGCATCCACCCTGGCCCTGCAGGACCTCGAACCGCAGACCAGCTTTCACGGCGAGCTTCCCTCCCAAGGACAACTGCGACAACGATCCCGCTTCAACGCCATCACCCTATCGCTCGGCACCACAGACTCTTGTTGCACCGCCACTTTCCCTTCGCAAACTCAGAACAGACAATCATGGCGGACCGGTTTCCGTCATTGGACGACTTCGATTCAGGAGGTGAGGCCCGCCCCGCCCTAGTAACACATACACGGCATCCACCATCTAACTGCAGAACAGCGCAAACCGATGTCAGGGACGTCGGCGATGCCGATGACTTCCTCGCCCGCGAGCGCGCCCTTCTGGGAGACGATGCGACACAATTCACAACCAACGACGACGACCTGTTAGGAGGAGGTGATGGAGCCGGCGAGGACAACACCGATGCGGCCCAATTCCAGAGCAGCTTTCCAGACATCAGCAGCGGCAATGAGGTTCGTCGCGAAAGTGTATTGGATGCGCAAAACAGTAACTGATTCGCCATTCACAGCAAGTTGCCCCGGGGGGTTCCATCACTGGTCCTTCAGTTCAGTACAACTCTGGCTACGGAGCTTACGCCGAAGAGGAGCAGGAACCCGAAGTGATCAGAGAATGGCGTGAGAAGCGGGATGCTGCCAATGCTAAGCGCCAAGAACAATTCGAGCAACAGAAGGCCGAGACCATCAAGGAGGCGCAGCAGAACATTGACGACTTCTACGAGAACTACAACAACAAGAAGGAGAAGACCATCGCCCAGACACGCAAGGACGAGGAGGCTTTCCTGGCGAGCCGTGACGATACCACCTCGGGAGGCACGAGCTGGGAGCGCATCTGCAAGCTGGTCGACGTCAGTGGAAAGGGCGCAAAGGGCGGTGCCAGCGGTTCCGGCAAGGAGCGCTTCCGCGAGCTCCTTACTACCCTACGGAAGGATGAGAAGGCTCCAGGCGCTACCGGCATCTGAAATCGCCGGGCACCGAGCGCCGGAAATTCGTAGTCGGTTTGCTAGGAGCTCTTCGACTAAACTGTACACGTTGTGCTGGCACGATTCTTTGCCAGCATCGGAAAGGCATAGTGAAACCAGCTCAGTTTGTACTCTACAACAGGTCATCAAAAATAGAGGCAGGATGCCCAGATACCTTCTGCCAACGATGGATAATAATGACTGGCCAATTACGACCCATTTAAAGGGGACATTACAATGGCGAGCGGGGAGACCCTCCACCCAAATATTTCGCTGTCCAAGTTCGTCAGACAAAAGGGATAGAATTGCTTGAATCTCTATTGGCGTGGCATCGATATACAGCGCCCAGTATCTCCATGGCGATCATTCGTGCACCAGTCGTAGTCATCCTCTCAGAAATCGAATGCACCCCGCTTAGTTCTTGCCAAACCAGGTGTTATAACCGAAGATCTTGCGTCCCATCATGTACATGGAGGCTGTGACACGAGCATGTCAGTAATTCGACCAAAAGGCAAACATCCAATACCGAGCAATAAACATACCGCTGAAGCTGCCCCAGACGAGAATCTGGAAGGGAACCATCATGAGGTTGGCACGGGGACCCTAAGTTGGTCAAATTGTCAGCCTCCGTCGCCCGTGCGAGTTTATATCTCCTCTGTAGCCTTCCCATGACCCAACTTGGACCTCATTCATCGTATGCCGTAGTGGGGTGGACGTACAATCTTCCAGAGACGGACGTGCTGCTTGTACTGCTGCTGGTAGAAGCGCTGGTGCTCGGGCACCTTGTTGGGGGCGTTGACGAGACTGTACGAAACCACGTGGAGTCAGTTACTGTCGCTGTCCAAGTAGCCATAGCTTCGCATGCCGTATTTCTGCGCGCCAGTGGCGCGAAAAACCTCGGCAGAGGCAGCCAATTGGCAGGTATCATCGCGCGGCGGGTATATCTGTGTCGTCGGGAAGGAAATCGAAGTATACGCACCCCATGGCGGCGGTGATTGTTCGTGGCGGTTATGCGACGTGGTGAGCGACTTTGTATGGGATCGTACGAGGGGTGTGACGAGAGCTTGAAGTGAAGCAATCACCGTCAATTGGACTGGATGTCCCGGGATTGGTCGGCTGCTGCAACCTGACTAAGCTGGGTCAACTTCGGTGGCCCTTCCACGAAATGTGCCTACCCGGCATTGTTAGCGTCATGGCCTTAGTTGCTGCACAAGCAACGTTGGAAGGGCACAAGCAGTTGCACTCATTTGTGCATGCGCCCCGCGGTGCCAGTACTTTTTTGCAAGTGGCTTATCTCCGAACCATAGTCTCCCGAAGCATTCGTGATCTCCATTCGTGATCACAGCACTTCTCCAACCACAACACAGTATTCCTCGCCGAGTCCTTTCTGCCCGCCTGCTACGACCAGACAGCGAGGCTTTGTACAGAAGAGGTATTATGTAGTGGGAGGCAGTAATGCGACGGGCCAGTCCACCTGTTCGGCATGTGAAGCTTCAGCAGCTCCTCGGCCCAGCACGATGCCGAGCACGATCAGGAACGACCCGGCAAAGTAGCACACCAGCAACGAGCTTTGTGAGGTTTCTTGCAGTTCCCGCAACAGCGCCACGCACTCCCATCATTCGAAGCACGCCAGCACCACCGACGCCTACCGACACCAGCGCAGTCACTCCAGCAACTTCGAGATCGTCAGCGGAGTCCCATTCGACACCCCCGGAGGCCATTGAAGTTGTCAGTGGCAAACATTATGGGAAATGGCAGTCCTTGCTATACGACCGGGCTCGCCTGGCGTCTGAGAGCGATTTCTCACGACGGCATCGCGCTCGCAAGCTCCTGGTCGACAAGCCTGAGAATCACGGTGATCTAGGTTTATGGAGCTGTTTGCTGGATTACCAAAAACGCGTCAATGGCGATGCTGGAGTTGAAAGAGTATGGAGGGCTCTTTGGGGACGAAAGGCGCTGTTCAAGACCGAGGGGCCGCTGGGAACGTCCTTCTGGCAGACCATCTTGGACACAGCATTGAGGTCGAACGATGGCAGAATGCTGCAAAACATCTATCTCTACAGCGAGTGGATGAAGCACATGCACGATGCAAAGTGGCCAGGTCTCTACACGACCATTATACGCCACTTCCTGTCTGCCCATGAGCACCAAAGAGCTGTTCAGTGGCACGTGCGCCTGTTTCCAAATTTCGACCCTGGTGCCGGCGAATTCCTCAGCATACTACGGCAATTCTCGCACGATGAAGAACTTTACCAGGCTTCGACATTGCAAGCGCTTTACACGATGAGCCCGTACCGCCCAATGTATGACAGTATGGTGCCTTATCTCTACAACCAGGGCATGTCCAAACTGGCAACTAGATGGCGCAACGTATTTGTTGCCCACAACGATCTGCCGCAGCAACTAGCAGCATCAAGACCATTCCTGCGGTTCTTGGCTGGCTATTTCCCACACCGGCGACTCTCTCGCGAGGAGCGCAGCCGTATTTCAGCCAAAATAGAACGTGGGGAGGAACAACCAGAGCTTAGTCGGGAGCTTGTCAATCGGGTCCATGGGCACACATTCGGCATCACCGTCAAGAACTACAACGACCATCTTGGAGCACGTTGGTTCGCAACTTCCTGGGTATCATTAGACACAGCCATATCAACAGTTGCCGCGCTTGGCATCGAGAGGATTGGGCCTCTTTCACTACAATCCATTGCCACACGTGAGGGCACTCCGGAGGGACTCCTGGGACGCATAGAGCAGCTCCGTGCTCATGGCATTGGATTGCCAGTGAGAAACTATGCCAAGCTGCTTGTGTATTTTGCGGAGCACCAGCTCGAAGACATGTACACAAGCCTCATGCGTAGCGATTTCCATCCAGACGTCTGGGATGACATCCCTCTGCAAAACCGTCTCATTGAGACAGAGTCAGAGACCCTTGACATCAGAGCCTACAAGCTACTTTTGTCTGCGAACCACTACATTCTGCAGCAATCAGCCAAGGATACCGCCAATGCTCTTGTCGAAGCACACTTTCAAGAACGGGAATGGCGGAATTTGTTGGCTGTTTTGGAAGACATGGAGGCGATGGAAGTTGGTCTAGACAGGGCTCGTGCGAGGATGATCTTCCACAACCTGCTTGAAGACATTCCCCGAGACGCCGAGCTGCACTCTGGAAAAGTCGTAGAGTCGGTGGACTTCTACCTTGCGACGTGCAAGCAACTTGCTCGTATGGAGACACCCATCCCATCGAGATGTTGGGCTCGCATCATGCGCTACTTTGGGCGGGCGGGCCGACTGAACGACCTCGAGGAGCTGACTGTCCATCTTGTCGACGCGTACATGCACCCTCAATCGCGCAGACCAGGTTTCATACCTGTCCATATGGACGACCTCCCGCAATCCATGCGAAATGCGTTCCGCAGTGTAGAGGGAATTCTTGGCATGTACGTGCCTAAAGATCTGCCAGCTCAAAACCCGATGCACCCTTTGCGGCAGATATTCAGCGCGAAAATGATCAGCGCCATGGTCAGGTGGACTTTTAGCACAACCTTTTCCCACTATCCGGCGAGCACATCTCGTCTTCAGCGAGGCACACCTGGCTTCGGCCGGCAACACTATGCCCGTGTCGTGAAGCACTTACGACTACTCAAGGATCGCGGATTGTGGCTTGACACGCCACATCTTATGCGTCGGATTGTTGTGCGACTATCGTATCTTTATGGGTCTGGAAGCCCGGTCAATCCGAGAATCGAGCGTGCCAGGGCAGCCAACACGGTGCCGTTAGCAGCTATGAAAGCGCTTCTCGATCAGGCCTGGGGCGAAGAGCTGCTCCCACCCCTATCCGAGCTTCGTGCTCAAATTGACCGACTAGACCAGCGGAAAGCTGGCTCTCAGGCAGATGTACACTAATGGCAGAGCGACTTTGTACCATTTCAGAGATACCCCGACATATAGAATTCTGTGATAGTAGAATCTGTGGACTTATCGACTTCTTTCGCTTGATTGGTTGAAATGGCCTCTTCGAAGCACACTGCGATTGACAGTATTGTGGTGGTGTCACGCATGACATGAACGTTTCGTGAATAATCAACTTGGTTCTCGTCGCCAGTATGTAACTGTGACGAGCATGTCTTGGTCCAGTCGAGCATCGAGCCAGCCCCGGGTATCCTTTCGCTATCTACAACTCATATTCGAATAAGCACCCCGTCTCATTGCATAGATCACTCTTGCTCCCCAACCAAGTTGCTTCGCACGGATCCTGCTTCGCGGGCGTGTGCAACACGCAAAACATCCAGGCACCCAGACAGTAACTACCGTTTCGTAATGACGAGTAGTATTATTGCGCCCGCGATCAGCAGTAATAAGAGCAATATGAGCTTTCGCTTGGTCGTCTTCTTTTGGTAGCCGTCTGCGATGATGAGCTCCTTCTCGGCGCCCTTGACGTCCGTGTTCATGCGCTCGACGTTGTAGTCAATGCGGTCGAGCATGGTGCCCTGGTCGATGACCATGGTCTGCAGGTCGCGAAACATGTCGGACAGCTCGATGATGCCCTGCGCGATGCTCTCGATCTCGCGCTCGCGCTGGGCGATGACAGCGTCATTGCTGTGCAGAAGCGTCTGGTGCTGCTGCGTCTGCAGAGCTGACACGCTATACGACTTGTCCGACTCCGACTCGAGGAGAGAAGGGTCCGCCTCTGATGATGCGGCGTAGGCTGCCGATGAGGAGGAGGTGCCGCCTAGTGGTGTGCTTGATCGTTCTAAACCAGACATCCCGCGGAGTTCTGTCATGATGTTAGTACTGTGGAAGCTCATATCGCGCTTGACTCAAAAGTCTAGTGTTTTCCGGTCGCAAGAATTGGGGAGCCATACTCTTTAGATATGCGCTCTGCTTCTTCCGGAAGCCCGCCGATGCCTCTTGTACTTTCGCAGCCAGCGACACCTGGATATTCCGCGCCATGGTCTCCTCTGCGGAAGTCATCCCCTGCGGACTACTCCTGCTCTCGCGCACCATCTGCTCGACCGTCTGTATGCATTTGTGGCAGTCGTGGAACGCGCGTGTGATGCTCCTCGTGAGGCGGTCGATCTCGTCCTCCTCGGCCTTCTTGGCCTCGTCGTCATTGAACCCGGGCAGGACGTGCTTCTGATGCAGCCGCTCGAGCGCGTGCGACTGCTTGGCTATCTTTTCTAGGTGCTCGGTCACCTCGTCGCTGACGTCTGCCCAGCGCGGGGGGAGCAGGTCCATCTCGATAACCGCGTCGCCATCGTCGAGGTAGTCGGCCCCCGAGAGAAGGCCCTGTGTGTCTTCATTGCCGCCGGCCAGTGCACTGCTGCGTCCGAAGCCATCGGAGGCCGCACCGAACCCTCTATGGTTGCCGCCGCCGCCGCCGCCGATGCTGCTGCCTCCGCCCGGTCCGGGCCCGTATCGAGTCTTCTTGGCGGGATGGTGTGTGTACGACTGTCTGTACGAGATGTATCTGTGGGCGCGCGCAGAGTGGTTGGTGATCAGCTCAAACGAAAGAAGCTGCAAACAGGGATCGTGGTGTGGATTTACAAATTAGTGCGATCTCGCCACATGGCGGACGCCGAGAGTGATTCTTATAAACGGGCTGCAATGTCGAGTCACAAGGCCAATGGCGATTGTGGTGGGCTCGTTGACGATCCGCTATCGTGCGTCCGAGGAACAAAGGTGACGTCGGCTGCGACGGCCCGGGGCGTAGGTACGAAGTAGACGTTCTGGATCTTGATGTGCCTGGTTGGGTAGTGTTGGTGGTCTCGGAACCAGCAGGCCTGGGTACTGTCGTGGTGTGGTTGGCGACGTCGACGAGATTGATGTTGAGATGAGCTGCCACTTCTCTGGCTGACGTAGTGCTTGCTGCCCCTTGGCCGAGTGCACCTTCGGCAACACTGGAGCTGGAGATGACAGAATGCACCCTGGATTGGGCCATCGACGCTGGAGCACCACCCCGGAGTACCTGGGCAGACCTGGCAGAGTGCATGCCAGCGCCCACAAGTCAGGGGCCGGAAGTACCTAAAAGTCGCCGTGTCGCAGGCTGAGTGGGCCGCCCAGAAGGGTGTAAGTGGGGAGCTCGGAGCTCAGTGGGTGGGATGTGAAGGGATGCCATCATCGCGAACACCTTGCACCATCTCAGCCCACAGCGAAACGAGGCTCGACACTCACCCGCCAGCGATGGCCCCATGACCCCGGCGCTGCATTGCTCGGCACTTCCGACACGTACAATAATCAGAGCCCGTGGTGCCCACCACACAACAATGCCCATGCGATAGCCCAGCCGACAACAATGTCCGCCCTTCTGTCCGCGCCCCGCGTGGTCCTCCTGGCTGTTCACCTTGCGACAAAGGCAGCCATCCCAAGCCTCACTGCCTTGGCAGCACAGCATCCGCATGTGCTACACAAAGAGCTGCTGCTCCGCATTCTCCTCTCGGTTCTTCCCGAGACTCTCGAGCCAAATCACTATGTCGGTCTTCTGGAGCGCATCGAATCTGGAGACTGGGAATATGACGATGAAGCAATGCCGCAGGTCGACACGGCCTCGATCGACGATCTAGACGACAAAGATGCCACGAAGAAAGTACGGCGCCTGAAGTTGCTGCCTCTGGCGTGGGACGGCGCGCCAGCCGAGCTCCTCAACGACTCTTTCAGCCTCTTCTTAATTCAAAGAGCACACCGCATCGACGAGGAGGCTGGCCTTCTCACGCAGCTACCCGACTTGGTAGTGCCGTTCCTCGACCATGCCCAAGCGTTACGCACATGGTTGATATCATCCTTGCTTCCACTGCTCAGGCGGAACTGCTTGTACTATCCCGAAGCTCCAGTGGACGTTTCTCTCGCCGCATTCCAAAATCTTGACGACCGGATAGCTGTCCAGATGCTCCTCGACCAGACCGGGACACAAGAAAAACACATCTCACTGGTGGGCAGAGATCTCCGGGGCCTGGTGGGACCATGGCTCTACGATCCCACACACTGGACAAATCAGCATGCTGGCGATAACCCCCCTAGTGAGGACGGAAAGAGACTATGTCCAGCCTGGGAACACGTATTAGAATGGTTCACCACGAAAGCCAGTACATCATGGAAGGTGGTGGTCAGTGCTATCGATCAGTGGGATGGCCCTGCAGATGCTGATCTGGGCGAGTATGGTAGCCTATGGTTTGAAGACGAAGAGCAGGGTTATTTGGAGGGCCGCTATGCTCGCGCCGTGCTGGCTTGTGCATATCTGATCCCGGAAGCCTCCGTGGATGCCCTTATCGGAGTCAACACAATCATAAGCAAGGTGATGAGCCTCCTCGACCAAGACGCGTGTCCGACGTTACAAGTAGCGTCGTCTCTGTTATCGCCCTTCACGGACGTCACCAACGACCCTCTACTGGACCCCAAGAATGCCACTTTCTTGAGGAACGATTTACTTGAGGACTCGAATCCTCTCACCACTCCCAGCGACGAAGCGACGAGGCTTCTGCATGCGCTAACGCTGAGTGCTTATATACTCACAAAGACTGGAGCACCATGCTCTGTGAGGAGGGCTGGCGAGCTAGCATTCCTGCAAGACGAGCGGGAACAGAAAGCAGAAGCGATGCGGATGATCCGCTCTTTCAGCAGTGTTGGTCCCAAGAATGACGACAAATATTGGCTTAGAGCTCGGGACGAGCTTCTGTGGCTGCGTGACTGGGGCGCAGAAGAGGACTGGGGCGCTGCTCAAAGCGAAACCCGAGGTGTTCTGGGACAGCTCAAGAAAGAGTTCCTCGAGGTCGAGTGTCTCAAAGCATTCTTGAGCAACACACGTAAGGCGCATTTGCGGAAACAGGAAGAATCCTTTGACCCGGCTAACATGGCTTCAGGTTACTCGCTTGCGCGCTCGATATACGAGGAACCCTCTGACAAGATTCTGGATTCCACCGTCTTACGAGATACTATAGTCAACGCCGCGATGGCCGCATACGACAATGCTACGAATCCACATCGGGGAAGGGGTGGATTGTTGAAATGCCATGATATGTAAGTTCAACCTGTCTGCCTACGTGCGCCACTTATTCTAATCCCCAATAACAGCATACATGCTTTTCCCGAAACCATCCCACAGTCGTCACCAGAAGCTCGTCGCATCGAGTCACTGCTCCGCGCCACGCATGCACTCGGAGAATATCGCCTTGTGCTAAAGCAAGGGGAACCCTTCACACCTGTCGTACTCCGCGTGCACGCAGATCCAGTATCTATAGTCCAGAAGGTTCTCGAGCAGAACCCCAAGAGCTACACAAAGATCCAAGACTTTCTGGAAATAGGAAGCAACATGGTTAGCGCAGGGCTGGTCGCGAAGAAGGACCAGCCTGAGCACGTAAAGACCCGAGGGACACCTAGTCCTGGACAGCTCGACGAGCAGCAGCAGCAGCTGTCGGTAGAACAACGCATCACAGCCATGTGCGTTGACGCTGCGCTGACAGAAGACGACTTTGAGACGGCCTACTCGTACGTTGTGAACCGTCTCGCAACGAGCCGTTATGCTCCCCCACAAACAATCCCAAACATCCCATCATCCAAAAGCGTCGCCGCCACTCCTCAGGACGACTACTCCTGGAAGGCAGCGCTTCAGGCCGGCCGCTACCGCCGGACCGAGAAGACCATCCGGCCGACACACATCGGCACGGCATCCGGAAACCTCGACATCCGCCACCTGGAGCAGCGCATCGAGTGCCTCTCCACGGCGCTGCGCATCGCGCCCGCGTCCACGCTCCAGGAGATCCTCAACGTGTTCCGCAAGTGCGAGGAGGAGCTCAACGCGGCCATCAAGGCCGAGGAGGCGAGCGAGTCGGCATGGGACGACACCGGCGCCCATCTGATCGACGACAGCAACAGCACCCAGGCCATGCCCGGCGGCTTCAGCAGCACCGTCCCCGCCGGCGTCGGACGCAGCGGGCGGCCCACGAGGCCCGGTCTCGCGGCAACAGCCAGCTCTGCCGCAGAAGAGGCCCCAATGTCCCTGTTCGACTTGTCCCGCGCGAGCATCGCCCGCGCCCAGCGAACGCTGCCTGCGCTCGCGAGCCTGCAGCGCGGCGGGAGCACGGCGAGCAACAAGAGCAACAAGAGCAACGCCAGCACGAGCCGCTTCAGTATCGGCGGCCTCGGGAGCCTTGCTGGTGGCATTGGCGGCGGCGGAGGCGGTGCTGCGGGGAGCGACAACGGGATGAGCAGCAGTACCGGCACTCTTGATGATGGCAGCAGTGGGCACGGCAGGGCAGGCCCGCGCAAGCGCGACCAGCTCCGCGAGGCTGCAGTTGGCACGCTGGCCTCCGGCGTCGGATGGCTGATTGGTGCGCAGCCCGCGGCTGGTGCTGATCGAAGACAGTATGGTGAGGACGAGCGTGATGACGATCACGACTGAGATGATAGATCCCGTGGGAGGAAGGGACATTTAGCCGAGATCTAGCTGCAGCGTTACGCGATTCAAGGGTTCTCCTCTTGTGAAGTATAAAGGCATACAAGCGCTCAATCAATGACTGCGTTCACAAAAGAATGGCGGTATGATAAGGTTTCTTTGATTGCCTTCACTTTCGACTATCTCGGTCTACATTATGTGAAGATGATATATGTATATATATATCTCATGCTAGCTGAAGACCTACATCTTATGGATGGAAGGGGCTCCCAAGTCTGAGGCAACGGTGAAATACGGGAGTTAGGAGATTTGCGCGGGATGATGCTGCGACATTGACGTTGGGTGTGGCGTACAGAAGAAGGTGGCGGACAACATCAGCCACGAGGCAAGGATGCAACAATGATGTTTGCTGAATGCATGTCCGGAAGGAGCGTGCCGTGAGTTGCGATGCGAGGCGTCATTGGGAAGTACCAGCGAACAAACAGATGACCTGCAGCAAACGCTCTGTGTCAATAAAGGGGAGACAGATATTTCTTTACCTGGGAGCAGTATTGGTAAGCTTGTGAGATTGTGACAATGCCAACAAGACCCTTCTCGCACGCATCCAAGTCTCAAACACAGCCGTGTCGAGCCAGCGCTGACAACCGCAACACTCGCTTGATCGAGCAGGGATGTATGCTATGGGTCCTGTATGGTCGGGTTTCATGGATGCGGCATTCCGACTGGAGCGAGGTGCGTCGATGGCGAAGTCAAGCGAGATGGTATTTTACGAATCAATAAGCCGAGCCGAGTTGCACCTTGGGATTTGCGATCAATTATCTGTTGCAAAACTGGTTGTCCTTGAGCACGCTGGTGACCATGTCTGCCGCGTGCTTTTTTGCTGCTCCGCCGTCTTTTATACTCGTCGAGCTGAAGATACCCCGAAACGGAAATACTGATACAAGACCGGGATATCATAGTGGAACATGCGAATGTGTCTCTCTAATCGACGCAAAATAAAGCTGAACAATGGCGAAATGTGAAATGCGCCGGGAAAGTTGCACCGTCTGCCCACTTTGCCGGTGTCATTGTCATATCGCAGGGCATCACACCCCGAAGTCGCCAAGTTGGTACCGTGAGTCGAAGGAGGCAAGCTCCGGACTACTGGGCGCGCCCGGATTGCAATTGCTGGTACGGAATTAAGTGCATAGGGTGATAGGAAAGTGTTGTTTTGTAAGAACCCGTGTGTGCCTGCCGTTCAAGAACTCCAAAGGCCGAGAGATGATAGGAACTTTCTGTTCTTTCGCCGAAATTTTGTTTTGCCCAGTAGTTTTGATCGACACAGCTGACAGATTGAGGAAAAAGGCATTTGGCGGACTGCCAAAGATGGAATGGGCGATTACATAGAGCGTAAGTGTGGTGTTGCAAATAGTCGTCAAACTTGAAGTTGGGCGATCGGATGTCTGAAACTGTTGACCTGAAAAGACGACAAAGCATACGTGCTGCTTTACTGGGCACCACTGTAAGTGTCGCGGGGTTCAGCCCGAGCGCCAGCATCGGCGTAGCCACCATCGTCGCGGTCACGACGACCGCTGCCATAGCTGCGGTCATCACGGCCATTATAACCACGGTCCTCGCCTCCACGGCCGCCGCCGTAGCTACGCTCCTCACGACCGCCGCTGTAACCACGATCCTCGCCTCCACGGCCACCGCCGTAGCCACGGTCCTCACGGCCACCACTGTAGCCGCGGTCATAACCACGGTCATCGCGGCGGGCATAGCTGCGATCGTCACGACCACCGCTGTAGCCACGGTCATCACGGTAACCACGCTCCTCGCGGCCACCATAGCCACGGTCCTCACGGCCGCCATAGCCACGGTCGCCACGGTATCCTCGGTAAGAGTCGTCACGGCCACCATAGCCACCACCACGACGACGATCGTCGAAGCGAGGACGGCCACCGCCACCACCCTCTGCATCTCAGGTTAGCGATTGACTACAGCACGAGCAGAGAAACGGGGTGTCACATACCACGCTTGGGAGGGCCAAAGTATTTGCCGGGAGTAGGAGTGCGAGGGCGAGCACGACGGGCCTTCTCAATGCTCAAGGTGCGACCCTCGATGACCTCACCCTGGAGGCCATCCTTGGCAGCGTCGGCCTGGTCGGAGGTGACCATCTTGACGAAGCCGAAGCCACGCGACTCCTTGGTGTGGGGGTCCTTCATGATCTGGCACTTCTCGACCTCGCCGTACTTCTCGAAGAGGCGCGTAACCTCAGCTTCGGAGAGTCTGGGGTGGATGCCGGTAACAAAAAGGTTGGAGCCAGGGTTGATAGCTCCATCATCGTCATCGCCACCACGGCTGCCGTTGTCATGCTTAGGGGCACTGTCGAGAAAAGCTTGTGTCAGAGATATTTCGTACCGCGCCACGCCGTGATTTGGATGAGTTGCAGAATAATCTCAGCGTCAAAGAGACTGCATCTTGGCCAGAGCCAAGCAGGGTCGTCCTTGAGACTCGAGTATGGGAAAGATGCTGACAAAGCGGGTTGCTTACCGGTCGGCGTTGGCACCGGGCGAGGCAGATCTGCGACGCGAGCTCTCAACGGGGTCGTCCTCACGGGACGCACGGGGCGAGGCGCTGCGACGGTCATAGCGAGCACCATCGTCTGAATCGACACATTAGTGACTGAGCTCACTTGGAGGGCTGTCCGGCAGTGCCTTCGAGCTGAGCAGCGCAAGATTACGAGAACGTACCATCGTAACGGTCGCCGTTGGCGGACTCGTAGTCCATAGCAGTAGTGGCCATGGTTGTTGCTAATTGAACGGAAGGCGTGGTGTCAGCGCGAGGTTTGAAGTGCTTGACTGCTGGCGTTGCAGGTGCTGATGATGCGGAAGTGAATGAGGCCGCGTCGGGAACACTGGTGAGTGATGGTGACGGGTCGACGGGTGTTTCAGGAAGAGATGTGCTGAATTGAGTGACAGGCTGGCCGGGGCGACTTGGAAGATGCAGAGGCGGATGGCTGTGAATTTGAAAAGGTGCAGGACGGAAAAAATGCGACAGGCAGGCAGGCAGACAAGCAGGCAACCGGTAGGTGATTGCTTTTTCCAGGCAATGGTGCGTTGCGCTGGCAGTGACAACGATGCGAAAGTGTGCGAAACGAGGCCGGCCGGGAAAACGAGAGACAGACAAGGCGATTGGTTACCTTTTGCGAGTGTTGGTACAGATGGCCGGAAGGGAAGGTGTCGTGCGGTTGAGATGGAAGCAGTAAGAGGTCAGAAGAAAAGAAGTAGATGGCAGCGATGCGCGCGCGCGTGTGGAGAGGATGGACGGGGGAAAAGTTGGTGGAGACGGGAAGGTGCGCGCAGCTGGCAGCGAGTCAATCAGGGTAGACTGGCCCGGGTGCCTGATGTGGCAACGTGCATCGGCCAGGCGTCGGGTCGTACCCAGGTACCCTATGGCACGGGCTGCACTGGTTCAGCCATTGGCCAGCTGCGCCCGGCTGTGGGTGCTCTGGCCATGCATGCCTCCCCGGGAGAGCAAGGCTCCAAGCAGTGCGAATAGCCACAGCAAAGTTCCAAAAGCCCGGCTGCTATTGACAAGCATAACACCAAGACATGCTGACACGAATCTGATGCAGAACTTCCTTCATACGGGCCAGCGTTGTCAGCACAGCATCGGACACGATTATCGGGATATTTTGTGCGGAACATCATGGTATTGTAAAGCTTCATTCACTGACTGATGAGTGCTACGTCCCATGCATTTATTTTCCGTCTCGGCCATGTGAATGGCTCCCAGTTCATGTCAGCCAGCCAGGGTCATAATAACTCCTGTGCGATGGCAAGGCTGGCGGTGGCGTCACAGACCCTTGTCATCGGGAATCTTGTCTTTCCCACACTCAGAGCTCCCCGATCTCGTCCTGGCTCTGGTTCTCTAGCATATCAGCCCTCAGAGCAGCCTCGACGTCCACCGCAGTGAATGACTCTGCATCGTCCAGGAACTTGAGTCCCTCCACCGCCTTGCCTCCGCAAGCCCGCTCCAGGGCGAGGAAGGCAAAGTGGCCGCCCACCACCGGTCGCGCCATAAAGGCAATGCCAGGGTAGCCGCCGTCTCCCTCCGTGTCATAGAGGTCCGTCAGCGGGTGGTCTTTCGATCGCGGCATGTTCGTTAGCAGGCGTTGCTTCCACAGCCCCAGGAGGTATCAAGACACCTTGCTGTGATGGTTGACTTACCTGTAGTCGTTTCGTTGACCCATGCAGCCACATGTGTCAGGATTTCAGAGCGCACACTCTTGCTTGCAACAGCGGCTGCAAAAAACTCCCAGTCGCTCTTGGTGTATAGATGGCGGCTGTCCAGGGGCAGCCCGTAGCGCTGCAGGACGGCCTGGTACCAGTTGCTTTGCATCCTGTAGATCGAGTCGGGGATGAACGTCTTGGAAGACTTCTTGTCTGCCCCCAGCAAGATCTCGTCCTCGGTCCAGAAGCGGCTAGGTCCCAGCGAGGACTGCTCCTCGGGCAGGTGGAAACATAGCAAGGCATCGGCAAAGATGTTGTACAGTGTTGTCCATGAGCCATACCAGGTGTAAGCCAGCTTCGCGTGGGTGCCATCTCGGGACAGGCCATAGTCCTGCCACTTCTCGATATAGTCGGCGGCCACGTCGTTGTAGTATTTGGCGTCCTTGTCTTCACCGATGAGCTCAGCCAGTCCTGCCATCGCCTTGATCCCAACGATTCCCTTAAGCGCCAAATTGGTGTTGTTTGCGAGCCAGCCGGCAAAGTCATCGGTGCACAACTGGTTGGATGGGATGAGCGACTCTCTGACAAGATAGCCTGTCCACTGCTTCCACAGCTTGTATGACCGATTCACCCACTTCTGGGCGGCGGATCTGCCACTTGTGCCACTTTCGTGGAATGTCAAATCCATACCGTACTCGTCCAGAGCTTGGGCCCTGATTGCAGGCTCAATGTCCAGGGCTTGGGTTTGTGGGAGAGCCTCACGGGAAAAGGTAGCTGCCGAGCCATCTTTCAGTCCGTTGACCAGAGCAAGACCCATGATAAGCATGTTGCCGCACTCCTCCACGGGCATGTACTCGTCATTACCATCGTTGTGGCCAGTGGCGTTGGGGAAGTGCGCCCCGAGATCATGCATGCTGTAGTCGTTGGGATACTGCCCACTCAACTGGTGCTCGATGAGAGGCTCCAGAAGGTAGGCGAGCCACTGTGGGTTCGTGTAGAGAAAGAATGGAAATGCAGGGTAAATCACATCAACCGTCTGAAGGTTGCCGTCGGAAGAGATCTCCTTCAAGAAGATGATGGGATCATCTGGGGTTCCAGAAAACTGGGTTCCGCCCAGAACCTGCCGCGCCGACACAGCCACGATATCCTGGTAATCCTGCGAGCCAGACGCATATGCGTCCTTGGCAAGCTGAGTCGAGTAGTTGTCTGCCAGGTAGACTGCCGTGTCATAGTCGTTGTAGTGGTACTGGAGCATTTGTTCCACAGACGAGAAGTAAGATGCCCAGAGAGGGCGCATCAGGGTCAGACCTCTGGCGGAGGCGAACTGAATAACCGGATCCTGGACAAGTGCAAAGGTGAAAAGGGCATTGTCAGAGGCAGTGCCATTGCGAGCCTTCTTGCTGAGCTTGAACGTCTTGGCAAAAGCAAAAACCGGCTCTTTCTCAAAAATACCACGATGATAATCATCGTTGTAGTTCTTGAGAGCACTAGTCTCTGCAAACTCGCGGCAGATTGTGTGGATCTCGCCAGACTGGTGATCGGTGTCAGCAGGTCCGCTGAAGTGAAGAGTGCCCCATTCGGCCTTATCCCATGCTTCGGTGAGGATCTGCTCCTGGGTGCGCTTGAAGCTCCAGGTCTTGATAGCCTCTGCATGCTTGGTGCTGTTGGATTGTCTAAAGTCCCAGGTGATCTGGCTATCCCGATGACCACTGACAAATTCACCGTTAATGTCGATGAAAATGGACACATCGAGAGAGCCCTCTACGACAACGTTTAGGTAGCTGGCAGGTAGAGACTGGCGGAAGGTCGACGTCGGAGTGATTGGGGAGAGGAAAGAAAGCGTGACTTTGACGTCGGAGCCGCCAAGGGTGTAAGTCAGGTTGGTCGTCGAGGCATCGTAAGTAGCTCCGTGGTAATGCGCATAATCGACGCCATATTTACTAGAATGGGTGAGGAAATCGTGCGGACGACCCAACAAAGGGTAGACGGTGCCAGTCTCAGGAACGCGGGCCATGACGGCGAAGCCAACAGTACTCCCCGTCCAGAACTGTGGCCATTGATGCCATGGCTCATGCCTAGCACGAGGCAGCCAGAAGCTCAGATAGGGACTACGCACAAGCAGCGGCAGCACTGATGGTGTCAGGGTTGAGGCGTCCACGACCGTGCTCGCCAGCGCAGTGAGCGCAGCATAGAGGCTGAGCTTCATTTTGGCGATCTCGACGAAAGCGAGAGCGCCTCACGAGCCCAATTGGGAGGTCGTCGTGGAATTGCTAAAGACGCTGTCTAGGTAGAATGGCGGCGGGCTGCAGAGGAGGCTGCTGCCCGGTTCACGTCGGCTGTCCAGCAGTCCTGGGCGAAGTCGTCCAACGGGGCGAGATTGCAGCGAGGTCGAAGCAAAACAGACCAGCAGATCCGTTTAAAAATGGAAGAAGTAATTGAAAGGCTGAGAGAAAGGGCTTGCGGTCTTGCGCGCTCGTGACTAGAGGAGAGCTTCTTGGAAAAACAGGTGCGTGCCTGGGGAAAAGGCCCTGCTCGTCCTCCGCCATGGCCGTGGGCCGACCCCAGCCGGGGAAGCTGGAAAGCAGGAGAGCGGAACGTCATCCACGCAACACGCCCACGATCCCCCACAGTGGCTGCGCGCCGCGATTCGTTGGGAGCAGGTCAGATGAACATGGGCCGGTTGCGCCAAGCCCCTGTGCCTGGACGCTACAGCCAACCCGGATGTCGCAGCTGCGCTTCCGACGTGCCCGCCTGATCCACCTCGCAACCCAGCGCTGACCGGCCGTCCACGACGTGGCCAACGCGAAACGAGGGGCAGGCGGTGCTCGACGGCGAGGGGGCCGCTTAGTGATGATGGTCAGCAGGCCGCGCCTCGGCCCCTCCATCTCACGCCTCTGGTTCCTCCGTCATGATTCAGATTCCTTGAGCACAAGAGTCAGTCGGCGAGACGCTAGACGCGGCGACCGTCCAGCTAAATAGAGGACCCTTAAGGCGTTAGCCTGGAATGCTGCTCCGGAGTCTCGCTGCTGCAGGCCGATTCCAGAATCTTTGCTTGTCTTCACAAAAAGCTTATGGCCAGACTTGGCTAACCACCCACTCGATCAGTCCAAGTGTTTAGCTTCCTGGGAGAGGCGTAGTCTGCTGACCTGAAAATCCCAGCGGGCTGTCATGATCTCTGTGGAACATTCGATTCCACTAGCCGCATCTTGGTTGCAACCTTGAGTCCTGCAACTAGCGTTCCAGGGCGGTGGTGCATGCATGTGAATGCACCGAGCGTGCTCCATAGAATTCGCATGAGGGCACCCATGGAAAAACTCCTCGGCTCGGCGCGTTGAACGCCAAACCGCCCTCTCCATGCCATGGGTTGAGCTGTAGTCGGGCTTAGCCGCCCTTTTCTGATTCTCTTCCTGATTATGTTCGTACTGTGAGATACATGATCTACATGATCATCTCGCCCTGATAGTTGTCATACCGTCTACCCCAGGCAGAGGGTCTGGGCACTCTTACCGCACTAACAATGCCCTGCACTCGCTTGCGTAGCGTAGTCACAACAGTTCCATGTCATCTTGCTTTCGACGCAAACTCATGTTGGTAGTGGACTGTATGGATTCAAGCATGTTCTCTTATGATCTCGATGTACGGTGCAGGAGAGCAATGCCTCTACCAGCATTTCGTGCCAGGGGAATACCAGAAAAAGTTACCCCGCAGTTGGCATCGCCTTGTCCCTCTCTCAGCAAGTACAACATCGCACAGCACTTGGCAAAATGTCTTTCGAGGGCAAAGTCATCGCCATAACAGGCGCGGCGAGCGGTATTGGGCTCGCAACCGCTCAAATCCTGTCCAAAAAGGGCGCCATCGTGTGCCTCTGCGATGTCGACCAAGAGGCAATGAAGAAGGCTGATGCTCATTTCAGCCAGCTCCAGGCCCAATTCAGCATGACCACGGTAGATGTCTCGGCCAGGGAGCAAGTTGAAACATGGATCAGCGGGATAATAGAAAAGTATGGCCGGCTCGATGGCGCGGTCAACAACGCGGGCATAATTGGCAGACACCACGGCCTTCGCGCCGTGGCTGACTTGGAGGACGACGAATGGCACAAGATCATCGCCGTCAATCTAACTGGCACCATGTACTGCATGAGGGCAGAACTTCGCGCCATCGTTGATGGCGGGTCAATTGTCAATTTGAGCTCCATCCATGGTCTTCAAGGTCTGTCTCCGTGCTTCACCTGAGAGGCGGGTTGGGAGGCTGATATCTAGCAACAGGTTTCGCCATGCACGGAGCTTATGACGCGAGCAAGCACGGTGTTCTTGGGCTCACGCGGGCAGCAGCGAAAGAGAATGGATCTCGCGAGGTTCGAGTCAATGCTGTGGCACCAGGATCGATCCATACGCCGCTGATGGACAAGAGCTTCGCCTTCCACGGACGTTCGCCGGATGAGCCGTTTGATGATACCGCAGCCTTCGGGCGACACGGGACTGCGGAGGAAGTCGCCCACGTGATTGTGTTTCTTTTGAGCCCAGAAAGTCGATACGTCAGTGGCAGCGTGTACTCGGTTGATGGAGCAATGACGTGAGAGGAGAGTTGGCGGTCGAGGTCGCTAGAAGACATCCTCGGGATTGACAGCGTGATCGCGGCCATCGGCTCGCACGTGCTCGCCCTTGGCATCCCGCTTCATAGATTTGCGCATGTCATAGGCGTCTTCGCCGTTGGCGGTTGGGTCGTTGACGTTGTCCCCGTAGTAGTCCTTGACGACGCGGAATACGCTGTATCCCAGCTTCTCGTAGAAGTTGATCGCTCGAGTGTTGCTTTTCCGAACGAAGAGATCCACAAACAGGGCTTCATGGGCATCTGCCGCCTTCTCTAGAAACTCTGTGAGGATGCTGCCAACCCCTGAGCGGCGAGCCTCTGGCGCTACCGTAAGCGCAGTGATGTGCGCATGCCATGGCAGGTAATGCTCGGAGAACTTGAAGTAGTCCGGGGAGCTCTCAACCTTGCCCATGACTAGACACGTCAACAGTCACAATTGTCAGCACAGGGCACAAGGCTGCGGATGCGAGCAAGCTGACATACTGTATCCTACAATGTTCCCATTGGTGTCCTCCGCGACTTGGAATAGCGATGGCCATTTCGTGTAGTATTGCACATAGAAGCTCAAGTCGTAAGTCTCGGTCAGCGGGTCGAGATTGCACTTGGATACCCTGTTTAGGTCGTCCGGCCTAAAGGGCCTGAAAGTTGTCATGTTTTCGATGAAGAGAGAGGAGCAGAAGCCGCCTCCCCAGAAACGCAGGTGTGCAGTAATTACTGTGAATCAGCCAGTCAATGGGTAGCACTGGCGGCGTCAGAGGACAATGGCAGTGCTCAAAAAAGTTGAGCCCCACCAGGCTCGACATGTGTTCCAGTGAAGGAGGGGCGTGGCGCCCGTCACTCCTAGTCACCCTGACAGGGCGGGCAGAAACACTCACGAGGGCGTTCAAGAAAGGCTGCAGAAGGTAACCACATCTGACGACAAGCCATGCTGTCGAACAAGGCTGCAGCCCTAATTTATGTCTGTATTTCGCCCGCATGGTAGCAGACCAGCCCTCTGCATGCCTTGTGTGGAACAGTGACGTTTTCCGGACGATGTTCGTCTCACGACCACGCTCGACTTGGTACTGTACGTATCAAGGTACTTACTGGAGGATGGCTTGAGACCGGGATAGTGCACTGGGATCTGGACAGTGCCAGCACGTACGCGACCTCGTGGAGAGTTATTGTTGCTCCATCGCAACAGCTCTGTGCTACGCACGTGTATTTCTGCGGTACGACCGGCCCCTTACCGTGCCTGGGATGGCATTTGTTTATGCCAAAAACCCAGGCGAGCGTGCCTGTGCTGGGAGACGAACCTCTTTGAGCTAGGGTCAAAGCTCGACAAGCCCAATCAGCGGTCCCTGCAGCCTGCCGGGGCATCCAACCAGCGGAGCACCTGCCAGGAGTTTTGGGAAATAAGGATAAACAGCGACGACAACCTCACGAGCACCGTCTCCCAACTGCTGATCAACTTTCACGCCTGGCAGTTTCTCTGTCAGTCTGGCCCAGCATCTCTTCCTCCTCAAAAAGTGCAGCGAAGCCGCCGAAAACCAGTGCTCGACCTCCCTGGCCTGCTCGACTGCAGCCCCGAGATTCGTCAGACCCTGAAGAGCCCCTCATTCAGCGACTTTGGCAGCCAGTGGTCCCGGCAACCACTTGCAGCATCACCGCTCGACGACTCTCTCCCAAACACAAGCCACACGCCGTCCCGAGGGCTAGCGGTGGGCTGGGTGTGTGCTACAACTCGACGCCGTCACCACACCGCTGCTGAAGCCAACACGAAAACAACCACCCAAACCAACCGACAGAACCGCCTGCATGATGTCGAGGTCACCGCAAACTCCGCGACACTCCCGCCAGTCCTCCGCTATCGACACCCGCTTCCAGACCCCGAGCCCAAATGCATCACCTGATGCTAGGCGCCTGTCAAAGTCTTCATTCCAGGACCCTCTGACGCCACTACGCAACAGCATGAATGAGACAGAGCTTTCGATGCTTGGCAACGGAGGTCTCGACCAGGGCAACGGGCTCGGCAACCTTGCTGATGAGCTCGCCGATGCCTTTTCAGACTCGGAAGAGGAGTACGATGAGGAGGAGGATGACGGCGAAGGCGAAGAGTCCGAAATGTCCAACACCGTTCCCACACCCACAGATGAGCCAGCACTGCCAGCAAGAACAAGAACGGTAACGTTGAACGCACCAGAGCAGCAAAATGTCCGGGCACATCGGCGCGAGGCCAGCGCCTATGATGGAAGCGAGTACGGCTCAGAAACAGACTTGGACATGGCAGGCATGCCACCGAGCTTGGTCGCCAAGATCGATGCGGTAGAGACTTTGGCAAGGCGCGGAACCGACAGCCTTGGCAATACAGCCGACCCAGTATTTAAGAGAGTCACAGACGGCCTCAGGGACCTCGGATCGCAGTCCAGTGTGGAGGGAAACACCACGAGGTAAGGGCGTGTCACAGGCAATACTGCGGGACTGAATCCAAACGCTGACACAACGAACCAGGCTGATTACTGCTCACTCGGCATTATCAACACACTTGACACACCAAACGCGGCAAATTCACAACTTGACATTCCCGCTCCTGTCGCCACTGGTCGCACCGCCAGACCCGGAGACAATCGACGAGCTCCTTCCACTTCTCGCATCCGTTGCCGATGACATGCCACGCCCTGCAACGGCAGCACTGAGCAATTTGGCAGCGCTACACACGGTCACCGCTGATTTAGTCCAAACTCTGAACTACCTGTCGGACACACTGCACATGTCGAGGCAAACCACGACGACTGCAACGCGGCGACTTCGCACCGCGAAAGAGCTGGTGGCCGAGATGAAGCGCGAAGAAGAGCTCAGAGAAGAAGGTGAGAGGTGGCTCACCCGGGGAAATTGGAGTGACCGATTGGAGAAGCGAGAGTGTGCGGGAGTCTGCAGAGACGTCGTAGGTGGTTTCGAGGAAGTCTGTAATGGGTGGCGAGCACGACTGATGGCTCAAGCCGAGTCCGCATAAACGACGTTCGCGGATGGGTGCAAAGGGCTCGGGGTGCCTGGGCCTCAGTGACGGTGCCCTCAAGCAATGACGCCCGCACAGAGCCGTATTGCATCCACCTCTGCAAGATCCGCGTCCGAATATCACGAGGTAGACGTCCACAGGCATGTGTACATGGTGTACTTCGCCTGCTATCATCAAATAGTGCGGCTTTCCATACACAATGATTCCATCGCACCACCACCCCACTGTAGACGACACTGGAGCAAATGCAGAAGGAACCATACGCTCCTCGCCTTGATCAGACAGGACAAGAGGATCAATTTTCACATGCACGCACATACTTTTACAGCGACGAAAACACAATAAATCAGCATCAGCTCCTCTATCCGCCATTTTGGCAGACTAGACACATCTCAGATACCATTAGATTTATTCTCCATAGAGATACAAGCTGCCTTTCTGGCACATGTCCCCATCTCACAATAGAGATTACGTGACAGGGGTGCCGGAATAAGTAATGAGCTGCTGTTTCGGCCCCGTATCCGTGTCGCCAAAAGTGCGAGCCGTGCTCGTAAGCCGTCCTTACGGCAGACGGCTGAGGCTCGGGAGATTAGAATCTCGGAATTGTGCCGCAGGATCCTATAGCTTGTCTTCTCCTAACTTCTGTATCGTGGTGTTGAACAAATGAGCATCCACCCGTGCTATTCCGCCCCTGGTGAGTTCGTCGGAGACCTAGGCTAGTCATGCAGGCCGATCACTTGCCAGGGGTCGATCGGGACAATCGAGGTCTGCAGCTTGGGATTGGGTTCGTGCCTGCTTGGTCCAACTGACAAGGGCATTATCATGGCTTCGACCCGAAAAGCGGTTGCGGCACGCAGACAGCAAGCTAAGCCAGTATGCTTGTGCAGACTCGCGATTAACGCAAGAATGTGCTCGATCGTTCAGTTGATCCCAACCAGCGTGGCTGCTGCTGGCCTGATAACGCTGTAGTGCTGCCAGAGCAATCAGCCTTTGCACGGGAGCGTCTGAATTCCCGTCCCTGGATCCCCACTGGAGCAGTCTTCCCCATCATGGTGGTACCGTCTCGTCGGTCCACGTTTTAGCGCGCCCCGTCCCATCCATGTCAGCTTTGTGATTGCTTTTTGTCTCTCGATCGCCTTGCCTAGCCTGCCACCCCGGCCGTTCGCCTCGATCGAGTCCACCAAGCATACCAGGAACAGCCAGAACATCTAATTTACTGCCCCCTGGAGTTCTGTCAATGATACCTTTTCATGCCATCCTAGTTCGCGATGTTTGTCTGCGCATCTCACATCAGAGCTAGGGAAGCACGTCTTTGTGTGACCACGCTCATCACCAGCCAGAGAGAGGCAAACCGGCTTTTTCGCCTTGAAAATCAGACTCGAGATGGTTCACGGGTGGTGAAGGTACAATGCCTTCCGGCCGGTCTCCCCGCTGACTTCGAATACTCGCTAACCTCGCTGCAGTTTAGTGTCGTGACCCCTGAGAGCCAGTCATGATGCGCAACGGCAGAAGCGCCGCCAAAATCAGACTCGAGGCCCGCAGGAAACTGCCGCTAGCCATGGGCTTAGGCCGACGCCATCTCTTCGCCATTGCATCATCGGGGACCTGCGACCAAAGGCCGACTGACTCTTCTTGCCTCGCCCTTTTGCTCTGGTGGATTTGTGCGGAACGATCTCGACTGATGGGGTCAAGATGGGGGACAAGCAGCCAATGGATGACCATCTTTGAACGAATCTCGGCTGGGTAGCGTTTCTGGGCCCTCATCAGCCAGTCCGCCGGCAATGACGGGTTCCGTATCCTGACCCGCCCCCAGAGCCCTCGTCATGGAAAAGACGAGACTAGTCGTCGTTGGAGGTCGAGGACGGCGGGATGTTCGCGTGTCGCCGGCTCTACTTAGGGCGTGGACGTCCTGTGCCGTCTCCGTCGTGATTCGCTTGCCGTGCCCCTTGGTTGCCCATGCCCACCACCAATTCTTCCTCCCGCCTGCTGTCCCTGCCTCTTTCCAGTCTTCCTAGTTGACTGACTGCTGCCAATCCAGCTCAGAGCACAGTCTAATCTCTGATCCCGAACAGAAAAAGCAAAAAGATTAGTCCCTCTGGAATCTCTGGGACCGTCTGCAAGAAGAGGATCCGGCTTCCAGCTAACGCCCAAAGAAGCAAGACCTGTCTCTCACTAACCTGCCTGGATAACTCGTCCGTTTGTCATTATTTTCCCTTCGGGTGACTCTGGAGACAAAGCTTTTGTGATGCTCCGCAGATTCTCAAGAAGTCTGTCGCACTTGGCAGACGCCACACCAGCGAGCCGCGGCCGTGAAGACCTTCCACCACACTCCGTATCGTCTCCTAGTCGAGCCTCCTTTTCAGAATTCCTGCCCAGCACGGTACCGTCGTCTACTCACTACGACGACAGTGACTACACTACTCACTATCAAGAAGCTGCGGAGGCTCCCAACGTGCCCAGAAGTCGTTCGCAGCAGAGCACATACGACATGCCCCCCAGTCCTGCAGGGCATTCATACTTGAGCACGAGAGACCTGCCTACAGAATTGAACTTTGCAGACATGGACGACAGTTATATCCCTGACGACAGGGACCAGTCCTTTGCGCGCCCACGAAGGTAGGGAGACACCATGCCGAGCACACACTTGTCGTCCGAGCCAGGGACAACCACTTACATACGCTGCCTGTCACAGTTCTCAAAGCCAGTCCTACTATACTGGCCAGCACGTGGAGCGCCAACCTTCACCAGAGACGGTTCAACACTACGGAGGATCGACGAGATCACCATCTGCAGCCCGAAAGAGCATCATGTCCAAGTCCTCACACGTGCCGTCATCCGCGTCATCCTTCGCGCCCGCCAACTCAGCACTTCCGCCATTGCAAACCAAGGGCGCCGGCAATAACGACGGCCTCGAGCCTCTGGCAGAAGAAGAAATTGACCCAGCATCGTTCGACCTCGTCGTCCCGGCGAATGAGCCCACGCAGTACTCCCTAGAGGCACGTTCGGAACTGCTCTTCTCGAAGGAGCACCTCGAGGTCATCTTTGAAGACCCGGTCCTTCTTCAGCGTTTCACCACGTTTCTCTGTGCCGCCCATCCGGCCTCTGTGCCTGTGCTGGTGTACTATCTTGACGCACTCAAGGCCCTGAGGGCGCTGGATTATGTGAATTCGATCGCAAGATCACTGAGAGCACCCAAGGACCTCGGCGTTTCTCAAGAGCCAATACAAAACACCGCAAACGACGACTTGCAGGCCAAGGCCGACCAGGCGTTTGAGCGGCTCGCGCGTGAGGACTTGCCGGCGTACATCACCCATACGTGGGTGCGGACAGTGAGCGTGACGATCAAGCGACGTATTGCCGACACACTGCCTGTGCATTTGAGGGATCTCTCAGAGGGCCTTGCAGAGGTGTTTTGCCTGACGGATCCTTCTCGGCCAGACAACCCGATCATCTTTGCCAGCGAGGGCAAGTGGTGTCTTTTGTTACCCAGAGGAGACAGGATGACGCTGACCATGGCCTACAGAGTTCCACCGAACAACACAGTACGGCATGAATTACGTGCTCGGCCGCAACTGCCGTTTCCTCCAAGGCCCAAAGACAAACCCTTCCAGCGTGCGGCGGCTGAAGGAGAAAGTCCTTGCTGGAAAGGAGCACTGCGAGACATTTCTCAACTACAGACGAGACGGGTCGCCATTTATGAACCTGCTCATGGTGTCGCCCCTGTTCGACAGCCGTGGGAATGTCCGCTACTTTATCGGTGCTCAGGTCGATGTGTCTGGACTAGTCAAAGAGTGCGCTGGACTGGAGTCGATGGAACGCCTCGTGCAGCAGCAAGAGGCCCGCGAGAGCCAGCAGCACGGCAGATTTGACGCCAGCAAGTCACAACTCCACCATGCCGACACAACGGATAAAGACGAGTTCCGCGGTCTGGCCGAAATGTTCAACCTCACGGAGCTCAAGACGGTCCGGGAACACGGCGGCTCGCTGCACCGGACACGGCAGGCGACGCACGGCGGCGAGGGAGGCGGCGGCGTGGACGACGCGAACCTCACCAACTGGAACAAGCCGCGTCTGCTGATTCGAGATGATGCCTCGATGCAGCGGCGCGACAGCGACCCCATCATGACCCTGCCATCGACATCCGGCGGCAAGCTCAGCGGCGTATATGAGCACTACCTCCTCGTCCGGCCGTATCCCAGCATGAGAGTCCTCTTCGCCAGCCCCAGCATGCGCGTTCCGGGGATGCTTCAGAGCAGCTTCATGGACCGCATCGGCGGGTCGAGACAAGTCAAAGAAGCCCTAGCGCAGGCATTTGCCGACGGGCACGGCGTCACAGCAAAGGTCCGCTGGCTCAGCGACCGGGCGAAGCGCGACAGCCACGGCAGCAGAGAGGCATCTGCCGCGGCAGGCCTGGGAGGCGCAACAGGAAAGGGCCGCTGGATCCACTGCACGCCGTTACTGGGCGGCAACGGGGCAGTGGGAGTGTGGATGGTGGTCCTCGTCGAGGACGAGGCAGAGTCGAGCAGCCGAAGAACCCGCGATGCACCGCCGGTCAGCAGACACATTGGGCAGACGAGCATCGGGGGCACGCCCTTGCCTAGCGACTTTGACCGGCAGTCGCTCCTGGCCGGCAGTAGTGGCCCGGGAGCTTCGTCGACGGCGGCTTATCAGCGACCACCTTCGCAGCAGACACCACAGCGGCGGTATCGTGGCGGTGACGAGACACCAGATGTCGACGATCTCAGTCTCGCTGGTGCGAGCTTCATCGATGCCCAAATCGGACCTCGCTCGTCTTCCCGGACAGGCAGTATCAGCGGACAGCAGCCTGCCCACGGCGATCTGAGGCAGCACATGTCATCCAAACGACGACCACAGCAGGGTGTGACCAGCGCCGCCGCATCTACAGCCGAGAGCAGCATGTACGGCAGCATAAACAGCGGCGGAAATGGCGTCTACCACGGTCGATCGGCGGCTATCGACATGTCTTCTTCTTCTGCTGGTGCCAATGGGATGTCTCAGTCCCGAGGGGCCTCGCTGTCGCGGCTCAAGGCGCCACTGCCTCCTGCACCCACGGGGGCTCTGGTACACGAAGGCATCCCGATTCGGACTACGGGGGCTTCGGCGACCGGCAGGTCAGCATCGTGACGGCGGCGACCAGGTCTTGTACTTTTAGGAATGGTCCAACATGGGATGTGTGCTCTGCAACAAGAGTTTCATATAGTAGGTTTCAGCAGAGTATATTCTGCGCAAACAATGCTTGGGTAGTGCCATCGAGGCACATGTAGCTATCCAGAAGCAGAATGAGCACAAGGGATGGCAAATAGCGTTGATTTCTGTCGTACATTAATAGTTGCCAATACGGCTGTTTCTTTATCTGATAATGTCTCAATACAATGCATAAAGTACCTGTTTCTCCTCTGCAGACAGTTGACAGATATGGATGACACTCAGTATCGTGTGCGAGTTACAAAATATTAGGAAAGGAAGGCCTGCATTCTCGTGTCCTACTACTTAATGTCACGGCGGGAGCGTCAGGAAAATATGAGCTTCTTTGGAATCCAAGCTATGTTGTCTATTGATGGCAATGGTTCCATTTACCGTTATTTCCTCGTCGCCAGCTGGCATGACGGTCGTTAGATTGGTGGCCTTCGAGGAGTCGCAAGCACAAAGCTATTGAACGGCCTATGAGAATCAAGAATCTTGCTGAACGTCTAATTCGATATTATTCTCAGTCCCTGGCTATTTGATCATATCTCCTCGTCTAGAGTAGAGGGACTTCAGTCTTGGTGTGTTTAAAACACAAGCTTGAGGCCATGAATATTTCTGTCCTTGCAAGATGGCTGGCAAGTATACCATTCGCAAACTCACTCGACCACGATCTCATTGTGAGACGACTTATAGATCTGGTCGTGCCTTTCCTTTCAGTGTCCCCCGCATCATTCGGTGGCTATAGTAGAGTATAAGCATACGGCTTTCCAACAATCAGGCAAAGTGCCAGAGTGGTTAATGGGTCAGCCTCGAAAACGCTCATCCGCCTGCTTCAGGCAGTTGAGCTTACGTAAGCTGATGACTTCGGTCGCGCAGGTTCGAGTCCTGTCTTTGTCGCGACTAAGCGCATTGAATAACCTCAATTTTTTGTACATTTGCTACTACTGTAGTTAGTATACTTCCTTTTTGCTCCCTGGCGTGGTGCCAAGCCAAGGAGTTGTGAGGAGATCAATGGGTGTTTGTTGGTAGTGGCATTCTTTTGCGGTGTTGGGTGCCGTGCCGTGTAAGCCGTCAAGGCCCGTGGGCCAGCAATTGTGGAGGTCTTGGTCTTCCTGGTCTGCAAATAGCTGCAGAGGCGGGTGACGCAGAATCTTTCTTCTTCAAATGGCGAGCCTCGTGGCTTCTCAGCTGGAATTGGGTTGTTTTCTCTATGCTTATCATGATTGTGCATCCAAGCTGTTGTAGAACTTTAGCCTGTCAAGTGGAAGCTGTGGTATTGTTGGTGTAGTACAGATCCCTGCAAAAAAGTTTAGCCCCGATTGGCACACCTCGTCATACATCACCTTGGTCTGAAATGCTTCAAATCATCCACCAAGCGGACAACAATCTGTTCTTGCCCTCACGCTCAAGATCGGCTCTGATCCGACACTGTCTAGCAACCAGTCAGACCTAGGCCCGAGCATCTCATCCTGGGCGCAAGCGCACCTTCTCTCCCTGTGCTAGCCAGACAGTCGCTCTCGCAATTCTTCCAGCCGACAACAACAAAAGAAGAAGAAAAAAAAAAACCATGGCCTCCTCAGATCCCACACAGCAGCCGCCCGCGGGCCCGACACCAGCGTCATCCTCCTCCTCCTCCTCCCCCACCAACACCAACACCGACCCCGCGGCCGCCGAGGACGCGATCCTGCACAACGTCGCGCTGGGCGTGACCCCGATAGCCCTGGGCGCCATGTTCCTGCCCCCGCGGCGGTTCGACCTGCGGCTCGTCATCCTCGGCGGCGTGGCGCTGTGGGGCACGAACCAGCTCGCGCTCGACTACACGGGGACCTCGACCTTCGCACGCATGGGCGGCCGGCTCCAGAGCATGGCGGGCACGGAGCTGCCCGAGAAGGCGCAGCGCACGCAGATGCTCATGAGGCAGGAGCGGGAGCGGCGGGCGGCGGCCGCGGCGGACCAGGCCAGGCTGGACGCTGCGGGGCGGTATAGCGGCGGTGCTGGTGCGGGGGAGGGCAAGAAGCAAGGGGGTGGAAGAGGAGGGGTGGAGGAGGAGGAGGAGAGGAAAGGATCGCTCGAGGCGATCTGGATGGGCGATGCCGAGGAGGATTGGAAGGAGAAGAGGGCGCGGCGGGAGCGGGAGGCTCTGCAGGAAGGTGGTGGTGGGATCTGGGGGCTGATCATGGATCACATCTCGGACGTGCGGAACAGCGGCAAGCAGAAGCGTGCGGAGGTCCTGGCGGCGAGGGAAGAGAAACACAAGCAGGAGGAGAAGCAGGACCAGGAGAAGAAGTAAAATGTCCGGGTGGAGCAGCAAAGCCCAAACTTGTAAGTTGAGTGTATGATATGTGTATGTCGGCAGAGCGGTGGTCAACCCAGTATGGTCTCGACCATTTACTATCTGTCTGATTCTTCGTCCTACATGTCCCGTGTATACTTGACGACGTAATTGCCCTCCAACGCCGAGCATGTCATGTCATTATCACGCCCCCTTCGACTTGTCCTTGTACAGGTCGCCATAGGACGCCTGGAGGCGCATCTGAAGATGCTCTTCTGCGGTCAGGACCTTGCGCTCCGCGTACGGGTTGCCCTCCTTGGCCTGACTCGATACGCCACTGAAGTTGCGGACACGCTCGCTCGGGACTGACACTAGCGGAGTATCGTGCGCTGGGTGGCAGAAGAAGACGAGGGAATAACGCGGGTCGACACTCGATTCACCGTGTGCCGCCTGTCCGGGCGAGAACGACACTCGGTGCACAGTACTCCGAAGCAGGCCATTGGTCCAGTACGACAGCAAGTCGCCAATGTTGACGAGGATCGGTGGTGATGGGTCGTTCTCGGTACCAGGAGGCGTGACAGGGACGGGGGCCCAGGTATTTGATGGTGTCAGAATTTCGAGACCTGCTTGACCGGGGATCCGGAAGAGCAACGTCACAGAACCATAGTCGGAATGGGCACCAGCTCGAACGTCGCCAGCTTGAGCGTCAGGGGTCTCGCTTGGTGGAGGATAACGGAGGAATCTCAAAATCGACCCCGATGGCTCGTCTGGGTTGTGTGCAGCCGTGAAAAAGTCCGCGGGCGACACCTAGCTTGCGATCAGCCCAGGTATCGGATATCGCTTCCTCCGCCTGGGAACGTACCTCTAGACCAACCCCAAACAAGAACAGGAGCTTCCGGCACAATTCATGACATGCGTCTCGGAAGGAGGCAAGCTCGGCGTGATGCGCCTCCATCGACGCAGGGACGGGTTGGGTTGCTCTGCCATCTTTGAACGGCCCAAAGTTGAATGCCCTAGCACCTCATTAGTCCAAATCAATGAGAACGTGAGTTGAGCACGCACTCTTTAAAGTCACCGACCTGGGACATACGTATTAGCATCCAAGCAGAAGGCCAACGAAACTCGCCATGACAACTTACACGCTGCGAGGCAGGGTCAAGGGTCTCAGAGTGCATGCCAGACCAGCCCTGGTTGTTCTGCTGGATGCTACATCGCTGCTTCTCTTCCAGCGGCGACTCAAAGAGGAGTTTTGACTGCAGGTTGGAACAGTGTCAATCAAGTGGATCTTGGTATGGATCATGCTTGGAGCTCTAACCAGCTCAAAAGCTTTTTGTATCTTCTCGGCAGAGATATCGCGGCCAGTGTTCTTGATGTAGATAAAGCCGTGCTCTGCAGCAGCAGCGACGAGGTGCTTGGCGATGTCCCCCTGGTCACCCTGGGTAGCCGAAATGTCGATGATGGGGATCTGCGCGTTGCCTGCCATGGTTATCAATTCCGCCTGGGCGACTTAAGGACCTTGACTGAATGTTGGTAGGGCTGGCAGCTCAGCTTCCTGCTGGGGCCGTGTCAGACAGCCCGCCAGCTACGAGAGGTGAATCCGCAATCGGACGATAAAACAAGTTGCTGCCAAGCTCTAGGCTGATGGAGCGAGCCTTTTCGTTGATCGCTCGTCCGCCTTTCACTTTCATGCGTGCATGTCACCTCAAAACCGCCAACACAAGCCCATAGTCTGCATTCTTTTATATTTTGCGAGATCCCAGAAGAAATCTACCGGATGATGGACATTATCCATGTCGTGCCTCGTGGGTTCACTTGAAATGTTCAAATTCTCTATAGATGGTATGTTTCGCCGAGGATGGCTTCTACGTGGTCTTGACTTAGAAAGGCTCTGCAATAAGAGCGGTCAGTGCGAGCTCTCTGAGCAGTAGCCCTGAGAAAAGCATCGTCTATGGTTGTGACGGGTGGTCCCGAGGGGAGTTCAGATACCAAGCCCGTCATGGATGGATTCATCGCGGGGCCACCACTCGCGTGCCCTGGAAGGCGCCTTGGAGGGGCTCGGCCAGCCAAATGGAGCTGGAACAGGGACTACGGGCCCCTCCAGGGGTAGGCGGCCGGGAGGTTGCGAGTACTGCTGAGGGGACAAGTAATGAGGTGCGGCGCGGAGTGCAGCCGCCTGCGTACCAAGTACCGGTACATGACCCTTGTGGGCCTAGCGGCAGGCACCCGAGCAGAGCTCGCCCACCTGGGTGACCTGGAGCTGGTTGGCTTCTGAATGTGGCGGCGCACACTCGAGCATTGAAACAGCCCTTTGTTTGTGTCCCCAAGTGCCTCCCTCTCACGACCTGTGCTTTGCGCACCCACCTTCTCTTCACCAGCACTGCCAATCGTCACACGAGCAGCTGCTTCCGTGCCTTGGCTTGTCTTGCACGCCCGGTGTCTCGAGCCCGTCCTCGCCATCACCACTCCCCGACAGCCCGTCCACGACTTCGCCCAGTGTCGGCACGCCAACCGAAGCTTCCACGTCCCTCGCGTGGGCACCATACGTCGACCTCACCTTGTCGCAAGCCTTGCCTGCTTGCGCTAGAGGCATCTACTCCGTCGCGCCGCTTTCGCCCCATACATTGGATACAAATAGCGTTTACCAGGACGAACTGCTTCGCCTTCCGCGAGCAGCTTCACCACTAGCAACCCCATATTCGGAAGGTAGCCGTGGAACAACATGCCGAGTGAGTGCTCTATGCCATCCGTACACGAATCCAGGGGCCAGAGCGGGACTTTATGGTGGCGCACTGTCATGGGCGGCCAAGAGAATTCTGGAGCAATCGGCTGGACGACCGCAACTGACATGAATTTCCCCTCAAGCTTCTGTCGAGGACCATTGGATCAATGAGCAGGTTCAGTAAGCAGACATGGCCACTTTCCCCTTGTACCATTACACACAGTTCTGACATACCTCTAGACATGCCGACGTGAGCCAGCTTGAGGACTGTGCCATTGCGGTGGACGCCTCTTTCTACCTCCAGCTCTTCCTCGACAACTCACCGTTCCATGAGCCGCTCCTTCCAGCCCTTGGTGGCCTGACCGGTATCCAGACACATATCGAAGCCGATCTCGACAGTTGGAAGCAAAACAAGACGATACCGTTCTTCATTTTCAACGGCCAGTCCATGGTGGGCCAGGATGAGGTTACAGTTCAAAGAGGGAAGCAGGCCATCGTAGGCACTGATGAAGCATGGGGACTGTACTTCCAGAGCCAAGCCAACGAGGCCGTGGCCGCGTTTGGTGCGCATCGCGGAGCTTACCTCGTTCAAAACCTGTTCCCACTCCTGCAGAGCATTCTGAAAAGTCGCGGTCTGCATTTCCTGGTCCCGCCCTTCAACGCCTCAGCCCAAGTAAGTTGTGCCACGATCTGACAGGATAGTGACTTTACTAACGAGGTCAGATTGCCTACCTTGACATGATTGAGTCAGAGCAGTGTGCTGCCATCATGGGTTCACAAGAGCTGCTCCTTTATCCCATCAAAGACCACGTCATCCGCTTCATTGACTGGGATGCTGGCAAATTCTCGGCGATTTCCAAAAAGAATCTGATCAAAGCCCTGGGGGTCAGCGATCGCATGTTCACGGATGCCTTACTCATGACTGGTACGACTTTTTTGCCAGCATTTCCACCGCTACAGGACCCAACCATTACGCCCCGCCAGCGTTCAAGCATTCAAGATGCTGTCAATATGCTCCGCACATCCGACAAGGCAGTAGCCAATGCCTGCGCATCCTTCAACGACATACTCCAGGCCCGTGACCCAAACTGGCTGCAAAAGTACCGCAAGTCACGCATGGCTGTCGATCACTTCATCTACATCGACGAGAGCGGAGAGGTCAAGGTCCACGACTATGACCACCTGACATCAGACAACTGGGAGTATCTCGGTTTGCAGTTACCAGCTGAGATGCTGCATTATCTTAATACTGGACTCGTGGGGGCTCGTACACTTGGTTGGATTTCGAGCAACCAGGTTGTCGTCTTCCCTACACTCGACGGTGTAAAGTCCGAGGAGTACAGGCGGCTGGTCACGACACAGCTGATGCCATTGAGGGAGCAGGGGATTGCTTTGCTTCTCCCAAGGCTGCACCGTGGCGTCCAGCATAAGCCGCTCAACGTCAAGGTGTGGTATGATGACAAATACTCGCACAGAATTGAGTACAGACCTGGTGAGAACCCGACGATGAAGAAAGTCAACATGTGGACTGCGAAGGAGGAGACGATCAAGCAACACTTCCCAACTGCTGTGCAAGGCTCAATCTTCTTTGAGGTCACGTCTCTCAAGAACGAAGCGTTCGTCAAGAGCACCGTAGCAACGGAGAAGCTCAAAGGAATCGCCTCTGCCAACGTCATTACATCTCTTACCATATGGCGCTTCCTTCATCTGCGTGGCTACGTAGATGACAGCCATTCTTTGACCGCCTGGGGCCGGGCATTGGCCACATCTCTCGAAGCGCTTGAGCCAACAGTCAAGAAGTATAGCGCAGTGACCGGACTGTACGAGGCAGTTCTCCTGGCGTTCGAGCTGCTGCGCTTTGATCTACTCAACACACGGAATCAGCATCCAGAACTCAATGGCTTGCCCATGAACGGGTCGGACGACGACAAAGCCAGCCTATTGCTGATCTCTCGCTGCGCCATTCTTCTTAAATTACGTCACCAGGCCAACGGATACACGGGTCCATTGAGCAAGAACTTCTTGTCCTTTAGATCGCTGAGTTCCTCTGTCCGCGAAGCTGGACGTGACCTTTTGGAAGCAATTGTAGCATCCATGTTCCTCTTTGCACACGCCAAGCGAGATCGAGATGACTATCTTGACATCGGTCAAAGGTAAATTCTACCTGCGCTTCAATCTATTGTCTGTATGCCTAATAACTGACTGTCCTCCTAGGATACCTTTCTTGTCAGACACTGATGTCGCCCTTGGCATTGCTGTTAAGACTCTGCTGGACGATATCCACCCCAATGACACTGCGGAACAAAAGCAGGCAAAGAAGAACGACTTCCCCGGAAAGTTTGTGCCGTATGCGACTCACTTTTTCGAAGACCTGGATATTGCGTGCGAGTTCTTCGGCGCAGTTCATGCAGGTGTCAAGACACTGGAGAAAGAGGTGTCATCTAGCGATCGTGCGGCGTGGGACAAAGCGGCCGGGTTCCTCAAGCTGCGCCGATAGAGCAGATACGTTATGGCTGGTTACCTAGGCCGGCAAAGCTTTCATCGCTTGATGCACCACGAACCCCCAAACCCCAAGCGAAACTTCATTAGGCGACGCGTACTACTCGATCCCTCCCTACAAGGCATATCTTGTTGAACAACGGAAAAAAGCGGATTATCAACAACCACATCAAGAAAAAAGCTGAGTGGGTTCGTACCAGTCGGTAGTGGGCATTCATGACAGGTTCCTCCTGGCTGTGATCTAGGCCGAGAAGCTGTGCTCTGAGGTAGTAATGCAAGGAGACCTAGAAAAGACGATCAGCCAACATAGCGTATCGTCCAGCTGAGCCATGGGGCCAGGCACCATACGCAGCAATACTACTTGGAGGGAGACCTGCACCACGGGTCTTCAAGACAGGAATAAATAGCAAAAAGAAGCACGACACATCACCAAGCACGTAAAAGCATGAAAAGTGATGTGTTCCAAATTAGACTCTCCTGTTTATACTTGACATATTTTTCCGTCTAGGAATACAGGCGATGGCTTCCCCATCCTGGCAGGTTTCTTGTTCTGTTTGTACTTCAACATGTACTCATACACACGATGTGCGGTGTTCTGGGCGCTCATTACCGAGGTCTAATGCTGGCTCTAGATGTATAATAGCGACTGGGGTATCATGATTTAACAAATCAAAAGAAACAAAGACGGGGCTCTACAGTTGGCCATGAACAACGCCTTGATGGATGTAATCATGCCATGTCCCAATTAAGGGTCGACGTATCCGAGCCAGGCGGGCCGCCACATAACTGACCCAGACCAGCTAGATGAGCAAGCTTCGCTTGATCGGTCTCGGCTCGCCGTCGAGTGAGGGCTCTTTCAGTGGCGGTTCTCCTCCTAAGCTGCGAATCTTTTCAAGAAGGTGGCTAGACAGACGGGGTCCATGGTTAGCGTTTTTTTCCATGACAACCGTACTGCGTTGCTGTGATTGCGAAAGCCCAGCAATGGTGAAATAAACGTACTCGATAGGCAAATGACCCTTCTTGCCCTCCTGCACGGCGAGGTTGACGCGGCTCGTCTCCATCTCCTGCATCAGCTCCCTGGCTGCCCTCTCGTGCTCTTCGTAGTGGTCGTTGATGGCCTTTTGGCCGTCTTCGTCGTCTGCGCCACGCACGACGAAACCGCAGTCGGGTTCTTCGCATGTCCAGGTCGAGTTTGGCCCGCTGGCAAATGTTGATGGCAGGTTCTCAGCAGTCACCACCAGCTTCGTCAGAGGACTATCTGGCACTTCGTCATCGTCGTCAGATGACGATGAAGCACCACTAGCGTGCTTGCCCCCCAGAAAGCGGGACTTCTTGCGCCGTTGTGCAGGGCCGCTGCCTACATCATCACTGTCGATGTCCATCTCGTCGTCAGAGGCGAAAGCATCTCTTGGGCGCTTTTTGCTGTACACCGGGCGCAGCCCAGATTGCTTCCCTCCTGTCCGGCCAGGGTGTGGCAGGTGCTTGCCTCCTGAACTAGGCTGTGGCGTTCGGGGCGCGCTGTTTACTGCAGAGGCCCGAGGTTTCTTTTGCCTTCTAACCAGGTTGATGATCTTCTCCTCAGTAATGTTCTCAAACGCAGGTCGAGTCTTCACGTTCTGCTTGGCCCACTTGTATAATTGGCTATCATGCCATTCTTTACCCAGCCGCTGGACGAGATCCTCGGCGTAGTATTCGCAGACTTCCTTACCGCCGCCATAATTAGGAATACTGCAGGACAGATACACCTTGGTATGCCACGATTTGGGCAAGATATCCTTGCAAGCTTTTCTTTGGGGATGTCCCCCCTGGAGAGCGTTGATACTCTCGCGCTCTTCTTCGAGAAACTCAAGTAGGGCTTCGAGACCCTTTTTCACGGGGTTTGCGGCATCCGCCATCTCGACATCGGCTTTGGGGGCACTTGCGTCGCGCTTTGGACGGGAAGCGAGATCTCGGTGCTTCGATTGTGTTTCCGACGCACTGTTGGCAGATTCCTGACGAGAAGCTCCACGGCTCCGCCGAGAGCCACCAGTAGCTTCGAGTGATGCCGACTTGATTCTATATCTAGGATCTGCAGGATCTGCAGCCTCGAATCCCGGTACAACCAGGGGTGCATTGTCATGGACGACCCTGTTGGCCAGTCGCTCCAAGACATCCTGAGATCGGAATCAGCTTTCGTATTCAGCACAATCGTGCAGGAGCGTGTCGCGTGGCTTTGTCTTACCGGGTGCCTCGACGCCAGCCACTTGTAGAATGGTGAAGACTTATTCTCGAAGTGGGAGAGGAAGAAGATCACATTGTCATCACAACGTTGTATGGCTTCTGGAAGAGTCAAGCCTTCGCCTTCCTGGACAGCGAAATGGAAGAGCATCTCGTTTATTTCAGATTGAATGTCGGGGCGCGGTTTCCTCTTGCTGCTCTTCTTCTTGCTCGACGCAGCTGCGAACTGATCGACCATTGAATAGTACAGCGATATCGACTGGAACATGGCATGGGCGATGCCCTTGTATTTGTCGCTCGGGACGATCTCGTACCAGCCTGCTTCGCCACTAGCCCACAGGACAGGCAGGGGAGGGCCGTTGTCCTCGTCCTTGAGCGCGACGGCGAACGAGGCACTGTTTTCGATCTGGACAAAGGCGTCTCTGCACTTGCCTGGCCGCGCCACGAGGTATTTTTCCTGGTCCTTGTCGAGTGCGAGCTTGCCACGGATGATGAAAGGCCCTTCGAGGTCGACGCTGAGCTGATTGGCCATGCGGCCGTGCCTGTCATAGACGGTGGCATCGACAAGGAGGAAGCATGGCCATTCGTCGCTGTGGTACGAAGGCGGCACCTTCTTGAGGACGGAGCTTTCTTTGAAGTACGGGACAGCGGACTCGTCGACGGTGGCGACCGTCGAGTTGGACAGCGCTCGGCGCCGGCGGGCCACCATGGTGAATACAGGACGTTGTGAAGGCGGGGTAGACGGAGGACGGGAATCGGCCCTGGTGGCTGAAGGCCAGGGACAGTCAGCGGGGAGACGAGTCTCGACTCATGGAGACGGTTGTGGCTGAGGGAGAAGTCTGGGCTCGGCGGGTTGCGTGTAGCAGGCGAGGCGGCACTTGGGCGACGATGTCGAAGTGAAGGTTGGTGCTGAGGTATGGGCTTGGTGGGCGACGGCAGGCGACGCCGAGGTGATATCTTATCGTCAAGTCGCGCTTGCTCATGCAAACGCGCCTGCGTCTCCAGGCCAGGGCGGGCTGCGTTAAAACGGGGCAGCATGCCAGATCAGAGGCATTGGCCACTCAGAGGAGAGTCACCCTGGCCAGGCGTAGAAGGTGTTTGTGACAAAACGCCATGACAAAACATCTTTCCTGCAGGGCAGCTCAGTGTACTTGTTCATGCAAGTCTATGCGACCCAGAGCCGGAAGTGGTATATCGACCATTTCTTGACCGACTTGCAGGACTTCCACAACCTGTGAGCTCCATCATCCTGTGCGCCAGAACCAGAACGCTGTAAGTGTCTCTGGCCAGGGTTGCGGTGGACCCTGGCCCGCGTGGGGGAAATGCTAGTGCGAGCTAATGCTGTGGAATGGCAAGCGGCCGCGCGACTGGCTCTGAAAAAAAAGTCCCAGCATGTCAATGATCGCTCCTCCCACCTTTGTCTAATACAGCCCAGTCTACAGCCTCGATCCTCTCACCATCCATTCACTGTCGCATGCTTCCCGACCATAGTATGCTATAGAGACAACCCCTAGGCGACTCGCCACTCCTCCTCTACACAAGAATGTGCAGCCTAACGCCGTTGCACAAGTTTTAAACCCCCCAGGCTGCCTGCTCCAAGGGCATGGCCGTCGCCCGTCTCCTGGGCCGCCCACTCTTCACCACATTCACACACTTCACTAGGATCGCCAGCATGGCGACCTCCTCCAAGCCATGTGTCGTTGACGGCGTTTTCGGTTGGTCATGCCCTCGTCCAGACCTGCTCTGGCGGCAACTTTCCCGCTGGCTGACTCTTTCAATTACACCCTAGCCATCAACAAGCCCATAGGCATGAGCTCTGCCCAAGTCATTCGTGACTGCCAGCACCATTTCAACCCCTCGGCCCACTTCAAGAGCGCCATGGACGAGATGCAGAGCGCCCGCGAGGCCGAGTCAAACACAAAGAAGAAGCGCAGAAAGATGAACAGGCTGCAGGTCAAGCTGGGCCACGGCGGCACTCTCGACCCTCTCGCGACAGGCGTCCTCATTCTCGGTGTCGGCAAGGGAACCAAGTCGCTCCAGGGCTTCCTCGACTGCAAGAAAGTATATGAGACGGTGGTTCTCTTTGGTGCCAGCACCGACACCTACGACCGAGTGGGCAAGGTCCTCAAGAAGACTGCCTACGACCACATCACGAGACCCATGGTCGAAGAGGCTCTCAACTCGTTCCGTGGTGAGCTTGACCAGATGCCTCCGCTATACTCGGCACTCAAAATGGAGGGGAAGCCCCTCTATGAATACGCGCGTGAGGGAAAGCCGATCCCCCGGGAGATCGCCACCAGAAAGGTTGAGGTGGTGGAGCTCGAGCTTGTCGAGTGGTACGAGCCCGGCGCGCACAACTACCGCTGGCCCGCGGACGAGGCCACCAACTTTGAGCGCAGCTTCGCAGAGCAGGTTTGGAAGATTGGCAAGCAGCAGGCCGAGGGCAAGAAACGGAGCCCCGAGGAGGAAGAGCAGGAGACCAAGGCACTCGAGGCTCACGAGGACTTCAAGCGTAAGGCCGACGAGAAAGTCGATGCCCTCATCTACGATAAGCCCAACAAGCGAAGGAAACCCGAGTCTAACGTTCCGTTGATGTCAGGAGCGCTCGGTGACCCGCCGCCGCAGTCTCCCAGGCCCGGTAAGGGCTCCAACCTCATCCCGCCCTCACCGGACCCGAACACGCCGCCGCCCTGGGATGACAAAGGCCCGCCTGCGGCCAGGATACGTATGAAGGTGACGTCTGGCTTCTATGTTCGTAGCTTCTGTCATGACCTGGGCGTGAAGGTGGGCTCAGCTGCCATGATGGCCGAGCTTGCAAGAAGTACGCAAGGAGATTTCACTGTCGGGGGCCCCACATGCCTCGAGTACACAGAGCTCGCCAAAGGGGAGGCTGTGTGGTCGCCAAAGCTCAATGCCATGCTAGAAGATTGGAATAGCAAGAAGAAAGACGGTGGCGCGACTCAGCCGACACGCGCTCAGATCCATCACCCAAACAAGCACCGGACTCCGGGATCGCCAACTCGACACAAGCGCAAGATGTCCAACGATGCCACAGGCATTGCCTCGCCGAAGCGACCGAGGACTAGCCAATCACCGGCACACCGTGGCCGATCGCGGTCCCCGTCGGCATCGCGAGCGCTTACGACCCAAGCCAACGAGCAAAGTGTCGCTGCCCCAGCTGAGGAGAAGAAGAAAGACATTGATGAAGAGTCTTGGAACGGGTTTGAGGACCCCGTACCCGCTGCTCGTGCGAGCTGAATCGAGGCGCTTTGATCTAAAGGACACTTCGTCCATGCAGAGATCCGCACCGAAAAGCCCACTCAGCACATATATACAACCCTTTTGAGATATGCATGGGAATGGCGTTACAAAGCGTATTGATGTAGAGGCAGCCATAACTTCCCCGCAGAGGTTTCGGCATGATAGATGCTAGATAAGACAACAATATACCACTCTTCGCATTCGATTGTAATGCCCACGTTTCACGTTTAATTTTCTCACAATCGAGTCCACTGCAACAACAAGTATGGCCATACGCAAAGCTTTGGAAGTGACATGGTCTATTCATATTAACATTATCGCCATACATCCTGTATTCTATGTTTTACACAAACAATGTACAAGAGATCACTGCCAGGATCTCGAGTTGGCAGGCAAAAACTGCCATGCCCTAGACCACTCCTTGACTAGACCCTCAAGAGGCACACGAAGGTACGAAGGTAGCAACGAACAGGCTCGGCCGCGGCGCCACCTTTCACCAATCCCCGGGAGTATGATGATCCCGGAAACTGTAAATACGCTGCGTGCTTAGAGAGCACTAAGCAGCTCCCCTAGAGCTTGCCGCGAAGCAGGTTGCCAATCATCTCGCGGCCGGTGATGCGCGTGGTCTGCCACAGGGTCGGGAAGTCGAGGGTGCTCGAGAGGCCGTCGGCGAAGCCGAAGAAGAGCATGGGCGGGATCCAGCCGCGGGCGTACTCGAGCGCGAAGCAGCCCGTCTCGGGCATCATGTACTGCTTGACGGTGCCGCGGCGGAGGTGGTGCACGTCGCCGGCCTTGTAGATCTCGGGCTTGTACGAGCCAGGGGCGTAGGCGTACTGGGTGCCCGTCAGGATGTGGAAGAAGTCGTCGGCCGTGTGCCGGCCCGTGTGGCCCTCTGTGCCGATCGGGGTGCCAAAGATGATGAGGTACTCGGTGATGCCTGTTTGGATGATGTGAGTAAAGACCATGATTATGATGTTGGGGGATTCCTGGAATAACAATGGAACGGGATTTTGGGGGAAGAACTGACTAGCATGGAGGAGGTACATGCCGCCCATGGCACCACCCGCGTTGTTGAACATCCACTCGGCGCTGACATCGTGGGCTGGGTTGACGTGCTTGGGGTGCTTCTCGGCGAGCTCGTCGACGATGTGCTTGACAATGGCGGCCGTGTCGTCCGGGTAGAGTGCCACGGCGCGCTTGGCGAGGTCGTGCAGCTCGCCCGTCTTGAAGATGTAGAAGCTCTCGAGGTTGCGCTCGAGCACGTAGACAATCGGCGTGAAGATGCCGATGAAGATGCCAATCCAGGTCAGGATCTTGGTGAAGCTGCAGTTGCAGCAGCCAGAGGCCTTCTTGGCACCGCCGCTCTTCTTGTTGGGGGCCATCTTTGGTGCGGGTGCGACGCTCTGGTAGGCAAAGGAATGTGAGGTAGCCGGCTTGTTTGGAACGGGAAAGAAAAGAAGCAGACAGGGCACGACAATAAGCAGGGCAATCGCGAGATGGGAGATTCGGGGCGTTGCAGCGCGATGGAAATAAAAAGCGGGTCTGAACCCCTTTCTGGGTGGCTTTTCGCGGGGACCAGCACTGGTTCCCAGGACGCCGGTCCTGTCAGGTCAACCGCGACCCTTGCAGATGCAGGGCCCGCCAAACAGCTCCCAGGCGGGCAGAAAAAATAGCGTTGGTGACCTCATGCCCACGCCTCGGCTTTTGAGGTCAGTGACACCAAGCAACAGCAATATCACAGCAGCACCACAACCAGGAATCCCCAGCCACCCCTACAAGACGCTCTGTATAGGCCCGCGGCCGCTGTCACAGTACCACGCTCTCTCAACCTGCCAGCCTCCACCATGGCTCAAGTCGCAGTTCCTGGCCAGCTACTCGGCTCAACCGACAAGTACATTGCCGGGCCTGGTACCCACGTCCGCGAGTCCAACCTCTATGCTTCTCTGCTCGGCACTGTCGCTGTCGCGCAGCCAGACAAGGCGCCTGGCCCGTCTAAGCGGCTCAACAGGATCATCAGCTCGCAAGCTGGGCCCCTGCCGACCATCTCGGTCTCACGGCCGGGCGCCGTGCACGAGAAGCAGCGCGAGGTCCTGCCCGAGGTCGGCAACATCGTCCTGTGCCGCGTAACACGCATTCAGCCTCGCCAGGCCACTGTTGCCATTCTGGTTGTGGGCGATACTGTCCTCGAGGCCGACTGGCAGGGCATTATCCGCGTGCAGGATGTCCGTGCTACCGAGAAGGACCGTGTCAAGATATATGAGAGCTTCCGTCCCGGCGACATTGTTCGAGCCCAAGTGGTAAAGCACCTTGATCATCCCCAATGGCCAAACGCGGGTAGCTGACATGTTCAACAGATTTCGCTAGGTGATCAGGCTAACTACTACCTTGCCACTGCCAGCAACGAGCTCGGTGTCATCATGGCCACCAGCGAAGCTGGAAACACCATGTTCCCCGTCAGCTGGAAGGAGTACAAAGATCCAGAAACTGGTCTCAGTGAGGCGAGGAAGGTGGCAAAGCCCTTCTGAGCAACCTTGGATAGCGGTTGAAATCACCTGCAGTTCGCTCTGGCTGTGAAATCAGTGATGCAAGGACCTACGGTCACACCGGACAACTGCTTTCGGTTGCGGAAATGCCTCTGACTGATCGAGGTCTTATACTCGGCCGTTCAGAGAAGCAGCTTCGACAGTCCAAAGCACAGCATCCTCCGACTCCAGCCGGCGCCGTAGTGGGCCGCGAAGAGAAGCAGACCCTTTCACACACTCTGCCATACGAAGAGTCCTGGTCAGCAACTTCACGGGCTCGGGCTCGGGCTCGAGTGGCACGCAAATTCTTCCATTGCTTGCGAAATCCTGCTTTTACCATTCGCGGAAACTCAGCCGCAGCAATTTCATCAGATGCGGACAGCTCGTGAGCCGTTCTGAACAACAGAGTCGTGCTGGCACGGAGCTCTCAATACGGCAGTCGTGGCGGTCTGCACCGCGTAACAAACACACAGAATACGGCACCACTCTATGAAGATCGTCCTCGGAATGGGTCTGGGTCTTTGGCGGGGAGAATCGGTGCAGTATACATTTTGTGCTCACGTACCTTACTGCCGCATGGGAGCTGGGAAACTAGACGAATGTGGCAAACAGGCCAGCGGCCATGTTACGTTATCGGCACTTGAAGTCATAATGGGCATGGCTCCTCGGCATCGAGAGGATAGTACTCGACGCCGTGTTACAGAACCGTGTGCGGGCCGCTAGGCACCAGGCTACAACAATTGTACTCTTGCCTTGGTGCAGATGCCTGGCTGCCTCGTGCAGTCTAGTCTGTAGTGACGTTTCTAGATCGACTGCGAGCGCATCAGTGAGACTAATTCAATCAAATCAAATGCATCGTAAGTTGTATGGGAGTTGTGCAAAATAAGAATACATCATCTAGAGAAGCAAAGAGTTGATCTACATATAAAAGTGATCCTTCGCTAGGCGGGACACTGGCGGCCAGCGCAGATCAGGTCCCCTGGATCCGACGCTACGGGAGCCACATTTCCTAAGCGTGCACTTGGAGGAGCTGAAGGCCGCCAAACCGAGCACTTGGCATGTGCCAGGGCCCTGGGGGTGCCTGTGTGACACAGCAAATGCGCACTTGATCAGTGGCATGTGCCTCACAAACCCGTTGACGTAGCCTGTCCACAACCTCCCACTCTACACAATCAAGGAATTTGCCTGCGCACTCGATCAAGCGCCTATTAAGAGTGCATCAGACGCCCCTATAATACGACGCTGTATACCGCAACGACGATTCCAGTGCTTTTGGGTACTATATTTGGCGGCAAGCTCGACTCGGCCGGAAACAATAGCGGCGCTACCGCATCGACTACTTTGGCAGGCACACTCTAGTCGCGACGCCTCCCCTTTGTCCCAGCCGTCGGGCAAGCTCCAACGGGTCACAACAGAACCACCTGCCACTACGAACGCAATCTGCACATCGATCAAGACGACCACTGTGAAGGTCGACACCTTTCACCGGCTGTGTTGCATGTGCGCATGATCTGGCCGCGGGCATGCCACCTTCACACCCCTACCGCACGCCAGAACCACCCGACTCACCTGTCAACGACTCCGATTCCGATGCAGACCTAGATCTTCAAGAGCTCGACCCGACAACTTCGTCACAGACAGCAGCCAGCTCGGCCCAGCGGGCTCCGCGCATCGCGCTGCGAAACCTCCGCATGGGGGGCCTGAGGCGGTCCGGCAACAGAGGTCGCGGCTATGGCGAGGCCGGCGCCAGACGAGATGGCAATGAGGATGCGATGGGGCTGCTCGAAGACGACGAGGGGCAGCCAGGCCGATACTCCGACGGCAGTCGCCGAGCCGACGACGACGCGCCTCTACTGAATGAGCATGGATCCCGCTCTCGAAGACGGCCCTCTTTCGCCAGCGATCGCCTGGCGAGTATAGGGTCGACGTTGCGCCTGCCGAGCTTTCTTTCCGTAGCGGGCTCCCAGAAGGGGGCCCCGAGTCCAGACGATGCGGACGATGCCGAGGAAGACGATCCCTCAGCATCTCGAGTTATATCAGTTGGAGCAGCGCAATCCGTGCGCTTTCCCCCGAATCTTATATCAAATGCGAAATATACCGCTTTCAGCTTCCTCCCCGTCACGTTATACAACGAATTCTCTTTCTTCTTCAACATGTACTTCTTGCTGGTAGCTCTCTCCCAGGCTATCCCCGCCTTGAGGATAGGCTATCTTTCGACGTACGTGGCACCCCTGGCGTTTGTGCTTATCATCACGATGGGCAAGGAAGCATACGACGACATTGAACGGCGGCGGAGAGACAACGAAGCGAACGCGGAGCCATACCAGGTCTTGCAGTTCAGCAAAGATCCTCCAGCACGCGACCAAGCCGGCCGAACTGCGCAGACGCTGAAGTCATCCTCGCTGCGAAATGGACGGCGACGTGCTGCCCTGAACCGGGACAGATTGGCGGATATACAGGAGGAAGAGGAGCGCGCGGAGGGTGAGGGTATTCATCAGGCATCGTCCTATGTGACGGAAGTAAGCAAGAAGTCTCGTGACCTAAAGGTTGGAGACGTTCTGAAACTCAGCAAAGGCCAACGAGTGCCGGCAGACATCGTCATCCTGAAGTGCATCACTGCGGATGTCACCCCGGCTACCGAGGCGACCCCTCAGAATACAGGCACTGAGTCGCTGCTGGTCGACACCTCAGAAACTGACGAAGCGGGCTCGCACACTTCGAGATCCAGGAAGGGAAAGGCGGCTGAAACCACGCAGTCAGAACCTGCGAGCGAAGGTCCTTCTGGTGAGACATTTATCAGAACAGATCAGCTTGATGGCGAGACAGATTGGAAGCTACGTCTGGCGTCTGCCCTGACCCAGTCCTTACCACTGGAGGAATTTGTGCGACTCCGCGTAACCGGCGGCAAGCCTGACAAGAAAGTCAACGACTTTGCGGGGACAGTCGAGCTCTTACCACCGAGGTCCGCGCGTCGGAATTACGATGTGGTTGAGGGCGAGGAGGAAGACTCGAGCTCGGCGCCCCTGTCGATTGACAACACCGCCTGGGCAAATACTGTCATTGCATCACAAGCGATCACACTTGGCGTGATCGTCTACACTGGTCCACAGACCCGATCCGCACTTTCCACCTCAGCCTCACGGTCCAAAACCGGCCTGCTCGAATTCGAAATCAACTCTCTGACCAAGATCCTCTGTGCCCTGACACTGGCCTTGTCCATCATCCTTGTCGCTTTGGAAGGGTTTGGCAATACTGAGGGCAACATTTGGTATGTCAAGATCATGCGGTTTCTGGTTCTATTCTCGACCATTGTCCCCATCAGTCTGCGCGTCAACCTGGATCTTGGAAAGAGCGTATATTCCTGGTTTATCCAGAGGGACCCAGGTATCCCTGGTGCTGTGGTGCGCACAAGCACGATCCCGGAAGACCTCGGGCGCATCGAGTACCTACTCAGCGACAAGACCGGTACTCTTACGCAGAATGAGATGGAGATGAAGAAGATCCACGTCGGCACGGTTTCTTATGCCAATGACGCCATGGACGAGGTCGCAGCCTATGTCAAGCATGGATTTGTCAGTACGACGGCAGATAATTCTCTAGTGACGCCCTCGTCTACATTCACCACAACAGCGGGAGTCACAGCGACACGGACGCGGCGCGAGATCGGTACACGGGTGCGAGACGTCGTTTTAGCCCTGGCCTTGTGCCATAATGTCACGCCAACGACAGACGAAGAGGATGGTCAGATCGTTACTTCGTACCAAGCCTCATCGCCAGACGAGATTGCCATCGTGCGGTGGACAGAGTCTGTCGGGCTTCGATTAGCATCTCGAGATCGCAAGAGCATGGTACTTGAGTCTACAACCACAGGGAAGCCTGTGGTTCAAGTGCGAATCCTGGAGGTCTTTCCATTCACATCTGAAGGCAAGCGCATGGGCATCATTGTTCACTTCTACGAGCACTCACAAGCTTCACCGCCGAGCTTGGACTCGGGAGAGATATGGTTCTATCAGAAAGGCGCCGACACGGTCATGAGCAAGATTGTTGCTGCAAATGATTGGCTCGACGAGGAAACTGCAAACATGGCTCGCGAAGGCTTGAGAACGCTTGTGGTTGGCCGCAAGAAGCTCGCACTCAGCCAGTACCGCGAGTTCTTGGCGGCATACCAGGCAGCATCTCTCGCAATCACTGGTCGCGATGCTGGCATGCAGCAAGTGGTTGCACAGCATTTGGAACACGATCTCGAATTGCTCGGTGTCACTGGTGTTGAGGACAAATTGCAACGTGACGTCAAGCCGTCTCTCGAGCTCCTCCGGAATGCCGGCATCAAAATCTGGATGTTGACAGGAGACAAGGTCGAGACGGCAAGGTGTGTTGCAGTCAGCTCGAAGCTTGTTGCTCGCGGGCAGTACATCTATACGGTAGCACAGCTCAAACGCAAGGAGAATGCCCAAGACCATCTCGACTTCCTCCGCAGCAAGACCGACTCTTGCTTGCTGATAGACGGCGAAAGTCTGACTCTGTTCCTTACGCACTTTGGGCCCGAGTTTATCTCCGTGGCTGTACGCCTCCCCACGGTCGTCGCGTGCCGGTGCTCGCCAACACAAAAAGCCGACGTGGCGCGACTGATCAAGGACTTCACCAAAAAGCGCGTCTGCTGCATTGGCGACGGTGGCAACGATGTATCTATGATTCAGGCCGCTGACGTCGGTGTTGGTATCGTCGGAAAAGAAGGACGCCAAGCTAGTCTTGCTGCCGACTTCTCCATTGAGCAGTTCTGCCACCTCACCAAGCTTCTCGTTTGGCATGGCCGTAATAGCTACAAGCGCAGTGCTAAGCTCGCCCAGTTTGTCATACATCGCGGTTTGATCATTGCCGTATGTCAGACCATGTACAGCATCGCCATCAAGTTTGAGCCAGAGGGTTTGTACAAGGACTGGCTCCTGGTTGGTTACGCCACGGTGTACACTGCCATGCCTGTCCTGTCTTTGGTGCTGGACAAGGATGTCGACGAGAACCTCGCCAACCTGTACCCCGAGCTTTACAAGGAGCTGACCTCTGGCCGCTCGCTTTCTTATCGGACGTTCTTCGTGTGGGTGGCAGTCTCGATCTACCAGGGCGGCATGATTCAGGGCCTATCGCAGCTTCTGACCGAGGTGGACGGGCCGAAGATGGTTGCCGTGAGCTACACGGTCCTCGTGCTCAACGAGCTGCTCATGGTCGCCATTGAGATCACCACGTGGCACCCGGTTATGATCGCCTCGATTGTGGGCACGTTCCTGATCTACATTGCCTCGATTCCTTTCCTCGGCGGGTACTTTGACCTTGACTTCCTACTGAGCTGGTGAGTTTTGTGTTCCCCTCTCTTTTCTGGTTCAGTCTCCATGCCGCATAAGTAAGTAGGGCTCAGTCGCTGACATTAAGCTTGGTCGCAGGGGTTTCCTATGGCGAGTCCTTGCTATCGCCGCGTTGTCTCTGATTCCTCCGTATGCAGTCAAGCTCATTCGGAGAACGATGAGGCCGCCCTCGTACAGGAAAGTGCAGGGGATTTGAGGAGCCATGCGTCAGCTTCGCGCGCATGTTCTTGGAGGAAAAGGTAAAGATGGGCAGAGTTTTTGGCTATCGAATCAGTGACGAAAGCATAGTTTCCTTTTTAACGATGAGCATTTTCAGTGGCGTCCTTGTCGTGGTTTCTTTCATGTGTGGTCATGGAGAGGTTGGTAAGGAAGGCGGTGGTCCACGGACTGTTGAGCTGCTGGCCGAGTTGTTTTGCTTTTGTACGTAGTCATGACTTTACATACATATATATCTCTGGGTATCTTGCCGGCTGGGGTGCGAATTTACCTCTATTCCATCACTCCTGGCGCCGCTGTAAAGGCGAAAGAAGTGTGCTGACAAAGCAGAGATGCCGCCCAAGACGGACTCTCTTATCTACAAGTGACGCATCGCTTCCAGGGTGATAGAGGTTGAGTAGTTTGAAGACTAGGTAGTACTATAGGTGGTACATGGCGCATCCGTGCGAGTTGGGATAATGTTAATGAACTGAGGATACAAAGCTGGCTGCCTGCCTGCCTGCTCGTTTGTTTCTTTGCCTAGGCGAGCTATAAGGAGCACCCCTCTCTCTTACGTTCGGGAAGAATCGCGGTTAACGACGACGCCATGTGTCGGCCACGGTAATCCTCCCTTGGGTTGGTTGTCCTTGACCTCCCTTCCTCGTGCCCAGGCATGTGTGTCTCACGCGTTGGTGCGCGCAGTCTGCCCTGCACGCACTACGTAAATTGCACTCACTGTGCCTCGCCCTGGGCCTTGGTTATTTCGCGGGAACGCCTGCCTGTAACCGGGTTCCGTTTTCTCGCTCCCTCTCTGTCTCGCTACTTCCCAGTTTTATCTGTTTCCGCTTCCCCTTTTGCGACAATCTGCACAGTCCACGGCTCGATTGCCCTCGCCCCATATTCTCTCCCGCTCTCTCTCTCTCCCTCTCTTACGTAACGACCTTGCCGTCGGGCTTCTTGCTCCGATGCTGGTCCCTGACAAACTCCTCGATGTGTGGATCGTGGTCTGGTCTGACTGGCGGGACGTCTGGGTCTGCCGTCGGCTTCTGCTGGCCGTTGTTGTCTGGAGAAGGGGACTTGTTGAGGATCTTGCCTAGCGGGGGGACGTAGGTTGTTACTGTCTCCGCCACTGTTTTTTTCAAATGCATTCCTCTGTTAGTGCCATGTGCCTTTCATAACTGTTGTCGTTCTTCCCCTTGTTGTTTTCGAGGTTTTACTTTGTGCATGTAAAGAGACAAGACTGGAAAATAAAGGCAAATAGCATACCCTTGTCCACGATGGTGGGTTCGCGCTTGCCTGCGTCTGGGTGCTTTGCCTCAAAGGCTGCCTTGTCGAGCTGCTGCTTGAAAGAGAGCTGCTTCTGGTGCGGCTCGGCGCCGGGGGTGCTCTTGTTGTCCGAGGTCATGTTTTGTTTTTGGTGTCTGTTTTTGTGAAAAGTTGGTGGTCTTGTGTGATTTGTGATCTGGTGCTGGTACAGAGACTTGGGTGTTAGTTGGTCGACTACTATATGGAACCCTATAGGGCAGGCATACAGGCAGGCAGACAAGCATCAGGGACCATTACCGTTTTTGACAGTCACTGCAATGCAGAACAGGGTGTGGAATTGGCAGGGGATTCTGGAAGCAGCAAAGGGAGGAAACCACAGATGAATTGAAAAGCTAGGCAAATGGCCCCCGTCCAGAGTTCAGCCGCACGATATACCAAAAGGCACGGTTGAGCCTCGAGTCAAGCAGGGTTTCGCGGCTGTGGTGCTTGGTTTGCACCGCGCCGGCGCCTTGACGTCATCCCGCTTTCCCACCCACTCGGCCGGGAAAATCGGCAGCAGGACTTTGTCAGGGCCCCTTTCCCCCCTACTGCTGGTCCTGGCTTGCACGCACAGCTGGCCTTGAGCTACTGATGGTTCTGCCACATGTCAAGTGTATGGCATGGCGGAGTCTATATTCCGTGCAGTGGCGGGCCATTAGGTTTGTGCAGGAACAGATATCGACGGCGCTAGAGCGAGGGACGAGGCACGACATGGTCATGGCATTGGCCAGGGGCACATGCCCGCCCAAGAAGGCCGTCGTGTATTGGGACCCTCGCTGGCTGGAGCCCTGCGAATAAAGGGCACAGACTGGTCTGGGATGTTGCATGTCACCAGGAGGCTCCCGATCCATGGCTCCTCTTCGCCTTGGAGATTTCTGGCTCCTCAACAACTGACGTCATCCCGCTGCCAGCACGGCGGATAAGCGCAAGCGTATCTTGGGAACCCCTGGCGCGGATCTGGAACAGGCGCTGCACTTGCAGGGCCCCCCACCCCCAACCGCCAGACCCCGCCAAAACATTTCTGCACCACCGACACCGGCCCTCCTCGACACCTTCGACACCTTCGACACTCTCGACACTCTCGACACCATCGACATTCCACGCAGCACGCCCGCAGCCATGGCGGCTCCGATCCCCATCACCATTGTCACGGGCTTCCTCGGCTCCGGCAAGACGACCCTCTTCCTCAACCTCCTGCCCCAGCTCCGCAAGGCAAACCCCTCGTACAAGCTCGCCCTCCTCAAAAACGAGTTTGGCGACGTTGCCGTCGACTCCCAGCTCGCCTCCTCCTCGGCCATCTCGGGCGTCCAGGAGCTCCTCAACGGCTGCATCTGCTGCAACCAGGTCGGCCAGCTCTCAGAGTCCCTCGCCGAGCTCGACGCCGCCATCAGCCCGGACCGCATCGTCATCGAGACCTCGGGCTCCGCCTTCCCCGCCACCCTCGCCATCGAGATCAACCGCCTCGCCCGCGAGACCGGCGGCCGCTACACCCTCGACGGCGTCGTCAGCGTCATCGACGTCGAGAACTGGCAAGGCTACGAGGACACGAGCTACACGGCCCGCGTCCAGGCCCGCTACACCGACCTCATCGTCTTCAACAAGTGGGAGCTCTGCGACGAGCGGCGCTTCGACGAGGTCCTCGACCGCGTCGGCGATCTCGAGCTCGACATTGCCTGGGTCAAGAGCGACAAGGGCAGGGTGCCGGTAGATGTCATCTTTGGCATCGATGGCGGGCTCGCGCAGGCTCTGGACGAGAAGCCAGCCCAGCAAAACGGTCACAGCCACGGACATGACAGCCACGGCCACGAGCATCACGGGGAGGAGGAGGAGCATAAGCACGACCACCAGACCGAGGTCGAGGTCCTCTCCGTCACCCTCAAACCGACTTCTTCATCATCATCCTCGTCACCACTGGCCGTCGACCCGACCAAGCTCCTCAAGCTTCTCAAGTCCGCCCCCAAGGACGAGGTATATCGCATAAAGTCCGTCCTCACCGCGCCCACCGGTTCCGTCGCCAGCTCTGAAGGCCAACCCTCGGCCGCCGCCGCCGCCACAGGCGCAACAGCTACTCCTCCTGCGGCAAGCAACCAGCGCTACATTCTGAACTGGGCTTTTGGCCGGTGGACTTTCACACCCCTCGCATCTTCTTCGTCTGCTTCTGCCGGGAGCCAGAACCAAGCACCCACAGCCACAGCACCAACAATCACAACAACATCAACAATACCAGAGCACGAGTCGTCAGATTCGATCCCCCTGCGCATGACGCTCATCCTCGCGCGCTACGAGAGCACAAAGTGGAAGAAGAAGCTCGAGGCCGGCGGGTTCCTAGAGCTCCTGCCGTCCAGCTCGACGACGGATTCCACATCGCAGGACGCGCAGAGCAATGGTACACCGACTGGAGCACGAGATGGGTGGGAGTTGACTGTGACCAAGATTGCGTAATACAGAGCAAACTCTCCAGGTCATTCCGCCGAGCTTTGTCAGTGGGTGGGGCAGGAGGAGCAGCAGCATGCAGGATCGGCTAGTACAGCCCATGTGACGTGTTGGCGTACGAGGACGTATATGTGTATATATCACGAAGATAAAGCCAGTCTGCTCTGCTCAGCGGTTGGTGGGGTGACTACTCGCCCTTCGGTTTTCATTTTTTTTCTTTAGCTGGGGATTAAGTAGATCTTGGTGTGGCGTTTTGGTGTTTAAAAAAGAGGGCAGATTACATGGCAGTTGCTGACATGTACATAAGAGTATCTAGACCTATGAATACAGATGGAATTAGAGCATAGGGAGCGAAAGACGTCGACTGGTTGATCAACCCAGATTAACTATGCATCATGTACTACACATGTTCTTGGTATATATTTAGAGCCGGTCATGCGAGCCGGCCAGATCAAGTCGCATACATACCCAGACACACACACACACACACAGAGAGAGAGAGAGGGGAAGGATCGTTGCACACAAGTTGGGGGTATCTTCGTTTTGTTATTTTGTAGCTCAAGTCCACTTTGTAGTTTCAAGTCCACCCGACATGACGCCAAGTCGTCTGCGCATCAAATCCATACTCGTCTGGGCACACCCTCGTCAATCCGACATTATGTACATAGAATCATCCATCCATCCTTGCCCCTTTTCTTTCCCTCATCCACAACCACAATCTTCATCTCCATAGATCACGAGTGCCACGGCCAGAACTGCTAGTCGGCCGCGGCCAAAAGTCCTCTCGCCCGGGAGACGCTGCGGCCGCCCCGGGCCCCATCTGGCTCGTCGACGAGCCCCTCCGGCCGTTGGCGCCAGTCGCCTTGTTGTCCCCTCCGCCTGCAGGCACGGCCAAGAACCCCCCGGCGCCATTGCCCACCACGACGCTCATCCGCGCGCCCGCACCGTTCGACCAGCCTTGACCAATGTCTGCCAGGCCGTATGAGCTCATGGGCCGCCCGCTAGTGGAGCTAGCACTCCGGTTGTGTCCACGACCCCTTCGCCCGCGACCACCGTCCGCGTCGATTGGGTCCATCCTTGTCGTTGCCCAGTCGAAGTCGTCCTCGCCCTTCGTGTAAATCTCGAGCGGCTGGCTCAGACTCAGCATGGGCGGTCCGCCAGGGAAGCCTCCGCCACCACCGCTTCGGCCGCCAAAAGGTGGCGCTGGCGCTGCAAACGGGTTGTTGGAACTAAATCGTGACTGTTGCATCTGTCCGGATGGTGACAGCCCAAACCCTCCAGGGGGGCTGCCTGGGCTACCTGGGCTACCTCCGAGGCTGCCTCCGTTGAACATCTTCATGCTTGAAGAGCTGCTCGGTCGCTGCCCGGGACCACCAAAGCCCGGTACTGGTGGTGGCAAGCCGATCAGCAGGTCTGGGAAGCTCTGGTCGCGGACATATACAGCAGAGAGCATCGGCATGCCGCCCGCAAAAAGCGAGCTGGCGAGGTAGTGGTAATAGCCGGCCGTCACGTTGGCGTAGGGGCCTACGCTAGGCGACGCGGTGATCTCATAGCGCAGAGTGCGCAGCGCCCAGTTAGTCAAGGGCGGTGTCGGCGTAGACTGAGTTGGGAACCCAGTCTCGACCTGCTCAACTACTGAAAGCGTTTCCAGGCGATGTGCTACAGCTAGCACGTCGTGGAGAGTGGCTGGGTGCACACCTGTAGCTTCAAGAAATAGGAACCTGAGACTTTGCTGCGAGTCTTCCCGAGACAGGTAGTCGACCAGGCCCTCGGCCGTCAGGCGCGGCACATTCTTCAAAATGAGCTCCTCCAAGGGGGGGAATGCTGGCAGCACGTCATTATATCTGAACACGTCGTCGTCGATGATCTTGCTTTCAGAAACTTTCAGCGCTCTCAGGTTGGGCAGCATGGCCAGAGTGTACCGCAGCTTTGTCGGGTCAATCTGGATGCGCCCGAGCTCCAAGACCTCAAGGTTCGACCAGATATTGCCAAAGCCCAAGGCTTCCAAGCTCGCCTCGCTGCCGCCGTTGAACGTCATCTTGCGCAGATCTCGACATCTTGCCTGTACTTCCAGCCTCAAAGTGTGATACGCGGGGTCGTCGTGGTAAAGCCCTTCTGGAAGATCGACATATTTGAGATTCGGCAAGACCGCGAGCGTACGAGCGAGGTCGGACGACTTGGCCTCGCGGATCATGTATGGGGTCTTGAAGTATTGCACGAGCACGCCGAGGCGTGTGGGGTCGTCACGAAGAGTCCGGCATAGCAATCTCAGGCGCGCAGCAGCGGGGTCTTCGGGCGTTCCGTTCTTGTCGAATTTCGTTTTCCGTTTCCGCTTCTCGGACAGATCGATCTCGCGCTCGCAGTAGTGTACAGAGTCGATGCGTATGCTGTGGTACCTGAAACGCAAGCAAGCAGAAATTACAGTCAGCCCAGTCCGACTCTACAGGATTATGCACCAGCAGCTCAACTAAACTCACATGACTTTGAGCGCAGATCTGCGCCACGCCCGACACACGGCGCCGGCGTGGGCGAGGTCTCGTAGGTCACAGAGCATGCAGGCGTCCTCGATGGCGCTGCTCTCGCAGTTCTCATATGTCTCGTCAGAGGCGTGGGGGCAGACAAAAGCAAAGATGCGCTCGAGGACGCGGGGCGGCAGCTCGAGCCAGGGCACGCGGACATTGCTGTGCTCGACAGCCGGGTTGTAGTACTGGGACTGGCGGCCGTTGTACATGCGATACTTGACACGCTCCATCTCGTCGTAGCTGTTGCGCTTGTTGCTCTTGCCGAGGGAGGGCTTCCATGACGACGAGGTGGCCGAAGCCGAGACGTCGCTGTTGGACTTTTTGGAGCGCCGGAAGAACTTGCGCATTGTGACGACTGCTGATGGCACCAGGAGGGGAGAGAGTAGGGTACTGAAGTACTGTGCACTTGTCTAGGGGCCGACGGGTGAAGAACGGTCGTCGGGCTGAGGCGGCAGTGAGGGTACCGCCCGGGAGATTCCAATGCAATTGACACGAAAGACGAGGTCGTCGACCGTGTCGCGCTGGTCCAGAGGGGCGTTGACGGGACCAGCTCCCGGGCCCGGTCTGACAGGGACGGGTTAAAGAGGTGGTGGTGGTAGTAGTGGGGGTGCCGAGTTTCGCCAGGGGAAGGAGGTGGCGAGAAACAGGGTTTCTGGCTGTTGCCACCGTTTGACAAGTCGCACACAAACACCCCAAGGGGAGCGATTCAACGGCGAGAGGGTGAGGCAGGCGAGGAAAGTGACGAGCAGAGATCAGGAGTCCGCGAGGTGTCTTGGAGGAGAGGAGGGAAACGAAGGCCGAGCGAGCAAGCAAACCCTGGGCTGGCGAGCCGGAGTGGAGAATGGAGAAGGTCGTCGCTGGTGGCTTGCTATGCGGCAGCGGCCTAACTGCGTGAGGCAGGGCCCAATTTCAGGGACGTGAGCGGGCTGAAGCACGCGTGCTCAGCTCGCCGCTGTGGAGATTGGCCCTCCTGCTAAGGACGGAGCACGGCACTCGACTCGAGACGGCCGCTTTGATTCCCAAAGATTGAAAGAAGGCGGTGCAGCTGTCGGTGTGGATGATGAGGAGGAGAAGGAGGACGGCAGGACACACCCCCCAACACGGTTTTTCTCCAGGTTCTCAGAGGAGACGGCCTCCAGTCCAAAAGACCCGTGGACGGCCTGTGCCACGGGCTGGCGATCAAACAATGCCCACGCCGGCCGTTACAGCGGTGCAAAAGGTCCCATTGTTCCTGCCCAGGTGCCTCGTACTCCACCTCATACCCGTCCATTGCGTGCCCGCATGGTATTGTCATCGGCAGCCTGGCCCCCAGCCTTCAGCCCAGCCAAGCATGGGGACAACCCCTGGACCCTGCCAGGGACTGGGCCTGCTTTGACGGTGGTGGTTTTGGTGGCGCTGGTCAGCGTACGTTGTGCTCCTTTCACTAACTCGTACACTCTGGCAGGACCAGCCCTTGCATTCCTCCTGACGATCTGCAATGCACTGAGCCCGGCGACACCCAGCAGGGCCGAGATCAGCCGTCGGCTGGATGACAGGCGGGCGGATGTCGTTTCGTTTCAAGTTGTTTCGTTTCCGTCGACATGCATTGCGCATAATCCACTCCCCACTACTAGATCTTGCACACACACACACACCTTGCCTATCCCCCGCGAGCCAGTGTCAATGCCAAGCTCGTCTCTACCCCAAACATAGTATCAGAAGTTGTCCATGGGTGTCTTTCACTCAATCATCAAAACCGCTCCACTCCTCCACCCGCAGGCTGGAGGAATGGTGGATGGGCATCGAGAGGCCAATCCAGGACAATTCCGACTGACTAGGATAGACGGGCAGTGCCGCAAGCCTTACGAGTGACCAGCGAAGAATCCTTCTCCCCTTCCTTCCTTCTTCGTACCTGGCCCAATTCCTCAAGGTTGCCATTCCGGGCCCAATGTGCCGCTCAAGTACATACACTTCACATATATCCCCTCGCCTTCAGTCCCCGCAGTCTGCCCAAAAGGACAAAACTGCCCAGGTCGCTAGGTCCCGGCAGACAGGTTGCAAGCAAACAGGAAGGTCAGACAACCTTGGAAGTGAGCAAACAAAGCTACTGCTCAGGCATGGCATCGCAGTGGTCACAAATCAGGCAGCCAACCAGACACGGCCCAGAAGTTAATGACCAGTCAAGCATCGCCTACGGCCTCCCGTCGCGTCTGCTCGGTAAGCCTGCCCGACATCCAATCAAGCACTTGCCAAGGGGGCAACCGCTCTCTGCCGCACGCAGGTCGGCAGCCTTGGCAGCAGCCGGGTGCAAACCGAGTTGCCGAGTGGCGCTGTTCCCCACAATCGTTGGCCCCCTTCGTTCCGAGCTTGATGACATGGATGGTTGTCACACAGATGGCACAACATGCCAGGCAAAGTGAGCAAGTCGAAAACACATCGCCAACCCTCTTCCTCGATACTGCTACATTCTGATCATGCTGTTGTGGATGCGACAAACACTATATGGTGGGAACAATGGCAAAAACAATTACGTAAGAAACAAGCGAGTGATGCCCAGCCAGAAAGCTGGGCATCTCTCCCTTCATGCAGTGTGCGCTGCGCGTCGCCAGGCACGTGTCGACAGCGCCTCTTTTATACAACCAAATTCGTCCACATCTCCTTGAGCGCCCCTCACCCCCTTTCCTGCCCATCATACCAGTTCGCGACCGCAAAGGGAGCCCTTGCCACGGATCGTTCATGAACCGCAATCTCATGGCTCGCTTCGGCTAGTATATTATGGAGGTGGCTCTGCTACGCTATGGCGCAGCGCTCTCCCGTGGCCCCTTTTGCAATCGTCACTGTGTGCGGATCGACCATTCAGTTGCCACCATTAAGCTGGATGCTGTCGAGGGGCGATGCGTCACCCGATATCGTGGGCTTCTTGGTCCGCAGGGTGAGCGGGAACGGGTACTCGTCGGGATCTTCCTCTTCACTAATTCGTCATCAAAGTTAGTAGTCATCCTGGGACATAACAGTGAAGACACTTACGGCAATTTCCAAGCAACATAGTCCTCCGTATTCAGTCCTTCGCGTCCTTCCTGCAGACTGGCGAAGTCGCCCGGTGTCATCATGCCAGAGCGGTCTCTGGGCGAGCCGGGCACAGAGAACGGCCTTGAGATCTTCTGCTCGACGCCGGGAATAAAGTCGTCGTCTTGGCGACCCACGAAGGAGTCAGGGTAGGCTCTGCGCAGAGCAAGCTGCCGAGCCTTGACATACTCCATACCCATCCTCTTCCAATCCAGCAGATCACTGAGGCGCTCGGTTCTGTTCCTCTGGTTGATTCTCTGGCGACGGCTCTTCTGGCAGAAGTCAAACATGTGCGACGTCAACTCATTGACGGAGTCATCAACACCCTTCGAGCGACGGTCGACAATGTAGATTCCATAATCACTCGAGTTCTCAATCAGCTCCTCCATGTAGCAACCAAATCCGGAAAGGTTGGTAGTGATGCTGGGCACGCCCATGACGGTACATTCCGCGGGAGTGTAGCCCCAAGGCTCGTAGTACGAAGCAAAGATACCCATGTGCGTGCCACGGACGAAGTCGTCGTAGTCAAGCGGCAGGACAGGGTTGGACGAGCTCAGGAACTCGGGGTGGAAGACAATCTTGACGCGGTCCGAAGGGTGGTTGAAGAGCTGTACGCGACGGATCTGGTTGAGGATGGGATCTTCCGAGTCATTGACCATGTTGTGTGTGACAATTGGGGGTAGCCCATGTCTCTTCATCGCAAACAGACGGCGACGGAGAAGCACCCTGTCGGCGCTGGTGATGAGCTCCTTCTCATCGGGAAGGGCGTCGCCCTCGTGCCACTTGAGTGAGCGCTCAAAAACGCGACGGCCAATTCCTTTCTCAATGACATCGACTGTATCGCGGAGCGACTTTATAACGGCCTGGCCCTTGAGGGCTTCGACTGTCAAAGATGTCGTCTGGGCAGGCATGATGACGAAAGCAACGACGGTTGTCTTGCTACCGGCCGCCTTGAGGCGATGGTTCAGACGAGCGAGAGACTCGATGAACATGTCCACGCCCTTATTTCTGAACTCATAACGACCCGCAGTGAAGAAGTAGAGCGTATTCTCGGGCTCAAAGTCGTAGTGGCCGTAGAAGTGCCCACGGACGAAGTCGTGGATTTTCTCTTTGGAGACCTGGTGGAGATTCTGGAACTCGTGCATGGCAGAAAACTTTGTGACGTTGAGTCCATTGGGCAGGACACCGTCCGGCTTGCGCTTCAGCAAGTGCTCGCTCTCGAAAGCAGTGATGTGGGAGACAGTGGTAAAGACATCGCAGGCATGTGCCGCGGCACGCTCGATACAATATCTGTGGTAAATGCCTCGTTTACCAGCCTCGGCATCGACGTCGAACCATTGCAAGTTGTTGTAGAAATCGACGGAGCCGGCGCAGAGGTAGCGCCCAAGGAGCGTGGCGTGTGTGGTGAAGATTGTGGTTACATCCATGCGCCGCTTTTTGCACAGCGGCAGAGCAACGCCCGCCAGCCACTCGTGGAAGTGGGCAATGACGGCCTTCTTCTTCTCGCGAGAGACGAACTAGAGACATCGGGGTTAGGACACGACATAAAACGTAGCGCCAGAAAGGGCCGGGTAACTCACCTCGCCAAGGAACCAGGCTACCAAGTATCCGAAGACAATGGCTTCGTTAGTCTCGTCGTCGTTAGGAGGGGAGGGGATCCCGGCAGTGTTCCAGAGATCCGCCTTCCACTCATTCATGTAGCCATACGCCGTCTTGGTGTCGATCAGGAGCACCCTGGGCGCGCCCTCGATGAGCCAGCGTCCGTACAACAAACCAATCCCCCGATTCTTCATCGCCTCGATACTCTCGCGAATAGCAGGGTTGGTCGGCTCGAGCTCTTCCACCTCGACGGCGGCCTGTTTCGCCAAAGTTTTGTCAGCGCCACCATGTAGCGTAGTTTCTCTCGACCATCTTGTAGACTAACCGATTGGTGGTTGAGAGGACCGATGAGAGTGTAGCGGTCGCCATATTCAGCTGTCGTGACAGGAGCTTTCGATTTGATGACGGAATAGATACCACCAACTGCGACAGGAACAATTAGCGTCTGGGCGAATCGAGTTGCGCGGCAACTTCCAGTTCCCCAAGGACATACCGCGGTGGGCGACCTCGGTCGCAACCTCGAACAGCAGATGGTCCTTGACCTCGCGCTGGACTTTTTCCTCCGTCTCGCTCATGGTGACGGTGCAGTCCGAGAAGCCGACAGTGTCACAGGTTGCAGAGAGCAGCTCCAAGCCTGAATGTGCGAAAGCGCCTGGGCGGTGCGATTGCGGAACTGTATGCTTCAACCTGTCGGAGCAATTGACAAAAGGTTAGTGGTAGAAGGCGAATGGGAGAGCTCGAGAGCGAGCGGATTGAACGAGAGAGAAAGAGGAAAACAAATGCTGCCGCGCACAAGTTCCCTCAAGCTCGATCTCTAGGCTGTGGATCGAGGAAATCCGATAGCCAAGGCGTGCTGGGGAGCACAGGCAATCTCAAGCTAGCGCGCAAATGCGGTTTCGGCAGGGCAGGGGCTGATGTGACGATATCATGGACAGGGGGTTGGCCTAAGAAAGCTCGTACCAAGCGTGATGATGGAAAAGTGATGCTATCGCGATGCCAGAACAGCTAGAGGACAGCGGCGCGGGCGAAGAGCAGGCAGGACGAACAATGGCAGACGAGAGGAGAAGAGGCTTGTGACCCCGAGGCAGACAGGCACAGAGATGAGGAGCAGGCTGGGGCAAGGTTTTTGGGCTACTGGGGAAGTGGAGTTGTTAAAAGGGTGGTGGTGCGCAAGACGGATACAGTATGGGGATGTCTGGCGCATGCGAGGAGGAGCACCTTCTTGTCGAGACGGAGCAAGATGAGGAGGGGCCCTGCCCGGCCCGGCAGCTGCAGGAAGAGCAGGAGCTGCTGCGTATTCCCGCATCCCATCGACTGCCGCCGCACGGCACGGCGCCGTTGCAGGCAAAGCGTTGGGCGTGGCTTTTACGTAAAGGAGGCGATTGCCACAGCTCGGGAAGTTGAGGCTCGCGGTAACCATCGCTGACAGATGCTCGACCAGATGCGCAATCCCTGTGCGAGCGGCAGCATCAATCGCGATCACCACGGCTGCAGCCCCACCACCGGAAGCAACTGGGCCTGCGACTGTGCGAGAGGCTGCGCTGCCCCATCCATTGTTCGCGAGAAATGAGATGCTCGAGGCCCACCGCGCAAGCTAGGCGCCGACAGCTGGGAGCTCTCCCCGGTCTCCAGACCCGTCTCCAGAGCGACGGGGGTGCAAGTGATGCGGGATGCGCGAGCCCCGGCGGGCATGAGGAGTCGACAAACGGCCCAAAAAGGCCTGGCGGCGGGCTGGCTAGCTGCAGCACCGGTCGCGCTCTCCCGCTAGGCAGGGAGCTTGGGCCCCGGCCCCCGGCAGCCCGTGGGAGGTAGGTACTTGCAGCAGCAGCCCATGCGCTGTGACATCAGCCGCGGTGGCTGTTAGCATGCTGGCCGGGCCTGCCATCACACCTTCTAACACGGCCTCCAGCAGCAGAGCCACTGCGTCATCGGTCGTGCCAGGTACCGCCAGTGTGGGCCCTTGGCCCTGTCCAATCGCGGTCTGGCCCAACCCGGCTCCTCGCTTGGCGCTCACCCAACACTGCCCTGGGCCTTCATCATGAACGAGGAGGAGAGCCTCCCACGGTCAATCACCCATCGCATTGCCCAGCTGCTCTTCCGGACCCGTCAGACAGGGAGGGACACAGCACTACGTTGAGGCTGACGAGCTCGAGCGAGCACTGGCCATGTCTCGCACAAGTGCTTCAGACACGAGAGCGGCCAGCACGTGGCGAGTGTCAGCATCGCGTCTGCCAGCACCCGAGATGATGAGTCGCCACCGTTTCAATGCTGCAGCTGTGTAGATTCGAGGGCCATGCTAATATCCATGCCATGGGACTCTCCGTGCAGCTCAACAACGACGGTGCCTCTGGGCCGTTTCCACCGTGCGCACCGTGGATCCGCTGAGAACCCCCACCAACTACAATTGTCTGGCTACGGTCTTGGATGGTACACAGCGAGGCGGTTGACGAGGCAAACCGGACACTGCAACCAAGAGGGATCTACAGAGGCGTCCGGCTTTGTTCTCCGCATGCCTTGCACGGTTCTCGGCCATGCCTGCTCGATCTGTGAGTTGTCTCGAGCTCCGTAGGAATCAGGGCAGGCAGGGCCACATCACCCAGGGCACAGGCGCGTGCTCATCAACGGCTGCATTCCAGCCGGCCGTGTCCCAACGCCGCATGCAGCAGAGGACACTAGGGATATGCGTGGTTAGCATTCTTGGCCCTCTGCTGGGAGTCGCTGGCGAGCAGCTTCCTTCCATGCACGACGCATGACAGGGACACACGCCTGCTTGGTCCACCCTCCCCTCCGACGCAGACTCGCCCACTTGGCACGCTGCATTCGCCCGTTAGCTCGCTAATTTGCACTTGACCCCAAACTCAAAAGTCTCGTTGCTTTGCTGCGAGCCAACCCTTCCAGCCTCAAAAAAAAGTGCCATTGGCCTGCTGGTTGAATTCTGTCAGCCTCGATGTCCTCGACTTCACTTTCCCATCTGCCGGCTGGTAGACAGGACCGCTAAGCCTTGCTCTACCATAGTAGCTCTCTGAAGCTCAAGGCCTGCCGATGGCCAACCCACCCCCGACACCCTCATGGGGGTTCCCACACCCCGCATCTCCAGACACGAGCGGCGTGGTGTTGCACAGCTGATCGGCGGCCAAGAGCGCCAAATCCATGGTCTCTTACATACATCTGCCATTGCCGTGGTAGTGAGGGGCGCTCCAGGGTTACATGGTACAGATGTCATGATTGCGTGCGCAACGGGGACATGCTTGCAGACGTCACAGCGACAGACATGACGTTCTAATCGTGGACTGCTGAGACTCGCTGGTGGCGCTCTCGTGACTCAGCATCATATCTCCGGGCAGGACTCGATGGAGGCGTCATTCTTGTTTGCCCAGAGGGAAGCAGCAAGGAGTGGCCGCCTTGATCAGCATTCGACAAGAAACCATTGGCATTTCCCCAAGCCTTTTCCTCGCGGGCTAGGTCTCGAGTCATCAATGCAGGGACTGAGCTGGACCCTGATCAATCGCTGGCCTGCATTGTGCTACTATTGTTGCATGCACGAAACTCCTACCCAACCGGACCGACAGGCAGGCCCTCTTTGGAGTAGGTGTGGGGAGATGGGATGGTTGGAGAAGCGCTAGAGCGACATCGCAGCCGCGCATTAGTCCAGTGTGAGTTGCAAGGAGCTAAATTCGGCGCAAGCCGGCTCAGCACGAATACACCTTGGGGCCTAAGCGACGCCGACGGCCGTTGTCGCGCCTGCACAAATTTTTTTTTTTCCCTCCTTCTCCAAAAGTGAGCAAAGCAGAGGCGCTACACAGCTCAGCTCGGTCCTACGTCGGCCAGCGCGGGCGGAGGGGCGATGGCGTGGCGCCGACGGAGGACAGTAATGCCGTCCGTGTTGGTGGTAACCGCGCACCATGTCAAGGGATGGCGTCCCACTAGTTGGTTTCCACTGCTACCCTGTGACAGGGCAAATTCAGATGACAACGCCAGCTGCCGATGATATCGAACAGAAATGGAACAGCTATGGTGGGCTTCGCGTGCGAGTTTTTCCGCCTCGTGATGCGAGTCTGATCTGTCATGCTAGGAAGCGATTAGATAGCGGCGTTCCTTCGTTACGAGATTTTCCTTCCTTTTAAAAATCGATTATAATAAAACAATAATAAAAGCAGTTGTGTTTTTCCCCCAATAGTAGCGTTCGTTCATGGCAGTGCTTGTTCAAGCGCTTTACGACTCCGCTATCTGGGATTCATTGACGGTAGAACATGTACAAGACATTTGCAATTCATTTGAGAACGAACCTTGATGCGAAGGATCATGTACACACACACATCTCCATGCCCCGTTTCGGGTCGTGAAGTCACATGAACCAAAATAAATAAATAAAAATAAACACCAATGAAGCACGAAATCATCCCCCCGGGTCAAAATTCTCATCCCATTACGCTAGACTGCTGCTATGGAGTAGTATTCTGGGCCCAAAGACGCGGGAAGCTTGCGCGCGGTACGACAAGGTGCAACATGACAATATGCTCGGTGCCGGAGACAATATCAACTGGAATCCAGCACATCAGTGATGAAAGGCAGCGCATGGTGTAACACTTTGATGTCGACCCCCCCCCCTTTCGGACGGCTGCCACATGCAGCTCGCCCGTACTCGTTTGCGAAATATGATATTTCCCAGAGATACATTCCATCAATGCTTTGCAACACAATATGGATCCGAGAGAAATTCGACAGATGTATGCAAAACGAAGCGCCAAGTCTTTTTTTGCTCCAGTGAACAAGGTCTGCAGGCAGCTGCTGAAATGGTTTCCTCTGTCTTCCGTTAGGTGTTTCCGTTCATTTCAACGTTCATGAAGCATGTGGTTTAGATGAAATTGGAGGCCGAGAAGACCAGAAGATAAGATGGTCGGCGAATTGTGAAAAGTACAGAACACCAAGCTTCCTCCCGGATAGGAAGCGGCTTGAGCCTGGGAGGAGTAACTGCGTTATTCACTGCAACAGGTGACCATATATCTGTTCACCCCCCAGACTATATACTACTGACGGATTGGATACATCATAGGATGTGGAGGTCCTGAGGTCTGGGTGAATTTTAGGTGGCCGACTTTTTAGAAAAGGGTTCTCTTGTGGCCACGACCAAAATCCTCAGAGACAACAATAGCATGTCAGCAACAAGATAGTAGCATGTTTGGACATGAACTTCCAACTTCGACAGTAGACTTCAGGCATTTCTGTCTCTTCAAAGGCAGGCCGATATTTTAAGATTGTGCTGGATTCTTATGGACGTTGTGGGATTCTACTTAACCAGCACAGCGACAACACAGAAGATGGCATAGCACGAGCGAGGACAGCGGCAGCTTCACTTTTGAGCACACCGCGTGGGTACCGTCGGGTATTGGGCGGCTGCCGTCAGCTCCTCTGATCTGACTTAACATGGTTGCATCTCAAAGGAACCCCGTCTCCCTGAGTCCAAAGAAAGGGGATGAGAGCACACACTCGCAGCTTAGGCATGAAAGGGTCACTGTCACCAGGCAAGCAAGCAGGGACTTGAACTCCAGGTCAGCTCGAACCATTAAGTATCAGTCGTATAGTAGGATGAGAATAAAAACATGGATAAGTATGGAAAAGATAAAAAAAGAAGCAGCATCGAAAAGATCCAAATCCACATGTAAAGCTGGTCACCCGGACCCGTCTCTCTGGGTACGCCGACGGGCCAGACCCTCCCACAGGATTCTCTCTCTCTCTCCAGATCGCGGCACCCTGTACTCGCTCCCTTCTCTCTCGGAAAAAGTGGTGTGGTCTCTCGGTATCTCGCCCGTCTCCCGGGCAGTGCAAGTGTATGCCTCTCTCTCAAGCAGTACACCCACACTGCCTGTCAGACAGGACTCTCTATTGAACAAAATTAGATGAATCTTCTCCCACCACCTCTTTCTCAAACCCCTTCGTCTCCAGGGGGGAAACCAATCAAAACCACACATGAACATCGTGAAGCTGTACCTCTTGCGACCGGGAAAGTATGCTGATTGGAAGGTGACTGATGCGCGCAGGCGGCAAGAAGCGGCTAGGTTTGTGTGAGGTCGAGCGTGTGCTCAAGCCAAGGGTGAGGACGACCCATGATTGATCCTTTCCCGCGCCGACAAACCACGACCATGTGCCATATTCCTCTGCAACATAACTTTTCTGCCAAAGAATTTGGCTTTTACGCCTTGAGAGAGCGCCTCGAAGACGGAGTCCAAGACTGCCAATCCATTTACAGAAGGTAGATGTAGCCAGCGATGACGGCGAGACCAGAGATGAGACCCAGACTCCGGGAGACGGAGGGGGCGCCGGCGATGACGACGGGAGGGTTGGTCTGGCCAGCCTGGGTGCCGGTGGTGACAACCACTGGGGGGTAGACAGGGGCGCCGGTGCCGACCACGACGGGGCCGGGAGGGTAGGTGGTGGCCACAGCCTCGGTAGCCTCAGACTCGTAGATGGTGACGGTGGGAGTGACACCGCAGGTGTCGCAGGTGATGGTAACACCATTGCCAGTGATCACAGGAGGAGGGAGGGGACCGGTAGGCTTGGCGGTGCCGGTAGTCGGGCAGGTGATGACATACTCCGGAGTCGGGCAGACGGGGCAGTGGACAGTGGTGACACCGAATCCTGGGGGGATGACCGGGTACTGGTAGTACTCGCAGCTGCCGTAGCAGTAGTCGGTGATGACATATGTAGCGTCCCAGTAACCAGTCTCGCAAGCAGCGGGCAGGGTAGTCGTGTAGACGGTGCTGACGACGGTCGTCGTCGACGCCGGAGGCGTGCAGTAGTTGAAGGTGGAAGTGATGGTAGACATTGTGGTGGTGGGTTTTTGTTGTTAAGTAACGAGTGATTAGAGATTACCAGAGAGCTGATAGCCGGATGTCTGTGTGAGAGCTGCTGGAGAAAAGAGTGTAATGGCCAGAAGGCAACGAGTGAGCAGCTGGTGGTAGATGTAGTAGCGAATGACTGATGCTGAAGCTGGGTGCAGAAGAACGCTCTAACTTGAGCCGGACATTGTCCAAGTCTTTATACCGGAAGAGAGACAGGCTCGCACGGGTTCGTCGACGCTGGCCGAGCGCGTCCTCATCAGAGACACGGAGCAGCCAGTCGTGGGCCGCCCTTCGCCCGTCCCAGCATCCAGTGAAGAATGGCAGGTGATTTCTTCGCATTCCAGCAGGTTTGTCGCCAGTTAGCCTCTGGACCGATGCCTCTGCTTGGGGCATCGGCGCCGTAGCACTCTAGACTGAGACGTCGGAATCCACAGCCGCTCATGAACTCCATACGGTCTCACTATTCGCTTGAGACACAGAGGGGCAAGCCGGGCTGCTCATGACCGCACGCGTCATGTCGGATACATGGGCACACGAAGTTCGGCCTGAACCTGCTTCTCCTTAGCAGGGCGAGAAGAGAGTGGTGCCGGTCACACTTTGGCGAAAGCGGAATGGGCTGTCCCGTCCAGCCGAACTGGCCCAGCCAGGAGGTCGACTCCTGCTATCCGTCGCGAGGAGGTCAAAGTTGGGAGGGTCCGAAGGGCAGCAGCAGTGGGACTGACTGCTACACAGGCAGGAAGCGCAGCATCCTCCTTGATGCACGAGACAGACTGGCGCGGCCCTCCCCCTTCGCACAGGTCTGCAGACAATGGGGCCTGAATGCCTCAGCTGGCACAAATCATCGTGAGCTGGGCGGCAACGGTCCCTCGCACATAGCGGTAGGGAGGGCGGGTCATGGAAGCCATTGCGCTGGCATGAATCTTAGCGTATGGTCATGTCAACAATGAGAAAGCACACTACAGATTGAATAGAATTCCAAGGCGGAGACAAGACTGCCACGTTGCCTGGCGCAGTGGCACGCAGGAATTCAGGCGTCTCTGACGACGGGCAGATGAGGGCGGCGGCGCCTTGTCATGTCGACTCGACCCAGAGGCAGGCACGCGAATCAAATAAAAATAGCTGCTGAGGAGCGCAGGCAATGGTATGTACCCTCTAATTTCGACATCTGCCGCACACTGTCATGTAGACGTTCGGTAGACTTCCTAAAAGGACTGGGAGATGCTCTCCAGAGTGGTTCTCGCTAGGCGAGATGGCAACTCGTCACTGTTGAGGTTCGAGGCGACGGTCGTGGCTACTCTGTGTAATACTTTTTGATCTGGAGAGGGAAAGGGAAGAAGAAAACACGAGAAATCTCTGGAGAGCGAGCTTTTCAATGGTTGCGGCCATGTGGGGGCGACCAGCAACCCCGGCTTCCTCGTCGTTTCTACCTGGCTTATCGGCTATCAACGCAGCTGCGGCCAGCTGCATCCAACGTCCGCCATGCTTTGATGCTGGGCGCGGTGGCCCGCGTCCAAAGGAGTGCATCAATCGTGCTTAATGGCACTCTCGACTGCCTCATCATCGTTCGCTCGCAATGTATGCATGTCAAGATTCGCCCAAAATCTAGCAAGGTAGAGAGGCCAGGCCCAAGAATGGCCTCGAGATTGTTATGATTCTTGGTTCAACTCCCTTCGACCCAGATCCGAGACATGCGCACACCCGCGCCTAGCCTAGTGCTCGACGGTGTCCGCCCCTCCCCTCCTGCGTGGAACGCCTTCTTGCGCAGGGCGAGCCAGGCCCTCAGTAAAGGTATATGATTTGATGACATTCGATTCCTCAGAACAACAATAAATACAGTCCACCCTGGCCGCTGGCCCCAGCTGCATTTCAAGACCCATAGCCCGACTCATGCGCATACCAGCAATCTGGAATTGATGCCATAAACCCTTGTCTCCTCACACATCGCGTCTAGGCCGGACCTCTCCCTCGGCCGATCCCTGATCAGGCCAGATAGGCATGTGCCGACGGATCCTCTGTTGTTTCGTATGACTGCGGCAGTAACCATCACTGATATAAAGACTCGCCTAAGGGCCGTGCCTTGGTCAGCCAGCTACACGTCCTGCCATGGAAGACTCGGCCTGGTGCAGGCTCGTTTGGGCTCCCAGATTTTTCCAACGGGTGACAGCGACCGCACCCATTCGACTCTCTGCCTCCAGAGATCCGCAATCAAGTCTGAGCTGTGGTGTTTCCTCCAATGGCCTGCTTCTCCGAACACTCTTTCCCATGTCGTCTCTCAGCCAGGCCCAATCTTTGGCATGTCATGATGCTCACTGAGCCGTGACAAGTACGTGTTGAGCTCCTCGACGCGCTCCTTGTGCGTCTTCAGGAGCTCTGGCTTCGCCTTGCCAGACTCCATCATCTGCAGCATCCGCCGACGCTGTGCCTCCTCGCGTGCTTGTTCGGCCTTGGTCCTGTACCTTGTTCCCGAGGACTCGGCCCTGTCATGATCTTTGTTGTCGTCATCGTCGTCGTCGTCGCGCCTGCGCTCTCTGCTGCTGTCTCCAGGCGACCGCGACCTTTGCACCCGCTGCTTCTTTCCCCGACCTGCATCATCATCATCATCTGTGCCCACCACGGCCACAGCGTTACTGATTGCTTGTTCTGCTTCTCTGCTGCTGGCCTTGCTTTTCTTCTTCTTGGACTTTGTGACCTTGGCGCCTTTGAGCTTGAGCGCTCCGGGAACGAAGCCCGCGTAGTCGTCTGACGGCATCGTTCTCCGTGGCTGTCGCAACCCTGTGCGGCGACGTGTGCCAGGTGTTATCGAATCCGTCGCCGTCCGCGTGGCGCGCGGCCGAGGGAAGGGGAGGGGGTTTGTTTGCGCCGAACGGCAGGCTGCCGGTTCGTTTGTCCGTCCCAGGCGTGGTGGACGGTCGCGGTGTGTCTCCTGGCTCGTGCAAAGGACCGATCGATCTTGGTGGGTTAAGACGGATCCGGGCTTGAGCTGGTTAGAAAGGCCGAAAGGAAGCTCTCTTTTGTTAGCCTGGGGCGCGCGCCGCCCATGGAAGCACCCCACAGTCTCCACCTCGTGGTTGGTTGCGGCGAGGTGTGGAGCCAGAGCGCATTGGGTTCCTCCAAAGTTGAACGGGCAAAGACTCTGAAAGCGGCTTGGCGTCCACAGGTTTCCATTGAGGCTCTGCGTTTCCTTTGTTTCGGGGGCCTGCTTCTCCATATCCACACTACGTTTTCCATGTTATCTGTCGTGCGCCGTCAATTCCCATGAGGTCCTACCATCTAGACAAACTGCTTTGGCTCAGATTGCTTACGATAGTATCTGGGTCGGGTTGCTTGATATGGGAGTAAGTTAGGTAGCTAATTCATTGTGCGAACAACTAGATGAAATGCCAAACATTCTCTGAGGACCTCGGATGGCAGCTCTGGCCAGGTGCGCAGAATGGGGAGCATTCCAGTAACAAGGCCGAGCAAGCTTCAGACTTCAGCACGGGGGCAGAGTTTGATCGCTCGCTAGTCTGTGTCGAGGCAAGGCCCGGCTCAGACAGACACGCTGAAGCCTGCGCTGCTTCATTGCATATTGCATCACTATGAAGACTGTTACTGAACAATCACAAGACCTGTATGATGCAACTCAACGAAACAATGTCTATTGTAATATGCCAACGCTATGCATGTCCGATAGTCTTTCCGTATATGTATGTGTAAGAACTCGATGGCCTTACTCTGCTCTTCGGGGTTTCATTTCAGTCGTAAAATAGGAAAATCAAAGGCCATGCGACATACAATGCCGATTCCACGTGCTGTGGTTTGCTGTCGCAGATTCATTGTTCTTTGGCGGACTTGTGGCTGCACATCGTCATGAGCGCCACCCCAACAATCCCCTTGAAGTGATGGCACTTGAAAAATCTTCATAACCATGCCATGGTTTCAAGCCAGTATGGCCATGGCAGCAATACCGCCAACAAGCAACTCGAGTAGCGGCAGCCGTTGGCTGGAACCGACAGGCACAGCAGCACCGCTTTGCAGGCTTGCATCGACAGTCTTGGATGTCGTTGGGGTCTCAGGTACGCCAGGAGTGACAAAGGTGACCGAGGTTAGCGTGAGCACGGCGCCTCCAGGCAGTGTCGTCGTCTGCACGTTGGTCTTGGGGCAGGTACTTGGCCTGGGCGGCGAGGTGGTTGGACCTGCGTATTTTGCTGTCAGTCAGCCTCTTCCGGATAAACACCACTTTGTGTGCTTGTTAAGAAAAGCGCTACTGACCTCTATCGGTGGTGCTGGTGGTTGCCGGGCCAGTTGTGGTCGTCTGCTCCGTGTTCGATGGGCTGCTGGAACTTGAGCCGGTTGGCGTCGTGGGAGTTGGGCCCGAGGTTGTTGTGGGCGGCACCACGACCGAGTCCGTGGTTGAGGGCAAGGACGTTGAAGGCTCCGAGACTGTGGGTGTCGACGACTCTACTGGCGGAGTTGACTGGTCGGGCGTGCTGGTGGTAGTCGTTGGGGGCTCGTTGGCCGAGCTGCTGGATTGGGTATTCCCAGGATCATCTGTCGTGGTTCCGTTCTGCCTCCGCTGCAGTTGCGCTACAGTCGAAGAAAGAGCCGGGTCGATCTCGAGAACAGCTTCGACGGCGGCATGATCGCTATCAAAGACCCCATGCTGGAATCCTGTCACTGTGTGCAAGAACTTGTGAAGAGCTTCTGGCGAAGCTGAGTCTATCAGGCGAGCCAGCGCGGACTTGTCGTGGGCGACATCAACCTCGATACAAGCATGTTCTTGGCCGCTGGAACAGGCATCGTCGGGAGCAGAAGAGTCTGAGTGAGCAAAGCCTACCACCACAAGGCATCCGACCAGCAGAGCCACAAGTAGTGCTCTTGCAGTAGGCATTCTGCTGGGCTTTGACAGCGGCGGCGAGACCAGATGCCTTTCGTATCCTGCAGGCTCAATGATTGTCTTCTCCCCTACTCGAACGTTTGCCGGTTGCGTTGAGGCAGCGGATAGCGGGAGGAGATGGTCCTGCTGATGACGCGGGATGGGTGCCATTTTGAGGAGTCGATGCAAGACGACCTCTTACAAGAAAACCTGATGTGTAATGAGGATAAAAAGCAACTGGATGTGGTTGGCAGAAAGACACAGCTGCGGACTAAGGCAAGGCTACTGCTCGTGCTTGCATGCGGCTTCGGAAGCAAGCAGGTATTGGGCGTGCGGATCGCTGGAGACAAAGGCGACGACGAAGAAGGTTGGTTGGTTCGCGGCGGGAGGCCGGCGAGTGTGGTTTATTCTCGGATCCGTTTCACGGGACGCTGTTGCATCATCAGCACACAGGGCGGGGGCCGCTAGGCTCCAACGGCAGTGCCTTGAAGCTGTCTCGATGTTGCGAGGGGCGGAGTAGGATGGTGGGCTGCAGGCCGGCCAGTCTGCGCCGGACTGGAGGCAAACAACGAGGGACAACCTGGCAAGCTGGACAGGTCAGAAAGTCGAGAGAAGCTGAAGCATGCAGCAGCAGGGCGGGTGGAGAGGTCCTGGATGTCAAGATACAGATACGAGCGGATGCGGAGGGGGGCGGGCGGGCTGGGGCGGACCCTCCGAGCTGTCGCGGAGCTAGGCTATGGTAGCTGCCTGACGCCAGGCGTGCCAACCTTGGAAACCACTGGCTATGGACTGTCGACCCAGCAAGCAGCCCTCGTATCGCTTCACCGAGCAACAGCCACTACTTCGAGGCAGTCTGCGCTGCGACGAGGCACGCACTCTGGCAGCCACACAATCGTCTCGCATACCAATACACTCAAACACCATCATGAGCTCGACCGGTTCGTTCACTCCAATCTGCACCTCACACACTTGTGTAAGTATCACCTCGCGCAATCGTCACCGGGCCGGGGGGGCCCTGCCACAGGAGGAGTGGGAAGAAGGAACCACGATCCCTGCTCGCCGTGCAGGTGGCAGGAACTCCGAGCTTCAGGCTGTCCGCCTGAGGGAGATCCAACATCGCATGAGCGCCGGAGCAACCAGGAGGCCCCTGCCCGGAGCTGGAGCTCGTGCTCCTAGCGGCCGCGCCATTGGGGACACGACATCGACCACCGTGTCGCCCAGCCCCTTTCTTCCACCACAACCATCAAACTCTATCATGACTGCAGACCGGTGCGTCAAGAAAAAAAGGACCACGTCGCCCACAGCCACACTGCAGTGCAGTCAGCAGCGGGGTCCAGCCTAGGCCGAGAGGATCCAAGACGCATGTAGGGTTACGGGCAAATCCATTCAGCCCAAAGTGCAACGTCGCCCGGTGCGGTGTGCTGCCGTGCTCCTTCTGCATCTTTCGCACACTGCGAAATGGTGCGCTTATCGACAATCATCGATGGTTCTTTGTCGACACTCGAGAAATCCCATGCTGGCGGGTCCAGCAGGAACACGGCTACCGGCCCCGTCGGCCATGCCAAGCCCTTGTTCGACATGGCACGCCGTCAAGTTCAACGGCCCACCTTCAAGTACTATTGGCGCCCTGTCAGTGGCGGACTGTTGTCCGTGTTAGGTAAAATGCGCTTTATCAACAAGCCCTGATTTCGGACAGCCAGCAACAACCGTCGAGTTGAGCTGCTGCCAGGTCTATCGCAGCAATTGCCGGACTGCCGTGCTCTAATTAGTGCTCCCTTGGGCAACTCGGGGGACACGGACCTTTTGGTGCTTCAAGCGCCATCATGACGTCGTCGTCACGATCGATACGAGACCCACCGAGACAGTGCCCTCTCGTGTGCCATGTCGTGTTGTTGCAAGCCTGGCGGTTGCGGTCACACAAAACCCACCCATGGACAGATGCCCGGGCCGAGCAATTTCTCGCCTTCGGTGGTGACGCGTGTTCTGCGCGTTCGACCAAGGAACATTGCGCGGCATCTAAACTTCATCATCTAGAAAATGAGTGCTACGGACTGCCTCCTGACATTCAGCTCAGATATTTTCTGCTGTTTCCTGCATCACGACATGTCCGTTCCATGCTTGCACCTTATTTGCAGCTAAAGATGCGAGCTCCGCAGTCTCACATCCCACATGATAACAGAACACAAGCTCGCTCGACAACAAGGGGATTGTCGTGCTACTGCTGGTGTAGCATGAATCACGATTTAGTAGAAGCCTTCATTTGTGGGCATGCAGAATTGAGCATCGGCGACACTGCCGCGTCTCTGGTAACTTTGAAATCTGGCATCCTCGGCTGCCGAGGCGTGGGGCTTGCCAGTGGACAACGGCGTATTAGCTAAATGTATGATGGATTGTGTCTGGACTAAGTGTATGACCCTTGGACCTAATGTCCGGTCGACTATCAAGAGATATGGCAGTTGTTGGGAGCTCTGCTGGTCGATTTGTAGTTTGACACCGCCCTTGCATACACCGACTGTTGAGCATGGCAGGAAGGAGGCAGGCTTCACATGCTCAAGTGTCAAAAAGGTGAGAGTGGGGTCTCCGGCCGGGACGCCGGAAGCGACTGTTCAGGGAGCGCACCTTTTATCTTCCCAAGGTTGTGTCGTGGGGCAGAAACATTGGAGCTCGAAGCATGCCAGAGGGGTCTTGGCCCGTCACACCTTGAAGCTGCTTCCGCGTCGTCACCGTCGAGGCACAGCACCAACAGAAACCACGAATCCGCGCCTTCAGCCAGTCATAGCGCCCACTGCCACGCGTGCACTCATTGTACGATACACCTAGAGGCACGACGACCTCCCGTCCGGTGTTGCTCATCACTTTGAATCGATTACACAACGCCACCTCGACAGCAGCAGCGCTGTTCTCCAGCTAACGACAATCGAGTTCCGAGCCGGCCGGTACGGTCCTGCCACATTGCCGATCCACGGAGCCGCATTGCGATGCGGGAACCCAACCGCCCATCACCGACGGCCCAACCCTGATACGAAACCACCTTCTTCATTTGCATGACCTTGCTGGTCTTGCTGGCTGGCCCCGCGCAAAGTCGAACCGCGCCAGCCAGCTGGTCTCGTCATGCCTGAGCTTCTCGACACCTCCGCTGCTGGTCCCGCTCTCGAGTCCCCCTCCCTAGCCGACCACGACCAATTGCGCATTCTTTCCCGATCGCCTCACCCATACCACCGATATAACTCGGAGCTCCTCGAACCTGCTCAGGCCTTTCCGGCGTCGAAATCTCGGTCAGGGACCCTTCGGCCTCGCACAGGGTACCCCTACGAGTCGCACGATGCCTCCCTTAGCAGCGCTAGCGGCACTGAGGCCGACGACGAGCACTTTCTCAAGGGACTGCCAGCGCCTAAGCGACACCACAAAGGTGTGAGGGGGCTGAACGAAGTCAGCTCTGGGACGAGTTCTCCTGCCCCATCGCCTGCGATTGTCAAAGATGACGTCCAAAAGTTTGTGTTCAGCTCCAGGCGAGGCACCCCCAAGGGCCATGCTCAGCAAGCCGCAACCGTGGACACACGGAGGAGGAAGGAGGTTGCAAGACGCTTCCTCGAAATCGTAATTCTAGGCGGTCTCTGTCTGGCTGTCCAGAGCAACACTCAAGTACGGCGAGTCCTACGGAGTTGGAAATACGGTACGATTGTCTTTCCCAGCGAGCCGATCCTCTACAGTATAATATACTGACAACCAAGCAGAGCTTTACGCCGGCCTGGGAATATACACCTTGCTAGTGCTTCTATATCCGTTTCGGCTCATGGCTTGGGCCTATATACGACGAAAACCAACCACGGCATTTCCCATAGCCGTTCCCGCATCCTTCGACCCAGCACCGGCACTGTATCCACCCTTAATCACCTTAATCGTGTCTTGGATCGTGGCAGTCGACAACGCCGCTCTAATACCACTAAATATTGTTCTCGCTATCGCGTCCCTACCTGCGGCACTGGTGCCGTCCACCAGCTCAAATTCCACCCCGAACCCTATACACTGGATTATATCATGCATTCCTATAGCCATTGCGGCACAGCGAGAAGACGTCAAGCTTGGGCACTTGTGCCTGGCAGAGGTCGATAGCATGCGCCCGTGTCTATCGGTCGAAAACGCTACTCTCTTATATCCACTTCACCACAGCCTTTGCCTGGTGTTGAATGCTCTCACCACCACGAGCCTACTCACTGCCGAGCTTCAGTTGCTTTCGGTGGCACTGATCAATCTACAACTGATGGCTGCATCTCCTCAGATGCTCATCATGAAAGCGATGCTCTGGGTTGGGGGCGTGGATCTTCTTCTTGCTTGCAGCCATGTTGTCCAGTGGGGAGTCGCGCTTGCTCGCGTGCCGAAATGGAGGTTCAAGCGAGTCTCGAACACGACAAAGCGCAAGCCATCTTTCTTCTCGGCCGTCGTCCCATGGCGCAAAGTCAGGCATGAACTCTTCCATACATCATTGGACAGCTCGTCCTGTAGTTCGTGTGAGGCTGCTTACGATGAGCACGACGGAAGTGATGGCGCGGGTGTATTGCCATCACGTGGTTTGAGTCGCGTCACCACAGTCCAAATGGACCGTTCACATACTTTGACCAAAACTTACGAAGAGTTCCTGCCTGAACGTGTTTCCGACGATGGCAGATCGGCTAAGGAACAGGTGTCCTTCGCGCCTCTGAGGCGCCATACGATGCCTAGCAGACCTCATGTCCCGCCTAAATCACATACACACACGCCATCCGGGCGTCGGAAGCGCTCTACCTCAAGCTCTGTGAGGGCCTTCTTCTCGCTCACTCAGGAGCAGGCAAGTGCTAGAAAGTGGATCTATGCTATGTATCTCTACATCTGCATCATCTTCGCCATATTTGTTCCAGCTCCATTTGTGGGCGCCATGGAAGTCGTTAGGCAAGAGGCGCTCGATGGACACGAAGCGATAGGCTGGGCGCTTGGCTACATGTTTGGCGAGGTCCCTTGGTTCAGGTGGCAAGTCGTCAGTAACAACTTGCAGAGATGGATATGTCTACCACCACGAACCCACCAAGATGAGACAACGATTAGCACCTCGACTGGGTGGGCAGAGCATATACGCTATGACTACCTTGGAGAAGCTACGACTAGGCTCGCACTCAGTGGATACTGTGCGGTTGTTATCGCCGTGGGTCTCTGCGTTGTGTTCACCCTGTCGCCGTTCTACGAAGTCGACACGCGGCGGAAAGTATTCCACTTCATGATGGTGGCCATGTTCTTGCCTTCGATATATATCGACCCAGCCTTTGTGGCCATGGCATTGACCGTCATACTCGGTCTTTTCCTTCTTCTCGACCTGCTTCGAGCCAGCCAGCTCCCACCTTTATCCAAGCCGCTGGCCTCCTTCCTAGCTCCTTACGTGGACGGCCGAGACCTGCGTGGGCCCGTTGTGATCTCTCACATCTTTCTACTCATAGGCTGCGCGATTCCACTGTGGTTATCGCTGGGCTCATTGCCTCGGACCGGGTCCGCATACTGGGCAGGCTGGGAAGTGCCCACACGCGAAGTGAGCATGGTAGCAGGCGTTGTCTGCGTTGGCCTGGGCGACGCGGCCGCATCCCTTATTGGCCGCCGTTATGGACATCGCAAATGGTTCTGGGGCGGAGGCAAGAGCATCGAGGGTAGCGTGGCATTTGCCGCAGCCGTATTCGCCGGCTTGACTGCTGCGTACGCGTGGCTGCGCATCGGCGGATGGGCCACCGCAGCTCACCATGAACATATCGTGACATCGGTTTCCGAAGTCCCGGCAGTACTTGCCAAGATTGGCATATGTGCAGCCACTGCCAGCTTGACGGAGGCCGTGCTCACTGGAGGCAACGACAATGTTATTGTCCCAGTAGTTCTGTGGATCTGCGTCAAGAGTGCTGGAATCTAACAGCCGCGCCTGCGAGGGTGGGGTTTTGCTTTCCCTCCCTGACCAGGGACACTACTTAGTCCACTTGGTCCCAGAGAGTCGAAGATTCCCTCACTTGATGCAAGGGATACTTGTTCAGGAGAGTGAACCTTAGGCCTTGTCAGAAAACAGGGGAGATAAATAGATGCATAATGAATAAAAGAACATCATCTCAATAAAAGAGCATACGACTGTGATATCAGCAGCACAATACCAAACGCACTGTAGCCACAATGATACGACATGTAGGCGGGCCAGGCCGAGCACAAAGGAAACCCCCCGTCTAAGGGTGACGATCAGACACCTAGGTGGTAAACGTGGCATGAGATTGCATCCTTCCTCCGCCGGTGGGACTTGTGGCTCTGTCGCTCATTGCATTTCTTTTTTTTGGGCTGCTGCTGCTCCTCGGCATGAGTGTACTTGAGTACTTTGAGCACGTATGTACAGGACCTTTTTATCCACATGCTTTGTGCAATTCCTGCCGTGAGGCCCTCAGGCAGGCTGTGTGTCTTTAGTCTTGACTGTTTGCTCGGCAGCACTGGGCGGCTGGACGTCCCTTTCTCACTTTGTTTGGAGGGAACTCTCGATGAGACCGACGGGACTGGTGGTTGCATAATGTAATGTTCGCGCTTGGCAAGACAGAACCTTTTTGTCTAGTTTAATCTGTCTCATTTAGTAGCTTCGTATATCTCGTGATATGTACAGGGTCATCTTCGCCAGTTTTGAGAGTCTACATTGCCACCTGGGGGCGACAAGAAAAAAAAAAGAAGGAAGATCTTGACAGCCAGTCTTTCACACCGCAATCTCGTGCTTCACCCACTTCTCGAGGCCGCCGCGCGCGATAATCTCCTGGACGTTTGGCGGCAGCTCGCCAACCTTCTGGCTCCAGGTGTTGCCACCCTCGCCTTCGGTGATAGTGACCTTGCTCCTCCGCACGTCCCAGGCGAACTTCCAGTCCGTCCTCCGAGTCAGGACCTTGCCGGCGTCCGACGAGGCGTCCTTGAAAGTCTCGCGCAGGCGCTCGACGAGGCGGGGCACCTCGACGCCCATCAGAGCGTTGTTTATGCTGTTGCGGCTAAAGATGTTGCCAAAGCTGCCCGCGACGACCATGGGGATCTTCTTGGCCAGGATGGCGGTGGCGGCCTGCTCGCGGGAACTGCCACAGCCAAAGTTGAAGCCGGTGACGAGGATGTCCCCGGCCTTGGCGACCTCACGGAACGACTTGTCATAGTTCTCCATGCAGACCTCGGCCATCTGCTCGACGGTGATGCCATCTTGGTAGGTGTACTTGCCCGGGTAGATGCCGTCGGTGTTGATGTTGTCGGCGTCGCAAAAGACGATCTCGCCCTCGACCTTCTCGGGGAAGCCCGGGAGGACTTCAGTCAGAGCCTCCTCGCCCTCTGCGCTAGCGGCTGCATCCTCGCCCTCGCCCGACTCGGCACCCGAGATGACGCTGTTTGCCTGCGCAAGGATCTGCTCGAGGGCGTCCTCGATGCTCATTGCCTTGTCCTGCTCGTGGTTGCCGAGCCCCTCGCCGATGATGACCTTCTCGACGCCCTCGGGCTTCTCATACCAGCCCGGTCCGGCGATCTTGCCCTGCAAGGCGCTCGCGGCGACGATTTCGGGACTGGCGAGGTATGCCTTGGCTTCGGTCGAGCCCATGCGGCCCTTGAAGTTGCGGTTCGACGCGCTCACACCGACCTCGCCAGGCTCGAGCAGACCGGTGCCCAGACCAATGCACGGCCCGCAGCCGGAGGGCAGAGGCTCGGCACCTGCGTTTAGCAGAACCTGCCAGTCACCGCTCACCTCGGCAATTTCCTGCTCGAGAGTCGACGCGGCGGCGATGTAGAGCTTGACGCCAGGGGCGACCTTGGGCTCGATGCCTTTTTCCGCGGCTTCACGGAAGACTCTGGCGGCCGCAGCAATGTCAGATGCGCGCGAGTTTGTGCACGAGACCAGATACGTCTTGTCGACCTTGATGTCCTGCGCCTCGAGGTCGCGAAGGGGGGTGGCCACCTTGACCGAGTTGGGACCGGCGACAAACGGTGAGAGGGTAGAGAGGTTGAGATACAACGACTTGGCGTATGTCGCGCCAGGGTCGGCCGTGATGGGGTTCTGAATGAGCTCCTCGATTCGCTGGTGGGAGAACTGCTTCATGCCCTTGTCGTCACCGAGGACTGCCGAAGCTGTTGCCCGAGCGCGCAACCAGGTTTTGAGGGTCGAATCGATGGGGAACAGGCCAGACAGCGCACCCCACTCCGTGGTCATGTTCGCAATCGTCAGACGATCGTCAACAGACAAGGTTGACATTGTCTGCTCTGAGCCGGTGAACTCGATGGCGTGGTTTAGGACGTCGTCGCTGTTGAACAGCCCACACAGAGCCACAATGACATCCTTTCCCGTAACTCCAGCCGGCAGAAGACCGGTGAACGTCACTTTTGCGATCGGGGGAATTTGCCACCATGTCCTGCCTGTAGCCCAGATGCTCGCAGCGTCGGTCCTCACGACCGGTGTACCGAGACAACCGACACCGCCGTACATGTTGGAGTGGGAGTCCGATGCAACGGTAACGGTTCCAGGCCAAGCATAGCCTTCCTCAACCATGATCTGGTGACCAATACCCCGGCCGGCAGGGTAGAAGTCGACGCCGTGCTGCTGCGCAAAGTTTTCGATCTGCTGGTATTTCTTGAGGTTGGACTCGCTCTTGTTCTGGACATCGTGGTCGAGGGTCATGACGATCTGCTGGTTGTCGTGGATCTGGGAGGCGCCGATGGACATGAACTTGAGAGCCACGGGCCATGAGTTGTCGTGCGTCATGCATCTGAGTTGCTCTTAGTATCTGGTCATGTACTAGATGGAGTCTGTAGCTACCTTGCGGGGGCCAGCGTTACGTAGTCTCCGGACTTGACTTTCTTGCCCTCGGCGAGACCGACTGAGTATCGCTGCACAATCTTCTCGGTCAAGGTCTGGGGAGTCTGCGTCGTGGTCGCCCCGAGCGAGGACAAGAAGGATGCAGCGGTCTGGTCTTCGAGTTGCGAGTGAAAGGCATCTTGTCTCCGTGTCGCCGATGGCGTGTAGCGGCGGACAGGCGTCGCCAAGCTGCTGCCCGGAAATCGGGTGGGCCGGAGTGAGCTGCGAGCCGACAGGACCGCCCGAGCGGCAAAGGCAGGACCCCGAAAGAAACGCCGCATGGTGACGCTGGAATTGTGTTTGGAGAACCTGGAGAAGGCCGTGGTTGGAGTCGGGGAAAACGTCGAGGGGTGTGACTGCGAGGTTGACGCATTGGACCCCAGATTATCAGAAAAAAAGGCCCCACGGCTCCGGTATCGTCCTCTGCTGCCACCAAGCACGAATAAATTTTAATGGGGCTCTCAGTAATTGCGTGGTGCCTATTGGCACAACACCCCAACGATTCGGGGCTTTGTCTCCCGGCCACACGGCCGCCCTGACAGCAGCTATTACATCGTAGTGGCCGGACATTACCCACCACAGCACGACAGAATGGGTGCCTCCGTCGTTGTTGTGCACCCAAAGTCTGTCGTCTATAAGTGGCTTGGTCTGTGGGTGGCCTCGCTCCTCCTTCTCGCTGGGCCGCCCGAGGCTCGTGGGGTGGAAGCCTCACAGAGGACGATAGGGGCATACAGGGCAGGCCGCACGCATAAAGCAGCTAGACTTTTGATCGTATCTCTGAGCTGTCGAGCCACGACTCACAGAGGCCAGCCATACGACCGTGGCCTGGGACGGCCTGGCGTTCTCGTGCTGCTGGGGCCGCTGCCGCTGGCCACATGGCCTGCTGGGGTTCCACCCGGGTCCGGCAATCCTGGCAGCAAAGCGCAGGGCATCAGACGTTGTGCAACCAGGCCTCCGAGTGAACCTCGATAGGCCTTGGCAGGAGAACCTGTCGCAGGTGGACACTGGAGACAGGGGTGGAAATTGTTAGTGGTTACTTTCTTACGTAAGCCATCCATGGCCCACCCATTTTTGTACTGTAGTCGATCATCTTAGGCAGGAGTGGACTTAAGCTTCCGTCCTGCTGCAGACCAATCAGCAATTGGCTCCCGCCACCCACTGCTGCCGCGCGTGTGACAGAACCCGCCCGCTCCGGCGTGATTACTTAATCTGAGTGTCGTCGACCTCTGCTTCCTCTCTAGGCCTAAAACGCTCGAACCGGCCGTATCCCCTGACACGTTGGAAGCACACCATTCATCCTACTGTGTAAAAGTTCCACCGTCCCCAGGCCTGAAGCTTCTCGTCACAGCCGCCTTGCCCCCCTCGCTCCAGAGCCGCCATCTGACTCTGTGCCAACCTTGGACTTTGGCGTCCGCCTGCCAGAGTCCCCAGTTTCATCACAGGACATCTCCAGCCGAGCACAAGCCTGCCCTCTCTTCATAACCATTCGCAATTCTGGTGCCTTGTACAAAGTCCCCCTAGCCTGTTGCTGCAAGGAGCCTTCCGACGGCATCCGTTTGTAAGGCGGCTGTGCAATCGCACCAACGAGCTTACCTCCCTCCCCCCCCTGAGACCTGCCTTGAACCCCACCATCGATCTTCCTTGTCGGACGCCTCAGTTTCCGCCCACTGCGCTCGTCCACCATCTACTACGACGACAACGTCGACGTAGGCTGTACGCTATAACCATCATCCCCAACTCTTTGAGCTGACGTCTGAGGCTACGATCCGAGCCGGCGGATCCGGTTGTGCTTCGACGGACCTCCAAGTTTATTCTCCCGCTTGGTCTGATCTCGAGTCGAGACACCAGGATCACAGTGCCATCATACCACCGTCGAGGGCGGAAGAAGCACGGCCAATACTTGCGTCGCGACGTGAGCGTGTTGGCGGACCCTTCAGCCAGACTTTCCACAGTAACCCACGTAGAGTGGCACGAATGTGACCCATCACGGAGTCGACTATATCACGGTTCTTAGTTGAAAGCCCTATGCGTTGAATGCAGCTACTGCTCGTTGCCTCAAATGGAAACGACTCCCAACGCAACCGGCAAGACTCCGCGTGTTCTAGCATGCGTTCTCTGTGAGTCCTGAGCTCGAGTTACGCTCGACCACAAAGTTTACAACCTTCTCGGTGGATGATAGCTGACCTCCACTTGCATTCAGGCCAGACCCGGAAGATCAAATGTGACCGGAATAGTCCTTGTGCGAACTGTATAAAAGTGAGTATCATCACTCCCCTTGGTGTCCGCTGCGTGCCACTTACTGACAAGTTGGCAGGCCAATGTCAAGTGTACGCCAAGCACTCCCGCGCCAGCCAGGAAGAGACGCCGGCCCAATCAAGACCTTCAACAGCGACTCGCCCGATGTGAGGAGCTGCTCTCAGAGTATGCTACCAAGAAGCCGGACGACCATTCCTCCGACAGCGGCGAAGGCAAAGAGCCATGGCGCCCTTTCGGACAGCTGATCGTTGACGGCGGCGGAGGCGTAAAGTTCATGGACAGTTTTCTTTGCGCTAACATACATGATGAGGTTCGTTGTCGCGAGATGGGTCAAGTGTTGTTGAGCTTCGCTGACAGTTTCTCAGCTTCGAGCCATGAGAGAGATTCTTGATGACGAAGACAAAGACGACGAGTACAGCACGCCAATGTACGATCCATCAACGAATGGATCATCACCTGATTTGAATTCGGGGCTGATCCTAGCCGAACACGGAACCGGAAATGTGGACAACCTACATCCTGAGCCGGGCCACGTTTTCCATCTGTGGCAGACTTTCCTCGATAGGATCAACCCCCTTACGAAAGTGATCCACGTGCCCTCATTGCAGCCGCTCGTCGTTGTGGCTGCTGCAAATCACAAACAAATGCCCAGGAACGTCGAGGCGCTGCTCTTTTCCATCTATCTGATGGCAACAGTGTCCATGTCGGAGGAAGAGTGCTTGGTGCAGCTGGGCTATTCTAAATCTGAAGCACTGGAGCGATTCTCAAAGGGTGTGCGACTTACCCTTATGCGGATAGGAATACTCAGATTCTACGACATGATCGTCCTCCAGGCGCTTGTCTTATTCATGGTATGTTTGAGCCTCAGTTCAAGGGTCTGGCCAGCACTAACCCCTACGCTAGTTGTCACTCTCGGGGCGGTACGACAGACATGCTGCGTGGATTTTGAATGGTACCATTGTCAGGATCGCGCAAAAGATGGGCCTGCACCGTGACGGCGAGAACTTTGGCCTTTCGCCGTTTGAGTCCGAGATGCGCCGGAGGATATGGTGGCAGATCGTGATGATTGATTCCATGTATGCCCTGATGTCTGGCTTGGGCCAGTCCGTTCTGCCACGAGGGTGGGACACCCGAAAACCCGCAAACCTCGACGACACGGACCTGTTTCCTACGATGACGGCGATACAATCCAAAGACGTGCCCACGGACATGGTGTACTGCTTGATCGCGTACGAGATAGGGAAGCTGCTGACTGACAGCTCTTCATTGGAGCTTGTCATCATGCGGAACGAAAGAGCCGCAGTAAATCCGCCAAACGACGCAGAGGTCAGCAAGGCTCGGAAGCGCATTGACGAGGCTGATGCTGTCATGACTCGGATCGTGGAAGAGTACTGCGACCCTTCGATGGGAGCGATACACCAACTTGCCAAGGACTCGAAGGTCATGTTCATGGCCAAATTGCGGGACCTGGTGTGTCCCCCGCAAGACCAACCAGAGTGGGGGTCGGAACTGTTTACGGCCAAGGATAACCTCTTCAAGATATCAGTCACGACCTGTGAACACAGTCTGACCTTATACCGGGCTGTCAGGACTCATGGGCCCTTCCTTTGGTTTGGTCAGTCTCGTAGACTCCTTCCCGCATATCGCTCGGTGAACTGACAGCAAGCAGTAATGACACACTTTCAGGTCGAGGTCTTGGTATACATGGTTGGGCAACTGAGCGCAAGGACGTCAGGACAACTGGTGGAGAGGGCATGGGCAGTTTTAGAAGCTTTCTACGGCTTGCACACGCCGCTTCTCGACCTGACAAACAAGGTGCACATGGCACTTGCAGTACACACAATGAGGGCGTGGAAACTCCGACGAGCGCACATCGAAGAGACGACTGGTGCCCCCCCGAAGGTGCCCCAGTTTGTGCTCACCCTGGAGACGCTGTTACCAAAGGACGAATCGCAATTCCACACCCCGGCCAGCGCCATGGCGATGCCATTCCCTCCGCAGGTGGCACCCTCGACGGTTGTGATGAATGCGCCGAACGGGTTCGAGGTGCCCTGGGAGCAGGTGCTGTTTGTGGACTCACAGACGATGGACTGGAACATTTTTGGGACGGGCAACGGAGTGAACGGGGTGAGTGGCGCCCCTGACTTTGGACCCCTCGGCACGGACTACGGCATCACGAACGACACCTGGACGTGAAAGTTTGGGGCAGCATGTGTATGATTCATGGTTCTGGATTTACCCGGCGTCACACAGCGTGCATTTTTCTGGTCGCTTTCTTTGGATAGAGGGCAGGATAGAAAGCAAATAGAGGTCAAGCTATGGACAGGCAGGGTACTCCATGAGAACTTGGGGGGCGATCTAGATGGTCACTGGTGAGATCAATGCGAGCCACGCATACCACTATAACATAGAGCGATAGTGCGCCGTACAGATACACACAAGAAGGTAGACGAATTGAAATCCCTGCTGCACATCGGGGCCGGCATGACGCAGACTCGGGGCGTGATGGCAGAGAGAGAGAGAGAGATAGAAAGAAGTCGGCCGTCGGCTGTCGGCAGCATCCGAACACCACTATGCAGAAGGTGAGAGAAGATTCGGCCGAATTTCTTTTGGCAATCATCGGCCGTATTTATCACTTTTTGCAAAACCAAAACTCTCCAATTTACCCACCCACCCTCCGACCGGAACCACAGGGAGTGGAGCCCGCACGGATAGATGACCCGAGAGAGGGAGAGACCCTTTTCCCAAAAAGAATTTTTGAATCTTAGTGGCCCCCCATTTCTCTCTTAATCTCATAGGAGTAGTACATAGTAGCATGCGGTGAGGCACGAGACGTTTGTTCCATTTTTGAGAAGGTGGGGTGGCAGCTCTCGGGGATTAGAGACTGCCGGTTTGAGCCAATTCCTTGAAACCTTTTTTTGGTTTTTTTTTCTTTGTTGGTTCTGCGAGGTGCAAGGGCGAGACTTTTGCATTATGGGCTAGGTGATTACGTCTTGCTCCAACGTTGGGAGAGTACGTACGTTAGGTGCAGGTGCCTGGGGTTGAAAGGGTCTGGGGGAAGGGCCCGCTTTGGCAGGCACCGATGAATACTGCGTAATTTTCTCTATTTCCGGGGGGGGGGGGACCCTATAACGCACCGAAAGGTGCCTGAGTAAGACGGACAAACTCGGGAGGAGCAGAGAGGGAAGCGAGGTTTGGACAACTGGCACGGCGATGACGCCGACGATTACAAACGACAGCGACGGAACTGCATGGAAAGAATGTGGTGGCATCCCTGCCATCATGGCCTGCCTTGTCTCTCTGGCTTGAAGGGGGTGGGCATGAGCAAGCGTTGCGGGTGACATATTGGGTCGACCCTCACAATTCATGATGATGACGACGAGGTGTCCTTTTGGAGGTATGGTGGTGGTGGTTGTTGATCCCGGAGCTGAGTGGGCCACCGGAGGGCCGAGATGTGCAGGTGCAGGGGGAGGGTGCCGGGCCACGGTCCAAGGGGGAAAGGAGGTTTATCAGATGGATGCCTGGAATCTCGGGTCATCCAGGGAGCCATGCAAGCCAGAGAGGTGCAAGCGACGGCAGCCTGGGCCTGTGGCTTGGGATGGCTGACTGAGCTTTGATGAAGGGGGTGGTGATGGCCTCGTTGAACGAGTTAAGTGGCCAGGTGAGTCACTTGGGCCCCGGAGGTAGAAAGCTGCCATGGCCGGACATAACGGGGCCAGCCATGCCTGATCGGGCCAAGCGCAGCCGAGCGACGGGGCAGACACGGCCGAGCGCCGTGGGCCACGCCTTTGCCATTAGTCTCGTGGTAGGCGTGTCTTGCGTAGTACTGCATTTTGCGGCCGAGCAGGACTGGTCGGGGCCCAGACATGTCCGAGCTGGGCCAGCCGCCTGCCGGCACCGAGTCGACGCCCTGGTCGCGGGTGACCAGCCCAGACCAAAGGGTTGGGTTGAATCGGCCATGAGGCATGTCCAAGCTGTGACCGTTAGACGAGGCAGGCACATATATCTATCCGCTGCCTCGCACCTGCCTCTTGGTGTTGGTTGTTACCCTGACTCTTAGCAACAACGACAACAACATCCAACAGTAGCAGCAACAGCAACACCACACCACAACTAAAGCCCCAAAGACCAGCACACCAGGGCACTGCGCAGATACCTACAAGATATCACAGATACTGCACTTTCCCCTTCGCCGCCAGACCACCGCCAAGATGCGTCTTGGCCGAGCCCAGACCCCGGCCGCCGCCCTGGCAGGCATCACCGACGACGAGCCAACACCTGCCCCGGCCGTCGCCCCCGTCGCCGGGCCCGGAGCCGCGCCAGAGAAACCCACCACCACAACGGCACCCAACAACGGTGACGACGAGGACATCGAGTACCCAACCGGCCTGCGGCTCGCCGCCCTCCTCGCCTCCATCTTCTGCACCATCTTCCTCGTTGCCCTCGACCGCCTCATCATCGGCACCGCCGTCCCCGCAATCACCGACGAGTTCCACTCCCTCCAGGATGTTGGCTGGTACGGTTCTGCCTATCAACTCACCACCTGCAGCTTTCAGCTCCTCTTTGGCAAGCTCTACAAGTACTACTCCATAAAGGCAACCTTTCTCAGCTGCGTCCTCCTCTTCGAGATCGGCTCCGCCATCTGCGGCGCCGCTCCAAACTCCGTCGCCCTCATCATCGGCCGCGCCGTCCAGGGTGTCGGCGCCGCTGGCATCTTTTCCGGCGCCGTTGTCCTGCTCGTCTACGCCGTGCCCTTGCACCAGCGCCCAAAGTACCAGGGCCTCTTTGGCGCCATCTTTGGCATCGCCTCCATTCTCGGACCTCTCGTCGGCGGTGCATTCACTTCCAATGTTAGCTGGAGGTGGTGCTTCTACATCAACCTCCCCTTTGGAGCCGTCGTCATGGTCCTCGTCGGCTTCATTCTTGACGTTCCCAGAAGCAAGGAGGGCGATGACCTGACCACCAGCCAGAAGCTTGCCCAGCTTGACCCCATCGGCACTCTGGCTCTCATCCCGGGCATCATCTGCCTCCTCCTCGCCCTGCAGTGGGGAGGCGTCACGTATGCCTGGAACAATGGCCGTATCATCGCCCTCCTAACCCTCGGAGTCGCCCTCTTCCTCGCCTTCGTCGCTGTACAGATTCTCAGACCCGAGACCGCCACCCTCTCGCCACGTCTTTTCACCCAGCGCTCCATGGTTGCTGGAGTCTGGGCGACAACCTGCGTTGGCGCGGGCATGTTGATCTATATTTACTACATCCCCATCTGGTTCCAAGCCATCAAGGGCGACTCGGCCGTCGACTCGGGCATCCACCTGCTTCCCCTTACCCTCGCCATGGTTGTGGGCTCCATCTCCAACGGCCTCCTTGTCTCCCGTCTGGGCTACTACACGCCCTTCATGCTGGCCGGCGTATGCATCATGTCCATTGGCTCTGGTCTCTTCCTGACCTTTGACGCCTCCACTCCCGCGCCCAAATGGATCGGCTATCAGATCCTCTACGGCTTCGGCCTGGGTTGGACATTCCAGGCACCCAATCTCGCAGCGCAGACCGTTCTCCCAACCAAGGACGTCTCCATGGGAATATCTCTCATGTTCTTCACGCAACTCCTCTCCGGTGCCATCTTCATATCTGTGGGCCAGAATGTCTTGACCAATGAGCTCCTCAAGCGTCTCGAGGGTGTCATGGGCGTCACGCCAGAGCTCATCGAGAACACGGGCGCCACAAGCCTGAGCTCCGCGCTGCCAGAAGGCGTGCGCGGTGTCGTTCTTGATGCGTACAACCTGAGCCTGAGACAGGTCTTCATCGTTGGCGCGGCGTGTACGTGTCTGACCATCTTTGCCGCACTGGCCATGGAGTGGCGCAGCGTCAAGGAGAAGAAGAACAAGCAGGACGCCGCGCGGGCTGCGTCAGCCTCGGCATCAGACGAGGAGAAGGACAAGGCGGGCGCCGGCTCCGATACCGAGGGCACTGCTGTCGGTGCAGGTACCAGTGCCGGTACCGCTCAAGCCTTTGGCAAGGAGGAGGTTTGAAGTGGGTGGAGAGACCAGCCCATACCCGAGAAAAGGGAATAACTAACTGTACAAAAAAGTCCACAGCATTGGATACACCCGAGTAATGACATGGGACAGCCCCATATGTCGGGAAGGGAGGGTACGATAAGACCACAAACCCAGCATGCAGCGTGTTTTTGTTTTCTTTTCCCTTTTTTCACATCCTCTGGGTAGGATGGCTTTGCATTTTCATACCCAGGCTGGATGGTTTCTGTTTTTCTTATTAAAATACCCACTCTGCTCATGCGCATTTGAGACTGTCTGCGATTTGTATGGCATAATATAAAAAGAACAAGACTGTTTTCTTTACTGATACTTATGAGATTACTGTGCTGTGAGCTAGTTGCTCTACTTTGGGGGGTAAACACGGAAACTGGCCCAAGACTATGTGTACCTACTACCTAGGTAGGCAGGTAGACAGACAAAGGGCTCGTAGGCCAATATATCTTCACTTATTCATGTGCGGGGGCGGCCTCTTAGTAAAGGTGCCATTTCAATCCTAGACAGTAATCCAAATTCAAAAGTTATTGCTCGAGTGGTGGGTTCCCAGACATTTATGTGCACTGCATGTGCTCGCCCTCGGCGAGAGCAGACACACATTCCGCTGGGAAATGCCTCCGCAAACTGGCAGACCGCGGTGTGGTTCATGGTCTGTAATCATTGCGAGATTAGGAGGTTCTATGCGGGCAAAGATACCGTGCGGTGCAGCTTCTTCACGGGCTGGACTCAGTGTGTGTGGAGAGCATAGTGTCAAGTAGGATATAAAGACCACTTTGATTAAATTTCCAACATTCCCTTTTTTAACTCCTGCCCGATCAATATACATATGGCATTTGTTTCTCTCGGTCTACCTTCACAGGACATGCTCGACACCTTTGCCTTTATGGTCCGCGGTTCCAGACGAGCCCCCGGGCACGGGTAAGGTCGAGGATTCCGCCGTCTTGAGAAGCTCCCGTAGGGTACCCTCAGCATAGCTCTTGGACTGGCCACTACTACGATGTCCGCTTTTGGGGTCAGTAGTGGCAACTTCAGTAACAGCTCTCACTGGGTTGGCATTTGTTCCGGCACCGGCCCTCCAGGGAATCCACGAGCTCAGTCCTGAAAACAGGCTCGATCGTGCACTGGGCTCACCAGGCCTATCGGGGGTCGAAATCGCTGCAGATGCCATGGAGGCCGACACAACTGCTCGAGAGGGCTGCGCCGGAGTTGTCTCATGGGCAGCTCGCTGCTGTTGCTGCTGCTGCTGTTGCGACTCTGTCGAGCCGAAGGCTACCATTCCCGCAGTGTCCTCTGCAGACGTCCTGATCTCAAGGTGATTCCGCGACGTCTCAGGCCTTGCAGGCTCACTAATTAGGGCTGTCCCAGACGATCGAGGTGAGGTGGCATCGAGAGCGCCCTGACTAGTGCGTGTGTTGTCCATCACGACCGCCGCAAAAGACGACGACTTGCGGCGCATTGACCTCCTCTGCGCTTGCGCCTGCTCCTCGCTTGATAGATTGGTGGCACCACTGCCATCCTGAGCACTTCCGCTGCTGTTCGAGTCCTGCGTTCCAGCACGGCCCCGAACCTCCTCTGCAAGCTCGGCAGCTGGCTTCTTCTTGCTCCTGTCCTCATCCGACGACCTGCTCGAGCTCATGATAGTCTCGAGCGTGCCATATGCAGCACTTCTCCGACGCTGCGTGCCTTTGCGCCTGCGGTGTCTAGTGCTTGAGCTCTGTTCATCGTCACTAGTAATGGCCTGTAATGTTGGACCGGCATTGCTCCCACGCTGCTGCGACGATCGCGTTTCCGAGGCCGCGAAGCTCGTGCCTGAGCCGTGAGGAGCGACATGGACTTCGTACTGGTTGCTGAGCGAATATCTCGATCGAGCGCAGATCTCTGCTATCCTGTCCAGATCGGCACCAATATCCTGCTGCATCTCCGTCATGATGCTCTTGAAAGTGAATGCCTCGAGCGGTGGCAGCTTGGCATCATCCAGCCCCGCTTTCGACGGCTTCAGCGGCCTGCTCTTTCCCTTGACAGATCGTGCCATGTTCACAACAGCCCCTGCCCTCCCAGGCCGCCAATTGGTGACGCTCGAGGTGATGGAGATGCTGGACAGCGGTGCTCTGCGACTGGCTGGTCGTGAGGAGGAAGACGACGGGGGCGGTCCGGAATATGTCCGGACCAGGACAGGCTGAGAGTATGTTCCAGTCGTCGTGCTGTTTACGCTCGGGGGGGCGCCGGCGCTCCTCGTATACCGATGTCTCGAAGACGGCTGGCTGCGGTTGAGCTCACGCAATGCGCTGGTCCGATGAGCCGCGGTGGAGTTGTCGAGAGGGATTGGCCGGCCCTCAGCTGTGCTGGGGACTAGCGAGGTCGAGGACGTGTTTGAGTGGAGCGGCGGCCGGAAGACAAAGGGCAGTGATTCTCGACGGCTTCCAGAGACACTGCGGGTATGGGACGTCGTTCTGGGCACCGACGGCGCGGGCGTGGCGGCTGCGGGCACGGCCGATGTCGTGGTAGCAGCACGGGTGCGGATCGACGAAGGCGTGGCGTGACTGGCCAACAACAAGTCTGGCGCCGGCGCTGACGGGAGCAGGGTCGACATGATGCTGGATATAGATCTCAGCTGTGGGGAGTAGCGGGAGGAACGACGGATGACGGGGCGAAGCAAGATGCCAGACGTGTATGCACGGCCAGCGCGGCCGACGGGGGCGGTTGTAGGTGCAGCAGAGATGCAGGCCGGGGGCCTACGTGGAATCTATCGCACCGAACACGCAGGCGAGGTAATGCAGAGAGGCGCCAGGCCGGGGCAATGCGGTGCAAGTTGCGTGTCTCGTCTCTGGCGAGGTGGCGGAGGACGCAAGAGGAGCTGGGACCATCAACCCTGCGTCGGATTCGAGCGGTGTCGCAGATGCCAACGACTGCTGTTCGTTGCGCTGCACGATCTGCGGCCTGCGGCTGCTGAGACACTCGAGGGATTGACCAGTCACTGCCAGAGTGAGCGTGCGCCGAGTCGAGATGCAGCAGGGAAGGCAGGCAGGAAGGATGGTGGTTGCGGAAAAGTCTGAGATGGGGAATTGGAAAACGGGGGCCCTGAAGGGACGAATCCACATGGCGACGGCAGGCAAGCAGCTCCAGTTTGCGGCGATCCCCGCCCGACACGATGGGGAAGGAGCGACGGGCGAGCAGCAGCGCTAACGTGGCTGCCGGGCGGGGGGACTGGACTCCGAGGCCGCACCTGCTTGCAGGGGGGCTGTTTCTGTATCTAGACCACCTGCTGCTGCTGCTGCTGCTTGCATGCACTGAGCTGGCACCCTCTGATTTGGTCACCCACACAAAAGGTCGCCCGTCGTGCAGCAGCAGCCGCCACGGCATCGACTTTTCGACCAGTCACAGAAATCAATGGACACCAGGGAGAGATGGCCAGCAGCCGGCCCTGCAAGGCGCTGCTTCCACTCAGCTTGGGAAGGTGATAGATACGGTGCGTCGACGACCCACACGACTCCTGCACTCCTGCATGCAGAACATGCCCTCTGCACAACCACTGTCCTCTAAGTGAGCACCCTGGGCGTGATGTCCTGGCATGTGTGTGTGTGTGTGTGTGTGTGTCGCAACGTGGAAACGAGACAGCGCAAATGAAGCACGAGCTCGACCGATACGCAAATGTGACCAGCCAGCCAGAAAAACCCAACACCGAACGCTTTGGAGTCCCAGAGTCCGCATTGACGCGCCACGCAGAATGGCACAAAAGTCCAAAGCGTGTCCCTGCAACAGAGTGCTGTTGTGTCTCTGTGGGATTGGTCGAAAAGGCGGGGTCTCTTGCCAGAGGACAGGACAGGACGACTATTCCCATTTGCTGGGCGGTCTCTCTTTTTTTTTCCTGCATGCATACACTACATGCGTGCATGCGCCAACCAGCATCCGGCCGGGTTTCGAGCTGCATGGGCCAGCAGCACTCGTGGTTCCTCTTGAGCGTAGAGGGGGCTCCTCGTTGCATGCGTCCCCTCTTCCCCTCCATGGCAAGCTCTCAGGGTGGCATATAATAGAAGCTGGATATCGTCTGGAACGCTCCGGCAGACTGGGACTAGCCAGCCCAAAAGAGCCAATGCAACTACTGCTGCAGCGTCCATGTGCTGTGGGAAAAGCTAGCCGTTAACAGCCACAAAGAGGAACGCATCCGCCGAACCATCCGGCAGATCTCGCTCAGCAGCACGTACGTTGAGAAGACTGCAGGCACAGACGCCTCTTCCTTAAACAAGCCGCAGAGGGAAGAGCTACGTTGAGGAGGTAGCAAGGGACAAGCAAGACGATGCTGCGGGTACACCCTTGCTGACGCGTTCTCCGGGCAGCTGCAGTTCTGTCGTGATCTTGCAGCTCAAGACGATCGAGATGTGCATGAAGGCTTGTTCAAAGACATCAATTTAATTAAATCTCTCGAGGGCTTTGTCCTTCTCCGAGAATCATGACCTTGTAAGGCGTGAACTGCAAGAAGTAACCCAGCACGATCCATTACTCCACTCCGCCCCTGGCATATGATATGTCCCTTATAACCCTCGACGAGAACGACACCACCCTTCGTTCACGAAGATCACCCTCCTCAAGGAGCGATTTTCCGAGCTCTTCTCCCACCCCCACATCCCCGTATGCCCTTCCATTCTCCAAAGGTGAACCTAGTTGTATGCGGGAGCCGCAGGACCGCCGCCATGGTGTCCAGTAGGAGGAGCAGGATTCATCGTGCCGTAGCCCTGGCCGCCAGTCTGGACACGGTCCGAGTACACGCCTGGAGCGCGACTCGCGGCGAAGCGGCCCTCGCGCGCCTGCTCCCTGCGGTCATAGTAGACATACTCTATGTAGAATGCGTGGATGTGGCCTGGCAAGTATCTGCGAGAGCCCATGTCTGTTAGGGAACACACTTTTGATTTCTCCATTTTCCATATTGTGTGTGGGCATATACACCGGATCTGGCTCGGAATATATGCAAAAATGGCCAGCGGAGCAAAATGACACGGGGAGGAATTCCCATATGCAAATATGGACGTATCGCCGCGCGCAGCTAGCCACACACATATACACACACCCACCCACCCGTGACCCTCTGATAGGGAGCCCCCAGGGAAAATGACTTACCCAAGCAATGTGAGACAAATGTTGACGCACAAGTCAGCACCACAGCCGGCGACCATGAAGACGCCTACGGGAGGGACTACAGCGAAGGAGGGGGGGAAGGAGCAGAGCGCATGTCAGCGGGATCTAGGTCATACAATGGCACATGCACACGCGCGCGCGCGCGCGCATGCGGGGCCGGTGGCTACTTACAGAGGATGGTGATGAGCACCAGAATGACTGCGGACGCGGCACCCATGGTTGAGATTGATGGTTTTTGTTGTTTGCGCTCGCTTGCACAGAGGGGGGAGAGAGAGGTATGCTCGTCTGGGACTCCGTTTGTCGCAGAATCTCTGGCGGTGCTGGTGCGGGGGGACGCTGACAAGCTGGTTGCGGCCGTTGCAGATGTGTCGTTCGATTCAGCAAAGCTGAGTGTCAAATGTTGTTCAGCCGGTGGTGATTGGCAGTGAATCAGTGTGTGAGATTCGCAGCCTTGCAGATTTCCAGAGAAGGGAGAAAAGGGACGTGGGGATCTTGTCCAACGGTCGAGCCAACAGCGGCCTCCACGCGTTTTACATTGGCTGGTCTCTGGGCGACACCACACGAGCAAGCTCTCTCTCCACTTCATGACTGCATATTCCTGTCACAAGCACCCAAACTGCTCCATGACGTAATCCACCCTGGACAGCCTTACGCAGACGCAGGCAGAGCACCAGTCCAGGCGCAGCCAGGCCCAGTGGCTGGGTCGCCGGCACCCCCGTTTTTACGATCCTTTAGCGCATGCCCCACACGGGACTCGGCACATGGTTGGCCTTGTGCCTTGGCAGCCCTGGTTTCCACAGATCGGCAGGCCCTGCTGTTGTTGTTCACGATGTCCAACATTGGCATCATTTCAAGATTGACAAAGAGTCGCGCCCGGCAATGCACATCCGACTCGCCCACTCCGATCGGCCCACCACGGAAATAACACTGGATGCTCCCTCAAAGCCTTGCGATTGTGGCTGCTTTCGGGGATTGCTCTATCTATGGTTCAACTGAGCCATGGGATTGCCCAGGGAATTTGCCTCGCAATCCACTTGCTGCACTGCAGCCTCTACAGCTCATCGCGAACATGGTTATCGGCATCTGAATCAAGGTCGGGCATAGCCATGATCTTGACAACCAGGCTCGTCCAGCCTGTAAAGTGCTGGGTACGCTGACCCTTGCCCGTGTCCGGATTGTACTGCTCCCATGCAAAGCCCGTCGTCTTCCAGTTGTCGTAGATGTTCTCAACGAGATTCTTGCGCAGACTCGTGTATGTCTTCTTAGCCTTGGCCTGGAAGGGCCCTTCTTGTTGTGCGACATTCTGCGACGGGACTTTACATTAGCGTTCCGCCTCGGGAGACGACCGTGATCAGTGCGAAACTTACAAGCAATTGCTGCAGAGCAAGGAAGTTGATGTTGATCCAGACGGGACTGCGCCAGTAGTTCTCGGCAGTCTCGTAGAACTCGTCTTTCTTGCTCAGACTGCGGATGCCATAAGGACTCCACAGCTCTTCAGGGTCGCTGAGGAGGTCCACGGTCTTGCCTAGGGTCGGGTCGTCCGGCTTGAGAAGGCCCAGAATGAAAGGGAAAAGGCTGATATAGCCCTTGTGGCAGACTAGTACATGCTCCTCAAAATCGTCAATAGTGGCGTCGCAGTATGCACCGTCCTTCTCCGACCAGTGAAGATCCTTCAGGTTGTGCTCAATGGCATTGAGAACCTTGGAGTACTCGTAGACGTCCTCGCTTGCTCCCACGACACCAGCAATCTTGAGTAGGACCTTGGCCATTAGGCCAACCCAGGACATCAAATCGACATGAAGCTCACCAGGGTGGGGTGTCTGTGCGCGAGGGTAGTCGTCCAGACCACTGGTCAGGATGTGCGGTACAGTACGACCACGCCACCTGTAGGCTTCTTTGGTCGAGAAAGCCTCGCGGTCATATGATTTGATATCGCCGAACTGGGTCGACTTAAACCAAAGGAACTGGCGTCGGAGCAGCGGGTACAGATTATGCAGGTATTGGGTGCCCAGCTCCGGATTGGTCAAGTGCGCATTCGAAAAGGTGCTCTCATGCAACAATTTCTCCTGGCCCGCGGGCATGCTCCCGTTGGATCGGGCGAGCTTTTCCAGGAAGCCCTCCAGGACCAGAAAAAGGGTAGGCGGGTTCGCATAGTGCGGGTATTGCACCTGGAACTCTGGTGGAACCTTGCTGCGCGCCTCGGCACCGAGAATCTGCTCACGAGCGATCCATCCGTCCTCGTCCATGAGGTTGTACCAGCTCTTGACGACCTCGAGCGCAAGATCCATGTCCCATTCGGCAATAGGCATCAAGTGGAAGCCCTCATCCCAAAGGAATCCTCGAGGAAAGAAGGGACGAGATGGGATGCTGGTGAACAACTCGTACGGGCCCTCCTCGATCTGGCGGTTCCGCGCGCGTGCTTCCGCCGCCTCTTCCCAGAAACCTTCGTTCTCCTCCTCGTATTCTGAAGCGTAGGATCGGTCGACGATCTGATTTCCGTAGAAATAACCGATGCCACCGGCCAAGTTGGACAGCATGCTTTTCCCAAACGTGCTGTACTTATCGCCCTTGAACGGAGTCTGAGGGGCGAAAATCTCTATGAACTTCTCATGGAACGAAGCGGAGTTCCTCTCGATTTCGGCCGTCAAATCCTCGCTTGTGACGTCCTCGCTAGCCGAGCCACTAGTAAAGAGGACGTCGAACTCAAAGGCACCTTCGAAGACTTTCTGCACAATCTGGACGTTGCCGGAGCCCGGATTGTTGCGCATCATGTACGTTTGCCACGGTGGGGGTGCGTTGTCCTGGCCGTAATCTTTGATGATCTGGTCGACACCGGCTTTGAGCTGAGCAAAGATGACCTGTTTGCCCTGCCAGAGGTGCTCCTGCGGGAGCTCGAGAGTGCTGACAATAGTCTTATCCAGGGGTCGCTCACTGGAGGTAGCGTGGTTGCTTGTCGGATGACCGCCCTTGCCTTCGGTTACCACCATTTGAAATGTCCCGAGCTGGGCATGCTGACCTTTGATTGTCACATCTCCAGCAAAACCAGTATGCTCGCCGTCCGCCACGACCTCTAGGACGTTGCCAACGGGTTCCGAGGTCACATAGAAGAAAATGGATGTCTTCAGATCCGATCCTGCATCATCGCGTGGCTCGCCTTTGATTCGTACGGCCCAGCTGCCGCCGTGAGCACCGCCGGGAATCTTGACAAAGGAGGTGGTGATGTCAATCTTGTTTTGAGTATCGTGGATCGTCTGTATGCCGCCGTTTCTTGTATCGTACTCGTCCCAGCCGTAGCCAGCCATGTCTTCGTTTTGCTCACAGGTGTACCGGAAGCCTAGTTGCCAATCGCAAGATTGTCAGTTAACGAGACCCCCACACGCAGGTCGGGTCCCTCAGGCCAATTGGGAATGATGAACGCACCATTTTGGACCTCCATGTAGTTGTCGACCTTCGCCCACATTAGAGCGGCCATAATGCTGTTGGGGACTCGAGGCCTGACTCCAAAGTAGAGGTTTGGCCTGTAAGGACCCCATAGCAGGCTCTGGTTGTTCTGTCTGCCATACTCGGCGGTGAGAATGGACTCGTCTTGAGCCTTGACGGCGCCTGGGGCCAGAGATGCAATGGACAGCAATGCTGTCAGGGAACACCGGAGCAACATGATTTGATGTCGAGCATTGAGCGTAGGACAATGCGACGCCGCGTGCCTGAGGGTTGGGAGGGGTCGGTCGATTGTCGTTGCCGCAAGGACAGTGGCTCGTGCGACTGCTGGCTCAGTGTTGGAAGGACAGGAACTGGACGAGGCGAATACAGTCGCCTTCGCAGAATCTATTCTGCGGCTGATTTACAACCAGCCAAGCTGCGCGACAATTTCTTCTGTTGTAAAGCGAAGAAGGCCAGGACTATTTGTCAGAGGGCACGGGAGGAGCTTTCTGTATTATGGAGGTGCCACCTTGACTTAAGGGCATTTTGGGGAAGCTGCAACAGCTTCCGCCGCCAAGACAAAGGAAACCCCTCGTGGGGAAATCGGGCCAGGGGCCTCAGGACCGTCAACCAGCTTGCTCTCCATCAGGTTAGCGCTGGACATGACGAGCCGGGATGGGATCCACAGTTGGCCCAGCCAGTTGCAGAAGAAATTCCACGCCTTTCTGGCCGCCATCACGTTGCCTGATGGTCTCAAAAGGCAGGGCATTACCACCATTTCAGCAAACACACAATACAGGCCAAAAGAGAACTCCTCCTCACCATCCAACCAAAGCATACACTGCCTGCACGCACGTCTTCACGATACTGCCACCCGAGTATAGGACTACTAGAGCACTAGAGCCTTGTAGCCGACTTCGAGATGGCAGACCAGCCGCGACGTGGGCGCAACCGCCCCGATAGCAGCCAGATGTGGGACGAAGCCGATAGACGCAGCAACCACGCCAGACACGATCGCGACAGCGCGTCCGGCCGACATCGCAACGAGCGCGGAGGAGGCGACGACTACAGCAGCAGTCGCAGACACAACAACAACAACCATGGCAACCGCTCCAGGTCACGCTCCCCACGCCGCGACCGCGACCGAGATGCCGGACGCGACCACCGAAATCGGGATCGTGACTACGATCGACGGGGGGGCCACAGAGTTGCGGATGGCAGGCATGATGGGCGTTATCGCGACGGCCGGGATGACCGGGAACGGCACAGCAGACACAACCACTCGCCACCTCCTCGTCGTTCTCGCAGTCCACCACGGGGCGTCAAGGAAGCGAGCCGGAGCGAGCACAACTCCCCATTGCCTTCGCGCCCTAAGTCGGACCGGGCCAGTGGGAAGAACTCTTCGTCCAACAGCACGCCTCTGTCGATCAAAGTGGGCGGTCATTCTGCGAAGAACGGTGCGGTTGCAGCCGACCACGACGCACGAGACTCGATCGATGACGATCGAGAGCAGGAGAGGAGATCAAGAGGGAACTCGGCATACGCGGAGGAGAGGAGGTCTCGATCACCTGGCCGGCAGCACGACCATGATGCCATGGACGAAGATCGAGAGCAGGTCGAAGGAGAGGACGATGACGACGAGGTTGTCGAGGACGACGGCGGCATGGACATGGCTGCCATGATGGGATTTGGCGGTTTCGGCACCACGAAGGGGAAGAAGGTCACTGGCAACAACGCGTACTATGTGCGCAAGGAGAAGAAGACTGAATACCGCCAGTACATGAATCGTGTCGGTGGTTTCAACAGACCACTCAGCCCGACCAGAGATTAAGAAGCCATACCGGCCGTTTCAGGGATGGATGTGTGGAAGATGGCACAGCGGTCAAAGAAAGATATACCCACAACGGACTTACACGAACATTATCATTGCCAACAGGAGCGCGCGAGTCAACTTCTAGCAATTTGCCGAAGTCAATCAAATTTCAAATCAATCTGACCATATGCCCACGAGCTTCGAGGTGACAACAAACACATTCGTGCTGCCTAAGTGCCTGCGGCGTTGCAGAGTAGTATATGACTACATCGGATGTCGCGCTGTCCTAGTGATGTCAACTGTCGTTCCTCGTGTACCAATTGGATGAGCTGAGGACTCGCAGGTCTTTTTCCCGAGCCACCTGATCACTGTACCCCGGTAGGAAAGCGCATGAAAGTACTCTTGCTGAACATGGCATGCCCATACCGGTTTCTTGTGGTGCTTAAGTCCGGGGCTTATGTCGTCATGGTCATAGATCGTGCGTAGTTATACCACGGTCACGTGGATGTGAATGGGAATGAAAGAAGACTCGCCTTTTCGGCCGCTCGCCGTCTGGAATGCTAAAGACAACCATACCCCGGAAAGGCTTCGTCATGCACATATCGCGAGAGGCCGAGAGAGGCTGCCACACTGGGATGCGTAGCCGGTGAGCATGGCGCAATCCAAGCCACGTTCCGGTGTGTGCGGCACGGCGGGACATCCAGCTGCAAGTGATGGTATGGCTGACGAAGCCCCAGAGGGGGCCGTAGTTGCTGATCATATCACAGGGCGCGCAATATGCAAGTGCTGCCATATACGTATGCTTGAAGGTAGTCACGAGAATGCGGGCGACAAGAGTCATCGCGGCGCGGGGGCCACGCGGTGTTGAGCTTGGGGGGACAGGGACGTCATTGCACCCCGAGAAGGGTGAAAGATAGCCTTGGCCAACCTCAGCCAAGGGCCGCGGACACCGAGGGTGACGAGGCCGGCGCTGACAAGCACAAGCACCGCTTCTGGAAAGACCCGCGCACGTCGTAGGGCTGAGGCGGAGTCCCGCTTGGGGTGTGACAGAGACCGGCGTGGGAGCCGAGGGGGCCACGAGGTGGACGCGGGACGCTGAGGAGTCACGGCAGCGCAGAGAGAACTGGCCAGAGTGGACTTGCATCGTGGTGGGGAGCCGCTGAATCTGGACTATCAAGCGAGACAGGATGCTGGCTATGGGTGCTCAGTCAGCATATTTTGAAGATGCTTCTGTTGCGTGCCTGAGGCTGCGAGCGCCGGGCGCTATTTTTAGGACTCGCCGAGAGCAGACACGAGAACCTGCGAGGATCCGTCAGAAGTGCTCGAATATCTGGTCTGGCTTGAGCAGGCGTGGTTGTGGCCCAGCGCTTATGGCTACTGCACGAGTCTCCCGAGGAGAACGCGAGAATGTGGTCCCAAGCAACGGTTTTTGCATGTCTTGTCGTCAGTACCAGGACAACAACACGTTTCTCCAACAAGAAGCTTCATTGATGTGCTGCAGAGGCATGCAGCCCTGCCGACGTCTGCAATGTCGCTGTAGTTACCAGCCTGCCGGGCCCGTCCAGCCTGGACAAGAACCACAGGGTCGGTGTTCATTGCTGCCACAAGGCAGCCGGGTCGCTACACCATCCCATCACGACCTACCTGCCTGTCCCCTTGCCCACCAAGAATAGGTTGGGGGCTGCGCAATTGCTCCTCGTGGCAGTCATTGCCCGTTTCCAGCCGATAGGCCATCCCCCTCTGGGCGGCAATCCCTGTCCTCGAGCCATCCACTGCCCGGGGCGGCCGAAGCAGTCCCGTGGCCACCCCCAGTTGTCGCTTCGTCATGGCCCTGGAACCTGCATCTGAACTCAACCGCTGTATAGACGGTTAGTAGGAAAGCTTCAACTGCTGCCACGGGTGTGCTTCAGCAGCACTAGGGAACAAGCCAGCAATTGAGGAATTAGCAACACAACATGATCCGAGCATCAACCACATTGGCATATTCAACAAGGATGTGAGGTGGACAGCCAGACAAGCGAAAGGTGACTCGATCAACAACGGAAGACCTTCGAGATCGCTACAGGCATCCCCACTGGGGCATGGTTTGTGCCTGTCGTGGCGGGCCCCCAGCATCATGTTCACCCACCGTTCAACTTCCCCGTCAGCCCGCTTCGGTCAGGTCCGCCTCCTGTCAGCTGCACCTCAGACTCACCAGCTTTGCGCAGCAGGAAGGCTATGCCCCCAAACGGGCCGGTCAGTCTACTCAGTCAGCCCGATTTTGTCCAATCCCAAATCGTTGTTCGTTCGGGACGATGAATTTGTCAAAACACTATGGCTGCTGTCTGATCCGCTCAGGCGCCAAATATAGCGATCCCGCCTAGTCTCGATTCGACTTTGCATGCACATGGGCTTGTACGCTTCGACGAGTGTGCATGCTGCCTCTCTCTACCTCTTTGTGTGAATGTCGTCGTTCTCTGATGATACACTGCAAACCCCCTGCTACGCAGCGCCTTGCAATAATCTACAACCGAGTCCAAATCGCAACTCTTATCGCTTTCAGATTAGTATATTGAACGAAAGCATTGTCGTGGTGCTTCTAGAGCCCTGGAAAATTGCACCCGGAAGCTTCCGCAGCCAGCATACAATAGCGGCACGCACATTAATTTGTTGTAAGTCTATTCCAATGGCTGAAATGCTGACAGATTGCACGTTGATGCCTTGCCGTCATCTCTTTTGCACCAATCATCTCGCCAACCAGTACATCACACTTGCACCTTTGAAGGAGACCTGCACCCTTGTCACCCACCCACCCATCCTCGGCTTGGCTCAACCCCCATGCTTGGGAAGCAGGGACCCTTCAGACCAGGGTCCGGTTATGTCAGATGGCTCCATCCTTGCCGACCTCAGGCGGCCGCGACATGAGGCTCGTTATTGGGGGCCCTCTACGCGTGGGGTGTGGGCTGTGCCGACGACACATCGGAGTGATGCCAGTAAGAGGTAGGTTTGCTCCTGACCACAGTTGTCGTGACCAATGTGCAGGTCCCCGATATGGGCGACGGGTGCTTCCAGAATGTCCACCCGGCCGAGTATATATTCACTCGTGATCCCTCGAGTTTAAGGCTGCTCTTTTTCGACAACCAGCACAAGCACTACTCTCCAGTCACAGAAGTCTACAATCCAGACAACCTTTACCAATTCCCCACCAGATAACCTCTCTGTCATCAAACAGCCCCAAAAAGTCATCATCCTTTAATTCGCAATGGCCGCCTTCACCATCACCACCTACAGCCAGGTTCCTGTTGCCTACGGCCGCTCCGGCTACAACAAGGACGGCGAGGACGAGGAGGACAAGTGCCGCAACTACGGCCGCTCCGGATACAACAAGGACGGCGAGGATGAGGAGGACAAGGGCCGCAGTGGCTACAACTAGGCCAATGGCCATGCCAGCGACTGGTCACTTGGACCACCCTCGTCTCTGGAATCCTGGTTTCCAGACGTCCTGTTTTCGGATCTTTCAACATCATTTCCAGCAAGCAAGCTTCTGATCCATTCACGATATTCTTTTTCTCGAAATACCCCGGGACGGCCACGTCGCAAACCAGTCATAATCCCCTTGCACCTGATACAATTCTCTCCGACTTCCACGAGTCACGCTTTTCTCCAGAGTACCGTTGTCACAGCATTTCAATTGCAGCATTTACATGCGCAGGATTCTTGCGAAGACCTGTTCTGCCTTCCAATTTTCTCACGCCACTCCCATCGTCATAGTCATCACAGCTTAGTTACCTGCGGCATTTACACAGATCAGCGCTTCGCAGCAATGCGGTTTCCTTCTTTTCCATTTCCCCGTCCCCAAGATCATTTACTTCATTACTTTCCTATATGTTATTTCCGCGCGAACGTGCACTAGAATTGGGCGGAACTGGTGGTTTGACTCCCAGAAGAGGGGAGCATAGATGGCGGCCTGTTTGACTAAGAAAGTTAGAGCGAATATGGGGGCCCAAAGACGGCAGATGGAGTCACGAGGATTGCTATTTGGTGGAGGAAAAGCCCTGTACAAGCATTCCATATACTGTCTCTTTGCAGCTCAAAGACTTATAGCATTATACATCATCGTTCCACCTATGCCACTGCCATCACTCTTGAGACCTGTGAATTCACCAAGAAGAGGCCTCAAATTATCAAGTGCGATCACGTGCGTGTCTACTTTCCCACGCAGAACCTGAAGATCCAGTGAAATTGTTAGCGACGGACAAACCAATACTGGCGCCTTTATCATGCCATGGAAATTTAGGCGGAACATGAATGCTAACAATGCGGTAACACTGTTGGCGCAACAAGGACTTACTTCTCAAAAATGACACCCAGAATCTCTTCGACGTCCCCAGCCTCCCCGCGGCCCGTGATTCGACCTAGGCAATTCGCCGCGTAGCGGAGCTGCTCGGCCGCCATGGTAATATCAATGTCATCCCCTGTTGCCTGTGCTGCCGGCGTGCCGTCGACATTGTTCAGATAGTCCAGCAGATGCGTCCGGCACTGCTTGAGGAGCTGCCGCTGCCGCTCCGTGACACCGTGCAGGTCCTGCAGGTCCTTTGGAAGCGAGGTCATGGAAGAAAAAGAGGAAACGAGTGTGTCGGCAAGACTGGTGATCCCGCCGGGGTCTGGGAGGTTGTGCGTCCGGGAGCTTGTGTCCCTGGTAGTGGCGACAGAGGTTGGAGAGACTTGTGAAGAGATGGCCTCGTTGCATGAAATGAGAAGGGGCGTTGAGGACTCGAGGCCCGGGATCTGACTCAGGACGTCCTGTTGAAATCTAGAGACTAGTTCGTCGAGATGCTCCTGAGAAACCGAGTCACGCTTGTTAACCACCACCAGGCACTGCCCGCACTGCGCTGCGAGGGCGAGAGTCTCCCTGTCGTATTGGATCTCGTAAGTCGCGGTGGCAGCGGCTGATTCAGTCCCAAGAACAGGCTCGACAGAGGCAAGAACGATAATCACATCCGAGTCAAGCGCCTTCGCACGCGCCCGACGAATGCCCTCCTCCTCGACCGCACCGATCGGCGTGTTGAGTGCTGAAAGCGACCTAGCAGAACGGAATCCAGCAGTGTCGGCAAATGTGCACAAGTAGCCCCTGATATCCAAGTTGGCTTCGATGATATCCCTCGTGGTTCCGGACTCGCCAGACACGATAGACGCCTCGCGTCCGACAAGCTGGTTCATGAGCGAGCTCTTGCCTACGTTCGGAGGGCCGAGCAGGGCAATCTTGATGCCGCTTCGCAATAGCTCGCCTCGCTGCCCGGCCTGCTCATGCATGTCGATGCTCGCGAGCATCTGTCGGACCTGGGCTGTCACGTTGGCCGCAAGGGCCGCAGGTGATTCGTCAAAGTGCTGATCCTCGGAGAAGTCGATCAGGGCCTCCATCTCGGCGCGAGCCTGCAGGAGCTGGAGACGCCATCCGTCGTATGTCCGTCCTAGCGCACCGGAGTTCCCACGCACTGCGGCGCGACGTTGCTGCTCCGTTTCCGCTGAGAGGGTCTCGCTGAGAGCCTCCACTTGGGCGAGGTCGAGACGGTCGTTGAGGAATGCGCGGCGGGTGAATTCTCCTGGTTCAGCATAGCGAATGTCTCCGTGCAAGATTTGCGTGTCGTTCCCGCTGCCGCGTCTCGGCGCGGAATTGCAAGTCGAGATGGCGGCCAAGACAGCCTTGACTGTGGCACTCCCGCCATGGATGTGCAGCTCCAGCACATCTTCGCCAGTGACCGTGCGAGGTGACGGGAAATACAAGACCAGCGCTTCCGAGTCAAGGACCTCAAGCTCTAAAGAGCCCGGCTGGTATAATGTCCTGACCGCAGCATATCGAGGCTTTGGGAAAACCTTGTCTGGGCAAAGCGCATGGTAGATCTATCCTGGCCTATCAACGCCCAGTCTCGGTCACACTCAAGATGGCGTTGTCAGAGGAATTTCTTACCTGTCGGCAAGCTGGGCCAGAGACACGGATCACCGCGATGCCTGCTTTACCTGCAGCAGTCGAGAGAGCGTAGATGGTGTCGCCGTGTTTGCTTGGCTGGACATGTGTGTCCTTGTCAGGCCCGGATACATATTGCCTTTTGCTTATAGGCGCATTGCATCGGCTGAGACACCGATTGTGCGGTAGGAATGTAGGCTGCAGCAGTGGTCGACTCTGTGCATTTACGGCGCCAATTTGTGAATAGCTGAAGCGACTGCACAGGCGCCGACACAGGGCGCGATGCATGGATTGAAGGCCCTGGAGGAGGAAATGCGCTACTGATTCGGCTTGTCGTGTCCTTTATCGCGCTTTTCAGAGGACGGATGACACTAAACCCCCCTCTCGACTCGAGGATCCGTGCATTAAACACTGGCAGGATGGAAGCTGAAAGGTATTTAGGCTCTCAAGCGGTCGTTGAATATCCAGTGTCGTAGTTTCAACTTCCAAGCATCGCCAGAAGACCCTAGGCTGGCCGCAAAGTGACCAATCATGTCGCCCATGTTTCCGTCTGGCCCAGAAATGCCAGCATGTTTCTTGGACACCGAGGCACAGTTCCAACAAAGTTAAGCGTATGCAAAGAACTACTGCAAATATACTGTACAGTTATAGGACGACAAATAATGCCCCTTAAGAATTCGCAATTTTCAGCATAACCAGCGACCAAGCATCAAGTGCTCATATCAGGTACATGCCATAGTGTGTACCTCCGCTCAGTCGTCCAGTATGAATGCCTCAGTGGGCAAAGCGTGCTACGTGAGGCCGAGTTGAGCAAGGATGGACTCCACTTGCGGACCAGGCCGCGCTTCACCGCCCGGCAGTTCGCAGCTGCGTCCTGAATTTTTTTGAAATCTTTAGGTAGAGGCAGGTGCAGCCCAGATCTCATGCTGTTATACGCCGCCCCTCCGCGTCGCAAAGCAACAATCCCCATTTCGACCGACCACCCTTCTTCAATCCAAGTCACCCGGGTGCATAGTCGTCAAGATGGCGTCCGACGAGATTGTCTGGCAAATCATCAACCAGCAGTTTTGCTCCTTCAAGCTCAAAACAACCAAGGAGAAGAACTTCTGCCGCAACGAGTACAATGTCACGGGTCTGTGCAACAGACAGTCCTGTCCTCTCGCCAACAGCCGATATGCCACCATCCGCAGCTCTGCCAATGGCACCATCTACCTCTACATGAAGACGATCGAGCGGGCCCATCTGCCATCAAAACTCTGGGAGCGCATCAAGCTGTCGCAAAACTACCAGACTGCCCTGAAGCAAATAGATGATCGCCTCATCTACTGGCCCTCATTCCTGCAGCACAAGTGCAAGCAGAGACTCACAAGGTATGATGCTCACGTTCTATGCTGCTGTTCTCACAAGCAAGCCCGGCATTTGAAAGCATGCACTGACACTCGAAATCCGCAGACTCGTCCAGGTCGCCGTTCGTATGCGTAGACTTGCGAAGGAGGAAGACAGACTGGGCGAACGAGTCGTGCCAAAACTTGCACCCAAGGTGCGCCGGAGAGAAGAGACCCGTGAGCGCAAGGCCGAAGCCGCCGCCAAGCTCGAACGCACAATCGAACGCGAGCTTGTCCAGAGATTACGCGAGGGCGCGTACGGCGACCAGCCTCTTAACGTCAGCGAGAACATCTGGAAGAAGGTTCTCAATGCGCTCGAGCGTGAGGGCGACGGCACTCGTGACAAGGATCTCGACCGGGGCATTGAGGACGAGGATGAGGAGGAAGAAGAGGATGAGGAAGAGCGTGAGCTCGAGTACGAGCGGGAAGATGAGGAAGGCGATGGTGCCGTCGAGTATGTGTCCGACTTTGACGAGAGCGAGGACGATCTGGAGGATATTGAGGACTGGCTGGGCAGCGACGAGTCGGCAGACGAAGACGAGTCGGAGACCGACGACAGCGAAGATGATGCCGCGGCGGCCAAGAAGAAGAGGAAAGCAGCGTCTGCTGTTGCTGCCGCCGCCGGCGACAAGCGGAAGCGTGGCAAAGTCACGCGGGCTAAGCCGAAGAAGGCCCGGCGGGAGATCGAGGAGGAGCATGAGTACCAGCGTCCGGAGCTTGCCTTCTAGGGATGTTGCGAGCGAACATGACTTGTTGGCAGAAAGCGGTGTTCAGGCGTTTATTGAGATGTTTCCTCTCGCTCTCTGCGATGGCACTGTGTACATAGAAGCTGATCCATCGATACCCTCCACAGCGAAATCTGCGATGCGCTTCGAGAACCAGGAGCAAGAACTTGTGCATGAACGGGAATGTTCGACACAAGTGCTAGCGTTGTGCTGAGAACCCAGCTTGAGCTGGAGAACGCCCGAGAGAGATTGCGACATCTTGCTCCGCATAGACCAGTTATACGAAGACCGCCCGCACCACTGCCGCGTGTGGGAGTCATTGACAAGATGATTTTCGTCACCCTCGTGAACATGGCCCTTGACAAACGTCTCGGAGTGACTCTGAAGCTTGCCGCACCGTTGGTGGGGCTACTGAAGGAAGTAAAGCAACCCTATGGTGCAGCGACCCCACCTGGAGCTCCTTATTGCTCGCTCCCTTGAAACAGCATGACGATCACCGCTTTCCTGCCCAACCTAATCCTTCGGCGAGCGACTTCAAACACTGCACAAACTTCTCTCTCCCAAATTCGAGTAGGAGGCAGCAGCTAGGCATTCCGCGGATATCAGTGACCTCGACCGACCCGATCATCAACAACCACACGACCTCGTCATTTGATTGTAGGCCCAGCCTTTAGCACAACCAGATCTGCGACCGTCACGACTAGTGTCGCCAGGACGATTGACGACGACCTGCTGAGCAGAGCCTAAAGGAAACACGGTCGATTTTGGTGTTGCAACATCCCGCCTTTGATCGCGCTCCGGACTTGCAACCAAAGCCCCTGGACAGCCGCGCCGGCTCCGACCAACCATGTCGTGGTACACGAGTCTCGTGAGCACGGCATCGTCCAAAGTCAGCAACCTCCAGCGGACATTCCTCAACAGCGAGACGGACGGCGACACCGAGGATGACACGCACGTCTGCCGCGTGCTGCGCTCATACTACACGGAGAAAGGGAAGCCGTTCCCCGGATGGCTGCCGCCGGACCCCAAGGCACCACCGCCTGTGGCTGCCGTCTACTCGCAGCCCGCGTCGCAGGTCGGCGCGCGTTACGGTGCGGCTGCCGGTGGTGGGCTGCAGCAGCAACAAGGAGGGGGAGCCCTGAGCTCGCTGTGGGATTCGAATCCGGCGCCCCAACAGCAGCAGGAAGTGCAGAGTCTGCGAAGGGGCCGCAATGTACCGCCCGCGATGCGTGGCAGCGACACGAGGCAGAACCCGTTCCGCAACTCGGATCCCATGGGCGGAGCAGCGGGTGGTGGTGGTGGTGGAGGCCGGGACGAATTGCAGGCTCGACCGCTGCCTAGTCAACGTGGGGGAAGCTACCAGAGTGGTGCATCGTCGGTCTCGCCGGCGCCGGCAGCGGCCAGCGGTGGCGGTTCTGCGCAGGACCGGCTGAAGCAGAGACTCTGGGGCGGCGGTGCGCGAACGACAAGTCCCTCCCAGACTGGACCTTTTAACCCTCCGGCGCAACCCAGCAACTCAAGACCAGCACAGAGCAGCAGCAGCGGAGGGGGCAGTTACGAGGACAGGTTCGCGCCGGGAGGAGCTTACGATAATTCAGCGACACGCAGGGGGGCGGATCGGCCGTTCATGGCAGCTAATGCGCCGTGGGCGAGCAACGAGGATGAGTTCGCCGCTATGGGCGGCGGTGGCGGTGGCAGTGGAAGCAGCGGAGGCCGGCGGATGGGGGGACTGCCGAGTGGTCCTCGAGCATTCCGGTGATTTACGTTTGCAATGATTACAGCCTGAGTTCAACATCTTCCACCCTATCTCACAAGTGCCCGTGTCTACTTCTGCCTCGACCGTCTGTGGTGTAGGGTGCCTTGACGCAGCACATGCAATCTTTGGTGCCCGTCGTAATCATCAAGGTCATGGACGCGTGTGACAATGACGAGGCTCGCAGAGTCAAGTCCAGGCAGAGACGAACAACCCTGGCTTGTGGCGGGAACGACTATGAGGTGGAAGCACGGCGATCATGGCATGCAGCCTGCAAGCCACTGACTGCGTAGCGGGGCAAACATGGGTCAGAAGGGTCGGGTCGGGGCCGTAATGCCATCCAGCACGCCCATGCCCAACAGCAATTCCCATCATCGTTCAAATAGTGACCCTGAGTGCAGTATCGTGTCTCGCCACGATCCAAACATTAGAGTTGGCCACAGGCTCCCTCGATTGCCCCGCATTTGGCCGCGTAGGGGGCGCTCATGGTTCAGAGGCGAAGTTTGGTAGGCAGCAGGAATCCAGCTTTGGGTGGGCCGCGCCTCACTTACTCACGAGGACGTTTGCCGGCACATGCTCGCACCAGAGCCCCAGCACAAGAACACAGCTGCAGCTGATCTCGCTCCCCGCGTGGCACCATCATCCAGTTGTTCGAACCCCGTGCCGCCGTTGCTACGCTGTGGCCGTTGGAGTCCTCTGCCCGTCCCTCCGTCCCAGGCTCTTCGACATTTGCTCAAACGCGCACTTTGCCGCCGTGCACTCAGCGAGCTGGCAGCGATGACATCAGACCCCGCCATCACCAATGCTGTCAGTGCTGCCGCAACCACCTCTCTACAGGCAAGCAACAACAGCAGCACCACCACCACAAGCGACAACAGGAACAACAACGTCAGATCCAGCTCGCCCACAGGCAGCTTCTACGCCATGAGTGACGACGAGGAGGGCGGCTACGACACCATCACCCACGCTGCGTCGGGCCGTGGTGTCAAGCTCCTCTTCTCCAAGAGCAAGGTCTATGTCCACCCCAGTCCGTCGGCCAAGGACAATATCCCAGGCTACATCGCCCTTTTGCAGCAGAAAGGTGCCGCAACCTCGTCCTCTGAAAGAACCCCAGCATCAAACCATTCTTCCCCAGCTGCCGCTGATCTGCTGCTGGCATGGGTGCCCGAAACCTCGTTGGGCGCATCGGAAAGCATCTACGTCAAGGTCGACCTTACCGATGGCGACTCTCCTCCAAGACAGAGCTATCTCGTCCCGCCGCCTCCGACGGTCACCACGCACACGGGCTCCATAGGACGTTATGCCTTTGCCATCCCTGTGAGCGCCATCTACTCGCTCACCGTGAGGCCGCCCAGCCTCGGCTGGTGGTTTGGATCAGTCATCATCAACACTCGTGCAGGCGACAGTTTCCCCGCGCTCTTCTTCCATGACAGCGAGTGCCAATCTACAATCCTGCAGAAGAAGAAGCGGGCCAAGGAGAATTTCGACCCCTTCGGGGAGCATGGGCAAATGTTTTGGGGTGGAGACGAGGTTCTGCGGTGGTTGAAACGCTATGTGAAGATCGAGAGGAGTGGTGCCGAGCCCAACATCTACTTGATCGAGCCGTCAAAAGAAGACAGCAATGCTTTTGGAGGGAAGCTCACGACAAGCACGGCGTCCAAGGCTGGCCAGCGCGACGGCTCCGTCGGCACGACCGTCGGAGGAGCCGCCGGCGCGAATCCTGCTGGTCCAAGCAGCCCCGGTCCCGACGCGGCCATGGACCCGGTGATGAAATTTGTCAAGGAGACGGGCTGGAGTCTCATGGAGAAGTTCAGCCAGGTCACCACCTTTACTCGCCGCACCGCGCAAGACATTATCGATAATCCCAAAGTGCCTCCGCAGGTTAGGCGCATGGTCAAGAATCCAGAAATACAAACGATCCAGGATGAGTTTGACAGCGCGCGGATATACCTGGCCCGATGGGCGATGGGTATGGCCGAGCAAAGCGAGCGTGAACGCAACCAAAGGATATGGACCGCGCGCGACGTTATGGAGATGGAGGACACCGACGTCGGCGAGTTCGAGCTGCTCGAAGCCAGCAATCTGTCGCTCGTAGAGCGTCGGACGCCAGTGAACATGAAGGAATGGAACAGCTTCTTCGACCCGAGAACCGGCCGCCTGTCAGTCACTGTGGACGAAGTCAAGGAGCGTATATTCCATGGCGGCATCGATCCCGAAGATGGTACGAGGAAGGAGGCGTGGCTGTTCCTTCTTGGCGTGTACGAGTGGTACAGCACGGCAGAAGAACGTCGCGCGCAGATTTCATCTTTGCGGGATGAGTATGTCAAGCTCAAAGGCGCCTGGTGGGAAAGACTAGTCGACATGGGCGGAGAAGGTGAAGAAGGTGAATGGTGGCGAGAGCAGCGGCTGAGAATCGGTAAGCCAATGCATATCTGGCGGTTTCCGCGACCCAAAAAAGCTAACAAGGAACAGAAAAGGATGTCCACCGAACGGACCGGACAGTGCCAATCTTCGCTGGCGAAGATATACCGCATCCGGATCCCGACTCTCCATTTGCCGACTCTGGCACAAACGTTCACATGGAGCAAATGAAGGACATGCTTCTGACATACAACGAGTACAACAAGGACCTTGGCTACGTCCAGGGCATGTCAGACCTGCTGGCTCCCATATATGCTGTTATGCAGGATGACGCGGTTGCATTCTGGGGCTTCCAGCACTTCATGGACCGGATGGAGCGCAATTTCCTCCGTGACCAGTCTGGCATGCGCAACCAACTACTGACCCTCGACCATCTTGTTCAATTCATGGACCCCAAGCTTTACGAGCACCTCAAATCAGCCGAAAGCACGAATTTCTTCTTTTTCTTCCGGATGCTTCTCGTGTGGTACAAGCGCGAGTTTGCCTGGATGGATGTGCTTCGCCTGTGGGAGGGCTTGTGGACGGACTACCTGAGCAGCAGCTTCCACCTGTTCATCGCCCTTGCCATCCTTGAGAAGCATCGTGAGGTGATTATGGAACATCTACTGCATTTCGATGAAGTACTCAAATATGGTAAGTTGAGCTGCAGATCATTGAACGGGTCTAACGGGTAATAAACTGACGGGTTTCGCACCTCTAGTCAACGAGTTGTCAAACACGATCGATCTCGGCTCCACACTTGTCCGAGCAGAGCAACTATTCAGGCGTTTCAAGCGCCTTGTAGAAGCGATCGACAAGAAGGAGAATTTCCCCAAACCGCCCCAGCAAGCAAGCAGTCCCTCTGTTACAGAAGGGCCATCAAGCCGGTCACCAAGATCCCCGAATAAACCCGGCACTGACAAAGGCAAAGCTCCTGAGGGCAAGGATGTGGAGACAATCAAGGTCATCACGCCTGAGCTGAGAAAGCTTCTGAGCCGGACTGTTGAAGTCTTGCCGAGGAAGGAGGTTCGCAAGAAGGGGGACGGGTTCCATGCTTGAAAGGATGTCGCGGATGCTTATGCGGATGATTCACGATCAAACTTTCTTCCTTTCATTATTCTCCCCGCTCTCTTACTTATACTTGCATTTTGGTTACTGGTGCATCCGGGCGGAAAGATTCTGGGATTATTTAAATAAAACCATTATTTGAGGAATCAAGGCATAAATTTCGGCCTGTACACAAGTCTGTATACGTGTGATTGAAGCTGTGATTGTCTCGGCCGCCGTGGAGCCTCTTGCACGCAGAGGTTGTTCATAGAGCATATGTCTGTAGTGCTTCCTGTCTTGTGGTCAGAGCACTAGAGAAGTTTAGCTCGAGTGCATCACCATCATCATATTCGCCTGGCATCTGCCCCCCTCTGACAATTGTTTTCTAGTGGTCCAGTTTATGGAGGAAGGGAGAGAGAGACTGAGTGCATGGTTCAGTGATTTTGGGGGTTAAGAGTCCGTTTGAAATTCTAGCAACTTTTTTCTTCTGCTCTTTTTTTGGGTTTTCGGAAAAGAGCAAACGCGTAGATGGAGGCGGGGACACAAATCGATACAACCTGGTTACCTACCAAGGATGGGCAAGGAGTTCAAATTCACCACCAAATCTATGTAGCTAGAGGAGCGGGTCGGCGGCGGCGACGCAGAGCAAGAAGCCAGGATGAACCCTCGAAAAGAATCGGGTTCCAAGTGAGATTATCATGACACCAGTCCGCGCGCGTGTATACACACAGTCTGCCTTTCAGCTCGACAGGGAAGCTGAAATCTATCCTCCCCCCCCTCCCCCCCTCCTCCCTCCCTCATCGATCGACCCATCGATCGACTCCATCTGTTTGAGCCGGCAATGCATCCGAGCCATACAACTGCGATCCGGATCTGCGCCGGGAAGGACAAAGGACCGGGCCCCTGGGGATCCAGCAGAGGCCAGCAGCAGCAGCAGCTGGCTTCAATTACTGGCATAATCCCGGTTTGTGGACGCCTAGATTCCCCCCCCTATAGAATGAGCCCACTCGCCGTGAGAAAGCTCCATTTATGGAGTTCAAGGGGGGTCAGCTTCAGTGTGTATGGGCATTATACGATCTGGCTTCTTCCTTTACCCTCTGCTCTCTGGCTACGGATGCTTGCCCGGGACCGTCCATTCAGCTCTTCTCTTTCGTGAACGATCGTGCGTGGCAGCAGTAACAAGCAGGGTGATCCCTACCAGCGATGAACGCCCCTGTTGACAGCTAGCAAAAAGCTTCCCGGGGAACCGGGACTCGTCTGCTACTAAGTCTTGGATCAAAGTGGACGTGGATGGGAGGCGCAGCCCCTTTCCCCGAATGGAGTCAAAAGAGCTGAAGCCCACCCACCCCCATCGGCAAGACTTCCCCGGTGCCCAGAAAAAGAGTTTCCCATAAATCTCGAGACCTTGACCTCGTCAAAACACCCACGTTGTCGAGGTGGGCGACACAGACAGCTCCTCTTTCTCGACCAAGAATTCGCTAGGGGCGGCCTGATTCGTAACCTGCCGGCTATAACTCCTGGGCTTCCGCCACCCCGCCCGCTTGCTTGCGGCCTATGGCATTGGCGGGAGTGAGCGGCGTGCCCTCCAGGATGGGCAAGGACGAGGCTAAATTGTCCTAGTACGAGCCCACGTCGCCAGCAAGTTCCCCACTCGCTGGCGGCTGGCGCCGTAAGCCGCCAGGCTTAGGGCATTCAGGGTCTTTCTTCAACTATTCGCTCGTTTGCCCACGAGGCCGCTAGCTTAGCTCGAGCCTTGAGAATTCAAAGGGCAACGGCGGCAAAGGCAAAAAGTCAATGGAAAATCCCGAATTCGGGAAAGCAGGACATTACGGGAGGACGCGGGAGGCAGGGATACCCTGGTTTCCGCTGTTCACACTATCCCTAGTGTTGTTGAGGCCAGGCTGTGAGCTTGAGCGCAGAACTGCCCAAACCAGAGGAGACCGTGCCATTGACTCAGGGAGCTCATGTTTGCGCTGCCGGAAGGATATGCCAAATTTGTAAGATTTTGATAACATCATCACGCCACAATCAATCAATTTTGCTGAATAGCGAAGCATAGACTCATCATCAAGGATGTACCGCAAGTTGGGTCGAATCCTGTTTGAAGGTTACTGCTCTGATATGCCAGGCGACGAAGAGTCTGCCCGGGCTTTCCTGATCGCCGCGATGTGATGCATGCAAGCGTTCCGATCTGGCACGTCGATGACTTGCGTCGTACCCTTCCAGGGCGCAACTATGCGCGACGCCTTTCTAATGACCACCGGGAGAATCTACACGCGGTCTCAACTGCATAGCAGACTGCGAGCTTTTGGAGGGCGGGTCCGGGGAACCTGATCCGCCTGTGTGACACAAGATCCCTGAGGTGTGATGTATGCAGGTTTGTGATGGAGCTGCTCGTCACCATCTCGCGGTTGTGATGTGGTGGGCGCTGCGACGGTGGTGCTGTACTAGAGAACCACTGATGGCCGGACTCGATGCTCAACACCGATATGGGTCAATAGGGGCGCGCGATCTGTCATGTTGCTCCGGTTCCATCGTCGCACCACCATGGAGATTGATTACACACCAACACGACCGGAATCCTTGAGATATTTATTCTTCGAATTCTCATTGGTCGTATATATCGAGACTGGTCTGGAGACTTCCGTTGACGTGCCAGGGGTGAGGAGATTTGGTGTGGGCCACTACTGACAGTGTGCTCGCAACGCGGCCACATCAGGTCGATAAGCAGATGTCAGCATCTGGGGTGCGGGGAGCCATTTTGGGATCCCAAAGTGCCAAATCCGGCCAACGTGATGGCCATGCTTATGACAGGACCTTGAAGGGAAGCGGATTGCATGGTTGGGATCCGCCTGCTTCTCGCATGGCGGCTTACGCCCCCACGGTTTGCGCGTCTACTGGCAACCAAACAGGAAAGCTGGTGGGCACTGAATAGAGAGAGCTGTGCTATATGTCCGGAACATGCAGCGCCTAAGCTGACAAGCAGCCGCAGGCCGTTTCAATGTTGTAAAGAGCAAGCTATCCGCATCGTCCTTTTTCCGGGCCAGGACAAGACAGGAGAGTCGCTGGCATGAGAATGCAAGATGCGAAACAGCAGTTGTTCAAGGTCAAAATGCTTGGCGACCCATGATGCGCAAAGTTCCTTTGCGCGTCGTGACGGACCACATTGTCGCAGGCCTTCACACCACCTCGTGACAATCCTTCGTTGCCGCGAACCACTCGTCAAGTGTCTGGAGTCTCGCTAGCTCCTCCACGATGGAGCCAATGAGGTGTGCACAACCCCTGCTCGTCGCGGCTGGACCCAAGTTGGTGGCATCCGAGGCGGCTATAAGTGGATGAGATATCCCTGCCTAGGCACAGGGATCCGGGAGCCCCAAGGATTCGATAGGCCACGGAGCCTGGACTGACAGCCGCTGCCAAACAAAAACAGACATTCGAGGACCTGAAGCGTCGCCGTTGCGTGATTTGTGCTGCTTGCAGTCGCTCGAGCTGCGACAGCACGCAACAGAAGCATCCATGCTCCGAGATCGGAGAGTTTTGTGCTGGCGGTGTTTTTTTTTCCGTGACGTCGCCAGTGGCGGCCTCTGCGAGGGATTGAGAGGAGTTGAGAGCACCAGTCCGCTGTGGCGCAAGAGCGGTTGGAAAACAGACATGCCACGTCAATTGCAAATCGATATGCCTGGAGAGCTGAGCCTCAGCTCTGTGTGAGGCTTTAGCGTGCCCGAGTTGTGGATGACACAGCAGGTACGTGGGGCGAGGTCCATCAGGGTAGGGGCTGCCCAGGTGGGCGTGGCGGAGTGCATGCGCTTGCGCAACCAGGCGAGAAAGAGCAGGCTGGCAGCCACGCTAGACAGCACATCTGTGGCACTGTAAACCGGCCAGTGCGTGCCCGTTCCGAGTAAAACCGGAGTGGCATACCTGACTACAGGGCCCGCGCAACGCCACACCACACCGACAAGACCGTCGCTCGCCACGCACCCCACGAGCATTGACGACGGGATCGCTAGTGCAGAGCATGACGTCCATTCTCTTCTTCACCGCCATCGGGCTGCCGAGCAGTCGAGAAGCGCGCAGGCTCGGACACCACGAAGACTCGGTCAGCCTTGCCAGCCTTGGGGCGAAAGTCACCTTGAAGACCGACGTGGCCCTGAATGCGATACGACATAGAGCCGGTGGATCGGCACGGTTTCTCTGTGAGGGCTCCCATGTGCCGGGTCCAGAGGCTCGGATCCTTGAGGCCAGCCAACATGAACCTTGTTGATGCCGGACTCTTGGGCCACTCAAAGGCCGCAAAGTTTTCCATGGCAGGCATTACGTGCATCCTTTCAGCTCGACCTGCCTCTGCAGCCTGCACGCACGAGCTGCTACAGTAGATCCGTGCCGCACGCGATTGCTGCTTGATTGGGCTGCCACGAGCGCCTCGGCCATGTCTCCGCACAGCAGTGTGGATTGCGCAGATGTGTAGTCGCGCTCGTCAAACACTGTCGGCGCACTTTGTTGGGGTTGCACAAGTGCGAACAATGGACATTGTTCGGCCAGCAGCATTGTGTTTGTCGCATTGCGGAAAGGAGGGGCTCTAGTCAGATCTTTAAAGTTGGACTCGGCTTGTTAGGATGGGCCGGACCGCCGTGCTGGAGCTAGGCGTCCCCCGCCAGACTCTGCCAAGCGTGTCAGCACAGCTGCATTGGGAAGCGGTTTGAGTCCACGGCTGTCGACTTGCCCTGAGCCACCGCATCATTCACTAACGAAACCACGTGAGGCGAGTTCGGCCATCACCTTATCACCCCAGAGGCTCGCCAGGAAGCACAAGCATGAGATCGCAGTGTTGTCCTCTGTGACTGGCCCGCAGCATTAGACTCACGAAATTAGCTCGGTTTGCTTGGTTCAACTGGCTGTGGTCTGAAGCAACGCGTGCCGCATCCTGAAAGGTTCCGATGGCCTTGTCGCCAGTGATTGGATGGAAATCATCCGCCAGGAGCCAATGGTAAAAGAGAAGAGCAGGCTCCAGGCTGCGTTTGCTACCAGGCGACGGTGCATGGTCACCTAGGTAGGGGGTGAGAGCACGGCACGGCTGGAAATGGTCGACTCGACACAGGGGCTTTTCTGCTCGGATCGTCATGCCAGTCTGATCTCGTCCAAGGCATGGGTACGCTTGGTCAAATGAGAGTTTCCAGAGAGTCACTTGGTGCTGTCATGTGATCACCGCTGCTGCCTGTATCGTCAGGTTCATGACCCTCCCTACCGTCGGATTCGTGGTTGCGGCCCGTGGTCAGCCACCGCTCCCAGGGCTGTCCTTTTGGGGTTACCGGGCTCGGGGCCCGAAACATGAATGATATGAGACGGCGGTGTTCTATTGCTGGATCTCATTCCTCCGACTAGCTAGATACGTACACCCAAGAGTCTTTACTGGACGAGAGGTCCAAGAGTGCACGTTGTTGCAGTGCCAAAAACAGCTCGACGTGCAGACACGATGGCCAGCATGTCGGCCGCGGAAGTCAACTCAGCCACAGCCCAGGATGTATGCAAGCTGCAGTCCTGTCGCCTCCTTGGACGCCCGTGCAATCCCAGACAGCATTCAACGGCAGGCTTTTTCCATCGGCTCCCTCCTCCCCACAGCGGCAGGGATCCTGCTTTTCAGGGTCACACACCACTGGCCGGATGCTAACTGGATGGAATGGCCTTACAATACTTGCCGAAAGCAGAGCGACAACGGCGGTCCTGACACAGCCGAGCCAGCGGCCGATCGACCGACAGTCTCACGAGACCGCTTGAGTCTCCGAGACATGCTCATGCACCATGTGACCTTTTCCCCAGGTCTCAAGAAGACAGACCGAGACAATCCGCGGCAAGGACATCGCTCTGTCTGCCCCAGACCAGATAGAGTGCACTCTTACCTCCTACCATTCCGGCGGCTCGTGAGCCAGCCCGAAAGCCGTCGCCTTGGACGACGCTGCTTTTAGCCAATAGACACCCAAGAACCATTGGCCTCGCTCTGGGTGGGCGCCGAGAGTAGCTCTTCGACAGCGGTGCAAGCTTTACAACGCGGGCGTCATGGCAGGCATCCCCAAAGCCTCGACGCTCGACAGGCAGCGCCATCAGCGACAAGTTGGACCTGCGCTAGCAGTTTCGCGGGCCGCGGCGTGACGCCGTCGACGTTGAGTTTGTTCCGATCGTGAAAGTCTGGGGCGGCCAGACCGGTTCGGAGGTGCACTTCTGAGGCCGCTGCTGCGAGAGGCTCTGGCGTGCCGTGCCATGTGAAGTGAGTCGACGGGACTGCCAGGCTGGGACGTGAATGGCCCCTTGCCAGCCGGGGTTGTGCAAGATACTCGAGTGATCGGCCCTCTGTGGCCACATCCATACCGGCTGGCCAGGGTGGTCGCGTCGGCGATGCCAGCCAGCCATCTCTCGTGCAAGCGCCTGGCGGGTGGAGCAACGCACGCCCATGCTGCTCGTCCCCTTGGCGCCTACAGGGACCTCGGACGCCACGCAGACCCGCCCGTATCCACAGCCGTTCTTGGACCTTGAACCCGGCACCTCGACTGGAGCCCACCTGCAGGGCCAGAGACAGCCATGGACACTCGGAGAGACTGAGGTACACGTCTGATATAACCTTGTGCAACCCGCAACGGAGGTCCCGATACTTGCCTCTTGCCGATATCTCCCAGTCTCTCCATCACTACATCACTCCAGAGAGGCGAAAACGACCTCCCCGCAGCAACATTCCGACACCTCTGGAAGGACCCTGCAACAGCCTTTGGTGCCCCAGCACCTACCTCTCCACGTCCAAGGTGCTTACCACCCACCATCTTCACAGAATCACACCTTGGCCATCACACCACAACGCAGCCACAGACACATTGTGCAGGGTTCTTTAAACTATCGAGTCCGTCCCAAATCTCGCCAAGGTTGCTGCTTGTTCTTTTTCTTCTTTTTCCTCTTCTCCTGGTAAGGCCTTTTGATATAGTTGTTCATACCTTCCCACCCTCACACATCCACCTCGACTGGTTGGTACGACAGCCTCAAAAACCCACAAAAGCCAGGACCGTCCGTTGGAAGTCCTGCTACTAATTTGACGGTCGCAGGTACCTCTAATACTGCTCAGTTTACCGCGACTCGCCGTGCGAGACGAGTTTCTATGCCTGCCTGAATCCACAGCCAATATGCCTTCGACCAGAATGCGATCGTCTTCCCGGCCTCGCATAGACGACCACTCACGGTATGGAAGGATGGGCGGTGCCGTCGAGTCCGAGGACGAACAAGGTTTCCCCACCACACTGAGTCGACTAGCCCGCCAGGAGGCAGCGAGCAACCGTCTTGCTGCCCCAAAGGGCTCAAGAACGAACGGACAACAGTCCCGCCTGCCACAAATGTCCTCTGGACGACGGCCATCGGGGTCAGCACCAACACGTCCATCAGCGAGCCATGACGATCAGTCATGGAGCACTGTCACCACCGGCACCACCGCCCTGCCGCACACAGCTGGCGTCCGTGAGAAGGAGATTGCGTCTTTACAGGCTCGTAGCATGCTGCGGCGGAAACCCACGGGAATAAATAGAGCAGTCGCGCCAGCTCGTAACGCACCCCAGCCAGAACCATATGAGGACAGCTGGGCGTCGACTGTCGCAGGGTCGAGTGCCCCTGTCGAGCGTGGCTACACACAGCCAAACACGGTGTTAGAGCGTCCTGACAGAACAGAGGTTTCCGCATCCTCGACCACGAACGTGTACCCCGAGCTTGATCGATACAGAGACATCGAACCCCCCTCACATACACGCCACGGTGTCGTGTTGGAGGTCCCCTACCGTCTCGCAACCGATTTGCCCCCTCCGACTCCTCTTTTTTCTGGAGCAAGCAGCCAAAGTCAATTAAGCACTTTCAGTGCTAGTCCATCGACGAGATGGTCCGAGTCGCCCGGCCCCGGGCCATACAGCCGAGACACCACGCCCACGTCAATGTCGTCGCAATCCCCAGGCCTTGTGGCACCTATGCGATTTCCAGCTACCAAGCTGAGACAGGGTAGCCCGGCAGACTCGAGGCCTCCAGTAACCCGGAGAAGGGCTGGGAGTATTTCCAAGGACCCAGAGTCCTTCGTCACCGAGCCCAGTGGGCTTGCTGCCGTTAGGGAAGCTCTGACGTCGTCGTCTTCAAACTCGACTGTCCGCACTGATGACAGAGCGGACAAGAAGAAACAGCAGACTTCCACGTCTTCTTCCTTGGAATACGGAATCAGGAGAAGCCCGCAAAAGTTGCAGAAGGTCCCGAAGGAACACAGCTCGCCATCCAAGTCCGCAAAAGTACCCGCAAAGCCAGTCATGAGGGCACTCTCCCCGGTTCAAGCAAGGCGACCATCAGCCGATGGCTACGGCGGCCCGCTTCCAAGCCCACAGCTGCGCCCCGGAATGCCCTCAAGGCCGTCCAGAGATGGCACTCCGGACCTCTATTCGCAGCTTGGGGGACCAATGCCAGTCATCCATAGCAATTTGTCAACCTCGAGTGTCTCTGAACGTCGCCAGAGTAGCCAGCTGGCACCAAGCTCACTACCGAGAGTAGCAGATTACGCTTCCTCGACAGAAGCGCTTGCCTCAAGTCGGCCATCGCTTGCTAAGTCCTCCAAGGGGAAGGATAAGACCCAGTCGGCGGAAGCATCGTCCGCCAGCCGATTCACGCGTACTCCTAGCCCAAGCGTTCCCTCCTTCCGATCTCGTTTTCCCATCTTTGGCAGGAAACAGAAGCCTTCGGTAGATGATCCACAGCCTTCGAAAGCAGACCGGCCCACTCGAAAGGGCCCAGCAGCTGGGACAGGACACGAAGGCTATGGCCGGTTAGGGGCTGCTAAACGGAGAAGCAGTTCAGGAGCACTTCCCCCGCGAGGACTCGCTGGGGCAGTCTCGTCATCAGAAAGCCTCAGCAGTCTTCCCGCGACAGATACCTTTCTTTTGGACCGACTGAACCCAGTGGTGATTGCTGGTGGTGAGATTGTTGAGAATCGGAACAACAGCACTGAGTTATCCCGTGCAGCACCAGCGCCCGCCTCCCAACTGCGAAGGCCGAGCACTGCTACGCGCAAAGATTCCACTGCTTCGGCGTCATCACGGGAGGACTTTCGTTCCAAGCTCGCTCCGTCTGCCTTGCCTCGAACTGCCAGCAAGTCGCGCCGACCATCCGATAGTAGCGACGCCGGGTCTGTCAGCATGCACTCGACACTAGCATTTCGCCGATCTGTACAACGTGTTCACTCGCCAGACAAAACCCCAGTCAATATTCCGAAGCCGATTGTGACGAGGGGTTTTGCGTCGCCATCCGTCGATAGCGTCGACACTGCCATCTTCACGGACGACTCCTTCGATTTGTCTCAGTCTTCGTCGCGGCACGGAGTGCTTATCTCAGCAAATGGCCCGAAGAAACTCACGAAGAAGGCCAAATCGCCGCGCAAGTGGAACATCTTTGGTAGATCACATGGGTCATCCACCAAGGAAGAGAAGAAAGCAAAAGATGTAGTTTCCGCCCCTCTTGAGAAGACACAGCCCCCAAAGCCAGTTACCTTTTATACCATGATGGATTCCTCAGAGCAGGAGGACAACGAAGAGCAACCCATGGAAGACATCTTGAAAGAAGCAGCAGTCCTGCAGCACCCTAGCCAGACTCAACCACTTAATATTCCACCGGGGAGGGCGGCTCCTGAAGTCCGCCCTGCTGCTGAGAAGCGCAGGCCCTCAATCGAGGTTGAGGCTTCGCGGAAAAGAGGGGAACAATCTTCTTCGCAGCCTGCCGGCCGGTTGCTCGAGGAACCAAAGCCAGTCCCTTCAGAAGCCAAGCCCAAAGCAAGTCGCCTGCCGCAAGTCGGTCGGATACCCAAGGTCATCACGAGCCGACCTGAGCACACTTCTCCCAAAAGCTTCTCTCGGCCTTTTCATCGTCTCAGTACTCAAATCACAGTTGGTGGACAGGTCGAGGACTCTACTCGACTGGCCATGCCTCCACTCCATGACTCTCCAAAGCCACTGACGCCTGAAGCCGTCTGTGATGACGCAACTGATATCGAATGCTCAGAGGACGAAAGCCCCGAAGGCGGAGCCGTCTCGGCTCATGGCGAATTCATCGCGTTCTCGCCGAGAAAGAATTCCGAAACGACAACCTGCACGTCCAGCAGTAGCTACATCAATCACACTGCCGTCACTCCCCAACCAAGTGCGCCGCTTGGGGAAGACGAAATCTGGGATGAGTACAATGATTTCATGGGCGAGCCTCCGCTCTCAGCGACTTCATCTTTGGGTACACCGTTCCATCTGGAGCGATATGATTCGCGTCTAGTAAGGAAGCGATCGGCAAAGACGGCGGAGTCGCCTACCATCAAGTTTCAGCCTTCCAAGGAGTTTTGGCCTCAAAACAACACTCGCGACTCTGCAGACAACGGGAAGGCTCTGACAGCTTCGAGCCACTACAGTGCCGACATGACGGCGAGGATAAACGCTGCATTCAGGTTTGGGTCCGATGTGCCTTCCACTCCCTTCTCCGTGACGGAGTTCGTATCAGGATACAGCGATCGAAATGCGCCGGCTCATGACTCTTTTGTCCCCGAGAAACCTGTTTCTGTGGAGGTCAGCAACATCTCTCCAAACTTGGACCGGAACAGCTCCAGCTCGGATGCGAACGCCACTGCTGCTCGCAACAGCTCAAACAGTAGCAGAAGCAGCCAAGAGAGCCCGCTCTCCCAAGTGAACCTCAGAGTTGGGTCCATGACCGTAAGCAAGTGGTTGACATTTGGCCAGGTGCTCTTCAGCCCTGTGCGAGATGAACTCGTCAATGTCGTTGGCTCTCTGAAGAGGCACGCCATTCTCGTCATTGATGGGCTCGGGAATGATGACTGGTCATTCTATGCCGCCGAGACTTATCCAGCAGCAACTTTCTTCAACCTCTCGCCAAGAGCTCCAATCGCCAAAGAACAGACGACTGCCTCTTTCCCCTTGTCGCCCCCTAACCACCACCAGATTCAATTCATGTCTCATCTGGAGAAGTTTCCGTTTGGTCCTGACACGTTCACATCCGTCGTGTTCAGATTCCCCGCCGCGGCTCCTGAGGCCCACTTCCGCAACATCGTCTCGGAAGCTAGGAGAGTTCTTAAGCCAGGTGGTTATATCGAGCTTTCTATCCTTGACGCAGACCTGAACAACGTTGGCAGCCGCACGCGTCGAGCCGCGCGAGGCCTCAAAGAGAGAGTTGCAGCGAAGCATCCAGAGTACAGCTTGGGTAGCACATCAGACACCATGCTCCGACTAATGGGTCGCAAGGGCTTCGTGGACATCAAGACATGCCGAGTTGGTGTTCCAGTCGCCGCCAGCGCCGTGACAAGCAACCAAGCGGGAGAAAAGCGGAAGAAGGACGAAAGAAGTCTTGCAGAGATGATGCGGGACGAGACCGAAAAGGGCGACGAGAACATCACCAAAATGGTCTCTAAAGTTGGCAGATGGTGGTACAACCGGTGCTACGAATCTTCAACGGGAGGTAGGAGCATATGGAGCGACAAGGCTGTGTTGGCAGAATGCGAGCAATGGGGCACGAGCTTGAAGCTCATGGTCTGCCACGCCAGAATACCCGAGGGAAGCGGTCGACATGCAAGCCTATGACCCCTCGAATGCCGAGAACGAATCGCCAGCACAACTTTTATCCGCTGGCCGGGCGACTGATGCAATATCCTCGATGGATACTGTGCAGTTTTACTTCTTATTCGCCTTGAAGGCACACTTTCTATGATTACGGACCACGACGACAAAGTCTGACGCATCCGGGTTTCATTTTCACCAAAAAGTCATCCAAGTACAATGACAAGACTTTAAACGGGCGCAAGCCTATGCATCATGGTCGAAGAGCTGCCACTTCGCCACACATCGCATTTTTGCATACAGCCACTCGAAAGGACGAGAAGGCCATTCAAGCCATTGAAGGAATAATCGACACAGGCAGCCTTGTGTACAAGGTGCCGATGGTTTAATTAGGAACCAACAACGACATTCAAGATCCTCAGCATATCATGAGTTCAGAGCCTGGAACGCCCAATGCAATGAAAGGCGGTGACGGGGACAAGAGTTACGAAGTTTGAGGAAAGAATGACGTGAAGGGCGGGCGAAGCCCTGACCCTGGAATAATTATTTAGCATGATTTAATCACACAAGCATAGCGCAGCCAGCAGAGCATGACCATAAGGCTTTATTTAATAGATACCCCTGTCGTTTCCGAATGAAATTCATCATGGTCTATCTAAGTATGTGGAATATGTCTTTATTCATGTGGTGGCGTCCTTATGAGTAGTTGAAGGTAGTATAACTTCAATGGCCTTTAGTCAAATCACCTCTTCATCCGACTCTGCCACTCTGCAGAACCATCATATCCTTGTCCGCCCTGCCACGCCCGGCTGCGACAGCGCGGACTACGAGCTGTGTACAGAGAAATGCCACCTTGGCAAGGACGAGAAAACGACTTGCCGGCCTTCATCTCCGTTGGGGTCGCTCTGGCTGTGCTGCTGGGCTCTTGCACCCGCATCAAAACAAGGATGTTGAAAATTGTGGGCGGCGTGGAGGAGCGGAAAGGGGACGGGGGAAGAAAGAGAACGAGGGTTCCTCTACCTGACGGAAGATGACGAGAGGTTTTGTCTCTGAATGACAACCGGCGACCTCTCTAATTCCGCAGGGGGGACTCGACGACTTCTTCCGCCTTCCGCCTCTAGTTCCACGTGGCCACTGCTTCAGGAGCTTCGAGGGGGAGAGCTCGTGGTGAAGAATGGTTCTTCCCCCTGTTTGGGGTGAGGGGGGCGGGGGCAAGGGGCAGAAAGTCCTCCGAGGTATTGCTTGTGCCAAGGAACCCCATTTTCATGTCGGCGACACAACCTTTTTGTGTGTGGAGCTTTTCGTGAATTGCTGAAGTTGAGGCATTCAAAGTTTTTTCCAACGCCTTTTACACGAGAACCAATCAGTGTTGGGTAGACTGGGAACGAAACTCCGTCCTCAATGGGAATCAAAAAGGGGTGGTTGAATTCTTTTGGGAGAGGAACTCGGAGACGGACGGGCGGGCGTACAAGTTCACGCCATTGAAGCTTGGGCGAGGATGTTGCTCTCAACATTGCGGATAAGAAATGGCGTCATTTAGGAAAAGAGTATGGAAAAGTCTCTGGCCTGGGAGTCGGGTTTCTGTCATTTGCCTACTAATACTACCACCACCAAAGGGTCAACCAGCAAGTCTTGGGACAATTAATTAGAGCCTGCGCCGCCCGCAAGGTCCCAGGGGCTGCTGCTGATTGGCCAGCGTAGTCCGAAAGGGGTAATCGGCCGTGCCCCCTTGCCCTGAAGGCCGGGGTTGGGAACTTGCATGATTTACAACAGACAAACTTGATCGATGCAGAGCGGGCCCTGAACCGAGCTGGATAAGTAAAGATCAAGTCCGCCTAGTGTTGGCGATAGAATGTGCGGGGGGAGAATGTGCTACGAGAGTAGAAGGCGACCCCTGCGTAGAAGGAAAGCCTAGACGCACGTCTACTCCCGGGTCGACGGACGTCCACAGCGCGGACGGGACCACCACAATGCGGAACGAGCACCATTTCCACATCGCAGGCAGCCGTCGTCGGGCGACGAGGTGATCGTGATTGTGGTGGCCATGAAGAGAAGCCAAGGCCTAGAAAGCGTGGTCTTGCCAGCAAAGATGCCCAGACAAGAATATTAAACTGCTGGAGTATCCAACCCTCGACAACCTCATCTCATTGGCGGAGCTGGACGGACTGGAATGCGGAAAACCTCCAACTTGGGCACACACACCCGGAGTTAATGGTCGGGATATCACAGCCTGGCTGATCGGATTGGTGTCCATGTGTGTGCGGTACAAATAAGCCTGATCATTTGCGTACGAGCTCAATTTGTGCACTTGTAGAGAGGTAAACTACTACTGCTATTGCCTTGCCCCCGAGGTGGCCGCCCCCAACAACCACAACAGCAACCACAACAGCAACCACCACCACCACAACAAACAACCACTATCCCCGATCCCCGAGTCCGAATTCCCCGGGTGGGCCCCACCGCCGAGTCCGTCCCCAGCCGCCCGCCGCCGCCTACCACCCCCAAAGCTCACTCTGGGTCAGGTCAGGCAACCATCACAAAACACACACGCAGACCTGCTGCTATGCTCATGTTCCTCACCTTCTCCTCCTTCTTCTTCTTCTCCTTCTTCTTCTCCTGCCTTCTGCCTCCTGCCTTGCTTTCTCCTCCGTCTGCTTGGCTGGGCCGCCTGCTCTCCACGTCCAAACCCGAATCCTGCCCCCCAAAAGATGTAAGCACACGGACTTTGGGGACATCTGTCTGTCTCTCTCTCTCTCTCTCTCTACCAAAAGCCTCACATCCGTCATCGCCATACTCGCAAATATGTAATGTATGTTCTCACTCTTCATCCAGTGCTAAACCAGAACCCCCATCATCCCCCCCCCCCCCCGCGGACACACAGCTTAGATCACGATCGAGCACCGTGTTACACATTCACGGACACTTCCATCATAAATTCATGGTCACTCCCTTGTCGCAATCATGGACACTCGAGGCACAAGGAGCGGAGCAGACATGTGTGTATCTTCATCGTCTGCATTTTCTTGCCCTATCTCCCATATCACCAAAGATTGATGGCTTCCACTGCTGTCGTTTTGCAGCTAAACCCCCCCCCCCCCAGTTCATACCACATCCGACACAAAGCCCCAAAACCCAATGGTTTGCGGCCTCTTCTAGAAAAGAAAATCCCAGGAAATGCAAAAACAAAAAACGCCCCAAGCCATGATCAGTAAAAACAAAACCCCGCCTGTCCTGAAACTCCCTCGTCTAAAAACGCCTTTTGGAGGGTGTGTCCCAGTTTCCCCTTTTGCTTTTCTCTTCTCATGTCCATCCAGATGACTGACAGAAAGGAAGAAAAAGTCGGGAGAAACTCAATATGTACAATGTAAGTGTCGGTTTTCTTTTTCGCCCCAGGAAAGCAGGTGTGGTCGACTACTACCACGTCTCGGCAATGTACTGCCCTGCGTCCTTCTTGAGGTCCCAGTACCGCCGGGCCTCGTCGTGCTCGAGGTTGCCCTTGTCCATGGCGACCTTGATCAGGGCCTCCTCGACGCCCTCGCCCATTCCTTTGCTGCTGCCGCAGACAAACACGCGGCCGTCGACAGAGTTGATGATGTACCAGACGAGGTCAGCCTGGTGTACGACCTCGTCCTGCACATATCTGCTCTCGCCCTTGCGACTCTGGATGACGCGCTTCACCTCATCCTCGTGGACACCCCACTCGCCGCTGTACAGCTCGTCGACGAGCGAGTCGCGGATGCCCTGCAGCACCCAGACCTTGTTGGCGCAGTTGGCGTTCTTGAGGCGGCGCTGCACGAAGCCGCGGAAGGGCGCGATGCCCACGCCAGCGCCAATCAGCAGCATGGGGCCGTCGGAAACGAACTGCTTGGCGAGCGGGTTGGCCATGAGGCCCTTGAACATGGGGATGTAGAGCTGCGGCGTCTTGCCGGCAGCCACCTGGTCGAGGAACTTGAGCGACTGGCGCTGGAAGAAGCCAGAGCCAACGCCTTTACGGGTGCCCGTCTTCCAGTCTGACGTCTCGTGGACGGTGACGGCGATCTCGATGAGGCGGTGCTGCTTGCCGTCGCGCATCTCGTACGACTCGTGGGGGTCGTTGGACAGCGAGTAGAATCGGGGCATCAGCTGCTGCAGGCTCGAGAGCAGCACGTCCATGGGCGGCTTGGCGGAGGGGAAGGCATTCAGGATCTGGGAGAGCGAGATGTGAGGGCCTGTGCGGAAGTCGCAGAAGACACCCTGGCCCTCCGCAGCACACAGGAACATGAGCAGCTTGCGTTCGTTCTCATCCTGGGCATACTCGGCAAGGATGCGCAGGAGAGGCTTGGTCGGAGGGTACGACTGGATGTCGCAGCACCACGTCAGGAGATCCCTCCGTGTGGTCACAAGCTCTCTGGCCTGGTCGTCGCCCCAGACCGTGGGCCAACGACCCTTGGTCGTCCGCAGAAGGACCGGCTTGTCGCGGAGGAAGCGGGGCACCATGAGCAGGTCAAGGATCTCCTCGACGGCCTCGGCATCGTTGGGCGCGGAGACGCCAATGGCACCGCCCACCTTGAAGTCCATGCCACTCTCCTCGGGGTAGTCTGTGACATCAAGATCAAAGTGGAAGGTCCGCTTCTCGGCGCCGTCCCTGGTCAGCTCGCGCGTGTTGTGCAGCTTTGCAGGGAAGACATTGTAGGGCGGGTGGGGCTGGACGAATGACGGAGGCTGTATCGTGGTGTCGAGGTCTTCGAGCTGCAGCTTCTTGGCCTGTTGCTCGAGGCTCGTGTCGGCGTCGATCTCGACTCCGGAGTCGGTCGGGGACGGGGGGCTAGTGATGTTCTTGGCGGAGCTCTTGACGGGCTGGAAAAAGGCAGTCTGTTCGGGCATGTCGGGGATGCCGGTGAGGGTGGTGGGGATCTCGAAGAACTTGAGACCGAGGGAGCGGAAGGCGTCGTTGTCAGGCTGGGGCACCTCCTCGTACTCGAGGCCCTCGGTGCGCTTGCCGAGCTTGAAGCAGCAGCCGCCGCCGCAGCAGCGGTTGACAATCTGCTGTGTAGACTCGCCAGTGATGCGCTGGATGTCGGCAACGCTCTGGGCAATGAGGCGCGTCGAGGCCCTCCGCCTCTTGGGGAGGGGAATGGGGTGTGCGAGCTCGTCCTGATCCTCTGAGTCTTCCGAGTAGGTGAGGGAAGGGGCGACAGAGGAGTTGGTGGGCTCTTCGGGCACGCAGTCGGCCACGGACTCGGCCAGCAGCTGTGAGATCTGAGACGGCATGGTGGGTGGTGGTGGTGCTGCCCGAGGGCAAGACGACGTGGGTGAGGTGGGAGCGTTGCAGGCGAGAGCGTGGATAGATGGACGATGACGGGGTAAGTTGATTTATTTGTTGGTGACCCTGCAAGTCTTGCTGCGTTGTGTGGAAGTGTGCCTGTGGAAATGGTTGGACAATGGGCTCTAGGGAAAAACAAGAGGGCGAGCAGGGTGGTTTTGACGTCGTGGGACACAGGCCGGCGGTGCAGGGCAGAGCAGGCCGAAAAGTCGGAAGCCGCAGGGGCGGGTTGGTGGGTGGGTGGGCGGCTGGCTGCCGAGGGCCGGAAGTTGGACTCGGTTGGGGCAGGGCCAGGCCTGGGCTTCCACTGGGCTGGCTGGCTGTGTGGATAGGATAGGGGGGGGGCGGTGCCGAGCGGTGCTTCTGTTGCGTCAATATGCGTGGGTGCGGAGGCAAACTCTCTCTCTCTGCTGCCCTGGCTGGCGACAGTGGAGCCGGCTGTCTCTGTCTGTCTGCCTGCTGACTGGCCAGTGGATAATCAGACTCTCAGCGATGGATGGCTTTTGAGCCTGTCTGGAAATGGGCAGAAGCAGTCCTTGCAGAGGGACTGTCATGGGCTGGTAATGGGCAGTGGCTCTGCTGAGTGATGGGCAGGCCTTGGATTGGCAAATGATGACTTCAGCACCCCGGGTGGGGCCGGCACATTCCATCATCATCTCATCCATCGCTTATCAGATCAGGGGGAAGACCTCTTCCGATCCCCTCCCGACAGCGCCCACTGCCGGCTCTTTCCTCGCCCCTCGCCGCCGTGACTGCTGCACAGTAAGGACGGCCATTGCGTGCTTGCAGCCATTGCGTGCACAATCCCAATCTCGCACGTCCTCTGCAAGGTACTTAAAGTAGGTACACTACGTAGACAATCATGAGCACGGCGCAGCACACCGCGAGAGCACAAAGTGAGTGTGGCCCGATGCATCGTTGCATCTGCCCATGTCCAAGCCATTTCCAGTGGGCGATTGCCTCCGCCAGGCCCTGCGAAGAACACGCTTGCGCGGCAACCTCCGGCCCCAGGCAAAGGCCGGCCAATGGCGCTCCGCCATCCTCCTAGACTCAAAATTTTGGCATTACTGTACACACCATGATCAGATCAGCCGCCCCAGAACCTCTCCCAGAGACAGCATGAAACTTACCCCGGGAGGATCAATTCGCACGGGGCTGAACCACCACGGCTCAAGGCCTGTCTCTCTTTTGCGGCGATTGTCGTCCAGACATGGTTGCACGCAGCAGCTTCTCGTCACATGAGACCAGGACCAAGCACCCGCGTCCAGTCTCCACTGCCCTCCACTGTGGGCGGCCAATTGATGTTCCCCTCTCCCCGACAACACGCTCGTGTCTTGTCCATCCGAAAGGCACCCATCGTGTCCAGGAGCCGGGCCCTGCGGCGTCATGTTGGGTTCAATCATGCCAGCTCTAATCGTGACTCCCGACAGCCGGCAGCGTGCACTGTTGTCGCACAAGACGAGAGTGGAGGAGGGTGGGCTATGAAGTTAAGTGGCCGGTTTCGGCGAAGGGCACGCACCTTACACATGCGCACTCTGCCGCTCCACAACTCCGGGGACCAAACTACCCCTGTCTCTCTCCCTTGTCTCACCTGCCACCACGCAAAAGACGGATCAGATAAGATTATGTGGCTCGAGTGTTTCGCTCGGGTTCCTGATGATCTGATAAAACAAAACGAGATGAGACCCCGGGCCCCGCCAAGGACGAGTGACTCGAAGGTGTGTCGCAACCTAGCCCATTTGCGTCGATTTGCCTCTTGAGCTCAGCCAGCCCAACAGACTCAACAGACTTGGGAGCAGGCTGGCGACCTTTCTGCTGGACTTTGATCAGCTAGCCCCCGATCCCCAATAGGGATATTAATCCCCACGTCAGGAGTGGCAGGGCAAAATCGGCGTCTCTGCAGACTCGCCAGAAGCCTGCAGTGACACCACACCCCCTGTCTGTGGGTTGGGATGCAATGCCGGAAGAAACAAAGCCCAAGAAGGATCCTTGATCATTTTGCTTGCAAACTTTTCCGTTAAAGCGCACGTGTGAGAACACACGCACGAACCCACACACCGCCGGAACCATGATACCGTACGGTTTCGCCAAGCCCGAACTCAACAAAGCAAAATGCCCCCCCCCATGCAGGACTCTTCTTGTGTGCATTGACCGGTCCCCGGGCCTGGCTGGTCTGTCCATCGGACCAGACGAGAGAGACCACCCTCGTCGAAATTCGGGCTCCATTCTCGTGCTCGGGGTCCCCGTGCTGCAAATATCGATCCACGGCTTGCGTAATATAATGACTGAGACACGGGCCGACAAGTCACGGTGGTGAGCAAGATGATCTGATAAGATTACACCGCCTCGCCCTTGCGCCGGGGGCGGACAGGTCCTATCCATCCATCCACCCTTGCCGCCATCCGGAACAATACCGGTATTAGTGGCTCTGGGAGCGTGCAAGGATGCAAGGGCCAGCCGGGCACGCAGCAAGTGCAGGCAGGATAATAGGCTACCCCGTGGTAATGAGCCAAGCCAAGCCAAGCTGCCTGTGCGTGCCTCATGACGCCGGTAGCCCGGACCAGACCAGATGGAGATCAGGCATTCTCTGTCGGTGCCTGGCTGGGCCGATCCCAATTCAGCTGTATCTGGCGGCTGCAAGGATATCGGAATCGAGGGAGGAGGGATGGTCGTGTTCCGTGCTGCTGGAAGTGATCATCGGGTCGATCTCCAGCTTTGGAACCGTCCCTGTATCTGTGCACCTTGCATTAACAATTTGTGAACGCTGCACGACTTCTTCGGTCATAAAGGACGACTACACCGCCACAAGCATTATCTCTACACACAATCCGCTGAATGCTTTGACATGGCTGCCATGCCTCCCCAAGAACGTGTCATCAAGGCCTGGTATGAGTCGGTATGGCCTCCAGCTACGCCCATCGAATCCATTTGGCAGTTGGTGGTAAGGTGTGTTCTATTGGTGTAGTTGTCTCGCCTAGGCACGAGATACAACGTTTACTACAAACTCCGAAGAGGCAAAAGCATATTCCACGCGTTTCCACGCTACAGCCACATGACAAGGCAAGACAAATCGTCTATTGGTACGGTCCAGAGCTGTATTAATGCTCGTTGCATAGCCGACTCGTCTGCAGTCTTGTCCCGATGGCTTCAGTCCCGCGCATCTATGTGTGTGTGTGGCTCGGCTCGGCTCGGCTGGCTACGGCTACGCTAACCCACCACACACTCTCCCCATTAGCCGCCAATGCGTTGCACTCCTTTAGCTCGTCGCGTACTCCGAGCAGCAGGAAAATTCGACATCCCGAACTAGCTTCCCATGGCTGTCTGTGACTTGTGCTCTGTGTTCAGGATCCGGGGAATCTGGGGTAGAGCGCCGTCGTCCCCGGCTCCCCGTCCTGGACCCGAGCCGGAACCCCCATCTCACGCAGCCCGACTCCGGCAGCTGCTGTCGATGGCAGGGTACACTACGAGATATGCCCTGCCTTCGGTCCGGGTCTGTGGCTGCGTGCAGCGCGTGGACATATATCGAAGCACACTTATGAAATTACATTATGTCTGTCAGAAGACCTTTGGATGCTAACAGTTAGATCAATTATGAACACCCCCCTCCCCCCTTCTTCCCTTCTCTACATCCCGGAAGTCTTTATCCTGGCCCTGGCTCTACCAGGGAAGATCTCGTTATCTAGAAGTGTTCTGAGCCGTGACGTCACGAGCCACGTCGTGATTAACATGCACCCGTTTTTCAAGCGTCGCACCAGTCAAGCTTCCCTGCTTCAACGATGGTTTGTTGGGCTCAGAAAATTATCAGGAAGCCCAGCGGGTGACCAGCATTGAGGGCCTAACTTAAGCCGTCCTTTCAGTGCCCAGGGAAAATGCAACGTGAAACAAGGCGTGCAGCGCAGATATGTATATATATGTATACGTATATATTCGTAAGAAAGCACCTCGCATATCTAGGGGCTTCAGCAAGGCGAGTGAGTAGTGGTAAAGTAAGCGGAGCTGGGATCGCTTATTGACGAAGAAGAAGGCGGCGGATCGATTCAAGGTCTCTATAGCAGTTGCTTCGGACTATTTCATGCGTGAAAATCTTGCACCAATTAATAAGACTCGGTGACTCACTCATGTTTGACGTATGTTGCTTTTATTTCCTGCTAAAATATGCGCTTTGTACTGAGCAACTCTAACCACGCTCTTAGGACACATGCAGAAAATCAGTCGTGATATTCATCAAGTCATTTGATCGTCGTTCTTCATCGTCAAAACAGGGCGCAACCATCAGAAGTCCCAAACGTAACCAGCCCCGGGTTGCCCTTGGTGGGTGGAGGAATGCGATACACACGCGCAACACACACACACACACACACACACACACACCCTACGCGCTACTCATTCATCTCATCCCAGTCCGCCCACCGCCGCACATTCTCGTCCACCGTCATGATACTCTGCCGCGAGGCCTCGACCTCGAACCACTCGCGATGCGCCTTGCCGCACGCGTCGCAGTTCTCGCGGTCGCCCACGCGCAACCCGGCCCCCGCAAGCTCGATGTGCACCAGGCGCTCGACCTTGTGGCTGTGCGGGACCTTGCGCGGCGTGGAGGGCCGGTTGGTCGGTATGTACGGGTAGTAGCGGATAAGGGAGAGGTTGTAGCCGCACTGCCTGGTCCACTCGTTCAGCCGGCGCTGCACGTTTGACGCCCGGCCGATCTTGAGCAGGATCGTCTTGTTTTTGTTGTTGTTGCTGCCGCCCCCCTTTGCGGCAGCAGCGGCAGAATACCCCTTGCTCGCGTTGGCGGCAAAGGCGTCGAGCACGTCGCTCGCCCTCCGCTTCCCGGCCTCGCGCGTCGCCGGCGGGCTCAGCAGCGACTTGGCCGCCTCGGCGGGCGGCGTCGAGGGCTGCGATTCCGGGGTCAGCCAGAAGATGTAGATGTAGCCTGCCTCGTCCTGCTGCGACACGGGCTTCGCGAGCTCGGCCATCAGCTGCGATGCCGTCTGCGGCGTGGCCGACGGCGGGATCAAGGAGAGATACTGCGAGGTCTGGGACATTGCCGACTGAGCTGACGATCTCCGTCTTGAAGAGGAGGCCATGCTAGGGCGCCCGGAAGGTGGTGCGAGGTGCTGCCCAGAAGTCCGACGACCTGCGGGCAGCTTGGCAGGTGCCGATTGGAGTGGAATCGGTTTGGGCCGAACTGGGGGTTCCTCCTCGAAGACCGGGAACGAGAAGCAGCAGCAGAAGGTCGACTGCTTCTTTTTCGTCTTTCGTGATGGTGGCGGTGGTCTGGCACTGGGACTGCTGGCGCCGTAGCCCATTACTGGTGTTCCGGCCGTCGATGTGGCCTGTGGCCTGGTAGGAGTACCGTCTGGCCTCCTGCCCTTGGCCTTCTTGTTCTGCTTCTGCTGGGCCTCCACGATGCCGAGACGGTCCATGAGCGTGTCTAGGCTGGCTCTGCTCTCCAGGATCGGTGTCTGAGACAACCTCGGTCCCGGGCTGGATTTTGCGGACGAGCTTGCCTGGTCACGATGCTGCCAGCAGTAGAGATCCGGGTTGCTGGGATCGTCGACACGCAGCTGCGACGGCCGCCCTTTGCCTCTGCCATGGCCTGGCGAAACGGCTGGTGACGAGGCTGTGGAAGACGCGAGGGGCCTCCGACATGGCCGGCCGCTTCCTGTGATGCCGCGGCATGTGGTCTCTGGGTTCTTGGAGTCTGACCGACCGAGCAGCGATTCTGGTGTGTTTGGAATGAAGGGCATTGTTGAAGCCTGGTCCGGTCCGCGAGCCTGGCGGCGCGAAGAAGCGCGGTGATGTGGTTGAGGTTAGGCGCCAAGAGCGGTGAGTGGCCGTGCAAGAGGGTGAGCTGGGACGAGTGCCTGGTCGATGCTATCTGCAGCAAGGAATGCCTGACGGGTCCATTGCTTCCTGGGACGGACAGCCTCACGCTGAAGTGTTATGGAGAAACTATTCTGGAGACCGGCGAGGGTTGGCTGTGCCGGCAGAACCGGCACCAGCACCGTCACCGTCACCTGTGACATGGTGGTGGGTTGAGTCGACGAGGATTCACGCGCCAGCCATGCCCTGACGCGCAGGGGAGCAATGGGCGGCCGCTAAACAAACACTGGGCAGGGGGCTTGACAGCGCTGCACTGCGACGTCACAGGGCGTTCTGACAGGGGGTTCCAGGCAGCCTTGTTGGCTCCATCTCCAGGCATTCTTGAATCATGGCCTTGCCTGGTTCCTGGTTTGCTCACATCAAACCCCCGTGCTGGGCAGATCAGGCTTGTTCACATGGCTGTGATGCTTGTGTGCTCAGCATTAGGTATCATGGTGAGCTGGATTGGGCCCTGTCAGGTCTGCACGCAGCTGGGCACGCACCACATACTGAGGCAGTAGTGAGCTACTTGCGTCGGGATTCTGCAACAACGCCTCCTCCAGAAGTACTCAAGTACGCGTAAGTACCTATCTACACCTTCTCTTCGTCCTTCTTGTCCTTGTGCCCCAAGTCAACCCAACCAATCCCAAACGCCGACACAAACACCACCACGCATATCCCGGCCAGCAGGTAAAACACCCTGTTGACGCTCAGAGAATACGCAAGCAGCAAGCTCTCGACATCCGCCCCACTGGCAATGGCCAGCGCGCGCACCGCCTCTGCACTGCCTCCGGCCGCGATGGCGGCAGCCGGACTCACCGAGGGCGCGCGGGCCGCGAGCTCGGCCACGAGACTCTCCTGGAAGATGACATTGCCAATCGTCACCATGACCGCCGTCGCCGAGTTGGAGAAGAACACCATCAGGCTGTTGCCCACCGCGATCTTGCCCGCTGGCAGCACGTGTTGTACAACCAGGATCGGCTGCTCAAAAGATAGGAGTTTTCTTCTGGTCAGTAATGGTTCGAGTACATGAGCTTTAAGCTTGAGGCCATTGTTCAACTCACCACCTGCATCCCTAAACCACGTGCCCCGTTGAGGACTTGGTATCCAAAAACCGCGGCCAATGTTGATCCGGGCGCCCAGGTCGACATGAGTCCGCAGGCCACGGCACCGAGAGCTCCTGAGGCCATTGACCAGGGCATTGGGTAGCGGAACCTCGTCACTTGACGCCTACATTAGCAAAAAAACCAAGATGCTTCGTGATGTATATGGAAAGAGATGTTGACTCACTCAACGCGCCGGAAATCAAGATGAACAAGATATTGGACGCGGTGCTGACGAGCATATAAACGCCACTCATCGCAGGACTCAGACCGCGAACTGACTGGAAATATATGGGCATGTAGTTGCCTGCCACAACTGCCAGCGACATGATCCCAGAGAAGTTGATTGAGCATGACCAAACGGCCGTTCTGCGGATTACGTCGAATGGCATCATGGCATCATCCTTCATGCGATGTTCCCAAGCTACAAACAGTGCCGCAGCGCCTGCACAGCCGCAAAACAATCCAATGACGACGGGCGAACTCCAGCCATACGTGCTAGCCCCGAATTGCAGAGCAAGCAACCCCATGACGGCAGCAGGCGCAAACAGGGCGAATCCAACCAGATCGAATCGTGGCAGAAGCCGGCGGACAAGTTCGAATGATACTGGTTCCTTCCGGACCTGGTCGGGGATGTCGATAAAGACGAGGCATACGGCTGTGAATGCGCCCAGAGGTAGGTTGATGTAGAAACCTAGTTCCGTCATCGCCCATGTTAGTTCTTTGAACTGGACTCGTCTTTCAATCAGGGTGACTTACACCATCTCCATGATACAAACTCGGTAAACACTCCTCCGAGGATCGGTCCCAATATCATGCCAATTTGAGAGACTGTCAGTGTCCGGTTAGCGCACTTCCCTCTCGGTACTCCTCGCCAGCCCGTACTCACTTCCCATGGCTATCGCAGTGTGCACTGGGAACAATAATTGTCAGTCTCGCCAGCAACAGTCGGCCAACTCCATCCCGGGGGAAAAACATACAAGGTCTTTTAGGGGGCGCAATGGCGGACGCAATGATTGTCAGTGCTCCATTGGTAACTCCTGAGTAGCCGAGACCAGCAATCGCTCGGCCACCAATCAACATTTCTGAGGAGACTGCTGCACCACTTATGCACGACCCGACTTCGAAGATGAAGAAGAAGCTCAAAAAAGACCACTGTGAGATCCGTTCGTATCAGCACCTGAGGCCTCGCCATGTTTGTATCTCGATAACTACCGACCTTGGTACTGAAATATGTAAAGACCTTGCCCGACAGTGGCTGGAGAGCAGCGCTGTACAATTGAGTTAGCACTGCGATTGTCGTCAATCCCATGACGCCTCACTGACCTGCACAGCGAGTATACGCCAATGTACCAGCCGACATGTTCCAGCCTGTGAAAGTCACTGGTTATTTGCGGAATTGCCTATCTCCGGTGTTAGCCGTCGTGGATGCTGCGTGCGGTCTGGACGGCGGCGCGACCACTAACCGTGGCGATGATCGAGATGTCCATCATGCCCAGGAACATAACCAACGTCAGCCCGCCAGTAACAAGGAGGAGTCGCAATCCGTGTAAGAACTCGTGGGTAAATTCAGGCGGGCCCAGCTCCCTAGAGGTGTCCGTCTCGGGATCAGAACCATCCTCCAGGCGCATGAACTCGCCGCAGGTGTCGCTCTTGTTGTTCTTGGCTGCTCCATCTGCGCTATTGTCGTTGTTGCTGTGTGCTCCCTTTCCAAACATTGCTGGCGGCTGCGGCTGTGGTGGCGATGTCGTCAGCAGCATCGCAGGAAAGACCTTGGCGTCAGGGGCCTCGAGGCCGTCTGCGGCTGTGGCCATTGGGTTTATAGGCGACGTAGCCTTGTGGTACTTTCTTTGTCGAGTGCAGGCGTTTCAGGGATCACAAGCGGCTGGATTGGACGGCCAGGAAGCACCGAGTATTCCGGGGCGCGGAATCAGGTGTGGTATCGCAAGCTGTGTCCGATCGTAGGACGAGATTGAACCATGCGGACGGTATCTCAGATTCGTGCGACAGCTTCTCCTCCCCTTTCTCTAAAAGAATAAATAGACTACGCCTTCCAATCCTCTCGAAGTTCGAGGACAGCGCCGTGGTGTAAGTGGAAACCCGTATGTCCGCCAATCCCGTACCTCCACCAATCGTGCCATTCCGCCCCTCGCCGGTCTGCTGGGCCGCCACACGCACGACACTTGTGTCTCGGGACGGAGTTCACTTGTTGAATGGAAATGAAAACCCCCTTTACTGAAATGGCTAAACTCTTGGTACATCCTTCGCCGGTGGAGGTCGTCTTTCGGATGGTTTTGAATCCGACGAGCGGAATTCCGCACTGGCCACATTTCCGCCCCCAAGTAATGTGATGTAGAGTCCAGTTGTCTCACAGCGGGCGCAGCATTTTCTTATGAAGTGGCCGCACACTGCTGTCTTCCACCGGGGCAAGATAGTATGCACTGAAGTCGTTCTCAATCATTGTGATTGCTACTGAGGATGCGTCCTCAGACTTGCACATACGTGCCCACGTCTAGCTACACGAACGCTCAGGTTGGGAACCCGTTGAAGAACCACATCATTGATGAATCCATCTGCCAGTCTTCGTTTAGAAGATCCGCGAACATGGTATCATCATGGAGCGACTGGTTTGAGATGGGTTGTTCTGGGCCAACCACGGGGGTAATGTCTACCTCAACATCCCGCCGACTAGTGCTGTCGCTTGTACTGCAAGTCTGGCCACCAGCATGCTCAGCTGGGCTCCATCGTTGCTGAGTACGGTGAAGGGTTCTATGGGCAGAGCATAGGTCCCCGTTACCCTCAGCCGCCATCAGGTTACGCTGCCACAGCAAGCTACATGCGCGAAGCATTGGTGCAGTCCTCGAAAAAGTATCGTTCTCAACCAGCTCGAGGCCAAGTGCTGCAGGAATGGCGGCAAACAGGTCCGCGCCTGCCTCGAGCTCTTTGATGACATCAATAGTCTCCCTAATCATACTTCTGTCCCATGAGGGGTCTTCTGTACACGACAGGCGGTATAGAATGTGGAGAACACGGGTGTAACCAATACCCAAGAACGAAGGGCTGCCGAAGAACTCCTCAGGCGTTAATGTGAACATCGAGTCAAAGAAGCTTCTCATCCCTTGGAGGCATGCGTGGAGGCAGGAGATTCTGTCCATGTCCATCTTTGTGCCACGAGAACGGGGTGCGAATATGCTGTGCAGGGGCAGGTCGTTGACAAGGACTTCTGCGTGGGCGAGATAGGCTTGTAGATACCCTACAAGCAGGTCAGGACTCATGCCACTATGGACTTCCAGTTCAAACTATGTCGACCTACTGTTTCCAGGTGTTTTGGCCCGAGACTCGTCGCGTATTGCCTTAAGATTTGAAATCATGGACCGGACATAGAGCATGGGAGAAGGCAGTTCTGATTGATCTGGCTCCTCGAGGTCGAAGCGCCATGCGGTTGCAGGAACCAGGTTTTCCAGAACCCTGTTGAGTTTGACGATCGTGACGAGCACCGCGTCGGCCGGGACCTCCGGTTTGTCCGCAAGATGTTGCAGGCACTCGTCCATGTGAGATGTCCATCTCATGGGTGGCGATCTCAGAAATAGATGGAGACTAGGCTCTTTCCCCATCAACAGGACTGTTTGAGGCAGAATGACGCATGGTAGGTAGCAGACTTACCTTGCACAATGAATGTAACACCCGAGGACGGTGCGCCGCTCCTCGTTCGTTCTCTCCAAATGAGGCAGCTGCGGGCGTACATGAAATGGCTGCGCAAATGCGTGGGATGAATTTGTTTCTCGATTCACGGGCTCATGCATGAGCCTGTCCAGTCGAAGATCTGACACCATCGAGGCCGCGATGCCCGAGTAAACGCAAAGAAACGGCTTATCCCTGAATCTCCTAACTGTCCATGTGAGAAACACAAGCAAGCCTTGCAGGAGATCTAGGTTTCTCTCCATTTCGACGATGATCTTCTGTGCAAGAATGGCACGTATCTCATGATCAAGGGCAATTTGCTCGCGCGTAGACTTGCAGCAGACGGATTTTATGTTCAGCCACAAGAACGGCCGCTTTTGTTGCAATTCGGCCACACTACCATGCCATTCCAGTCAGCAGCTTTGAGACCGGGGAAATCTTGGCACAAGCATGTCGTTGGAGGTAAACTTACGTCGTCTCAGGCGCAAGGTAGATGAATGGGCAGGCCTGGAGAAAGAAACTTCGGAACTGGGAAAGGTAACCAGCGTCCTGAGACTGTTGCACAGAACTCGAAGTCGAGATCGGGACTTGTCCTTGGACATCATCAGGAGCCCGAGTAAGGACGCTCAAGGGTGGAGTGAATGCCCCAGCCGTAGCCGCCGGTGACAGCCTTTGCTGACACTGAGAGGCAAGCATGTCCATGAGACTGTCGAGCTTCTGTTCAAGCTGGGTTGTACGGTCTATGCGATCTTCTGCGGGGGAACTCAAGTTACCGTGGCGACCACTGATGCCGCCAGCATTCGCGTTGCTCTTGACGGCCCGCCGCTTTCCGGCCTCGTGATTGCGTTTGCCAGCCTGGCTGCGGACATTGGGAGAGGGCACGCATTCCCTGTCTAAGCGGCAGCAGCGCTCACAGCGCGGGTCCGTGCCGCCGTGGCTGCGAACTACGCACTTGCACTTGGCCCGGACACAGCCGGCACAGGCGTGGCCGTAGGGCGCGGACTGTCGACTCGACCCAGCGGGATCCCGCTCTCGCTGGTGTTGGGCGGCATCCATTCGGAGCTGAGTAGGTGATGGGCAGCCTGTACGACTTAGGGGCGGTGTTTCTGAAATTGGAGTGTTTCACAGTTCCGCCGCAGCTCCCTCAGACTTAGCTCAGGGATCCGGAAGCCCAGCACATGATTCCGTCAGAAGTGCCTTTCGTGGAGTTGCAAAGTGAACTTGCTCCGTCTCGCCCAAAGGGTGGCAGGAGATGCGACTGGCTGGCTTGGGGCACAGGTCGCGCCTGCCTCAGGATGCGTGTAAGCCGGCGGGATTCGTCAGCCCCACTGCCCGCGGAATTCCGCCCAATCCCTGTTCCCACCTCCCACGCTCCTGAACTCCGGCCCGGCTTTGCACCCAACACATACTCATACAGTCATGCTGCATTTTGCCAATGACTTTGACCGTGTCCCGGCCTGCGCTCAATTCAAGCTTGGCAGCTTGGAAACACTGCGGGTCCTCGAATCTCGGGTCTGCTGCATGGGCCAGGGCCTTGTCAGGCACTGCAGGCCGGTCCAGTTGATTAGACCACGACGTGCAATCCTTATGCATCCCCGTGCGATCTGCGTTGTTGCTGTTGGCGAGCGACTTGACCTGATGTTTTCGTCCTGCCTGCTGCTTGTCGCCTCTGGGCCAGTCGGGACGTACTAGGGTGGGCCAAGCTGAAACAAGCAGTTGTGCGTTGTCCGTCAGTGATACGGGAGATCGACCAGCGGGCTCTGCAAGCACCCGAAAGACATCCTGATCGTGCCTAGGCACGGGTAATACAGTTTTCTCTCGTCTGGAGAAGTCTCACCGTGAGCGAGAGTAAATATGCTAACATCGACGTCATTGCTTATAGCTGTAATCTAATATCATTGATAATTGTAGTGGAGAACAAGTGTTCTTTCAAACAAGCGAACCCGTCCAATATAAGCCACGATCATGAGGTGAAGACGTAAGACCCCGAGCACGCGTCATCAACGAGCTGCTGTCAGGCCAGATAGCCACCATGAAATGCCATAAGACTTATCATGATGAAGACCGCGCCTCTTGGGCTGCCTCCACAATCAGCCCAGATACAACGTCTGGAATGCTGAGCATAGGTGAGTGGCTGCTGGAAGCCTCGCGGAGCGTGATCGCCGCCCCTTCGTCCTGGCCGTTCTTGACCATCATCCGCAGTAGCTCCATCGGCATTGCCCTGTCCTCGGTACAGACAAGCATCCAGCAGGGCACATCCTTCCAGCCCGAATACATGTGCTCGCCGCCCTCGGTCACTGACCTCAATGCATGTGGTTTCAGCTGCGAGACCCAGAACCTGCCCTCGTCTTCTGAGAGGTCGTGGTAGAAGAACTCGCGAATCCCCTCGGCGTCGAGGGTGATTTCGGCAAATCCAGTCTCGAGGTTGACGCGCCACTGTGGTGGAGGCGTACCGCCAGGTACGTGACCGATAAAACTGAGCCCCGTCCTCACAAGGCCGCTGGCGACGAGCACGAAGCTCACGACGTGGCCCTGCGTGGTAGCATTCTTCTCCACGTTTGTAGCGCTGCTGGTTCTGGGCCTGGAATCGCCATCGTCGGAGTGAAGGTCTGGTGTCTTTGAAAGACCCTTGATGGCGCTAGCCCCAACAGCGCCACCGTACGAATGGGCCACAACGACCACATCTTGTCCCTTTGCCGTCTCTTTGGTAATGACTGCGCGCGCTGCAGTAATGTCTTCGAGTAAACCTGAGTCAGGGTTTTCGAGGGTCGATGGCAATGTGACGGTCGAGCAACTGTAGCCTTGCTGGGTCAGGTAAGCGATGACCTTGTCCCAGTAGTGAGGCGCGTGCCAAGCACCAGGCACGAAGACTATCGATGGCTTCGAGGTCATTGTTTATGAGTCTCCTGGTTCTATAATTGTTGAACTGGTCGTGTTAGGGGTCTACTGGCTTCAATGTTGGCCGAGGTAGAGGTCTTCGTTATGTGTCTACGTCGACGTTGAGTTTCTTTAATGGGCGAGGAGGAAGTGTTTCGAGAAACCAAGTGTGAGCGGTTATACATAGAAGAGAGAACACATGAACCACGCCTAGGAGCAAAGGCCCGGGAAACGACCCCTATATATACATGGCACGCGCTGTCAAACCTGGCTAGTAAGGATATACACGGAACACACGGAACACACGGAATGTCCAGACTCAACTGCAGAACTCGCTGACGCTTCGCTCTTTCACGAAAACACGCGCGCCGCACCCCAGCCTCAATCCGCTTGGCAGAGTCACTTCATTGGTAAAGAGTAAAAGTCGGGCCATGACGGCCAGTTTCGGGGAAACCCCACCGGGAGAAACAGGAGTGAGAAAAGGGTTCGTGGTGAAGTTTTGGTGAAGTCAGCGCGGAAGTTCCGCGGACAAAGTCATAGGTCTGCCGATGACATGGTGTTCGTCGGTGAAAGTTGTGCATGGTGGAGAGAGGTGCACTGCGCGCGCGTATGAGTCAGCATCTCATGAGGGAGTGGAAAGGTGACAGGGTACAAAAGTCATCATAGACAGCAGCTGTATGGGCTTTTTGTCTTCTCCTCCCCTTTCTTTTCCTGTTTGCGAACGGTCTTGCAGCAGAATATTTGAGGGATTAAAGGGCCGTACTTCCGCGACGCACGGCAATTGGCAAAACCCTGGACATGACGATTGGGACAGCTTCAAAGTCGACCCAGGAAAACCCCCGTGAAGATCCAGATACGGACAACCTTCAACAGCTGAGCGAAGGACAAGTCATGTCTCCAGGGGCAAGTCCTGATTTAGTGTATCAAATGGCCATATTCAGACCCATGAGTATACCATGCAAGATATCTTCAGAGAAGCTTAGAATGATTATAAAACAAAACAAAATGTTTGTTCAAAGTGCCAGAAAGATGTCCAAAAATAGCTGTACGCCGTAAGGAGTTACAGAGGTCTTCTTACTATCAGCTACGAGTTTGGCATAAATTGACTTTCTTGAAATGCATACCCACAACGGAGCTGCATCATAAATGAACCTATTCCTCTCATAGTGAAAACGATGTCACACTTCTCTTTGCACGCTGAGTTGTTGCCCAGAGGAGATGACTAGTCACGGCCGCTCTAAGTCTTGCTCAGCACCAAACGGGTACTGAGGAACCTCGAAGTGGTCATCGTCAGCAGTCGTTCGGCCCTCTCGTCAGGACTCTCATTCTATTCTCAGCTCTTCGTCGTCTGGGTGTGAAAAGATAACGAAGCTATGCTTGCATTCGGGAGCGTTTGCTGACTGCCATGTAAAGATATCGTTGTGTCTGAGAGCATCCGACGTGCGTCGGGGAGGACAAATGCGTTTCCAGCGAAGACTTTGACCATGGGAAGGACCGTTTGTTCCACCCCATTCCTCCAAAGATCATCATTATTTACAGTACGCGCAACCCACTTGTCCTAGGGGTTTGGAGGTGCTACGAATCTATCGTGTAATAAACCGTGCCTTTAGGCTGCACTCAAAATACACGCCGTGTCTTCTCCGTACCAAGCGGCGCCTACGCTCATGGTTCCCATCGCGTGTCAGCTTCTCCAAAGATACACACGCGCAAGTTGCAGAAATTCAGCAAAGTGAATCATTATGTCTTCAAAAATCGTACAGTGATTATCAATAATGTCTGACACTACCAAATGTCCCCATGAACCAAACATTGTAGTGTCTGCCCCGTCGCAAGCCATAGAGTGGGCGCTGTTCGTCCAGTGGCCCTGATCTTAAAGTCAGGTCTGAGGTCAAATCTCAAAGGATGTGGCTTTGATGCCAAATGTGAAACTCGCCCAAAACGCTTGTGATTTCGTTTGGCTCAACCCGAGAACGTATCTCTTATTAGAATAGAGAGATATCGCGGAATTTCAATTGTCAAGTGAAGTCCAGAGTGAGAAATATTGTCTTGGTCTTGACGAACACTACGAGGATACTGTATTTGTGCTGATCTGGCATTGATGCTCTACGGGCTGCGTATTATCGAAGGGGCAGTTCTCAAAGCCGAAGAAGTAAGGCAAGACCACATTGTCCACTAGGCTGTTCGTCGTAATGAGGGGAAATGCAATTAGTTGCCTGCCTGCTGCAATTTCGTCACGCATGTGACTGCATCCCATTGATGAGGATTTAGATGCACCATTACGCTATCAGTCTCGGCGTGGTCAACTGCAAAACCATGATGCACTCTTTCGCAGTCACTTCCGTGGCCCTTTCTTGGAGGCTTCCAGGAGAATTTAAACTCTCTCTTGGTCAGACATGGTGACGAGCTCTGATTTCTAAAAGTCATACTACCTGTACGCTACCGAACGTGGCCTCATTTTTGTGCGTCAGGGACCTATACGAGCCTTGCACCATCACGTAAGAAACTCACCTACGACAACTGCACAGTACCGTAGGAGTCGGCACTGACCTACCAAAGTGAGTTGTACTAATTAGCATCAAGTTAAAGACGTGCCTCCAATCACCAGCCCGCAAACTCCAAAGACAAGCCCTAGGGCTACGACCGTTTGCAGAACCGATGGCGGTCTTGGCGCCGCGTGACTGGTCGCAGTCTCGGCAGTTGGCCATTGAACTTGACCAGATGGTGTGTGTGTGGCCTAGGCTTGCAGTCGATGCAACGACGCCAACGGCATGGGCACTGCAGATTGGTGGGTTGCAGCCAATGAAGAATGGCCGGCAATTGGGAGGGAGGCGGACTTTGATTTTGACCTGCCACTCGTCGAGCAAATCCTGGCATGGAGCGCGTGATGTGGAAGGTGCTCATGTGGGCAGCCCACGCGGGATGAGCACCCGTGACCCTGAAGCAGCAAAGCCTGCAGCAACGCATTGAGATACTGAAACTGATAGCAAAATCCAGCTGCTGGGTTGTGTTTTGGCATTTGGACTCGGGGGCTTTCGTTGTCGACATGCTTCGGAACATTTCTTGCCCTCCCACGTTGCGTCAGGTTTTGCCGCAGCAATCAAGACGAGCGGCCAGCCACGGATGGACATGGCTGGCGACAAGGACGAGCCGGGGTGTTGCGGTTCGGTGCACCTGGGCCGGCTGGGACGTGTGATGGGCTGATGGGTGATGCCGCCCGCCATGGGAGCTGCAGGTGCAGGCATTGTGCAGCAGTAATTCTGGCGGAGAGCAAATCGCCTGCTGGGCATGCCGGCAGCCGTCACGTTTCAGCAGCCGCTTTTCGTCTCGCGGGAATAACCATTTACGCTTATCACAGATGAACAGTGCATAAGCGACCGATCAGCAGTGACGGAACGGAAGGATTGACATTGAGGGGCAGCCCGACACGGCGCGGTCGATCCTGCCCTCCGCCGGCAGACGGCCGGCCGGTGCATGGCCGGTCCAGTCAACCGTCAACCGGGTGCTGAGCAACCACTCACGCTGTCGTTGATGGTTGATGGAGCGAGGGGCGGGCGGGTAAGGCGCGCTCGCCAAGTGAGCCATCCCGCTTTGGCGTGCGGCACAACGCCCAGGGCGCAGGTCGGGTCGGGCTGGTGCTGGCCAGATGGGCAATCATTGCCATGGTAGCATCGCGCGTGCTCGTGGCTTGCGGCCAATGGAGGCAAGCAATGGAAGTCACTGACTGGTAAAGGCTCATTGCTGGCTCCTAGCACAGTCCCGCGGCCTGTCCTCCGTCACCCTCACTACGCTAACGTACTCACGACCACCACATACTCTACTGTACCACGCCATCTCCAAAGACACTGCTGCGCGCAGCCAAGCACAGGCGCCGAGGCCGTCGCCCCCTGAGCAAGCCTATCGAAATGCCGACAGGCGATCAGATGAGTCTTTACTGCTTCCCGCCTAGCGCTCTCTGGAGCGACAAGGAACTGACTGAGGGGTGTGGGGGACAGCGACACATGACGAGGGTCTTTTGAAGTGCGCCCGCCCACCCGCCTTGCCCGCCCTTCACCAACCCCAGCATCAACCTCTGGCGTGATATCTCCTTGGGGCTGCACAATTCATTGCATCGGTTCGCAGCTTGCTGTGTCACGCCACGCCGCATCATGTCGTACGACGTCGCCGGATCCCTACCTGGCGAGCCTCTGAGAGAGCAGGACAGCTGCCAGGACCTCGCTGTGTCCTCTCAGGGCTCGTCGACACGCTTCAGACTGGGCACCGTTTGCTTTGACTGACGATCTGGGCAATAAGCCACTGTGCTATCCATCGACTTTCGTTGCCAAGGCAAGCGGCGTGCGAGTGCCTGACTTGTCCGTCCGTGGGCAACGGCTCGTTCACTCTCACGCCGACTGCCATGGTGTGGCGCCTACTGGTGGATCGCACAGTCGCACGCTGCAGAATGAGCCCATGCTCGCGGCCACGGATCGCAATGCTCGCCTTGTGTACGCAACGATCGACATGCCACGCAAAATTGCCTACAACTGAATGGCTGCTGGCAGCAGCACGGTGCATGACTTGTTGATGCTGACTCCACAACTCGGGGCCAGGGTTGCAGGTCTAGCTTGCTTGGCAGACGACCAGGCTGGGCTGTCCACATGGCGGTTGACCCAGGGTGTGCTTTGGTTATCATTTCGCCCTACCACGGTAGTTGGCTTGTCTCTTGCCCTTCGCCAAACCCACCACAACTACGTTAATTGCTGGCGTGCTGGCACCAGCACTACCAGGGACTCTGGAGGTTGCCGATGAAGCCCCCCAGTCGGCTCCCTGGTCCCACCCTGCGAGGTTGCATGCACGTGCAGTCAGAAGGCAAATACCAGTCGGCAAAAGGAAACAGTACTGTGCTAGACTGCATGTGCATTTTCCTGGTGCCAGAAGAGAAGAAAAAAACACATTCCCCTGCGCAATGGGCCTTACTAATGTAGCAAGACGGGTAGCGCACTGTGATGCTGGATAATGACTTTGAGACATCAGATCAATCCATTCGTGAAGAACTTGATTCACACTTTGCTGACATGCCATGTCTCGCCAGGGCTCGCTTCGCCATGCAGGGACATCCAGCGCTTCAGGCACTGCATAACAAGACGACATGTGCTGACAACACGCTCCACGATATGATCAGTAACTGCCCAGGTGTGGCCGAACTGGTCGCAGGGCTCCTGAGCCGCAGAGGCAAAAACCCATTTCTTCAGCGGCTCGTTTCCCGAGTCAAGCGATGCCTAGACCCACCAGCGGGGGGAGCAGGGCTAGAGCCAGGAGCAAAGCTTCGCCTTGATGGGATGGAGTGCGAGCACCGAGAAGTGCCGGCACCAGACCCCAGTGACAAACGCCACGAAATCAGGGCCGAATCATGCGACGGTCCCCTTGCAGTCATTGATCTCCGTGCCTCCCGACCACTCCGGCGCTTGCCTTCGCGTAATGCATGGGGGGTTTCGAGACGGGGGTTGACAGGAAAATTCCCCAGGGCCTTCCATCCTCTGCTCGTTCAAGTTCCACAACGCATACGACAAGAAGGAAAAGTCTATCCAACCCAACCTCCAGCGCCGTGAGTCATCATGTGGGCTAGTGCATCAAGCTCAGACTAAAGCGGCTTCTGCGCCTTCCCGTCAGCCCTGATAGCGCTTCTAGTGTGAAGTTGTCGAGTCCCCTGATTGCCAGCAAGTACAAAGTGCACATACATGTTGAGCTTTCTGGTGACAGAGAGGCGCGTGTTTGACGGGATGCACTCCAGAGGACCATAATCGCGATCAAGATGGCTGCAAGCTCCGAATGTGAAAGGAAAATGTGCCTGCCAAGGCGAATGCTTGTGACATGCGGGGTATGGACGGTTGGGGTGTGACACGGCCTTGTCAGACTGTATCGCTCCAACTTCTTTGGACACCTCCTTCTCGATATAATAATCCACAGCAGAGCGATCCTTCGACCAGTAAGTGGTGCATGACTGGAGTGAGTATCGAGAGAAAGTGGCCGATGTGCCTCCTTCTCGGCACCAAGATGGCGGTCCCGTCTCGAAGTCCATCGAAGCGATCTTGTAAACACAAGTCTAACAGGATCGCCACGACGTGAAGCTGTTTAGGATTCTGCCACGGGCAATGTGTTGCAGCATTCCGTGAGGCGGAAGACGGCTGATAACCCTCGCAATCACCATTACTCCAAAGCAGTCGGCCGTGACGCTGGTAGTGCTTAAGATTCTAGCTGGATCTCCAAGGTGCATGGCAGTACGCCACTGACGGAGGGCCCGCCGGGTTCCAGTGGAGGCAAAATGCGTGAAGCAATTGGCAAGGCGCTCCATATTTACGTCGTGGGCAAGGTTTTGCGGCGCACAGTGTCATGACGGCAGGCTCTCACGGTGTCATCGGCGGTTTACTGAGGCTGCAGCACGGGTCCCGTCCGTGTGTGGAAGCATGAGCGGCCCTGCCAGCCCAGTAAAGCGGAGTGCACGATTTTGCTGCAGGGTGCCCACCTTCAAGGTTGGCTCGACTTGTCTTGGGGCGGGCACCCGAAACACAACACACCCACCCGTTCCAACCATCCATCTGACCACCAGCTTCCATCCACCACCATCCCGCAAAATCCCTGACCAGGCACAACAACCTCACGCCGGGCTCCCAAGCACTACAACCTCGCCGTCTTCAGCCTCCCCCGTCGCACTCGCCAATTCCCAGTCCGTCTGGTTCTCGTGAGAATTCCCAGCGAGGGGGTTCTGCCAGGTACTGCCGCGGACCATGGTACTCGCCCACGCCTTGGAATAACCCCTGCACGACAACACCATCGACACGCGCTTGTACTCGCCGAGACGCCTCGCCCACCAAGTCGACTGCAAAAAGGCTCCGTTGATGTGCTCACAACTTGCCACATCGATTCATCCGCCGCCGCCGCGTGCGTCCGCCTTTCGGCATTAACAACCCCTTCCTCGGAGGCCATTTGCCCAAAAGTCACCACGGGGCTTGCCACCACGACTACAGCCGTGACTGCTGCCGAGCCGCAACCACTCGATCAGCTGCCTGACTCGGAGTCTCGTCTGGGTCGGTTCAGCCAGTATCAAGCTTATGCCTCGTGGCTCAGCGGCCGCCAAGCGACAGCAGGGTGCCACGGCCAATCGCGACATTAGACATGAGAATGGTTTGGTAGGCCCGGGAAAGCGAGTCTCGAAGCAAAAGAGCCACGGCCAGCTCAATGGCCCGGCCAAGACCGCCGAAAGCAATGCAGACGTCCCGAACCTCCCCACGCCTACCTCTCTGTCGTCCCACGCGCAATGTGCCAATGGCCACGCCAGGCCTCCTGCTGTCGACATGCCCGCCGAGCACAAGACTACCGAGTCTTTGAGGCGAGCCTCCATCGGTGGCTTTTCTGAGTCGTCCTCGTCCGCCACAGAGTCTTACCACGTATCGAATTCCGCCGTGAACCACGCCGCTCACCCCGTGGACCTCGACAACCACCGCCGCATCGATGTAAACGCTTCCAAGAATTCCAATGTGCACAAGGACACGGGTCCCCTCGACTTCGCCATGACGGTCCTTCGATCCTGCCCGCTTCAGGACACAATTGCGATCCTAATCATCCTGATGCAGATTCCTCCGATTGCTCTGTCTGGAATCTACATGCTGTTCACCCTGCTCACGTTTGTGACCACAAGCAACGGTCTGACGCTCAGTGACATTTTCGAATGGAACCTTGGCGCACCGTCTCTGGCTACGGTCGTGTGTGTAGACGGTATTGTCCTGCTCATCTGGCTCTTCCTCTGGGGTCCCATACAGCACGTCATTCTCGATCTCGCCCAGATGGTCATCGCCCTGGGTCTTGGTGGAGGGTCGGCGTCCCGAGATGGCTCCGCCAAGAATAGCCTCATCTGCTTGAGCATGATTCTTCTCTCACACACACTTCGTCACATGAAAGTCCGCGTGTCTCCCGCGGCATGGGCTCTCGGGAAAGCCCATCTTTGGGAGAAGCTTCAGCTCGATGACCCCCTGGACGCTATCGACTCCCTTCGGGGCTATGATAGGGTCGAGTCGGGGTGGCTTAGCTGGGTACGGAGTATACTTGCCATTCACATTCTCACGCAGGGTTTGGTGAAATGGGTTCGAGATTGGTATCTGAGACGAGAAAGACGCGATCACCTGGCTCTGAATGCCGCCGACCCCGAGGCAGGCAAGTCTTATCCGGGCGACAACGAGGGGGGCTTTGCGACTCCCGATAGCGACGCTGTGAATCTGCAGACCCAGACACCGATAAATACGAAAAAGAAACGAAAACAGAGCGCACAGATCCGAAACCGCCAGCCGCTGTGGGCGGCTCTGGCGAGCACAAAAATTGTTGTCGTTAAAGAATATGAACTTACTCAAGCGGCGGCCGAGTCTGCCGGCTCGAACGCTACAGATATCCATAACCTTGGAAATGCCCCTTTCAACACCGAGCCCGGGCAGATTTGGATCTCGTATGTGGGTTGCGACGAAGTATGCTTCAACACGAGCCACTTCCCTACTCCCAAGGCGACAAGAGAGGCGGCGCCCCCGTTCTATGTCCGTGTCAACAATGCTGCCTGGCAGCCGACAAGAATGACTCCGATAGCAGACGCCGATGAGGATCAGGCCGCAGGGACGAGGTGGAGTGGTGACATCTATGGGCTCACCCCCTTGTCCAACTACGAATGCGAGTTCGTCAGCACCGTCACTCAGGAGGTTATCTTTTCCACCAGTGTGCGCACCACGCAAGCCAAATCTGCTGATATCGACGTCACCGCTGCCAAGCCCACACCCCAGCGAACTCTCCGCCCCGATTCGCCCATTACGACACTGAAGACCTCAATCGCCGCGGCAGAGAGCAAACTTGCGGAGGAGAAGCTTCGACAGAAGAACCTGCGCAGAGACTATCAGCGCAAGTCCAACGCGCTGAAGAAGGAGAATGAGAAGCTCTCAGCAGCGGTTGTCTCTGCAGGTACTGGTGACGACAAGCTTCGGCAAAAGATCCAGCAGAACCAGACGCAGCAGAAACAAGCCGAGCAGGCAACCGCCAATCTCGAAAGCGAGCTCAAGGAATTCGAGAAGATCCCAGAGTCTCTCAAGTCTGCCTGGAAGTCGAAGCAGAACGTGTGGAACAACGAGAAGGCCCAGTACGACGGAGCCGTGGCTGCGTTTAAGAGCTTCAAGTCATCTGTCGAGAGCGGGCTGAAGACCCTGGAAGAGGAGAAGGCCGCACTCGAGGCCAAGCGCAACAAGATTGTCGCGAGAATTGCCAAGGTGGATGGAGAGCATGGCCGTATCGCTGATGCCAACGCCCGCGGGTTGGACGAAGCCGAACGCCGCAGGCAGACAAGAGAGAGCTACGAGGCCGACATTGCCAGAGTTGAACGCGACATGGTGTCCAGGATCAACGACAATGAAGCCCACATCCATAGGCACGAGCAGGAGAACAACGCGTTGCGTTCTCAGCTCGAATCATTCAACCAGGCCTATACGTATGCCTACGAGTATCCCGATGGCAGCGCTCATTTCTCTCCACCGGGTGCAATGCCTCATCCGCCTACCTCTGTTCCAGATGCGCCTGCTCTCAACCAGACTGCTGCCTGGAGCCAGAGCCTGTACAACACTTCTCTTTGGGGCCCATCACCTCTCGCCCCAGCCTTCACGCCGCAGTCTGCTATCGCCAACCGCAACATGCCCGCCATCAAGTCGCGAGGGCGCTCCTCCTCAATGCTTAGCAATGTGTCTGGCTTTACCCAAAGCAGCGCTACTGACGACGAGACCAACACCCCGTTCCGAGGCACCTTGTCGGGCAACTCTTACGGGTATGGCCAGTTTGGACGAAAGCCTAGCGATGCTGACAACGCAATCGGCAGTGATAGTGGCAGCAGTAGTGCTAGCCCTGCTGGGAGCGACGGCAGCACTGGCAGTGGCAGCATAAGGGATCCCATGAGTCCGCCCGTCGTGTGATCTGCAATGGGGAGCGCTGGCAGGAAGGCAACATGCGATTGCGGCTTGCTTGCTCGCTTGCTTCGTTTTGGTTTAACGAGACTTGATGGTAGTACCTCCTGACGATCGAGGGAGGATTGCAAAAGACTATCGCATGTCGTTACCCCGCGAAGCACGCTGGTCCACATCTGATCAGGGTCTTGTTGGGTCTGCTGGAGAGCATTTGCCGTTGTGACTGCCCAGGCTTACTGCAGAAGGGTTGCGAAGGGTATATGGGCATTTCAAGTAGATCTTTATCAAAAGCAGCTGTTGTTCTATTCTTTCACTCTGGATGTTCATCTACCGCCATGATGTGAGGTGTATGAGTCCTTTTCGTGATATGTATGTTTGAGTCCGACTGATGAAGAACCATTGGTATAGCCGGGCCTTCTTTTCTTTCTTTTTCTCTCCCCTCTGCCAGAGGACCTGCTTCTTGTGTCCAGTTGCGCTCAAAGTGGGAGGCATATGTGCGACCCAAGAACGGAACATCTATATACTTCTTCAGCCAGGACACGTACTAAGCGACCACGCCATCTACGCCTGTGTCTGATCTTGTCTAGAGCTGTATTGCATCTCTGCGTGGTCTCGACGTTCCTCCAGCCAAATAAATCATCCAGTCTACGAGGGCGGGGGCTATCCGTTGCCTGAAGTACCGTACCCAAGTACCCAGCACACTCCCCTTCTCCTCCTCCTCCTTTTTACTGTCTACGACCTCCATCGCTTGCCTCACTGCTTCGACGACCCAAAGTCCTCCTTTGCATCCTCCCGATCCCAGGTGTCCTTCTCCAGGTCCTCCACCGCCCGCACCAGCTCGGCGATCCTCTGCTGCGCGCGCCCTGCCACAACCTGCTGCAAGTTCCACGTCCTACCGAAAAGGGGCGCAGCGAAACCGGGGAGGTCCGTCTTGGAGGCGGCCTGGTAGTCGTAGACGACGACCGACTCGTCGGTGGTGGCGGCTATGCGGCGGTGCTTGTGGGTGAGGATCAGGGACTGGAGGTTGAGGTATGGTGTTGTTGTTGTTGAGGAGGGGTCTGTCACGGGCTTGGTGAGGCGGTAGTATACGCTTATGGTGTCCGGGTATACTATTGGCTGTATATGCGTAGGAATTGTGCCGGGAGGTTAGCATTGGTCTTTTTTTCTTTTCTTGATGCTGGGCTGGGCTGGGCTGGGCTGGGCTGGGCTGGGGTTTGGTCGAGGTGGTGGTGCAGATGGTGAATATGGGGGGCCTCGGATCATCAATTCGTGGGTCTCACTCACCATCTTGTACTTTGTCGTGATGCTCTGCATGATGAAGCCAATGTGCTTCATGGTCATGAGCTGGCGCCACTGCTTGGCGTTGGCCGGGTCCAGCGCAGCAAAGTGCAGCAGCCAGTTGACGCGGGCGGACTCGGCCCATTTGTTGTAGACTGTGTTGTTGACGTGGCCCTGGGTGATTGTGGCATTTCAAAGTTAGCATACAAATCATTTTTACCATACTCGGTGACCCAGAATCTAACGGAAACTCACAAAGCTGTCCATGTCGCCCCAGGCCACAGCATGGTTCTGCAACCCCATGCGCACATTCCCAACGTTGCCGGCCTGCTGCTGCTGCTGCTCGCCCATGAGATCCCCCGCCGCGAGGATGCCCGGCGTGATGAACCCGTGGCTGCCCGCGAGCAGGTCCCGCCACTCTGCCGACAGCGCGGCCAGGATCTTTGCGCTGCGGGCGACCTGGGAAGCGTCACAGCCAAAAGTGATGCACTTGCCTATGCGGCCGCGGAGGTCGTCGATCCATCTGGCGTTTGGTGCTGTTGTTGTTGATGATGTTGAGGATGACGGTGTTGGTGCTGTGGTCGAGCTTGAGCTCTGCCGGGCGGTGGTGCTGGTGGAAAAGCACATTTGGGACTTTGACCTGTGGGATGATGGGCTGCCCAGTACGGGCTTTCCTGCTGCTGGGGCTTCCCGGATCGTCATTCTGTTTGAGCCTGTCCAGAGACATCGCAATGCCGTCCTTGGGGACAGTCTGGCAGGTCTGCTGCTGCCCATGGGCCGCAAGGCCGCCGGAACACGGGCCGGCATGGTGTAGTGATGACGGCTTTCTGGGTGGCTGCTGGGGGAGGCCTTGGCTTAGAGACCGCAGAGCCCGTTTCGACTTTGAAGTGGCTTATCGTCTTGAAGTTCAAAATCCGGACTCCGCAAAGATCGAGACTGCGAGACTGGAAGGAAGGCGCGGTTGTCCACGGCAGAAAGCCGCCGAGGTCGTGGGGTTCGAGTTTGGAGAGGCTCCGTTCTTCGGGCCGGGGCGGCCATCATCCTCCTCCTCCTCCCCTTGGACCGTGGAGCCGTGGACCCCCCAGCTTTTCCCCAGCGGGCCGGCACAAACCACTTCCGCTGCTAACGTCATCTCCACACGCATCACCTCACCTTTACAAACACATTCACTCACTCTTGCCCAAGTAATATCAGGAGAATCAGCCATTGGCGCAACCTACACTGGCGACGGCTCACCGAGGACAACACATAATTCATCAAAGTTCCGGCAATCACAAGTCCCCGGGATCGCGACAGGGATTCCCAGCAGCCCAGACACCAGTCCTGGCAGCAAACCAGCAAAACAGCCAGAGACAGCGAGAGAGTGGAAAAAGAGAAAGCCAGAGGGAGAGAGGGAGATAGCAGGCCCAAATGCCTCCCCCATCAATTTCAACAGCAGCAGCCCTCCCCGCACCAAATCCCCAGCTCCGCGCCCAGGTCGTCGCCATCTACAAGCAGCTCCTCTACCTCGGCCGCGAGTACCCCCAGGGCGGGCTCGACTATGTCCGCCCTCGCCTGCACCGGGCCTTTATGGCCAACGCGCACCTCCGCGACGACGAGGCCATCCGCCAAGGCATCGCCAGGGCAGAGTTTGTCCGGAAGGGTATGTCTCCTTCTCCCCCTCCCCTCTCCCTCTTTCCTTTTATTCCGCCAAGGGAGGACCTCCAGATCTTTGCTCGTGGAGAAGTAAATTGTCGGGAACGGAGGTTCCCTGGGCATTGGGATCGCTTCTTTTTCTTGTTGTCGATGTTGGTTGGTTTGCTGACATTGTCTCGATATAATCCGGGGTTGAATGAAAATGCAGAGATTGAAGCCCTGTAAGACTACCTACCCTCTTTCTCCCCCCCCTCCTCATCCTCCTCTCTTCGTCCCTTCTCCATGTTCTACCGAAAACACCAAACTCACCATCTGGGAAACCAAAAAAAAAACCAGGTACTACCTGAAACGCTACAGGACACTACGGAAACGGTACGGCGAGCAGAGCCAATGACTCCCGTTTTTCTCTTTTTTCTTTTCCTTTCGTTCCTCCATGTGCCGTGTAGCGGTTACATGTGGCCGAGTGATTAATTGCCCTGGCGAGTATGGGCGCTTGGGTTCTTTGCTTGCCCATGTACGTATGTATACCATTTGGATCTGTATTGATGCCATCGATGCTACTGCCCGGAGGAGGACAATGAGACACGAATCATGTCACTTTCACAGTGTGACGATGCCCTGCTCTGAGGTATGGGCATCATCACATTACACAAAGACATCCCCACGTAGCGTCAAGACAGGATGTGCGTTGGAACCCAGGGTATCTTTTCCTATCTCTCTGAACCGTGCCATGTTTTTATTTTTCCTACAAGAAGCAAAGTCGTCGTGGCCTTTCCAATCCACACCTCCAGCGCTTTCGAAAACTCGCCCTCATGCCCGCTTCTTGGCACTCCAGGCGCCAACCTCGAGACACTCGCCCCAACTGGTACCTCCTTCACGCATAAGGTCGTTCATCATCTTGCCCACCCAGTTGTCCCACTCGTCCTGGCTCTTCCCGCTTGTCTCGCGCAGGATCGGCTCAAACGAGTGTATCAGGCCCACCACGGTCTCGAGCGCCGTCCGCCTCAGCGCAACCTGTAGTTCCGTCAAGGTCTTGGCCCCACCTTTTGCGTCCCCTGCCCGGTACTTCCCCTTGGAAGAGTCGATATAACTCTTGCCATCCCCCTTTGTGACGACACCGCCGACACCCTCGCGCTCCCAGCGGATCTCACTCAGTGGTACAGCCAGCCGGATCGAGCTGATGTCGGTAAGCGACTCAGCCTCCTGCAGTAGCCATGGCGTTATTTGTGTGTTGGGAACGGCAGACAGCCCGCGCTTGTCGAGCGCTTTGGTGATCCAGCCGTTGTAGTCGGATAAAAATGTGTTGGTAGGAGGGCTGAGTGGGGTATTGCCGGTGACTGTGTACACTCCCAGCTTGCCCACTTCATCTTCCTCATCATTGCCATTTTCTTCGCCCGCAGATGCTGGTCGTCCCTTGGCAACCGGCGCATGCGGTCGCAGCATGCGGATGGTATGGTCTGTTTCCCACAACTCAAGCACGCCCCCAGGAGCAGTCACCCGTATGTTCTCATCCCAAATCTCTGGCGAATCCGCCGGTCCAGCAATGAGGCACATGTCCTTGGCCATGACGAGATCGAACTCGCCGTCTGCAAAGGGCCAAGGTGTGTTGCGGACGTCGTGCTGTACAAACTTCCACTGCATGTCGTTGTCAGGCTTCGAATTGGGATCCAGGCCAGACCCGCACAGCGGGATGACATCCATGCCAGTGAACGAGACCTTGTAGCCTTTCTGATCAAAGTACCGATGACACATCATGCTCCAGAAGCCGGACCCACATCCTACTTCCAGCACCCGCAGTGGAGGCTTCTTTGCAAACACGGGAGATGTGATCGGACCCCCAAGCAGCTGAAATAATAGTAACGTGCGCAGGGATTGCCTGTGTAACTCTTGGAGGTCGACGGGCAAGGGATATGGAAGGCTGGGATCATTTATGTAGGTACGGTTATTGCGCACAATCAGCGGCTTGGGGCCGAGCTGGCGAGTGTTGCGCGTTGCCGTGGATGTCGTCGACACGGACACACTGCTGCCGCTCGCGGACGGCACCAGCGTATCACCTGAGGCCATGGAAGCCATGGACCCCGTGGTGGTCGAGCGCAAGGGCGCAAGCATCAAATGCGCGTTTGTAGGCGTCGGCATGGATGCGCCATCGACATGGACAGATGGATTTTTGGAATGGGATTGATGATGGCTGGAATTGCCCAGCGGCTTGCCAGTGTACCTGGCCTGCCCAAGCTCGGGGACAATGTCGTCAATGGATCCTCTCCTTAGTGCAGCTTTGCGCTCACTGGCATCGTGAGCGGCCGCCTGCTTCCCTGGTAGCTGTGGAAGTTGCTTCGTCCGCAGCGGGCTTTGTCTGGTGTACACTGGAGAGGCAGATGCGGCAGAAGACGCCCTAGGCCGACTGCGGAGGCCGGCGTGCTCGGGTGCGTGCTTGTCGTCGCCGTCGTCGTCTCGGGTATGAAGGCGGGGAAGGGCCTTGTTGGTGTCGGGGATGGAACCGTCAGGGGCAGTACGCGCCAGACGGCCTGCTCGATCCAGCGGAGCGGTAGTCGGACTGGTCACTGGAGTTGGGCGATTCCGCTGCGCAGCAGTCGCAGCAGCACCAATTGGCGAAAGCGAGAATGGAGAGGGGGGCGGGCGAGATCGTGGCGAGGCGGCCAGAAAGGGCGGGGTCCTGGGCGGCGAGGAAAGAGAAGTGGCCGCCTTGTGTAGCGGCGCAGCTGCTGGTGCAGAGGAAGAGGGCACGCCGTCCGCCCGGGGGCTGGAGGCAGTGGTGGTCTGGTCTGTAGACCTCTTGCGCGAGGCCGAGCTCCGTTGTTGGTGATGGGCAGGTCGAGGGTGATGATATTGATGATGATGATGTGGATGGGGATGGGGCTGGCGATGCTGCTCGAGACCAGAGTGGGCAACAGGCGGACTGTTGGCGCTGTCCGCTGCTGGTACGGCCGCCGCCCCTGTCTCGGACCTGGCCCGCTCCACCGCCGCCCCTTTTCCCACCGGTGCTCCAGGTATTGTCTGCAGCTTGTGCTGCTGCTGCGGCTCAGGTTTCGGTCAGCTTCTGGACGGTCCTCTCTGCCTGCTTTGCCCAGGCCACGCTACAACACATACCTTGGCCACTTGCATTGACGGACGGGCGCCGCCTGTCTGCACTCTCCCATTTGCTGCGGATGATGGCCGCCCAGTTGATGATGGCGTTCGCTGGAGATTCTCCACAGTCTTGCTGTGCTTGACGGAACTCGTTCGAGAGGGCCTAGACGACGCCATTGCGGACGCCTTTGTTTCGCTGATCTCGACCGTCGGCGGCTCCTTCTTTGTCGCCTTGGTGCCCTTCGACTTGTTGGCTTGCCGATATGCCTCGATCATCTCGGGGGTCGTCATCATTCCCATGCCTCCATCCATCGTCGCGTCCGGCCCCCAAACGGGAGCATGTAGCGACGGCCACGGCCTAGTGCGAATCGCTCCGAGTGGGTGGTTGCATAACCCTCGATATTGTCTTGGTGGTCAGGTCGACACTTGTTCTTGGTGCATTGGCCCTTTTTCCTCAAAAGTCGAAAACGAGCATTGATGGTATTTGTCAAGCTGCCCTGCCTCCTCGGAGCCCTGGTGGGAGGACGCAGGCTACGAGAGGGCTCGTCAATGCTTTTGTGTCTGCGTTTGTGGCGTACCAGAGTTCACTCCAGGCCCCTCTCAGAACCGCTGTCCGAGTAATGCCACCTTGTGGTCTGCTCGGCTGTGTTTTTCAGGTGGGGTTTGCTGTCCACGAAATCGTGACCCGGTTGCTATCCACCGGCCCGGCGATAGTGTATACGTAAAGAAAGCCGACTTGTCACTTTCTCGGGGGACGGGTCACTCTCACGCGGATGGAGGTGACAGCCACGAGGTAACGTTGTTATATACAGAGGCAGGCCGAGCAGGAAAGCAGAGGTCTCAAGACTAAACCACTCGGCACACAGGCGGTCTAAGCTACTCTCGTAGAGGTGCATCGCTATCATGCGCGATCCAGGGCGGCACAGCACCACAACTGTTCGTGCCAATGGCTCGCAGGTTCGTGGCGGCGTTCCCTTTGGGCAGTTGCTTGTGACGGAGTGGGTGGTAGCGAGGGGGGGGCCTACTCCTGCAGCACCAAGGATCCAGGGTCGGCATGGCGTGTCGAGCAAAGACGGCACCTTCCAGGGACCAACCCCCAAGCCGGGCCGGGGAAGAGGGGCAAGGTGGCCGCGTCCAGAGGCACCAGGCTCGTCTCACGGCCGACACCTCTTTTCCAGACAGGCAGCCCAACGTATTCAGCGTGCTATGAACCATGATGTCTCGCAGCTTCTTGCCGCGGTCGTCGATATAATTAGCGAACTGCTTGTCAAGCTAAGGCGTTGCCACCGTTGATGCTTGCTCGGACCCATGCTCAGAGGATGCCATCGTGCCGTAGTATCAAGTCCCCCATCGCGCCGATGTGGATCAAGTCTGTCAACCTGACAGGTCCCGAGGTCTATTCCGGCTAGGCCATCATGTACGTGGATAGGGGCCACACAGAGCTCGGCAAAGGCGAGAACATGAGCCGTGGAGAGACCATCCGCACCCAGCTCTTGGTTGGAGTCTCAGTAGGCGTCAGACTAGTGCAGTTGTCGACCAACCGGCATCTTGCGCACTTTTGTGAACTCAAACTTCGGCTACAATGCAATACCCGCCTAACGACCGATGGACATTTGTAGTCTACAGTCGCATGCTTGCGTGTGCAGACTCAGGTACTGCGTACGTGGATGGGCCACACATGTGGGGGTCATTGCTGGGTGCCGTCTTTGCCTCCGATTGGCAATGGTGCATGGTGGCAGACGATTGTCGTGATGTTGTATTGAGGAGCCCATGTCCTGTTTGGTGTGCTGTTTTTTTGGGCTGCGCTGCAACCCCCATAACAGGCGGCTGCGTTTCATGGCAGCCAATTGTTTGAGGTTGGTGCCTCTGCAAACTCGCCAGCCATACGGCATTCTTGCCAGCCACATCCGAATTGGCGGACATTGTGACGCTGCTACCGAAGGATTCGTGTTGCCGTTTCAGCTGCCGAGGAGAATATAGATAGATAGTATTCGGGACCTGAGCAGGAGAGTGGTATTGCACAACTGAAACAACCAACTGGTGAGCCTCGACGCTGGACTCCAGGCTCACATTGGTTGGAGCAAACGGTCGTTCCAGCCTGTCCATCGCCACAGTCTGTGGCTCTCTGATTGCTGAGCTCCAAAGAGCATTGGACATGGGACAAATCCCACATTCAGGCCTAAAGTTCCCAAGCACGCGAGCGGTGTTTCCACTGTAAGCATCTTTGATTACCAAAAGAAGCACGATTAGAGTTTGAAGGAGTCACAGCTGGCGCCTGCAGCTCCCATCTACATGACACTAGACCCCCAATGCATGTTGGCGTCGCTGGTGGCCGCCTCAATTAGGAGAGCCTGGACCGATGCGGCAAGGCACGTATTGTGTCAACCGCAGGGTATTGAAATGGTGGCCGAGGCACAATTCACTTGTACCAAGTAATCGCTACAACACCTGGGCACCATTGACGCGCACAGATTCACAAACAGCACGCGTACTTTGGTGGCTGAGCTGTCTATGAATCACAAAGGCCGACACCCGGAAGGGCATGAGCTGCAATCACGGACCTGCTCAGGTGGCAGATATCTCCAGGGCTTACTCCAAGCCTTCCAGGGTTAGACACCAGGGAGGGACTCAGCTGGCTGGGGGACCTAGCTCCTGTGCAGAGAAGCTCAGATCCAGCTTTAGAGCTTCTTCGAGTCCATTCTGTGGCGGTGCAACCAATTGCGGCGCAGGTCTGTATCCGCCACATCCAGTTACGTAATCCACATGGTGCACAGAGCACGGCGAACAGAGTCTCGACTGCAGGGTTTGTTCGTGAGGCGATGAGGTAAGCAGTCCATTGCCGGCGTCGCCTGCCCTGCCCCGGCCTGGGCAGAAGAGAAGGCTGGCGAAGAGACCAGGCCGCATCACGAGCAGCTATGCTTGTCAAACCCAACTCGAATCTGGCCCAGCACCACGTCGCCTCAACATCAACACCAGCAGCATTCTTCCATAGCCACGCCCTTGGTCGCCATTGACGGCCTGCGGCCAGCATACTCTTCACGTCACTCCCTCTGATTGCTTTCCCTTGCGGCCACGCCGTCGTAAGTCTAGCTCCGACCACCCCCTCCTCGTCCCGCACCACCCACCTCGCATCGCCAGTCTTCCTTGCCCTGCCCAACCATTGCTGGTCCCTCTTCTCACAGTAACATCTGCAGCGCCCAGTACTGTCCGTCAACACACCCGGCGTCGTGCGCGTCACCTGCGACTGCCGCCTCCGATAGTCTCTGCCGAATAACGACGACACCCTGACATCCTGTAGCAAAACTGGCAAAAGCTGCATTGCTTTGGTCTTGTGCTCAGCCCTCAGTCCACGAAAGGACGTCCCTCTGCAACCTATCCACCGCCGACTCCTCGCCGTTGTGCAGGGCGCAACGTCGTTTCCGACCACGCTTGTTTCCATGCGGCCACAGTCAGCTCCGGACCCTTATGTACTTTTATGGACACCGATCTGCCGACTAGTCCTCCACGATCCTTCTCCCAGCCACAGCATCTGATATCCTCCGAAGAAGTCTCAGCTACCCCAGCCCATCGTGGCTCCGTGGCCTGCTCGCGTTTCTGGCACGCACGACTGGGCTGCAACGCACCAGAGTAACAGCTTCTATGGCTGAGAGACACGGTTTCCACCACCCGCAGCACCGTCACGTCCAGCACCAAGCACCTCAACATCAACGCCCGCAAACTCAAGCTCGACACGCGCAAGCCGCTTCAATATCACGTCACGCCTACGACCCAAACAGCCCTCAGCAGAAAGACACGAACAACATCTCCACACTGCCAGCCGGCGCACCATCCGAGAACCCCGCCTCGTCCACCTTAGCTGCGACCCAGCATCTATTGCACGCCATGTACGGGCCTAATCATCAGCAGGGCCACGCCTCGCGCCTCAATGGAGGCGTGCCAGGTGGCCGCGGTATGGCGCCGCAGATGATGTTCAATTACGTCCAGCAGCAGCAGCAACAACAACAACCTGGGGCCCACCAGCATCACACACATCCGCAACAGCAACAGCATCAATCAATACAGCAGGATCACATCGGGCACAGCGCAACACAGGGAGCGCTCGGGCACCACTCGGGATTTGCTTCTGGTCTCATGTCCAATGTAGCTCCATTTACTCCCGGCAGCCATCAGAACGGACATACACCGGGCCCGCGTGGTGGTCAGGCGCAGCGCTTCAGCGAACACTGGACTGAGCAGACCAAGGCGGCCAAGGAATCAGAGCAGGCCCACAAGATGATGAAGGAGCAACACCAACCCCACTACTTCGCTCGTCTGCGGGCCTCGGAGAACAAGGGTATCGGCCCAGCTCTCAATGCCAATGCTGCCGACTCCAACGCAGACGGCGAGGAAGACAGGGGCCGGCCGGCCAACATCGAGAAAGCTCTGGACAGACAAGACTGGCTCAACCTTGACTTTAGTGGCCAAGGCCTCAGAAACATCTCGGTCACCCTGTTCAACCACTACGACTTCCTCACCGAATTGTACCTGGCCTCCAATGACCTCTCATATCTGCCTGCCCACATTGGACAACTGCGCTCGTTAAGACACCTCGACGTCTCGTACAATCAATTGCAGGAGCTGCCCCCGGAGCTTGGCATGTGTACTCCTCTTCGCCAGCTCCTCCTGTTTGAGAACAAGATCACCACTCTTCCTTATGAGCTTGGCGCGCTCCACTTCCTTGAGCTGCTCGGCATACAAGGCAATCCGATCACAAGCGACCTCAAACAAAAGATTGTGGATGAGGGGACGAAGAGTCTCATCTCATGGCTGAAGGAACAGGCACCTGGTAAGACCCGCCGAGCCCGAAAAATCAAGACGCATTACTGACGTATCAATTTAGTACCCCTTCCGCCACAACCTCGCATGCCTATCACCATACAGGAGGAGCCGGCCGCCGACAAGGAACGGATTCGGGTTCTCTCGTGGAACACGCTCTGTGACAAATATGCGACCAGTACTCAGTACGGGTACACACCAGAGAGCGCACTCTCTTGGGAGTACCGCAAGGACAGCATTCTGCAAGAGTTGCGTGACCGCGAAGCTGACATCCTCTGTCTCCAAGAGACCGCAATGGACGCCTTCGAGGACTTCTTCGCCCCGGAGCTCCACAAGAACGGGTACAGGGGCGTATTCTACCCCAAGACGCGCGTGAACCATTTGCCAGCCAAGGAACAACGCTACGTCGATGGTTGCTCAATCTTCTACAACAGCGACAAGTACATGTTGCTAGACAAACAGATGGTCGACTTCAGGCAGACTGCTATTAACCGTCCCGACATGAAGTCGGCCGATGACGTCTTCAACCGCGTCATGCCGAAAGACACTATTGCCGTCTTCTGCTTCTTCGAATCGCGGTTCACTGGCAATCGGTTCATTGTTGTCAACGCCCACCTTTGCTGGGAGTCCTTCCTTGCCGATGTAAAGGCCGTTCAGACGGGCATTTTGATGGATCTTGTCACAAAGCACTCCGAAAAGTACACAAGAAGACCGCCGATTCCCATCCATGAGAAGCGGCTGAAACCCCGCCCATCGGGCGAGGAAGGCGTCCCTCCCAAAGAGTTTCCAGAACCCGCACCAAGTCAGGAGTACCGTAACAACACAGACATTCCCCTCTTTGTATGCGGTGACTACAACTCAATGAGGGACAGCTCTGTGTATGAGCTGCTGGACAAGGGTCGCATCCCACCGGATCACCCAGATCTAATTGGCCATTCATACGGCAATTTCACACGGGATGGAATTGAGCACCCGTTCAACCTACGCAATTCGTACTCGGCTCTCTTCGGCACTCCGGACGAGCTCACCTTTACCAACTATACGCCTTCGTTTTGCTGGGTCATAGACTATATCTGGTACACCACAAACACGGTTGATGCGATAGAGCTGCTCGGCCCTCCGGACTACCAGTATCTGAAGCGCGTTCCAGGATTTCCCAATTACCACTTCCCTGCTGATCATATCCACATCATGGCGGATTTCGTCTTCAAGACGCGGAGGGACAAGAAGTCTATCGCGGAGCAAGGTGGTCCTTCAAGGTCCTAGGACGCCGCGTAGCTGCCATCAACACTCTTCTCGGGCAATGTCTACAGCCTCAAGGACTTGTTCTTCATACCTGTATATCTAGCTCACAACTCAAGGGGGGTTGGCATCGGATGCCACGCATCAGTAGTGTCTCGCGCAGTCTGGCGTGCGGGGAGCTGAGTGTATTCCTTAGAAGCAGTGAGTGTTGGGACCAGGCGGGGTTCACGGCGAATTCCGGACGTGGTTTGTCCGAGGGGCGATGATTTCACGAATCTCTCTCATATTTTGACAGGGCTCTCTGGATTTGGACATATCGGCATCTTCATTTCCTGTCTCGGGAGTTTGGCTGGCCGCCTGGGTCTAGAAGAGTAGCGAACAGCAATGGGTAGTGGTGTATGTCTTTGTGTTAGCAATATCGGGCGGTCAAGGTTGCCTGGTCAGCGCGTCTATAGTATCTTTTTTGGGAAGCGACAAGTAGCAGTAAGAGGAACGAGGCTGGCGCGTTGTGCGTTTTTGTTCTTGTGGTTTTCACCATCCCGCGATGATTATTGCGCTTCGTCTTCGCGAGCTGAGCTGAGGGGCGATGAATTTTATTGCGGATCTCTGCGGTCCTTCCGCGTCGCCACTTCTGCTTCCGAGGTTATGCCTCAGCCTACGAGCTTCTGGCTCAAGTGACTATCTTGTCTTGACATCTGGTGCTCCTGTTTCTACCTACGGCCCTGGAACACGCGTCATTCCCGATCCACCAGATGGTCCCCCATGGGCCATGCCTGCCGTTCTCCCCAATGAACCCCATGACGTTGCTTCTGAAATTTTCGCTCCACCCGATGCTGCTGGCTTCCGCCCAAGGTAAGGCCTTTAATCGCGGCAGCTTGTGCTTACGACGCCTTTGGCGCCGGCGTACGGGCAGGAAAGGACTCCTGCGTTGTTGCCTACGGTGAGTGCTGTTGTTGTGTCGCCGTGGCAGGGTCACGAGGAATGGGGTTAGCCTTTGCATACTATATTTTCGGGATCGGGTGTGTGTGTGTGTGTGTGTGTGGATGAGAGAAGACAAGAGTTGTTTGGAAATATGTGGTTGTGGCAAGTGCATGTTTCGCCAAAACGGTCTCTGGAGGTTTTGTCGCACGCTGAAACAGAAAACGGTGAAGTAGGTATCTAGCAAGTAGATAGGGCGCATGCTATGAAGGAAAAGGGGCAGGAGTAGCAGAGGAACAACGAGATCTCGAAACGCGAAGGAGACCACTGACGCAGGTGGGCAGCAGGCAAAGCCATACAAAAGCAGACTGATGAACGCAAGCAAGTAATTGAAATCGAATCACAGGGCCGAAAAATGATCAGCAACAACTCACCAAGGTCCTGCAGCTTTCTGCCCGAGTACCCGGGCGGCCATGACAGCGCGCCCTCGCACTGCCACCGCAAATGCCGCGGGATCAGGTTCGGGTCGTCCGGGTCCCCGACCTTGTCGAGAGTGGCAAAGTGGCACGGGTCTGGGTACCAATCCATGTTGTTGTTGTCGTCGCCGTTGCGGCGGGCGGCAGGGATCTCTTCTGCGTTGGAAGCGGTGGCCGCGCTGGTTGTTGCTGCGGCATCGAGATCGGTGTTCGTGCGCGCGGAATTGAGGATGGGCCGGTCCTTCGGAATGGACTTGGGATCTTCGGTGCGGTAGAGCCAGCCTTCAAACTCATAGTAGCACCTGTTAAGTTTTATCTGGTGTCAGTTTATAGGTACATCTTGACAAATCAATGAGCAACGGGTGAAAGTCTGTAGTAAGTGTTCGGTGGCAGAGTATAGTGACACAACATGGTTGATAGCACGCATGGGGAATCATCGTTTGAACGGTGCGAAATGACGGGAAATCTAGGTATGGCGAGAGATCCATAATGACATACTCTTCCAGTCCGATCTGCGAGCACACTTTTCCCTCGCTCACAGCAGGATCACCTCCCGTGCACCGCGCAACGAGATACAGCTGGGTGTTGTCTTGGGCGGGCTCGATGTGCCAACTGCTGCAAGTGTTGTTGAAGCCTGGGTAGAAGTCCCTGGCGCTTATGTCGTCATGGCCGTTGCTACTGTTGGGTACGCCCTCGGCACGAGGAGTAAGCAGAGTGCTATCCGCCTTGCTGCTGATACTTAGGGCGTAGTTGCCGCTGGCGAAGGCGTAGAAGAGGATTAGGTGCATGTGAACCATGATGTAAACCATGATGTGAACCATGATGTGAAGAATCGTCTCGTTTGTCTAGGTTGCGTGCGGTCTTGCGGATTGGGTTTTTGTATGTATCAATCTTAATCGTGAGATTCAGTGGCTCGATGTGAGGCAGGCAGGGTAGTACTTGATCTTGTCGGTTTTGTGTCTCCCACGGATTGCTAGTTTGACAAAGAGCGGCGAGGTGGTAGGGTAGGCACACGAGATGTAGCAGGATTTAAGCAGGATCTAAGAGAACAAGGGCAATGGACCGGAAGTCATTTGCAAGGCATGCGGCCAGTTTGCTGTGCTATACTTTGTTGGTCAACAAGATTGTTGGAAACAAACATAAGTCAAGTCGACCTAGTGCCTGCTCCTTATGACAAGAATGCAATCCATCTCGCCACCAACAGATCCTGACTTGTCGCATGTCCCAATAATATCTACAAAACGTGCTGTATGCCTTCATTACCACGATCTCAAGCAGTCGAGTCTGAGCAGACATCGACTCATATTCTGACCCAAAAGATCAACAGGAACGATATGGTAACGCCAATTTGACAGGCTTCAATGCACCTGGGTCGAAACAAATCAGGTCGGCTCAAGCAAAGTCAGACATGACAAATTGTAAGGGATGACTAACGACTGGACATGCCGAGTGGTCCTGCCAGTCATACACTATGATACTGCGTGACTTTGTAGCTCAGAATCAATGCCTTGACATTTATGGAGCTGCAACGATGGAAAACGCGACGTAGGCTGCGCGGACAGGTGCGCTGGTGCAGACGAGATCAGCAGCACCAGGAGCTGTGGGTTGGACAGGTGTGCCTTCATCAGTGCAGTCATCTGTGGTATGAACAAGGACTGTATACAAAGTTAGCTCGGACTCAGTCATAACAGCACCGCCAGGGTGGAATCCTTTTCTCATCTTACATTCCCAGCGATCAAAGCCGTGGATTGCGATCGACTTGAAAGCGAGAGGATACGGGGTGCACGGCTTAACTCGAGATAGCACGATTGTCGCGACGCCCTGGTTGTCTGAGGAGCACCCGACCTCACCGAATGTCCTAAGATCACCAACATAAGGATCGCTACCAGGGATGGCAGCGGCGTTGCCGGCCGCAGCGCTCCCGCACACTAACGCAAGGAATGTTGTGGTTTGCATTGTGAAGATCTCGACAGTGGTCTGTTGAAGGACGGCGTTCCCCAGATGAAGGGTCTATGGACGAGGTAGATGGTAAGGCGTAATTATGATGGAGGTAGCCACCGCTGGGTTTTGTCATGTTTTTATGATCTGACATGTAAGCATACCGTGTGGTCTCGTGTCGATGGCGTTGAGGCCCAGCATTTCCAGCAGCACAGTGCTGCCATTCTGCTCGCCCGCCTGGCGGTCTGCAAAGGGCAGAACCACCTGAGCTACGTCCGTTCATCGAGTAACAACACATATCCATTCACAGGGCATGGGTTTCTCCTCAACAGTCGTTCCGGAGAGCGTGAAGACAATCTGCAGCTTGCCCGTGGAGCTCGTATTGGCCTGCAGTGCCGACACTTGTGACACAAATGCATGATGCTCCAGCAGGACGGCACAGTTAGCTCAACTGGGAAGGGTCTAGAAACACGAATTCACAACTGACGGTGCACATGATGCACTGCCGTGTTGATATAGTAACAACCGTCCGCAATTCGGGGCAGGAGGCGACGGCTTTCGATGACGCAAACACGGCGCAGGTCCTGAAATGGCCTGGGTTTTGTTACACACCGGATCGACACGAACGGGAGCTCTCGATCAGCCAGGCCAGCGGTTCTGGACCAAAACGTCCGTCGGAGATTTGGAGGCGGGTTGCCGCTACGCCACAGCAGGTCGATTATGCATGACCCGCCGACACGAATCTGTTGAGTTGCACCCAATGTCAGGTGGACCGACATGGCTTGGAAGTAAGCTCTCAGGGTCAGTTCTGGCGGTACATCGATACATTTTTGCTTGTGGCCATGCAGGCAGGGCCAGGACCATCAAGACGGCGTCAGAGAATCGACCGGAAGCGCGCCTCCGCTTGAAACCCGCTAGCTGAAAAGATCGGAATGCCCAGAAGAATCGAGCCAGCGTGTCTATCCAAGTGGAACGCGTGTCTTCCATGGTCTGAAGGAGATGACGGCCGTCTTCCTCTCTTGAAGTGGTTGCCATCATATCAATCGGGCTCTGCCATTTGGACTTGAGCATACAGGCAGGAAGGGCCCATCTGCATGGCAGGCGCAACCCTGCACGCCATCGTCCATGCAGCCAACAGCACCAACCAACCAAACCCGGGCTGCTCGCCCACCTCCAACATCCTGTCCCTGGCATCTACATACCACCACCAGACTTCGTGATCCAACATTGCCAATGATTGTATCGCTCATTTCTTGGAGACGGGTCGAACATCGCCACGCAGTTGAATTCAGTGCTGCAATTGCCTTCGTGCAGCAGAACACACGCCACGTTAGCGCTCCACCAACGTCTGTCCGCTTTGGCCATCACGAGCTTTGTATTTGGCCCCTGCTCAACGCGCCTTGCAACAACGGTAGCACAGCTTGAAGCCGTCAGTGATCTTTGTATAGGCGCATCGCCATCTTTTGGAGGCTTGGCGCGCTGTCGCCCGTGTCACAATCTCTCGTGTAGCGCTTCCGTGCTTCGACTACGCCACGGCCTGTGACACCAAGCCATGGAGCAGAATAAGGGTCTCTCTGCATCACGCTGGGCGACTGGTCCTGGCCTATTACGGCCACGCCGACTCGCCTCTTCACGCGGCTCGTCCCCATCAGAGTTCTCCAGCACCACAGACTCTCCCAGAGACCAGGACCAGCTCCACTCGTGTGATGAGCGTCACCTTTCGCGCTTTCTTAAGATGGCCAAGCGTCTTAAGTGGAAGATGCCATTTCTTGAGCTTGGGTACGCAAAGGCAACCAGCAGGGCCGGCCTCTCGCAGCAGGACATTGAAGAAAACGAGATCAACTTCAAGCTCGACTATTACGAGTACTACATTTTGCTGGAACAGGCCCTCGTGTCTCTGCTTGCTGTGTACGGTGTTGCCATCGACCGCCACGCCGCACCGACTACTACGAAAAAGACCCGCTCGCCTGAGCGCAGCGTCGAGCCGCCAAAGCCAGAGTACAAGCACAGATATCACGCCAATGTGATTTCAGCCCTCGAAAGTCCGCTGACTCCACTGGGCGCAATTTTTGGCATCGACCCGGTGCGTAAGCAGCTGCTCCGAGCTAAAGAGCTGCGCAACCGGTGGAAGTATATTGATGACGATGATGAACCATTGTATAATCAGCCACCCCCACCGCTAGAGTCATACAACCTCGACGAGATCCTGCAGACGGTGCAACTTGCCATCGAGCATGGCTATGAAATGGCACAGAGAGATGTTGAGGACTACCAAGTCAGATCTAGGGCCAGTGGGAAATTGCAACCATCGAGTGAACCCCCCTCGAGTCAGGATTGGGACTTCATGGTCAATGCCATGGAGTGGGAGGCTATTTGAGGATCCGCGATGAGCACCATTACTAAAGTAGTGCTTTTCGGAAGTACTATATGCATTGGGAAACAAGACGCTGTCCCTGTTATCAGACAAATACTGGCAACAGAGATTACAGAGCATATATACACCACATAACGTTGATCTTCCCGCAGAATCTGTGACAAGAGGTCGCGGTGATAGAGTTGCGGAAGCTTGTGAGGACGAGATTTAGGCGTTCGGATGTGGCAAAACATCATGGGCACCCTGCCAGGCTCACAAGTGTTGATGTTGCATCTTCAAAGGAAATTGTCGTCTCCGAGAGCACTCATTGTATCAAGCTACGGGCGACTCTGCCTTAACTGGGACGTTCCAATACGTCTGGCGTGGAGATTCGTTGTAAACCTGACACTCCCAAAGGAGTGCTCTCAATAGTCAAGTCACGCTCCAGGTATTCTTGCCTTTTCCTTGCGCAACATTTCAACCAACTAACAGCTCGGCCAAAAGATTCTAGAGGCTGCTAAAGGTGCTGCCAGTGCCGATGCCGTTGAATGAACGCAGCGGGGACGAGAGAAGTAGTAAGAACAGCAGCAGGGTCCGCGGCGGTAGTGATGGCGTTGCGGACTGGTTGGGAGTCGTCTTTTTCTTTTGCTTGCAGGTGTTTCGGCCATGTGTCTCTATTGAGTGAAGATGGGTACTTCTGCGTGTCTGTATGTGTGTGTGGTGAATTTTCCTCGCAAGAGAGAAATGTCCGTGATGTCGAGAGAACTGACAGAGACGCGATATATCAAGACGTCCAGTAAAGTCAAGCTTGCCTTGCTCCACCCCCCCCCCCCCCACACCCCCCTTTGCCGCTGATATTAACGAAGTCGTTGGCGCTGTGGAGCTGCCAATTCCTCCCGCCCTCGGAATTGGCGCATGGAAAGGGACCTTTATGGGGGGTCGGCAAGGGTGGTCGCTCTTGAGAGGGGGGTGGAAGGCGAGGAGGGCCAGGGTTTTCATTTTTGAGGACGGCATTTCTAAGAGAGAGAGAGAGAGAATATGTGTGTCTAACTGCTTTAATCTCTTTACAAGCTGTTTCTTTTTACCTTGGCCTGACGAAGTTTGTGTAAAACATTTGGGCGAATTTTGAGTATTTGGATCTGGTCGAAGGTGAATAAAGACGAAGCTTTGGGAGCATAAGCTGACCTCGGCAGCGGGAAGAACGCCGTTGGTTGTGGGGTGCGATAGAGTTGTGCTGAAAAGAGCATAAGGCAGGCACAGAGAATAATAGCCTGCTGTGGACGAAAGGGAGGGAGGACCGAGAGATTACGGTTGATTGCATTTGGGATAATTTGTGTTGTCTCATAGTCCTAGACTTGGAGGACTAGCACAGATTATGGCAACTCTGTCTGCTTTTTTGGAGCGTGATGGACGGGTACAGGAAGCATCTGTCGTCTCAAGTTGACTTGGTTTTGCTTTACTCGGCTCATTGAGGAGTGCATGTCCAGCAGCCGGACGTGAACGAAGGGGCGGCCGCGGCGTGCATATGGCAGGAGCCCATCGAACGGGTAGGTTTGGATGCTTGACACATGAAATTGGATGCTTCGAAAGCTGGGAGCTCAAGACCCCAACTGCTTGAAGATGAAGAAGCATCGTTACCTTTTCATAGTTTCGTGTCCAAGTTTGTGGAGGCCGTGTTGTATTGGGGGTAGGAGGATGAAAGCTAAGTTGTGCTGAATAATACGAAGTTGCAAACCATGATGTACCGTGACGGGATTTGGCTTTGCATTCACACGAATGCTTGATGATCAACGTAACCCAGAACAACACGTTGCTTACGAAACAGTATCAATGATGATGATATCGTGGCGATTTCGCTTCTTGTACAGTTGCCAAGAGTGTCTTGCACCCACCATTCTTAACCCAAGAACCACCAAATTGGCCCACACCTTGTCTCTGAAACTCCACGCCCGTTTGGTAAGGCGACGACTCATGAGCAAGCACATTGTATACTCTACTCCGAACTAGTCAACCTTACCGTGTGCGATTAGTTGCGTGTTCGGAGTCTGTTTTACACTGTATCTCTCAGATGACAAAGAGAACCATGGCCTCGTGGTTGTAACAGGTTTCAAGTCCCCCCTTCCAAATAGGTCTGTCCATGCGGTCCTTGTTACAAACGACGCAAAAAGATCAAACAGATCGCATACTGTGGGCAGGCAGGCAGGCAGGCAGGCAGGCAGGCAGGTAGGCAGGCCCTGGCGGTGTAGCAAGACTGCTGGTGCTCGTTCAAGCGAGGCCTGGCACGCTAAGCATCAAGCCTCCCAAGCTGCATTTACGGATCGCGCTGCTGCACCCTCAGGTCTAGACTGATTGACTGGCGCAGGGTGTGGCGCACGTGCCAGAGTCCTCTGAGAGATGATCTTTTGGTGGTGAGCAGCAATGGTGCGCAAACTGGCTTCAAACAACGCAAACTTGCTCATGGGCGTAGTGCCCGTGCTGGGGCCCCCTTTTGCCCCAATTGAGCACTAACCAGTGGCTGCTGCAACTGCTGATTGGTCAAGGTGCGCTGTTGGTGGCCTGTCTCAGCCGCTCTCCTCGTGAGCTTGTTTCGCAGTTGTACCTAGTGTACGTACTGTATTTACTTTGAGGAGCGTACTGAAAGTACATGCTGGAGGCACAGGTGACCAGGCCGCTGATGACACGATCAAAACATGCTCAATGTAAAGGGATTGTACATTGCTGATCACAGCACGAGTAGCCACTGAAAGGGGTTTCCCATCTACAAAAGACATCCTCTTCGCTCGTCAATGAGACCGATGTGCAGGCACATACATACACAAACTGTCCACCAAGGTGTCTGTCTATCCTGAGTCACGCACGCGTACCCAACCAGCCATCAAGGTTGCAAAACCACACAAACGTGTTTTAGAGCACAATAGACAGCAGACTAGAGAACAACATCCTCAAGTCCTGGCATTTAAGAAAAAATCACCATCATTCACTGAAAGTCTTCTCTGAATTGGAACGACATTCTAAACACCATAGCCACGGCCACCATCAGTATTACCAGGGACAATCAACAGACTCGTCAGAAACACTGGAAATATGTGCGGAAGAAGCTGCAACACTCCCAGGGCGTCACTAGGCGGCGCCCTCGTGGTTCTCAGACCACCACCGCCGTCAACACAAGGCACAACCCGGAAACTTGCAGCACCGCTACAGCACCCCAAAACCCCCCGGGCAAGCAGAACATATTTACCGCCATCACCGCCGTTATCCCCAGGCCGGACCGAGGAGGACTGCGATGTCGAGTCGAAATTTGACAGCGAGGGTGGGCTACCGCCACCAGCGGCAGCAGCAGTACGACAGAGCAAGAGCCGGACAGACACAGTGCCCTTCTCGGGCTCTCTCATCTTCCACAACAGCCCAGACATCACCGCCGAGAAGCCTGTCGTCGGGCAGAGCAACACGGGAAACTGGGCGACGCACATGACCTTTATTTCCACCCTGCCTGCCACTTCAGAGCCAGAATCAGAACACCACCCATCAGCACATTCTACACCACCAGCAGCAGCATCATCATCCCCATCATCATCAGCAACAGCAGCAGGAAACCTGGAAAAGCAATTGACCTGGGACAAACACGACGACCACCACCAGGCACAGATATTCACAGTGCATATCCACGCCTCGGGGAACCTGCTCGACTCCCCGACCACCAGCCCCGTCCTGCACTCTCTCAGTCTCAACCTCTCCCCCTCTTCTTCTTCTTCCTCTTCCCCACCACCACCACCACCAACAACATCTAGTCCCACGTCCAGCCAGGTTCTCAAGCCAGAAACACCGCAGCCGCAGCAGAAGCAGCAGCAAAGGACACTACTCCCAGCACCCCTCGAGATCGGGGTCGGGGGCCAGGGCATCATCGGGCGAAGAGTGACCGTCTGGCGGCATGTGGGCCCGCGGCAGCGGCGGCGGCGGCAGCAGCTGCAAGAGGAGGAGGAGGAGGATGCAGAGGAGTCGCCATTCTTGGTGGCCGAGGGTGTCATCGGGTTCAACTAGAAACGTAGGACCTCCTCTATTGACTAGATTAAACCTCGCAAACGAGAAGCCTTGCCAAGGAGTGCCGAGACGAGAGAGGTGAACGGGTTACGTAAAATGGAACTCCAAAGTGTACACTGCATTGTCTGAAACGATCTGGTATTAGAGGTGTGAGTGGGGGACGCGTAGTGGTATTCAAAGCAGGTGGCCAGTGGCAGACAGAAATCCCGTGTTCAGCGGCGCGCGATTGACATAGAGGTTTTGTTCCTCGTTGTTCTTGCAACTTTTGGCATCGCCAGCACTAGCAATCATATCTATTTATGAATGGTATCACGCGCAGACAAGAAGAGAAAAATCGACGATACACACCACCTGGCCATCAAAAAGTCGCAGTGGAAGCGGCCTCCACTGAGAGTCCTACAAAGCCAATGACAGGCAAAATCCACAGCCTTTAGTCTAGCCTGCCACCTAAGCAAATTTGATCTCGTTGAATAGGCTGCCTCGGACCTGAACCAGACCAGCGAGCTCAAACAAGAACGACTGCAGCACGATGACGTTGGTGATGACGTGCGACACTGTAACCTCCTTCTCACCGGCAGGCGTGCTCGCTCCTGATGGTTGGGCAATGCCTATCTCATCTTCTCCATCTCCACTTTGCTTTGTAGGCTGTGATGGCTGATCAGACTCCTCAGTATTCGTTACTGGAGCCTGGACCGTCTCAGCCGTGGCAGGATCAGAGTTCTGTGCATCATCTCCCGTGGCGTCCACTTTTGACGAGTCCTCTGTAGCGTTCTTCGTGTTGAAGCGTAGGGGTATCGCTTCCAATCTCTTGGATGGGAGGCCGACTTTGCGACCAAGAATTTCCTGATCAATGGCTGCAAACGCTGCCAATTGGCTTGCCGGAATGGATTTCGCGGCTGCATCCAAGCTGTTACCATCGTTATGTACAGCAGGCGAAAGCGACCTCAGCCTGCCGCCCTTAGTAGGTGTTTCGTGCTCAGGCCGATTATCTCTAGGTGTGCTTGGCAGAGGCTTGTTGGGTGTGCCAAAGAGGTTACTTGCCAGCGTGCCGTCTCCCCTCCCACGTGGACTGGCCGATCGACTCTTGGTGGGCGTGCTCAACTCGGAAAATATTCTCTGAGCAAAGCCCTCAAGCGCACTAGGCCGGGCTGGAGACGCTGCACGAGAACCATCCACCGGGGTTTGGTCCTGGCCAGGCGTGACCGATTTAGACGGCACTGGTGGAGGATCTGGCGCAAGCGCGGCATCCGCTGTCTGGAAGGCGTCTCGTCTCTGTTGGAGGAGATCATCAAAGCGAGGGATAGACTGCCTATACAGTTCGACCTGATCGGCCAGTGACTCGAGCGTACGGAGGGTTCGAGGCAGGCTCGAGGCCTGCCACTTTGGGTATCGGCGGCATTTGGCAATAGCCTTCAACGTGTCGAGCTCGCTTATACTTTCAGGCACCTCGTCCTCCTCTGCGTCATTGTCGCCATTCGACGATTGTTCGGGTACGGTCTCATCCTCGTCGATCGCTCCATCGAATATATACTTTGCCGGATGGCGCAACAACCACCCTTCAATGCCAATGTGCCCGCAGACTGCAAGGTCCAGTAAGGCTTCGGTGACGGACAAGTTGGTCTCAACGGAGTTGATGAAGAATGTCTCAAATATGTCCATCATCGAATTGAGGATGGGGTCCTCCCGGCGGAGGGTGTGCGGAGGCACTTCTCTCGGTGCGCCAGGCACACTTTCTGGGACAGCTGGGAGTTTATGGTTCGTGGCGGCCAGTTGTGGGGCTATCAACTTCAACGAGCACGGATGGCTCTCGACACGCGTCATGCTATCCTTCAAGATCGACTCGTACAGTTCATCCAGCACGTCTTGATGCCCGCCCAGCGACGTTGCCAGGGCTGTGATGAACTCGACCTCTTGCTGGTGGGCGCCGACCGTCCGCTGTGATGTTTGGGGGTTGACAGCCTCGGTGTGTAGCAGCGTGACAATGGCGTAGCGATGATGCCGCTTAAGTATCGCTGCAAGCAGCTGCAAAGTCACCGAGACGGTCTGCTGGTTTTTAGACTTGAGACAAGATTGGATGAGGTCGACCAGATTGAAGAGTAACGGCTCGTATGTGGACTCAACCTTCGAGGCCATCATGCTCGCCAAGTCCATGGATTTGCGCTTGCGCGCTGCGCTGACTGATGGTTCGGTGCTCAGTGTCCTCGAACTGTCCCTGTCAGGCAGCGCCAAGAGGTAGTGTAGAATGAGATTGATCATGTCGGGATGATCAAGCGATTCAAGGATACGACGAAGGTAAGTCAGTACAGCTACTGACGAACCCCCGTCCACGTCTGAAGATTCCAAGAGCGAAGGATATCTGTTTGTCCCGTGGTCAGTTCGTTGCACACCATGAAACTCTGGGCAAATCGCACTGCCACACTTACAGGAGTTGTTGAAGAAAGATGATCTGGAAATGCTCTAGAAGGGTTGACTTTATCTCAAGGGACCGGCAGTGGTTGAGAACATCTTGCCAGAAAAGTAGATGAGAAAGAAAGGTCTCCAAGTGTAGTTGGAAATCTGGGTTACAGGAGCTGACGATTTCGTGCGTGGTCTCTGGGTGTTGGTAGTCTGACAGGGCGAGGATAGGTGGGAGGTCCTGAGTTGGGTGGTCAATTACAAGCTTGCGGCTGAGCTGACTGTAGAGAGCTCCGAGACCTGTCGCCATCAAAGTCGACAGGTCACTCTCCACGATCCATTGTTCCAAGGATACCGAGCTCGATGCTGCCTCAATGACGTATAGCAGGCCGGTCCGGGCAAAGTCTCCAATCTTGCCTTCGTGGTGGATGTAGTCCATGAGCAGGTAGAAGAGCGGAAAGTCCTGCTTCTGTGACCTGCCCTCGAAGCGCTCCCGATCATCTTTGAATTTCTCAGGGCCAGCTTGAGTAGGCACGCTGGCTGCTTTGAACCAGGTTGGCAAGATCTCAGGCTCGAGACGAATCTTTGTAGTGATGTTGAACGCAAGCTCGACGACCCTAATCTCGGTGTCAGAGCCCAGCCGGATGCTGTTCTGACCCGTAATGCGAACCAGCAGATTGGTCAAGCTGGCGGCAAATTCATCGTTTTCCACAAATGCCTCCTCCTCACTCTCGATGAGTGTGGCAAAGAAGAGCACGGCTTCCTTGATGATCCATTCGTTGTATGAGGAGGTCGCAATCTTGGCAATCGGAACATAGATCTTCTTCGTAGCGCAGAACGAAATGCATGGGTGGGGAAGGGGCCGCCGCGACTCGTCGGTGAGGATGTTGGTGAGCTCCTGCAGGCGCATCTCGATCGTCTCGGCAGCGTCGACATCCTTTGTGAGGTTTGAGGACACTCGCCAGGTGTGCAGGAGGCTGCTGTACTCCTTCTCGAAGCGCTGGCGGCGCCTGACGGGATCCCGCGCAGCATCTTTGGCAGTCGACCGTGCCGAGAGCGGCGTGTTTGCTATGAGGCGCGTCCACTACAGATGTACGTCAAGGTTGTCAGCAGGAGAGACGGTCGACAAAGGGAGCCACGGCTGGAGACTGACGAAATCCATGCTGGCCGTGAGCCAAGCATTGCTTGTAGGTGTCGGTGGAGGTGTAATCGCAGTATGAGCCAGGCCGACAGAGACGGATACTAGTAGTCTCTCCGGCTGAGCACGAGTTGTTGAGGACGCCCTTGAGGAGCGAGGAGGTTAAATCAGACTCGCCGTGTCTGCTGGAGAAGCAACAGCCCACCAGCGGGCGCGCGAAGCATGGAGATGGAGATGTCGTCGCTTGAACGTTTCTGGATCCCTGCAGGCCAATGCGGGAGCAGCTGCATCATGCTCGGGACGTGGGGAGGTCGCGCAGCGTGTGGCCAGCAAAAGGGGAGCTCCGGCTGCAGCCATCACGGCCAGAACGGCAAGGGTCCAAACAGGGGGTCCCGCGGCGGCCACAAGAGCCCCACCATTGCCCTCTGCACTGACTGACTGCAGTCGTCGTTGGCCAACAAGACACTCTGGAGCATTCCAAGCCATCTGCGAGCCTCAAGGAGTGCCTATGCTACATGGGACCCGCCCTCTGGAAGAAAGAAACGATCTGGGGCGAAAACCGAGCCGTGCAGGCATGTGGCAAGCAGGGATCCGAAAGGGGATCAGGAATGCTGCAACAAAGGAACCGCGCCAGCCCTCACTGGCTGCACCAACCGCCAAGACTGGCTAGCTGCTGCTGCAGTGGCACGAGATGTTCCCATTGGCTCTGCCGTGCTGCCCCAGCAGCCAATGACACTGCTGGGCAGGCGTCCTCCAGCGGCTGAGCGCTGTGTTCAAGTGGCCGAGGCGCCAGAGGCCCCCGCCTGCAGTGACGATTCTCAGCGAGGTCCCGCCAGGCGCAGCAGCCTCGTGATAAGAATTCTTGGCCTTGTCGCCTCTCGACATCTCTTTCCGCTCTACATTCTCATCTCATGTTTTTTTCCAACTGCCAGCGGCGGCTGCGATGCGTCATAGAGCACACATTCTCCCTTTGCGATGGCGTCACTTCACTAATCGAACAAGAGCTTAACTAGATGCTTCAAGTACCCCACACAACAATATTAAGGTCCGGCAACCGTAGACGAGGTTCGCCAGACGATACATCATGGGTTTCTTCGACATGAACAAGAAGCCGAAACGGCCTGCCCATGAGCCCCGGGCCCCCGTCAAGGTTGACCATCTTGGATATCCTATAGCTGGTCCTCCCCATGCCCAGAGTCACTTTGGCAAGCCGTCTCCGCCGTTCCCATCGTCAACACCATACCACCATCACCATGGGCCGCCATGCCCTGCTGGGCTCTTGTTGCCCCAACCTCAGTCTTGTGCTCAGTCTCAACCGAGTTCTGGTAGATACGGCGCTCAAGCTCAACCAACAACGCCTCCCGTCATTGTAAACCAGCATTATTATCTGAGTCCGCCTCCCTCTCAGAATAGCTCTCTGCAATACCCGACCAGCCCTTATATGCATAGCAACTCATCAACAGCACTCAGTAAGCTCAAGCTAGGCTCCGCGGCCAATCTGGCAACCGAGTTGATGCCCACAACTGCCGGACACCACCTCAACGACGGACTCCCACGCTGGCATTCTTATGGCTCCCAGCTTCTGAACCAGAGCGCTGCAATGTACGACCAGTTTGCTGGCATGTTCAACGATGTCATCTCTCTCATTGATCGCGATACATACACCGGCAACGAAAATGCTCTCTTCATGTACCAGCAACCAGGTCCTCCGCCAGTCGCCACCCCATCACAAGAAATATCCAAGAAGACCAAAGAAACCCCAAAAGAGTCAAGAGCAAAGGACGTCAGATCAAAAGGTGCGGTAGGCGCACCGACAGTTGTCGTGGCGGATTCCATTGTGCCAGGAGGATACTTTTCTAAAGTCGAGTACTATGCCAATTCAAGGCTTCCCATGGACTTGCGTCCATTGCGACTGTAAGCCTTTTTCCTCACGGCCCTTGCGTAAGCTTGTACTCACAGCCTGACCTTGTAGTTACATTCCGACATATCCCTTGCTCTGCCTGGCGGCACAGTACTCTGAACGAGTCTACGAGAAACCCACGGGCGCCGAGAGCAACGCGCACGTCAATGCCGACTGGAAGACGGGGGCGAAGGCAATGTGCATAAAGTCTGTCCCTATGGACAACCTTAACACAATCGTCTTCGCTATTCGTGGTACTGCGAGTTTCATGGATTGGTCAGTCAACCTCAACACGGCACCGACTTCGCCGAAAGGATTCTTGGTAGGTGGACCATGTCTTGACAAAATTGCCCCTATGCTGACATGGCACTAGGATGATGCGAGCAACTTCTGCCATGCCGGATTTCTCAAAGTAGCCCGCAAAATGATTGCTCCCGTGGCAGCCCGGCTCCGCCAGATGCTCGAGGAAGATCCTCGTAGAGCTTCATACTCTTTGCTCATCACAGGCCACAGCGCAGGTGGTGCCGTGGCAGCCTTGCTGTACATGCACATGCTCTCAACGTCAAAGTCGGCTTCCTCTGAATTGAACAATCTGACGTCATTCTTCAAGCGCGTGCATTGCGTCACGTTTGGAGCGCCGCCAATCTCGATCCGACCACTTGAGAAACCGAATCGGCTTGACCTGCGCAAGTCATTGTTCCTGAGCTTCATCAACGAGGGAGATCCCGTCACTCGCGCTGACAGAGCGTACGTCAAGAGCCTGTTTGAGCTCTTTGCAGCACCAACTCCAAAGGACAAGCCGCCGCGCTCTTCCTCGGGAACAAAGACCAGCAGCAAGTCTAGCGACAGAAAATCATCATCTTCGAAGCAATCTTCCTCTCAGTCATCAAGCTCATCCAAGCGCACAAACACAGTCTGGAAAGTCCCGGCATGTACCCTGAGCAACGCGGGGCGGCTCGTGGTCCTCCGGTCCGGCAACCCTGATGCACGAGTTCGCCGAACAAAGACCGTCGAAGAGCGGCTCAACGAGGGTGTCGTGGCGCAGGTCGTCACGGACGAGCAGCTGCGAGACGTCATATGGGGTGATCCGGTCTGCCATGTGATGAGACTCTACGCTGCGAGGATCGAGGTTCTTGCCGTTGGAGCTGTGACTGGTAAGAGGGGGCCCTAAGCAAGAGGTGCGAATGGTTTAATAGAAATGAAAGATGAAAGATCGGGCTCGCGTCGTGGGGACTTTCTTCTCGACAACCACTGGCCAAGACGCTGAGCGGCTTGTAATATCTTATATATCACGACTTGACGACGACTTTGGGTACTGGAAATGCGTATGATACCAAATTTTACAGAATCAATTTTTAAAAAGAAAAATTCAGCAATGTCACTACAGCTGGTTGTGGTCAGGACGCAACGGACCCAGACTTTCCTAGGCTAAAATGGTGATTAATCACTTATAAACGGAGCTGTTTCACTAAACGTGTCGGAGCAAAGCGACTGTATACTGCAATGTTCCGTCTTGACACGCGCGAGTACAGGGCACATTCCCCAATCCTCGAATTCAGTCATCAGGATACTCGTCCCGGACATTACTCACAAACCGCCCCTCTCTGTGGTCCCAGCGCTTGAAGTAGCGCCCGGCGATGCGAAGGATATCCAACGGCGGACCGAGGGCGGAATGATCTGCTTGGCCATCATTGTTACCGGCGCCGCCGCCGCCGCCCCGGTCCGTAATGCTGCTGCTGCTTCCATCTTGTCTTCCCTCTTCCTGCGTCACGTCTTCACCCGCCCCATTGCCGTCGGTTGTATCATGCCCGGTACCATCTTCGTTGCCTTTTCCTTTGCCTTTGCCTTTCCCTCCGCCGTCACTCTGCTGACCACGACCGCGGCGGTGCGGGACGATAAGATCGATGTTCTCCTGCGCCACATACCGTGTGCTGTGGTCCTCGACCAGAACGTGGTAGAAGCTCTGCGACCGCCCGTTGGGCAGGGAGTCGACGCCCATCTGCTGCATCCACTGCTCCGACGCCTGGCACGTCGAGTCCCAGCCCGTGATGACGGCGCGGTAGCGGTACCGCTTGTGCCGGAACAGGTCCCCCACGCGGTAGCGGACTTGCCAGGGCTGTTGTTGTTCGTGCTGCTGCTCGTGCTGCTGCTGCTCAGAGGAGGAGGCAGAGGACGACGGATCATTGGCAGGATTGGTCTGGGTTTCGGTGTCTGGCTGCTGCTGTTGCTGCTGTGGCGACGACGGTGACTGCGTCGCTTGATCGCTTTCGGATTCGGACGTGCTGTGCAAATCGTCACCAGCACCAGGATCACGAGTACCACCACCAACGCCGCCGCCACCATCACTAGCACCATGCTGCTGTTGCTGCTGCTGTCCAATTGCACCCCTCCGCTTCGGCACCTTGACTCTCACATCCTCCCTCCGCACATGCGCCAGAACCGTCTCCACAAACGCCGCCTCGTCCCGCCCAACCTCCGCCGCGGCACCAAGCACATCCTCGCCTCCCCCAGCGCCCGGGCCGGAGACAAACCCGCCGTTGAACGCCGTGAGCATGTAGTCCGTGACGAGCGGGCAATCCGTCTCCTTGAAATGGTGCATGAACCCTTCGACAAAGTTGTACAGCGCGCGGTGCTGCAGGCCGCCAATCTCGTCGAGCAGGGTCTGCAGCCACCATGCGCAGTAGCCCGCCCGGTACGGGTTCAGTAGGGTGGGCTCGATATCGTGTATATTGCGCCGGGTGTCGGTAAGGTGCTCGACAAACTCGTCCGTCGGGTCCGTCAGCGCCGTCTTGTACGCGAGGCTGTGCACGCTACCGCGCAGCGTCTCCTGGAGGTTGCGCGCCATGCGGAACATCATATCTCGCGTGGACGCGGGCGCCAGCGAGGCCGCGAGCTCTGCGGCGGTCGGGCCAGAGGCGGGCATATGGTTGTTGCCGCCGGTGAGTAGGCTGGCAAAGCCCAGGAGCCCCCCAACACCGCCGCCGGCTCGAGCACCGCCCATAACGCCGGCATAGAGGCCACGGAGCTGGGACAGCTGGACCTCATCCTCGTGGTTGAACGGGTCGAGGAACATTGTCCTACTGGGGTCTAGCTCGTCCTTTGGCTCCGTGTCCTTATTGTCGTTCACTGGTGGCGCGAAACCGGATTGCTGTGTCTGGTCCTCTCCTCCTTGCCCATCTTCTGGCTCGACAATCTCGTCATCGAGACTGACACCATCGGGGGCCTTGACCGTGACGTATACATGCCTCGGCGTGTTCGTCAGCCCGGCCTCGAGCCCAACCCGCTCAGCCAGCGCGCAGTATATCGCATGCGACACGAGCGGCAGCGACGGATGGTCACGCTCGCACAGCGCCACGCTGACAAGTGAGTTCTGCAGATCGTGGTACGTCTCGGGCGAGCGCACGCCCACCAGGTCGTGGGCGCGGACAAACTCGGCGAGGCACAGCGCTCTCTGCCTTCGCGAGCGGCCGACAATGGCTCCTTCACCAGCATGCCCGCTGTAGGCCGTGGAGCTCCCAGGCGATGAGGAGGCGAAACAGCCTGGATATTCAGCCCGAAACCCGGCGGCGATGTCGTCGAGGTGCGTTAGCATTTGAGGCAGCGTCTCGGGAGGCGTCTCCGCGACAAAGTAGTCTATCGCCCAGAGCGCCTTGATCAGCGGGTAGTCCTGCTGCTGACGACGTCCTTCTCCCGGCCGCCCACGTCCACGTGGTGCAGAAATGACATTTATGATTTCCCGCAAGGCCTGCGCGCGGTTGATACTGCCCAGGATCTCGTTGGCCCAGTACGACCGGGCAAGGCTGTCGTCGTCATCATCTCCGTGAACCTCTTGGCCTTCCATGGCCGCCACCGCATCATCCCATTCTGCTTTGTGCTGGCTGTGGCTGCGCTGCTCCCCAGTTCGCTTGAGCCGCTCGAGCATATCCCGCGCATCTTCCCCACGGGAGGTGATCTGCGCGATGACATCGATGCGCCCGTCCTGCCTGCTCAGCACGCGCTCAAAGGATTCTGAGAAGCGCCGATCCTGCTGCTTGCGGGCTGCGAAGAGCTGCTTCCAGTCTGTGTCTAGGACGCTTCTCTTCCTCGTCTGCACGGCACTGCCACCACTGCCCCCACTACTACCTGCTCTTCCTCCTGCAGATGATTCTGTACTGGCCGAGATCTCGACATTACCAAGTCGCTCCTCGATGCAGTGGTCTGCGTGCCAAGAGGCGTACTCGTCGAGACATAACCTCCTCCATAACAGTGGGGAATCGCATACGTCCGACAAGTTGCGATTCACCAGGGTGCAGCTTATCACGCTGCGGTAAGGGAGGTAGGACAAGATTTGCTGGAGGATCTCCCGCGGCAGAGCATTCAGTGTGGACGACGAGGACGGCGACGGATGATACAGTCCCGGTAGTGTCTGTGGGGCCGGCGATGACGGTGATGGTCCTGGTGGAACGACGATGCTGGTCGGGGCAGGCGTTGGAGCAGCCGCTGGCGTGCCGCGGCCGACGCCGATTGCGAGCAGTTCACTCGCCATGATGATCTCTAAGGCTGCAGTAAACGGATACAAGTACCGTGGACCATCCGTTGGCAGGTTGTGGCTATCGTCTAGCACCAGCTTGGTGATGATGAAGTGGGAGAGGAGAGTAGCGTAGATTCCCCGGATTCGTGACGGGATGCTTATCTGGCACTGGGATTGTGGTCAAAACCGCCTTGCTCACGCGCGCAACAAGGCCTTGTTCCGATAGTGGACAGGCGTAGTGATAGTAATCGTTCTTTGTGCGCATATGAAGTTGCAAAAGAGGCTCAGGCATTCATGCTGGCGACGATCCGCGTGCTGGGTTGACCCTGCCCCCGCATCCTCGATCGGCACGCTGTCCAACCTGGTCTTGCTTGCGCCGTGATGAGACGTGGATCAATCAAAAACAACGAGCTGGGCGATCGACTAGCTTCCGCCCCGGGACGAGTGTGATCCGGCCGCGTGGACTTCTGCGACTTGTCATTGTCGTGCGTATCGTAGGATGTTGTAATGGTCTTTAATGTCCACATAGTCTTCTATTGGTCGGGGTCAGTGATGATGATGAGATGACTAATAATTCCTTCCCCCCAGCCGAGCCTGTCACCAAACGGCCCGCCCGGCTCTTGACAACGCTAGGTTCCCCAACATTGAAGCCCCCACCCCGAGGGTTGCGCTCGCGAATAGTCTTATCATCATTAACGCATCTCGAGTAGGAGGAGAATTGAAAGCCGGTGTTTGATTAAGAATGGGGTTGAAATGCCTTCTAGACATGATTTACGCCTTTGCTGGGCAGCGTATCTTGTACGAGCAGCTGATATATACCTGGGAATATGAGCAGAATGAAATCTACAAGGGAGCAGAACAAGGCCGCTCCAACGGCGACGCCAAAAAACTCCATTATCCGACGCTGAAAAAGCAAAATGCCGATATCGAACTGCATCAACGGGCCGTGGATGTGCTACCAACATGGCGCCCCCGCACAGATACTAATGTGAGATGACCTGGGCAGATTAGCCTCAGAAGGGGGTGATCAATCCGACAAAATATGGTAAGGGCCCTGCCGCAGAGGTTCGGCAGAGCATGCCGTTACCGCGAATCGTATTCCCAGCTCCAGAGAGGGGGCCAAACGCGCCGCGTATTTCCCAGCAAGTCTCAGCTTCGTATGCTCGGTTGCCGTCCGGTGTACTGCACATGATCTGCGTATTGCAAAGCGAGCAGAGACGAATAGCTCAGAGTGGCACATATTCATATGATGCCATTGACTCATGCCTTCCTCAATACCCTACTCGGATACTTGTGATTTCCGTTCACCGACTCCACGGGCAGTGGCCCCATAAACTTGAGATTCGCCTCTACATCCGGGTCGATAACGCGATAGCTGTCCTTTGCCGTACCCGGCGGTGGTGTAGATAGAGGGGCCCCGACTGGGCGTCGTGGTATCTGCTGCAGTTCCATCGAGTGCGGTGCAGATTTGTTTTGGGGTGGCAGATGCGCATGCTGGGCGGGCTTGAGTTCGACATCGATTGAGTGAACCGCGGGCACAGGCGCTGCTATCGTGGGACTGTTGTCGTTGATGTTGAGCCGCGCTAGAGCCCTGAAGACCCGTGTGACTTGTTTCTCGTGGTTCACCCGGTTGACTTCGACGCAGCACCGCACGAACAGGACAAAATGGAGCAAGCTAGATGGAGGATGGCGCGCCGCCACAAATCAGCAATTCGTAAGAGAATGTTTGGGGAGCACAGAATGAGGACCATGACGATTACCTACACTAGAGAAATCACTAGACTGCTGATGACTACCACCCGGTTGTCGACGAGGTCGTATGCAGCCGATGGCACTGACAAATAATAATAATGATAATAGTAGTATTCGTAGCGCCCGAATATCCCGCCAAAGGCGGCCGCGCAGGCGAAGCCACACCACAGTAAAAGATGCAGGCTCAGGTTCCATCGTGGGTCAATGCCACGGCTCAAAGTACGCCGCCACGCGAGCGTACCCAGCTCGGCAGTGATCCAGCAAAGGGACGCAATCGCCGGCCAGATTGAGCATATGCTATAGGTGACAAAATCGAACCCAAGCCAGGAGATGACGCAAAGGTCGATGACGACGAGTGCGAGCGCGATAGACCAGACGATGCAGTGTAGCACAAGTTTGGCGATATACCAGCGCCTCTGGCGTTGTTGCCGCGCCGGGTCTTGGTAGTATGCTTCCGGGGAGATGTTTTCGGCCGGCTTGTGCGCCACAAAGCTGCCTTCGGTGCCCTGCGAGTGGGAGCTCTGGATGTATGCCATATCTAAGGCCGCTGTCCTGACGTGACAGGCACGTCTCTTCGATGGGATTCCTCAGGGGATGTCGCGCCGACACTTTGGGTGACCAACTCGCTGGTGGTTGTGACGAGAGCTCGTTGCCTGGAGCGGCTCAGTTGCGGCCACGGCGCGCGCCGCTCATGGCAGAGCAGGGACGATTGCCGCAGGCTGTGAAGACGGGGTGGCGATGACTAGATGACTGGATTGCATTCGCGAGCAAAGAACGATCTTGCCGTCGGTCTGCCGGCGTGGTGGTGGTGGTGGTGGCGGCCGGCGTGGGTTGTCAGCAAAGTGCTGTCAGCATGGTGTGGTGGTCCCTGAGCTGGGAGGACGGGCGAGGGTCTCAACGGACGGGCGCCCGCTCGGGCTTGCGGTCCGCGACAAAACAAGCCCTGGAGCCCTGGAGACGTTCAAATCAGGTCAAATCAGCGCTGGGCGGGGCACGTCAGCCCACCCGCTCCCCTGGCAGGATTTCCACATGGGGAAGAGCCAGGTTCTAAATTTAGCCACAGCCACAATCAAGGCGCGCAGGCACGCACGCCAGGGAGGTGGCTTGCGAGGTCTGCTCATGATTCCAATGGTATATAAGCACGGTAGATGGATCTTCTCTGTAGGGTGGTTCACGATGTCAAAAGGCGACGTCCAACTTACTCTTGATGCCCAGATTCCTGGCTACATGACTGGTACAGGATCGCTGTAATTCACAAGTGCCACGCCTCGAGCCGGAAATGCTGCATTGCAAACTGTCAACACATGACACCGGCCGGAAAGGTCGTCCTGGTATGCAATAGTTCAACGTCAAGTTTTTACAGCAACACCATTGGATTGTCAACTTTGTTTACCCGCGGATGTCGCAGAACATTGATACTTATGAAAAGGAACGTGCACACAACTCCTCGCTCAGACACACAAACATTACTCTACGCTTCTTCATCAAATCCATCCGCCTGGAAGCTCTCGTCCCAACCGTTCTGCACATTGTATTCGTCCTCCTCAGTCGTGCCGTGGAGCACCTCGTAGCGCACCATCTCACCACAGCCACCATTGCCCTTGATCGCGCCACCAGTCGGCGCCTCGCCTATACACTCGCCCTTGACTAGGCCAGCGATACGGCCACCGATGTCTCGGCCCTCGTACCACGCACCCTGCATGTACCCAAAGTACGTCGCGCTCGTGTGCTCGCCCGCGAACCACAGCCTGTCTACATTGGCGCGGAGGTTCTGGTGCTGCTCGAGGGTAGTGCCCGCTGGCCAGCACGAGAAGCTGCCATAGGCCCACGGCGTCGTGGACCAGCGAGGGTACAAGAAAGACGTTGGCTCCGGCATGGTCGCGGCCTTTTCGGGGAACATGAGCCGCAGCACGTCCATGACCTCGCGCTGCACGTCGGCGTCACTCATCTTCTCGACGCGATGCGCCTCGTCGCCGGTGACGGTCACGAAAATGGCCTTGGAGCCGGGGAAGAACCCAGGGAGGTCAAGAGACTGGAAGATTGGGTACCAGCCCCGCCGGAACGGGTCCGCGTAAAGAAAAAACTCGGTGTCGTCCGTCCAGAACTTCTCGGGGAACTGCATGAAAATCTTGGTGTATGTGCCGATCTCGAACATGTCGATCGCCGACGTCTTCCACTCGGGCAAGGCAGGCTCGAAGGCCACGGCATCGTCCTGCTGCAGCACACCCAAGCTGAACGTGCAGACGGCGTAGTCGGCCTCAATGCAGTCGCCGTTCTCTAGTGTGACCCTGACTCCCTTGGAGGAGTACTCGATGGTCTTGACGATGGAGTTCAGAAGAAGCCGTTCATCGTTGGGCTGCAGAAATTCGGATGCTTCGCCCTTGATCCAGGTGTTGTGCCCACGCTGGTCGATGATGAACTCGTTCTCGTCGCTGAACTGGAGGAAGGTGAAGTTGGACACGGCCTGGTTGAAGACGAGAGAGGTCTCCTCGGGTGTGAGCGCCTGCTCGCCGTCTACAGTCATCACTTGAGTCAATGTACGCTCTGAAAGACGTCTCGCATTGACAAATTCTTACCATATAGCCACCACTCAACCGCCTCGGCATGAGCAGGGTTCTTGCGCTGCTCCGGCTTCCACCCGACGGCTCGGAACCCTTCTCGAATTGTCCGGTCTTGTAGGTTGTCAACCAGAATCTCGCCGGCCTTGGCGGAGAGCCTGTCCACGACATCGTAGAACTCATTGACCTCGTCTCTGAAGTCGACGGGCCCGGTCTCATCATAGGTAATGAGCCGCTCAAAGTTGGACCGGACGCTCTGGATGCCCCATTTCTTCTCGAGAGACCAGATTGGATTCTCTGCAGATTCGTCGGCACCAAATTAGCTTCACGTCCTTCTCCTTTTGATGCCTCTCTGACGTCTTGTAGCAGTATAGGCGATGGTGCCCGTCTGTTCTCACCTGGGTGTCCGTCCACTCCACCAAGACCCTGCGCCCAGTTGGCGCCATACTCAATCAGCAGAGGCTTCCCATTAGCATCCTTGCCAAAGGGGTGGTTGTGCACGCGGCCCCCGATATCGCTTTGATACTCAACAATGACGAAGTCTGTGACATTTTGGTTTGAAAGTGTTTGCTATTTTCTCGGTTGGTTCCCTTAGTTAGTCATTGATGCATTCTTTAAAACGACGGAATAATCAAACTTACGGCAGTTGTCACGCCAGCAATGCCAGCACCCAGGATGGCGACCTTCGTTTTGCGACATGTGCCCCCGCCCGTGCTGGTGTTACCATCAGCGCTAGTGTCGTCCCGCGGTGGAATTGCGCTGGCTGCAGTGAGAGAAGCGGCGGCAGCCAGGATCACTGTGGATAGTCGCGCCATCTTGTTGCAACGTGCTGTCCGTATGTTGGCTGCGGACTCTCGCATGCTGGAGTTGTTGTCTCTTTATGTTTCTTCTTTTGTTGTCCGTGTCGGAGTTCGAACTACAAAAACCGAGAAAACGAGGACGGCCCACAACCGCGGAACGAATGATGTCAATGAGCGTGAAGGGGAGGAGTTCTGTGTTCAACAATGCCTTAGTACACAGCGTTTCGAACCATTCACTTGGGGATCACGAGGCCCTTTTATATCCGTGTCATGCTATCATCGCGGTTATGGCCCGCACAACGCACGCGGATGGTGCTAGTTGATCGCCAGCACATCGTCTGCGAGAAGGTACCCATGCCCCCCTCAACTCGTCAGTACCATACTGCCAAGCCATCCTCCTACAGCAATGTCCTGTCGTCGTTGTTGTCAATGTTGTTGTTATTGTCTAGCCACGGCGGCGTGAGCAAACTCTTGTCTGTCCCTCAATTCTTGGCAAGAAGCGGTGTGAGACATTGCTTCTCGTCTAGTCGGGCGTGTCTTGCATCCTTTCATGACACCCGAAGGCTTTTGTGGTGCACGCTTGATACACCTCGGGAAGTGTCTGTGCGAGCCATCGTGCTCCCCTTTCCCCACCAAGAATCAAGAATAAGGCATTGATTGACATGAAGCAGTCTGCCCGTCTGGTTCTCACTTCTGTCAAGCGGGCAAAACATCGGGATTTCTACCTCCATGGCCTGTACAGCTGAGCCTCGCCGATCTTGCTGCCTGGGTTTGGACGCCCTCAAGAGCATGTTGATGCAGAACTTTTGTGCTCACAGGGCACGGAACAAGCCATTTTGCTACCTTCTTACAGCGGGCGTTAACGAGTCACTATTATAAACAAAGCGATCGGAGACCCATGTTTACTGGGGATGTCCGCAATACAGATCCAAGGCGCTAGTCCACGTCCTGTCCCGCGATCAACAACAAGCCGGTCGCCTAGGAGAGGATTCCTTGTTCAATTGGCCCAAGAAACATCAGCCATGCCAGATTCAGACGCCCAGCTGCGGAGATCACAAGCAAGGGAGCAGTCCGGCACGGCCCGTCTGGGGTATTATTGCCTGAGACACTTTTTGCCGACTGGGCGGGCGGGAGGCGATCAATGCAGTGTGACTGTGACCCAAGACACGGGTGGATGATGCCGATGCGGCAGCACCCTCGATGCCTGGTACATATTAGATCGTGACTGGTTGTTCCTCAGAAGCTGTTCTGCGACACTTGTTTGGCTCTGTCAGGCAATTAGTGGGCTTTCTCATTTTATTCACTCGCATAGCGTACCCAATGATGTACTGGTGCCTGAATATTCGAAATTCCAAGACACGCCCATGGAAATACGATTTCTGGAAACTAGGGGCCCGGATGCTCGTATGTTTTGCACAATTCGCTTTGTAATGCAAGGTACAGCAAGTCGGGGAGCTCCCCACGATCGCCATTGTCATGACAACAAGAGCACGGCTAGGGGAGAATCTGTCCCAAAGCGGTATATGCATCAGAATCAATAGGTCTGAAAAAAAGCCGGGTCTGAAGAGCATCTCGCCAAAATCCTCCAAAACGATCCATTAGTCGAACCCGTGACTCCACACGTTGCATATACCAGATCTTCCAATCCGCACTTCGATGCGCGGATGGTGCAGTCCTTCCCGGATCACATGAAGACCCGAAGGCGTCGAGGTTGAGGAGTCAGGAAGGTCGAAATAATGGCAATCATATTATTGCGGATTGCGGATTGACGAGATTGAACATTTGGGGTCGGATCCTCCTTAGTTGTTACCGGTGCTACTACCACAAGAGTCTATTCTGAGGGCGTCCTCGCATCTGATCGATTTTCTTGACTTGCCCAACGCGTTCTGACAGCTGCGGCTGATATTTTCCCTATTCGTCTCTTTCCCACAGCATGGATACGCCACAATGTCGCTGCTTTCATCAACGCCACGAGCCCAGCTTGCAATGGCTCAGGACTGCGCACGAACTCCATGGCTGAGTACTCGCCTTCTCCTGCTTGAACTGCATCGAATTTTATGTTTGACCTGTGATTTTCAGTTCGAGCAGCCTCGCATTCTGCATGCTAACATATATTATTGGAGGCGTTCGTGAATTAAAGATCTGGATTGACAGACACAGAGTGTCACGACAATCTCGCCCCCGCAAATGCGCGGATGAGTTCTCTCCAGTCTATGTCGGCGTGGCGAGCACCGGGCGGGATTCCAGCACAGGCGACCGTTGCAAAGTCCTGCACGGCTTTCGTCTTCTGGTGGAATGCACACCAGAACCTGTGGTGATCACTGGCATCGACAAGAAACGATATATGCGGAACCTCGCACTGGTAGAGAAACTTGAGCAAGTCCTGGAAAGGCAGTGTGGAGATGAGGTTTGGTGCAAAGATATCCGTCTCTCTGAGGCCCTTGGTGCGTCTTGTGCTTCCTGTGGTGAAGTAGGAATATTGCCACACATCACGGCCAGAGGCTGTATTGGCTTCGTCGACAGAATCTCGGCTGTCGCCATCGGTAGCATTGGCAGGACTCCCCCAGAAGTCATCTGACGGGAATTTGCTCCTGATCTCGAGACGCAGGCTTCTGAGAGAGTTATGCTGGGTCATGTGCTGGAGTGCCGTACCCAGTGAGTTGCAGAACACGTTGATATGATCTACAAGGTACATGCATATGACCAAGCTGCCCACATGCCTCCAAAGGCTGACTCTTGCATTTGAAGAGACCGAAGAAAAGGCGTCCGCCAGATGCGTGACAGTCCCCGAACGTTTCGTCAAATCGATGACTGTCGACTTGCGCGCAACAGATGCGACCTCATCATGGAGCTGCTCGCAGACAAGCATCATGTTGACAAGCGTGTGGTGCCTTCGAGCATCCGCGATCGCGAGCCTGAGGATATCGGCACGGAGCTCTGGAGGAAGATCAAGAAAGCGAAAAGGGCCAGACGGCTGCCATTGTATGGCGTATCGTTGCTTCCCAGGGGCGCTATTTCGAGAGACGGGCTTGCTGCGGAAGGCGATGCGCCGTCTGGTCGTGTTCATGTTCCGCCCCGCGTGCTTCGTCACGACGGGAGGCTGATCTGTTGTGTAAGTCGTCCTCCCGTGCCGTCGTCGATGCACTTTGCGCAGCAACTACGCGGCAGATGAGGCCGAAGGTGGCGCACTCATGCTTCAAAAGTATGGAGTAGCCTCGCGCCACTGGTTTCAACAGGTGGTGGCAATGGACACTTGGTGAGTGCCGGACTAATCGAAGGTGTAGGGTGTTGTGATTCAAGCCGATTAAAGACGAAGAAGCGAAATGGACAACGACTTGATTACATAAGCTTTATGGGCTCACCGACTTCAGAAGGAGCGACAACAACTGAAATTACTAGACTCAGAACGCACTTGGATTAGTACATCTAGAATGAAGTGCAGTTATTGGATATGACTAGCTTCTGCAACAAGGCCGTTGGGTTTTTTTTTTAATTCTTAACAAAAGAAATTCAGATTTCATCCACAAATGCAATTTTTACGGAAGATATGGCCTGTTACCAAGCAGTGTTTGGCGGAAATCGATGCCTGCCAGCAATGAGGCGTTTGCACGCATTCAAATACCTCAAGGCTCGTAAACTGTCAACCTGGTATTCAAACAGACCATTCTCTACCTTGAGGTGATAAACGTGTTATAACTGTGGCGCCAAGCATACATGTAATAGCTAATATCCATTTCTTTCAAGGTTCTGGATGACCCACGGATGCTTTACAAGACTTTAAACTGGCATAAGTCATTCAGTCAGACCTTCTGAGAATACCCATGCAGGAAGAAGGTTGTTCCCCTGGTATCAGCTCACGCTTGACGAGTAATGGTCCAAGAACACACAATTCATAGCAGGCTGGCCATCTAGTCTTAGGGCGGACTTGCCATACTTTCAACAAAATGCGCGCTCGGTAATGCTAGCTCAGCATAGGGCGTTTCGAAAGCATTTCGCCTCCAACTTTTCTTGGTTGCACAGGCTTGGACTTCTGTGAAGTTCTTTTCCCAAGGTTCGCCGCCAGAGGCGGCCATACATGTCACTGGCTGGCGCTCCACTCAGTGGTGGGTCAGGCACCAGGCATTCGCTCGTAGTGGGGCGCCTTGCTACGCTTTTGCCCCTCGCTCGTGAACAGTCCAGTGTGTCGTCATGCGCGGGGCCCCTTCTGAGTACGATGCCCAGCCGCGGCCACTTGGGCTCAAGCAAGCTGGACGAGAGGGCCTGGGCCTGGGCTATGGAAAATGGCTTTCGAGGCTCTGTCAAGCATGACGACAACAAGAAACCAGCATGTTCGGGGTCCTTCCTGCACAGGACCGTAGACAGACCTGTAAAGGCCAAGTTGTTTGTAGATAGAGCCGCGATAAGGCGGGGTAGCGCCAGAGAAAAAATCAAAGAGAACCAAGCCTGCGACCCAACCAAAAAGCACCCGACTGCTCTGACACGCGCGCCCGGCTGGCGGCTGGCTCGCTGCTCACACACTGTCTGCAGATCTTTCAGGCTGGCTAGTCATCCCGCCCAGGCCCTTGTTTTTATTTTTCCCTCCGCCCTGTCTCGTCACTAGCCCACCCCCACGGTCCCTCTTCCCGTGCGAGTACTTGACGACTGCCATCCTCCTTCGTCAACCTTTCCTCCACTCATCCTTTTCCCTTCCTCGACCCGTCCGGCAAAGCGACGAACAGAGGAACAGCCCGCCCTCCCAACCAGACAGAATCCATCACACCGGCGACAGAGGTCGATCCCAGACGCCCAACATGGTTTCCAGCTCCAAGGAGAAGAGACTCGCCAAGAAGGCCGCCGAGGGCAAGGGCGAGAAGAAGACCCTCGTGTCCCGCTCCAAGGCCGGCTCCAAGGTTGGCTCCAAGGTTGGCTCCAAGGCTGGCTCCGTCGCTGGCGACGAGACCCCTCCCGACAGCGACTTTGCCACCGATGGTGCCAAGCTCGAGAAGGCCAGAGCTCTCGCCGACCAGAGAGACAAGGAGGGCCTGTCTGACCGCATCACCACTGGTGTCCTGGCTTCCGTCAGCACAAGCAAGGACGTCAAGATCATCAGTGCCAGCTTGACCTTCCACGGTCGTGTCCTGCTCCAGGAGTCAAGTCTCGAGCTGTCCTACGGCCGCCGGTACGGTCTCCTCGGTGAGAACGGCTGCGGAAAGTCGACTCTCATGAAGGCTATTGCCGCCCGCGAATACCCCATCCCCGAACATGTCGACATCTATCTCCTCAACGAGGGTGCTCCTCCTTCCGAACTTGGTGCCCTTGAGTGGGTTCTCAAGGAGGCCGAGAAGGAGATGGACCGCCTCGAGGCCCAGGCCGAGAAGATCCTCGAAGACGAAGGCCCCGACAGCCCGGTCCTGATGGATCTTTACGAGGTATGAATCATAGTCCCAGAATACTTTCCGCCCATGATAGGGCCGTGATGATGGCACAGGTACTGATGATTCGTTCTCATTGTATAGCACATGGACAAGATGGATCCGTCCACCTTCGCTACTCGTGCCTCCCTTATCCTTACTGGCCTTGGTTTCAACAAGGTCACCATCCACAAGAAGACAAAGGACATGTCCGGTGGCTGGCGTATGCGTGTCGCTCTCGGCAAGGCCCTCTTTGTCAAGCCTTCTCTGCTCCTTCTTGATGACCCTACTGCCCATTTGGATCTCGAGGCCTGCGTGTGGCTGGAGGAGTACCTCAAAAAGTGGGAGCGGACTCTCGTCCTCATTTCTCACTCCCAGGATTTCCTCAACGGAGTGTGCACCAACATGATCGATATGCGCAAGCAGACTCTCATGTATTACGGTGGTAACTTTGACTCCTACGTCAAGACTCGCCAGGAGCAAGAGACCAACCAGATGACTGCCTACAAGAAGCAGCAGGAGGAGATCAAGCACATCAAGGAGTTCATTGCCAGCGCTGGTACCTACGCCAACCTGGTGCGCCAAGCCAAGTCTCGTCAGAAGATTCTGGACAAGATGATTGCCGATGGCCTCATCGAGGAGGTCAAGGAGGAGCGTAACTTTACCTTCCGTTTCACCGACGTCGACAAGCTTCCCCCGCCCGTCCTGGCATTCGACGACGTCACCTTCTCATACTCTGGTGACGCCAAGGATGATCTGTACCGAAACATTGAGCTTGGCTTCGACATGGACTCTCGATCTGCACTCGTCGGTCCCAATGGTGTCGGCAAGAGTACTTTGCTCCGTCTCATGACTGGCAAGCTCTCTCCCACTGGCGGCTCCGTCCGCAAGCACACTCACCTTAAGCTTGGTCTCTACTCGCAGCACAGCTCCGAGCAGCTCGACCTGACTATGAGCGCCCTCGACTTTGTCCGTGACAGATATCGCGAGAAGTCTCAGGATTACCAGTTCTGGAGACAGCAGCTCGGCCGCTATGGTGTTTCCGGACCCGTCCAGACCGCTTTGATGGGTACGCTGTCCGAGGGTCAGAAGAGCCGTATCGTTTTTGCCCTCCTTGCCCTGGACTCTCCCAACATGCTGCTGCTCGACGAGCCCACCAACGGTCTGGATATCCCCACCATTGACGCTCTTGCTGAGGCTATTGAGAACTTCACCGGTGGTGTTATTGTCGTGTCTCACGACTTCAGGTTTGTCGATTTCAATCCCGCTCAAACAGTCTTCAGCAATGCTAACCATTCTTCAGACTTCTCGACCGTGTTGCCAAGGAGATCTTGGTGTGCGAGAACAAGACCATCAAGCCGTGGTCCGGATCTATCGGCGACTACAAGAACTACCTTCGCAAGAAGATGTTGGCATCTGGTGCTGTCTAAAGTCTTTCTTGAGACGATGAATTGGCTGCTTGATTTCTTCCTCACACAATTTCAGCCATTATTTTCTGACTCCGATCCTGCATCGCCGTCGACGAGGACATCCATCGCGCCACGAAGCGGCCTCACGAGAGTTGGGATGGAAAGCGGCAAATAACGTGCATATAGATTCGTTTTCAGCATAGAGCCGCACACCCCAGTCACGCAGACTCAGAACTGCAGGTACATTTAGGCCAGGATGGATACCCTTGATTTGGTTTTGTTGTCCAGAAAAGTCACGGGACAAAAAGCAGGCTATGAGCGTGCGCTTTGTGGCATGCGATCACTGGGATTTCAGTGTCGTGCCCGTGCACGGTGCCAGTCGGCGAGCTGGTGTGATGATCAAGTTTTTCCTTTGTCATGGGCGTGCCCGACTATAGCACGCGCGAAATATAGAATATCGACGAGAACGCTGGTGCATTGCTTTTGCCTGCTCGTGATTTTGATGTGCGTTGGTGTAAGCTTGTGTAGTCATATAAGCTTGACACGTTGCCTCATTCTTCTGCATGTTCCCCAGCTGTCTGGCTCAACTCGGCTGCTTTGCAGTATCAGCTCTATTGGTCGGTAATTCACATCTCCCTCCAGACCCTACTTGCATTGTGACACACGTCGATGCGCGCAGGCTGGTCAATGGCGTGTCTATGTCGCACAACCCACAAACCCGTCCGCAAGGCTGAAGGTGTTGACAGATATATTATTTATTCATCTGTATACCTACCTACCTTACCTTCCTAAGTACGCACTCAAGCATCTCAGCCTGCACACCAAAGGCAGTCCTCGCGAGTATGCACATCGTCAAAAACACCGATTCGATTCTTCGCCCACATCCGAGCCCGCACAAACTACCAACTTAGATCAAACCTCTTGTATACGCGCTCACGAAAAATTTCTTTGCTCTTAAGTTGCATGCGTTTTTGTGTTTCTAAAAATTATTCTTCCTAATCTTCATCTTGTCCGCATTCTCCCTTTTGAGGGACACTCCCACGAGCGAGCATTGCTTTCTTTCGTCTCGTTTTTTGCTTTTTGCCACCCTCGCCCCTTATTTCGCATCTCTCCCCGTTGCAACCTGTAGCGTTGAAAACCCCAGAATAAAACAAAAAAAGAAGCCGATGGAACGAGGCGGCGCAACGATATTTGCGAAATCGCGGCCCATCGCAGCATAGTAAATAAAGCCGAAAGCAAAAAGAAAAAAGACCCCGAAAGCAAAATGAAATGCCAGTACAAAGAATGAATGCAGTCCTACACCCTCTCGTGGCACATGGCAGGCGCGAGGCTCTTTGCCGAACGATACTGTACATACAACCGACAAAACAAACCCATGCTGGCCACCCCGGTAGTCAGCGGCCGCTCGAATGCGAGCTGTACCTCTCTATACTCGCCCTCCCCGCGTCTAAGAACCGCTTTTAACCGCCCGTCTATACGTCCCCATCCGCGACCTTGAGGCGCTCCTTGATGGTCTTGGCCTTCTTACTGCCAGCCTTGCGCTTCTTTGGTCCGGGCCCGCCCTTGGTCGCCGTTTCATCTTCGGCGGGTACGGGCGTGGCGGTGCCAGATGGCTTGTTGCCGTCATCAAAATGACCCTCGCCTACAAGGAGTAAAGGTTAGTCACTGCGTGGGGACGCGAATTGTGCTGCTGGAAGAACTCACCCTCGTGGTACATCTCGTCCAAGCTGACCGCCTCACGCTTCTTCTTGCTGGCTGCCTTCTTCTTCGTCGGTTTCTCGGGTGCCTTGCTTTGTTGCTCGGCGAGCTCCCGCTCGCGCTGCTCAATGAGCTCGGCTTGCTCGTCGTCTGCAAGCCACATGGCAATCTCGCGATTGCGGTTCTCGGTGGGACGCCGACCACTGAAATCGACGCCACGAGCACCACCTCCTTGGATGACGACGCGCTGCACCTCTTCCTTCTGCATAGCACGCTTGCGGATACGTTCCTCGATCGTGCCGCGTGTGATAAGACGATACACTGTAACCTGTCGTGTCTGACCGAGACGATGAGCACGGTCCATGGCCTGTGAGTCGATTGTCGGGTTCCAATCGCTGTCGTAGAAGATGACCGTGTCGGCAGATGTCAGATTGATGCCGAGACCACCAGCACGAGTTGACAGCAGGAAGATGAAGATCTCTGGGCGCGACTGGAAGTCGGCTACAGTGTCTCTTCTGTCTTCCAGCTTGGTGGAGCCGTCGAGTCGGCAGTACTTGTAATTGCGGTATGTCAGGTACTCCTCGATCATGTCGATCATTCTCGTCATCTGGAAGTACAGCAGCACACGATGGCCTTCCTCCTTGAGCTTGAATAGCAGCTGGTCGAGCTTCGCGAGCTTGCCACAGTCCGTCACGAAGCGTTGCATGCTGGGAACGGCAATATCCGTGAACTTGCGCTTGTCGTTGTCGGGTTTCGGGTACAGAGCAGGCAAGGGATACCGCTCGACCGGAATCTTCTGGTTCACCAGCGCCTTCTCCTCGACAGTGTTGGGTCCAAACAGCGCTCTGCGGAAAGGGACATTAAACAGCGTCTCTTGCCGTTCCTTCTCGGGTGCGCTCGTGCCATCGCATGATATGTCGATCGGTGCTGCTGCAGCTTTGGGCCTGGCAGCCTGCTCGAGTCTGCCAAGTCCAGTGTTGTCCCACTCGCTGCGAGCGACATTCATCAGATTCGCGAGAACCCCTTCTTTGGTGATATCCGCCAATGGCTTTCTGTTTGAGCGCGCAGTGATTTGGAACATTGCATGGGCAGGGGTGAAGTTCTTGTCCTCCTCCTCATCGTACACGATTTGCAGGTGGCTCAGGCGATCGTTCTTAGTGGCGAGGCTGGCCGCTCGCGTGAAGACGTCCTGCTGACCGGCCTTGTGGACCTCACCTATGCTCGCGTCGGCGAAACGCAGGAACGAGAAGGCGTCCTTGCCGGTCGTGCTGTCGCGCACATTGTCGGGGGACCAGATGTTCATCATGTGGTCGAGGTACTTGTTCCTGAAACCAGCCTTGGCATTGCTTCGCGTGGGCTTTTGTACCCGTCCGTCCTGATTCCACACCAGGCGAGGCACATTGTACTCGATCGAATTGCGTGTCGAGTAGCCCACAAGCACATCGTTGCCTTCGCGAACAAAAGAAGCTGTCTCCGCGAAGTAACCAGAGTAGTACGGGCTGGTGACATCCGCGCGCTCAAACAAGTCTGGATGGTTGCAGACCTTTCGGAACTGCATGACAAGATTAGTCAGTGTGCCAGAGTCCTGTTCGTCGCCCATGGTGGCCTTCTCGATAAGCTCCATAATGCTGATCTGGTTTCGCAGATTCTTGTACATGGCGCGCTGGCGATAGGTCAGGTTGCAGTAGACGTCGAGCTCGATCTTGTCACCAAGTTCCTTCTGTACGTGCTTCTTGACACGCCGCAACATGAAAGGCTTGAGGATCATGTGCAGACGCTTGAGCTGGTCTTCGTTGAGAGTCGTGTTGCTCTGCGCATGAGACTCAATGTCCTTCGAGAACCATTCGCTGAACTCGTCATGAGAGTCGAAGAGCGACGGCATGATGAAATGCAAGAGAGCCCAAAGCTCTTGCATGTTGTTCTGAATAGGGGTACCAGTCAACAGCAGTCGGTTTCGGCAATGGAAGCTGAGCAGGACCTTCCACCTCGAACTCTGCGAGCTCTTGATGGCCTGAGCCTCGTCAAGGATCATGTATTGCCAACGCATCTTCTGGAAGTAGGCGACGTCGGACACAACCAGCTGGTACGAGGTGACCATAACGTGGAAGGGGGCGTCCTTCTTGTACGTGGCGTGCTTGCGGTCCCAGAATTTGCGCAGAACTTTACGATCGCCAGCAGTACCCCAGTATGGCAGGACCTTGAATTCGGGCACGAACTTGGCAATTTCCTGCTGCCAGTTGTGGAGGGTAGATGCGGGGGCGACAACTAGGTATGGGCCCCAGATGTCGTGGACCTCTGCGAGATACGCCATGACAGAGATGGACTGGACAGTCTTGCCGAGACCCATTTCGTCTGCGAGAATACCGTTGATACCCTGCTCGTACAAGTTGGCCAACCAGTTGAGACCCTTGAGCTGGTATTCTTTGAGCTGGCAGTTGAGAAGCTTGGGCTGTTCGACGGTGGCATCGCCAAGACCAGTGGGGTTCTGGAAATTCATCTCGCCATCCTCGTCCATGTCGGCATCCGACTTGTTAAAGGCGCGGGCCTTTTGCTGAGCTTCGGCTATGGCATTCTGAGCATTAGCTATGGCAGCTGCTTTAAGTGCGTCCTCATCGGCCTCGTCAAAGTTGAGCGAGTTGAAGTCGGTGACCTTGGAGCCAACTGGGCCAGTGGGCTCTTCGACATTGAGCTTCGCGCCATGTTCCGCAGTAGGTGCAGCCGAGGCGGCGATCTCCGGATTGTCGGTACTGCGCTCGACCTCGTCCGTCTTGATCTTCTTGCCGATGAAATGGGAGTAGAGCTCGGTTTGCGAAATGAGGAAATTGAGCTTTCTCTTCTGCCGGGCGGCTTCGCGGTCGGCTTCCTCCCGTCTGGCGTTCTCGAGCTCCTGTTTCTCCGCGGCCTTGCGCAAGTCGCGCTCTTCGCGCTCATTACGTTTCCAAAAGCCCATCATGTCACGCATGCATCGCTTCGCGCGTGCCTGCAAGTCTTTCGTGCCCTTGTTTGTACGCAGCTGCCAGCGCTTGGCTTCCTTGGAGGCGAGAATAGCCGTCTTCTTCAAGTTCGAAGCCTTGGTCGCGTACGAGTCGGCCGCCAACTTGTAGGTCTTTGTGACATCCTTTCGCGCCATGTCGCGCCAGATCTGATCGTAGATTTGGTTGTAGCCCTTGGACTGGTAGCGCATTTCCAGCGGGTCTACGGGAGGCTGGTCGTCCTTCTTCTTGCGTTTCTTTTCCTTTACGGTCAATTCCGTGGCGGTGCCTTCGTCGTCGTCCTCCTCACGCTTCTCCTTGAGCTTGTCCTTGTTCTTGGAAAGCTTGATGCGGATCTTGGTGGTTTCCTCCCGGGTCGGGAGCTCTTCACCGGCATCAAGTGCAGCCTGGGCCGCCTCGGCGCTGTCCTTCTCAGCCTGCTTTTGCTGCTTAGACTTCTTGGGCCGGGCGCCAGCTCTACCTTTGCCCTTGCGAGCACTGCCGGTTTCCATGTCCGACACCTGAAATGATGACATGATGCCGCCCTCTAAGTTGAGGTCTGAGCCCCCAAGGTTGCGGGCCGGGCCTTTGATACCCTTCTGTAGGATAAGCTTGGTCTGCTGCGCCTTCTTATTGGCACGTTCGGCATCGCGCAAGTGCTTCGCTCGCTCGGCGTCGTCCTCGGCGGCGAGGGCTCTGGCCAGCGCGGCCTCCTTTTGCTCGATCGTGACCTGCATAGACTTCTCGCGACGTCTCTTGCGCTGCATGTCCTTCTTTCGCTCCTTCTCGGCGAAGACCTCGCGCTCCCGAACTTCCTGCAGAGCATCTTCATAATGCAGCTCGTCGAATCTGCGCTTGCCAGCAGTGATGTGAGGTCGCAGTCTCCTGTTGAACTGTGCCGAAAGCTCGGCCCGACGCGCGATGTGGTCTTCATGCTCTTTTTTACCAATGTTCAGCTTGCGCTTCTTGGCCGAACTTGAGTACATCTGATACTCGTTCTCGAGGTCAGACAGATCAAGGTCGTCCATCGTCGCATCGAAGGAGTCCAAGTAGTTCTGGATCTTCTTCTCCTTATCGGCAGACAGCATCTTTGGCTTCGGCTGCCCGTTGGCCTGACGCTTTTGAGCACGGCTGCCTGGCTCCTTGGGAGGATTCACAGACGATGATCGCCTAGACGAAGCACCAACCGAGTCTCTAACTCGGGACTCTCGCCCTTTGCTCTTCCGCGGCGGCTTGTCTTTGGGCTCGGGGATGATCGGGGCTTTCGCCTTCGGGACAGGGTCCGGGCCGCTGGAGAGGATGTTGGAGAACGACATTAATTCGGCGGCACGACTCGGAGTCTAGGGGCACAGGAGTTCGATTGTCAGTAATTTGCAGGTGAGGCTCTAGATAGGGGGTTGGAAGTTCAATACTTACGCTGGAAGGAGCGGGAGCCGGAACAGGCTCAGGATTAAGGAGAGAGGGCAGAGATGGAGCTGGCGTATGGCGAGGCGCCGCAACGATGGCATCGTGGGTTGTGCGATGCCTTGCTGTTGGGGAGCCCAGCTGAAGAGCCTTATGTGATGGGCTGATTGGATCGCCGTTCCGTGGGTGCGAAAGCGCGACCGGGCTCGTCGGCGCAGGCTTTGGGTGCGTGGCGACAGGCGAGCCGTAGCCGTTATGGTAGCGACCGTAGTCGGGCTTTCTTTCCGTATAGTCGTACGGGTCCGGACGTGACTATGGGCGCGACGGAAAATTAGTGAGTGCACTGCGACTTTTATTGAGGCATGACTGTGGCCTGCTCGGTTGGAGGAGAGGCAATGTGTAATGGCTGACGTTTCGGGAAACGCTGTGGTAGCGGGCTGTTGTTGTTCCAGGTGGGTGCAATGCGCAGAGCCTTGGTATGGTTGTGGCACGGCCGCCAACCTTGAACATGTCACATCCCTTGCTCCACAGCGCGAAACGGCAGCATTGGGCTACAAGCTGCACGGGGCGCGTGCAACATTGTAAGAGGCATTGAATCATCGGAAAGCGTGCCGGGACAACCACTTGGTGTCGTCGCTGTACTGGGACGGCGGATCTTGCCCTTGGTGTGCAGGGAATTGTTGCTTACCGGCTTGCTCCAGGAGTCTGAGGGCTTCCTCTCGCGTGTGGTGTCTGTAAGAGGATCATAAAAGCTGCCAGAGGACTTGTCCCTGGTGGTGGGATTGTATGGTGCTGGCGGCGAGAGGTGACCGGCGCCTTGAGGCGCCTGCAGAGGTGAGCCCGAGGGAGGCCGCAGCGAGCCTCCCGTGCCGGCGCCTGAGCCGTTCGTCGACGCCATGATGGAGCTCAGGGCTCCCGGCGGCGCGGCCAGCGAGGAAGAGCCCGGTTGGGAGTCGTGCGACGGCGATGGATAAAACGGATGGCGATAGGTTGATGGGGAGCGCAGCGGCAGATTCGAGGACGCGTGGGGATGGTGGGAGGCCGGCGGCGGCGGCTGGGGACGCGTCGCTGAGAAGGCCGGCGATGCAGGATCTGGTGGTGATGAGGATGCAGCTGGCGATGATGGCGGGATCGCGGGCGATGACGCGGCGATGGCGGATGGATGGTGCTGGTGCCGGTGCTGTTGGAGATGACGATGGGAGAGGTGTTGAGGATGCAAGTGCGGCTGTAGGGGCGACGAGGTGGACGAGTCTGCGCGAGGAGGCTGCGGAGCAGAGGGTGCGCGAGCAACTGCGTGGGCGGATGACGGCTGGCGGCGATTCAATCCCAGCAGCGTCGATGCGTGCTCGAGATGGCTCGTCGCACTTGGTGTTGGCGCGCCCGCCGCAGCACACGCCCTGGGTCTAGCCCTGCCCTGCAATTCCTCGCCCTCATCAACCACGACACCACCACCACCACCAGTGCGACTTTTTGGATCACTGCCTCTCCTCCCATCGATAGCGCTGTGGCCAATTCGAGGCTTCTCGTCTGCTGCAGGCTGCGCACCCGCCTGCTTACCGGCTGCAACTGGTGGCTGCGACATCTGCGACGTTTGCTGGCCTGTGGACGAGCCAGGCTTCAGGTGCGCATCAATGTCTCGCCCCCACTGCCCTGGTCTCCCAGCTTCCATCGTCTCTGCGATTGTGAGCCGGGATCCTGCTGGCCACCCGTGTGTTGCTGACAGATTACGAGGAGTTTTGATGGCGACTGCCTTTCTTGCTGCTGGTATCACGGCCCTCTCTTCCAATGCGGGCTGGTTAGCGCTTACGACGACTTCGTAGTTGCCAGTGCCATCGTGGATCGCGAAGGACGTCGTAGGCACATCAGCAGGCGGCAGACAATATCCTGAAATGAAAGAGGGGGAGCAAAAGACGACGTCCGGGCACGAGTGGCAACGCCAGCTTTACTTGGCCATAACTCGGCACTGTCCAGGATGCTGCTGCTGCGGCGCCTCCTCATTCTTCCATCGCAGCCTCTGCTCCTGCCCTGTTCCGAGGCCGGGCTGCGGCGCACACACTCACACACGCACAGGAACGTGACGCCGTCGTGCTTCGTGCTAGTCGAGCCTAGCTTGCGGCAGGGGCTGCCATCCTTGCAGGCCCAGAGCTGCAACCTTGGAAGGCTTGGGGTTCCGCCCAGGGCGCCGCTGCACGAATCACTGCTCCGCAAATGTGGCCTGCCACGCCAGATCCAGCTCATCCGGACTCCCGTCGACGCCTGCTCCACCACCACTGCCAATCACCATTGCCAGTCGTAAACTTATCTCCGTGCCCCTTTGTCATCGTGTCATTTCTCAGGCGTGCCAGCCATTGGCAGCGACGCCAGCATCCGCGGGCGAGCATGCTCCCCATCAAGTGACCCTGGGGCAGACCATGTCTTGAGTCGCAAGGCCATTGGCGCCTCAACACAAACAGATGAAGCGCAGTCAGCCGCGACCTTGTTTTTGGACCCTACCGAGCCAGGCAGTTCACGATACCTTCGAGAACCCGACCAGAAATTCCATGCGTTGCGTTGCGCGAGGCACTGTTGGATTACGTAAAACCGCGCACCCTTTTTCTTAGACCCACTTTAGCCACTTAACGCGGCAGCCGACGCGGTCCATCCCCAGAGCCATTCCAGCTCACCCCAGCTCCACCTCGGGCACGGACCACTGCACTGCGCCTGGCCTCTGGTGATGGCTTCGTGCCGGGCTGGTCATGATGGAGCGATAGTTTGACAGAGTGCTGTTGCTAGGGACGCTTTGCCACTCACCAGAACATCCAGCCTGGGCACGGTCGCATCTGTAACTCCCCCATAATATCCGCACGATCATTTCGCACACGATTCCGCAGTGTCAGAGCATGGTAGGAGAACAATGTATTCACGGGCCCGTGACCCGGCTTTGCGAAATTACGTCTGCAACTCTCCGTCATGATTCTTACACGCCATACACGGTACACATTATTCTTCAGACAAGACACAAAGAACCAGGCAGTCTTCCGTGATCTGTAAAAAGCCCCTTCCCCAGCTGCAAAAGTCCATACAAAAGCCATTACAAGCGTGCAACATTACATATTCATAGCCGGAAGACGAGACGAGATGGATTGTGCCATCTTTGCCTCTCCCCCTCTCTCTCTCACACACCCTATCCGCCTCAGCTCTGTACAGAGGCCACGAAGCATAAAACGGGTACAAAGCATCAAACGAATGCCCGCTGACGATGCTGTTTTCTTACGTGTTGACTCATTTCGCACATACATGGTATCTGCCTTTGTTCAAGCCGCCGACTTGGCAGCCATTCTTCCGCGCCGCCCAATTGGCTCGGCTTCATCGACCAGAGTGGATGTGAAGGCCGGCGAGGTGACAAAGGTCGTCGGCTTCACCGACGGTGTCGGCGTAACTGTGCTTGATGACGTGGAGGCGCTGCTGTTGTCGTTGTCGTTGTCATCGCCAATTGCAGGAGCCAGGGTGGTGCAGGACACCGAGCCGCCGTAGTTTGTGATGCAGATTGACGATGGAGTCGCCGAGCCTGATGCCGATACCGATGACTCTGTGCTCGTGCCCGTGCCCTTGCCCGTGCTCGTGGCTGTGACTGTGATTGTGGTGTTTGAGAAGGACAGCGTGGGAGAGGAAGAGGTGTCTGATCCGATGGATGACGAGCTAGCTGGCGCCGAGGAGGCTGGGCCAGTGCTTGTTGTGATGCTGGCACTGCGGGTGCTGCTCTGAGTGCTTGTAATCAAGCTAGACGACCATGCCGACGATGAAGAAATGCCAGTGGCAGTAACTGTCACGCTTACGGTGCTCGGCGAGTCGCTGCCACCATTACCGGCGCCAGAGCTTGTGCCAGAGACGGACGAAGTCACCGTTGTCACTTCCGAAGAAGCAATGCCAGAGCTTGTCGATCCAAAGGTCGAGGACGACGAGACCGAGGCGGTCATGCTCGTGATGACAGATGAGGACGTGCTGGCGGGGTTGGTGATTGCATCGACACTGCTTGTTGCGAAGTCGGACGACGACGAAGGCCAAGAGCCCGTCACGGTGGCAGTGGCGGTGCGTGTACGTGTCAGAGTGTTCGGGGTGAAAGTCGGCACCTCATAGCCTGAAGAGCTGGTCGAGACCGAATCAGTGATGGTCAAGGTCAGAGAGATGGTCGAAGCGGACTCGGTTGCTGAACCGGTGAGAGTCGAAGCAGTGAGCGAGGCGTCTGAGGTTGCTGACAGGGACTCTGAATCTGAAGACCCCGACGATGAAGTCGACGACAAGATCGACGACGCGGAGCCAGTGACAGCATCCGCGGCACTGGTGGCAGTAATTGACTCGCTTGGTGTCAAGGTCACAGTCCGGGTTGAGGTACTTCCGACTCTGGTGCTGGGGCTGCCCGTCGCGGTGACGGAGCTGGTCAGCGACAAGGTCATGATGATTGTGGAAGTGACTTCGGTGTTTGTGCTCGAGCCGAGAGAGCTTGTAGAAGTTGCCAGCGATGAAGCCACTGAGCCGGTGCTGCCTGTTGTGGAACCGGAGGCGCTGCTTGTGGTCGAGTACGATTCGGTGGCTGAAGCTGTACCAGTCGGACCTGACGACGTCAAACGAGAACTAGTACTGCTGATGCTGTTCGTGGCGCTCGTGGTCGAGTCTGACGAGGAGATGCCAGAGGTTGAGCTGCTCATCAAACCTGAAGAGACACTTCCAGTTGACGAAACGGAAGCAGTGTCTGTCAAAGTGGCAGTCACGGTCGCAGTAATTTCTGAGACTGTGGCACTGCTCGAGTTGGAAACTGCGCCTGAGAGACTGCTGGAGCTCAGTGTCGTGCTTGAGGCAGAATAATCCGATTGGGTCAAACTTGTCGTCAACGAGTGGCTCAGTGTAGATGTCTGGGTGGTTGTCACCCTGCTTGTGCTGTCTGACGTGAGGGACGTGCTGGAAGCGCCTGTCGTGGTCAGTGAGAGTGAAGTCGCCGAGCTGCCCGTGCCAGAGACGTCAGAGCGACTGGTGACCGAGGCTGACGATGCAGAGGCGCTGCCGGTTGGGGTAGTGGACCAGACACTAGTGCTCAGGGTCATGCTCGTGGATCCGGTGCGGGTGATGGTAATCGTCAAGGTCGACTTGGATTCCGTGGACGACTCCGATGCCAAGACACTCGACGAACTTGAAGATATTCCAGAAGAGGTACTTTCAGTCCCAGAGCTACTGCCGCTGCTGCTGATGTCTGTTGGCAACGTCGATGAAGACGAAGTTCCAGAGACCGGCAGGGTCGTGGAATCAGTACTGCTCTCGCCTAAGGAAGTAGCCGTGGCGGTGACTGTCACAGTTAAGGTCCTAGTTGACCCTATGGCCAAGCTTGAAGACTTAATACTGCTAATGCTTGAGGACGACAAGGAGAGCGACGAGAAAGAGCTGGTTTCCAAAGTGGACAGGCTGGAAGTCGAGGTGGCAGCCACTCCAGAGGAAATCGTGGTGCTGGAATCCGTGATTGTGACAGTCAGGGTCAAGCCAGTGGACGATCTGGTCATTGAGCCACTGTCTGTGCTCTGCGACACCGAAGCGCTGGAGCTGTCAATTGTACTGGACACGCTTGCCGAGCCAGTGCTGGAGCTCGACGTTCCGGAACTTGCAGAGCCCGAGTCCAAGGGAGGTGTCGCAGAGCTGGAAACCGATGCCTCGGTTGCACTGGTTGTTGAACTCGAAGCAGTGACGGTCACGGTGCTAGTCAGGGTAATTCCCGTCGTGCTGCCTATGGAACTTGGCTGGCTGAAACTTCTGGTGGCAGTGGATGAGACGCTGTCACTTGTCGATGAGTCGGTCGTGAGAGACTGCGAAGAGGCCGTCTTGCCACTGGTAGTCGAAGCAGAGCCTGTAGGCAGGGTCGAGTTGCTGAAACACTGTTAGCTTGGAACTATGGCCGAGCGATATCGATGATCTACTAACCCTACATACCAGGAACTCGTGGTCGACCACGCTGTCTCGGTTGACGAGATGACCGGGGCAGAGGAGGTAGTGGTCCAAGGTGGGAGCAGGGACGAAGATACGGTTGGCCATAGGGTAGACGCGCTGCCGGTCCCGGTCCATGTCAAAGTCGCGGTCACGGATTCTGTGCTGTGACCAGGATTACTGCTTGAGTTTGACCAGTACACTGAGCTGAACGATGATAGGCCGGAACTGCCTGTGCCCGTGAGGCTCGCACTGGACGACGGCCCAGTAACAATAGAGCTTGAGACAGTGGGGACAGGCTGTGAAGAGCTGGTGAGATCGATCAAAGTCGTCGACGACGAGCCGCCACTGGCAGACGGGACAATGGTCACAGTGATTGTGACAGAGCTGTCAGAAGTGTATGAAGCTGCCGAAGAAGAGGTGACGTTTGCAGAAGAGGACACAGTAGAAGTAACGGGTGCCGAAGCGAGTGAAGAATTGGTGAAAAGAGTGTGAATGCGAGACGAAGCCGTGCTGGAGGTCCAAGTAATTGACGACAAGGAAGGCAAGCCTGAAGACAAGGTGGTACAGCTTTGGGTAACCGTCTCGGTGACAGTCGAGATACAACTGCTTGCGCACTCGAAAACGGTCGTGGTCACGATGCTCGGCTCGAGCTGCTGAGGGCGACCCAAAGCACCCGCGATGCTTTGTGTTTGGTCAGTATACGCCAACGGCAAGGCACAATGGGATGACGACGTCGACTCACAAGAGACCCATGAGGGCCGTGATCGAGAATGGACGCATGGCGATGGCTTCAAAAACTTGTGTTGACGTTGAGAGTGGCGAGGTAACGAGCGTGTCTCTCAAGTCAAGACCGTGTGTCCTGGAGTGGTGGTGAAAAGGAATAGAAAGACAAGAAGTCCCAGCACCAAGAAGGTTTTATATCCCCGGCAGAGCGTGCGCACCGGACTTGGTTTCGCTCGAGGTGTGGTTAGCAAGCTAGAATGTTCCTCCCCGGACACCGTTAGAACACCGGCTTGTGCGAAGGTGTTCCTGTGTGTGTGCCTGGTCAGCCCCACGAGGTATCCAGAGGCTCAAAACTGCTTCGTGTTTCTCGTAGCATGAATAGCCAAGCAGCACAAGAGTCATCACATGTCTGACATGTCAAGTCACTGTTGTGTAACCATGTCGTTCGTTTACTGTCTTTGGGAGTGGCCTCTGGCTCGTTGTCTCTCAACGTATATAAGCTCATAGAATATCACTGACTGTCCTCCGAGACGACGAGGTCATGTAACCAGGACCGGGAAGCCTGGCAAACATCCTCAAGCTCCCAAGAGCGTTATATGCTGCGCGCATGGACGACTGCATGGTTTCCCGTGACGCTTGATTCGGGCACTTTCCTACATTTGACAGGCTGAGGCCATTATCGGCTAAGCATCCGTGTGACAAGTCCCCATACCCTCCCAAGCAAGAATGACTGCACTTCAAAACACCTACTTAGCCAGGTCAAGGCCCCAATCGGAACCTGCAATTTTTGCAAACTCTACCTCGTGGTCACGGACAGCGAGTGGCTCTGTAGAGCAACCAGAATCCGCCCGAGCACAATTCTTCGACAGTCGCCTTGCCGTGTCTCGCATGTACCCCAGATTTAAAGACAACGACGCTCGGAATGTAACGCTGACGCAGGTCAGTCTGTAACATCTGCTTCGTGCCGATGTGTGACGCCAGATCGTCATACACAGCGAGGTTGTGCAACAGTTCAATGCCTGCGTGTGCCCAGCTGCCGTGACTTGGACTGATCGTCTGCATCTTTTAATTTTATGACGCCAGTTGTCTTGCCAGCATCTGGATTTCTAAGTAGACTCCGCTGTATCAATGGGGTGTGCGAGTCATTGCACGTCAAATTACCTCGATAAGTACAAGGGCATTCGTTATCCGCTCCACGTCCTGGAACCCGCCTTCGGCGGACCACATTATGCAGGTCTTGATAATGAGCGATAATCGTCAAGATGACCAAGACACTGAGGCAATACTTGAATCAGCTGTCAAGTCTTGAATGAAATGCCTTGAATGGTCGCATATGGAAGCCAAAATCGGAGCACCAGAATACTTCATCTTTGCCGTGCTTGAATGTCACAGCGAGAAATGAGAACCAGCCATCGTGGTTGGTTTTCTCGAGGCTTAGTCCTTCTCCAACCTGCTGTAACGTCAGTTGTAGGCTGGACATTAGGTACTCACAACAACTCGCAGGTTAGATCAGCTGCCTAAACAACCAGCGCTCCCCGATAAAAACACCTGTGGATGCTACGCTCAATCGGTTTGGCAACCACTGTGAGAAGCACGAGCTTTGCCTCGCTCTTTTGGGAAGGGGTTGGGGGCGAGTGACCAATCAGCAAGACGAATCAGCTGGCTGTGCGGACACCAATGCCTTATGCCTTGAGCTGGCCTGGCGACGCTGAACCGTCGGACAACTGTCTTGCTTCATCGTGGGCGTCCGATCACTCGTAGGCCCTTACGGCGCAGGAGGCATCAATGACAATCCCACCCTCGCCAGCACATCATTTGAGGCGTCCGGGAGACGTGCGCGTGCCCCAGCAGACCGGACGGGACGGGTGAGCGCGCACTGTGTGTTATGGTTTGGTGGCTGCACACGATGGCACGGGACTGTACAGTATGTACAGTGCGGTAACATTGCGGCGGAGAGTGGGATGCGATAGGGGCGGGTGCCGAGGTGGGCCCTTCCCGGGGCCTTGTCAGGCACCTTCTGTTCTTGGCAGTTGCGTTGCTGCTCGCAACGGCAGGCACCGCCGATCGTGAACCCGTTTGGCCCGAGCCGCCTTCCCTCAGCGCCCTCGCTGCAACCCCAGCATCTTCTCTCCAAAAGCCAGAGACACGGCCTCGTCACCATCGACTGGTCTCGTTCTGGATCTGCAGCAAGGCATCGGCCCGCATCCGTTACTGGCCTGCAAAACTTACATATATAAGGCATTGTCGACCCGCTCGACGTCGCGAGGAGGCAGGGCTTCTGGTTCCCGGTAAGTGGGTTTCCTCTCACTGCGTGACATCCATATCGTGCCATCCATTTGTCTGCTTGCAGTCATGGTCCGTCTTGGTGCCCTTGCGGGCGTGCTAGCCCTCGCTGCCTCTGCCCAGGCATTTCAACCGCCCCTTCACATCCAGAGGCTGCTTCAGCAGGTAAATCCGCCAACATGATCATCGCCAGTGAGGCCCCACGGCATCTGAGACTAATCCCAGCTACAGGCCAAGACACATGGCAATGCTCGTGTCGAGGATGTGGCAGCCGCCGCACCTGACTACAAGGAGTACTTCCTGCAGACTCCCGTGGACCACTTCCACAACGAGTCAAAGTATGAGCCGCATTCAAACGAGACCTTTGGGCTTCGCTATTGGTTCGACGCCCAGTACTACAAGCCCGGAGGCCCCGTCATCGTCCTTGCGGGCGGAGAGACCAGTGGTGCCGGCAGACTGCCCTTCCTGGAAAAGGGTATCGTCTACGAGCTGACAAAGGCTACTGGTGGCCTCGGAGTCATCCTTGAGCACCGCTACTACGGCACCAGCTACCCCACCGAGGACTTCAGCACGGAGAACCTCCGGTTCCTCACCACGGAGCAGTCACTGGCCGATACGGCCTTCTTTGCCAAGAACGTCAAGTTCGAAGGTCTCGAGGATGTCGACTTGAACCCCAAGACGACACCATGGATTGCCTATGGTGGAAGCTATGCCGGCTCCTACGTTGCCTTCCTGCGTATGGTATATCCCGACGTCTATTATGGTGCCATTTCGTCCTCGGGTGTCCCGGAAGCAATCTGGGACTACTGGCAGTACTTTGAGGCTGCCAGGATCTACGCTCCTGGCGAGTGCTCTATCACTACTCAGAAGCTTCAAAATGCGGTCGACAACATCCTTATTAAGCAGAAGGGCACAAAGTACCCGGCCCAGCTCAAGCAGGCCTTTGGGTACAGCGGCACAGCCAACGATCTTAACTTCGCTGGCGTTCTGTCGACTGGCATTTACGGCCTGCAAAGCTACAACTGGGACCCAGAGGAGAGCGACAACTCCTTCTTCGACTACTGCGAAACCATCTCCTCGGATGAGGTCATTTTCAACAACACCGAGGCTAAGCGAGATGTTGTCAAGGAGCTTCTGACTGTCGGTGGCTACGGTGAAGAAGTGGGAGTTCTCACCAACCGCACGCTGAACTGGATCGGCTGGCTTTACAGAACTGTTGGCTTCGCCTGCGAGGGCGATGACGAGTCCTGCTTTGGCGTCGCCAGTGCCAGCACGCTTGCTGCCGTTGACCACAGCCAGACCTGGCGGCTATGGCAGTATCAGGTTTGCACAGAGGTATGTCACAGATCTCTGATGATCTGAGAGTGTTTCGCAGGACTAACTCTTTGCAGTGGGGTTATCTCCAAACTGGCAGTGGCACACCCGAGGATCAGCTGTCTATGATTTCCAGACTCATTGATCTGGAGTCACAAGCTGTTATTTGTCAAACAGCTTTCAACATCACTGAGCCTGCTGATCTCGAGATTGTCAACAAGTTTGGCGGCTTCGCTGCGAGCTACCCGCGGGTTGCTTGGCTGGATGGCGAGTGGGATCCATGGCGTGCTGCCGGTGTCCATGCCATTGGACTGCCTCCGCGTGAATCGACTGTCAGCGAGCCTTACATCTTGATCGACAAGGCTGTCCACCACTGGGATGAAAATGGTGTCTTTGAGAGCGAACAGACGCCAGACTTCCCCCCGAAGCCTGTCGCGGAAGCCAAGACTCAAATTCGGGAGTTTGTCAAGGCTTGGCTCGCAGAGTGGGGTACGGGTTATTGATATGACTTTCGACGATGTCGTTGAAAGCCTTAGGGCTATCGCGTGCATGAAGTCGGGTCAAGCCTTCTGGATATCGGATGTGGTTTACTAACTTCTACAGCAGATACCAGCGCAGATAACGAGGTCATGGAGCTGTAGGCAAGGACATGTCAGGGCATTTCCAGAGTCATGCTGGTAGGAGACTTCCGGCCAAGAGGGCATTTTGGTTAAATATGTTCGAAGATGTAAGCAGAATGTAGCAGAGTATTGGCATATGAATTGCAGGGGCTTCTATCTGTGTCTAGAATTCGCGGGGTTCATCAACGCGTTAGTCTGCGGCGCTCATCATGAGTTCTGCGGCGACGAGTCTTTGACAGCTTGAACGAAATATAAAGGTGGTCGACTCGGCCCCAAAACTGCAAGCAAAAACGGAGCTCTGACCTTTGATCGGATCATTAATGTCTGGCGCCCAATAAGGGAGATAGGAATGTTGGGGGTCGAGTAGAATGACACCAGGGCGTGGTACGATACAGAAAAGGGCCTGTCATCACGTTCCCCATGGGCAAGGCAGACATACATACAAAGAAGAAGAGATTTATCCTCGCTCCTAGTTGTCGATGACACTTGCTGCTAAAGCAGCAAGCAAAGGCCGTCTGGGAGCAGGCCCTTGTGATACGTTCTTGGAATGTGGATTGTAATGGGGTGCAAACTGTGATAACCAGACCGGCACAACTAGAGTAGAAAGAGTCGATTGGTTGTGGTGCGGCCACAACACCCTGAGACACAATAGAGGGTTGTGCTGTTTGTCTCTGGAGCCACGCGAGTATGAAGTTCAGCTAAATAAACACCCCAAGCAAATGTTAGTGGAGTCAAAGAAGGGAGTGTATATAAACCGAATCTTAAGAGGGCCGCCCATGGGTTCTTTGATGTTTTCGAAAACGTCATCCTGAGTGACAGCCACTCCTGAAGCAATAGCAACGCTCACAAGGCGACCTGTAGCTCTTCCGCTGTATATATAGAGGTGATTGTCAAATACACCTCACCACAATATCACCAAGCGCTGTCAAGGTCTCACGTATGGTGGTCGAGCCGGCATGTTGCCTCCAGAGGCTCATTGCTAGACTTATGTAAGCTCACAGTGGCATACTGACTGGGTGGGCAAAAAAGAGAGAAAAAAGGCGGCCAAGCTGGTATCTCAGTCCTTTCACCAAGTTGAATCGGTCCAGTTCAGATTCATTTTCTGGGTAGGACCATTAGTGCAGGGAACCAAGTTGTCTAACCGCTAGGCCAAGCTCCTTCGGAGTGTTCTCAGAACACTTCCTTGGGAGGATCTTGCTGAGTACTGCTCCTGTTTGGACTTATAAGGCTTGCTCTGGTTGCTCGGGTTACGGGGGTGGTGGTGGTTGGGGATGAGGTGGTGGCCATAGGCCGCAAGAGGGACCGGAGGAATGATAGCCCCGGCCACAATCGATATCTTGTGTAGTTATCTGTGTGTCTAGCTACTGCTTGGTCCTGCCTCGTGCTGAGACATGGCTGAGAGTCTGGCACCGTATTGTTGAGACTTGCTTAGGCGTCCTTATTAGCGTTTGTCAAACAGTTTACATGCCCTATAAGGTACAGCTTATGTCCAACCAAGGTACACTGACTGGGAGAAGCAACAGTTAGTGTTACCACGAGTCACTTTGAAGCGTCCTCTTCATTTAGTCCAGCTCCTCTGGCGTTCATGGATTGACAGCCCGAATCACTCATAATCAACTAGCTTAGAAAATCCGTGCCTGGAAATAAACTCTTCCCGAAAAGATGCAAGGTCGCGCCGAACTTCCCGACCCAGACAAGGTAGACCAGCTCAGGGGCTGGCTGACTTCATGATGTCGGGCTCCCAGACACGCGTAAACACCATATTGTTGACGAGAGCCAAAATTTCGGCCATTGTCCGGTCGATCTCCAGTTCTGGACTTTTAGAAAGATTGCGCGGCCCGTCGAGATGCAGTCCAGACATGCTTTGCTGGTCGCTCAACAACTTAGCTGTCCCTGATCCCAAAGGTCGCTGGCCTCGGGCGTTGAGACCGGGTTTTCGCCTGACGATCTTGAAGTGGTCCGGATCCGTTGTCCGGAAATTGGGCTGCGACTTTGATTTGAACCCGACGGTATCGCTCGAGCTTTGCACTCGTTCGGGTTTGACCGTCTCCTGATTAGAGTCCGGATACACATTCGTTCGCAGAAAGTGACCCACAATCCATTTGCGAGCAACCTCGGTCCTTTGGCTGCTCTGGTTGGGGGTTCTCAGGAATATTTCGGCGATGATATGGGCGCCGTGGCTCACTGGCTCCTGCAAAATCCCGGGCATTAACATGAAGAACTGATGGACGGCTTGGAGATCAATTTCTTCCGGGCGGATTCCCGCATTGTCCACGACCTCATTGACTCGTTCCTTCTCGTCCTGTGTTAGTTCTTCGCGCTTTTCGAGCGTTTTTGTCAATACCTCGCGTTGTGCCCGCGCCTGGTCTTCGCTGCCGAGGGTTACGTCGTACAGTCAAAATTGCTGTGTGATGGTCAGGGCATAGGGCAAGAACGATGAAGATGGAGGATAAAGGTGCGGTCATCTCGAGACGGCCGGATCGGCAGAGCCACACCCGAGCTTGACCCACAACTATCACGCCCTGCTCATGGAAGGTCATGTCAAAGTAGACCAGAAGATTCCCTTCAGAACAGCGGAACGTATATATTTTGTTTCTTCTTATTTTCTCTTTCCTGTACAAGTGCTCGCAAGCGGCCGCCACTGTTTGACATTTCAAAGCAACGCGCCATGTTTTGTGCCGCAGCTCCCGCTGACACGAAAGAGTATAACCAGTGCTCCTTGGAACGACCTTATATAGATTCAACACGACTATCCTCCAGCTCCAAAACCCTAAATCCGTCTCCACTTAGCAACATCTTTATAGCTCAGAAAGAAAATGTGTGCTACGACCGCTCAACTTCCTTCCTCTCCCTTCCACTGCGGCCGTTCTCGACATCGTCGTCATCGTCCTCGCTCATGAGGCCCTCGAGCTCAAACTCCTGAGCGTCACGCAGCGTGGCGTGGCCGTTCGCTGACGTGGTCGCGTGCCCGTTAGCGGGGCCGACACCACTGCCGCCGCCGAGCTTGATGGTTGCGGTGGCGCTCGTGCTCCGGTCGTACAAGGTGATGAGCATGTTGGCGAAGAGGAAGACCAGGAAGGCCAGGGAGAAGAGGATGAGGATGTATGCGACGTGGTCCATGCCCGAGCCGGCGACAAGGGACATCTGCTCCTCGGTGGCACCCATGAAGAGGAAGCCGGCGGCGTAGAGGAGCTGCGTGCGAGGCCAGAAGAATTAGTCCAAGACTTCTGAAACAAACCATTGGGGTTAGGTGCAACAACAAAACTTACAAAGACAGGCACAAACTGGAAGCTGTTGATTGTCCGTCCGTCCTCGGCCATGCCGACCTGGTCCTTGACGACAAAGGCAATCTCAATCACGCGGGACAGGCCCGCAGCCATGAGCGTGTAGCCAAACAGCTTGTGGGTCTCGGCGCTGACCATGAGCTCCTGGGGGTGGGCGCTCATGGCCCAGCCAGTGATGAGCAGCACGAAACCCGGGATGAAGTTGCGCTGGGGCCGGCCGTCGCGGTCGCGGCTGAGCCAGACACCGGCGAGGCCGGCGCACCACCAGACGATGCCCATGGTGGTGTGCTGCCAGTCGTTGCGCACCCACTCGGTGCCCCAGCGGTGCTCGGTGAACGTGTTGACGCAGCCCCACGCGGCGATGACGGCCGAGTCAAAGAACTCCTGCGACCGGCCCGTGCGCTTGAGCCACTGCTGCCCGACAATGAGGAGGATGGTCAGGAGCACGCCGTAGGCGATGAAAGCGCTGCCCATGATGAAGTGCGCGGCGCACTGTCCCACGTGCTCGCCCTGGCAGAAGCCGAGGGCGGTAATGCCGCCGAATAGCAGTTGCGTCCAGGTGAGCACGGGGAGAGCCTTGCCGACGATCCCGTGGCCCATCTTGATCCAGGGGCGGATGCGGCCGTTGATGCCCCGCTCGAGGTGCAGCTTGAGGTAGATGCCGAAAGCGATCTGGAGGAAGAGCAGAAAGGAGAGCGGCGAAGCGAACTTGGAATGGACATTGTTGTGGACGAACTCGCGGCCGCCATGCCAGTGGCCGAGGAAGTAGCCGAGGATGGCGATGACGGTGCCTACGACCTGAACGGGGACGTGCCACCTTGATTTGACCATCTGGTAGGGGTTAGTCCTCGGATGCCCAGGAGACCTGCCCGGTTTACAGAGGGAAGGGGAAGGAAAATACTCACTCCTAGGACCATGCCTATGGGGAAGATTACGCCCCATGAAGCAGTCTGCAACAGAATGTGAATCCATATCGTGGTGTCCTAACGCTTCGTCAGCTTGCGATCGTGGATAGCGCAGTTGTCCCAAGCAGGGTTTGTCCAGCCTCCAAGGTGCAAAACATGTTTGAACGTACAAGAGGTTCGGCGGAAATTGTCTGCCCTTCTGGGATATGCGACTCGCCGTGTCCGTGGGCGAGGACCGCGGGGGCCAACGCAAGGACCGCAGCGAGCTGTAACCTCGAGAGAGCCATGGTGTGTGTTATGTCTCGAGCTGGAGCAAGTACAAGTATGGTCGGAACTAAGGCCTGTGGTTCGGCAGGTGAGAAGGAAGTCCACCGAACGCAGCCCGCGGAGCAGTCGGTAAAGACGAAGTCTCGGGTGTGTAATGCAACGTCGTTGGAGCGAAATCGGTAGCTTCGGAAGTGCGGGCTGGCACTTTCGACAGTCGGCTTGGGCCTGCAATGGGCAGCGAGCGAGCCTTGTCCGTTGGTGGCGGATGGATGCAAGTAGTTTCGAGACCGGAGCGGGCGCAGACCAGTGGGATTGCCGTAGTCGTGCGCCGTCGTGGCTGTTGCGCGGGCGAAAGATTGGGAATGGAAGAAAGGGAGCGGCTTGTGGTCCAGAGGACAGATGGGATGGGATTCGACGAGAAGTCCGGCTTGGCTAGCGCAGCGCCGGATCCGCACCACCCGCCTGCGCAACGCTGAGACCCCGGGCGGGCGATTATGCAATCTGCAGGGAGGGTTTGGCTGACAGCGCAGCACCGGTCCAAGTCAGCACCTTGAGTCAAGCAGTACAGGTAGTCCTAACAGTTGGCCGTGAGCAGACGCGGATTCGCAAGTCGGTCTGGTTGTCCAGTGACACTCTCTTCCAGCGCATCGACCTGGAGAAGGAAATGTCGTGCACCTACCGTCTGAGCCCCCCTGCCGAGCCTTTGAGAAATTATATCATAGTGGCTTCAAGGGCTTTAGGGGATTGCTGGGCCGCCAAGGCGCGGCATCCGACTTCGTGTCCCAGCCAGGCGGGCACACTCAGACTCCATACCCTGCATGGGCCCCTACGCAGGCAGATTGCTTGGAACTCCAATCATTGGGACATATGTATCTTGGTAAGGATTAGAGGGAACGGACAATAGCAAATACGATCGCATCTTCCAGAAATGCAAACGTGTGAACCTCATCGTACTTCCCAGCTTCGATCTTGGAGTTAAGTGGGCTGTCAGCAAAGCTTGGCCTCCCGCGTCAGCAGGGTCCGCCAACTGCAGGAATCAAGCATGATGTGATTGGCCTGCTGGCTTTCGTCCACTACGTGTTCTATGCGGCCTGGTCAGCGCGATGGGATTGGCTCCCCGTGGCAGGTTCAGGTTGTCAGTACAATTAAGACCTGTAGTGGGCACACCGCAATGGCAATCACGAGAAGCATTCCAATATGCATCCTCGGTTACTCAAATCTTGACCCCCGTTCATGCATACTAGTAGTCGAGTGTCTGGGCTTCACAACCCTTCATGGTTTCTGCATAGCAGAGTCCCTGGCGATCCCAGAAATGATGTGCCACAATCTGCAAACCCCCTTGTCCGGGATTGGCTCAATGGAACAGGATTTAGGACTGGAACCGAGGACTGGAGTGGGGGGACTTCAGAGGCCTACATTTCGGGACTGCCAACTTTGGGTGTCTCGGCTTGCAGCGCCGGTTCTTCATTGCGTTCGACCTATTTATTGATAGTCTGATATTTGTTCATATTCCAAAAACTAACACAACACAGCTTGCTCTCGCTAACGTCATTCTTGACAAGACATAAAAACACCGCACGAAATCAGGGTATAGTTGCGACAGGCAATTCCAACGACGGGTGCCGGACAACTCGGGGTGCAAGTCGAGTAGTCTCTCCGTGCATGGCGATCAATGCAGGCGCCCAGCTCAACCACAGCAAATAGTGGCGTCCTCGATCCCTGAGGGCCCCTTGCCAGTATCGTCACCACCCACGGTCACCTTGAGTACCAGCCAGTCGCAGAAGAACTTGCCGATGCCCGCGCCCAGGAAGATCGAGATGATGATGTACCCGTTGAAGTACATGGCCAGCAACATGACAATGTAGGCAATGCCGAAGGTGAACATGTGGATGACGGAGCGGATCAGCTGCTGGAGCGGCGACGCGCGGAAGGTGATTGTCTGTGGGCCGTAGACGGGCGCCTCGACCGGTGGCGGCGCGCAACACGACGAGTTGTTGTTGTCGTCGCTGGCTGGGGCCTTCGAGGCGGCAGTCTGGGCGCTGACGTGTCGCTGGAACTGGCGGGCGATATAGATGTCGTATTCCTTGCCGATGCGTCGGAAGAACTCGAGAATGACCACGAGCAGCATGACGCCGATACACGAGGCGGCCATCATGCCGTCGTTCTTGATCTGCCATGTTTCGGAGAGGAAGCAGGCGTCGACTGTGTTCCAGTTCCACAGCATCTGAAGGGCAGAGAGTCACGGTCAGCCTCCTGATCAAGCCAAAGAGCGCTTGGGAGCATCATGGACAACATACGCTAATCTTGCATGCTGCGCCGTCGCCACCCATGCCACCGTGATCCATGCTGGGCGAGAGAGAAAGGTGTGTTTGTTCCTAGATGTTTCGGGAGGAGGTGTTCTTCACGGTTCCGAGCTGCGTTGAGAGTTGGAGGCGTGGAGAGCCAGGTTATTGTGACGTAGCAGAGGGCTGGAGTTGCTTTGTACCAGTGGTTCTGGTCGATATGTATGGCCTCGTGATGTCGTTGCGCTGGCTTGATGTAGTGCGAGACCGGCGTGCCGTGAGGTCGCGAATTTGAGCAAGTATGAGCGACTTGGCGAGCGAACGGTAAGGGAAAGAGTCTGGCTAGAAAGATCAGATCAGACCAGAGGAGTTGTCGGACGATAGGGCCAGCGGAGAAATGTGCTCATGGGGAAGCCGGTGCTTTAGACCGGAGACGGGGTCAGCGCCGGGCGCTGAGCCCATCACAAACAATGGCGCAACGGGTGAGACGGTTTCGTGAGGGGGCGGCCGCCGAGGGTGTAGCGGGAGTGGGGAAGGGGGGAAACCCTGCCTGCAGCGGCCGAGCTGCTGCAAGGTTGCAAGGTTCCGTCGGGCGGCTCTATCTAAACCTTGAAACGGAGGTGGCTGCCACGAGCGACACAAGGGCTGCGGGATAAGGATGCGCCTCATTCTTTATTTTGTCGTCGAAGATCAACAGCCGCCTAGGCGATTGAGGATGCTGCCTTTGCCGGTATTACACAGAGACTTCAGTCGCCTCCCCATGGCCCAAGTCACCAACTCGAACACGAATGGCTAGTACAGGTGAACCCCGGTTATGCGGACCTCACATAAGCGGATTCCCTCGCTTCTGCGGATGAACTGGCTGTTTCCTTTCAAAACACATGCGATTCCGCTAATCCCTCGCGTTCATCGATTACGCACAAAGCGAGGCCATCGCCACCACCTAAATCCGCTAATCCGAGTGAAATAGGGGCGCGTTTGGACCGCGTTTTGACCCCCCGAAATGGCACCCCGCGCCACCGCACCCTCAAACTTGAAGCCGTCGCGGCGACGCATTTCGACTGCGCAGAAGCTAGCCCTTCGCGAACGACGACGTCTCCGTCCGACAGACTCCCATATCGAGCTACAGCAATGGTTCCTGAAGCAGTACGACCAGCCTATCTCGACATCCTCCATTACCGACATCCTCGGCAGCCGTTTCGCGTACCTAAGCGAGCCACTACAGCAGCCACGCGCCCTCGACTTGACGCGGGTCAATAATAACCCTCACCGCGACCTCGAAGGCGCCTTATATATGTGGTGCCAGCAAGCTGAAAGCTCAATTACTATCACGGGCGAAGTCATTAAGGCAAAAGCACGGCAATTCTGGGCGCAAATGCCTCAATACAAGGACCAAAAGCCGCAGTTCTCGAACGGCTGGCTCTATCGTTTCCAAAGCCGACACGATATAAAACTACGCGTACAGCATGGAGAGCTAGGCAGTGTCAATATCGTCAATACTGAGAAGGAGATGGCCTCAATCCGACAGATCCTCTCGAAGTATTCCCATGATGACATTTACAATTGCGACGAAACAGGTCTTTACTGGAAGATGATTCCGGATCGCTCTCTTTCGACGCGCAGCCTTCCAGGCCGCAAAAAGGAGAAGGCCCGGATCTCAGCCCATCTCTGCTGTAATTGGTCAGGTACTGACCGTTTACCAATATGGTTCATTGGCAAGGCAAAAAGGCCTCGCGCCTTCACCGCTGCGGGGGTCGATATCCGCCATATGAACCTAGAATGGACTCACAATAGGAAGGCCTGGATGACAGGGACTATATTTGAGCAATGGCTACGTTGGTTCGACCGCCAAATGGCTGGTAAAAGCGTCATTTTGCTGATGGATAACTTCTCTGCTCATGAAGCCGGATATGAAGCTATTCTGACAAGTGCGACCCCCCTACAAAACACCGCTATCATATGGCTGCCACCCAATACTACAAGCAAAACACAGCCTCTTGATCAGGGAATCATTGCAGCCTGGAAATCTCACTGGCGACGGTACTGGGTACGCTATATGCTGTCGGAATATGACGCCGGTAGAGACCCTCTTAGTACAATGAACGTACTAAAGGCTCTGCGATGGGGCATCCAAGCCTGGGAGCTAGATGTGACTCCTGAAACTATCACGAAGTGCTTCAAGAAAGGCCTCATGGAGGCCCCTAGAGACCCCCAGCAGGCCACACTTGAGGCAGCAATTGCTGCTACTCATGAAGAAGCCGTTCGCGAGATTACGTACGGCTTGCAGAGGCTTCAGGCTAATCATCACGTCAAGGAGGTGATGAACATCCATAACTTCCTGAACCCGGCTGACGAGAATCTGACTGAAGAATCCGACGACCTTGACCAGCAGATTCTCGACCAGTTTACCCCGGCAGGCAATAGCGACGACGACGACGACGACGACGATAATGCTGAGCTTGAAATTGAGCCACGAATCACCATAGTTGAGGCCCTAGAGGCCCTCCGCCGACTGCGCCTTTACCAGGAGCAATCAGGTGGTGATACTGGCCTCATTTCTTACCTCAATAAGCAGGAAAGGGTACTTACGAACTCATCAATTGAAGCCTTACAGCAGAGAGATATCCGCATGTACTTTCAGTAGAATACAGAGCCTGGATAGGCGTGAAATACCTCAAGAATGACCTCCCCTCAATACTGCGGATACCTCATTTTAGCGGATTGAACGGAATGTCTCCTTTATTCCGCATAACCGGGGTTCACCTGTATGTCTGATGGATGTCGTTCGTGCCCCGTACCGCGATGGCCCCTCCCGGTGGAGATGGCGGAAACTTGCTCGCCAAGAGCCTCAGTGGGTCGTTAAACTTGCTCATTCCTGCTCAACCCACTCTTGTTTCGCCGCCTCCCACGATGCCTGCCTCCCGGGCAGTGAACGCGGTGGCTTCCAGGGCTGTCCCGGTGTCGAGACAATGGTTTGCCCGCCTTTGTCTCCGCCGGGTCCAGCCAACATGAGCCCTTGCGTTTCAAACAACGGGCGCCGGGGACCGTGGCGGCGAGCAAGTTTCCCGCAACCCACGGGTCCGCATCCCTGCCACCACTGCCGGAACAGCTTGCGCCAAAGTGGCCCCGGCCGGAGTCTATCTTGACGATATATCCAGTGCTGCCTCCCGTTGTCGACCTACACGTCTTCAGCTGGCCTCTGCTACCCAGCTTCGTCGTCCTCATCACCACTCCAGGGCATCCTCTGCACACACCTGTCCATCCCTCCCGCCGCCCACGACCAGCGGACAACGTGCAGAGCCATCATGGCCGCTCCCGCCATGGACCACACCAACGCCCTCGTGGGCCGCCACATCCAGAACATGAGCGAGGGGACCCTCCAGCCGCACTGGGGCTACGCAGACCGTGTGATTCCGTGTACCAACGACCCGGGCTCCTGTACCTACCTCGATGCCGTATACGACGCCCACGATGTCGGCATGTACTACACCGGCATCATCTGGGCCACCGGCGGTGCTGTCCTGCTGCTCTGGGCCCTCTCTCGTCGGGTATGGCGCCCTACAAGAGCCGACGAGGTCATTCGCACGCCCACCGATGTCGAGAAGTCACCCTCTGCCGCCTCGTCCGTGGCAAGCACCGGCCAGCGGCTCCGGGCCGCAGTCAGCGCCGGGCTCCGGCGCCATCTCCTTCCAGACAGCGTCCGCGCCATCTTTGGCCGCACCACTCGGCTGCAGGTCCTCATCCTCGCCATCCTCACTGGCTACATCACCATCTTCAGCTTCATTGGCATCGTCTATGGCCTCTGGATCACCCCTGTCAAGAACATGCCCGGCGTCTACAACACCAGAAGCTCTCTGGGCCCTTGGTCAGACCGTATTGGTGTCCTTGCCTATGCCCTCACCCCGCTCTCGATCATGCTCTCCAGCAGAGAGTCGATCTTGTCTCTGATCACCGGCATCCCTTACCAGAGCTTCAACTTCCTCCATAGATGGCTCGGTTACATCATTGTCGTCCAAGGTGTCCTCCACACCATCGGCTGGACTATCATTGAGGTCAAGCTCTACCAGCCGCAGCCCAAGGTCGCCATCGAGTGGATCACGCAGTTGTATATGATCTGGGGCATTGTCGCCCTCATCCTGCTTCTGCTCATCTTCGCTCTCAGCACGCCGTGGGGCATTCGCCTTACTGGCTACGAGTTCTTCCGCAAGGCGCACTACGTCCTGGCGATGGTCTACATTGGCGCTTGCTGGGCACACTGGGTCCAGCTCAGGTGCTTCATGCTTCCCGGGCTGCTCATCTGGTTTGTCGACCGTGCCATTCGCATCATTCGGACGGCCCTCGTGCATTACCAGCACCTGCCCGACAGCACCATGGGTTTCCGTGCCGCTCAGGCCAACATCTCCAACTTCCCGGATGCGGACCACGGCGACGTCGTCAGACTCGACTTCAAGTTCCCCACAGACTGGAAGATTGGTCAGCACTTCTACCTCTGCTTCCCCCAGGGCAGCATCTGGCAGTCACACCCTTTCACTCCTCTCAGCCTCCCCAACGTGCTAAACGGAAAGGCCACCCACTCTTACATCTTCCGTGCCAAGAAGGGCGAGACCAAGAAACTGGCAGAGCTTGCCGTCAAGAAGCTGGCCGAGTCAAAGACCGAAGCGGTCACGCCAGTCATCCTCCAGGGCCCTTACGGAGAGTCGATTGCTGATAATCTTACTCCCGATGTAAATATTCTTTGTGTGGCCGGCGGCACTGGTATCACCTATGTCCTCCCAACGCTTCTGAGCCTCATCGAGCAAGCCCCCGTCGCGGACCGCAAGATCGAGCTCGTCTGGGCCGTCCGCAAGCGCAACGACGTCCGCTGGGTGCAGCAGGAGATCAACGTGCTCCACGCCGCCGCCAGGACGCATGGAATCCGCATGCACATCTTCGTCACTCGGGAGCAGTCGAGCCGTCCCGGCTCGCAGGCGAGCAGGACGGACCTTAGCGAGGGCGAGAAGGGCGACAGCAAAGCCGTGCGTATCAAGGAGGCGTCTGCCACTTCGTCATCCAGCGGGTCTGTCCACAGCGAGACGCTGGACATCGAGAAGATCGGTGGCGAGGGGCACGATGTGCACCCAGACCTGATCGCGCTGACCAAGGAGTTTGTCGCGGGAACGGCCAAGGGCCGGACGGCGGTGATTGCCAGCGGTCCTGGCGGGATGATTAGCGACCTGCGCAGCGTCGTTGCGCAGTGCAACAACGGGGGCAAGGTGTGGAACGGTGCTGAGCAGTTTGACGTGAGCCTGACCTGTGACGATCGGCTCGAGTGGTAGGCGGTTTTGGGAGGAAAAAGCGCAGCCTTCTTGGTTCGTGCACATGTGATTTTGCATAGCAAGCGATACCCCGTCTTTTAAGACAATGTTCAATACGTGCGGTCAAACAATAGAGCGCCTTCTATATGGTCTTACTTGAATTCTTTGGATCTCAAAATGTATGAACAAAACTGTGAGAAGTGACATGTTTCACGACCAAGTCCTCATCACGCCCCCCGTTTGCAGGTCTGCTCACGAGTGGGGCACTTCCACTCCAGAGCCCTCCAGTTCCGGAACTCCCTTATCAGCAGCTGGGCTCCCCACATTAAAGTCCTTATCCGTACCCCAGCGACCTAAAATAATTCCCTTCCCCGATGAGCACTCATACCGCATGTATGCTCAGAGGACAGCAGCTTCTCACTACACACAGAAGTTGAAACAGATGATACCATCCCTTCCCAAAAACACAACTTGAAAGCCCACTGGACAAGAAGTATCAACATCCTCCTTTAGGGACCATACACACACCAACTCCTCTGTTATTATCCCAACGCTCTTGCCCAAGTCAAGAAGCAAGTACAAGACAGGGAGACAGAAAGAGGCACACACACCCACACAGACCACAAGCAAAAACGCAGACTACACAGAAACCAAACAAAAACCATGCCATCAGTCAAGAACCCCAACGGGCCCTCGCAGAACCGGCTGAAAGCCCGGGCCTCCAAGGCGCGCAAGCAGACGTCCAAGGCCGCCTCCGGGCGGAACAAGTCGCGCGCTCTCAAGGCGGACGAGAAGCGCGGCGCGAGGGAGGGCCTCCTGCCCACGAGCGGGCCGAGGAGGGCGCTGGGCAAGAAGCAGCAGCAGAAGCTGGAGCGGAGGATCGCAAACGAGCTGAAGAGGAGGGAGGCTGAGGAGGGGGCGACTGCTGCGGGCGAGGAGGAGGAGGAGGAAATGAAAGGTTAGTAAGATTTCGGGGGATGTTCGCGCGGTGGCGGAGGCGCGGGAAGGGGTGTAGTTGTTTCGAGTCTCGAGAAGGGATGGGGTTGTGAGAGAGTGTTCAAGACTGACTCTGGTTGTTGCAGATGTCGCCGAGGATGATGAGAAGGACGACGCCCGGGCTATTGAGGAGCAGATGGCAATGGAGAGCGAGAACATTGCTTGAGTTTCTGGGCCTAAGAGGGCACGGTCGCGGTATATGTCCACGGGCAAGGGACTCAGCGACGTATTCGGGGGCGGGTCTGGATGGCATTAACCTCAAGCATGACATGGCACGACGAGTGACCATCAGGATTCGGGCCACCAGCACAATTGGTCGCACAGCTCTGGCTGGGGCGAGAATAAGTCCTCATGCAAGCTGTATCCGCCAGCGATCCGGCGACTTTATGAGCACACATCAGTGCGAGCTCCGGATCTTGGGACCAAATGAGTCGATGACAAGCATGGGCACGGCGTTTTTGATAATTCCAACAAAAAATTACGGTGGTTCTGTCTTGCAATCTCTTGATTTCAGCTTCGTGGATGATGAGTGTTTGTAGAAATTGGCGAAGCCCTCTAGTCTGCGATTCTGCCATGTATGTCATTCTTGCTAATCCGATTCGTGATCCGTTCGATTACTGTGAAAAATTGTCTTGGTTGGTCGTTGAATCTGGACCGTATGCCGCCGTAGGCGAGAGTTGTCTTGTCCAACTGTCTAAGGGTGCAGGGTAGCCACGGGGATTGAAACAAAGGCCGTGCAACCACCACGACACAACCACACCACCTACTCCAGTCCATGCATGCTTGCATTCCTACGTTAGCGTAGTCACTTGAGCCTGGTGAGCCACCTCACAAGATCCTCGCCTGCGAGCTTCGAAAAGAAGATTTCCACCATGGACGCGTCATGGTCTGCTCAAATGATCTTCTTTCACCGCCACACGTACACACGCACGAACACATGAGCGACCGAACGCAGGTCTCTTTGGATGACATCAACCCTTGTGCTGGGCACCACGTGCCTCTTGTTTCGCATCATTCAGACCACACGAGCATTGACAAAGCGCTTCCAATCCATCAACACATTGTCAACTTGTTTCTGCACTAGCAAACAAACTCATTTTCGGCCAGACCTTTGACCCGGCTGCTCAGCCTGGCCGACATAACTCAGCTGTTACTACGTCCACTGCGTTGAGCAGCGCCAATTCTCAGTTGCTCACACATTGTGCTGAGCAACTGCGATTTCTCGACACGGCATTCTTTGAAATAATTTCCTATCATGACGTGGTTCGGCAGCAACAGCGCTGGCGAGTCCCTCACTTTCCCCACCAAAGCAGACCGGACTGCGGCACCTTTACTCCCACTCTCCTGAGCACTTGCGACCACCCGAGCCGCAGACCATGCCAAGCACATATGAATACCACGAGCCAACGGTGCCGCTCAACTCGGCACCGCCTCCGGGGTACCGCCTCGTCCCCAAGGGCAACCCCTACATGACGCTGAACTGCCGGAAGCAAACCCACCTCGCGGGGCAGACCGTCTACAATGTCGTGGAAAAGCCCGGCGGTAAGCACATGGGCATCCGCGTGCCCCAGACAGTATACAACGCCGTCGCGGCCTCGTTCGCCGCCACCAAGTCGGACCGCGCGGACGCGGTGCGCAGACGGGACGGGAAGCTCGAGGCTACGTACCTCGAGACCGTGCTCGCTGCCTTCCCGAAGGCGCCGCGCAGAGAGGTCGATGCCGTGGTGAGCCGCGCGATGAAGAAGCACAGCGGCCGTGTGGGCCGGACTGGGCAACTGAGCGCACAGGAGAAGGCTGTGCTTGGCGTGCTGGCTCACATACGGCATGTGCACAGTCCGTATGAGAAGCTGTTGAAGCAAGGCGTGCCGAGGCTGGATGCCAGACGGCAATCCGAGAAGGAGATCGCCAAGAAAGCCGCGGAATGGGGATATACTCGACAGCTACGGGGAAGTGGTGCTAGCCGGCGCAAAGGTGCTTCGCAAAAAGCAAAGATGAGAAAACCTGCAAGGATTCCGGCAGCGAATCCCAGTAAAGCGCCTTCTGGCTCGGAAAAGAATGCCGGGAAACGAAAGAGGAAGCGAAATGGAGCACAGAACAATACGAAGACCCTGGCCGTGCGCACAAAAACGGACACCGACTCAGTAGTGGCGGCGTCGCCTGATATACAACCAATTGAACATGGAACGCGAAGAAGAACGAGATCTATGGCTCAGACATCTCGGCAGGCCGTCAGCCAGCGGGGCGTGCCGGATCACATCTCAATCTCATCTGACGATGAGAGCGTCCCTGATGGTGACGAATTTGAAGGATCAGATTACGACGACTTCGCCTGGATTTCATCCGATGACGAGCTCATCGATAAGAACGAAAGCTATGATGAAGATGAGGACGACTGAATTACGTCAGAGGTGTGAGAGAGAGCAGCCTCGCGCAGAGACTTGCGATAGGCCAGATTTGTCGGTCGTGGCCAAGCGTTGCGCTGCCCTTTTCAGTGGCGTGCCAGCGCACCAGGACATCATCATGTGCAGTTATGAAGGCAGTTGAGCGAGGGTGTTGTGTACCGGCTGAAGATTGTATCAGTCTGCTGCAACGGCCGCTTCGACGAGGTGATCAGTGTAGCGTGGACACAAGTCACATCAAGCATTGTGGTCGAGAACTTCCAATCTGTTGGAGCAGCGAGAGCCTACTGGATATGGCAAACATTTTTTTCATTCTCGGGTCTTTCCTTCGACCGTGGATGTGTTTAGGACATTTACTCTGCCCACCCCACGCCCACTAGTCTAGCTAATCTGAAAGTCGACAAGAAGGCTCCAGCTTCTGGCAACACCGACATCACCTTCCCATGACCTCCCCCAGCACCTCCAAAATTACACCTACACGCTATCTCTTCACCGCACCGAAACCCTCTCCACCTCAGTCCCATCAACCAGCAGCACCAGCTCATTGCCCTCCTCCACAATCGTGGCCTGGCGGCTCCCGAACCACCGCACGGCCTGGTAGTACACGTCGGCGGTGAACCGGCACGAGTCGCGCGCCGACTCACGCTCGCACTGGTCGTACAGGTCCTCGCGGAAGTTGTTGTCGATGCGGAGCTTGCCGGCGTCGTCGAAGCGGCCCTGCGCCTTGTAGTTGCGGTAGCCAAAGTCGTGCCGGTAGCATGACGACAGAAAGTCGAAGCCGAGCGGGTTGTCCGGGGAGCTGGAGCACCCGTCGGACGACCAGTCCAGGGTGGCCGGGTTGCGCGCGTCGCGCGAGGCGATGAAGCTGCCGATCGAGGCCGTGAAGAGGAGACGGTCGGTCTCGGCGTTGAGGGCGGCGGTCTGCCGGGAGGAGAGGAGGAGGGCGGTGGTGGTGGAGGTCTCTTGGGATGGGGAAGAGACGGGGATGGGGTTGGAGAAGCCCAGGGCCACGAGGGCCGAGAGGATGAGTGTGGACTTCATTTGTGAAAAAGTGGCGTGTGCAGGCCGTTCTTCAGGATGATTGTTCCTTAGGATGTGTTTCCGAGCAATCTTTGCCACGGGTTCAGGTGACCGTATTGAGCACAGTGGTGTACTGGCTGGACGATCCGCGTTTCTGCAATGAGGAGCCAAGGACCAGCTGTAAGTGGCTGTGACGTCCAGGATAAGTACGAATGCGGAACCACTGCACAGCAAAACCTGGGTCACACCAGAAGGAACAGGCACTGATGTTGTGCTGTATCGCAGGTCTTGAGGCTCAGGCATCGTGGGTGACTTCGAGGTATTTATACTGTTGTCCAGCCTCAAGCACCACCAGGGGTGCATGGTTGGGGTTGGTATAAACCGGCTCGATCCGTTTGCTTTTCTTGCGGTCAAAGGAAGTGTCACAGCATAGGACAGGGCACATTCCCTGCGCTTCCACCCTGATTCGCCAATCTCACCCCAGGTCTACGTGTGGCTAGGCGACGAGATCGACATGTGGAGGTTGCGACACCAAGAAGATGCCCAGGCTTTTTCACGGTGTGGTACCGTAGCTGCGTGTCTTACTATTGGACCCCCCACCTTGGGCCCCACGGCCTGTTAGAGGTCGCGGTTTGAATAATGGTCGAACTACCGTGGAATGGAGCAGGGCTAGGAACCGATGCGACGTGTGCAAGTTGCATGGCAGCTATGCCCTGGAAGGCAGCTCGAGAAGGTTTCTTGATGTCAGGGCTGGACTTGGCCTTGCACCGCTGGACCAATCTGGTGACAGGCGGAGAGTTGCCCCGAGGTATGAAGTCACAACCGCCTTCCAAGGTTGGAGATGGGGGTGGGGTGACTTGAAAGACATCAGGGAAGGCTAGGTGCCAAGAGTCATCGTCGTCAGCTTTGCCAAACTGGGGAGCCGTCTTGTTCCGTGAATAGATGGGACGGCTGTGGGGAAGTCGGCGGCAGTTGTTGTTAGGGTGGGGAGGGGGGCCGGTGGTTGTTTGCCGTGTTGCTGGTAGCTCTCGAAAGGACGCCGCAATTGGTCGGTGCATTCTTCATACATGTACAAGACTGGGGACAGAAATGGTGCCGGCGTCTGGAGTCGCCAGCATGGACCCCCCAATTTGGGCACCAAAGTCGTATTGCACCCTTAATGAGCAAAAACCTCCACTTTCCGCGCAACTGCAGAGGGTCATTTAGTGCCATGACCATGTTAGGTATATGTCACAGGCTAACCCCAGCCTCGCTGCAACTCTGGCAGAAAGCATAGCCCACGTTGTGACAGGCCGAGCTCGCAATTGGTCAGTAACGGCCTGTAGCGACATCTCCTCCCGCCCGTCGGTGTCCGGATGCAGATCGCAACCAGCGACACCAGTGCAGTGGATAGTTCCGGGCACATGGCCTCAAGTACTTCTGTGCGACTGCTCATGACCGGGGAGCTGTTGCTGCCAAGCCTGCTTCTGCCGGCTGGAAAGGTCCGATGTGCAACGTCGTCTGACGTTGACTGCAGCAATGCAGTCGTAGTAAGCTAGGGCGAAGGAGGCAGGTCATTCTCAGGATAGCCTGCTTTTTAAGTAACCAAGACAGGACGATCATTCAGCTGGATAGTCAGGCCGTGTTACGCGAGGTTGGTACGCCCGTGCCACTCTCTGACACCACCACGTCCCAACAGCCTCGACTTGAAGAGTATGCACTTAAATACACATTGTTATCACATCCAAACCCATGTAACTCAGACCGCCCTCGTATTTCGAGGTCGTTGTTGTCGAGTGTGACCTCTCTATCATTGATTGGATATGGTCCACCTTCGCTTATCTTTGCCTGCGTGGTTCCCAGCATTATAGGATGCCACCTGCATAGTCGTGTGACTGCAAATATGAGTGCCCTGGCGCTCCATCGTCACGGCTTGTAACACCCCTGTGCACATCAAGTCTCGACAACTCCATTCCATTAAGCGTGTCCCATCTCGAAGACGCGATTTGCACCTCACTCCCAGGCATACTGGATAGTTTTGAAGCCACCAGGGCGCGTGCAGGTTGTGTCACAGGCCGGCGAATTCACAGTCCCAGACTCGCGAACAACGACGCCGTCTCTGTCCAAGACAGCCTGCGTGCGAGCTTTTAATAGTCATCGTCAACTCATGATCCAGCTCAGAACCTAGCAGTAGTAGTTAGCACCGACTCAAACCCGAGCATGAGGGGCGCCTCGACATACCTGATCTCGTACGAGCCTGCCCTAGTCATGTACCGAACCCACTTGACGCTGGAGTAATTGCTTTTCTCGAAAACCTTCAAGTACCGCACAAGCAGACCCGAACTCGTAAACATGAGAAGGCTAAAGTTCAGGCTCAGTGGCGGCCTCGACCACGCTTTTTGGTTCGTCATGCTTGTCAGCTCGGCCTCAGCACTGAGCACAAACTCGCTCTGGCCAGTGAAGCGACCGATCTTCCATATTATGTTGTTCTCGCTGGGCTCGTACTTGGCCTTGCCCTGTGTGCAGCGCTCCGTGATGCGCGCCGTGTTGAGTGGCGTTGGTACCCTTACAACAACGTTTGTCGCAAAGAGCTTGCTGCCAAAGTTTGCCTTGACTGCAATGCTATATTCAACTTTTGTCTTGCCGACCTCGTTCACGATGGCGTGCACTTTGAATGGCAGATTGACATTTTCGGTGGCTCGATACCGCATCAGCTCGAATTCTCCGTCTGGGGGCACGAACGAGATGATGCGGTCTGAGTCGAACTTGCCAAGCTTGACACATTGATGGAACTGGCAATCCTCGAGAGTGACGCTGCCAGCCGCGGCTTTCGTCGCCTTTGTCCCCAGCCTGTTTCCGCTCGGTAATGTCTGCAGGCCGTCGTGGTCGAGTAGTAGGCGATCGTTCAAGCCGAACTTGCATTCTGGCGTTCCTGATAGGTATGCTCGCATTATGATTTGGCCTGTCACATCTGCGCGCAGTACTGTGCCGGTCGCCGACATGAGCAAGTTGACATCCTCAATGACGTCGACAAAGGCTTCGTTCTTTCGGTACTTGACGTCTGCTTTTCGCCATGACAGAGCACCCGTGGCTTGCATTGTGATTTTCGCAGAATCCTCGGCAGCACGCTCGGACTTGACGCCTTCGGTCGTTATATACATTTTGAGTGTGTCGGTCTCTGTGTTCTGCGGATAGCCGAAGTCGATGATCTCTGTAGCAATTCTCTAGTCAGTGACAAATGCGTCAGGCAATGACCGCCTCCCGGCATCCAACTCACCGTCTAGGAGTTCATAGACCAAGACGAAGTTGTTCTTGACAGCCTCCTCGTCAAATTTGCCAAAGTAGCCTCGGCCGAGCTGGATCAGCCGGTACAGAAATTCGAAGACGAGCGCCGCATTGGCGTTGCTCTTTGTGATGGCAACCAAGTAAATGTTTTCGTGCTTGACATGGCTGAAGGTGGTGCTGCCGAGAGTGAGGATAGGCGAGCGGACCTGAGGGTTTGAGATGACCTGGATGCGGAAGACGTCGGCGAGGCGCGGGCGGCAGTCGTTGCGGAAGGCGCGGAAGATGAGGTTCTCGCCCTTCTGATTGAATATAAGGACGCCGGACAACATGGCGCCGACGACCCGAGTTTGGTCGGGGTGGAAGCCTGGCGGAGTGGCTGTCGAACAAGGGCCAGGTAGGGAACAGGGAAGCTGTCAATTGAGGGAGCGGCTGTCGTCGGGTGGAGGGTTGTGCCAGGTGTCGCGAAGTGTGGTGTGCTGCGCTAGAGTGGATGTCAAGAGGTGATGCGATCGCCATCCCCTATCTTGGAAGCTCAGCTAAGCAGGCCCAAGAGTGATCGAGACAGGGGCAAGGGTCTGCGGGGCAGGAACAGAGCCAAGCCGTGCCTTCCCCACACGTGGCACCAGACCCGCGTCCGACCAGGCTTTGTTGAAGACCTCATTCTCTCCGGCGCTGCTCAGAGGACGGCCGAGGACAGCATCCCAATGCACTGCATTGTCGTCTGATTCAGCTTCAGTCTCGCCTTGCACACGATCATCCATAATCGCGGATGCAACCCAGATCTCGCCTTGAGACGGGCTTCCGAGAGGGACATCCCTGCTGAGAGCAACCCTTGTGACCATCAGGCGGGACACCTTGCGGCGCCGTCCATTGTCCCTCAGCCACATCATGATTGACTGCAATATCATCAACGGCGCACTACGCCTCTTATGATGCTGAGCTGACGAACCTGCATCCATTCTGGAAAGGCGATGTATCCCGCAGCGCAGGTTCAGGCTCAAATTGCCTCGCCGCGCACACCAGCTGGGACTACCGACATGCTCGCTGTGACGCTGGCCCCTGTCGGCAGACTCGAGAGCCCGGCACTTGACCAAAGCCCTCCGGTAGTCTGACCCTCGTCGCCAACTCGCCCTTCTCCGCATATTCCCCATCTCGGCCACCCTGGAGCTTGGTCCTCCGAGTTAAGCAATATCCCATCGCCAATCCTTGCTTGTTTCAATCGCACCTCAAGGCTGACCGCGACCTTCACCTGGTCGCCTGGCGCGCCCACCGTAATGATGGCCCCGTCGTGGAGACTCGCTGTGACAGTAGACGGTAAAGTTGGTCCCCGAGCGGCCTCGTAGAGAGCTGGTTGCCGAGAGGCAAATATACCGAATGGACCCGCCAACATTGTTCTGGACGGATCGTCGAGCCGAAACCCGTCAAGTCTTTGCCAAGCAACTCCATGAGCTAGTTGTGATTGGTATTGCATCAGTGGCAGTCGGTCCCTCACACGCCGCCATATTGAAGTTGATTTGGGACGGGCTGTGTTGATGAATGCAACTGGTTAGGTCGACAGTCTCGGGCGTCATACGATGGACCCCAAGGGAGTCGTCGAGCTTAAAGGGAGCACTCTTCGCCTTCTTCATCCAACATGTTTCCTCACGAGCAAGCTCTTCTCATCAAGGACCCCTAAGAATTCCATTCTCCACCGCAAACATGCTCGCTAAGTGGCTCTGCCTTTCGGCTCTGAGCTCCGTGGCTCTGGCCGCTCCTGTGGTCGAGGAGCGCCAGGTTACCGACGTGCCCACCGCCACTGTTGAGGCGCGTGCTGCCACGACCGCCACCTACACAGGCAACCCTTTCGCTGGAGTCAACATGTGGGCCAACTCGTTCTACGCATCCGAGGTTTCTGCCTATGCCGTCCCTACTCTGGGTGCCAACGCCGCCAAGGTCGCCAAGGTTCCCAGCTTCCAGTGGATGTAAGTCGTCCCCCAAGCCTCCGCGATGGGTCAGTACTGACAAAAAGATGCCGTCAAGTGACACCAAAGCCAAGATCGCTGTTGCTGAGAACACCCTGAAGGAGATCCGTGCTGCCAATGCAGCTGGAGCCAGCCCGCCCAACGCTGCCATCTTCGTTGTGTACGACTTGCCCGACCGTGATTGTGCCGCCGCGGCGTCCAACGGCGAGTACAGCATCGCCAATGGCGGTGTTGCCAACTACAAGGCCTACATCGACGCTCTCGTCGTCCTTTTCAAGGAGTACTCTGACATTCGCCTTCTGTTGCTTATTGGTGAGTTCAGGCTTTCAGTTTATCCAATTCTGATGTCGTTATCTAACTTCAATGTTCAGAACCCGACTCGCTCGCCAACATGGTCACCAACATGAACGTTGCCAAGTGTTCCAACGCCAAGTCGGCGTACCTCGAGTGCACAAAGTACGCCGTCACCAAACTCAACTTGCCCAATGTCGCCATGTATCTCGATGCTGGTCATGCTGGCTGGCTCGGATGGCCCGCCAACATTGGTCCCGCTGCCGACCTGTTCGCGCAACTGTACAAGGACGCTGGGTCGCCAAAGGCTCTTCGCGGACTCGCCACCAACGTCGCCAACTACAACGCATTTTCCCTGTCTTCTGCACCTAGCTACGCTCAGTCAAACCCCAACTTCGATGAGCAGAGATACATCAACGCGCTGCAGCCTCTTCTCAAGTCTCGCGGCTGGGATGCCCGCTTCATCGTTGACCAGGGCCGTAGCGGCAAGCAGCCTACTGGCCAGGCTGAGTGGGGTGATTGGTGCAACGCCATTGGCACTGGTTTCGGTACCCGCCCTACCTCTAACACTGGCAACTCTCTCGTTGAGGCTATCGTTTGGATTAAGCCTGGTGGTGAGAGTGATGGCACCAGCGACACCTCTGCTGCTCGTTACGACTACAACTGCGGCAAGTCTGATGCCCTCAAGCCTGCGCCCGAGGCTGGCTCGTGGTTCGAGAAGTACTTTGAGCAGCTCTACAACAACGCGAACCCGTCCTTCAAGTAGGCGGGTGCTGCTATCAGGTAGATCCATCACAAAAACTGGCCAAGTATACCAGCAGATCGTGTCGGGCTTGCAACTGTTAAGACATCAGATCTGTTGACACGGAAATTGGCGACTTGGAGTCGCATTTCTCTACCTGAACCTTCCCGGTTTCTTGTCGAGTATATATCTCTAGGTACCTCGAATGTCAAAAGAAAATCCAGGCAAGGAAAAGAAGCGGAACCGTGTTATGCCTAGAGAAGCCTAAAACCCAAGGCCTTCGGGCTGTGTGACATGTGCTGTCAATTGAGGTCGAACGCCATGCCATTGACCCCAAAACTAGACCACTGCCCAAACAGGAAGTCCGGGGTCACTTCGTCCGACAAGGAGGTGTGCTTGTCAAATAAAGCCTGTTAGCTTCGGTACGGTGGAGTGGTAGGTTGAGCTGGCAGTGCATAAAAACAGCGACCATGTTATGCTTAGCAAAGCGCCTAGACACGTACGTGCAAAGAAGAGTCATTCTTGACTTTGGTCAGCGTTCCGGGATTTGCAAAGCCTTGCGCTGGACTTGTGTTATTCGTTGCAGTCCGCTCAGTTACTGGTGTATCCGCAGTTTCACGCAACAGTTCAGCGGTTAGATCCATACAAATCCCACGAAAAAGACGAGAGACTCGACGATTACGAATTGATCTTTGACTAACGGTCTTACCACCGTCCGCCACGGGTATATTCAGCATAGCGAGCCTGCATTGTGCGGCGATTTTACCAAAAGCCTCCGCCGAATCAAGTCTATGGCTGACGCCAGGCTCTCATCCAAGATATATGTACTGGATGATCAAGCACGTTGGCTACAAATAAGCACCGTAAGAAGGTTGACTGTGGAGCTTCTTAATGCAATAGAGCTTCGTACCGCCATTGCGTTTTGTCTGTTCTGTGTGGTATGGTGTGGGGTGGGAGAGATCGAGACGGGTTTACCCCGGATTTGCCCTAGCTGGCACCGTGTTACCGCTTCTGGGCCCGCGCTTCGTGCGGGGCAGAGATGCTCGCTCGCCTGCTGGATCCAATACCGTGTGTCATTGATCATCGGCATGTAGGACGAGCATCGGACACGGCCTCCAAGCCGATATCAGCCTAAGAGCCAAGGCCTCGCGGTAAGGTGTTGTGACCGGATTGCCCCATCCGGCAGTTCCGCGCTCTAGCGTCCACATTAGGGGGTTCTGGCTTTGGTGCGGGGAGCACCCGTTCTTCTCCACGGCGGAGGGGATCAGTTGACCCTGCAGGACACACGGTTGGGGTGAGTCGGCAGTTTGTGTTTCGGGAAGGGATGTTTAGGCTTGCTTGCCTTTTCGAGTCATGGCCTGGCTGTCTTTCGTCGGTATGCTTGTCCTGGAGCCGCGTATCGCGTTACTGGGCACATCCATGGACCGGTCAATCATTCGTTAAGACGACACATCGCTTTGGCAAATAGAGCCTCAGAACATGGCTGAGGGAACCGGCACACTCGAGGCGGCACGGGAAAGACGCGCATTCCCAGTGGCTGGTTCATGAGCATCGCAATGCTCAAAGAACAACGCTGGGTCACCGGTGCACGTATTCTTGCGGGTGGGAAGGCGACCCCTCACGCGGCAAGCGGAGGAGTAGTAGCTCCCCCCTCATTCAGACGGGAAGTTTATTCCGGGACCTCGCGTGTTCTGTAAGTGAACATTATTTAATTCAAGATGGCCCGCTGGTTATTTCCTCTCGTCTGTTTCTGGAGCTTCTGCCCGAATGAATCAGGCTTCAGCAAACGAAAACACTGCGAAGCCATTGCGAGGTGGTTCTAGTAGCAGCATTCAAATCGGTAGAACGTTCCGACCAGACTTTTCCTGGTGATTGCGCCTGGGACGAAGACACATCTCAGAACTCCATACGGGAGTCGTCCTTCTTTCAGATAGAGACCACCGCCACCGGCGCCTCACAGGCTGACCATTCTTGTCTGTCTGAAAACCATTACACACATATCCAAGTCGACACCCTCTTCTCCTGGCCTGCACGCCCAACATGCGAGCTCTGCGCTACTACGCCCCGCAGGACCTGCGTCTCGACACCGACGTGCCCGAGCCGCAGTGCCAGCCGCACCAGATCAAGGTGCGCCCGGCGTACATTGGCATCTGCGGGACCGACCTGCACGAGTACCACCACGCGCAGAACTTGATCCCGCTGCCCGGAAACCCGCACCCGCTGACGGGCGACACGCCGCCCGTCGTCATCGGGCACGAGTTCTCCGGGATAGTGGTCGAGGTCGGCGACAAGGTGGGCGCTTTTGGCAACGGGACCGCTGGGGAAATGATCAGGCCCGGTGACCGGGTGGCCGTGCAGCCGACGCTTTATTGTCGCGAGTGTGTGCCGTGCAGGCAGGGCCACACGAACTGTTGCACGCGCAATGGGTTCCTGGGGCTGAGCGGGCGGGGAGGCGGGCTTGCGGACTATGTGTGTGCGGATGCGGACGCCGTGTTCAAGTTGCCGGACTCTGTGCCGCTCGAGGTTGGTGGTGAGTTTATTGTTTCCCCCCCTCCCGCCTTGCTCCTTCGAGAGCCCCCCGGCCCGGTCCTAGTCTACTGAGATTCACCACACTGCACAGCCCTCGTCGAGCCTCTGACAGTAGCATGGCACGCTATCTCCATCTCCAACATCAAGCCCGGCGACAACGTCCTCGTGCTTGGCACAGGCCCGATCGGCCTCGCCGTGATCCAGTGCCTCCCGTCCTTCGGCGTGGGCAAGATCATTGCCGCAGAGATGGCGGGCGAGCGGCAGGTCTTTGCGCAGAAGTATGGCGCGACGCACCTCATCGACCCCGCAAAGGAAGATGTGGTGGCCAGGTGCCTCGAGTTCGGCGGCGGGTACGGCCCCGAGATCGCCTTTGACTGTGCGGGCGTGGAGAAGAGCCTGGACGCGGCGACGAGAGCGGTCAGGGCGAAAGGGACCGTGGTGAACCTGGCCATCTGGCATGGCAAGGTCGGGTTTGACCCGAACTCGCTGGTGTTTCACGAGAAGAATTACAAAGGATGTGAGTATTTCTCGCAGCCGACGATGAAAACTGTTGAACTAGAGCGGGCGGTTTCTGACGTCATATCACCACAATCCACAGCACTGTGCTTCCTTCCGAGCGACTTTGGCAAGGTCATTGAGGCTCTGGAAAAAGGCACCATCAAGCCTCAGGAAATGATTACCCGCAAGATTGCGCTGGACCGGGTTGTCGAGGACGGCTTCGAGGCGTTGATCCACGAGAAGGACAAGCACGTCAAGATCATGATTGACATGGGCATAGGGGAGAAGTGAGCGGTTCACAAGCATGTGGAAATTGGTAGGCGTTGTAGTAGAGGGAGGGGTGGGCAGGCGTGGTGTGGTTGAATTCTTGTTCACTCCGTGTGATCAAGGGAGGAATGGTTTTACTTTTCCAGGGCGAACTGATTCTTTGCCCATATGGCGAAGAAATTATGTGACACTAAAATGTAGAGAGCGGCCGATGAGCAGCTTTTGATGGCTCGAAGGACGAGTGCACTCAAAGGATGCATACAACACCTTCGTGGCGATCATACGCTCTGCTGTGAGGAACAAGAATGTCCGATCTTAGTCAAACATAATCACAATCCCGCGGTTGCAGCTAAGCCGCATCCGACAGCTGGCATCGAAGCGAGTTTCCGGTGAAAGCAACAGAAGCATCGCGAGAATAATTAGAGGCGCAAAGGTCGTAAGGTGACGCATGCTCCGCCAACCTCCAGCAAGCCTTGGTTGCCCGGTCCAGGGAAGTACCTCCTGGAAGGGGATGGCATTGAGTCAAGCGGATCTCATTGCAACTGCCGGCATGAACACGCCGATCGCGAGCACTGCCGTGCGGCAGATGTTACAGGAATAGAAACTTGGGTGCATTCCCTGCTCCGTAGACCTGCAGGCAAGCCTAGAGCACGTGCCTGTGCAGCTCACAGCAGACAGACAGAGAGCGACGACCCAGCCGGCCGGAGAAAAACCAACACGACTTGATCGTTCTCCGCCCGAAATGTGGGGCACAAGTCGTGCTGGCCCCAAGAGCGGGCGGTGATTGGCTCGCGGGGACACTCAACTGCCGAAACGGGATGTTTGGCAGTCCCGCTGGGGCCCGCTTACTGTGATGAGCAACCATCGTCCAGCTGGGGGATCCCTTTTGTTGCAGGATCAAAGTGTGGAAGATCACAAGCATGGCTCTTCAGCCGTATACATCGATTTCTCGACAGATGGCTCTGCCTCATGCGAATTGTCAAGTACATGCTGCAGCCCAGTCTCTGCTTCTCATGGTCTGGTAATAGAACAGCAATGGCTCCTCCTGGAGTCCCGGCTCCCTCACAAGCCCATGCCATCTCCAAGGATCACGGCTGGCACATCTCGAATGACTCTTTAGACCATAAAGCCGCAGTGAGCTACCTTGTGCTTATCTAAGCTTGCGTCACTGCAGTGCAATCTACCGGCAAGACCGGCCACCCATGCTCGGGGTGCCGGAGTGCATATCAAACCCCCTTTCCCCGCCGGAGCATTCTGCCATGCGGCTCAGCCGCAGCACCAATGCCATGGACACGCTCGAGGCCGTGGTTGGCGCTAGTGCATCGACCGGCCGCCGAGTCGTCACAGGACACCACCAATCGTCGTAGAGTGCTGGGAGAAGGCTGTGCGGATCGGAACCCTCGCCGTGGTGTACGGAGGCTGTCTGGCGGTCAAGCAGCTTGCTTTCCGCTCCGGAGTTCGGGCTCGCAGGCTTCGGTGGGCGTGGCTCTCGCTTTATTCGCCGGTGTCCTTATTTGTGTTGCGCTAGTGCTGTGCCACATCGCGTCGAGCACTTATCGAACCTATTTTTGGTGGACACCGGAGGTTAAGCATGGTGCTTGTTGACATCATTTTGGGTTGCTCCCGTTTGATATAGCCTGTCCGCCCTCCATTGTTCACTTTTCCTTCTCATAACTCATGCTGGCGTTCTAGTCTTCAACTGTATAACAGATTGTAATTGCCAAGACGGGGATATTGTGCAATCTTTTTCTTGGCTCAATAACGAGAGAACGAACACGTTCGCTTCGACGCTGTTGGAAGTCACAAGCTGTCCCCTTGGTGTTGCAAACAACCACAACCATGGACCGCCTTCCGCAAGAAATAATAGACCACATCGTGTCGTACCTGGCTCCTAGACACCTACGGCTCAAGAGCCCATACGATAAGAAGAGGACAGCAACGTCGGCATCTTCTTCGTCGTCGCCGCCAAGCATATCGGCATCATCATCCACAACATCACTATCATCCACACTCACCGGAACATCGTCACGCTACTCGGCCTCTTCCTCTTCAGAGCCTACAACATCCCTTGCCCCGCTGGCAACCATATCCCGCAAATGGCAGAAGTCTATCGAGCGCCTGACCTTCCCACACATTAGGCTTGCCAGTGACGAACTACCCACCTTCCGCAAGACCTTCTCCTCCCTCAGCGGCCCCTCTGGCGGCAGGCACAGCAGACAGCAACGGCGCCAGCACCTCCTCAAATCCCTCACTTTCGACATCGTCCTCCCTTCCTACTCCCGCGAGGCCAGCACGCGGATCGAGACCCTGGCGGAGCGCCGGGCCAACGACGTCGCGTACACGACGGCGATCCGCGCGCTGTTCCGAGTCCTCAAGACATGGGAGATTGAGGACCCGAGTCTGGCCGCCGGGGTGGGGGACAGCAAGAATGGCCTGCGGCTGTGCATCAACCACCCGTTCTCGCGGAGCGACCGGCCGTATTCAGTGGAAGGGGAGTGGGACTGGGCTGATTCCGTGCTGGACGGGAGTAATGCCGGCAGCACCACCAGCACGAGAGCCTCGATCCACGAGGGCAGATACTTCCACCACCATATCGCGCTGCTCCCTGACGACCCTTCCTCTTCTCCTTCTTCTGCTTCTTCCACTTCTCCCCCCTCCTCCTCCTCCTCCATATCCCTGCCAGTCCTGCACAGCATCAGCGAGCTCGTGATGAAGCAGCCCCCGAACCGGTGGGGGTTCCGCATGACATACGCGAAAGTGCCCTACCTGCTGGCCAGCAGGATGCCCAACCTCGAGGCGATCGACATTGACGTGAGCGACAACGAGAAGCGCTTCCCCACACTGCGGCGGCAGAACCGGCTCGAGCTCGCCGCGGTGATGGCAGCATTGGACCTGCCGAGGCTCAAGCGGGCCGAGATGCTGTTCTTCCAGATGCGCTGGCGGGATCAGCGGGTCGCTCCGCCGGTCTTGACGGTGCGGGATGGTGGCGATGGGGAAGAGTATGACCCGTTGAGCCGCGCGATCTGTGAACTCGCAGGGAGGGCGGGGGGTCTGACGGATTTGACGGTCACGGGGGTGGTTGATCCGGGTCTTCTCCGTGGACTGCCCGACGACGGGGCGGGGAAGAAGAAGGGCTGGAAGCAGATGCGCCGCCTCGAGATCAACTTTTATGAAACGACCCCTTCGGGAGGGTGGTACTTTACCGGCCGGCCTCCGCGTGATGCACTCCCGCCGCAGTTTGACATTGACGATTGGACGACGACCGATGGCGACAGCGGGAATATGGTGGTTGCGCAGGATGTTTCGGAGCTCGGGGACGAGCAGTTCAGCTTTGCCCGCGAGGCCGGGCTCGCGGCCATGGAGCCCCGGAACGTGTTCCGCACGACGCCCTGCGCGGAGACCATGGCGCCCCTGGTCGAAGCCTTCGCCGAGGCGACGGCGCGGATGCCCAGGCTCAAGACGGCCATGCTCAACTGCACCACGGACTCGGCGGAGTTCAACTTTGCGGGTGGCGGTGGGTTGTTCGCAGAGGACGGGGGAAGTGGGAGGCCGGACTGGTTCGTGTTGGCGTACATGGAGCCTACTTCTCCGAGAGAGCCTGCTGCTGGGAGGAGAGTGGATGAGATGATGGATGGTGATGCCGAGCGGCTCAGTGCGCACATGACGACCCGCTGCCGCCGGACGAGGTCGACCAGCCAGGCTGCTGTGCAAAGGCAGCTCGTCACATCTCTGATGGGGTGGCAGCCAACGAAACAGTTGCAAAAGAAGCTGACGACCGTCCAGCCCGATTCCCGCGCCGAGGTTGTGGTTGAGAAGGACATGGATACGTGGTTGATGGAGCAGGGCCAGCTGCCTATCGTCGTTTCCTAGAGATATGGAAGAGTGGAGATTGAGTTTCGTGGTCATTATATGGCCTGAATGAGGTGAACCTTACAGCATTCTCTAAATAGCATGGCATAGCATTGTTTTCGAAGTAAACACAACTTCCAACCTCCAACTTTTGGACAGAGATAATGATGTTCAACTGTCCTGCTGTCGAGATCTTCGTCAAGCTTTGTGTCTATGTTAACATGTTCTTATCAGATTCGGTCTAAGAGGAGCGCGAGCAGCTGAATTCTCTTGTAATACGTGATAGCATTGTTCGTTATTGGCTCGACGAAGTTGTTGACTCTTGGAGCAAGTGGTTGCTCCAAGGAGATGTGTGACGTGATTGGCTGCTATTTTTGGACAATCTGGACGCTAGCATGGGGAGGAGCCAGGCCAGGCCAGTGGCATTTCTTGGTCTTGACGGAGCAACGGACGGTCCGCCATGATGGAATTGGGGGGAGATCCCAGCTAGCCTCGAAGCAGCAAGGCTGGAGGCGGCCCACGCGGCTCCGACCTGACCTGACCTGCCAAGTCTGCTTGTCAAGGTGTCGGCCAGAGGAGTGTGATGATGCTTGTCCCGTGAGGACCTCCCGTGAGGACCTCCAGTGTGGGTTCTTGGCCTTGACAGTGGCGTTGGTGTGCATTTCTTTGTCCTGCGTATCTTGAGACGGAAGGATGGATTGATGGATGGCCGGGTCTGGACCCAGCCGCGTGCGAGCAATTGGCTGGGAGCAGGCTGGCCGTCGTCACTCTGGTCTTGTCCTGTCTTGTCTTGGGTGTGTTGTGCGTGCGTGCCCACAAAGTCAGCAGCCGTAGCCGCCCTGCCGTGTGATGGCTGCAATGTGACTGGCTGGAGGCTTGCGTGCCCGTCACCTGCGTGCGTCCCTCGTCACACACGGTCCCGTCGCACCCTCTGCCCAGGCCGGAAGCCCTCACTCCCCCTCACTCGTGCCTTGGCAAGACGTGCCTGACTCTGCCCTGTGGTTCTCTGTGCCATGGATGAATATACCGCATAGCCGTTGTTGCACTATGCATGCTTGCCAACAAGAGGGTTGTTGTGCACGCTCCCCAGGGCGGCCACGCCCGCACATGGTCGCCCAAGGCTGCACCACTTCCCTTAGCGCCTGCTCCTGCCTCCTGCCTCCTGGGTGTAAAAGTACCCCTTTGGTGCACGCAGCGCTTAGGAGTACCTCCTGTCCGCCCCCAGCGCCCCCGTCCAGCTACAGGGCCCTCTTGTCGCCAGCCTGCCCAGGCGGGCCGCCTGCCTCCTGTCGTCCCGCCGCTGGTGCCGTGCCCGTGCTGCCCAAACGCTGCCGAACAAGAAACAACACCACGACCACGGACCTCGACTTGGTACAAAACCACAACATCCACGACCACGACCACCAGCACGACAGCCGTCACCCATCCCGACCCCTCGCTCGCACGCCTGCCTTCGCGCATCGCATCACCAACATCGCCGTCGCTCGCATCGCATCACCCCCAAGACTCTCAACCCCAGCTTGGTCAGCACCCGCCGGCTTCCAGGGATCCCCGCCATCTGATTCCCACCGCTGTCGCCACTCCTCCCGTCCCGGGCTGGCATCACGACGACCGCTCCTGGCATGCGTTCGGCTGCCCCGTCTCTCGATGTCATAGCCGACCGTGGCCGCTCTGACTCGTCCTCACCTCCCGCAACACCCGCCGCCTCGCCGCCTCCCAGCACCGGCCTCGTCCACCGCCCCCTGGCCTCCGTCATCATGGCTGCTGCCGACGAGACGCGCGACTCGAGGGCCTCGTCATCCTCCAACTCCCCCGCTCCGCCCGACAACGAGGAGTCCGACTTCTACCTCGGAGCCAACGACTCGCAGACCTCCCTCGGCGTCGTGCCCAACATGCAGGACATGCAGGTTAACGACCCCGAGTGTACTTCAACCATCGCCGCCCTCCCCAGCGAGATCCTCATCAGCATCTTCTCGCGCCTCTCCGATGCCTCAGACCTCTTTCACGCGATGCTCGTCTGCAAGAGGTGGTCGCGGAATGTCGTCGAGATCCTGTGGCACCGCCCTGCCTGCTCGTCCTGGAAGAAGCACCATGCCATCTGTGCCACCCTCGCCCCTCAGCGTGACGTTGGCCAGCCAAAGCCCTACTTTGCCTATGCGGACTTTGTCAAACGCCTCAACCTCGCTGCACTGGCAGAGCACGTCAGCGATGGCAGCGTCCAGCCGCTTGCTGTCTGTTCGCGGGTGGAGCGTCTCACCCTCACAAACTGCAAACAACTCACCGACTCGGGGCTCATCCCACTCGTGACGAATAACCACCACCTCCTCGCTCTCGACATATCTGGAGACGAGAACATAACAGAAAACACCATCATGGCCATTGCAGAGAACTGCCGTCGCCTGCAAGGTCTCAACATGACTGCGTGTAAGAACGTGTCCAATGAGAGCCTCCAGACCCTGGCTGAGAATTGCCGATATATTAAGAGAGTAAGTTTACCCCCATGTCCTTGTGTCTTTTCTCTGCTAACGCCGCACTCTTCCAGCTTAAACTCAACGACTGCTCTCAAGTCAACGACGTGGCGGTGCTTGCCTTTGCCGAAAACTGCCCCAACATTCTTGAGATAGATCTCCATAACTGCAGAGCAGTCGGCAACAAACCCATCACAACGCTCATGGCGAAAGGCCAGTCTTTACGTGAGCTGAGACTCGCCATGTGCGAGCGCATCGATGATTCGGCATTCCTCAACCTTCCCGCGTTCAAGATCTACGAACACCTGCGTATCCTGGACTTGACGTCATGTGCTCAACTTACCGACCTTGCAGTTGAGAAGATTATCGACGTGGCACCCCGACTCCGCAACCTCGTCCTGGCAAAGTGCACCAACATCACCGATGCGGCAGTCTTTGCCATTTCGAGGCTAAGCAAGAACCTCCACTACATCCATTTGGGCCATTGCCGCAACATCACAGATGAGGGTGTGAAGCGGCTGGTTTCGAGCTGCAATCGGATTCGCTACATCGACCTTGGCTGCTTGACGCATCTTACCGACGAATCGGTCACCCGACTTGCCACGCTTCCCAAGCTCAAGCGCATTGGCCTGGTCAAGTGCACCAACATCACCGATGCCAGCATGTACGCTCTCGCTCGTGCCAATCACCGCAGCCGAGCACGCCAGGACCAGCATGGTAGACCTCTACCCCACGAATACCACACAAGCAGCCTGGAGCGAGTACACTTGAGTTACTGCGTCAATTTGACACTGCCGGTACGTAGTCCTTGAGAATATGTTGTGTGCTGTCACGGCCGCAAGCTAACTGGTCGCAGAGCATTATCAAGCTACTCAATTGCTGCCCGAGGCTCACACATCTGAGTTTGACCGGTGTCACAGCGTTCCTGCGAGACGACTTGGAAAAATTCTGTCGCGATGCCCCAGCTGGTGAGTCCTCCCCGTAGCCAAGCCATCGAGCTGGTTGATCGAAAACCGCCTTCTAACACGAGCCAGACTTCAACGATCACCAACGTAGCGTGTTCTGCGTGTTCTCCGGTCACGGCGTCTCTGGCCTGCGAGCCTACCTCAACTCCAAAGACGAGTTTGCAGACTACCACGATCCACGGCGTGCTCCTCGGAGAGATGCCATCCCTGGCCCCTTCCCGCCCATAGACGGCTTGGACGATGTCGACGATATTGAAGATGATGACATGGGCGATGGCAGCGAGATTGCCCTCGACACTGGGAATGGAGTGGCGCACCCGCCTCCACCACCACCGCCACCACCAGCTCCGCGACCGGATTGGACTCAGGACCAGGGTGCTGGACAAGGAGAGCCAAGCGTTCTTCCGGGAACACCACAAGCCGCCCCGTTCTTCTTCCCTAGTGACACCCCAGTAACTGGCTCTCCAGCAATGGCTGTGGACACGGTCACCGCTACCACAATCCCTGTACGGGCGAACTCGACTACCGCACTCGATGGACTTAGCCTAGAAGGCTCTATGGCTCAGTCATCAGCGACAAACTCCTCTGCTGGGCCTAGCACGGCGGGTGCGACTCTGTTTTCACAAGGACCAGCCACAGGGCCGAGCACCGCTTCTATGCAAGGCCAAGAGCCTGAGAACGAAAGTTTGTCATAGATGCTGGGGCTTCGGCATCCTTCGTCTGCCCCAGAATCAAGGTGAACTGGGGATCGGCTCTATTGTTGAAGTGTGGGGTGTCGTTCTAATGGACTGCTATCAGGCCTGTTCGTGCGGTCAGAAGTGTGGGAGCAGAGGAAATCCCTTTGTCAGTGCCACCAGCCGGAATGAAGTTTTACAGCTCGAATATCATCGAACAGCATTTTTTCACAGCGAGGCGTTTTGACATTTGGAGCATTGTGGCAAGCTCCGGCACGACAAGGGGTCCATCTCGACGATTGGAATTTGTCATATTGGTTGCTTGAGGCGGCCCTCACATCATGTCCTGAAGTGGAATTTGGTGGTGTTTTCCCCCCGCTGATCAGCGTTGCATTTGAGTACAGTTCCATTGATGGGAGTATAGTGGATAACCCGTGGGATTGGCCAAGGGGACGATCCCGGATGCTGTGAGTGTGGGCCGGGGACTCCCGTCCAGCACATAGGCCGCAAACTGTGGGCATTCAAGACTTTTTAGAGAGAAGACTAGTTTGAATCAATATTCGCAAGTCAAATGTTAGTTCGATGGCGAGAGTGCAGAGCTGTGGTTCGTTGTCTAGTTCTGACCGTGGCTCTACGTGGTGACCGATGTGCTCTTTGGCAGTTTGTCGATCTTGCCCTTGGTGGCCAGCGTATGGCCGTTTGGACAGACGCCTGCATTCAAGGAAACCAAGACGCCTTGGATGTCTTCACTCCAGATTTGTTTTGCTGCTCTGATATGTGTCAAGCCCACGACAACTTCGTCGATCTCGGTAGGTCACGTAAGAAGGACAAGGTTCCTGGCAACTGCCACATCATATGAAGCTGCAGTCCTATTGCACAGGCTTTTTGGTGTCCGGAGCATCAATGGCAGAGGAGCAGCCGAGTATCTTCCAAGTAAGACGGAGGAACGGTCCTTTACTTTCCCCTGTCAGACTCGAGATCTCAATTAGGAGAGGTCCCGCCTTGCTTGATTAATAAAGAATAATACCTACGTACTTTGGCTTGTTGATCTTCGCTATGGACAAATTTGTCCGGAAATCCGGCCGGTGAGTATGTGGGGGAAGGAAGGGCTTCAATTCTCCAGTTGAACTATACCGTGGTTAAATAAACAGAAGGAGCGAGCGGCTACTACGTAGTAGGGACGAGGTTTGGACGCCGTTCGTGAGATGCATGCTGGCAACAAGATCAGGTGGTCCGGAACCCTTTTCCGCCCTTTGGAAAGACCCACCCCGGCTGGTGGTCGGCGGCGGCCGAGGCGCTTGACTTTTGGCCCAAGTTGGGATACAGTACAGAGGCACGCGCCCGCCCGCGCGAAGCCTTTTTCGGTCCAAAGTGGGGAGAGAGGGCGGCGGCTTTGACGCTCCCCCTGCGTTGCCTGAAGTTAGTTGATCGATTTGACTCCCGTCTCCATGCAGTCGGGAACGCCACGAGATCTGCTTTTTTGTTTTTTGTTTCTTGGGCGTCTTCCCGTGGCGGGCATGTCCGTTGAGGGGAGACTTTGTAACTCGTCCCGATGGGGACATTGTAAGCTTGCACGGCTGTTCTTGACACCCAGCAGTTTTGATTTCTTCTAACCTGTTTGTTCTTCTTGTCCCTTTTTCTCAGTTCCTTCTCTTCTTTCCTCTTCTGTATCTTTCACGCGACTGGTGCGCTTCGTTGTTGTTGCCACTTGCATGACTGAAGAAACTCGGCACTAGCCACTTGATCTCGCCCGTGCTGGCTACGAATTCTCAGGAAGTTCCGTGTTTTACCACTGACCAGGCCGGCAGGCCATTCTGCCGCGTCATTTGGACTCTTTGGTGCTTTCCCAGCCCGTGCGTATGGCGTATGGCTCTTTGGCCTATTCTAGCCTGCGAACCAAGCTGACACGAAGCGCGTGCTGGGTGACGCCACGAAATTTGCCAGATGCAAGCGAGATCTCCGCTAGATCGGGACCGGGTCGATCTCCGGAGAGTGGCCAGACCGTGGCGCGCGTTCCCCCCTTGCTATGCTCCGCTGGCAAGTGCCGCCGCCGCCCGGGAAGGCCTGGACCCGGGGCCCGAGATGGACGGATTGTACTTGGATGTGTATGTCAGCCCCCTTCTTACAAGAGGTTACTGCTGGCCGGCTGTGATGCTGTGGTTGAGTCCGGATCCCTTTGCTGCTGCCGGTGCGTGCACTCGTTTTGTGCCTGGACAGGTTCGACACTCGCTTTGTAAAGCCCGTTGGTGTTGTGGTGCTCTGTCTGCAGCATGAAGCTTTCAGTGTATCTGGTGCCGACGCTGGCACTGGCCGTGTCGGTGGCCGCGAGTCCGGGCAAGAAACACAGCTGTGGCAACAATCATACACCAACACATGCTTTGCTGTCCTCGGGGCCAGCAGGTATTGTGTGCACGAGGACGAGCACCGCCGTCAGAGTCATCACCAGCACGTCGACGACGACGTCGACTCCAGTGGCCGTCTTAATCACGACAACAAAGACGAGCACCTCGACGGGGACGAGGACGCAGGCCCAGGTGACCACCACGCTGAGCAGCACCGCGACCGTCTACACGACCGACACCCGGACGGCCACGGCCACGGCAAGCATCACCACCACTGCCGCCACCGCAGTGACCGTCACCAGCGTGTCTCCCACCGTCACCGTCGCGACCCCGGCCGGTTTCACCCCGATCGGCCAGGCATTCCCAGGCAACTCCAACAAGCGGCGGCGCAGTCCCATTGGGAAGCTCTGTACATCAACCACAGTCAAGACCATCACCAGCACCTCGACGTGCATCTCAACCTCGACCGTCAAGGCCGCCACGCCCACGTCGACCATCACTGCCCTCAACACCCGCTTCACCACGACCACCGTCCTCCCGCAGCCCGCAAGCACAATCCTAACTTCCGTCACCACCGCGGCGCTAACAATCACCACAACCACCACCATTACCACCATCACTGCCACCACAGCCACATCCACCACAACCCTCCTCATCGGCCCAGCCCCAACCTCCTACGCCGCCTGCGGCCCCGACAACTACCTCTCCACCTACCAAGGCATGCTCATCGGGGGTTTCGGCAGCACCAGCCCCGACGGGGGCACGCCCATCTCCCTCGCGGGATCCACAAAGGAGGAATGCTGCGCCAGCTGCATGGCCAACCCAACTTGCGCCTTTGCCGGCTTCGGCGTCGCGGCCCAGACCTGTCTCGGCTACGAGTTCCCCACGGGCGGGACGTGCGATCCCACGCGGCTCGCGGGCAATTTCTTCCCCCGGGATAATCCCGTGGCGGCGTATATCGTTATCCATGGCCCGTGTGGGCGGACCGAGCCGTCGAGTGGGCAGAAAAGAAGGCGGCAGCAGCGGCGGGTTTGAGACCAAACAACACAGGGGGGAAAGGGGAAAGGGGAGTTGGGAAATGGGATACAACGTGCGTGGGATGAGGTTGTTGTTGTGTGGAAAGGTGTTTTTGTTTTCAGAGTGTTATGCTGGTATGGCTTTGTTATATATCAATACTCTCTCATCTGGGCAAAGACGGCATGAGTCATGTACATATATTTATGCACAGGATATTATTCCTGGCGCTTTCCATGAAAACCCTTGGAATAATAGGTGGTGTCGGTTGTTTGCGCTGCACAGGGTTTCTTTTGTGGGTGAGTTCCGATGTTGATGAAATCAGCTGGTCGTAGAACGTTGTGTGGTTACCCCACAGTCCTCAAAGACAAAAACCCGAAAAAGACGTATTCTGTACCATGCCGTGACAAAGAACCACACTTCTGGTTCAGATTACAAGATCAAGCCCGTCCTTATGTGCTTTTAAAGTGCAACGGTCGACCGCGCTGCAAGATGGCAAGTAGAATCTGCGTCCAGATACACCCACCGTCACAACCGATTTCAGACCCGTAGCCCCTGCCTTGAATGCCCGATCACTGAGCAGGTGGGTTTGCTAGGTCACATGGCTTCTACTGTTAGGTCTACAGCAACCACGGCGGTGGAATCATGGGACCGGCTTCCTTCAGCAGTGGTAGGCTCACAGGAACCCCCAAGAAGAGATGTCTACTTCTGTACGCATGTTATATAGTAGATTTTACACGCCAAGCACGAGTCTACGGAGGGATGCGGCGATGCCAGGAAGCCGGGAGGCTGATGTGCTTTCAGTGTCGCAGACGCGAGGCGCACGTTCTTCGAGGTCGTCGTTCAGTAGAGGAACAGACCCTGCGTCAGACCGGCCTCGAGCCCCCGTCTGTCTGAATCTCAGTTGTTGCTGGACGCGAATCGAATCTGCACGTCAGTTATACTTGCGCTGCCGCCAATGCCCACTCTCGGTACTCGGTTCCATTGACAAGTTGAAGTTAATTGTGATGAGCGGACGCCCCCGCGCTGAATGTTACCTTTATCAGACCGCGCGCGATCCTGGCAGGGCTGAAGTGCTACCCACTTATGTCATTTGCTCAAGTATAACACGTTATTGGACGCTCGTGATGGGGATTGGCGTGCGGTGTCTCTGATTAGAAATCCCATAGTTTGAGACTTGAGAGGCGCATGTTGCCCTTCTTGTTGGTCAATCATCTTTTGGGGCAGAAATGCCGAGAAAACGGCTTGGCGGCGCATACTGGAAGAAGAACCAGCTGAGGACATTGTGTAACTGTGACCAATACTCTGACGGGTTCATTGAGCTTTGAGAAGGCTTGTTGGTATGGCCTAGCTTGAACACTGGTGGCCAGTCAATCCCAGGCCCTCGATGCTGCGCGGCCGCACTTGTCTGTATTGTGCGCCTAGTCAAGAGTAGGAATGTGCGCATGGAATCCTTCGAGCCGCAGCAACGATGATATCCACAACCTGGCGGATTTCTAGCACCGCGAACATCGTAACAAGGCGTGCCAAGCCGGCCCCTGGCATCCGGTATCCCACGTTGCTGACATCAAATTTGTGGAGTATATTGTCGACATTCATTCTGATGTCTTTGTTCCCAATTGACTTCTGGTGTCCCGTCTCCTCCAAGCCTGCATGCCGCGGGACGATGCGTTGCTATTCAAGTCCATACCCGCAAAGCATCGTTCATGCCGGAGAGACCTCCCCAAGCGTTAGACATATCAGGGAAATCTGCACACGGGTTTGAGCCGTCACCGCGTTCACCAGCGGTCAATCCTGGCAGGGAGAAGTGCGTGAAGGATTCTCTAAAATTACCACCCAATTACACGGGATTCTCCGTATAGATGACGTGAACAGGTAACGTTTCAGCCTTCTCCATTGATCCTTCGCACAGGGAGGAAAGTCCACAGCGAAAACCGCGCGACGGATATAAGTAACCAACATCCCAAGATAGCCGTCGCCGAGGTTAATGAAACCATGGCCACCGAGCTCTTCAGCCCGTCCACCTTCACGCTAGCATTATGAAGCTGATCAGCATGCTCACGGGCGTGCTCGGGGCGACGCTCGCCGCCGCCCAGACGCTGCCCGCCCCAGCCGGGTGGCCCGTCTTCTGGTACAAGGGCATCATCACGGACCCGGCGACGTCCATCTACAACCCGACCAACGAGTTCATCTTCCCCAGCGTCTTCCACGCGGGGCGGTGGCTGGCCAACCCCCTGGCCGAGTGGTACATCTACTACGCGCCGCACGACGACCCGGGCGGCATCTCGCTGCGGTACTCGAACAGCCTCGAGGGCCCCTGGACCGAGCACCCTGGCAACCCGGTCATCTCGCGAACCTGGGCCGGGCGCTACAGCGTGCCGCACGTCTCGAGCCCGGACGCCATCTGGAACCTCGAGGCCAACGGCGGCAAGGGCCGCATGATCATGTACTTCCACGGCAGCAACTCGGTCACCCGCTGGGCGTACTCGGACGACGGCATCAAGTTTGGCTACGGCGGCGAGGCCGTCACCAACGCCATGGGCGGGCCCAACGTCGTCGAGTCCAGCTACGCCCGCGTCTTCCGGCATCCCAACGCCGGCGCGGCGGGCTCAAAGTACAAGTACGGCATGTTCTACATGGGCAACGAGCGCGACAACCGGCGCCGCATCCGCCTCGCCGAGTCGGTCGACGGAAAAGTCTGGACCGTCAGCCCGGACTACGTCGTGGCCCCCGGGCCCGAGGAAGGCCAGAACGTCTCGGGCGGCGAGCTGTGGAACTGGAACGGCCAGCACTACATCCTGTACCACGCCTCGAGCGGCAAGATCTACGCCAGGACCATCGACAAGACGCTGCGCAGGGTCGGCGCGACGCCGATCGTGCTGTACAGCGGTAAGGGGGACAGCAGCGGAGACCGTGTCGCGTCGCCCGTCGTCGTGACGCGCAACGGCCTGACGTATCTCTTCTATGAGAAGGGCACCCGTCTCGGGGCGACGATTGCTTGGGCAAAGATGGCTGCCCAGTAGGCAGGAATAGAGTTCGGGGATGGTATCACGAGCTGGTGAAAACTTTGTGTATCGTTGAATGGGTAGAAGGACGTGAGGAGCGTGGAGTACCAGGCTGAGTCTTCTACGAGAGCACTCCTGAGACCTGGTGGGTGTGCTGGTCGGGTCGTCGGATGGACAATTCTGTATCCTGCGCCACCCACCTCTGAGGATGTGTCAACATTAGGGGGGGTCAATTTCGAACATCCTGGAAACCACGACGTGTTGCAGATCAAAGTTTCGCTCTTCTTCATGTACGAGGTGTGGTCAAGATGGTTCTCTCTTGTGAGACGGATGAATACCTCGCCACGGGAGCAAGAGTTTGGGGATCCAACTTCAGAGCGCGCAGGCGAGGCCGTGTAAGAGTCCCGCCAAACGTTGCTTTCCTATCCAAAGGCTAAAAGAACGAAAATGTATGGGCCATGACAGCAAAGTGCGACGAGTTTATGGATGATATGCCTTCGCTTCCATCGTAAAATGTTGAGACAGCCTCTTGCTTCGAGAGCTTACAATACTTGCGAGAATCGGTACAAGTGGAAATACTTCATCCCAATCCCAGCTATAAACAGGCTTTTCTCTTAGCCAATACTGGTAAAACCTGCCGGCGTTTGCTGTGTTCACTAGTGATTGCAAGTTTCTCAAGTCCTGGAACTCCAAACAATGCCCAACTCGCAGACAGCGCTCGCTGCTCTTTCTGGCAAGGCGTGAAACAATTCGCTAGGGCGATGTGCCCAGCTTCGGTCAAGCCCACGTCGGGATCTCCGAAATGTTGAAGTCGGGAAAAGCTCCTGCCTCCGACCGGCGCCTAACGCAAGCCACAAAACCATGATTAAAAAGTTCCAACCACGGCTGGCGTTGCCCGATCTGGTGAGATCACCTTGAACCCCGTGGGCGTAAGCTCAATCAGAGCTCTTTGTGCGGGGTAGCAAGCAGCAGCAGCTGCTGCGATGAGTCAAGCACACACCCGCGGGCGAGCTCAGTCAGGTTTCGCCCGCCGCCTGGTTAATATTCGCTTGGCCAATGTCAGCTCTGCATGCATACCTTACGGATGATGGTGTGGTGGGCGCGGGGTTTGACGTGGACGAAGAGAACTCTCGGCACTTCTTGTCATGCAGGACAATCGGGCCGTGATGAATGATAATTCCTTCGTACTTCATATATGGCACTGCCTTGCTGTATTTACTCGGTGTGCAATCGCACTGCTCGGTATGGAAAACAGACACGCCCGTGGACATCACCGGGCTAGATCGATTCCGCTGCGGATTTGTGGGAAAATACGAGGGTAAGCAGTGCGATGATGGCCTGTGTTCTGGATCGGTCGCAACTATGACTGTCCATCAGACCGCCATTGTGAAGTGAGCAGCCACAGGTCACATGGACGATACGAGAGGTGGCATTTTGCGATCGTACAGGCTGGCATGGTATTTTGTTCGCATACGCCACATGCATGGACTACGAACCCCGGTGATAGCAGCAGCCGCTGAATGGTACGCCAGACCAGGCTGTGACAAGGCGGGGGAAAACCCAGAAGTGTTACACAGGACAGAGAAGCATGACTACCCAGCGGCATATCATGTTGTGCTACACGATATGATTAATGTGTCTGAGCAACCTCACATAGTTCTCGGTATCCATTCCGGATAAGCTTAACACCACAACTTGCACACGTCGATACTTGCCCCCTTTTCATGCTCGGTCTCGAGTTGCGGAAGCCGGCACTTCGAAGCCAGATCATGCCATGTCGGCAAGGGTGTCGGTAGGCTATCCTGCTTGTGAGTGCCGTTACCCCGTGCCCGGCTCTTGCATACCACTTGTCAGCACAGCGTAGCATTGGATCTGTATGCCCATCACGTGCTCGCAGCACGTCTCCTACGAGATGCGGGCATGTATGTATTGGGACAAGGGTTGAGAATGCCCACGAAACCATGGTACTTCCGCATCCCGCTTGCCCGAGAACCTCGAACGATGCAAGGCCGCCTGAAGACTTACGAGGTGGACATCTGACGACAAGATGGGTCCATGGAGAGTTGCAGGTAGGCCGAAGGTTCTGCAAGAACGATTTTGGATGGAGACGACATACTTGGGCCGTTACTATCAAACAAGTGTCCCCGCGCGCGTAGCTGTCCTGTCCGCCGGTGCAGTGTTTACACTTGCATACACAAGCAGGACAAGAAACCAACCATGGTCAGAAACGATATTCAGCAACGAGTCGCGCCAACAACTCGCGTACTTTGCTCCGCAGATCCCCATCAGTCTCGAAGGAGCCAACTACACGCTAAGGAAGGAAGACCCTGCTATGCGCTAGTGGTCGTTCTCACCGAACGATCTAACGGTTTTGGCTCACCGTGGACGATTGGCGGCCGCGTGTACATGCCATGTTCATGTCCAGAGGGAAGAGGGGCAGCGCAGCCTAGGGGATTGATTTAGAGCCGTGCTTTCTTTTTCTTTTCACACACAGTGAATGTTCGTCGCTGCATGAGAATATCGCAGAAGGTATGAGTTTGGGCACAGCAGGATGCCCATGTTGCCCGGCTGCCGAGCAGCTCGGTCAAGCGATGTGGAAAAGTCTCGTGGCCCCGACAAAACGACTTGTGGGTGGGTACAGTATCCCTGGAGATATCCGCCCAACTCCAGTTCGCAAATATGCGCGTCCCAAGAATGATGCCCAAACTATCTCGGATATCCCCGAAGACCGAGCGTTCCAGTAAAAGCATGAGTGGGACAAAGACTTTGGACCACGATCCCGTGATACAGAAAACGACTACGTAAAAAGAGCCCAGCGGCGCTCGATTGCCGGGGACCACTACCGGGCGCCGCTACAGCACGCCAAGATGGCCTGATGCATCATGCATGGTGTAGTTGGACGGGGCAAAAATAGCATGCATCCCGCTATCCACGAGCACAAAAAACAACCATGCTCAAGGGAAATTCCGGTAGTTGAAAAAGTCGGAGTAGGGGAACAAAGTCCCCGCCACCCACCCCCCGCACATACGCCCGCATTTCTCGTTACCCCAGCCCAGTTGCCCCGGCATACGATGGAGTACCTCCGTATGGAGTAAAATAACCTGATACCCACAGCGTGCAGCCGAGCCGACTCCACAGGATTCCTCTCTCCACCGCAATAGCCGTCCGTGCAACCGCCGCGCATTTCTTTGCGCGCGCAACCGAAGCCTCCAAAGCCTCCCCGGCTCCACACGGGAGCTGTAACGTGACATCTGGGCGAGGTTTCCTGGGCATGACCCCACGAGGATGCGGCTCTGCATATGCTTCTGCTAGCGTGACTTGACTACCTAGCTCGCCGCAATCCAACACCTGTAGGGCACGGGTACTTGACACTACGGCAGCAAGCCATGCAAATGTGCACCAGATAAAGACCACGGGGGATATTCAAAATATGCATAGTTTCCGTTGCGCAGCGCTGACGGAGCAGGCAGCCAAAGTAGAGAGATCTAGGTCACTTGTGTCCTTCCACACGGTGCTGGCGTCGAGAACCGCCGAACAGTTGCGCAAGCGCATAGAACAGCCATCTTGGCGTTGTTCTTGTGGAAGTACTAATTGTGGACGGCTCATCTATCCCCGCGCAAGTGTATCTCTTTTTACGCGGTGTGGTCTTTTCCCCAAGCACGGGGGTGCCGATATGCAGAAACGCTTACGGCAAGTACCTGTGATGTTGGGGTCAGCCGGGAAAATATGATATGTTGAATCGTGATGAGATGACGATAGGAGGAGAACGCCGTTTCAAATGCAGCAAAAAACACTCCCATTCTGCAAAAAAGAAACATCACTAGTCAAGACGCCAAGACTGAACGTTGGCGTCTTGTGAAGCTGGGGAACGGCATGCCAGATGAACAGGCCCATCTACACCTCAGTGAAGCCATTGATGACGAGAACCGGACAGTCACAGAACGGGCAAGCGGACAGCAATAGGCTATCCAGAACCACGACTGGCAAATCCAGTCGTAAAGCAAGTCCAGCATGCTATGGTCTGTAGCCTATGTCGCTTGATGTGACAGGACTTCTCTAAAATGTGACATCGTGATACCCGCCCCGATACTCTTGTCCTGCATCGTCCACCCTGTTCCTTGCATGAAATGTGGTGACACTGCAAGGTGAAAAAACGACGTGACGCACTCTCTAAATCTTCTGCTCCTGACAGGCACAAGGCAGGGTGGCAGGCATATAGCACGACATCGTGCAGAGAACGGTCGAGACCGGCGTCCATCTCCCGACCATTTTGCTCCTCGCCAATCTGCGGCCGCGCTCCATGCAGCCAGGGACGGTATGCAGAAACTAAACTTTGGACCAGCGATCAATCCCGGTTTGGATCGGGTGTTGATCGTCGCCGATGCACAGCATGTAATGGTACTGCAGAAGTGCATAACGCAGCATGACCCGACGCACCAGCCCTACGCGACGCAAGATGGGATGGACATGAAGCTTTCATTGAACACGGGGGTGCGCCTTTGCGCCGGGGAGGAATTACGGCGCTGCAGGTCAGATCGCTTCTAGAATGCCAACAAGACTTGGGTGAAAGTTCGAGATCGGCCGAGTCGCCGACAGTGCATCCAATGTTAGGGTATGAAGTCATTAGTCTCTGCCGAACATCCCCTCCTAACCAACTCAGAGCGGACGCGGAGATTGAATTGCCTGCTGCCCAGTCGCTCTCATTCTGATCTGACGTCTCGACAGAGTTTTGACATCGCCCTCAAGAGAGTTGAGAGGCACAGGCTTTTGCAGTTTTGGTAGCTGGTCACGGGGTTCTCTTGTCTCAGTCTCCCCCACGAGCATGTCGTCCGTGATGTCGTAACTCACGAACCCCAAATTGGTCTCTACCCCAGACCCCCCTCTCTTCCCCGCATGCGGCGTCCCCGGAGGGTCGATCAGCCACACCCTAAGCTAAGGCACATCCCGTGCTGTTTCAAGCAAAGCGCAAGCCCCGAGGGACAATCGGCCGAGGCGTCATGCTATCGACGATCACGGCCCTAATGGCACGAGAGCCTGTGCTGACTTGCTGGTATAATTAGATCTTCTGGGGATCGGGCAGATGCGAGGGGGTGGCAACAAGCTGTCAATCCATGGTGTGTGCGCGGTGCCAACAGCGTTCGTCAGTGGCATAGATCTGCACCGCGGGGTGCGATCCTACCATGTGTATCTATGTCCAATGTGATGCATGTATGGCATGCAAATTAATGACTGTCTCAGAGAACCCCCGAATTCGCAGATTTCAGTACATGACTAGTATGACCGTCGGTCGGCGACCACAGATGACAGGCGCCATTGAACAGTGGCGCCAGGATCGTAAGGATGGCATGGGCCTCGCGAAACGGGCGGGCGGCGCTAGCTGGGATGGCTCCTCTCGAGGACATCCTCCGCGCTGCCCACACGGTGCCAGCTTCGAGGCGGACACGCGGCGGAGTTTGTAGTATCCACAACACAGCTACTCTCCAAAATCTCGAGCCTGTGCACTTTCGCTCATCCATTGTTGCAAAACTTGGCCCAATCTGCGGCGCATGTCGGACACCTGGCTGGCACAATACGCAGGGGCGGTACAATGAAGGAAAGCGAGCGAGCGCAGCCGTGCGACCCGCGTAGCCCAGTCGGCCCGATGCCATGCTCGCGTGACTTGCGTCCTGACTTGGCAGCACTTCCAAAACCCGACTTGGATATTCTTCTGACCAGTGGTTGGGCATGCAGCACATGCTGGCTACGCTTGCCGATGGTGCGGAACCGCCAGGATGCTGCCCTGGATGCGTCGTGACTGGTTGCCTTGATTGTGCTGTTGACATTGCCGTCGGGAGAGGTCGACATCGCAGGGCAACAGCTACGTCATTGCGGGCCCGCCCCCAGGGCTCAGGGGCTTTCGGCTACCGCTGGTGCAGGGTCATTGGGCGACAGTTACCCGCGAGAACCCGAGACGAGACGAGACGAGACATTGACGAACAGCTACCACGTGCTCAGAATTGCAGAATTAACTGCGACCAAACAGATTTGGGTGCAAACGAGATCTTCACTGCTATCAGTTCCTCGTCCGGGGGAGGCTCATAGGGATGCTGATACGAATACTTTCCACAACGCGTGCTGGTGATGCACGGTACACTGATGAGCCAGCATCGCTGGCATAGTCATGTAAGGGCCTCGGTGTGTTGCTCGATTGAATGGCCGTGCTCGTACACGGCCAAACTCGTGCAGAGCTTCGTACGTCGCAAGTGTGCTGCTTTTCGATTCCGGTGCTGCGGATGTTCGCCACTTATGAGCCCCACACTCGGGCGCAAGGTGAGCTTGGTGGTGATTGAGCCCAGACGCTACCGGCGAGCGGTTCTTGGCGACTTCGCACCAAAACCACAAGCCCGCTGAAGCTTCCCTTGGCAGTGCTTGCGGCACAGCGTTGAGCTTGTCGTGACCGTAGGTGGGGTTGTGTGGCTGTCATCACTCCTGGGGGCCTGGCCCGGTGAAGGTGCCTCACACGAAGATGGTGAGCCCGACTCGCGGCGAATGTTCAATATGGAAATGCAGAGCCCCGTCTGCCACAGTCTAAGCGACGCGCAGGGAAAGCAGGCTTTGCGGGTTGCTGTGTGGGAACTGACCGCTCTGGACCTAGACGCTCAGAATGCGGGCACATTTCCCAGCCCCACATCCTCCGCACTCCCCCAAACTGCGAGCTGGGGAAAAGCTCGCGTAGTGTCTGTGGTCGTGCCATCCCAGATGGGCAAAGGGAAGTGATCGTCAATTTTCGCGCCCATGCGTAGTCGGCCCGTACTCTTCAAGATGCAAGCGTCGCCTGGTTTTCTCGAGCTTACTGAGCATATCGACAGGCACGCGGGGCCAAGCCAGAATGGCAAAAAGTTTCTCGCACACACACGACCAAGCGTGCGAGGTGTGGATGGCTGTGTGGGACTAGACGGCAAGCCACCTACGAAACCCCCAGGGGTCGCTGGTCGCAAACGGTCCACCCCACACCCGGCACGCTCGTTCCCGGCAGCCTTGCACGGGTTTGACCAGCCCTGGAGGCTGCTGGCGTTCGGTGCTTGCTGTTGGACCTCCACAACAGCTTCTCAAGCCCGAATGGCAGTAGGCTGTTTCAAGGTTGGCCAGCACGACTCTGATTGTTGAGGCAAGGGTCATGCCTCAAAGTCGACACGATAGAGTTGCTGAGGACCTGCGTTAGCGATGATAGGGTTGCGTGGTCGAGGGCAATAGATGCTCACTAGCCTCCTTCGTCGTCGTCCTCCTGCAGAAAGTGTATGGGGCCAGAAGCCGAGCCTGCAGAACTTTTGCCCCCGAAGGCGGACGTAGGAATCATGTCGCGGTAGCAAGACTGCCAAGATGCGCCCAGCCTTGTGGTTGGCACAATCGCTAAGAGCAAGCATGGCATTAATTCATGGCTGCCATTCTCGATGTTGAGTTGGTGGTTTCGACCTGCAAGAACTGTTGGATGCTGAGGCCCTGTGCTCCAGATCCCATTTCATCTGCACCTTTGGATCCCCAAGAGAACTCGCCAAGCACTCACACTCGAGAATGAGATACTGTCTGATGCTCCGATATTTGACTTCCCCATGCTAATGTCCTGGGAGGTCAAGGACCGTGACCGTGCCGCCACCGGTTTGATACGAGATACAGCCTTGGCCAGCGGTTGGCCGCTTTGAGGAACCCGCTTAAGCTGATAGCCGGCAGGCAGAGGAGAGAGATAGACAGACACCAACTGAGCAGCTCGACAGGCACGACAGGGCCGAGTGTGGGGATGACGGGCGACCAGAGTTTTGGCGCTGCTGATCGGGGTTCAAAGGGGATGGCGCCGGGCAGCGACAAGCTGTTGGTGCTGATGCTGGGTGCTGGCGAGGGGATGCCATTGGGCGCCCGGGGATGCGTGAGAAAAGCTGCATGTTGAGCGAGTGGTGGTCGGGGTGGTGTGCGTGGTGGCGGAGAAGCCGATCGCGTCTGGCGCCGCCACTGGCCTGTGGAGCGACTGTTTTGGGCGGCGCCTCTGCCGTGCGGGGATTTTGGCCATCCCTGCGCGTGGCTTGCAGGGCGTCATCCTCCGCGGCCAGGGCCAACGGGTGCTGACGTCGTGTCCTGCAACCGGCAGCCGCTTGCGACCAGGACGAGCAGCGCGACAGAGACAATACACGGGACCCTGCCCGCGAGCAGTGCCCAGGTGCAGTCTGCAAGCAAGCACGCACAAGGTACATCCTTTTACTGTGCATCCTCTGTGCGCCTTGGCTAGCTAGGAGAGTAGTGCGCTGGACGTGCTTGGCCCAGGAGCCACCCCTCCTCTCCTGTCCTGTCCTGGTCGCTCGCTGGTGGAGACGAGCTCCATCGAGGTGCATACTGGTGGACGGCCTGCCCATGGGGAGTTGACTCCTCCTCCAGAGGGGGAGGGAGGGGAGGCCATGGATCAAGAGGTGAGGAGATCCATTGGGATCGCCGCCGCACCAGGGCAAGCCCATGCCCGCCCGCCCCATGCCAAACTGTATTCCCGTACTGTGCTGCCTTGGTGACATCTCGAGGGCCACGCCATAGTCCTGCTGCTGCCCGCATTGACTCGGCTCGCTCGCGTGGTGCTGGTGTTGGTGTTGCTGCTGCTACTGCTGCTGCAAGACGCACACGCCCGCCAGTATAAGTGCAGGCGCACGCCCACCGCGGTCACACCTTCCGCGTCTCTCCTTCTCTCTCCTTCACTTGCAACCACCCGCATTGCATTCCACGTTGCTGTCTGCCACTCAGCAACCATGGCGTCCAACGAGAAGCCAGCTCCCTTCCTCGACCCAAACACCACCAAGGGTGGCAACTCCCTCGAGCGAGGCCTCAGCCACCGCGAGGATGTCAACATCAACCAGAACCTCGAGGCCAAGTAGGTGTTGGCACAAGCCGGCTTTAAGAGCAATGCTCCGCATGGAACCCCAACTAACCACCTTCCTCCCCGTCTCAGGATCAAGAACCCCCTCGCAGGTATCCCATATGCCCAGCTCATGGCCGACGTGGAGGAGTTCGCCCGCGAGAAGGACCTCGTCGAGCACCTCCCCGCCTTGCGCCAGGGTGCTCTGGTCGCGCAGAACCCCGAAGCCTATGGCGAGGACCTTACCGGGGAGCACGCTCTCAACGACAACCAGAAGAAGATTCTCCGCGACGAGGTCGAGCACCGCTGGCGAATGCCGTGGCGCTTGATTCTCACCATCTTCACTTGCTCCATCGGTGCCTGTGTGCAAGGCTGGGATCAGACTGGTTCCAACGGTGCCACCATCTTCTTCCCCTCGGTTTACGGCATTGCGGACGAATCTAGCCGCAGCCAGGTCATGGTGAGTCCCCGGACCGCTCTTTTCCGCCCGTATCTCGCGGCTAACACATTCAAAAGCTTGTCGGTTTCGTCAACGCTGGTCCCTACATCGGCTCTGCTCTCATTGGCTGCTGGCTCTCCGACCCCGTCAACAACTGGATCGGTCGCCGCGGTGTCATCTTTGTCTCGGCTCACTTCTGCATCTGGCCTGTCATTGGCTCCGCGTTCTGCAACACATGGTGGGAGCAGATCATCTGCCGTCTCCTCATGGGTGTCGGCATGGGTATCAAGGCTTCTACTGTACCCATCTACGCTGCTGAAAACTCCCCTGCGTCCGTTCGCGGTGCCCTCGTCATGAGTTGGCAGATGTGGACTGCGTTTGGTATTTTCCTCGGAACTTGCGTCAACGTCGGTGTCTTTTACCACGAGCACAACTGGCGTCTCATGCTTGGTGAGCTACCTTGTTTTCCCAGTCCATGAGACATACTAACGAGGATCCGCAAAACCAGGCGCCCCATTCATCCCCGCCGTTCCTCTGCTCTGCCTTATCTACTTCTGCCCCGAGTCCCCTCGTTGGCTGATGAAGAAGAACCGCTACAAGAAGGCTTGGGAGTCTTTGATGCGCCTCCGCTTCGACGAAATCCAGGTCGCTCGCGATATCTACTACATTCACGCCCAGCTGTCGGTCGAGTTCGAGATCATTGGCAACAGCACCTATCTCCAGCGCATGATGGAGCTCTTCACTATTCCCCGGATCCGCCGCGCCACCATTGCCGCGTTCGTCGTCATGTTGGCTCAGCAGCTCTGTGGTATCAATATCATTGCCTTCTACTCGACCACCGTCTTCAAGGAGTCTGGCTTTACCGAGTACCAGGCCCTGCTCTGCTCTCTTGGTTTCGGTCTCGTCAACTGGCTATTCTGCTTCCCCGCATTCTGGACCATTGACACTTTCGGCCGCCGCAGCCTGCTCCTCTTCACCTTCCCCAACATGATGTGGACGCTGTTGGCTGCTGGTCTTTGCACCCTCATTCCTGAGGGACAGCAGGCCCGCACCGTCTTGGTCGCGCTTTTCGTCTTCATGTTCGCGGCGTTTTATTCCCCCGGTGAAGGCCCCGTGCCTTTCACCTACTCCGCCGAGGTCTTCCCGCTGTCTCACCGTGAAGTCGGTATGGGCTTTGCGGTGGCCACCTGCCTCAGTTTCGCCGCCGCCCTTGGTCTTACCTTCCCGCTCTTGCTGAGCGCTGCCAAGCCCGTTGGTGCCTTTGGTGTCTACGCCGGCTTCAACGCTGTCGCCTTTGTCCTCATTTTCTTCTTCGTCCCAGAGACCAAGCAGAGAACCCTTGAGGAACTCGACTACATCTTTGCCGTGCCCAACCGCAAGTTTGCTCAGTACCAGACAAGCGTGGCGCTTCCTTGGTGGTTTGCCCACTCTTTGCCGTACACCATCAAGCGCTACGTGTTCTTCCAGAAGAACGCCAAGAAGACTCCTCTTACACCTCTGTACCACAAGGAGGAGGTCATTGCCCAAGCTCACGCGAACGACTCTGCGACGGCCGCGGGTCACGCATCATCGGACAACGAGAAGAAAATCTGAGCGGATTAGTTACTCGGCCTGAAACTGGCTGTCAAATTATGGACGACTGATGAGATTTAGTCAATATGACGAAGAAGGGAAAAGGGAGGAGTAGTTGGGACTTGAGATATCATGGGGTTGGTTGGCTTTGCTTGTTTACAATACCCCAATACGTTCGTTCAACTTGGATATAATGTGAAATGAAAGGACAGGTGTGATACCCAACTTTGAATGAAATCGCACGAGAATTGTTCATGCTAAATTGGTACATGTCAATGTTGTTGCCTTTGCATGTTAGGGAGTTTCTGCCTTGTCAGTCGGGTTCTGTGCGTGCAGGCCCTTCTCCAGTCGCCACGATATACACACATGTGAGTGTTGCACCATTTCAACCATTGCCGCATGGTGTTGTTCACTCGAAGAAATAAGCAGGCGTAATATTAGGCTTGGTTTTTTTTCTTGTTCTTTTACATTACCCTAGCCGGGTCACAACCCCCCAGCTTGGCACTCTTCGCCCTGCCCTCCAGGACAATCTCGCTGACCAGCTTCCCCGTGGCCGGGGCATTCTGTATCCCCCAGCAGGTGTGCCCCGCGGCCACGACGACACCCTGAAGCCCGGGGACGGGACCGATCCACGGCCCGCCCTGGGGCAGGTAGCACGCCTGCTTGGCCAGGACTTTTGCTTCTGCTGGTGCTGCGGTGGTGGTGGTGCTCGTGTTGGTGCTCGGGCTCAGCTCGTCGCTGATGCCGCCAACTTGCCGCACAATGTCCATGCACCGGCGCTCGTCGACCTGCACGTCGGACGCGACCGCGGGAAGAGGCACGTCGGTGTCGGTCGGCCCGCACGCGTACGCGGTGCCGTCCGGGCGGGCGTAGATCTCGGGCTCGACCATGGCCGGGCGCTTCAGCCTCGAGGGCTCTTGCTCCTCCTCGTCGGCCGGCCGCCCGGCTTCCCCCTTTTTGGTTGTAGCGTTTCGCCCAGTCGTTGTCGTGGGCGCGGGAAACCCCGCGGGCAGGGTGATCGCCGTGAACAGGGCGTACGCCGAGACCGGGCGCGCGGGCTTGATGACGACGCTGTGGGCGCGGGAGGCGCTGACGGGCGGTCCCCGGGGCAGGAGGGTCGGGGTCCAGGGCCCGGCGGTGACGATGCAGTGCGTTGTCGGGAGGGTTATCTCTTTTTCCTCTTCTTCTTCTTGACTTTGACCTTGTCCCTGTGTTGTGGTGGTGGTGGTGGCGTCTTTGCTCTGGACATAAGTCACGTTCTGGACCGAGGCGGCTGCCGAGTTTCCAAGGGCATCATCATTTGTGGTAGCACTACCGCTGCCAGTGGTGCTGGTGGTATTGATCCTCGTCACCCTCGCGCCCGTGATGATCTTGACGCCCGCCTCCTCGGCTAAGGCCGCCATGCTGCGCGTGAAGAGCTCCGGGTGCACCTGCGCCGTGTTTTCCGGCGTGCCCATGTTCTCGTACGCCTCTAGGCCGCCGCCACCAGCAGCACCAGCACCAGAAGCAACGAGCCAGTCCAGGTCGTCCGGCACGCCGAGGCGATTGAGCGCCGCGGCCGTCTTCTTGTGGTCCTTGTGCAGGCCCTTTGTGTTGCCCGCCGCGTTGTCCGGTTTTTCTTCCGGTTGCCCGCTACCGCTGCCACTACCACTACCACCGCCAGCAGCAGCAGCAGCAGCGGCGGCGAGAGAGGCGGGAATCCTCGCCCGGCACTCGACCTGGCTGGCCCAGCACCTCCTGTACCCCCACCGGCGCTCCCCGCCGTGCTCCCGGGCCAGATCCTCGTGCAGCCCGAAGCTCAGCGGGACAATGTTGGCCGGGAACGCCCACAGCGCGAGGAGCCCGCCCGCCTTGCCCGACGCTCCGGACGCGATGCCGTCGTGGGCCGGGTTGAATGCCTGCTGCAACTGCTGCTGTTTCCGCTGGCCGCTGCTGCTGCTGCTTCCATCACCCGTGTCGGCTCCAACCTGATCGTGATCATCCGGGTACGCCAGCGTCGCCGGGTCCGAGATGCTGTCTTTGGTCCTGCCCCCCGCGGAGCTCGAGGCGGACGCCTCGAGGAGCGTGATCTTGTGCGTGGCCGGGTTGTACGCCGGGTGCCGCGTCAGGTAGTACGCGGTCGTGCAGCCGATGATGCCGCCGCCGATGATGGTGATGTCCTTTACCGTCGCGTCCTGCGAGGAGGAGGCCATGGTGATGGTGATGGTGGTGGTGGTGGTGGTGGTGGCAGTGCTGTTGCTGGGCGAGGTGCCGGGAACTCTGGAGATGCTGAAGGACCTAAATGGTCTTGTCGTCGTCGTCGTCGTCGTCGTTATCTGTGCCAAGGTCGCAGTGCCCAGGGTGGGGGGACTCCTCGATGCAAGACAGCACGGTGTTGGTGCTCTGGGCCTACAAAGTGCAGCTGTGGCGACGCTCTGAAACGAAAGGAATCTCCTCATGTGAGCCACCAAAGACGGCCCGGTATGAATATTGAAAAAAGAGAAACAATCGCAATGAACATATCAATCGACGGGCCTTTGTCTGCTGGGCTGAAGTGGGGGGTTACGTCATCCTACACACATATCTGCGTCCCGCCACTATCCCGGAGACTCTTTGTCCGTGAGAGATACACGTCCAGTAATACATCATGGTTACAACCATGTCGTTATACCAAAGCGCGATTGCATAGCGACGTGTTCTGGTTCCTGAATTTCACCTCGTAGTTTCCACTTCGCGCTTTTGAAACTTCGACTATCGGACCCATGTCCCAACGTTTAAGACATGCATCATACTGCAAGGTCAAATGAGGAGGGAACCGATGCTCGGTATTTTAATTCTGCTACGAAGCTCATCATTGCTAGACTCGCCATCTTGGCCAATCTCAGGTGCGGCAGTATTCCACTGTGAAACTCCCACAAGTCAGGTCGTCCCCATCGCCTAAAGTCCCAAACCAGGTTCCCTTCCCGAGCGAGACACGAAAGACGTCGAGCTTAGCTGAACAGCCAGTTGAACCAGCGGTCGGCAGCATTCCTGCGTGGCGCGGATTAGTGTCTACTGCCAACCCCATCAGGCTGCCTTGGCAGGGAGACTTACTTGGGAGGACTCGGCACAAATGTCCGGTGGTATTCTTCAATCTCGGGTATGTCCTTGTGCAGGTCGACCTCGGACGGTTTGTACATGCGCGTCCGATGCACCAGCTTCCATCCGATGAACAGGACGGGGCAGATGAAGATCATGAGGTATCTGTATCGGCGTTAGTCACTACTGCTAGCAAAGAACTCTTCTGAAGGGCGGGAACCACTCACGAGAACAGGAAGCTGGGAATATCCCACTTGCCAGGCAGGAAAACCGTGTACCCGCCGACAAAGGTCATGATGAAGGTCGCGATAAAGGCGTAGATGGCGGCATACGGCTGCAGGAAGCCCTTGTACGGCAGCGAGTCGCGGCTGATGCCCTGGGCCTTGAGCGCGCGGTAGAAGCACAGGTACGTGGCCGTCATGCAGCTGAAGTTGATGAGCTGCGAGGCCGTGACCAGGCTGACAAACCAGGTGAGCACGACCGCGGCCTGCTCGCCCAGCTGCAGGAACGACAGCAGCGATATAAGCAGCACAATGACGACGCAGTAGACCGGCACGCCGTTCTTGGTGCACTTGCGCAGGACCTTGGGCGCCTTGCCCTCGAGCGCGAGGCCATACAGCGATCGCGAGGCGCAGTAGACGTAGCTGTTACCGGCAGAAAAGGCAGCCGTCAGAACCATGGCGTTGACAATATGAGGCAGGACGGGGATGCCCATGCGGTTCATGGCGACTACGTATGGCGAGGCGGCGGCACCGGGCTTGCCGTCGGAAAAGGCAGCCATCATCTCCGGATCGTTGTACGGAACAAGGATGCCGACGCAGAGCGAACCGAGCATGAAAAAGGTCGTCAGGCGATAGAAGACCGCATTGAAAGCCTTTGGCATGACCACGCGCGGGTTCTCTGCCTCGCCGGCAGACATGGAGACGTAGTCGGGGCCGGCAATCGTGAACGAGGCCTGGATGAGGCACTGCATGAAGCCCATGAACCGTCCAAGATTGCCTGTAGTGTACCATTCGGCGAATGCGCCAGGCGAATACCAGTAAGTAAACCCGAAAGCATTCCTCTGTGGGTTGCCGCCGACCATGACGATAAAGGTGAAGATGATGAGACCGATGATGAGCAGCACCTTGCCAAGAGCCGCCCAGAACTCGCTCTCGCCGTACCATTTGACCGCTAGCAGGTTGATAAGAGCGTACAGGACCAAGATGATGGCAATAATGACACCTGCCGGGACCACATCACTCCAGAAGTGAATGATGACGTTGCAGGCCACAATCTCGAACGGCACCAGCGCAGCTTCAAAGACGAAGAAGTTCCACCCCGTCATGAAGCCGAAGGCCTCGTCGACGTAGCGACCAGCGAACCGAATGAAGGGCGACGAGATGGGCAGGTAGGTGACCATCTCGGCCATGGACATCGTGACGGCGAGAATGACTGTGCACCACAGCGTAAACGCAATGAACAAGCTGCCAGGGCCTCCCTGCATGAGACCGCGGCCGATCTGGACATAGAGAGCAGTTCCGATGGTTCCACCGATTCCGATGAGCTGGATGTGTCGCGGCTTCAGCTTCCGGTGCGTCTGGTCGGTTGATCCGACAATGAAGGACTGGGCACTTGGCTCGCGCCCGAGCGGCACGTCCTTCTCGGCATCGTACGCGGGCGGTCTGCCCGCCGATTCTTGGATTGCGCCCATGGTTGTGCACGATGAGCAAGTTGTCGGACGATTCTACTTGTCGAAGATCTAGCATCCGCTGGAGCAGAAACACGGGCAAGAGAAGAAGCGCACGCTTTTCGGACAATGGAGCCTTATCACGACCGCATGCGGCAATCCAGGTTGGTGGAGGTACTGAAACACTTGCGTGTATTTGTAATGACACTGGGGTGATGCTTCAAGGTGCGTGACACAAGAAACCCAAATCCGAGCATTGAGAGCTAGGGAGAACCGGCTGCCCATGGGGCACAGCGGAACACTCTGCTCTAGTACTCGCTCCTCCTCGACTATGAATCCAGAGGCGCGGATCAGGGACCCTGTTTTCTCATACCTTGACAAGGGTCAAGATTGTCCCAACCCGGGGAAGAAAGTAGCGCAAAATCTTGGCGTTCTGGCTTCGGTTCCCGGTCGGTCGGCTTGATGGCGTAGCGGCCAACTTGACAGCCGAACCAGTCGGCTTCCATCCTCATCGGGGCCTTTTACAGCCACGCGGAGATGTCCAGCGGCCTGGACGCCTTGGCCGCAGGTTTGGTTTTCCATGCTCGGGACACATCTTGGAACTTCACATGCTCTGGCGGGGATGCGATTATGGCCAGACCACAAGATGCAACTGAGCGGGGCAGGTGGGTTGCGTCGCCGACCTAACCGAACTAAGGGAACCTGATCCTGAGAATCCCGGGTAATTTCCCTCGACTGCAATAGGTGCGCAGGAGGGCGATCCTGAGGGCAGAAGTTGGGCAGTTCCTCACGAGTCGCTGTCGAACGTTAAACTGTGAGCTTGAGCGCAACAAGACTTGGTCCTTGCTCGGCATCACGCTTGGTTCTTGGCGTAGGTCAGCCACAGCGTGGTGACGGACGTCTTTCTCCTCTTCAGACACAGGCCCCGTGGGGGCCGGCCAACCAGGATGCAGGGCATGGCGTTGCTGAGCTGGGATCTGGCACAATCGCCCGCATCAGTCCCGCATCCGGGCATCTGGCCCCGCCACAAACATTGCGCCCAGTGCGTGCCGCTCGCGTGTTCCTCCCCTGCAAAGTTGTCATCATGGCCAAGGTGTTGCCCACTATTGACCATATGCTTACAGGCATGGCATCCCACACGCTCGACGCTAGCAGGCTGACTTGGCTTGGCTGCTCAGTAATTGGTCAGGCGCCCGAAGAGGATGGCAGTGGTCAGTCATAGGGGTGGTAAAATGAGTGTGACAACGAGGAATTGAACAATTCTGTGCACGACCACTGAGCGACGCCATGTTTTCAAAAATGACTGAAGCAGCACGCCAAGAATTGCGCGCACGTTCGTTTCCGTGATCGGTGAGCGTCCTCATCGACAACCTTGCGACGTCTGACGATTGAGCTCAGTCGTGATGTCTGCATAGCCATGAAAACCCATGCAAGGCATCTCCGCGGCGCGTGGTACCATTGCATTCAGCCAGATCTTGGCGGGCAATGCCTGTCATACAACGTTTCAACCGTACACAGGGGTCTTCACGATTGAGTGGTTGGGGAGCTCCACTCGGTCGAGGCTCACCACCGATCACTGGAGTTGCTGTAAGGCTGGATGATGGTGCAAATATGCCAATGAAGTAGGGTACGCTTTGGGTCGCTTTTCGGCTACATCTTGCCGGCCAGCAGAGGGAAAAGTATGACTTGGTATCTATTCCGACGAGTACAAGGTGTCAGCCCTGCCCTGCAACACCTCTGCGACCGAGTTGGCGACGGTAGTAGCAAGCTCGCCTGATTGGAACAGGACACCGAGTTCTTGACTGGTGAACCAACTTGCCCTGTCCATATTGCCCGATCCAAGAACTGTGTATTGCTCATCGACAATGGTCAACTTTAGGTGGGACTGGACCGGTTCTTCTTTCATGTTTCGAGCCATGTTTGCCTGGCGAGGATGATAGTATGAGATCTTGAGTGAGCCCACACGGTGGCGCTGAGCTTCAAGGTCGATATCGTGATGGGGTTGCTGATTGTCCGTCCATGAATTCTTGGGTTGGCCCATGTCACGATGTCTTTGATACCTCTTGATCAGCGATTTGACGCACAAAGACGTGGTTGTTCCCGCGGTCACGATCTGCTCTATCAACATCATGTTTTTGCTCGTCACGACTGTGACATTCACACCGCGCAGGAGAGCGTCCAGCAGCGCATCAAGCACAGCCGTGGAAGTGAGATTTGGTGTCTGCATGTAGACGGAATTCTCCGCCATGTCCAGCAGGCGAAGTATGGCGCAGTTGAGCGGAGTCGGCGGCGTTGACGGCGCACCTTGCCAGGGAAATGGCCGAAACCTCGGATTGCGGTGATGTGACGAGGGCAGTATGATGGTGGGCAGTGGGCGTCTCGCCAGGTCAACACAGAGACGAGCCGGTGACTGGATCGCAGTCAGCCCAAGGCGTGATGTGCTGCGGTTGGTGGCGGTGTGGCCGAGGTGGCCAGGGCCCGCCTGTGGTGGTGGTGGTGGTGGTGGTGGTTGGTCAAGATGGTTGTCCCTCGCCCAGACAGCCTCGTAGAACCGCACAAGACCTGTCACGGCGTCTCCGGTGAAGCTGATGCACCCTTCGAGCCAGGGTTCCCAGCTCACGTTGCAGCTCGGCAGCCAGGCGCGCTGCCGATCGATGATGAGAAACTTCGGGTGCATCACACAGAACGGCAAGAAGAAGAGGCTCTTGACCTGGAGGTCAATGTTGCCGCTGCGCAGTGTCTGTTGTGTTGGCAGGCCGAGCTTTTCCGACCATGACGATGGAGGATAGAGGTAGCCATCCTTGGAAGTGGTGTGAAATAGTTTCTGGAAGAGGGAGCGCGACGAGAAGCAGATGCGGATTCTGAGGACTGGCAGCGCGTCACCCTCAGGGCCTGCTTCCGCCTGGCTTTCGAGAAGCTGGCGGCGACGCTCAGCTAGGACCTGGATCGTCTCGGCCACCGCAGTTAGTGTGGCGGAACGCGCCCAGAAGCAGGTGACGAGGATGATCTCGTGCGTCGCCTCGTGGAAGGCGGGCAGCAGTGACTGCGTATAGATGGAGGCGCCGGTCCCAAGCTCAAAGGAGGTGGGCAATGAGGTGGTGATGAGCGATGCTGGGTCGTGGAGTGGGTATGCCGGATGGTGGTCGAGAGAGCTCTTCTGGAGCAAGGCCTCGCGCTGGAGCTTGCTCTTCCAAGGACCGCTGAAGTGCGCCAGCGACGACAGGCTTGAGGAGGGACTGTCACTCATGGCGTATGACTGCGGCAGGCCGACGTGAGCTCTTAATTGGAGCTGCGCGTTTCGTTGTTGCAGAGCGTGTCCAGCGCGACTTGCTTGACCAGGCCGTTACCCGTGGTGCAGTTAGTCGCCTGGCAGCGGCGCGATGAGGCAACCGCGACCCCACGTGGCGCTGCGACGCACGGTTGACGGCACAGCAGGGGGTCAAAAGCCACCACCAAACCACAACTCCATCCAACGTCGCGACCCTGCATATCGGTAGGAGACCATACAGAACGAGATGCATTAATGTCAACAATTCAATTGGGTTATAGTATTCTGTCTGTCTCGTTAGTGGGAAGCAGTTTTGCTTGTTCACTCCGAAGAAAGAAAAACACGACCAGAAATCCCATTGCTGCATGCCGATGACTGGTTGGCTCTCTTACGCATAGCAAGTGCGACATAAACAAATGGGACAGGACAAAGCTTCATTAATTTGATTCGAAGAGTGTGCAGGATTTGATTACGGCAATAAGAAGGAGATCTAACAAATGCCTCTTACTGCCAGGAACGGACATGAAATCTGTTCAGAGTCTTAATTCAACATAAGAATCTGGTCCCTAATTGTGAGGGGATGTGCTGAGGTGGTGTTGTCTGACGTAGACAATCAGAGCTACCGGAACTTTTTGAGTGCTCATATTAAGCCTCGCCGGTGAATGCTCGGGCCCCCGACTATTGTATTCGGCGATATGACTGATTTGGTCCAAGGGCATTGTTTTCGGCTCGCCGCCGAGGCCACCTGGTGTAAATTACGAGACACCCAAGCTAAAGGCTGCTTCCCAAGCGGCCAAAGTGGTTCCCGATCTAGATTGTTGAGTCCTAGCATCAGGAAAAATCCATCCTTGCGAGAAAGTCTCAGAACCCTCCGTAACCTCCTCCTCCTCCACCTCCACTGTCACCACCACCGCCACTGCTACCACCTCCTCCACTATCACCGCCACCGCTACTGCCACCACCTTCGCTGTATCCTCCTCCTCCTCCTCCGCCGCCGCCGTGACCATGACTAGTTCCATGAGCGTCCTCTCCCCCCACGCCGATGCCTGCATCAACCTGATATAAAATGCCACTGAAGTCATAAAACCAGGGGCTGCTGCCACCAGCACCCGCACGCGTGCTTCCCGCATTGCCAGACAGCCCAGAACCATGAATTCCAGACCATGGAGATGATGATCGAGTCGAAGCCGCACCGCCCTTTCTACCTTTACCCGCGGTATGGCCGTCGACAAGCAGGGACGTGTATATAGCCGGGAGATCCTGATACCCCTGACTACAACCTTGTTGGCCTCCGTCCAAGACACGCCTAGTCGCCATCAGATATGCCGCGGAATACCCTCCGTCCGGGGTCAACATATTACCTGCGCTATCGCTTGTGCTGCTGCTGCCACCGCTGGGGGTGACACTATCCTCGTCTCTGCCTGTGGTGTACCCCAGGCGGCTCCGCTGTCCATGATGTGGCGGAACGGCACGCTCGCTACTGCCGCCATTATCCGCACCAAAGCCGACGTCAAAGGCACGCATCTTTGCGCGCCGCAGGTCCTCGTACTCGGAAACCTTGTCGGCGTGCCTGAGATGGACCCATGGCGCGAGGACGGGCTTGCTTGGAGGGCTATGCAGCATCGCGTAGCCGAAAGGCTGGGCTCGATGGATGCCGCCAAGCTTGACATGATCGTCGTGGTCGAGGTGGACTTCGTCGTCGTCATCGGTGTCGGTTTCGTCGTCAATGTCCAGCGTCTTGGTGTCTGAAGTCGTGTCATCAGAGGTCGGCACAGGTGTAGCCAGCCAGGCCGTGGCCACACGGAAGAGGGGATGCTCCGCCATGCACCCTGCGGCCACAGTAAGCTCCTCCAGCGCACATGCCAGCAGCAGACGGTTCTGTGCCCATTCAGCGTCGTTGAGCTGTGCGCTGCTCTTGCCAGGATAGTCTGTCCGAGCCCTGGTCAGGTGCAGCGAGATGAGCGACCACGAGTCGTACGGGAATGCCCAGAGGTGCTTGGCGAGATTGCAAGCCGGCAGCCTCCCAGTGCTTGTGCCGCAGGTTATCAAGTTACGGCCATATGCCTCTGTGCAATCCCACGGGAAAAGGTCTTGGTAGCAATACAGGTTCTGCCGGAATCCTGCCCAGTCATGCCAGAACTCCTGGAGAGAGTCAAACATGTCGGACGAGTGTCGCTGTCCAGACTGGCTCGGCGAGAGCAGGTAGTCCTGCGTGAAACCACGCCTGGCATCGTACTTGGTTCTCGGCAGCTCTGTCTGCTGAGCTCTGATTTTTGTTGAACGGCCGCGTCCGCGATTAGGATGACAGACAAAGCTTATGGTGTACAGAAGCTCTCCGCAATGATTGGCGCTGTGTTTTGAATCTTCCTTCAGAGAGCTGGCAGGGTGAGTCTGAAGTTCTGGGCCCGCGAGCCTGTGCCATACAGGACTCCTCATAATGAAATCACAGAACGCCCAGGAATCTGAAGCATGCTTTGAACGAGTCTGACTCATAGTAGTCGGTGGGAGAAGATGCGAAGGCATATTCAAAAGTTGGGGGATGATCTCATCCAAGTACTTGTCAAGCCTCGGACTAAGCACATGCTTCAGTCTGTCCATAAGCAGGTCCAAGCTGGCCTGAACTTCCGTCGAGTCTTGCGGTTCGAGGGCTTTGACGTCACAGTCAGAAACGGTTTGGCCTTCCGGCGGACACGACAGACGCTGAGCGAGTATGACAAGGTCGTCCAGAATGGCGGTCTCAGCTGCGTTGTCGGTACACGAGAATGGCGAGCCAACGACCTGTTTCTCGACGCATGCGATGCGTCTTCGAACATTTGTTTCTGAATCGTGACGGTCTCTCCAGACTTCACTAGTCGACCGATACAGCCGGATCTTTGTGGTTGTTTTCTCACCCTCGAAGTCTGAGTCGATGCGGTCGGTAAGTCCCAGAGCCAACCCACGATCGGTTGGCTCCGTTCCGGTGCCTACTTTGGGCCTATTAGGCCCGCAGTGCAGGTCGTCTCTCAGACTTATAAGTATGCGCGGACTGTAATATGGCAACAAACATGGTCAGCATGAAATATGGTACACCAGCACGATCAACCAAGAGATGAAGATTAAAATACCGACCTCCCATTCTCAGGGATGCCAGTTTCGAACATGAGCGGACCTAATCTCAGTGACTTGTGCCCACCGAGGCGTTCTTCGTCCCACTGGCTGTCCACCTTGGCTGCCAGACCGTGCTTTGGCCCATCGATCCCTCCCCCGCTGTCCTTGTCGCTGTTTGGGGCTTTGTCGCCGTAAGCCTCGCAGCCAGTCGTGCGTGTAGCAACGCCGCTATGGCTTGGCACTTTGCTTTCACCCTTCTTGGATGATATTCCAGGCAACTTATCTCTTGTCAAACTGCCCACAAAACGCCGCGTCGTAGACACCATTGCCGAGGATCTCCAGCTGGAAGCTTGTGGCGCGACTTCCATCGCCTGCTTGCTGGCCCTGGCCACAACCATGGGCAGTTTCATCAAGCCGCAAGTTGTTGGGCCAAGGACAGATTCGCCATTGAAGATCTGCATTCGGTGATCTGGGCCTGTATCCAGAACACCAGAGTGTTTTGCACTTTTGTGCATGGGGAATTTGTTAAAATTCTGATCCATGTGCTCCGCGGTTGATGAGGTTCGCACGGGGCATTTGCAAAGCTGATGGCTGTGCTTCGCCGTTGTAAGCTCCGATGTGATGATAGAGTGCTTGTAGGTCTTGCTGAAGCGAGACTGCAGTTTCACGGGAAGGACGCTGCGACATGTCTCGCAGATTGTGAAGCGCCTCGAGAGCTTGGAGCGTTGCATGTCGTCTTTGTTGTGCGCGCCGGGTGGCAAGGGATGGTCTTGTTGCAAGTACTCATATGAGCTGCCTCTGATCGCATCGTTGCATGCGGAGCACAGTACCGGGGCAACCACAGGGAGCCCAGTTTTCTTGTTGATGGAGCGGACTTCCAGCTGAGGCACTGCGGACCTTTGGGGCTGGTCTGCTTTCTCTCTCTTGGACAGGTCCTGCGTTGGTTCATTATACTTTCCACCAATTTCGTGCTCGAGGATCTTGTCAATGTCCAGTAGACCGATCGCTCGCATAAACATTCTCGTTCTGCTTCTGCTGAGGGTGTCAGAGTCGCGGGCATGTGTCAACCGGGCCTCAGCCTGTTCCCGCACGTCACACTTGATCCTCTCAGCCCGGATCTGCCTCCTCGTGTCTTGGGCTGTGCGCTCCAGAGCGACTCTGTAGAAACCTGTATGCTCTGGACCCGACGTCTCATATCTGCACCTGGCGGCTTGTGTGGCGAATCGACGACCATCTAGGCTGACCTGGTCAATGAATGTGTCAAAGCCGTGAACAAATGTGTCCCTCTCATCGTCTGTTGGTATCAGTTTGTCCTTGAGTTTTGGTGACTCCCACCAGAAAAGAGTGTCGAGAACATGCTGCACCTCGGCGCGGGCGCCGTGCCAGTAGAGGTCCTCGACTTCCTTGCGGAGGCTTGTGCTTGCGTCGGATGGCATGGGAGACCATCTTGTTGCGATGTGAGAATGACCGGGCTCATTCATGGCGTCTCTGATGATTTGGATGATGTCTTGCAGCACTGAGTCTTGTACGTCGTCGTGCCTGCTCAGTCGCGTGCTCGTGAAAAGTCCCCGGGTCTTTGTGGCCATTGTGGATTTGCGCCCGCCAAATTTGATAATGTTCGTTCTTGAGTCAAAGATCGGGAATCAGGCCCTGCCTTGGCAAGAATTACTTGTTCCAGACTGTGAAGAGGGAAAGGTTGTTCAAGATGGCAATACCACCATAGCTATGGTGGCAACATTCGAGAGTCGAGCCATGACGTCCGGTACCGCTGGCATACTCGGCATACTGAGCCGAAGGTTGTAAATGAGGTGCTCGGTGAGGACAAGAATGGCTTGCGTTCTGCCTTGCAGGGGTCAAGACGGAGTGCGGCGCTGTTCCGCGGGGGTCTGCAAGCGCTAACGGGTGACGTGCAGGGGCCTGTTCAGTGGCTGCGCCTCATCGCATGGGGCCCCAGAATTGGCGATCGCCCCAGCTTTACCCACTGCGGCTGAGCCGGACGACTTACACGAGAACGGTAGACTGCCTCGTGGTTAGCGAAGGATGTCTGCGTTGTTCTGCTCAACAAAGGCACGAGCCAAGCTGGTATCCCGCGAACGACCATCCGCGAACGACCATCCTTAATATCACAGCAACACTCATTGCCATCAGTTGTTGAGGATTCTTGAGTATCACAAGCAAGCGAGATGGCACACATCTCAGACCCGTCCCCGCCGCCAATATGCTCCTGGGAATCCTTCTACCGCCCTTCAGATCTACAGCCAAGTCTGAATTACTTCCAACCTCTGAGCTACATCGCTTCCACAGAGCCCGGCCAACATGATCCAAATCCAGAGGGAAAAGTTCCTGCGCCAGACTTCCGCATCTTCAACTTTGATCACCCACGAAACCTCAACAATGGTCCACGACTGCCGACACCAGCACAATGCGCGGTCCACCTGCGGCTGCTTCAAGCTTTCTTGAGCCTCCGCGTCAATATCCTATGCTCGACATCCCTGGACACCGCACTGAGTATAGAACCACACACTCGTGTCGTTCATGTCCCTCACGACTATCCGAACCATGGGAAACTATCACCAAAGCGAAGCTTCTCGAGCCGAGTTACGCCGCCCCCAAAAACGACCGTGATTCGAGTGCAAGACCCGACTTTTCCCAAGCGCAGGGAAGAGAAGTGGGACCTGTATCTGAAGCTTGCCGCAGCAAGATTTCTGAGCTGGGTGAGGGCGCTCGAGAACGCTGCGAGTGGAGAACTTGAGGACATACAGCCTCCGCCACTGGGTAAGTGAGGGTTTTCGTCATTCATGATTTCCGAAATGGTACTGTAGTTGACACAAAGGATTGCCCTGAACCCCCAGACGTCTTGATGGTTTGGCATGCGCTGCTACTGAATCCAGCCTTGCTGCGGCGCTTCGAGCTGAGCCATGTACCGCTCGCCCACTTAGCAAAGATTACTTTCCCCTGGGAGAAAATAGTGAGTGATTCTTGTTAACTGACAAACTCTCGGCCCTCCAAGAACGTCGATTTCCCCTGAAGCGCAGTACTGACGTATGTGCACGGCTCTCTCACAGCACAACGCCATCAGCAAAGACGACCACCACACCTTCAACCTACCCACAGAGGTAGCCTCGTCCTTTACCTCCCGCACCGGCATGGAGCCAGACCTCCTCAGCTTCCTGACCGCCCAGGCGACGCGTGCGTCCCGCCTGGCGAAAACCCTGCGCCTGTACGGCAAGCCCGGCTCGTCCACCGACCCGTTCAAATCCCGCGGCCTTCACGTCACGGACCTCCCGGAGCCAGACATCTTTACGTCGGCCAGCGACAAGGCGTACATCCGGCTGCTCCGCTCGGTTCTGGGCGAAGGGGACCCGGACTTCCCGGTGATTTACATGCTCACGACCGCGGTGAAGCGGCAGTCCGTGTTTGTCGACAAGATGGACCGCATGCTGTGGATTCGTAGCCCCGCGCTGGCTGGGACTCTGTGTCGCGCGGTCAGGCGGTACGAGCGGTTTCTCGGGCTGTTCAAGTTCGACGACGCGGTGGCCCCGGGTCGTTGTGTTGGGGCCAGCACTGAAGGGGCAGGTGTTGGTGAAGAAAGGGAGCGGAAGAAAACGATGCTGGTGCCGACGCTGGATGTTGATCTCGTATGGCATACCCACATGTGCACTTCACCTGAGCAGTATGCGCGGGACTGTGAGACCCTGGCGGGGCGAGTCGTCGAGCACAACGACAAGTTCGGGGACAAAAGTGGCCCCGGCAACGGCGGCGGCAGCAGCAGCGTATATGAAGATGCGCTCGAGTACACGAGCCAGCTTTACAGGGTCCGGTATGGAGGTGATTATCGGATATGTTTGTGCTGGGAGTGCGAGGCTCTGAGGTCCGCGTTTGATGGCGATGGTGATGAAGATGATGGTCTAGGGGCCTTGATGGATGGTCGCAGTATTGAAGACGTGGCGCATGAGGTGATAATCAAGGTTACAAAGTACCGCGAGGCAGAGCAGAAGAGAAGGGCTGGGATGCCGCGAGTTTCGTAGATACGTAAGAATAGATATCCGCTAGTCTCGAGCCTTAATGTCATTTCCTGTCGCGGACGTTGGTTGCTCCGCGATGAAGAAAATCCATGCTTAGAGAATTCTTGACATTTTTGGTGCAGGTGAGCACCGCGCAGTCATGCCGTATCATAACATTAAAGTATGTGGCACGAATCCTTGATGATGTTCCACTATGCTGTTGTAGGTTCCATATTGCTCTTAAGCCTAAGTAAATCCAACTCGACCCTACTGTGACCAGTGCGCAGAACTTTCCGTCCTCCTTACAGCAGGGGCATTCTACACTTTCCCGACTCCGCGCCAGCCAAGGGCCCCCTATTCGCCCTAGCCAAGCCCTCTTCGAGTTCTTTCATCCTCTTGTCCTCGGTTTTGCGGACCATGACGACGTTCCACCAGAGAAGCCCAATCACTGGCCACAGCACAACGAACGAGAAGCTCACAAGCCTGTGACGCCGCTTCTCAGGATTGACAAAGATCCACTTCTTCTCCCATGCCTTCTCGTTGTCGAGATCCTCACCCAGTCTCCTGCGAATCTCACGCTCGTCCTCGTTTGATGGGCCAAAGCACCAAATAATGCAGCCGATCAGAATGAAGAGACCGATCAAACCAACGGTGGCATGGTCGGCGACGGGGTTGAGGATTGGTGGTGGTGGAGCGCCTGGCTTGGGTGGAAGTGCGACGTGCGTCGTGTTGATGATGATGTGGCTGCCAGGAACGGCGGGAACGAAGTCCATTTTTTCGAGGGCAGGTTGTAATGGATCGATGGTTGTGATATCGGCGACGTTGCCGTGTTAGGACGAGGTGGGCGTGCTTGTGCTGAGGTCGCTGCTCCCACTGGTGGGCTGAAAATATGGAAGGCAGAGGGTTGCAGTGCGCCGAAGAATGACTGCGCTTATAACGAAGAAGATTTGATGGCATGAGACTTGATTTCGGAGATGGAATACCTCCGAAGCGATGTCTATGACCACAAGTGGCAGCTGTGTGCACACAAAGTGAATCAGCCGTGCAGGCAGTGCTCGAGCAAGGCGCGACAGATATCGCCCAAGACAGCCGTAAAAAGCGTCACGCAGAGAGCTGCTCGATGTTAAACGTGATGATGGCAGATGATGGCTGACGAGCTCATAAGACAAGAGTCGGCCTTTGGCAAGAGAAGATTCCATTCGCCCTGTCAGAGGTTAGTTTGTGCAGCATATGGACACAGAAGAAGGCGAGCCATAACAGATGATGAGCCGGACCACAGTCGTGGGTGCGCGAACGGGAGGAGCAGTCCCATTCCAGTCCAGACTGTGGCCACGGAGTGGAAGGTGCGTGCCTTCCACAGCTCAAGAAGGACTGGACGAGTACATCCAGGCTCCACCCATGCTCACTTCAGAAATATCGGCTCGTGGTCTCGGCGGGCAAGAGGGTGATCCGACCAGACCTCGACATCGTGGAAAAGCGCCAGCCCCTTACGAGTATAGGCTCCAGGTTCTGCAGCGGACGACTTAAGCACCAGGCCAGAAGAGCGGATCGATCTCAGGTCGTCACTTCGTTGCACGTGCAGGAGTGCACACAGCACAGTCTCGACCGTCCTCCCATCCTGGACAAAGCTCTCAGGCTGCCGATCCATCGCGGCGTGCCCAATGCACACCTGGCAGTCGGGGTCGCTGTACAGCATGACTGGAAAACGTGATCGCTCGCCATGGCCTGGAAACGTTTGCCCACAGGATCCAGTGGGGGTTGACCGTCTCCTGGCATCGATATCAGGTTGCGCTCGTGACGGAGCTCGTAGTGCACCTCCTACAGTGCCACGCCTCCGCGGTATACCATCGTCTGTCCGTGGCCGGACATACGCAACCATTGTTCTGGCTCTTAATCTAAGCGTACCAGAGACATCCGGTAGGTCGGTGCCTTCGTGTGTGGCATTGACCAGCTGGGCGCCCTCGTTCACTAGGTGCTCCGCCTGCGTATGCCACTTGCGAAACCTTAACGCGACCTTGCCCACCGACGCCCACGACCACGATGGCCAGCAATCGCTGGACAGTGCCACATTGCGTCTCTCATTGTTGCAGACGTACCAGCCCAGACCAAGTTGTATGTCTTCCTTCCATAACCCATCCAGGTAGGTCACTCTGTGTGCTTGAGCAAACATTTGAGCCAGCCCCTCGACAGCAGCGAGGACATCGCCTGCGAAGGTCAGCTGTTTGAGACTGTACACTTCGACCACGCCGTACCACGCATCGAAATGATTCCAGCGATATGACCGCAGACGATCAGGGACCGCAGCGAGCATGCGCGGCGCTTCGTACAGCCACATCCGGAGCTTGTCTTCAGGACTCCTCTGGCCACCCGTTAACAAACCTTGCCGTGGCTGGGGCAATGGCCGCACCTCTTCTGCTGTCGAAGTGATGCAGCTCCACCTCATCTGCGTCCCAAAGAGCAGGCGCCGGCACGCAAGAATCTCCTCTTGTAAAATCCAGCCACGCGGCTCGAGATAGTCCGTCCGAACAAACTTTGTGGATAGAGTCACCACGGACGAGATGATTGTGTTATCAGTGTGAGCTGTGCTCAGCTTGATCTTGCATGGGCGGGCAGTACGACCATCCCTGTGCTGAAAGAGCCCAGCATGGGCATTCGGTGATCCCTCGGCGCAGATGGTCAAGACTGCGTAGCGGTAAATGTCGCCCATTTTGGGCAGCTCGTGTTCCTTGTCCTCAGGGCTGTCTTGGATCATGCAGAATGCATCTGTCCAGACAAACTGGAACCCCAACTTCCGGGTGACTTCGAATGCATGGCTGAATGTCTTGGGTAGGTTCTCCAGTGGTAACCTGTCCAGGTGCTGCTTATAATTGGACTTGAGGGTCATTACGCGTTCACCTTCTCCCCAGCAATAGCTCAAGGCGACGTACGAGACCTTGCGTTTTTCAACCAGAGCGTTGACGTTCAGTAGGAAGGGTCGCTGTGGATTACCAACATCAATCAGCCGCCGTGGGAGGCGTTGGCCAGATGACACGCCCGTTCTGCAGAAGTGGTGTTGTGCAAGACAGTCTTTGAGCCAGAGACGTGCCAGAGCCATGTTTGTCTCCGAGCCGGTACTGTCTTTGACGACAAGGTGTGGACCGGCAGCGGGATCTGCGTCGTCCGTTTGGCCGTTGAAATCAATCTCTTTGTGCTTTCGTTTCTTTCGATTGTGATCAGAATTTCCTACGGAACTGTGGTAGACTTTTTCATAGTCGGCTGATGCACCATAAGTGTCAGTTTTGAACCCCTATTTTCTCATACAAGATTCAGCCAGTAGGAATCTTCAGCACCCAACTCAGCACATGGTGTCTCACCCGCTTTCTTCGAGGATAAGATGGCACGCTTACATGGCAATTCATCGATTACGCGCAGACAAGCACTACCGGCCGGGCTCCAGACGTGGACATCGGCCGTTGCAGCAGAGTGTTCCATCAACGTTATCTCGTTTTCTGTTCCGGGCCCTTGTTCTTCACGTAATGCCGAACCTTGGCCGGCGAGCTTATGGTGTCGTGGTTTCTGGGACTTTTGTTGTGGTTGCTGTTCAACAACATCACTCCTCACAACATGCCCACTACTGTGGCTGTGGATAGGCCAGCTGCGTCGCAGAATCATGAAATTGCCGCCCAGCTCGGCCCATGGGTCATTGGCCCCTGTTGCTCCCGTCCCTCCACCAGTCGCTGGCCTATTAGCGGCAGCATCATCGCCCAGTGGCTTTCCTAGCCCAGGGCGACTCGACCGCGAACCGCCAAAGACGCGGCCATGCTTGCCGCTGCTGCTGTGAGATCTGCCTCTGATCGTGCGCAGCCTCTGCGCAGGGTCTGGCGAAGAATCTCCACCGTTCTGTCTCCCCAGTTTGTCATTCCTGACGAGCTGGCTGCTGATCAGCAGGCAGAAGCGGCACCCTTGTGAGAGCGAGTCAAGGAAAGACTGCCGTGTCTCATGGAGCACGTAGGACACTGTCGGCGTGGAGTGTGATGAGGCCCTTGCTGGCGGGATCTTGGTCCCTGCTTTCACGTCTGCAATGCAGTTGTCGTCATCATCATCACCGCCACCACCATCACCACCACCGTGGACCACCTCTCTGCTGCCATCTTCATCATCATCCGAAGAGGTTGAATTAGAAATGCGGAAACTACCGCTAGCCCGCTTGGCCGTGGTGGCGGATCGATTGGCATTCCGTGGCGCCGCTGGTGGGACGACGGCGGATCGCTTGAAGGTAATTGCCTGGCAGCTGGCGCACAAAGGCTCCGCTTCAGAGGAGTGGGACAACATCGTCTCAATGGTGCGTCTGGCGCACGCTGAGAATCCTCGGACTGAATACAAGCATGGGTATCTTCAGCGGCCAAATTGGCGCACGGCGCGTTGTGCAACGTTTACGGTAATCAGGTTACTGTTGCGGAGCAAACGGCGCTGGAAGTGCAGCCAGGATGCTGCCTCCAAGGCTGCCTCCAAGCGTCGGGTGGACGTGGGGGGGGTGGCTTTATAGTCGCACTCTATGCCTTCACTGCCTTTTGAACGGCGCTCGACGCGATGCAGTGCCGGGAGATGGAGAGCGGAACAGGGACAAAGGGATTCTTGGCGCCAGCGTCCGTCCTTGAGAATGCCGAACCATCTCCACGTGCGTCTCAACGTGCGCCCGTCGCACAATGCCCAAGTGTCCCTGAGCCGGGTACACGCGCGTCTCTCTGGCGGCCTTCTGGTGCGCGGCGGGCGATGTCTAGAACCCAAAGCACGCTTACCATTGCTGACAACCCCGCCGCGCTGGAAGACGTGGTGATGGAGGCGGCGCTGGGCTGCCTCCCAAGGGCTGAGCTTGGAAATAGAGTGTGCGGGGTAGAGAGTGGTGGGGGCGATCCCCTTGCAGACGAGCGCCAGCCTTATTTCACTGCTTTTTCAACGGTGCTCGACATGATGCAAGCGCTAGCTGGGAATGAAGAACAGAGCAGACACAAATAATATCTGTCTTTACGAGTGACGAATCGTCTTCTTGAGCCTCGTGCAATCACACGACTAGCATCTTTGTTTTGCACATGGCAGAATGCATCCCCAAGCACAATTGCCGTGCCAGCGCCTCCTCGGCCTGCGCGCAAACAGTGACAGCCAGCAAGTGCGTGCGCGAGAGTGGACATGGGATCTGCAGCATGCCTCGTGCACGGACTTTCGTCGTCCTGCACTGCTTTCTTAGTCCGTCAGCAAGAGAGCTGGGGGAAGAGCCCTCTCTGGTGCCAGTTGGGTGCTCGCGTGCCATCCCTCGTCCCCAGCTGGCTAGGCCAAGAGCAGTGAGCTTCCCCCCTGGCGTCTACAAATTTTCTACCATTTCCAACATTTACTGCTTTTTGATGCATTACTAGGACGTTCCTTCGCGTACGACCTGCCCTCTCTGCTGCCATCATCTGAGGATGTGCGATTTGGATTGCGGAAATTACCGCTAGCCTCCTTGGCCGCCGCCGGGACGGCGGATGGCGTCAAGCGAACTGTTCGACAGTAGGCGCCCAGTGTCAGTGCTCCAGCGTGGGACATCGCCCAGACGTGCGTCGCGCACACTGCAAATCCTTGAACCGGGCTTGTCTGGCAACCATGTTGGTGCACAACATCCGATGTCTGCCGTGCAGACGAACCGGGCTGGAGGTGCCGGATCCTGAAAAGTTGGACAGGGGTGCAGCATGGTGGCGCAGGCAACTGTTGGTTCGCAACAACTTCACTGCTTTTTAATCCTCGCTCGACTAGAGGGAATGCTAGAACTGAAAAGTGAAACAAAGACAAATAAGTCCTAGAGAAGCGGCGATATAACTTCCGCACAGGCATATCGAGCTGCGAGTCTCGTACGTTCCCGCGTCCAGCATCTTTATTTCTGTGTGGTGCGTCCCCGTGCACAATGCCATGCCAGCTGTGCAGCCTGGCATCTTAATGTAGCAATACAGTGATAGGAAGAAAGTGCACGGGGGTACACCGTGGACCCTGGCCAATGCGCTATCCATACGGCATGCCTCTTACGCCAATAGCAGGCAAAGGATCCAGATGGGCAACGTTCGCCTTTCTTCACTGCTTCCTTAAGTCCTCGGCAGGGGACGGGGGACCTCTTTGGGCCACGTGGGTGCTAATAATGTGCCCGCCGCCGTCCCAGGCTAATAAGCCTCACCACGTGGCGTCTACTGACTTTCTACCATTTCACCATTCACTCCTTTTCTGGGCATCAGTAGGACGTTGCTTTATAAAACAACCGATGATGGCAAAGTATGAATACAGCACACTTCATTGTGTCTAGTATTTCGGGGCACCTTTTGTCTAGTACCTCGTAGTAGTCAAGTGACGGAGCAACTTCAGCTAATGCGACGACGCACCCCAGACCCCACACACATCCTTCAACACGTGCCTGGAGAGCCTTGCCATACAGCGTAATTTTCTATCTTCGCTGCTTTTTTAGCCTCTCCTGGGCCCATGCGCCAAGAACTGCGAGTTAAAAAGCATAAAATTTTGACTGTCAAACGAAACATGCCAATTTTTGCAACAAGTCTTCGGATCATCGTTGTTCAGATTTTGAAAACCATCTCCATACCAAGCGACAAGAACTCGAGGCTACTATTAGTGGGGGGCCGGCTGTGTTCCTAAGTCGTCTTCACAAGCTAGCGGGCGTCTTGCAGGTAATTTTGGAGTTCGGTTGCGCACCATAGCTCGTGCATTCCGTTTCACTGATCAATCAGCTGTTAGGGCGTGGAGCCTTCAATGGATTGCATGCTCGTAAGGAAACCGTCCCTTCCCTTGCTTTTTATTTCAGGCCACTCACCAAAAAGAATGATTAAAACTTTGCTGTGCGGCAGCCTTAGCTGGCCCCTCTGATTGACCGGTACTCAGGCATTTCATCACGCTGGCGCACCAAAACCTTTGTCAGGCAGCCAGCCCTTCTGGAACGGCCCCTACGAATGCGGTGTAAGGGTAGACAGGTTGTCACGAACATGAGCGTCCGGGATTGACTCTTGATACGGCAGACCGCACGAGTTCGAGGCACAATACAGACCAGGATAATTCACGAGGCGTGCACAGTTGTTTGAACAACGAGAATCGCCGAGCTTGATGTAACCAAACGTGGTGTGACTGCAGTAGCCCACGTCAACCTTTATACGGCTCACTGCGCCCTGTTCTCCGCGCAATCAACCACTGCATCCAGACGTTACTCCATTCCGGCGTTATGGGCTCCCAAACCAGTGTTAGAGTTGTCTCTAGAAGTGTCAAGTCTGCCACAGTCTTGATTGAAGTGGCGCTGTGGTTGTAGGCCTTCTGTTGGCCTGCACTGCATTTCTAGTGTGTTCCAAACGCTCTCAAAGATGCCAGCCAACAAACTCTGCGAGGTTGCGAGCTAGGTTACATCTGTGTCCGCTCTCCGCCGCCCAGAGATAAAAACATCCCACGTTGACCCTTCTTAGCGATGCAGTCAGGCAGGGACATGTCGACTTCACTGCTTTCTTAGCCTTCCCCAGGACTCTGTCGGTTTGCAGCTTTGGCCGTGGTTGCCTGGCGGCCTCCTTGGAGACCTTGGGGTGGGACTGGTCGACTCGAGAGCCTCTCCACTTTTCCGCGAACCAGAAAACCTTAACTGTCCCGCAACACCATTGCACTGCTTTTTTTTCGCCCCCTGGGGCCTTCTCATTCTCCACTCCAGGGTTACTGTGCACCGCCAGACCGCGGATCTGCCTCCAAATGCACTTTTCTGCCTTCGCTGGCCCTCGCAATGATTGAAGAGCAGTCTCCCAGCGAAGATAATGACAAACAATCAATGAACGTATCATGTTGAAGTGACCGTGACAGCACGAGCGCACACTCGTGCGCGTGGTTGTACACCTCGCCTACCCAATCAGTCAGTTTGACGGACTGGGCCATAAGGCGGGCGCAGGCTAAACGCCGTGGTGTGGTCGTTTGCATGAAGCCTGACCCGCTCTGGAACGGTCACAGGGACAGGTCATTCTACATTGGAACTCGACTTTGAATGAGTACGTATGGTATCTCATAGCAGCCAGACCGTGCTAGCCTCCGTCTCTAAGAAGCTGCGCTACAAGAGAGATCATAGTCAACCAAGGAAATAAGACAGGTTCGTGGGTCACCTTGCAAGGGTCTTTGAGTTGGAACCTTCTCCAAAGCCTTGCGAGCCTGCTGCTGCGCCCGCAAGCAAGACCACGTTTGCCTTGCTGCACGCTGGCCTACACACTCTGCATTGCTGCCCAAGCCAGCGTGGTTGGGCCGCTCCACTGCCTTTGTAGCCCTTCGCGGGACGTCTTACAGAGGATCATTTGGCTGGTTCCGGAAAAGTATTTACCGCGTCGCTGTTTCACTGCTTTTTAAACCATTTACGGCTGCGCCGACATTGTTGCCTTTTGTTTGGGGGGGGGGGGGGGGTGTGATGTACCCGACATGGGGTTTCACCTCTTTGCCTCCCTTCAATGAGGGGTGAAGACTTCGTTAGGGTGCCTTTGCGAGTGGGCAGAATCATGTACACTTCGAGATTCACTGATATCTTCAGTGTTTCGAGGGAAGGATTGGGGGATCACCTCATGATGAGTTGCCGTCCCAACTTGTATGCTGACAATGAGATTCCAGGTGCAAAGCAAGAACCAGCACGGATTCATTTATTTTCAAAAGAGCAGGATCTTTTGAATCGATATCATTTGAACCAGTAGAGTATGAGACCACGTACTAGCTTTTGCAGGTTGTTGTACACTATTACTGAGGCAATATGGGAGTACTCGATAACCCAGAGAAGGCTCGTGGTGCAGCATATGCGTTACGCCACAGATTGAAGGAGTTGTGTTTTGATAGTATCCAAGTCTACGCCTGCTCCTCTGGGAGTCCGGAACTAAATGCATCTGCGGGTAAGGCAAGGGGCCTCAATACCCGCTTGAGAGAGGCAGAGGTGTCCACAGCGAGGACCAACAAGGCAGTGTATGCTGTGCCGAAGCCCAGAATTGAGAACATGCGGGGATCTGAGGGATGCATAGAGCCATGTGAGACGTCTGCCCAGCTGAGATGAAAAATGCAGTGAAATGGAAACCCGACACATAAAAGGCGTCAGCCCACGCCGATGAAGATCCGTCTGAGTGTCCGATTTGTTCTGTCACCAGCCTCGGCAGTCAGCTAATGGATCTTGCATTCGCTCGTCTTGGGCGGGGGACGCCTGGGGCAGCACGCCTATTGGGGCGACGATCTTATGACTGAGGAAACTTATATTATGCCCGATAAGAACCGCGAGCGGGTATACGAGATCGATTCATTGCAGCGAGGTCATGCGTCGGCTGTTGATACCAATTTCTATCGAGAATTGAAGAAGAGCCTCAGCATCTCAAGATCATGTTTGGTCCAAAACGTCGTGTTCTTGACCTTCTTTGCAACATCATATATTGTGCTCTCCTCCACAAACTATAGCACGACAGATCACCTTGGGCACTAGCAATACTTGATTTTGGCAGCAGTCACAGCAGAGGTGACCCGTGCAAAAGAGACCGTACATGTTGAAAATTTGGGTTCGTGAGGAGGTGCACGAGCCTGCTCATATGTCCGAGGCTGCCCTGGACGTTCAAGAATCAGGAATTGGAAGCACAGGCTTGGAAAATCTCCCGTCTTAATTATCTGACACATACTATTGCAATAATCTCTCTCTCTCTCTCTTTCTTTCTTGAGGTGTTGGGGGGGGGGAGGGTTGCTTATTCGACTTACATCACCGGAAGAGCTCGTTCAACCATAGCGATCTCGTGGGGTCTGGTGGGATTGTAGAAGCGTGATTTTGAGTGTTCTCTGCCTTGTTCTCTTGTGTCGGGCGAGGCAACCTCAAGTTTGCCCAATGCACTGCTGCTCATGTGCCTCAAAACGATTGGCTGTGACGAAAATTGCCTGCTTAATTGATCATTCATCTTTGGCTATGACTGGCTCACCTGTCAGCCTTCCCACCTTTCGTGGCAACATGCACTGCTTTTTGACCCTCTCCTGAGACGTTCTCTTTCCCACTAACATGTCAGACAGCGATATTGCTTTCATGCACGTTCTCTCCTTGCCCATTCGAAACGCTACGGATAGAGGGCCGCAAACCATGAAAATGAAACATAAGCATACAATGTGCAGAGGCCATGAGAGCGCGAGCCGACTTTAGTTAGCATGAGCACGCCACTCAATGTTTTTCTGCCTGATCACGTACCAACGGCTCGCGTCCGAGTGATCCGGTGTCTTCTCGCACTTCCTCAGGCGCCAAGTTATACCATACAAGTCCTCAATAAACGGCAACATATGCTACTACTCGATTTTGCACAGAGGCCTCCCGCCGCATCCCAGCAATCACACCTCCGATGAAGAGACCTCAATCTCGTTTCACCGCCCCGTGCACCGCATACTTTGTCTTGCCCTCCTCCATCACCCCCCTCATGATTGCCAACAGAGCCCAGTCGCTGATCCGCCCGCCCAGCCGGTCGAGGGTACCCATGAACACGGCATGCGGGAACCACGGGTAGATCCGCGCGGCATCGGGTCCGCGATAACCCATGCACCGCACCATCGCGCGGGCAAAGGATGTGGCACTGGGGGTCATGGCGGAGACGGGGTCAATCGCGGTCGTGATGGTCGCGGTCTCGGTCACGCTCATGACGTCAAAGGCCATGACGTCAATGTGGTCTCGACCCACGGTCCCGGGGCCGGGCGGGTAGGACATGTTCTCGAGGCGGAGGAGGTCGGCGGAGCGCATGGTGAATGCCTTGGAGGGCGCGTAGGAGGGGAAGTTGGGGAAGCGCGACGCTATGCTGCCAATGTTGACAATCAGGCATCTGGGTGTGGTGATGCCTACTCCTGGCGATGGCGATGAGGCCGAGTGCTTCAGCATGTTGGGGAAGATGGCGCGCGTGATGAGCAGATGGCTGGCTGCGTTGATGACGACGCTCGTGCGCAGCTGCTCGAATGTGCAGTTCTCTAAGCGCTCGTACGGCGGTCGTTCCGCTGGGGGGAATTGAGGAGTGGCGACATTGTTGACGAGGATGCGTACGTCAATGTCGCTGAACTTCTCTGCCACACCGTCGAGTAACGTGGTCAGGTCCGGATCGCTGAGCGTGAGGCAGAGCTTGACGTCGAGCACCAGCGTCCGCACAGACCGGCCGGGGAACCGCGCCAGGAGGTCACGCTTGGCAGCTTCGACCCGGCCCTCGTTCGCGCCGTGGAGGACGATGTTGAAGCCATGGCCGGCGAGCTCCAGGGCGAGAGCTTTACCGATACCCGAGGTTGAGCCTGTGATGAATGCCCATGCAGGTTTCGAGGCGCTGCCATCAGCGCCGGTGAGGTATTGTTTGACACCGGTGCGGCGCAGGAAGTAGAAGTGAAAGCAGGATACTATGTGGAAGCCCCATCGCGCAATGAAGACGGATCCGATGCAGATTGCTGCTTTCTGTAATACACCCTGGATGGTCATTGCGTGCGGTTACTCGGCTGCTTCTGGGGTCGGTCTTCAGTGTTGCAGCGTAAATTGCCGGGCATAGGTTCATTCTTCTTCTTTTATACATGATTTAAACCAAGATGCCTCGGGAACGTAAATGCTGCGGATTGACAAGGCTCAGAGCCAATAGGCTACAGCAGTGTCAAACGCTTGGTAATGCAACAAGTTCGCGCCAGTGCACTTGAACTCAAGCAGATAAATGGCCAATAGCGTCTCGGTCAGCTTACCAGCCCAACCACGGTGTGGGGGGAATTGATGTGAACAGGCGCGAAATGTTTCCTTTTGAAGCACACTTAGGGAGCTAGCCACCGATAGTGGTCGGAGCCAGTGTTAGGCTGTGAATGACCATCACTGCCGCAGCACGTAGACCTCATAATGAAGCCAAGCCGAGCCAATCCAGCAGATCTGAGCCGAAGCTATGACATGCCCGGTGGGGCGGCTGGCAAGTGGCTTGTGCTTGTCTGTGGCACCACTTGAGCACTAGCAACAACAAGGTGCCATTTCAGGAAGTCCTCTTTGCGCTCATTGGCTGCTGGGCCACTCTTGGCAACAGTTGAGGGCCTTCAACTACGCTTAAATTACCGTGAACCAGAGGCAACAAATAAACCGAAGGTCTGGCAGGGGGTGCCAGGGCGCTGACACGGGGCACTAAACTCAGCCGGGCAGAATTCTCCTACTGGTCCTTGCATAAGTTTGCCGCATCTGGCCAGAGCATTTCAGACCTTGGTCTATGGCACCGGTTGTTGCAGGAGGTGGGTGGTGTGGTTCGTGTCTGATGCGACAGCGCTTATCCTATTACGGTGCAGCCCTACGACCTACGCTTCACTGCTTTTCCAGCTTCTCTCAGGACCCCTCAGTATTTCAGCGCAGTGCCCCCCCCACATGGCTGAGCACGCTGAAGCCACAAACCACAGAATCCTACAGCTGGGACAACGCCTCTTAAGCTGCAGCCATCGCATATTGCCACCCACGCCCTTCAATTGCAACCTGCTCCCTCCCCAGCAGAACCTCTTCAGACGGGCCCGCGGCGGCGGGGTACCCTCACGAGGGCAACCAGCACACCCTGCGCAGCGCAAAACACGGCCACACAAAAGTACGGCAGCCCCGTCCAGGCGCCGCCCAGCTTCAACCCCGTGGCGTAGCACGCTGCGAGCATGGGATCCGAGTAGCACGCGCTGACAACCTGGAGGATGCCGATGAGCGTGTACAGCCGCGCGCGGCGGTCCGGGCGACTCACGAACGCAGACATGAGGCCCATAATCAGCCCCTCCGCCGCGGAGCCGAGCGCCATGACGACGAGACCGGCGATGAAGTAAGCGAGTGACGGAGCGAGCCCGAGGATGGCGGCACCCAAGGTGAGCGCGGCGATCGACATGCGAGCCAGGGAGAGGTCGCGGCGGACTTCATCGGTGAATATCTGGAGGGAGGACGCGCAAGCCTCTTGTTGGTGGTCGCTTGTAGGGTGCTCTTGTGTTTCGGCCGTGGAATTGCCGGCGCCGTCGTCATGCTGGACATTGTCGCGTGGTTGAGGACGCATTGTGATTTGGGATATCCACGGAAGGAGGACCAGGGCCACAATGGCTTGGGCAATGCCAAATATGGTCTGAATGTATCCCGTGTCTGCCAGGCGGAGGTGGAACCGCGCTGAAGTGTATAGAGATAGTAGATTCAAGGTGCACAGACCGGCTGGGAGGGCGAGCAGCGTTGTCGTGACTAACAAGACCAGCGGCCTCGACTCGAGAACGGCAAAAGAGTCCTTGAGTGCGACCCAGGCTTTGGTCGGCAGGGTTGCCTGGGATCTGCCTTCATCACTGGCACTCCCCGAGCCGCTGTTGCTTGCGTCTTTGCGTTCCGCCGCTCTGAGCGTTTCTGGCAGCAGTCCCGTTGCGGTAGCGGCAGCCACCATCAAGAACAAGCCGAGCCCCATCAATGCCCGCGCGCCGACATATGGCATCAGCGCTCCCACCATCGCGGGCGCGATCAAATGGCCCAGCATGGCGGCCACATTGATCCTCATGAAACCAACAGCACTCTCAGGACGTTAGTAAGGCCTGTTTCTACGTGAAAGACGGGAGTACCAGGGAGAAAAATAAACACACCGCTTGGCTTCCGGCAAAATGTCGACCAGCATCCCCGACAATGATGCCATGACAACAGCATTACCGCCCCCGACGAGCCCGGCCAGAGACGACGCCCATATTAGCTCGATAGGCACGATATCAGACATCCAAGCCACGAGCATAAAGATCGCCATGGAGAACGCGTTGCTGTAAAGACAAACTGCGAGTACAAATCGTCGACCGAGCCTAGAATTGTTAGTTTTCATTTCGAGATCACCGCTGGCGATGCTATCCACACTCACTTGTCAGCAGCAATGCCCCACGGCATAGCAGCCAAGCAGCTTATGGCGGCAGTGGCAGCATTGTTGACCGCAAAGAGGTACACGAGTTTAGCCTGAATCACGCTGTTCTTGCATTCGTCCTCGCCAGGCGGTAGTGAGACCACCGGCGTGGAATCCGCCTGTGCTGGCTCGCCGCTATCATAATACTGCCTGCACAGGATGTCCTCGAAGGTACGTGCTGCTGGAAGTCCCTGGAAGCCTCCAGCCGCAGAGGCCGTGAAGATGATCGCACATAAGAGAATGACTGTGCGATTCGCGGTTATTGTTGTACCAGGCACGAATGTGGACGGATCGCTCTGAGCATAAACGCGCCTCGAGAGGAGAATGGTTGGTTCGGTGGCATTTCCTGCTTCGCCATCACAATTGGTCGCATTGTGAGTACGCTGATTGCCTTCTTCTGCACTCTCTGGCATATTGTCTACAGGTTCTCTCGCGGCCGTAACGTCCAGCATTCAAGCGCGAGGTGAGATAGGCAGTAAGGGATTACGACTGTGCAATGAGCTGAAAGTTTTTGCAGCAGCAAGGGGTAGTCCTCACTGCCCGTTTTCAGCAATCACCACCTCGGAAGTTGATGCAGATAAGCAGTGTGCCAGGTCAGTGAGCTCCTGTGAACACCGCATGATCCCGATTGACGGACACTGTGCATATAGATCAAGAGAACTTGGTGCAGGGCGCTGCATGTGTCACGGAAATAACCCTCAGGATTTCCAGCAAGTCATGCCCAAAGCGCTATATTCACGCCCGCACCAGTGCCGAGATCAAGGTATGCTAGGGTATACCGAAGGCCAAGCCCGAAGAAAACTACTGGGATCCAGGTTGCATCCGAACAAGAGTCAGCTACCATGTAACAGTTTCTGGTTGCGGCTCGGTAAGCGCCGCCAATGCACGAGCCCAGCAAACCACCGTAAATCTGTCCAGTCGGGGACTAGGCTGTTCTCCACATATCGGGCTTGTCATCCTTGGCCACAACTCTATCAATATCCGTTTCCAATTCTTCGCCATACGACTCGGCCTCCTTGTAAAGCAATCGCTTCTGTCCACCTGCACAAAACGCCCCCGCGGGGCCAGATTTGGCAGGTCTATACCCGCTCGCCTCCTTTACGGGCCCGAAACCAGTTGTGCAGGTAGCCCTTCTCGCCAAGTCAGGGCTTGCCGTCACTCCAAGCGCCGACAATGAACGCAGTCATTCCCTGCTGAGCTATCGCTTCATCATCCTCCAGACCAGTATAATTATGTGCACCGAGGGCGTTTGACGCGGTCGACCCCTTGAGGAGCGAACTGATACCATGGACTCCACCAGGCCCGAAATCCAGCATGAGCGTCGACTCGTCTTGTTGCTTAGGTGCCGACATCGCTGACTGCTGTCTCGTGACCTGAAGCGTCATATCCCAATCCACGGTCTTGCTCACCACGAGCTTTACGAGCTGTGGAAGGACGTTATTGGCTCCATCGTAAGGTGACGCGCGGAGATCTGCAGCCTCTTCGGGACCGATAACAGGGATCCTCAGCGCAGCCCTGAGAAGATGCAGATTTTCAATGTCCCGCAGAACCAGGGCCACTGCTGCCGCGACGGCTGTGCTATGGAACGGGACGCTGACGTCCAGGAACTTGCTCGTGATGGCCAGAGTATTCCCCGCTTGCCCCCTAGCTTCGCCGTGTGCTTGGAGTCGTTTCACCTTCCGTATCTGTAGGTTCAGCCCATAAAGATGGTGCGGGCGGCCCGAGACTACAAAGTGCCGCGGTCCGTTGACCATGCATATCTTCAGCCCGGGGGCTGCCTGATCCTTGTCGCCACCCGTTCTGGGGGTCCCAAGGTAACGATTGGTGGCATGCAGACATTCCTGCAGAGCCGCGCGAGTGAGGCCCTTGATGTTGAGCATCGGCGATGGCGCACGCTCGTCGTGATCGAGAGCGTCCTGTTGCATGGCAGCAGACACTGGTGAGCAGCCCCCAGCAGAGTTCCAGACTTGCTGCGTTCGCATACCGATCCAGAAGAGTGTAGTCAGTGCAGTCTGCATCGCTTGGTGGTATGAAGGCCAGTCGGTGGCGCTTGCTATCGCTGCCGCAGTGATGATGCCTTGGGAGTGGCCTGTCGTTGCGGACAGTTGGGCGCAGAACTGTCCAGGGGTCACGCCGAGCGTCTTGCAGGCAATCGCGTATCGAGTCAGCTGCACCAGACCGATGAGCGGTGCGCTTACCGGTGCCGCTCTGAGGTATTGGTCATCCGGGGCCTGCTCCGGATGCTCAAGCCATGATGCAACGTCGAAGCCTTGGCGGAAGTATTGTCGGGTGGTCGCATCGGTAGCCGAAAGTCCCGCCAGCAGCCTGGAGGAATCTCGCAGCAAGTCCTCGACGAGGGTGGCATAGTTTCGCGCCATGTCTCGAAGCTCCTGAAGGCAGTCGCATCGCAGACCTTGGCCACCAAATACAGCACAAGTTGAAGCCGTGTCGTGCGGTTGCCCTTCGTGCGCCCCCATTGGAACCATTGCATCATGCTGTGCAGCAATGTCAACATTGGTCGCACGCCAGGCATTGCAGTACAACTGCACAATGTTCGCTTTTTCTTCGTCTGGAATCGACAATGTGGATGTGACGGTACGGATGTCCCTGTTGAGGAGCAGGTCGTCATCGATCTCAGTCATCAGTGTTCTTAGTGCAGCTTGCTGGCAAGAGACTTCTGTTTCGCTATTCGTGCTGCCAATGCTATGACATCGCTGGTCACAGTCTCGAAGAGCTCGCCGCAGTAATGCGATAAACTCTACATCGTTATCGATCCAGGGCGATGTCGAGCCTGGCGGTGTAATTGGATCCTGGTGAGTTTCCGACTCCGAATTATCTGGCTTGTCGAACACTGGCTGGAGCTTTGCGTCCCTTCGTGTCGATACACTAGTGATCCATCTTCGAGTTCGTGTACCGTCTGATTCCGTCAAAGGAATTTCACCACCCTCTGGTGGAGGAGTGTCAAGGCGTGCCATGATCAAATGAAGTGATTTGGATCGCAGGGCCAATTTGGATGGAAGGACCAACCCGCATCTATTTGATCAAAGATACTGGCTCTTGCAATTTTCGTTTATTTTTCAGTCACGAACAGGTCACGGCGGGAACACGCCCTGGACCAGACTCAACCCCCCACATCGACTTCTGGTCCTCATCTTTCTACATCCACTGGGATGACCACCGCTTCGAGCTGACTGGATTTTGATACAGAAACCCCGCCCCCGGGGCGTATCAACCAACACCCTGGGCATTTCGGACCAAGATTTCAAGTAAGGGGACATATCACCATCGAATCTGTCATCCCGCGCTGCGCCGCACTCGGCTTGTCCCAGGCATCTCAGCCAAGCCTTGCCACCTTCCAGTCACAGCGATGCCAAGTTATGATATTGATCTTGCGCCAAGCTCTGCTGGATAATGAGTGCTGGCGCACCTTAAGACACACACTAGAATGTTCGATACACATAGGCACGCAAGGTATTGCTGCACTGTAACCTCTCGCTTAGGTCGAAGGCCCTCGAAATGGCCAATGGCGTGGCACGTCGTTCGATCTATGGCAGCCACAATGCCTTAAGAAGAGTAATCATTGGCCAATCTATACGCATTTGCATAGTGACAGCTGCGTATGCTGAAGCTAAGTTACAGTACATCCTCGTCTGCGCCAAGGAACATGTGAGGTGGACTTGGTTATCTGGCGTAGCAGGGGTCAAAGCCAAGGCAACCAAAGCTTCCGCTAAGCCCGAGCAGGCTATTGGGGTCGCAAAATGCGCCGTCTTTGATATGTCCCCTCTACAGAGTTCACTAGGACAGTCAGGGTAGGAGTGACAGGGGAGGGGTAGCAGTATTCTCGAAGCCTGTTCCTCGGGTGAATGGTTACAGTGCCATCTCCGTGACAGGGGTCGCAACCTACCAAACGAGACCAGGGGGTCTGCCACTACCAAATGGGACCAGGGACTAGGCTGACGGCATGTACACATTGAAGCCAGACAAGGTGTTTATCTTCTGTATTTGTCTGACTAACTATAATCAGGGATGCAACAGCATTGGATTACAAGCCCATGAAATTGTGAGATAACCATCTCTGTGACTAATATTCCAAGATCATTGTACGAAAATGAAATCCGTTCAAAGGGGTTCCTGGTCAGTGTCAGTGTTCTCTGACAGAAAAAGTAGCCGTGACATGTCTACTGAAAATTCGACCAAGTCCTGCTAGACATGGGCCTCCCGTTGCCAACGACTCGACCAACATTGTGATCATATCACAGATACCCATCAACTTATTGACACTATGCATGTCCATGGCCGCAATTCCGATGCTGAGGCGTTCCCAGCGTTGGATTCTGGAGGAGGCACTCATACAGGTCCTGGAGAGACTATGGATCTGATTCAAGCTGCCAGAGACATTCAGATTAGTGATGATGACCATACACTGGGCTCGATATCTCACACTAATCTTGGCCGCGTACTTGGTAATCAATGTGACCTAGCTCAGATCTGGGCAAAGGTACTCGGTATCCCTCAGGACACCATTGGACAACACGACAATTTCTTTCAACTCGGCGGAGATTCCCTTGCGGCTTCGCAAGTCTCACACGAAATCTCCAAGGATCAGTTCTCGCTCACCACGGAGCAGATTTTCCTTTATCCAACATTAGCCCAGCTCACACAGCTGCCTTGCATCCCCACAAAGACCATCCGAGCTGTGGACCATGGTCCCTTTTCGCTTGTCAAGGACAAAGTGAAAGATACTGGCGAGTGCAAAGCGCTTCTGGCAGAGCTTTGCAACGTCGCCCCGGAGCATGTCACCGATGTCTACCCGTGCACGCCGCTGCAGGAAGGCCTGTTTGCGCTAACCTCGAAAGATCAGGGCAGCTATATCCTGCGAAGCAAGCTCGCTCTTCGGGAAGGGGTTGTTGATCTTGAGCGGCTGAAGCGAGCATGGGCTCACACCTGTCGGGCAGTACCTGTGCTCGGCACACGCATTGTTCACCACGAGGATATCGGACTTGTGCAAGTCGTGATAGACGCGGAGAAAATTTCGCACGTGGACGAGACGATAGAAATGGAAGCTTCTCCTGCTGCAAGCATGGGGTTGGGCGACTCACTTGCCCGTTGCGCCATTGTCATGGAAGAGTCCATGCCCACCGCGGTAGTCCTAACCCTGCACCACGCAGTCTACGACAGGGCCACACTCCCTATTATCCAAGAGATCTTTGAAAAGTTCTGCCTCGGACAAGAGGTGAAGCAACTGCCACCTTTCCGGACTTTTGTTCAGCACCTATTGGAACAGTCTCAAGCAGCCGCACTGGGCTTTTGGGAGTGGGCAACTCTCGGTTACAACTCCGACGCTTTCCCGGCCCTTCCTGTCAACGTCCCAGCCGGACGACCGGATGTATCTGTAGAACGGATCATTTCGCTTGAGAGCCTTCGAATGGTCCCCAGCCTCCAAAATGACACAAGAGAGCCTCAGAGAACCAGCAAGGTGACGATCGCGATGCAGCTCCGCGCAGCATGGGCCCTGGTTGTCCATCACTATACGAGAGAAGACGACGTGATATTTGGCGCGACTCTCTCTGGGCGTTCAGTTCCAGTGGAAATGGTAGACGAGATGATTGGCGCCACGATCGCAACTGTCCCCGTGCGTGTACGTGTTCCAGCTCTCCCGTCAACCACCATCGAGGAGTACCTGGAGACCGTGCAGGAGCAGGCAGCCGACATGATGGCCTTTGAGCAGACCGGGCTACAGCACATCGCACGGATCAACGACGAGGCGGCACGAGCATGCAAGTTCCAGACCATGTTTATCGTGCAGCAAACGCAGGAAGACAAGAGAGAGACTGGAGAAGGCGAGACAGCCGTTGGTGTTTGGCTCAAAACCACGCAGCTGGACGAGGTCGCGACCTATCCGCTCGTTATTATCAGCACGATATCGAAAACCGAAGTCACGGTCGTTGCGCACGTCGACTCTCGGGTTCTGGAACCATGGAAAGTGGAGAGGATGCTGGCACGACTAGCTTACACGATGGAGCAGGTTAACCAGCTTCCGGTTGACACCAGCCTACATGAGTTGGACGTGCTCATGCCATATGATCTCAACATGATTTGGGAGTGGAATCAAAGTATCCCCAGAGCGGTTGGCAGAACCCTTTCCGAGGTAGTCGCTGAAAGAGGCAAGGATGACCCATCCCGAACCGCCATTGACGCCTGGGATGGTAGTATCTCTTACTTGGAGCTGGACACGATGACGACACAGTTTGCCCAGGATCTCGTGGTTGCCGGTGTGCGTGTGGGCGATTTCGTGCCCTTATTCTTTGAGAAATCCAAGTGGGCGGTCGTTGCCATGCTCGCAGTCATGAAAGCAGGCGCTACGTTTGTCCCTTTGGACCCCTCTTCGGGCGCAGCAGATCGTAGAGCACACATTCTGGGACAGATTGTGGCCAAGGTAGCTCTCACCTCCCAACTGTACGCCGATATTGTCCTGGACTCCGCTACTCGAAAAACAACCATAAGCCTCGATTCACTCAACAAACTCGCGAAAGAGAATGCGTACACCACAGCTGTTCAACACTCTCTGCCCCGTGTCCCGGAAAGCACGAACGCGTACGCCATCTTCACCTCAGGCAGCACAGGCCAGCCCAAAGGCGTGCTACTTCCACATAGCGCCATTGTCACTAGTTTGATCCATCACGGCGCAGCTATCGGGCATAATCCCAGCACTCGGATGCTTCAATTCGCAGCATATACCTTCGACGCCTCCATACATGAAATTTTCGCGACGCTCATTTTCGGCGGCACAGTCTGCTGCCCCTCTGAGTTGGATCTACGCGACGACTTGACAGCCGCCGTTTGCAAGACGAGTGTAAATACCATCGTGATCACGCCATCTGTGGCTCGCCTCATCGACCCGCTTGAGGCTTCTTGTATCAGCAAAGTCCTATTAGCGGGCGAGACGCCAATGGTGGAAGATTTAGACATGTGGCGGCATACAGAACTCTTTCAGGGGTATGGGCCAACAGAGTGCGCGGTACTGTGCACTGTTGGCCTCATTGAGAAACAAGAAATGGGAGGTATCGATGGTGCCAAGATCCGCGAGATCGGCGTCCCGACCGGCTGCGCCGCCTGGATCGTGGATCAGAACGATCACGAAAAGCTTTTGCCCATCGGGGCAGTGGGTGAGCTCTGCTTTGAGGGGCCAATCCTTGCATCGGGTTACTTGCTCGATGAGCAAAAGACGACAGCGGCATTCATTGAAGACCCGCCGTGGCTGTTGAAGGGTAGCCTCCGGGCACCAGGCCGCCATGGCAGGCTCTACAAAACAGGCGATCTAGCTCAGTACACCGCCGACGGGCGGCTTCTGTACGTAACGCGGAAGGACACCCAAGTCAAGATTCGCGGCCAGCGGCTCGAGTTGGCTGAGGTTGAGTTCCATATGCTGGCATCCCTCGGTCCGAAGGCCAAGTGCGTTGTCGCTGAAGTGTTGCGAGCTCCTGGATCTGAGTCCCACGCTGTCACCTTGGCAGCATACGTGGTCCCCAATTCTCCGAAGGATACGACAACGTCACGCGACGGAAGCTTCGACTTGAAGCCATATGAGATACCGCACCTGGTCAATGAAGAGCTGGCTCGACGTCTACCTAGCTACATGATCCCAGACGTATGGGTGGCGATCGACCACCTACCCTTGACGACCTCAGGCAAGATAGACCGACGAAGACTTCGCGACGCGGCGATTCTCTACTTATCCAGTATCAGATTCCTCGGTAACAATGGTGATGGCCTCGATCGAGACGATAGTTCCATGCCATCCACAAAACAGGAGCTCGCTCTGGCTGGATTGTGGGCCCGCCTACTCGGCCTCAGAGACACAAACCGTATCAGAAGAGACGATCACTTCTTCAAACTTGGCGGGGATTCAATAGCGTCCATGAAACTCGTCGGTGCGGCACGCAAGCAGGGGCTTGTGCTGACAGTCGCGCTCATCTTTCGTCATCCCCGACTTGCAGACATGGCTGCCCAAGCACAAAGAGTGCTGGGTGATGAGGGTCTTTCTGAGCAGGCCGTGGATGATGTTGTCAGGCCTTTCTCACTACTCTCCTTGGAGTCTGGCGATATAGTACAGTTTCAAAACTTTGCTGCTCATGAGTGTGGCCTGGACGTCCGCTCCATCGTCGACGCCTACCCGTGCTCATCGCTTCAGGAAGGCTTGCTAGCGCTGAGCTCGGCCAGGCCAGGCAATTATACCTTGCAAAGTATCCTAGAGCTATCGGATGAAGCGGATGAAACAAGAGTTCGGACCGCGTGGGAGCAGACTGTTCAAGATTTCCCCGTGTTGAGGACTCGGGTCATCCAACACAGCGTGCATGGGCTCACCCAGATCGTTACCAAGGCAGAGTCAATCTGGCAGAGGGCCGAAGGTCTCAATCTAGACCAATATCTCAAAAAGGACAAACTCGAGCCAATGGAGCTCGGGAAATCTCTGCTTCGCCAATGCATGGTTACTGATAACGACACTGGCAAAAGGTCTCTGGCGATCACGATTCACCACGCATTGTACGATGCAGAGTCCATGGATATGGTTCGCGAGCGGTTCAAGCAGCGCTATGAGAACGCCTCGATCCTGGTTGAGCACTTCAACTTCAACCTTGCTGTAAGGCACATGGTGAAGATGGATCTGTCCCTGGCGACTATGTTCTGGCAGCAGTATTTCAGCGGCTACAGTGGTAGTTGTTTCCCGCCTGTCCCGCAAAGCGACAAGGGACAGCTCGCAAGTGACACGGTTGAGACCAGTCCTGTTTCGCTCCAGCATGGACCGAACATACACAGTGCTGTGACCATCGCATCACTGGTGAGAGCGGCGTGGGCATTTGTCGTGAACCAACACACCGGCAATGACGACGTCGTGTTCGGTGTTCTGCTCTCAGGGCGCAACATGGCAATCCCGAATGTTGGCAACATTGTCGGCCCAACTATCGCAACTGTGCCTTGCAGGGTGCATGTTCCAGCACTACGCAGCTCCCAGTCTACAGTGGTTGAGTTTCTCCAAGATGTGCAGAACTCTGCAACCGCTATGATTCCCTTCGAGCAGACAGGCCTACAGCACCTTGCCAAGGCCAGCGATTATGCAAAGAAGGCCTGTGACTTTCAGACTCTGCTCATTATCAATGCTGAGAAATCCGGTGTTACGGAGTCAGACCAAACGCAAGCCGTCGGAAAGTGGGTACAGACCTTTGACACGCGCGAATTCACGAGCTACGCCTTGACGGTCGAGTGCACAGTCTCGGCAGAACGTACCATCATGTTGCGATGCTGCTTCAATGGGGCTCTTGTAGAAGAGTGGCGGGTTCGCTCCATGGTGGAACAGACTGCCCATGTCATCCAGCAGTTCAGCACTGCGGGTACGCAACAACGTCTGGCAGACCTCGAAACACTCACGCCGACTGATCGGGTGAAAATCTGGCAGTGGAACAAGTTGAAGCCCCCTACGATCGAGGAGTGCGTGCATGATATTATTGCAAGGCAAATCAACCTGTACCGAGAGGACCCCGCGATTGCATCATGGGACGGGGATCTGACTTATGGAGAACTAGACCACGCGGCACTGTTCTGGCACATGAAGTGCTGGCTCTTGGCGCCCGCAAAGGTGACTTCATCCTTCTATACTTTGAGAAGTCGGCCTGGACCGTCGTCGCGATGCTCGCAGTAATGCGTGCTGGCGGTGCTTTCGTTCTGGTTGACCCTTCCCTCCCACAGACTCGTGTAGCAAGCATCGCCCGACAGTCTGCTGCGAATCTGGCTCTCGCGAATGCTTCGACAGCAGTGAATATCTCAACAATTGTCGATCAAACTGTCGTCGTTGACAAAAATTTACTTGAGACAAGCTTCGAATCAGTTCGTGGTCGTCCTCTGCCCACGATATCGCCGTCATCCGCAATGTATGTGCCTTTCACCTCCGGCACGACCGGCGAGCCAAAGGGGACCATCATCCCACACAGCGCCTACGCATCAACTCTACACTATCAAGCACATCGGCTGACTGTGCCCCGTGCGCGCGTGCTCGACTTCTGTCCGTACTCTTTCGATGCATGCATCATGAACACCGTGATGACCCTAGCCGTGGGCGGCTGCATCTGCATCGCTTCCGAGTCAGCCAGACGAGATGACCTCCAGGGCGTTATGGCCGGCATGGAAATTAGCTGCATCCACTTCACGCCATCTGTCGCGCGGTTGATCGACTTCACAAAATTGCCCAAGTTTCAGTCCCTCACCTTGGGAGGAGAGGCACTGCGAGATATCGACATCCGCCGGGTTCCTGAGCGGATACGAATCGTCAATAGTTATGGTCCATCGGAGTGTACGCCAACGAGCACGATAAACGACGACCAGTCGCGTAGACTCGAGTTGTCCAATATTGGAAGAGGTGCAGGCACTTGTACTTGGGTTGTTGACCCCGAAGACCATGACAGGCTTGTGCCAGTCGGTTCAGTCGGAGAGCTGCTCATCGAAGGTCCGACAGTTGGTCTGGAATACTTGGGCCAGCCCAAAAAGACAGAAGCCTCCTTCATAAGTTCGCCCAAGTGGTTGCTTGACGGCTGCGGTAGCGGATTCCCTGGACGCCAGAGTAGGCTTTACAAGACAGGCGACCTTGTCCGGTACAACCCAGATGGTGTACTCGTGTACCTGGGCAGGAAGGACTCGCAGACCAAGCTCCGAGGTCAGCGACTTGAGCTTGCGGAAGTCGAGTATCACGCCCTCGCCGCCATCGAGGGTGCCATTGAGGTCACCGCGGAAGTCATATGTCCAGAGAATGACAAGACTGCTGCAGCACTTGCGATTTTCGTCGTGGTGCAAGATGGGAAAGTCAGAGATCCTCTGCCAGTGGCGATTTCATTAGCGGCTGAGTCCCTTATGGCCGAGCATCTTCCCACGTACATGGTTCCTACGATATGTGTCGTGCTGCCGCGTCTCCCGTTGAGCAAATCCGGCAAGGTAGACCGCAAAGCTTTACAAGAATTCGGCTCGTCGTTGACCAAGGCGCAACTCGCACAGCCACACCAGTCTGGGCCCTCAGCGGAACAGCTGCCCCTCACTGATGCAGAGTGTGCTATGGCGAGGCTGTTTTCCCGCGTGCTCAGTATTGACGTGTCGTCTATCGGAGTGAACGACAGTTTCCTGCGCATCGGAGGTGACTCCATCACGGCAATGCAAGTCTCTGCTGAGGCAAGGAGCATCGGGATGAACGTGTCAACAGCAGCAATTCTCCGGCACAAGACAATTTCGGCGATCCTTGCGGCTTCTTCGAGTCTCAAAGCTTTCAAACACCCACGTGAACAAGCGCTCGTGACAGCTACAGAGTACGACGGGAAGACGTTTCCCTTAAGTCCCATGCAGGAGCTCTTCTTCCGAACACAGCCAGACCCCCGGACTCCCTTCGATCAGTTCTTCCTCCTCGCGTTGCAGGAGACCACCAACAGTGATACCCTCCGAAATGCCCTGCATCGCTTGATCTCTGTGCACGCCAGCCTCCGCACCAAGTTTCAGCAGGACGATAGAGGTAAGTGGGAGCAGCGGATTGGCCTGGAAGCTAATGATTCGTTCCAGCTATACCATGTCTCGGGAGTCCACGAGACCGCCGACATGACTTCGACAATCACCATGTGCCGCGGCAGTCTCGACATTGAACATGGCCCGTTGGTGGCCGCTGCACTTTTTGATCTAGGCAGTGGAAATCAGAACCTCTTCATCACAATTCACCATCTCGTCGTTGATCTTGTCTCGTGGCGCAAGCTTCTTGAAGACCTTAACACTATTTTGCGCCAGGACATTGTTCCCAAGTCCTCATCGATTCAATTTCCAGATTGGGCGAGGTTTCAAAAGGAATACATAAGCACGATCAAGGCACGCGATAACGAGCTGCCGTTTCAGATACACGCGACTGAACACGATGCTTGGGGCGAATTTGATAGAAATGAGACAGACAGCATCCATTTCGAAATTTGCAGGGACACAACCTCAGCACTCCTCGGATCTGCCAATGGGGCATTCGACACGCGAGCGCATGAGCTCATGATAGCGGCACTCTTCTACTCTTTCAGTTGTACCTTTCCGGAACGGCGTCTACCCACCGTGTACAATGAATCACACGGGAGAGAGTCCTGGACGGACAGCATCGATGTGTCCACGACGGTCGGCTGGTTCACCACGTTTTCGCCGATCAAGCTGATGAACCCCGGTGTAAACCAGTCGCTCGAACTTCACGACATGGTTCGCCAGACAAAAGATTGCATCCGCAGCATGTCACATAATGGATTGCACCACTTTACTTCATGCTTTGCCAGCGAAGATGCCGCGAGCCTGTTCGTGGCCCAGATGCCTGTAGAGATCATGTTCAATTACTCGGGGCGATATCAGCAGTTTGAGCGCGAAGATGCGCTCTTTCGCAATCTGCCGCTGGGGGCTGATATTTCCGGTCCACTCACGGATCCCAAGTTCCAAAGATATGCCATTTTCGATGTCATGGTCGGCGTGAATGAGGGGCAGCTTGCGGTAAATCTCATGTATCCGACAAAGATCAAATACCAAGACCGGATCGCTGGATGGGCTTCGGAGTTCAGAAGAGCACTGGAGACACTGGCACATGATTTAGTATCACAAAATCTCCAATGGACACTGGCAGATTTCCCTGGCGTCTTCCATTCCTATGACCAGATCTCGACTTTCGCCACGGATACGATAGCTCAGATGGGCACCAAAGTCAAGCTTGAGGATATCGAAGACATTTTCCCCACCACACCGATACAGGAAGGGATACTTATCAGCCAGTTGAAACATCCGCAGAGATATCGCACGCGATTACATTTGGAATTATCCACCACGAGTGGTGCTCTCGATATGGCTCTGTTACAGCATGCATGGCAGAGCATTGTTCTCCGCCACTCAATACTGCGGGCTGTGCTTGTCAGAGACTTCCCTGGAACAAGTCGGATCATGCACGTTATACTCAAGGCCCCAGCTGTTTCCATCCATGTCGAAACTATACCCACTCAGGAACAGCTCCTGGAAGCCCTCGAGACGAGCACGGAGCCGTACTCAGAATCAGGACTGCAGCACCGTCTTCGCGTATTTGAGGCAGCCGAGACCGGCAAGCCTTGCCTCGTGATGGAATTCAACCATGTCATTGTTGATGGCTACTCGATCGGCATCATGCTCGACGAGCTCAAAGCACTGTACAATGCTGCTGGCCACAGGCTCATTGAGTTCTTGCCTCTCGCACAGACTTACCGCGAGTTTGTTTCTTTCATCGACAAACAAGACACCGCACAAGGTCTAAGGTTCTGGACAGAGTACCTTGCCGATGCCGTGCCGTGCCACTTTCCGCAAGCTGAAGGCAACGATAGTTTCAGTGAAGATCTCGACAGCGCCACTACGGAAATGACTCCTGTGCTCAATGTCGACACAACTGGCATCAGAGGTATTTGTACGGAGCATGAGCTCACGCCTGCAACCCTTATCCACACTGCCTGGGCGTTTGTCCTGAAAGCCTACACGGGAATTCAGCAGCCTTGCTTTGGTATCATCTGTTCCGGCCGCGACCACCCGATCAAGAATGTCGGCCACATTGTTGGACCTCTACTTGGTATGGTAACGGCAAAGGTACGGCTAGATGGCAGCAATAACACTGAATCAGTATTGCAAGTGCTACAGGCGGTACAAGCGGACTACCTCCAGACCCTTCCGCATCAGACGACGCCGCTGGCTTCGGTGCACAGCGCCTTGGGGCTCGGGTCTTCTGCCTTGTTCAATACGATCATCTCATACCAGAAGGGCGACGGTGAAGCATTGACCCAGCCTGGGGAAGGGCTTTCCTGGCGCGTTATTGGCGGTTCCGATCCTAACGAAGTGAGTTCTACTTCTGCTCTGCGGGCATGCCAAGAATCATGCTAGCAATCAATAGACTGACCAATGACCGAAACCTCACAGTATGCGATATCAGTCCGCGTGGTGGATGAGCCAGCTGAGATCAAGATTATGCTCGACCATTCTGGCACACTAAACCGCACCCAAGGTGTTCAACTTGCCGAGACCCTGAGCACGACTCTGAGCTCGATGATCAGCAAAATTCAGGTCGCAACACGAGAAGTCTACATGCTCGACAGATCCAGCCTCGAAACGATCTGGCAGTGGAACAATGCGGTACCGTCTCCGGTTGAGGAGTGCATAGACAAACTCATCGCCCGCCAAGTCACAGTCCATTCGCAGAAAATGGCGATTAATTCTTATGATGGGGACATGTCGTATGCTGAACTCGACCAGCTGGCAACACTTCTCGCTCGCCGCCTGTCCAGCGCCGGCATCGGACCTGGTCATATTGTGCCACTTTGTTTCACAAGGTCACGCTGGGCTGTTGTCGCCATGCTCGCTGTGCTCAAGGCTGGAGCTGCCTTCGTCCCCCTCGACCCTACACAAGCCATAGGGCGGCGGAACCTGATCATGGCACAAGTGAATGCAACGGTCATCATCATATCAGAGGACAACGCCCATTTGCTTGAGAACCAAGGCCGTCAAGTGATAGCTATCGGTGCAGCCTCCTGGGAAGCACTCATCACCACCGCCCCAAACCCGCCGCTGCCCGTCGTCAAGTCCGACCCATCCACGACCATGTACATCTTATTCACATCCGGCAGCACCGGTGTTCCTAAAGGTGTTGTCCTGTCCCACAGCGCAGTCAGTACGAGTTGCACCCATCACGGCCAGCGCATTGGCTTCACTCCCTCAACAAGGACCATGCAGTTTGCCTCATATACCTTTGACGCCTGCATCATGGAGATTTTTACCACTCTCGTCTTCGGCGGATGCATATGCATCCCGTCCCCACAAGACCGCCTCGACGACATTGCAGGCTCCATCCAGGCAATGCAAGTCAACACGCTCTTCGCCACGCCCACAGTGGCGAGGCTGATACAGCCAGAGACAGTCCCCTCCTTGAAAACGGCTATCATTGGTGGCGAGAAGTGCTCCCCGGCCGATTATTCGCGGTGGCATGGATATCTGGATGTAGTCCTCCAAGCGTATGGGCCGACGGAGTGCGCCATCTTCTGCGCTCTCCACGATGAAGGTCTTGCAGCTGTAGAAAGGAACTGTATCGGCCTCCCAGTGGGCACGACAAGCTGGATTGTTGATCCTGAGGATCATGCCAAACTCATGCCAATTGGAGCTGTGGGTGAGTTGGTGGTCGAGGGACCGCAGCTTGCCGATGGCTATCTAGGAGACGAGCAGCGCACTGCAGAGGCTTTCATCTCCGACCCTCTGTGGCTGACACAAGGGTACGCAAATGAGAGTGGACGAAACTCACCAAGCTTTCTGGGCCGGCGAGGGCGCTTGTACAAGACCGGTGATATTGTCCGGTACGTCGGTGACCAAGGCGTCATGAAGTACTTGGGCCGCAAGGACACCCAGATCAAACTTAATGGCCAGCGTATGGAGCTTGCCGAAAGCGAACACCACATTATAGCCTGTGTGCCCGGCCTGGTACAAGTTGCTGTTGAAGTCGCCCAGTTTCGTGGTGGAAGCAACGAGGTGCTAGTCGGATTCCTCGTTTTCAAGTTGGCGGGTGGCGAGGCTCAGCCAGGGCCACTTGCATCTTGGACTGGGCGCGATGCTCAAGACAGCCACGTCGACCTGTACTCAATGCCTGCATCCATCGAGAGCAAGCTTGCAGAGCGCTTGCCGAACTATATGATCCCGACGTTCTGGCTCGCAATCGACCATCTGCCAATGGGAGCATCGGGCAAGACAGACCGCAAAAGACTTCGGGAAATCGTGGCTGGCTTCACGGTGTCCCAAGTCGCAAAATTCGACAGCGAAAGAGAGGGCGGGGGTGGGAACCGCGCTGTGTCCACACGAGCCGAGAAGCAGGTCCAGAAGCTCTGGGCATTGGTTCTGAACATTGCAGCGACCAGCATTCGTGCCGAAGACAGCTTCTTTCGACTTGGTGGTGACTCTGTGGCCGCGATGAAACTGGCCAGCGAGTCGAGAAAGCTTGGCGTTGCCATATCTGTTGCTCAAGTCTTCCAGAACCCTCGGCTGTCCCAGCTGGCAGCAGTCATCGCTACAAATGACCAGAGTCCCTCACCGGCAGTCGACGTGACAAATCCAGAACCGTTCTCCCTGCTTCAAGGAACAAGAGCGGCTATTGACTCGTGCAAGACCGTTGCAGCCCGCTTATGCGAGGTCCCAGTGAATGATATTGAGGACTGTTTACCCTGCACCCCGCTCCAGGCGGGACTTATGGCCCTCACCTCTAAACAGGCTGGCAGCTATGTGTTGCAGAGCGTCATGGAGCTCAGCGATGCAGTCGATATTGAGCGTTTTAAGGAGGCCTGGCAGCAGGCTGTCCGCCTCGTTCCGATATTGCGGACGAGGGTCGTCCAGTCAGACGAATTCGGCCTCGTGCAGGTTGTACTTAAGGAGCAAGATTTTGTCTGGGTCCATGCGGACGACCTCGAGGCGTATCTCGACACGGCTAACAAGCGCTCGATGACAATCGGTCAGCCACTCAACCGATATGCAATTGTCCAAGAGTCCGAAACCGGTAAGATGCTGTTTGTGTGGTCCATCCACCATGCCCTCTACGACGGCACTTCTGTAGGCTTGCTGCAGGGTCTCGTCTCTCAAATCTACCAGCATCAAAGTCCAGGGATACAGCCTTCCTTCTCCAGCTTCGTTCGCCACATCATCAATCAGGAATCCGATGCTGCAAAGGCTTATTGGGAGGACACTTTCAGGGATATAGAGTGCGAACCCTTCCCTCCTGTTCCAGGCAGGAATCACGAGGTCGTTGCCGATGCGACCATGCAAGCTTCTTGCAAATTGTCGATGGCCACAAACATGGATGCAACCATCCCTACAATCATCAGAGCCGCGTGGGCGCTAGTCGTACAACGCAACACTCGGGAGCGCGATGTCGTGTTTGGTGCCACGATGTCTGGTCGTAATGCACCATTAGCTGGCATTGAGGGCATCATAGGGCCGACCATCACCACCGTGCCCGTCGCGGTCCGGGTGGACAGTTCATCCACGGTTTCCGAGTTCCTGTCGCGAATTCAGGACAACGCCACAGCCATGATCCCCCACGAGCAGACTGGGCTGCAGAGAATTGCCAAAATCAGTGACAGAACGAGAGCCGCTTGCGAATTTCAGACATTGCTTGTGGTTCAACCTGCGTCAACTTCGAAGGCATTATCGGCTACTGCAGAAATTGGCACGTGGCGTGACATGGCCCAAACGAGAGAATTCACCACCTATGCAATCACACTCGTTTGTCAGCTCGGGCCAGACGGCTGTGTTGAGGTTAGGTGCAGCTACGACACGTCTGTCATCACCACGGTACAGATGGAGAAACTGATGGGCTGTTTTACCGACTCCATTCAGGGTCTTGCTACTGCCAATCCGAATCGCTCTATGTCGTCGTTTGACAGACCCAGCGATAATGATGTCAAGATTTTGCTCTCTTGGAACAATATCCCTCCACCAGTAGTGCCGTTCTGTATTCAAAATGCGATAGCGCATCAAGCCCAACACAACTCGGGGGCAGAAGCCGTAGTCGCTTACGATGGCAGTTTCACATACAAGGAACTCGACGAAATATCTACGAAACTCGCTTGTCAGCTGGTGGAGTCTGAGGTTGTCTCTAGGGGCGACCTCATACCTCTCATCTTTCCCAAGTCTTCGTGGTACGTGGTTGCAATACTGGGAATCCTGAAAGCAGGCGCTGCCTTTGTGCCACTTGACCCCTTCCAGCCTGCCGCCCGTCTTGATTCTATTCTGCATCAAATTAAACCAAGACTCATGCTGGTCCCTGAGCGCGATGTCCCAAGGAAGAAACCGGGGGATTCTGTGGCAGTCATGCCGGTCGGCCAGGACTGGGCAGATACCATTTCCGACAACGTCGGACACGCCAATCAACTCCCCGCTGTCATGACGGAGTCATCAGCATACGTAATCTTCACATCCGGCAGCACAGGTACCCCCAAGGGAGTTGTTGTCGAGCACGCCGCACTGAGAAGTGGCTGTCACCATCACGGTACCAGAATTGGGCTCAACCGCCAGTCACGAGTCCTTCAATTCGCCTCCCATACTTTTGATGCATCAATTTTTGAGATCCTCACAACACTCAGTTTCGGCGGAACAGTCTGCATTCCATCTGAGGTACAGCGCACCGACGGTTTGGCACTGGCCATGGAGTCGATGGCTGTGAACACTGCGCTGCTCACTCCTTCAGTCGCAAGACTTTTGAAACCGGCCGATGTACCTTCCCTCCAGACTCTGCTTTTCGGTGGCGAGGCACTTGCGGCAAGTGACATTGTTAGGTGGTTGCCACGCGAAGGGTTGCGACTGATGAACTTGTACGGCCCGACTGAGACAGCGGTCATCTGCGCCGCAACAGAAGTCACATCGGAGAATGTGCACCTCAGCGGTCTTATTGGCAAAGCAGTCGGTTCGATCTGCTGGATTGTCGATCATGAGGACCCGGAGATTCTCCTTCCCATCGGCGTCACCGGAGAGCTGCTCGTCGAGGGACCAATCCTTGCCAGAGGGTATTTGAACGACCAAGAAAAAACGCAAGCGGCGTTCATCAGCAGCCCGAAATGGCGAACCCAACTCTCCTTCCAACAATCTGGGCTTCCAACTAGCCTCAGCACCACACTTTACCGCACTGGCGATCTTGTGCGGTTGACCACTGACGGTGATCTCATTTACGTGGGCCGCAAGGATGCCCAGGTAAAAATCCGTGGAATGCGTGTAGAGCTCGCGGAGATCGAGGAGCAGTCTGCGCTGTGCTTGCCCACGGTAGATGATCTTGCCGTCGAGGTCATCAAGAAGAATGGTGTGCCCATGTTCAACCAAATTGTTCTCTTTGTTGCTCTCTCGAAGAAACGCGACGCCGCAAACCAGGTTCCGGAAAACACTTTACTGCAACACGGGAACATCCAGTATCTACCTCGCCTCCTCCCTGCAGACCTTCTACACAGTCTTACCGAGAGACTACCGACCCACATGATTCCTTCCATGCTGTTCGAGCTACACAACATGCCACTAAACATGGCTGGGAAGACAGACCGCAGAACGCTGCAAGAGATTGCCGCCGCGCTCACGACATCCCAACTGGAGACGATTCGAAGAACTGACAAAAGTGGCGAAAAGCGGGAACCATCATCTTCAGAAGAATTTGCCCTCCGTGCTATCTGGGCTCGCATCCTGAACATTCCCCCAGAGCACATTGGCGTGGACGACAGCTTCGTGAAGGTCGGTGGCGATTCGATCACCGCGATGCAAGTCTCCTCATCAGCGCGAGCCGCTAAGATGAACATCTCCACACAAGATGTACTGAAGTACAAGACGATCAACGCCATAACTCAGCACTGGAAGGTCAAATCGACTCAAGCTGCTCTCGTTTCGGCATCTTCCGATTACGACAGGGCATCTGAACTAGGTCGTGCCGCCTTGGCACGAGGCGAAGGATTTCCCCTGACGCCAATTCAGCAGCTCTTCTTCCTCCATCAACATGATCCACATGTCCTCTTCGATCAGTGCATATTGCTAGAACCCAGCAGCACTATCGACTTCACACGTCTAGAGGAGGCTTTGCTGTGCTTGGTTTCGACGCATAAAGTGCTTGGCACAAGCTTTGAGAGGTCGTCAACAGGTAGCTGGCAACAGCGCCTGAGGTCACCAGACGATAACGGGAAGCGGAAATTTCATCTTGAGCCGCACCAGATCCACCATGACCACGAAGTGACCGACATTATCTTACAACATCGCTCAAAATTGCAGATCACTGATGGACCTCTGCTCTCCGCTGCTCTCATAGACGATGTCGATGGGCGAAGGCAGTACCTTTTTGTCACGATTCATCATCTCGTTGTCGATCTCGTCTCTTGGAGAATCATCCTTGAAGACTTGGAGAACCTGCTTGGCCCAAGCCAGACTCCGATCGCACCGCCGCCCTTACCATTTGAGGAGTGGGCATTCTTGCAGGACTACCATGTCAGGGCTAAGGTCGAGCTCGTGGATGAGACTTATGCGCTTACTAGCAGTCAAGTATTGCGAGAATATTGGGGGTCACCAACCGAACGCAAGCATTCCGCAGCACTCGTTACTGAGAGCTTCACCCTTGACCAACATACTACAACGGCCATTCTGGGCAGCGCCAACCACAAATTTGCCACAAAACCGGTCGAGCTCATGATTGCGTCCATTCTTTACTCTTTCAGTCAAGTCTTCTCAGAGAGGGCATTGCCAGTCATACTCAATGAGAGCCACGGCAGAGATGTGTGGGATCCGAGTCTCGACCTTTCCCGGTCCGTTGGCTGGTTCACGATCCTATATCCGGTGCAAATTCTCCCAAAAGACAGCGGCGACTTGCTAGAATATGTCCAACGTGTCAAGGACTACATGAGATCCATTCCGAACGGTGGCGCAGATTGCTTTCTCTCTCAGTTCCGGGATGAATCTTTAGCACGGGAGTTTGTGTCGAAGGCCTTGCCAGCAGAGATCATGTTCAACTACGGCGGCAAATACCAACAGCTCGAGCGGAATGGAGCATTCTTCCGCAACGTGCCAATGGGGGATGTAGGTACTCCCGAGCAGTTCCAGTACCGACGACATGCGGTGTTCGACGTGACTGTCAATGCCATGGACTCATCGCTTGCATTTACATGGCTGTTCGATGAAGGCATCAAGTCAAGACACCGAGAGAAAATCGCCATGTGGATGAAAATGTGCCAAATCGCTTTGCAGTCAATCGCCAGCCAGCTGAGCTTAAAGTCGCAACGAAGATGGACTCTGGCGGACGCACCATCCACTTTCACGTCCTACGGGGACATCTCGGCGTTCCACGATACAGTCATGCCTGAGCTCGGCATTGCATCGGTGGATGAAATCGACGAGCTCATTCCCTGCGCGCCGACGCAAGAGGGTATTCTCATCAGCCAGGCCAAAGACGTCAGAAGCTACCGCTCAAGGATCAGCATCAAGGTCTCAGCCAGGTCCGCCGGCCAGCTGGTCCATCTGGCACAGCTGGAACGAGCCTGGCGTGCGGTAGTGGCAAGGCATGCGCTCCTACGTGCAGTCATCATCAACGACCATCCAGGAAGCGGCAAGCCTGCGCAAATAATTCTGAAGAAACCACACATTGACATTGACATTGACAGGTCTTCCTCGGCCGAGGCTGCAGCTCTTGTGTTACAACATGGGACGGACAACTCCAAGTGGCAGCTGCAGCACCATGCTTCCATCCACCACGTCAGCGATGCGGAGGTGTATTTCGTGCTGGAGATGAACCACGCTATCGTGGACGGCCACTCGATTGCGATCGTGCTGAACGATCTCAAAAATGCTTATCATCAATCACCCACGAAAACGCTGGCGCCGGCAGTCTCTTACAGCGCGTACACCGCATACATGTCACGACAACACCATGCCAATGATCTGGCCTTTTGGAAGCAGTACCTCGCCGGTACGCAGCCGTGCTATTTTCCGAACCTGTCAGAAACCACCAGACCAGCAAAAGATGACGGCGGAGCCTCATCTCTGCGCCAGACTTCCGTGCGCGTCGAGGTTCCCAACATTGATACTACCGATATTCGCAGGTACTGTGCCAAGAATGAAGTGACTGCTGCGAGTGTTCTGCAGACGGCTTGGGCGCTTGTGTTGAACAAGTACACGGGTGACAAGGCGCCAACATTTGGCATGCTGAGCTCCGGCAGGGACCTGCCGATCGATGGAGTCGAAGAGATATTCGGACCACTCATTGGCATGCTCGTCGTGCGCACTGGACTCGCGGAGAAAGAAAGAAAAACCGTGGATGACCTGGTAAGAGAAGCCGACGCGCAGTACTCGAGAAGCCTGAGACACCAGGGCGTTCCGCTTGCTGCTATCCACGCCGCTTTGGGTCTGGAACCCGGCGCTGCTCTGTTCGACTCTGTGATGTCATTCCAAAGGCGCACTTATAGCGTGCACCCCGAGAAGGCTGGCGAAGATGCATCCGGTGTAATCTTTGAGGTTGTTGGTGGCATTGATCCGTCCGAGGTGTGTATTTCTTCCCAGCAATCATCCAAATCAGCTCTGCTTGAATCTCAGATCTCCCCCACCCCCAAACTATTCATCCTTGTCCTCCTCCTCGGCACTGCCCTTTTAGTTATTTTTCTCGCCCAAATCAGTGAAATGATAGATGGAATCTATGCCATCATCTTCAACCCCAGAACTCTGTTTGCTAAAATTTGACATTCAAAATAGTATGCCATTTCCATTCAAGCGGTTGATAGCACTGAAGCAATCCGCGTGCTCCTGGACTACCGACTCGATCTTACTGATATCCAAGCCGACCGTCTCGTTGGGACCTTCAGCACTGCCATTGCCACCATGGTCAGCAGTGATCTCAGCTCATCATCTATGTTTATCGACAGAAAACTGCGCAATATCGATGTCCTCGATCCATCCACCAATATTCAGCTGTGGCAATGGAACCAACACCTTCCACCCCGAGCGCTGAAGGCTGCCCACACAGAGTTTGAGCATCAAGCGATGTTGGGGCCTTCAAAGACCGCAGTGGGTGCCTGGGACGGCAGTTTCACGTACAGCGAGCTGGATGAACTGAGCAACATCCTGGCAAGACACCTGGTGCACGACCTGGATGTCCGCGTCGGCGAGATGATCCCCCTATGTTTCGAAAAGTCCAAATGGAGTGTGGTGGCGATGCTTGCCGTTCTCAAATCTGGAGCTTGCTTTGTCGCGCTAGACCCAGCGCAGGCGACGACTCGCCGCCTGACTCTACTCGGCGAGGTCAATGCCCGCTTGGTGTTGGCCTCGGCGCGATATGCATCTGTTGCAGCATGTGGACAGGACAACATCACAACACTAGCTGTCAGTCGGGACCTTGTTGAGCGCCTCATGGCTGAGAACGAAGCAGCCATCGCGACAAATCCTGACGCGACTCGTGCGAGAGCCCTTCCAGAGCCTGATCTCGATAGCCCTTGCTGCATCTTGTTCACGTCTGGCAGCACTGGCGTGCCTAAAGGCAGCGTGCTCCCGCATGTGGCCATTGCCACGAGCTGCCACGAGCACGGCACGAGGATTGGCTTCAGCCGTGAGTCGAGAGTACTGCAGTTCAGCGCAGCCACCTTTGACGCCGTGATCATGGAAAACCTGACCACACTCATGTTCGGAGGCTGTATATGCATTCCGTCCGAGGAAGACCGGCTCGGCGATCTGTCCGGTGCTATCCACAGGTTGCAGGCGAACACCACGTTCCTGACGCCGACAGTCGCAAGGCTTCTTAACCCAGCAGATGTCCCCACGATGCAGACTATTATTCTGGGCGGCGAAGAATGTAGCCTGAATGACTTTGCACGCTGGCAGGATCGTACCGTGGTCATGAATGGATACGGTCCCAGCGAATGCAGCGTGTTTTCTGTCATGAACACCGGTCCTTCCACGTGGACAGATGTTGCCAGACTTGGCTTTCCCGTGGCATGTGCTTGTTGGGTGGCTAACCCCGACGATCTCGATCAGTTAGTCCCTATCGGCGTCGTCGGCGAGCTAGTTATCGAGGGCCATGGGCTAGCTCAGGGATATCTAAATGATCTTGAACGCACCGCCAAGTCTTTTATTGAGAAACCGAGGTGGTGGCGATCAAGGGATCCAGCCACGAACGGCCGAGTTTACAGATCGGGTGACTTGGTTCGACAGAACAGCGACGGCAGTTTCTCTTTCGTGGGACGCGCGGATACACAACTCAAACTTCGCGGGCAGCGTATTGAGCTGAAGGAGGTCGAGCTCCAAATATCAAGGTGTCTCCCGTCGGATGGGTCCTACAGCGGGGTGGTTGCTGAGGTTTTCACGCCGGCTTCATCAGCAATGAAACCGCTGTTAGCTGCGATCCTTGTTGCTGGGAAAGACAACGATCATACACTCAACAGCAACAGTGCAACGGCTGTCGATGAGCCAATTAAGGTACTCGCCCAGAGTCCAGTGCCCGCCGATGTCTTGTCGAAGAACTTGCCGAGGTACATGTTGCCTGCTGTATGGTTCCAGATCTCTGAATTGCCCTTAACTACATCGGGGAAGACGAACCGCAAGCAATTGCGCGACTTGGCCTCGCGCTTTTCGTTGGCGGAGCTGGCCTCTCTACGACGAGCGGACGATGCAAAATCCCGCCTCGGTCCACAGACAGACGTCGAGCACCAACTAGCCACGTTGTGGTCGATGATCCTGGAATTACCACTTCACGATATAGATGTCCGTGACAACTTCTTCAGCCTGGGTGGCGACTCTATTTCCGCGATGCGGCTCGCAAATGCTGCGCGCAAAGCTGGCTTGGAAGTACCAGTATCGCAAATCTTCCAGAACCCAATCTTACGCGATCTTGCAACACAGGTTGCGCAGTGTCTTCGTAGTGCTGGAGCTCTCTGGTCAGATGGGAACGACACTTTACCTGCCTTCTCACTGCTCGGGCCTAACGTCAATATACCGGTATGCTGCAAGGAGGTCGCTGACCTGTGTAATACAACTCCAGGTGTCGTGCAAGACATCTACCCATGCACACCCATGCAGAAGGGGCTCATGGCACAGACGATCCAGTCTCCTGGAGACTACGTGCTGCAAAACGTCTTGAAGCTTGCAGCGCCTATCGACATGTCACGCCTGCGGGAGACCTGGGAGTCTGTTGTAGGCCGAAATTCGATCTTACGCACCCGGATCGTGCAGCACGACGATTTTGGTCTGTTACAAGTGGTCATCGACCAAGACATCCAGTGGCAAGAATGGTCCGGGCTCGATGACTATCTGGTACAGGATAAGTTGCAGGGCATGAGACTCGGTTGCCCGCTTGCACGATATGCAATCGTTACTGAGGAATGCAGTGACCAGGCCTGGCTTGTCTGGACCATTCACCATGCTCTGTACGATGGCGGCTCTTTGCCACTGATAAAGGCTCAGATCGAAGAGAGTTACAATGCTGAAACAGCGATGTCCTCGCCAGTAGCCGACTTCAACCTCTTCGTCAGGTACATCCTCGGCCACGACAAGCAAAATGCTGCATCAGAATTCTGGAAGACAACATTTGAGAACTTCGACTTGCCAACATTCCCTGCCCTTCCCAATGCTGGGCACAAAGTCGCGGCCGACGCACTGATCGAGCGTGTATGTGCCATACGCGCACGAGAAAGCACGCACAGGAGTGGCGTGACCATAGCTACGACTCTGCAGGCCGCCTGGGCTCTTACTGTCAATCGCCAGACTGGTACCCCAGATGTTGTCTTTGGCATGACTGTATCCGGCCGCAATGTGCCACTTCCGCGCATCGAGGAGATTGTCGGCCCCACGATCGCCACAATCCCTGTGCGTGTGAATGTGCCCATCACCCCCACGGCGCATCCCTTGGACCACGAGAAGAAAGCAGTCGTCGCGACCAAGACCACGGTCGCTGGATATCTCGCTCAAGTTGCCAGTGAGGCTGCTACAAGCATTCCATTCGAGCAAACAGGCATACAACAAATTTGCAACGCTAGCCCTGAGGCAAAGAGTGCCGCAGGCAGCATGCAGACTCTAATGGTCATCCAGCCCGTAGAGGATACTTACAGCACTCACGGCAAGTCCTCCATGGGCGAGTGGCAGAACACGGTCCAAACTCGCGAGTTCACTACATACGCAATCACTCTTGTCTGTCAACTTGATGGCAAAGTCAGCGGTATCAGCAACGGACTTCGCGTAGCCTGTGCATATGATCCTCGAGTTGTCGAAAGCTGGAGGATGGCGAGCATTGTGGACCATTTTCTGGCAATCACACAGGAACTACTGACCGCACCACCGGATGTTCCCTTGTACCAAATTGGTGATCTGCTACCAATGGACTATACACAGTTATTACGATGGAATGGCAATATGCCCCTGGCTATCGATCGCTGCATCCACGAATCAATATCAGAAAGGCGTACAATGCAGGGTCAGGCCATCGCGGTTGACGCATGGGACGGGCGCTTGACATACGACGAGCTTATGAAGCATGCCGCCAACCTTGCGACACATTTGTTGGATCTAGGGATCAAACAGGGCACCATCATTCCCTTCGCATTTGATAAGTCTGTGTGCACTATCATCGCAATGATGGCCGTGCTCCAAGCGGGTGGTGTCCTGTTACCACTCGATCCGAAACACGCCCCAGAACGTCGCGCGAGAATTCTTGAGCAGGCTCAGGTACGCGTCATCTTGGCTGGAGGAAGATACTCGGCCACAAACTTTGGTGAAGGGCGACAAGCCATTATTGTCACACAGGGACTTTTGCAAGTCATTCAGAAATCCAGAAAGGACTCAACGCCCATGGCCACAAAGGTATCAGACCCATCTTCAGCGGCTTATATCATCTTCACATCGGGCACCACAGGCCAGCCCAAAGGTGTCTGTGTCTCTCATCGCGCCATCAGCTCCAGCGCCTATCACCATGGTGCTGCCATTGGACTGTCTCACACCTCTCGGGTCCTTCAGTTCGCGTCTTACACCTTCGATGCCTCGATTATGGAGATTTTCACGACCTTGATGTACGGCGGGTGCGTTTGCGTTCCCTCACCAGATGATATGCTTGGAGATCTGGCAGGCAGTATCAGGACTCTGTCTGTCAACACAGCCCTGCTCACGCCATCTGTGAGCCGTGCCCTGAACGTGAATAGTGTCCCCACGCTCAAGACTCTGATCTTCGGCGGCGAGGCCGTGCTCGTATCCGACGTTGAGCGCTGGACTAGGTCCATTCCCGTGCTGGTTAACATGTACGGGCCCACCGAGTGTGCCATCATCAGCACTGGAGGTCAGATCGACTCTACAGCTTGCCCTCAAATTGGCTCCGTACCCCTGGGAAGAGCCATCGGCTCTATCAATTGGATCGTCGACCCGCAAAACTTCACCAGGTTAATGCCTCTCGGCGCCGTGGGCGAGCTTGCCGTGGAAGGACCCATTCTTGCAAATGGTTACCTTGATGATCCTGTCAAGACGTCAGCATCATTTGTGACAAGGCCACCCTGGCCCTGTACTCATAGCCCTGGCAGAATGTATCTCACCGGCGACCTCGTGAGGTACGACATGAACGGCAACATCATCTACGTTGGCCGCAAGGATAATCAAGTCAAGCTAAGAGGTCAACGACTGGAGCTCGCGGAGGTCGAGTTCCAAGTCAAGGCCCAAGTTCCTCAAGCGATTGACGTTGTCGTTGAGATCATTGCCGCAAAGGAGCATGACATAGCTCCTACTCTGACGGCGTTCATGATCATGGCCGGCGAGCAAAATGACGCCTCGACTCATTCAAGAGTGGAAATGGCCACCATGAGCATGCTTGAGGTAGAGGGAAAACTATCCGAATGTCTGCCAGACTACATGGTGCCGTCACTGTGGCTCGTAGCGTCCAAGCTACCACTCACGACATCTGGGAAGACAGATAGGCGTGCATTGCGTGAAGTCGGTACAACTTGCTACAGGCAGCATTTTTCAACCAAGCGAGACGCCACCGGCACCATAAAGAGGATGCCGTCCAGCAATGCGGAATGCCTGATCCAGGACACGTGGTCCCGCATCCTGAACATCGAACAGGGCACAATCGGCCTTGACGACAGCTTCCTGCGTATAGGCGGAGACTCCATCACTGCAATGCAAGTATCATCCACTCTCCGCGCTGCAGGACTTCACGTGCCTGTAGCGACGATTTTGAGACTCAAGACTATTGGCAAGATCATTGGTGTCATTGAAGCTCAAAACGGCCAGCAAGCAACCTCCTCTGTCGTCATGGCTACTGGCGAGGGTGCGGAGGTTCAAGATGTCCCCGATGGACAATGCTTCGAGCTGAGCCCTATTCAGCAGGTCTTCTTCGGGTTTCAAAATGATCCCATGGTTTTGTTTGACCAATGCTTCTTCCTCCAGGTCAACGCGAGCATATCTTTGGAGAAGCTGCATCGCGCAATGAGGATTGTGCTGCAAACACATGGCATTTTACGAGCGCGGTTTCAGCAAGACTCGTTAGGGAGTTGGCAGCAATACATATCTTCAAAGGGGGAAGATTCATACACTCTCAGGCAAGTAATCTGTGCAACCGACGAAGACGTTTCGAGTGCCATCGCCATGTGCCGCAGCAGAATCAACATCACTAGTGGGCCTCTCGTCTCCGGCGTGCTCATTGAGCACCTCGCCAGCGGTGATGGACGTTCGAAGCTATTCCTTGCAGTCCATCATCTAGTCATTGATCTCGTATCATGGAGAATCGTTCTGCGGGATCTCGAGATGCTTCTTACCAGAAACAACACAGAAGAGGACAGGACAGTGGCTCGCATCCCGACGCCCGCGCTCTCATTCTCATCATGGTCTCGGATGCAAAAGTCCCACATCAGCACCATGTCACCCCAGGATGCCGGGGGCACCGCCAAGGTACATATCCCTGTGCCGATGCTCAAGTACTGGGACATGGACAACAAAAGTCAGATTTTGCAAGACACGACTAGCCAGAACTTTACATTGAGCGCGGAGAGCACTTCCCTGCTCTTCGGCGCGTGCAATGATATGTTTAGGACCAAGCCCACGGAGTTGATGATCGCCACGCTGTTGTACTCCTTTGAGCAGAGCTTCATCGACAGGACGCCGCCCGCCGTCTGGAATGAGAGCCACGGACGTGAGACTTGGGACGACGACATTGACCTCTCAGAGACGTGTGGATGGTTTACCACCTTGAGCCCGGTCAATATCTCGCCACAGAAGCCCGGGGCACCGAACTCATCTAGCGAGCGTCTGCGTCACATTGTCCGCGATACCAAAGACGCAATGCGCGCAATTCCAGCATCATATTTTGCCTCGTTATTCGCGAGCGAATCTTCCGCGAAACAGTTCATCGAAAATCTCCCTGCGGAGATCATGTTCAATTTTAGCGGTGGATATGGCCAACTGGAACGCAAGGATTCGTTGTTCGAGATTGTTCCTGCTCCACAGGAACCACGGCAAAGAGACATGGTTTCGAACCACGAGACTTCGGGATTCAGGCGCCACGCCGTGTTTGATGTGGTTGCTGGCATGAGTCGACAGTGCTTATCGGTAACTTTGGTCATGCCGAGGAGCGTTCAAGATCGAATCACGAAGGCCGGATGGGTTGGACAATACCAACAGACTTTGGAAGATCTGGCACAAGGACTGCTTCCCGAGTTCACCCGTACTAATTCAGCGAGTTTGGACATTAGACCTCAGCTCACACTCTCGGACGTTCCTGGCGTTTTTGAATCATATGAAGCCCTCGATGAGTTTCACAATGATGTCTTTCCGAAATTGGCACATGTTGAGTCTGTCGACGACATCGAGAACATATTCGCAGTAGCCCCCGCTCAAGAGGGTATTCTTGTCAGCCAAATTAAAGACCCGAGGAGCTACCAGTCCCGCCTTCTCTTCAAGATCCCCTACCCTCACTGTGCAGACAAGACGGCCAGTGCCAGTAGGACAAGCAGCAGCAACAACATCGACAGCAAAATTATTGCGCAGGCGTGGAAGGCAGTCGTCCAGAAACACGACTTGCTCCGAGCGATCTTCGTCCACCAATTCCCCGGCAATGGACGATCTATGCAAGTCGTCTTGTGTAGGCCGGTGCCCTGCATCTCAATACATGACCATGCGAGGATGCAAGATGTCAACGACGCGATGCTGCCAGAGACTGGAGGTAGCCCAGCACCACCAGCTTACGAGCCAAGCGGCCTGCAACACCATCTCGCAATCTTTGGAGTTCCTGAAAATGGCAAGGTGGACTTTTACCTCGTGTTGAACATCAATCACGCAATTATCGACGGCCACTCAACCTCGGTACTCGCGCAGGATATACGGACTGCACTTCTTGCGGCATTACAAATGTCGCCCATTCCAACCATGGTCGAACAAGTGTCAACATCGTATAGGGAATTTGTCGCTTATGTCGAGCAGCAATCTCACCAGCAGGGCGTCTCCTTCTGGACCAACCGCCTCAAGGACTGCGAACCATGCATGTTCCCTCATCTACCAGCGCCACCTGCTGCCGAGCATCACCACAGTATTGGTACTACCTCGGTTGCTGTCCCCGGCCTTGACACAGCTCGAATTCGCGACTTCTGCCGAACCTTGGAGATCACGCCCGCGATCGTAATCCAACTCGCGTGGGCGATGGTGCTTCGATGGTACACGGGCAATCTTACACCTTGCTTTGGTGTCCTGACTTCGGGCAGAGATCTTCCAATCCCTGGAGTGCAGCTGATCATGGGCCCGCTGATTGGCGTCACAACCTGCCGTGTTCAGCTCGGAAGAGGAAACGAAGGGGCAGGAAAAGAGTGTATGAGTGTGGCAGAAGTCTTGGAGAGACTTCAGTCTGAGCATATCGAGGGCTTGGCGCATCAGACTGTGTCGTTGTCCATGGTGCATAACGCACTCGGTCTGGGCGATGCGCCATTGTTCAACAGTGTTCTATCGTTTCAGAAAATGGGTGAGAGTACGAGCGCGGAACCCGCGGGTGGTCAGGAGGATCTAGAGGTTGAATTAGTTGGTGGTTACGATCCGACTGAGGTGGGTGACAAGTTCCCAAGAAGACTTGCAGCACCCAGTGCTAACTTTATTTCTTTTCATCAGTACGATATTTCACTCAGGGCCATCGACAGCCCGCACTCTCTGCAAGTCATCATTGACAGCTGCCACGCGATCGATGACATTGAAGCCACTCGCATTGGGCAGTGCTTTAGTGATGCAGTCAATAGCATCGTCTCAGCCAGCACATGTCCAGTCCCAACCCTTAGCGTTCTTGGCACTAAAGGGCTCGAGCAGATATGGAAGTGGAATAGCAAAATCCCTACCACGACAGATGCCTTTATTCACGATCTCGTGGCACAGAGAGCTCGGATACATCCAGACAAGACGGCCATCGTTGCGTGGGATGGAGAGCTGACATACCTCGAGATAGTCCAGCGTGCAAGGTCTCTGGCAAAAAGCCTGCGAGAAGCTGGCGTCAAAGCTCACGATGTTGTCCCGGTCTGCTTTGAAAAGTCCAAGTGGACGATTGTGGCGATGCTGGCAGCCCTTCGAGTTGGTGCTGCTTTTGTCCTGCTCGACCCCTCTCTGCCGAAACTTCGACTACACAAGATTGTCGAAATGACCGGCGCTTCCACGGGCATCGCCTCAAGATCGGCATACCCGGTCGTGTCCCAAGTCCTGACTACGACAATCGTTCTAGACAAACACTTGTCATTCACAGATTCCCATGATCATAACATCCTTATCACCGAAAGAAGCAGCGACTTTGATCCCTCGGCTGTTATGTACATCATCTTCACCTCCGGCACGACTGGCGAGCCCAAGGGGACCATGATCAGTCACCGCGCTTTCGCGTCAGCCATTACCCACCAGGCGCCTCTTATGCGCTTTGGGCCCGACACACGAATTCTGGATTTTGCATCCTATAGCTTTGACGTTTCGATCAACACGCTCATCATGGTCCTCGCAACGGGCGGCTGCGTATGCATTCCCTCGGACTTGGATCTCAAAAATAACCTGACAGAAGCCATCGTGCGGCTTGATGTCAACACACTAGACCTGACACCCTCAGTCTGCCGTATGCTTGACCCGAAGGAAATGCCGGGAGTGCACACAATGAATCTTGGCGGCGAACAGCTCCGGGCAAGCGATATTGCCAGGTGGCCAGAGCATATCCGCATCCTCAACTGCTATGGCCCGTCAGAATGTACACCCACGAGCACTGTTCGAGTTCTCCAGGGTGGTATCCAGCGCGAGGCCGTCAGCATCGGCAAGGGTGCAGGAGCAGTGACGTGGGTTGTCGATCCGCACAACCACAACATGCTTGCGCCCCTTGGTGGGACTGGAGAGCTGATCATCGAGGGACCCATCGTGGGCGAGGGCTATGTTGGCGATTCTCTGCAGACAAGCAAGGCGTTTGTAGCAGATCCCGAGTTCTTGCTACTCCCACCAGTCCCCTTGCATGCCCGAAGGCGTGGAACCCGTGTGTACAAGACTGGAGATCTCGTGCGATACACAAGCGACGGCAGCCTCATATATCTTGGCCGGAAGGACACTCAAGTCAAGCTTCGAGGTCAGCGTATAGAGCTTGGAGACATTGAGCATCATGTGCTTGACTGTCTTTCAGTCCATGGCGTCAAAGAGGTTGTCGCGGACATCGTTCATCCCAAGGATGATGGTGCATTGGAACTTCGGCCACAAATACTTGCCGTCTTTGTCTCCGTACCACCAAACCAAGACAACGTGCTCCGTGCGGACATTGAGAGCAATCTTCGAAACCATGGAGGTATAGGCGTCGGTGTGCTTTCCGACACCACTGCTTATGAGGACGGTCTTGGGCGATCCCTTCCCAGCTACATGATACCCAGTGTCTGGTTCGCCATCGATACGACCATGCCGCTGACTAGCTCGGGGAAGACGGATCGCCGGAAATTGCGCGAGATTGGAGCTTCGTATTCAATGCTCGAAGTCAACCAAGTGCGTGCCGCAGCTGATGTCACGGGTGTCAAGGGCACCGGTTCCAGCCAAGAAGTCCACGTTGCCGACGAGGCAATCCTCCTACGCTCTTTGTGGAGTGAGGTCTTGCAAATTGACCAGCAAAACATTGGCCATCGCGATAACTTCTTTCGCCTCGGTGGCGACTCCCTACGCGCTATGGCACTGGTTTCTAAGGCGAGAAAGGTCGGGCTGAGGCTCACCGTCGCACAGATCTTCACGTGCCCCAGGTTGAACGACATGGCACTTGAATGCTCGCTAGCCAGGACCGCAGACTCTCCGAAGGATCTCGACCAAGAAGCGGAGGACGTGGCGCCATTTTCTTTGCTGCTCTCGCAAGGTATTAACGAAGTGAATGCTTTCACTTCAAGGGCTGCGGAGCTGTGCTCAACCTCTGTGGAAAACGTTGAGGATGTGTACCCAGCCACGCCTCTACAGCAAGGCTTGATGGCGCTCACAACCAAGTCACCAGGCGCGTACGTTGTGCAGCACGTCATGCAAATCTCAGAGCCCACCGATATAAGAAGGCTGAGATGGGCCTGGAGCGTCGCCGCGCAGCGTATTCCGATCTTGCGGACGTGTCTTGTCCAGCTGGACGACGGTGCCATGATGCAGGTCCTCCTCAAGCACGACCCGTTATCCGAACAGGCATCCAGCAACTCTTCCTGGTTCCACACAAATGATGAACTTGACACATATCTCGCAAAAGACAAGACGCAACCAATGCAGCTTGGAGGGTCGCTCCTGAGGTTCGCAGTGGTCAAGCAAGATCCCAGCGGGGGGTCAAGCATCGACAATAGAACCCGGAAAACGCATCTCGTTTGGACCATCCACCATGCCCTTTACGACGGGCACGTCCTTCCTGCCGTGCAAAATCTGGTTCGCGACATCTACGCTCACGATGATTCGGCGTACGCGGCACTGGTACCAGGAAAGCCACAACAGCTATATCTGCCCTTTAACAGGTTCGTCAAGCATCTCCTCGCTCAAGACAAGCACGCCGCCACACAATTTTGGGCGGACACCTTTGCCCAACTCGACGATGAGAACAGCGACGAGACCATCGCCTTCCCACAGCGTTTGCAAGCAGCAGACAACAACAACGGATCTGCCTTCTCCATTTCATCGACATTCGCGATACCAAACACAACGAGTAGCCGTGAATCAGGCTTCACACTCGCCACGGTACTCCGCGGAGCATGGGCACTGGCAGTCCGCAATGTTACAGGCGGCAGCGGCGGCCCGCGCGACGTCGTATTTGGCGCGACGGTCTCGGGTCGCAGTGCAGCAGTTCCCGGCATCGAGGATGTCATTGGGCCAACCATTGCCACCGTTCCGGTCTTGATTAAAGTGCCATCTTCAGGGTCCACAGATGATCAAGGAGGAGACGGTGACGAAGGGACTGTAGCAGCTTTCCTGGGACGCGTGCAGGAACACTCCACGCAAATGATTCCCTTTGAGCAGTTCGGCTTGCAAAACATCGCGAAGGTCTCCGGCAATGCAGCCAGGGCTTGCCACTTTCAGACGTTGCTCATTATCCAGCCGCACGAGGAGGAATCACAGAGCGATAATGGAGTAGTGGGGAATGATATTTGGACAAATGTGGAACCATTGACAGAGCAGGCCAACGGCGCTCTTGGCGGCGAGGCCTCGAGCACGTATCCTCTGACTGTAATATGCCGCCCTTCTGCTTCTGGAGAAGAGGTCCATGTTGCAGTCTCTGTTGCCGACTCACGGGTTCTGCCGGACTGGCGTGCGAAGATAGTGTTGAGCCAGTTTGAACATATGGTAGGGCAGTTGCAGGCCGCCTTGGGAGCCGAATGTGGAGGACAAGGAAGTCAGGGCCAAGGAGCGCACAGATCTGCCCTACTCAGCCACGTTGACAACCTTCCTGCCATCCAGCGAGAGGAGTTGTGGAACTTGAACCGGGATAGTCTTCCACCTACCGCTGGCCGCACCATTCACAGACTGTTTGAGCGCGTTGCTCGAGAGGACCAAGACGCTTGTGCGGTGAGTGCTTGGGACGGCGAGATGACGTACTTGGAGCTCGACAGGACAGCATCACGACTCGCTCGGCAAATCGTTCGATGGCTGCCAACTACGGCGCCAGGACAGCAGATCTTCGACAGTGGCGTTAGTCCTATTATGAGCGTGCCACTACGTTTCCGGAAGTCGAGATGGGCAGTCGTGGCGATGCTGGCTGTTCTCAAGGCGGGTGCTGCATTTGTACCACTTGATCATACACAGAGCATGGAAGCCACAGGGCGGGTACTTGAACAAGTACATGGTAGCATCCTCCTGACCTCGGAGGATCTTGAAGAGGCGACAAGTACGGCCGGTGAGCGCCATGGCCGAAAGGTTGTAGGTGTTGGGCCACGCCTCATGGCGGCTCTCGAACTTCACGGGGAGGAAGAGGATCGTGAGTTTACCCTAGAGAATCGCAGAGCCGGCCCGGATTCAGCAGCATACATGATCTTTACCTCGGGCAGCACCGGCGTGCCCAAGGGCGTGATTCTCGAGCACCAGGCTGTGGCGACCAGTTGTACAGAGCATGGCAAGGCCATTGGATCTTACCGCAGTCACAAAAGGCGAGTCCTACAGTTCGCCTCGTATGCATTCGATGCTTCCATACAAGAGATCATCACCACGTTATTGTTCGGCGGCACTGTGTGCATTCCGTCTGACGATAACCTTCGGAACAATCTGAGCCAGGCCATATCCGACATGAAGGTCAACACTGCTTACCTGACGCCTTCCGTCGCAAGACTCATCGAGCCAAAGGAGGTGCCTGGTCTGAAGACACTCATGCTTGCTGGTGAGGCATCGACCATTGCAGACTTTGCACGATGGCGCCGCCCAGGCCAGGTTATGCTGCATGGCTATGGGCCAACAGAATGCGCTGTGCTGTGCTGCGTCGAGCGCGTGGATCTCGACGACGAGAATGCGAGCCTGGACCCGAGCTGCATGGGCCGACTTGTCGGCGGTCGTGGATGGGTCGTCAATCGAGACGACGACGGGCAGCTTTTACCGCTTGGTGCTATCGGCGAGCTTCTTGTGGAAGGGCCGATCCTGGCCAGGTCGTATCTTCACGACAAGCTCAAAACAGCGGCAGCCTTTATTCGCGAGCCATCCTGGCTCATGCAGCTCACCCAAGCATCAGCAACACAAAAATGGCGGGATGCAGACTCTGTTCGCCCTGTTCGCATGTACAAGACTGGCGACCTCGTCTGGCAAGATCCTGATGGCAAGCTGCACTATGTTGGTCGCAAAGACTCCCAGGCCAAGATCAACGGGCAACGCATTGAACTCACTGGAGTTGAGACCGCCGTGTTGCAATCATGCACGCGTGCTACACAGGTTGCGGCTGATATCATTAGTCCTCTAGGGGAGATCGGCGGCAATCGGTTGCTTGCAGTGTTCGTCGTCCTTGATGGACAACGCGGTGTTAAAGACCCCACAACAACAGCCGGTCGCGGCAGCACACCGAAGGACGACTTGAACATCAAGATAATGAGTCCCCCTCCACACGCCGTTGAGTGTCTTCGCGAACGCGTCCCCCGATACATGATCCCCTCGGTGTGGTTTGTAGTAGACAAAATACCGCGAGGTATCTCCGGCAAGACGGACCGCCGCGCGCTTCGAAGGGCCGGGTCGTCACTGTCCAAAAATCAGCTTGCGGCTCTGTGGAAACAAGAGAATCATGAACGAGGCTGCCAAAGCAGGCCGCCTGCCACGGACAGAGAGCGCCAGCTGTGTGGCATCGTTGCTCGTGTGCTCAACCTTGATACCGCAACCGTGGGTCTTGATGACAGCTTCTTCCAGCTAGGGGGAGACTCCATCACAGCTATGCAACTATCATCGGCTGCTAGGCGGGATGGTTTCAACATTACGGTCCGCACGATCAACCAGCTCAAGACCGCAGGGCTGATGCTGGAAGAAATCGCCAAGGAGAACCCTGCTCCTATTCCTGAGAATGAGAACAAAGTTTTGCTTGAGGCTTCCAATGGCACTGGCAACGGCGACGTGGAGCAAATCGTCCCTATGTCTCCCATCCAGCAGTTGTTCTTCTTGTACCAGCCAGATACATCTGTTTGCTTCGATCAGTACTTCTATCTCCAGCTGAAGACGACAATAACTTATCCTGCACTACAAGATGCAATCAACAGAGTCTTGCAGGCTCACCCTATCCTCCGGGCACGCTTCCGGCAAGAACCTTCTGGAAACTGGGAGCAGTTCATCCCAGCGCAACACCAGCGTCAGCCAATCGAAGTCGGCATCCTCCGGTGTGCCGACTACCATGAAGTCGCCGCCGAGATCAAGCGAGTGAGAGCTTCCCTTGGGATAACAACGGGTCCGGTCGTAGCGGTGGTCCTGTTTGAGGTTGATGGCGCGCAATCCGTCTTCATCACAGTGCACCACCTCGTCGTCGATCTGGTGTCCTGGCGCGTCATTCTCGGTGACCTAGAAGAGCTTCTGCACGTCGGCGCGTCTGCCCCCAAGACCAATGTTTTACTACTTCCGACCACGTCTTTCGCGGCTTGGTCTACCCGACAAGCACAACGAAGGGAAGCTCTCGTTCACCGTCCGAAAGCGGTGGCGGCTGCGTCGCAACCGCCTTCAGTACCCAAGTCATACTGGTACTGCGACAACACACTCAATGCTAGTCCAAGACCCGACACAGAGGCGACGATGTCCTTTACGCTTGACGAACAGTCCTCCGAGGCCATCCTAGGTACTTGCACGGAGTTCTTCCAGACACAGCCAATCGTCCTGATGCTGTCGGCATTGCTTTATTCCTTCGCACAAACATTCCCCGACAGGCACTTGCCAACCGTCTTCAACGAAGGACACGGACGCGACAATCCTGATGACGACGATTTCGACCTTTCTCGTACCGTCGGGTGGTTCACCACGCTTTATCCCGTCCATGTCCCATCTCCACAGCTCCTGTGTGAGAGTGAGCGAGACCACCTCGGCCGCCCCTCTGATCAACTTAGCCACCTCATCGGCTTTGTCGCACAGACCCAGGAAGCGATCACCGCAGCCACACAGGATTGCGGCAAGGGGTCGGCAAGCCGCGATTATCTCCACTCTCGCTTTGCCAATGCAGACACTGCGCGGCAATTCGTTCAACACGAGCTTCCAGCCGAGATCGTCTTCAACTACGGCGGCGTGTACCAGCAGCTCGAGCGCGAGGAGGCGCTGTTCCAAGCCACATCGGTGGCGGAGATGGCAGCTGCGCAGACGAGCCGAGCCGCAGACGAGACCCATCGCAGCACTAATGCCACGGCAGCATTCGACATCGAGCCGCCCTCCGCAACAAGGGCAAGACAATATGCCCTCTTTGAGTTTGTCGCCGGCGTGGCCAACGGTCGGCTCGGCATCTCGGTACTCTTTGACGGCTCTCGTCTGCGACGGGAGCAACATGTTCGTGTGAAGGCGTGGTTCGCATTGTATGAGAAGGCGCTGCAGAGGCTTGCCCAAGAGCCTGCCATGGCAGCGGGCAGGTCGCTTGTTTAAATTTCCACTCTGCCACCCATTTCTATTCTTTTGTATTGCTTAGTTACACCTCAATTGGCCGTCGTGGATAGTAATACACTTATGTTTGGATTATGCACTGGTGCGGAAGTGATGAGAAAATTTGCGTAAAGCTGGATGCATGCTAGCTCAAATCTGAAAGCAGTGCGACTCGTCGGAGCTTAGGCACCCTCTTCCTTCCTACAAAAAAATAAATTCCAACGATTAACCAAAGAGAGATGGACAAGATGTAGCAGTTGTGAGGTTTGAGAGAATGACGCCCCTTAGGTGCGGCACAAAACAGCAGTGCAGTAGTCCAGCTCCATCGACGGCGACGGAAGCTCGGATGGAAAATGAGGGGCATCGAGGCCTACAGAACAATTGAGTGGGAGCATTAAAGGGCCTGTTCAGCGGGCATGCGCCCTTTCTCATGTCTTACCCGCTGGTGTGATGCTCTTCAATGATTGTAGATTTCGAGAGACCAGGCTGTGAAGCACACAGACTGGTTTCATTACCCGGTGAATTTCGGAAGGAAACACAGAACACCACGACCCGGGGACATTGCGGACATCGCTCCTGTTGCCTGAAATGGGAGCAGCACTGCTTTTTCAGCTGCCTCCGAGCCCTCCCAGTTGACTAATTACAACTAAGAGTTCATAATTTAGGACCCACCGGGGCTGTGCCTGCAAGAATCCCTGGTAAAATCATGGGGTCATCCAGGGTCAAAACTCCTCTACAGCTGTTGAAAAAGCAGTGAAACGAAATAGAGTCCTAGAGACGGTCTGCCTTGTTGCAACAGCCAATACGACGTTTTGCATTCGCCAATGATTCCACGCCGCTCCAGCCACCTTGACATTTTCGAACCGTCTGAACCGGGGTGCAGACCCCCGTTGCTTAGGGTCATCTTCATAAGGCGCCAAACTTGCCAAGGACCTTGCAGGAACGATCCCGTGGTGTAATCCTGACAATGAGCAATACGGCGGTAGATCTCGAGAGACCAGTCGGCACACCAGACATGTGGTCGCACCATCATCAGTTCAGGAAGACCCCAAGAATGGCCAAAAGCAAAACATGGGTCAGTTGCTAGAGCGCATGCGTGTATCGCGCTTGTGATGGCCCCCAATGGGTATCCTTCACTGCATTTTTGTTCCGGTCTTGGAGGACGGAACAAGGCTGAGCAGATCCATATTACGTCGTGAGCTTCTCAACCCCAGTCGAGTTAGCTGATGTCTCCGTCAAGGATGAAACCTGTGCTCCTGCCCAAGGGATGGCGCAGTGCGGGCAAGCATCGCACAGAGTGCGCTCGGTCTTAAATCTTGCTTTGCAAAGACAATTCCAGTAATGCCCTGCCCCAGAACGTTTACAAGCGCTGAATATTCAAACGGACGCAGAACGTGGGGAACGAGGCTCGCGTGCAGCCTCGTTCCCCTTCACTGCTTTTTGAGCCGTCAGCGGGGCTGTTCGGGAGATTCAATCGGACTAATAAGGTGGGGCCACTGCCAGCAGAGGAGATTTGGGGGGCCATTTGCTTCACTGCTTTTTAAGAGTCAGTCGGGGCCTGGGAGCTGCCTGGAACAACACAAGCTACGAGCTTATGGCAATTAGGGGCCTTCTTGTGCGACCTGTAACTCCTCCCAGCAAGCGCCCAAGCAGACTTGCGCACCTGGTTTATTGATTAGGCTAAGTATCTATGGCTAGGTAGGCGAAAAGGTAGATACCGTCTCCGGGTAGAGGTGGCTAGCCAGCCACGAGGCGTTGTTCCGGCAACGGCGGTAACGTTAGTATTTGGCCTGTCTTCACATAAAACCCAGACTTTTGGGCTCAACCTCCCCTTACCAGCCCAACCTCGCTGCGTCACGCTTCCTCTTTTGCTGGGACATCATTTCCTGTAATGACGTTAGCTGACACCACTGTATCTCCACGGTGCCACCAAGACTACTCACTTCTTCCACAGTTCCCTTCATGATATATCGCGTGACAAGCACGTTCTCGGTCTGACCGATGCGGATTGCCCTTGAGATCGCCTGGTTCTCAACGCTAGGGTTCCACTGCGACTCCACAATGAACACTCTTTGAGCTGACATGATATTGAGCCTGTATTTGGTGCACTGTGAGACATAGTTCCACTGCATAATATGCACCAGATCGATAGTGTCCTTACCCAAATGCACCCGTACCAGTGGTCATGATAAGCACTCGAACTGTCTGGCTGTCGAATTGATCAAGTAAATCTTGTCGCTTCTTCGTCGGTGTTTCTCCATCAATACGGAGATATTTGACACCCTCTTTCTCTAGATGTCTGCCGACCAAATTTAAAGTACTCGTCCAGCATGAGAAAATGATGCTGTGAGCAGCAGTATGGTTAGCCTCGATTCAGCCACAAGCGGCGGGGAAACAATTATACGGACCTTTTGGTTCTTTCCAGATCAACCTTGACGTCTTCCATCAGAGCCATCATCTTCGTCGAGTGCCCCGAATCCTCAAAATAATCCTCTTCCTCCTGGAGACCTTGCATTGCATGGTCATTTGCCGGCTGGGTCTCTTCCTCGTCTCCAAAGAGAGGAACTACTTCTGGCACCTGATTTGGCTCTCGATGATGATGGTGGTGATGATGATGAGACCGGGTTTGAATACGGCAGAGAGGACAACGCCCGTCTGTGCGGTCAATGTTGTGGTCTCCCGCGTGGTCCTTGCGACAGTCTGAGCACAAGAAATGGCCGCAACTCGGATAATGCTTGTAGCTGTCGAGGCTCGGCCGGGGCTGCGCGCAACCGCCGCAGCGAATTTCAGCGTCCAGTCTGTTAGCTTCGATGGCCTCGCGCATCTCCTGCAGTCGATTGCGTCGCCACGAGAAGAGTTTTTGCCACGTTCCGTGGTTACAGGAAATGCGGAGCTGCAGATATGTCTGGAAAAGACCAAAGGTCTTCTCCTGCTCAACATGGCCGACAACTTGCCGGATTGTTCGATCCATGATGCTCTCTGTTCTCTTGTACAGGTGTCTTTCTTCTTGTGTGAACTCGAGCTCTCGGAGGCGTTCAATCGGTTCTGGTAGCTCTGCTTTTCTTCTAGGACGACTTATGCACAGAGACTTATAGAGCATTACGAGTTTGTCCTTCACAGTGTCGTCGCCTCGCTCGAAAGGCAGCGTTATTGAACTTCGAAATTGCGCCATGCTGTGGAATGGTTCAGCTCTGATGAACACGAAGAGTGCTCCGATGTCATCAAGCTTGTTTTGAATAGGAGTGCCGGTCAAGCACCATCTCGATCGTGCTTCTAGCTCGTAGCATGTCTTGTGAAAAATTGTGGCAGGTCGGCGGATCATGTGCCCTGCGAACGTGGTCAGTACATTGTGATGGGACTTGTGGGATGACTCAAAATGTGGGCTACCACCTACCTTCATCGAGAACCACGCGAAACCAGTGAATGTTGTGAAGTAGGCTTCTCTTCTCCTTGAACTCAACGGCAAGTGTGTGATAGGTTGTAATAACGACATCGGCCTTTGAAAGCGACTCTGCGTCCTTGAGCCTTCCGGCGCCGTGGTACTTGACGTAAGTGAGATCGTCACCAACGTGCCTTCACGTGTTTTCAGCATTCGCCAGGCTTTAATAAAGATATGCGTCGCATCTCCAGACTTACTTATTGATCTGTTTCGTCCAAGTATTGATGAGTACTATCAACGCGTTAGTTCCTACAATAGCAGCCATGCTCGACCAGCGAGATTCCAAAATGCACTCACATTCTGACGGGACCACGACCAAGGTGGAGTGTGAATAGATATTGCTTTTCCCACTCTGGTGGGCCGAGCTCTGCCTCTCCACGACATATCGGTGTGCCTCCGACAGTGTCTGAACTATCACAGCAATCATTGTCAATGTCTTCCCCATACCCATCTCATCCGCCAAGACCCCACCGCCCCTTTCCGTGGGCCGCTCGCTCGCAAGGGTTTTGCTGATCTTATGAATATACCTGAGAAAAAGTGTCAGCAAATCTGCGGTTTCCCTCACAGAATTCTGGTAACGTACTTCTCTTGCCCTTCGATGGCTGTCTTCCTCCAAAGTCTATCCTCGTCAGGAATCTCACCAGACTCGCGCCGAGCCATGAAAGTGAGAGCCCTCTCTTGGTGCCTAGCAAACAGGAATTCATCAGTAATGATACTTTTCCCCCGTCGAATGGCATTGGGTGCTTACGGAAGAAGCTGCGTCCGAAGTCGCCTGTCGCCTTCCGTTCGTGAAGGCTCTTCCACCTCGTTCAGCGTGGCGTGGACCTCTGCAAGCATCCTTTGCAAACGGTCCTCTTTCCCACTAATTGCCGCCTCAGGTTTCTCAGCCTGTCGCACCTCGTTGCGGCGTCGGGAGGTCACGTCTATCCCGGGAAATTTGATCACATGAGGGTTCTTGTATTGGAAGTCTTTCAGATAGTGGTCAGGTTGTTGCAGATATGCCTTGTTGCTGGACAGTTCTTGCCCAATCTGGTGGGCAATATTCTCGGGGCCATAGACGTTGATGTCGACAGTGACAAATCGGTCCGGAGATTTCGAGATCTTGCTGATTCGCTCGATGAGCAGGTGAGTGCGCGCGACACCCTCGAACGTGACAGCCGGGCACGATTCCATGATGGAGACAAGGACTCGAGCTTGCCCTTCCCTCAGATACCCAAATGAAGAGCCGTCTTCGAAGCACAGTACTGCAGATTCCGTCCTCCTCATCACGGTGAACTTCTGTAAATGGTTGTCCAAGGCCAACTGCTGTCCGTCTGCGGAGGCCTTCAGAGTGCTGGTCACTTCTTGCATGTCTGTTGAAACGAGTTTGACATCGTATTCATACAGCTTGGGCACGAAGGGTCAGAAGAACATTCGTTGTGATTTGCAAAGGAAGGACTCACCATGCCATAGCAAATCATATCCTGCTCAAGTATCTCACTCGGGCCTACTGATGTCGGATGGCTCGACTCTGCATGATCATCTGACTCGTTTGCCACTGGGTGCATCATGGTGGCCCAATCCTCGAAGCCCACCTCAATCTGGTGAAGTGCATCAGGTGGGATTTCAAGTAGTCCATTGCCGTCATCGTAAGTGCTCTGGTGTTGCGTATCTAGAAACAGATCATCAAGATCGATGTGAGGATCAGGATAGAGAGATGGAAAAGAGCCGTACGAGGTCGGTTCAGCACTGCTGAAGTTCGATCTGTAGGGTGGGTCATCGTTGAGAATATGATGTAAAGACATGACTGATAGAACTTCCGCCCTTCGTAAGGTTCAATTCATCGAGAAACTCCAGGCGGGAGTTTCATGAGGGTCTCACGGCTTGCTTGATCCCCAGGCTCTGCTTCTGAACTCTGAGATTTCCATGGAGTTTCACGTAGTGATGCGTCTGCTTAGTCTCCAACTTGGAACCAGGATCACTACTGTGACAACCGCAGAGGCTGGTCCGCTGCGGTGCGCACAAGGCTGACTGGCAACAGTGAGGCAACCAGGCGGCGGAGGCCCCTCTCCACCTGCGCTGCAATGCAACGCAGCCTTGGGGGGCGGTGCCGACGACCCCCCTGTTCCGCCCTCGAAGCACTGCAGTCAAGCTATTGGGACGCCATCTGTAGGTGTGCGGCTGTCGTACCCTGCTTTGGCTGAATTGACTGGCAATCAGGGCGCCTCCCAGCCGCATAGCCACAAATGACAACAACCCCCACGAATCGGCAGACATTTTGATTTCAGGAGATCTTCCACTCTGTGTACACAAAGACTTGCCGTCAAATTCATTGTCAACTGATGGCGCTCGAGGATATTGCTCTAAATCAGCCTCTACTCGACACGAGGCATAGTTATGTCTGCCCTTGAGGCCAAAGACATCCTCGAAGATGCAATCAATTCCTTTCGACAGCGTCATCCGGCTGCTGTTACCGATCGATTCATACATGTAACGTGCGACCACGTGAAGCATGACATTCTTGAACTCCAGATACGTCAGGAGAAGCAGAAGTCTATGCTCAATCTCGCCAGATTCCAGTCAGCTTTACTGGCGTTCGAGCAACTTGTAGATGCTGCACGATTGAGCCAGGAGCAAGCAGGGTTCATATGGGGGCCAACCAAGCAGATACTCAAGGCAAGTTAGCCCCAATTCCAATTTTCACGTCATGTGCCCGATCACTGAGCTGACTGTCCCAGCAGAGTGCAAATGATGAGAGATCAATCCTTGATACTGTCCTCAACGCATACTATGAATTGGGCACATGCGTGCCACGCACGGTGCCCCATGAAGACCTTCTGCAAGCCAGGCCCGAGCTGCGCAAGGCCCTCGCTTACATGTACCACGATGTTCTGTTGTTCCATGCCGACGTGCTGGGGCCGCTTACCTCTGGGGAAGGATGGAAGCGGACCTTCAAGGCAAACTGGAACGACTACGTCAATCATTCATTTCGCGCTCTTCTCAGGAGATTTGATCAGCATCACCAGCTGTTCAAAAGCCAGCTGGATTCGTGCAAGGAGGGCGCTCTTGAGGAGGCTCTCGATGACTTTTCATACCGGCTGAACGGGCATGTTCAGGACTACCGGGAAGATCGAGACGATTTTCTTAGACACATTCGTCAGTACGAGGAGGATCGCCGAGTGCTCCTGAGAAATGCAAGAGATGCCGAGGCGAAGCGCAAAGAGGATCAGTTGGAGAAGATGCTGGCGTGGCTCTCGACACCAGGAGTTGATCAGGAGCAGGAGGAGCATCACCAGCGCTTCCGGGACATTCGAGAGGAGGCCAAAAATACTTGCCAATGGATTTTGCAAGACGATCATATGCTTAACTGGCTCAACCCGGAGACGGTACCCCGACACTCCATAATATGGATACATGGCAAACTGGGTTGCGGTGCGTGTAGCCTGGTGTCTTGCATACATGGATGTAGACTGCTGACCAAATGGGATCTAGGCAAAACGGTTTTGGCCTCATCCATCATTGATCGGTGCATGAGGTACCGGTCCAGCATAGGCCCCGAGGACAGCGCCCGAGACGCCGCGCTCTCCATCGAAGATCAGCAGCCGGTCTTCAAGACCAGCTTTTTCTACTGTCGGGAGGAAGGCTCCAGGCAAAACGACACCATGACCATTTACAGATCTCTTCTACGCCAGATGCTCCGGCATTTTCAAGATCTACTGCCGGTCTGCCATGAGAAGAAAGCCAAGGGGCAGGTCACTCTGAACCATGAGGAAACGGCACAGATTCTCTTAGAGCTCTTCGCGGATGCCGACATGAACCAGTTCATCATTATAGATGGGATCGACTCTTGCAACTCCGAGACTCGCCGCGTCGTTGTGAATTTCCTCGCGAAACTGGCGGAAAGATGCGAAGAATTCAGACCGGGAAAGCTACGCGTTCTCCTGGTGAGCAGGGACCTGCCGGACATACGCAAACTGAAGGTTGTCGAGGGGGCAACAACAATAATCGAGATGACGACGAGACATGTACAAGATGATATAGGGTTGTACATTGATGGCAAAAAAGCGAAAATGAAGGACCGCGGCCTAGACGAGAATGACATCCAGCGGATTCGCAGACAAATCCTGAGAAGATCAGATGGTGAGTTTCTGGCAGTGTTCCTGGTGTAAGTCCAGGAGAAGGTCAGAAGGATGCTGACTGTGTTGCTGCTAGGAATGTTTCTCTACGCTCAAATCGTCATGGATAATTTGCTCGCACAGTCAGCGGTCGGGGACATTCTAGCAGAGCTAGAGGAGAGTCGATTCCCCCGGGACCTGGCCTCAGCGTAAGATCACCTTGCATTTGCGCACCGACCTCTTGCTAACCCTGTAGACAGGTACAATGCAATTGTCGAACGTCTCAAGAATCAACTGAGCCCCAAAGGGTGGAAACGTGCTCAGCGCGTGTTTGGTTGGCTGGCTTGTTGCAAGAGGCCATTGCTCTGGCATGAGATTCAAGCTGCTCTTGTCATATCTCATGACAAGCATAGCGGAGAGCTGGTCCTCGACTACTACAAAGGAAGGCTTCAGAAAGACATAGACCAGACATGCGGCTCATTGGTGCAAGTACTCAAGGGGAGGATAACATTTGTCCATCACACGGCCCGAGAGTAAGTTTATCTGACACCAGCAGCGGGCAGAATTAGGCTTGCCACAGTATTGCTGACATTGAGCCGGAACCAGACATATCTTACAAGGTGAAAACCTCGATGAACGGGTAGTGGAGTGTGAACTCGCCATCGCCTGCCTCCAATACCTAGGAGGGTCCTGCTTTCGCCCGGGCGACGACCCGAAACAGCTTGACAAGTTTGTTGAGGACAAGTTTTATGCTTTTCAAGACTATGCCGCGTCTAAATGGGACCATCACCTCGGAGTCGTGCTGAAAAACGGCACTGGCATATTTGAAGACCCTGTCAGGGGCGGCAGCTTCCAGATCAAGCTTTCCAGGGCAGCCACAGCATTCACAACTGCTTTTGCCAAGAGCCTCGAGCCTCGAGATCATAGCGGATCCAAAAGAAGTGCGATATCTGAGCCGGAGAGGCAGGCAGAAGACGCCAGACAGAAAGCAGAGTCTGACTGTCAAGCTTTCCGATGCTACTCCTTCTACGATGCGATGGTTGTCATTAGGACGCATCTTCACTTCCACGAAGCGACAAGCGACGCGAAGCAACGCAACAAAATCAGCCTTCATGATCTTGAAGGTTCTATTCAAAAGATTCGGGGCAGAATGGAGAGCACGTGGCTCGCTCTCGCGGAGGGAGGAGAGGAGGAGGCCCAATTCCAGGAGTACTACGGCCTCAATGTTTTCAAGTGCGACCGCATCGCCTGCGACTACTTCTATCAGGGCTTCGAGAACCAGGAGCTGCGGGACGCACACACCAAGCGGCATGAGCGGCCTTTTCTCTGTCCCGTGGCCGGCTGCAACCTCGTCGCGTTTGGCTTCTCGACAAACAAGGACCGCGAGAAGCACGTCCGCAGCTACCATCCAGACGACCCTGCCAACACGGGCTTCGGCCCTGTGCCGCGGGACCTCACGCCGGCGAGCAAGGACAACGCTAGGTTCAACTGCCCGCATTGCGGCAAGAACTTCACGAGAAAGGCGATCAGAGAGGACCACATCAACGCGCACTTTGGGCAGCGGCCCCATCAGTGCTCGCTTTGTGACAAGGCTTTCACAAGGGCAAACGACTTGAGGAGGCACATGACTCAGAAGCATTCTCGGCGCATAGTGAGGTGAATTGACAGTCCAACGGGGACAAGGCCACTCCCTCTGAATCCATAATTGCCATCGACCTAGGATGTTAAGTCTTGCAGTGCCGATGCGCGGAATGTTGTGGGTTGGTCCTGATTCAGGGGCATGAAGTAGATGGCGAAACGCCTATCCAGCCTGCCTTGTCCAGCTGTGAGCCACGCAGCGTTATCGCAACAGAGGGCTGCGGCTAGCTCAGTTAAGAACATAGGGCTGGGTGCCAGTCATTGTCACTCCGCATTTGAACGAATAGAAACGAGGGCTATTCGCCGTGAAGTCTGGTATTACCAGTTGGGGGAAAATGAAGCTTTGTTTTAATTCGTGATTTCCTGGTAGGGTTGCCGGTCTGTTGAGAGCGATAGCCTAGACAGGTAGGCTTTGCTCTAAATATTGACCCGGTCCTTTGCAGAACAATGTCGACACCCTGTACAGTGTTGATGGATTTTCTGGCCTGTTAGCAAGCCGGAGTTTCATCGAGACTTGCGTCTGAGTTGGCACTGCATTAGACAACCTAAAGTTGCTGTGGGTTGCGAGAGATCCTGTAGTTCCGTGGTGTGACGAAATGTGGAACGAGATTTAGAGCCTCATGCAACTTGCGGCGACCCGCAGATGCTCTACAGCTTATGTCGCGGTTGGTTGCTTTGTGTGTAGCATCAGACTCTAAAACTTAAATGATCACAAACGGAGAGGGATGGTCTGTCTTGCAGAGCCTCCATAAACTGCAAAACTTGACCATCAAGCAGGAACACTCACGATGATCGTTGACTCTGAGGCAGCATCAGAACCTACGTCTCGTCCACTTACGAGAAGACGCCAGCTGCCTTCTCGATCTCGAACGAACATGCCTCAAGGGCCACATCGTGTTGTGTGATAGGTCAGCTCGTTGCCATCATTGGCTGGACTTGTGACCCTGGTCTGCGCAGCTCTGAGTTGGGCGCTACTCCCAGCTTGGAAGGTCGGTTTTTTGCACTGCATTTCTAACCATTTCTGAGAGGTTTCCAGCTGCTGATAGATTGCCTGCTCAGCCACGCAAAGATGACTCCTCGTCCAGACAAATGCCACTGCTCTTCTTGCAATTGAATAAACTTTAGCACCTCGTCCCGTCTCAGGCTTCATGGTGTCTACGAGAGTCGGGAGAAGTTCACGGCGAGAAGGTTAGCGCACGAGGGAGATCAAATGGACCTTCGACCTTAACGTCAGCCCTGCCATCTACATCGACGAGGCATTTCCCCACACAATACCCCGTGCATTGCGCAGTATGTCGAGAAATTGGCCAGGTTGTGGAAGTTCTGAGTGAAGAAGCCTTGAGATCGTTCGACGAGAGTTCCGACGGATGCATCGCAGGCCTTGACAGCGCGTTCAGAGGGAGGGTTTGAAGAACGTGCGAAAGCGAGTTTCACTGCTTTCTAAGCACTGGACCACCTCTCCGATCTGTTTTCTTGAGCACCACAGTGCTTCACTGTTTTCTCAACACTCTCTGATATCTCGTTATTGTTGTTGTTCTGGGTGCTATCGATATACCTTGTAGATTCCTTTGAGGGATGATGAGCTGCTCTGCACGGTCCGGCAGCATCCATACCGGCCTGTTCGCCAGCTCAAGGTCAATCTCCATGACGTGTCGTCTCGAGACGACGCTGTGAATATCGCCCAACACCTACGCAACGATGAACCGGCACACTCAAGAACAGTCTTGTGCAGGCGCTATAAAAGTATCATGTCACCCGTTTCATGAATCACCCCAGAAAGCTGCACTGCTCTCCCGTCCTTCGATGAGCAGAGCTTTCTGATTTGCCACACTTAACCGTGCAATGCAGGTGTCTGACTCCCCCATCTGCAGACCAACTCATCCTACCTCCGAGCGCACCGCCTGCCACGCCGGCCCTTCTCCTGAAACCCCCCATCACATCATCACATCCCATCCCTTCTGAATCCAGATATTTTCGAGCAGCTCTCTTTGCGGATCCTCATCAACCCTGCATATTGCCCAGCAAAATCCTCCTTCCTTTGGGCCCCTGCCGCAGCAAGCTCCTTTTCTCTCACCGCACCGATAAGCACCCCCGGGTCAACAATTTTCACTCCGTCAGCAGCAGGGAGGGGGGGGGCTTTTCGGCAATCCACCCAACGACGACAGGGCCAGCCAGCAGTACATGGCCGGCCACATGGGGACGGCCGCCGTGTCCTTTGTGTGCCCAGTGCAGCAGGTGAACCCACTTGGAGCAAGGCGGCCCAATCCGCCCGTAATCTATTACATGTACCTGCACCTCCAGAGTGTCCGTGCCTCATGCCCAGACTGTGCTCGACGCTCAGAGTTGCTTGCTGGGCCGCCTGGCCGCCCGCCGTGACAGTGACAGCGGGCATGCGGCCTGCGGGCTGCTGCGCTGACGTGAGGGGAACCCAGTCAATAATGGGAAACGGGCTGGGAAACAATGAACTTGGGGCCCCACTGAACTCGCTCAACTCGCTTTTGTGTCACCCACCACTCCGACCCCGGGCACTGCCGCACGCACGCATGCGACGCCCATCTCACTTTTCAGCTCTTCCTCTCTGTCTGCCTCGCTCTCGTTCTCTCTCGCCCTCTTGCCCGGGCCCCCCCCTCTCACTCTTCTCATGCACACTGCCGCCTTGTTGTGCCTTTGTCGTTTTAGTGTCGGACCTCCCCCATCCATGTCTTTCTCACTGTGGGCCCACTACCACCACCACAGCCGACGAGGCTGCCTTGGTTAAAGTGTTCGCGTATTTGCCTGTGTCAGACAAAGTGCACGTTTTCCGTTGCTCACTCAGCCTTGTGTAAGCAGCGCGCGTGCGGTGATCAAAAATACAGGCAGTAGTTGTGAAGTGCACATTCCTTTCAGGCCGGGCTCACTCAATCAGCCTCGCCTCGTGTAAGCGGCGCGGTGAATCCGACGCATATCAATAGTTCTGGAGTAAGAGTTGACAAAACAACACAACTGGTGCTTTGAACCCCATAAATTATGTTTCTCCAAAGATCAATCACAGTGTGAAGCAACGTAAGGAACAATGATGCGTATGTGTGTGTGAAAGGGGTTTATATTTCCCAGCAAAGTATAATTAATAATTACGTATCCATTCCCTCCCCCCAATCATGAATCCCGTCGTCGTCATCAGTCTTGATGCGGTCATGATATCTCGTTCGCGTTTCCAAAAAATGAAGTTTCCTATCTACGGTAGGGGGTTCTCCAACAAGCCATAAAATATTCCCGTCGTGATCTAATTTGGTGAATCCGCGCCGAACCCTTGGTCCCAAAAATGGTTCTCTCACGCCCGAAGAGGATGTGCGCCGCCAACGCCGGTTTTGGTGCAAAAGTTCAGTGACGCTTTAATCAAAGGAGTGTAGCGAATGTGATTTGTGTTTTGTGTCGTTGCTTAGGTCGTGAGAGACCCGCGCAAGACGCCTGTGTGCGCGCGTGCTCGTGGGAGCAGACGCTTACAGGAAGTAGGCGGCAACAGCGCCGAGGACGGCGAGCATGCCGACGCTGTTGACAGCGGCGCCAGCGGTGGGAATGCTGGGAACGCTGGGAACGCCGGGGGTGGTGCCGGAGGGAACAGTGGTAGGCACGTAGGTGGGAGGCACAGGAGTGTGCGAAGACAGAGTAGTCGGGGGGTAGTAGGTGGGCAGAGTGGTGTTGGCGGTAGGGTAGACAGTACCGCCGGTGCCAGTGGGAACAGGCACGTAGGTGGTAGGCACATACGTGGTGGGCTCGTACGTGGTGGGCTCGTAGGTGGTAGGCTCATACGTGGTGGGCTCATACGTGGGCACGTAGGTGTCGTAGGTGGTAGGCACGTAAGTCTCGTAGGTCTCGCTGGACGACTCGACCGGGTACGTAGGGTACGTGGGGTACACCACCGAGGTCGTGGTGGTGTTGTAGTACGGGTAGGTCACGGTGCTGTAGACCGTGGAAGACTCCTCGTCGCTGCACTCAGACTCGGTCTCGGTGGGGTAGACCGGGTAGGTGGGAGTGGTGACGGCGTAGTCGGCGACGGCGACGGCGGCCGAGGCGAGGATGGCAACAGCGACAGACTTCATTGTGAATGAGTTGTTGGTGGTGTTGTTGGTTTGTGTGTGATTAATGCGGGAACCAAAGCGTAGAGATGTAGCGAGTGATCTCTAGGAAACAAGCGAGAGTCCTGGTATTGCTGTGTGATGCGTGATGATGCCAAGCAGGAACAGGTCCAGGAACGAGGGGGGAGACGGGCGACTCTCTTATACACAGGCCGCTTGGGGGACATGCGCCGACCTGCGAGAGCAGCGAAGAGCAGGAGCCTGGAGGGCAGGATGGCGTCAAGCAGGCAGGGGCTGGGGCTGGCAGGCTGGACGGGTACAGCCCCCCTGCAGAGTGTTCGGCGGCGCCCGTTGCCTAGCTCCAACGTCAACCTCGCCGTGGTGTCGTCGGGCGCTGCAAGGTTGCATCCAGTCGTGGGTGTGGACAGCTGAGTCAAAGGACGGGCAGGTGGGCAGAGGTTACGAAGAGTCGGGACAGGGGTCCCACTGTGGTGCCCAGGAATAGCAACCATGTCTCGGTCCCCGCTTCTCTCGCTCGCTGCGCGGAAAAGTGCACCGCCGCAGAAAGACCGCAAAGTTCTTCCCCCCGCTAGCCAGCCTAGGACCTAAGTGGCAAGGCAGCTCCGCCTGGGCTGGCGCGGCCCTTTGCCAGCCATCGTGGCTCGCAAGGTTTGCTGCGCTGCGATCTACTGTCAGGGCCTGCCAATCAACGACCCGTCGCTACAACGACGGGCGGAACCTTCGGCGTCATGGTGGAGCGGGCCTCGCCTCGAGTGGGCGATCTGCCAGCGGCCAAGGGCGAGGTTGGGAGCCCTCCCGGCGGCGGGTGCCTCCCAGCAACCACGTGCAGAAGAGGGATCGTCTATTGTCTATCGCCTTTTGTGTTTGGTGGACTGGCCGTTTCCTAGCGACTAGATGGGTTGGTGCGGTAGCCGTGCATATGGCGAGGCTGGCGGGCAAGGAACGGCGAGGTCGGAGAGGTCGGGTCCTGCATGAGGCCCAAACTCTGTCTGCAGGTGTGCGGGCTCTCTCGTGAGGATGTTTCTTTCTGGTCGCTTCTGTTGCCCGGGCGGCCGCGGAGGATTGGCTGAGTGAGAAACATCCCCGCGCAACCCTGGCCCGGCCTGCCCTTTTCGTATTGTCGACCAGGATGGCTGGCATGGCTGGCGGGCGGGGCGGGGTCGTGAATGGATGGACTTCTCGTGTAGTGGCCCGCCGCTCCCAGGGCTGGCTGCAAAGACGTCATGTGAGATAAGGCGCCGTGACTGTGACTGCGCTGGGCCAGAGGGCAACCGAGCGTTGGCACCGCAACCCAAGCAATCAAGCAATCCCACATCCCCGATCCGCCAGGATGATAACGGGGTCCAGAGCCGGCCGCTGTTTGCATTGCAGCCTCTGCAGGGCCCGGTGGTTGGTCTTGCATGCACGTGCCGTGCTCGAATACGGTGACTTTCCCATCTTCAGAGTTGCACTCTGGGCGCCGATGGGTAGGTGACGCCCCGCGACACGGACGGCTGCGTCAAGCTTGGTCGAAATGGATAATATGCGCTGTTTCTTCACCTTGGCATCGTCGATGTCGATGTTTGCAAAGCGGATCACCTCATCGGACTGCCCTGGAAACCCAACCAGGATACGGAAATCCCACTGCCGGGGACCCTGCGTGCGAGTCCAGGGTGTGTAGATGGCTCCATCCCGAGAAGATGAATACTCAGTGTTGAGCGAGCCTGTTGCCATGCCATGCCGAGAACACGAACCCTGGGCAGTCTCCTCTGCTCGTGGCCCAATCTGTGTCGAACGGTGCAGATCGTGTTGTGGGCGAACCATCGACGAACCGTCACTGTCGTCACCGAGCAATTTTGCGCATGGGTCTTGCCTGTTCTGGCGCCACGGACGAGCACTGGCCGGCAGATCAGTGACAGCACGTTCAGAACGGGACTTTCAGGTGGAGACCAGGACGACAGGCGTGCACTATTGGCGGAGTGACTCGGTGCGGCCTTTGTCTCGTCGCACTCTCTCGTGTTGGGGCCCTTGGCAGATGGAACGTAGCAAGGCCAGCTGCTCTTTCGCCTGGGTGGGTGGGAGCGAGGCAAGCGCAGCCTTTCGGACACGAGCGTCCCTGACTGGCTGCACATGAGCGCGCGAGGACTATGGTGCTGATCGTGGCGTGAGGCTGGCTGGATGGTCGTGTGCTCTGAGCCTTGTGAGCAATGCCAATTTTAGACGGAGGCGGCGACGGAATGGCCGTTTGGGCGAGAGTTCCCGCTGCCCACTCGACTCGCTGGGCAGCCTTGGACCACCCCTAAGCAGCAATTACTCCGTAAGCACCGCCCGGGTCAGCCCGGCCAGAGAGTCTGACTTGACGTCACGCTGGGCGAGGCTTGAGGGTGGCTGACGACCCCCCTTGCAAAGCCACAATTGCGGCTTGGTAGTGATTGATTACACTAACAATCGCCGCTCCGGCGGGCACCGGCCCGGCCAGGATCCACTTTCCAATTGAGCCTCCGGCCAAGCGTCGTCAGATCTTTGCACAAGGCCCGCTCGATCCGATGACCTCAGAGCTTCCCAGGCACGACCACACCAACCGAGGCACAACCCCAGACAAGCATCACGGCCACCAGCCAGCCAGCCAGCTTACCCACACGACTCGACCCATGGCGCGCTCCCGCTGAACGACAAAGCTCCATTGACAGCTCTCCAAACACCTGTTGCAACACACGACAGCGCAACGCCTTTACCGCTGGCCGGCAGAAGAAAGTAGTCCACCGGGCCATGATCACCTCCCGCTCCGTCCCCACGGGGCTGGCGCGCAGCGCCCTGCGTAGCCTTGGCCAGCCCATCACCACCCCGTGCCAGCAATGCCGGACCTTTTTGCGCCCGGCGCGCCACTCGGGCAGCCGTGCCTACGAGACCATCAACCTCAACCGCATGCGCACCCAGCATCACGACTACCACCGCAACCGGCGGGCAGTGCTCCTCGGCGGCGCCCTTGCCGGCTCCATCGCGACGTGCTACACCGCATACCGGCTGGTCGACGCCGTGCGGAACCCGACGCAGTTCGACGCGCCCGCCTCCGGCCCTGACAAGGTCGACCCGTTCGTCACAGAAGGCGGGGTGAAGCGCAAGACGGTCATCCACGACGACGAGGGCCGCGAGCTGGTGCCCACGGGCAACAGCACCATCACGACCTTCCCGCGCACGCTGGACCTGCACCTCGGCGCGCAGGCCGCCCAGGAGAAGGTCAACGGCGTCGAGTACACCCTCGTCGGGCTGGGCGTGCGCACCGTCAGCTTCCTCGGCATCCAGGTCTACATGGTGGGGTACTACCTGGCGACGCAGGACATTGCGGCGATCCAGGCCCGGCTGGTCAAGGAGATCAACCCGATCGCGACGACGCTGGTGGCCAACGAGAAGGAGGAGCTGCGCAAGGCCCTGCTCGACCCCGTGCAAGGGGAGAAGCTGTGGACCGAGATCCTCCGCGAGGTCCGGCCGCGCTCGGCGTTCCGCATCGTGCCGATCCGCGACACCGACTTCCACCACCTGCGCGACGCGTTCGTCCGGGCCGTCCAGGCGCGGAGCACCGGCAGGCCGGCCGAGTTTGGGGACGACGAGTTCGGCACCGCGATGAGGGACTTCCGCGCCGTCTTCAACCGCGGCAAGTTCCCCAAGAAGCAGGAGCTGCTGATGGTCCGGGACAACAGCGGCCACCTGACGGTCACGCACGACACCTCGGGCACCGGCGCGGCCAGGGAGACGATTGGGCAGATCCCCGAGGAGCGCATCACCCGCTTGCTTTGGATGAACTGGCTGGCCGGCAGCAAGGTCGCGTCCGAGCCCGCACGGCAGAACATTGTCGAGGGCATCATGGAGTTTGTGGAGCGGCCGGTCGGCACTGTGGCGACGCAGGTTGTATGATTATGAAACGTCGCTAGGCACCGGACTCGGCCACTAAAGAGTGAGAGCAACCCATCCTGTATTATATCTAAAAGTAACACGCTCCACATGTCGAATTACTGGCGGTATCGAGTTCCTGTACCACAATACTCAGCTCTGATGGTTGTGGTGATCTTCGAGATCATGAACGACAGGTCATCTTGATGTTCAACTCAACCTCCCGAAAAGTGCCAAGAGCTCTGCGGCTAGTGATGTCTTGTGTTCTTCAAGCCACACCGGTGAGGCGAAACTATGTGAAGTGGAAAATAGGGAAGGCTTTGAGCCACGGAAGAAATCCCTGATTTAATCAATGACTGTTCTTTCACGACGGAAGACATCTTGTGCCGCTCCTCACGCTAACTTGAGTGCCACAAAAATATATTGACAGTCCATATGAGAATTGGCAAACACTTAAATCCTCTTTGAATCAACCCGTCAAAATGCGTTGGCCTTTTCAAAATTCGACACGCATATCAAGGCAAAGTCTCATCTATCCGAGCGAAAGAACATAGCAGGATTTGTCTTTCTAGATTTCCCAGAATTCCTGGTTCTTTGAATGCACTCTACCGGTCAATGAAGTTGGCCAGCTGGGCTCGCGTGGCCGGATAGCCTCGACCACCCCAAGCGAGATCGCACCTCTACAGTTCTACATCCTAGAGAAGCATCTTAGCATGCTCCTTCCAGTCCACCACCAGACCAGAAGCATCTGCCTCGGTCTCATCGACAATCATGTTCTTCCGCAGCTGGGCAAGACTCTCAGGTGTGAGGAGGCCGAGCTCCAGCACGCACTTCTCCACAGAGCCGTAGGTCTGGTTAATGTGCTCGAGGGTCGTGAGCATGTTCTCCTTGCTGTTTCGGACAACGTTTGGGGGTGATTAGCGAAGAGCACTGACATGACGGTCACATCCCGAAGATGGAATTGGTCGCGGTGAACAGGACCTCACGACGCACGACAACCCAGAAACACAGAAGAACAAAACAAGCCCCAGCACAAAACCATACCAGAAATGATGGAAAAAAACAAATACAAAGACAAGACAAGAAAAGGAGGGGAAAAGGAAGGAGAAAAGAAAGGACTTACACAGCAACAACCATCCCCCTCGCCCCCTCCGGGTTATCCCGAAACGCCTCCTCGGTAGTCTTCAACCGCTCGATGATGCTCTCCTGCATCTCGCGCAGCCCGAGCGCGGTGAGGCTGTACTCGTGCGCGACGACGTCGTCGGCGACGCCGCACAGCGAGAGCACCAGCGCGCAGATGACGCCCGTGCGGTCCTTGCCCGCCGTGCAGTGTACGAGCAGCGGCGCGGGCGGGGTTTCCGTCGCCGATGCCAGCCGCGACAGGATGGACGCGTATGGCTGCTTGGTGTTCTCCGGGGCCGAGGCGGCGCGCAGGATGGACATGTATGCTGCTTTGAAGCCCTGGGGCGGTGTTTTGTCTTGTCAGCGAGTCTCTCTTTTCGACCTTTTACGGTAGCTCTCAGTGTTCTCTCGATGCATGATACCAAGAAATAAGTTGTACCACGATCTTCCCCAGATCTCCACATCATCAACAGGCCAGGAACTCTACGACCTGTGTTTGGGCCAGGCCCAGCCTTCAGAAAAGACAGACAGACAAAACCACTCACCTCCGGCCCGCTAGCATAGCTCCGGAACCTCAACGCGACCGCCTCGGGCGAGTAGTCCTGGTCCAGGAACACGGGCGCGAATATCCTCTCGGCGCCCTCCCACTCCCTCGGCGGGCGGGCGTGCCCTTCCTTCTCGAACTCGCGCACCGACCGCAGGTCGTAGACGTGCTTGATGCCCAGCTCCCGCATCCGCGATATCCCCTCGGGCGTGACCTGCGAGGGCTCGGCGGCGCGGAAGAGCACGCCGCGCCGCACAATCTTGTTCGGCGCCGACGAGACCGGGTAGCCGCCGGTGTCGCGGAAATTTTGGATGCCGGGGACAGCGAGGAAGGGCGGGCTGGGAAGATCTGGTGGTGCTGTTGCTGGGGAAGTCATTGTGGGTGTGGGTGTGGAACTCGTGATATTGGGCTGCTGCAGGAATGACCTTCTATGCTTTGGGGGAATACTGCTGCTATGGTCACTTGGTCGTGTATTGTGAGGAAGTTCAAGCCTCCCTCGATCCCTGACCTGGTGAAGAGACTGGAGCGGAGCCGAGACCAAAGACAGACAGTGCACTACAGGCGTCACAATCAAGCAGCAGCCGGGCTATGCGCAAGGCAGAATTCGCAATGCTGGTCGATTCTGGATCTAGAAGCGATTAACGACGAGGGGTCCCAAGTTCCGGACCCTGGATTGTGCGGAATGCGGGCGGCGGGATGGCGGGCATCCTTGTAAGTGCCTGCAAGGTGGGGGAGTTGGCATCTTGTGTCCCCCGGGGCCGTCCCTCGGCTGCTACGGTGCGGAGCTGGCGTTCCTCGATGTCTTTGCAACGCTGAGCATCAAGAACAACATTACAACATGCCCGTTGGAGTCGGGACTTTGTGTCAAGAAAACAAAAAACATATCCTCTGAATTTATTCTATGCAAGTCTCAACGCAGCGTCAATTGTTTACAGAATTAACGAAGACAAACCCCAACTCGACGGTGAAAGCAGGTTCAATCAGACCCGGTGCGTGGCAAAGTGCAAAGCAGCCAGGCACCGTAGAACATCTTTGAAAAGAACGGGAGCACATAGATGCATCTCCAAGAGACTATATTGGCCGCTCTTTAACCCACACCCTGTGTGTGACATGGTGTTTTATCTTAATCATCGCTCTCCCCAACGGCTGCCCGCCTGGTCCCAGCTGGCTGCCGAGGGACACCAGGAGCGGCGGACGGGATGGCAGGCGGGCTCTGGACCACGGGCCCTCCGGGGCCGGCCGGACCCACACAATTCGCACACCACAACGAACTGTGCGAAAATCGGGAGGCACAGCACACGGCGGGTGGGAGTTAATTAGTTGACTGGGCCAGGTTCACGCGTGACATGCGCGTTCATCATCGCAGTGTGTTGCTGATCTCGTTGCTGCCGGCTCGTGACCTTGCGCGCGCCGGTTTTGACACTGTCAACAACAAGCAACCAATGGCCATGGTCGGCACAAACACAACATCACAACGCAGCAACGGACGCCATTCGCAATGACGACAAGGGGGTATTCTTTGATTCACTTTTTTTGGTTCATTTTCATTCGTTACTCTATGGACGAACGTTGTCTCTTCCATTGAACACGGACCAGAGCCGGCAAGACATAAACCCCCAACCTGACCCTTTGAGACGTAGGTGTTCCCCCGCTTCTCGTCCTCGGTCCAAACCCGACGTCTCTCCTCGCCATTCTCCGTGCTTTTGTGGATGCCATAACAACACACGACATGACCCATGAACGAGGATGACATGGGAATCCATGTGTGATACAACGCCACGACGCAAAACGAGAGAAAGCAAGGAAAAGAGACCACGAGAGCACCGAGACGAGAAGAAAACCAAAAGACCGGGGGGTCGCACCCAGATCTGATGATTGCCCGAGAATTTTTGATGATATAACCCCCAAATAACCCACACGCCGGATCTAAGTTGCAAAAAAGAGTCGATGACGAATCGCGGTTGGATTCATGTGTGTGTATTGTGTGTTCATTTCGGTGGCCGTTGTTGATGCGTGAGGTGGTGGAATTTTGTTTTTTCGTCGGGCGAATTCAAGACATGCGCCAGACGCGGAAGATGCAGAGGATGGGAGACAACAACGACAGCGAAACCCGTAAAGACGACAGACGACCAGCACACCCTTCCCTTCTCAGGAAACCCAAGACTTAGTATCCGAGAGACTTGAGGGCCTCGGTGGTCTTGCTGTCGACGGTGGCGTTCTTCTTGGCTTCCGTCAGTTGTCTCTGGGCGAGCTTCTTGCGCTCGTAGTAGGCGGTACCCTTGGCCTTGCGGCGCTCCTCGAGTCTGTGATTGGAACAAGGTCAGCGTGTGTTCCTCCTGTGTGAAATTTCCCACGCTTGGCAAAACGTACCTAGCAACAACATCCTGGTACTTCCAGCCAACCTCGTGGGCGAGGCGGCCAACGGTGCAGTACTTGCGGCCGGGCTGCAGTCTCAGGACACGGAGGGCCTGGGGAACAACCATCTTCTTGACCTTGTCGTAAGGCGGGGGGACACCCTCGAAGACCTTGAGTCTCTCAAGGGCGGCGGCGCCGCGGGCAGTCTTGTGGGGGATCATGCCACGGACGGCCTTGTAGAAGATCCGGGAAGGAGCGCGGAAGTGGAAGGGACCACCGCGGGTAGGGTTGTAACGGGTCATCTTGCGGAGGTAGGCGTGGTACTTGACTGTAGAGAGGACCTGTGTCAGCGACTCTGTGTGTGTGGCTTCAAATGTTGTGCGGCTGGGCTCGTCATCGCGGCCGACTGCCCGAATGGATAACAGGCAGCCAAGTCAAGGACATTCGTTCGCGAGGCGTCGAGCCCTTGCCCGGGGGGGGTGATGAATGTGCACATACGCTTAGAGCGGAAGAACTCGCCGGAGATGTTGAGGGCCTCGGTGCGGACAACCACGATCTTCTGGCCGTTCAACAGCTGCTTGGCCACGATGGAGGCAAGGCGGCCAAGGAGATGGCCCTTGCCATCGATCACAACCTGTTATAGAGAAACCCCAAGGTCAGTCTCGGTCCGATGTTGCCATGTGTATGTCTCGGTGCCTGTCCCGATGCATGCCCAATCCCGACTCGTACGTGCCGTCCGCTGTACCAGCCTCATCCTACTCGCATGTCGTGTTTGTTGTCGCAGCGTCGAATGCCTTATGCAAAGCTTCATCGAATGTATGGGTGGCCCAATGTCGTGTGCGTGTATACCGATATCCCGAGCGACAACCACGTCCAATCCCGTGCCAGCTTCCAACCATTTCCCCTCCGCAGCATCGAGGACAAAGCTCGCCATGGTGTTCAGTGTTTACTTACAACGGACTCGAAGGACGACATCTTTGCGAATCGTCAACCGCGGTTGATACTGGATTGGAAATTATGTGAATAAAGAGTGGACAAAAGACCGGTTGAAGAAACTGCGAGAAACTGCGCGCGACGAGGACGAGAGAGAGCAGCCACGTCGTAGCCGGGAATAGAAAGGAGATGTTGGTCGTGAAGGGCGTGACAATGAGATCCGAGACTCTACTTACTGGGGTCGTTAGTCGGCTGGGCGTTGGGTGTTGTGGTGTTGTGATGGTCGCAAATCAAGAAGCCGGCCAGCCGTGTATGCCACAAGAGGGTTGAAAATTATCGGGCCATATTCAAACTCGCCAGTGCGGTGCGCGGGCTCTGGGCTTTGGCAGGCGCGCTAGTCTCCTTCTGGCAGGGTGGGGAATTTGTGGCCGAAGCGAGGAGGGCTTTTGTGTGCTCAAGGTCGCCCCTTCCATTTTTGTTTTGTGTGGTCAGTGCTTACCTAATGTAGGGCTTGGGAAGCGCAGCGCCGAGCCACAACCCCCTACCCGGCACCAACAACGACAAACTGCGTCCGCCGCCTTTCGTAAGCAGCGGACCGCATTGCCTGCGCGGCCTCAAACCACCCTCCCCCCCCACATGGCATGTTGCGCGGCGCGGCTGACCATCTCTGGACCCAGGCTCAGGCTCGCCCACGCGATGCTGGGTTGAAACGAGGCTGGCATGCATTGCACGCCTGTCCTTGCACGTCATCGCGTCGCTTCGCATTGTCCACGAGGCGGATGTCCAATTATGACGTATCAGCAAACCCCCTCATTCATTGCACACAACCAATGCCGAGCCTGTGAAGTCGATATTTGCAGCTCCGGGTCTCTTGATCTTGCCAGTGAGAGCCCCATAGCTTCGGCATGTGATTTCAAGGCGTCTGTGCATCATGTCTGATTGCAGTGGCATGTGCTCGGGTTGAATGCCAACATAATGGACAAAGCTGAGAAGACGCCCACAGGGCTCAATGACTTTTCACAGTGTTCATACCGACAGCATGCGGATTTCAAGACACAATTGCTATTGCACCGCATATTGATCACTGTTGCAACGCCGATGAATGCATGTCGTCCGTAGTCTACATGAAAGATAAAGTGGAACACCCTTCGGGGCGCTAAGATGGAATGCAATTCGTGGTGTTGCCAAGCAATACGCCGCGGCTCCGCCTCTACACAGACTTCATCTCGCCAGGAATCCAGAAATTGACGCTTCAAATGCTAGATGAGACTTGGGCCCGTTACCGGTTGGCCTTGACCCCAGCAGGCAGCCTCTTGTCCATGTCGTTCAAAAGTCCCTGCACATAGTTGACCAGTGCCTTGCGCTTGGCACGGATATCCGGATCGCCACCGGTGTCGACCTCGTCCAATTTCAAGATGACGTGCTGGAGCACCGTCTCACTAATCTTGCGATGCTCATCCTCGCATTTCTTGGGGTCTCTCGGGGGGTCTGCCATGAATGACCGACACAGCGGCGCCAGCTCCGACTCGAAATGGTTGCGGATGGCATCCAATTGCGCCACAGCTCCAGAGGGAACCGAGGGCGAAGGGACCCTCGAGGGATGCCTTGAAGGAGCTCCCGAGGTCGACTCTGCAGCTGAGCCTGGAATGTCCAGGTTTGAGCCAGCAGACGGCTCCTCGTCTCGCTGAGATTTGGAGCTCTTCTTCTTCTTGTTTCCAGACTTCCCCTTCTTCTTCTTGCGCCGCTGTTGCTGTTGCTGGTCTCTAGGGTCTTTCACAATAACCTCTTCCTCGCTACTGTCACTCTCGTCGTCGGTGGCGCCACTGTCGGGGATGACGAGCAGCAATTCGCTGTTGTTCTTGACACCATATGTGCGGATCGGCACCTCCAGCTCCTTCAACTGCCGGCCCTTGTAGTACAGTCGTATCCTCGATGTCTGGGCGCGGCTAAGCTCCAGCACCAGCCCTACACGGTCTCTGACATCTCTGACGTAAAGCTTGCCGTCGCCGATGGAGAATGCCGGGAAGTGAATGGGATAGATCACCGCCTCCGACTTGACAAGCAGCACGTCGTCCTCTTCTCTGCCGTTGGATGACTCGGCATGGCGTCCGCGCGAGTCGAGCGATCTCTCGAGGTCTTCGGAGGTGATGTAGCTGAAGTCGTCCTCGGTGACGTAAGGACCACGTGAGTCGGGCTGGGACGCAAAGGGAGACAGGTCGCTCCGGCCTGGGTAGAAGTATCGAGACATGCCGATGGGAAGAGCGAGGGCAGCACAGGCTAGCGTGGAGTAGACAATGGTGGGGGAGATGCCCTGGGCTTCGAGAAACTCGCTTGAGCCGGCAAGCGTGTCGGAGAGGCGGCCGATGGTTGCGTCGACGTAGGGCACCAGCGCAGGCGGGAGGAGTGCGGTGATGTTCTGGAGGGCACCAGAGGATGCCAGGATTGCCTGACTGGAAGCCACCTTGGCGTGGGTATGGGCAAGTCCTTGTGCAAGGACGCCCGACTACACTTTGATGATGTGGTGTGTTGTGCGAGCGTAGTGGGCGATGTCTGAAGGGCAGACAGGGGGGCTCTCTGTTGTCGAGCTGGGGCTGTATCCACCACGACGGCAGGCGAATCGTGATGTGACGGGCGGCTTCGACGACTGCAGGCAGCCGAAGGGTCGATGATGCTAGCGCGCCCCGAGAACAAGGCCAGAAGGGCAGAGAAGCGCAGGTATTGGGGTGCCTGAAGCAGGTGGAGGCGGGGATGATGCTTTTTTCCTCGCAGGGTGAAGTGTCGTGGGGCCCAGTCGGTGACAACGTGGTTGGTTTGCGGGCAGGTGTCTGACGCGCTAAGCAGGAGCCGAGTTGGCAGGCAGGCCAGGCGTCAGGCTGCTCACCTCAAGGCGAGCAATCAGCCCCGTCGGGAGTAGGGTGGATCGGAGACCGGTAGGCTGCGGAATGAGTTGCTGGCTCACTGCTGATTGGCAACAACAATAACAACAACGAGCAGTAAGCAAAAAAGAGTCCAGCGGTGGGATGATGGACTGGTTGGGTAGGCTGTCAAGACGCAACGCAGGGCAGCGATCCCGGCGGGATGGGCACTCTTGCGACTAGGCCAGGCCAATACCCTGAGCAAGCAATCTCAGGGACCTCTGCCCCTGCACCCCTATTGTCTTAGATTGCCATGCGTAGCTTAAGGCAAGGAAAAAGCTACCATCGGCTTTCAGACTTCCTAGCTTGCTGACAGCCACGCGCAGGAGCTGTCATCCAAGGATCCTGCCAGACTGACCCAGCAGCTTCAGAAGACCGCTGCAGGGAGCACTTGACCGCATCAAGTTGGCTCCCCCAGAAGGACCAGTCGCTGACTAAGGCCTGCGTTGCAAGTGATGAGCTTCGCAAGCAAGACATGGCGTCATCGTGGAGCTGCAGACAGCTTCTCATCTTCCTCGGTCGTCCACGGCCCTGATGACAGCGCGAGGGGGCTTGGGCAATTGATCCCGAAGCGTCTGAAAGAAAGTATTTGGAATATCTGACTTGGCTTGCTGAGATAGGTAATGCAAGCCTGTGGCGTCGCCGCCGGCGTGCACCGCCATGCTGATGAACGACTGCTTTGAAATCATGAGAGTCGCATTACAAGGGTGGCGTGCGGGAGTGAGTGCGGGCGCACAGCTCAAGGCCGGCTCCACACGGCCGATTGCGCGAGCGCCGCTGCGCTTGCATCACTGGTTCGGCGGCCGGGTCAAGGTAATCGCCCTTGCAGCAGACTCTACTGTACGCCTCATAAACCCCCACCTCTGCCCGCCATCCCCCATATCAACAACGCCTGCCGCATTCGCCAACTCGTAGACAATCGACTGTCTCTCTTCTTCACATTCACAACTCTATGTCCCTCTTCCGCAGACTGTTCCACTCAGTCTCACCCGAAGCCATGTCTGCCGCCAAGACCAAGACCCAGCAGATCATCGACAGCAACCCTGTTGGTACGTCACCAAATTCGTCTCGTCCGTGGACGCCCTCGGCCAAGCTGCGCGCATTCTCTCTTGCAGCAGCACCGTTCGAGGCGGATTATCTTCTTTGTCTGGCAACCACGCAGTCTTGCTAACCTCTCTCTGCCACTATGACAGCCGTCTTCTCCAAGTCCTACTGCCCCTACTGCAAGGCGACCAAGGACCTGCTCGACAGCACCGGCGCAAAGTACTTCCTCCTCGAGCTCGACCAGGTAGACGACGGCAGCGCCATCCAGGACGCTCTCCAGGAGATCAGCGGCCAGCGCACCGTCCCCAACGTCTACATTGCCCAGCAGCACATTGGTGGCAACTCGGATCTCCAGGCCAAGAAGAGCCAGCTCAAGAGCCTCCTCACAGATGCCGGTGCTTTGTGACTGGTTGACGGCGGTAACAAGGAGGAGAGGGTTGCACGGACAAAGTTATAGTCGCCGGTAGACCTGGGGCCCTGCGGCAATCCCTAGAGGTTGCGAATTCTCGCCAGAATGCGGGGAGCCCCAGTTTGTCGATAAATTCTAGACAGCAAGCACAACTCTATGATTGTTTAGCTGGGCTTTTTCACTTTGGCGAGTAATTGAGCGTGACGAGACGGTCAAATGTAGCATTGACAGATGTCCGACCTTGTGGATGGATCTCTTGATACTTGTTTTGGTGAACTTGCGATTTTTGCGGAATGTGCATGATGAGCATTGTCCCCCGCAATACCTGGTTTTATGGACGGAGCACAAAGATCAAGCCACTGCGACTGCACGGTGTGGAAGTACTGGTTTCTCCGCAAAAAAGGGTGGTCCTCGTGGTGTATGTGCTGACGCTGTGGGCTTGAAAGACTAGGCGTGGTGTATCAGATGAATGCTGCACTTCGCAGGACTACCAAACAGTTTGTTTTAGAAATCTTGACTGTTGGCACTCGCATGTGATTGTAGTTCGGCAAGAGCAGCTTCGGCAGTTTTTTTCGAATTTTTTAGAATATTTTTCGGAATTTTCGTTCTTTTTCAGTATTTTACTTGGGTTGGAAAAGTTCCGTTATATCACGCATGCGGAAATTCCGATGAGTATTTTGTTCGTCGCGGAAGCAATCTAACGGCATAGTTATCTGAACCCAACTGCAGAAAAGGCATTCGACAATAAAAGAAAGGTGGCGGTGTTGTCGTTAGAAGTGCATGGCTGTGTCTCTGTCCCAAAGTATAGTTCCTTGAATGGACTGCAGCTGCAGTCCACTCGTGCGATCTGAAGGATATGTCAGGTCGCACTTTTCATTACTGCAGCCTCTGATTGAGGAAGGGGAACAGTTCCCCTTGGAAAATTTAGCAGCATTGACCATGGGTCTGTTTATCATCTCATACATGAGCATGCCTCTTGCCACTCTCTCGTCCGTGCAATCTGCACTCTAGCGTGCAGCAACCACACTATCGGAGCCACCATGTTGATATTCTGTCTTGCAGTGAGAGAAGGGAACTCCGTATTGCCGCTTGCATTTTCGCGTGCACCACCGGAACATACTAAACGTGTGGGAAGTAAGGGATTAATGATTGTGACCTGATTGTACTTTGTTTGATCTGCCATGAAGGCGTACAGAGCCTGGCTTCTGATGGGCTGATAGGCAATACAAGCAACAAGTATGAACAATGCCGACAAATAGCGCCTTCATGACTGCAGAGCTCGCCGCGGAGTTATGTTTCCTAGCCGCGGAGCCTAGCCCCTTGAGCACATATCCAGGAGCAAAGGAATGTCTGCCTGAACCAGAGATGCCCGTCCGCAGCAAGGGGTCCTTCCGCACCTACGGGTCCCGCTGCTGCCGGTGGTGGTGGCGAGCAACACAAAACCAGGGCAAGCAAACAACCAGATAACCTCAATCAAGTGCGACCTTGCGAAACATGTTCGTGCCTTTTCCTTTTGGAGCCCCCTTTACCGCGTCTGACCTGAGGCACCTCATCCATGGCTCTCGACCGTTCATACTTAACCCGCCTGGGTCTCCCTTTCCTCCCAGGATGAATGGCTACACTCCTTCCGTTGTCGATTCTTCTGTCGTCCTCGAACTCTGGCTGGCCTTTTCAGCTCCCTTCCCCGCGAAGACAAGCCGACGCGCGAAGACCGGGCGAGCGGTGCACAGAAGCTCACTCGATCGCAGACGGCAAGAATTCTGAATTCGCTACCACCTTGACTTGTCCACACAGCATCCTTTTCAAATCGGCAAACAGACCTACATCGAGCAGTACAGTGCCATGATGTACACCGATCCAATGACGCTCAAGATGACATTGGTCGGAGCGGAAGATGATCTCCAGGCACAAGAGAGCCCTTCGCGAGCTGGAGATGAAGAGCTGTCTCCAGTGTGGGAATCCTCTCCCACTATGAGTCGTTGCGTGCTGATACTGAAACTGACCTAAGGATTTGTAGCCGCCATATGTATTCGTGGTTCGACACTGTCCCGGCTCATTGGCGATTTGGCGTCTTTCGCAGCAGCACGTAAGCAAGACTCTACAGGACTCTAATCACACTCATGGCCGATGCTGATCAGAGCGGACACGTTACCAGAAGCTTTTCAGGTGTACTTGCACATCCTCCCAACGAGGTTCCTTACGATCAACCATCGGGCAGCGAACCTGCCCAAGCCACCATTGTTATCGACCACGCGAGTCCGAATCCAGATCCGACCAACAATGGTCTGGATCCAGCTGCAAATGTTACAGTCAACACGGAGGTCATAAAGGCTTGATGGAAAAGTCAAGTGAGGAGTAAGATGTTAACCACGGATGTGTGGTTCCGCCTTTGGTGGAAGGAACGGCAAAATTCATACAGCGGGAGCTGCGATGCTTGCGTTATGGCCATGTTCGACAATGCCAGTGTGTCAGCGAATCACTGATGGCGTGCTTCTGAAGTTTCACAGATACATTCTCAAAGTGCCCGTTTTCCAGCTTGTCAGTTAAGGACTTGAAGAAGTCCAAAAGCCCACAAGGGAATGGTGATTGCAGATGATGCAAAACAGAGAGTATTATGTCATAACAATTGACATTGACGATTGTGGTTGCTTGGAAGGCTGGGCTGGCCAAACCCACCCGAGGGCGTGAGGTTGAACGAGTCGTACGTAGAAGTAATGGATCGATAATTTGGTATTCATCCACTTACAAGCTCCTAAAATGGACTTTCATGTCTGGCCTAAGCCACGGCGCATGTATTGTTCACCAACTTTCTACGGTTGGTGGAGTGGGGTCCAGGCACCGTGTGGAGTGCGTCTCACTAATGCTGGATTACTGTCCTAGGCAAGCTCTTATCTGCTGTTCGACGTCAATTAGCGGTGCCTCGATGTGATGAAGCTCATCAACGAAGACGTGAGCCTGCACGCTGCAGCTTCCAAAACTTCGCGACACGCGAGCATCAGCACCTCGCGCCTCCCAGCAGCGCAGCCTAGGTACAGGAGAGTCCTCAAGCTTCAAGTAGCACCACGACGAACCTACGACCTTCCCAGGCAGCCTTTACTTGCCTTCGATTCCCGCTAGGGTCATCGAATCACATTGCGATCACGCCTGAGCAACGACCGCGGCTCCTCGAGCAGATCTTCTTTCACGCCCGAATCGACACCTCACCACAGCACCATGGCATCTGAAGACGCCAGGTACCGGCAGACCAGCCAGTACAGGCTATGGTCGTTCTCACCTGCTCAACTAGCCTCTGTCCGTGAGCAAACCAACTCGCTCGCCCGCACAAACATCACAAACCGCCTCAAGGCCTCCTCACCACCCGTCGACCCGCTGCCCGACTTCCTCACGCCCGACGAAGAGCTGACACTGCTCACCTTCTACACGGTCGAGACGCTGCGCGCCGCGACGCACTTCAAGCTGTCTACCGACATCCGCGCAACGGCGGCCATCTTCCTGCGGCGCTTCTACACGACCAACTCGATCATGACATATCCACCGACCGAACTGCTCAAGACGTGCGTCTTCTTCGCTTGCAAGGCCGAGGGCCACTTCATGCGCCTGCAGAAGTTTGTCGACGAGCTGCCCAACACCACTGGCGAGTCTGTGCTTGCCGCGGAATACGTGCTTTGCCAGGCGATCCGCTTCGCATTTGATGTCAAGCACCCTTTCCGGGCCCTGGATGGAGCCATCATGGAGCTTCGCCGGTATGCCATCTTCGCCGAGGACAGGTTGAATCACGCACACATGAATGCTCGTGGCATTCTCAAGTTCAGCCCGCTAGTCACGGACGCGTATTGCCATTTCACACCGAGCCAGATCATGTTTGGTGCTCTGGCCATTACGGATCGCGAGCTCGTGGAGTACATGATGAACCAAGTAATGAGCGGCCAGAGCGACGACGAGAAGGAGAAGGTGTGGACGGTCATCAGTCAATGTGTAGAAACATTGCAAAAAGAACCTCCTGAGCGATTCGAGAATTACTACCGCTCGGTATGTTGACTCCTGAGAGAACAAAGGCGCAGGCGTAAGTGCTAATGAGACAACTTGTGTACAGCCAGAATGCAGCAAGGCCATGAAGCCTCTGATACGCAAGCTCAAGAAGTGCCGCGACCCAGACCGGGTAGATCTTGTCGCACTCCAGAGAGCTCGCAAGGAGCAGGGCATGCAGAAGCCGAAGCCCAAACCAGCCGCAAAAGCAGACGGCGACGTCTTTGGCAGCGCGCTGTCAGAGAAGGATCGTGAGGCGAAGCGACGCCGGGTCGTGGAGAACGGCAAAGGAGTTTCGCAGTCCAATGATCCCTTTGGCGGCGCTCTATGAGATGTTCTCGTTCCTATTGACGCTCGAGTAGCTATCTCACGCCATGAGCGAGCTCGTCGACCCTCACGCGTCACTGGAGACGCGAGTCGTCCAACTAGACCGAGGTTGGGAAGTACAACCGTCGATCCACTCTCAGCTGACACTTCAACCACGGCTGAGGCTGCGACGAGCCGTATTGTCGCAGGAATCCCCTATCTGCCTTTCCGGGGGTGGGGCCGTGCTAAGGCCAGTCTTTCGGGTCAAAACCACCACATCTTGCGAGTCGCCCTGAATATGCTCCTTGCTCGTGCTCGTGGACAGAATGGTTGTAGCACGAGACTCATCGGAGTCCCAACGGCAGCTGGCTGAGTATAGCCGAATAATCGGGCTGAACGCCACGAACTCGAGACTTTCGCTGATTGATCCAGCCTCCAAGCAAATTCAGCTCGTGTTCGAGAGTACTTCACTGGCTCTTTGCCGCCACAGCATTGACTTCACAATCGGCTGGTCGAAGGAAGCGGGATTCCGGATGAAGCTTCACGCAGCGAGACATGGGAGGGCGCGAGGAAGACCATAGAGATGGACAGGTCGCCGTCCAGATCATCCGCAGAACAAGCATGACACGCGCGTCTGCGTTAACATGGGACAAAGCCGCTAATTGAGCTGGCGTCGAGCAGTCCAAGACGAGCGTCTCGCGGTGCTTGGCCGATTTCCTCATCTGGCAGTCGCACGCGGTCCCCTGGTGCCCTGTGCGTGGAAGTGGAGCCCACACACAGCCGCCTTGCCTTGTGCCGCACCGCGCAACGAGGACGACGCCCCAAGGCGCCAGCCGTCGGCCTAGCCGACCACACCAGCCTGCCAGGCACGTTTGATATCCTCCGACCCAGGCGCCATTCGGCGAGCGGGCCTTAGACCACCCCTGTCATCGTCCTGGCCCCTAGGCAGTCCTAGCTCACCGAAGCGACGCCGGCAGACGGCTCGTTCCTGGAGCAACTTCACGTCTGGCCACTGACCACTCTTCATAACGTAAGATTTACTGCAAAGTCGAACCACAACTATCCACACGGTCAACCGGACCACAAGATCTCCGGTGTCTTCCCTTTACTCCAGATGAGCACGAACCCCATGGTCCACATGAGCTTCGCAATCTGGGGTTCAATCTGGGGTCGCATTCCGTGGACATGGAGTTAGACGCAGCTGGCACGCGAGTAACGTGCCTAGGCTGGGCATGTCTTCTAGAAGCGGGCGGCAGAGGTCTCATTAGGCTTGCAGGGGCGGCGGCAGTAGGGGCGCACTCACTGCAGCTTCTGTGGGCCGGACCAGTGCCGTGTGTGTGCCGAAGCCCGCTCCGTCAGTCGAGGCGACGATCAGCCTCAGGCTCGGGCTGCTCAAAGAGATAGTGGCTAATTGGGGGCAGTCATGCAAGGCAGCCAGCCGGGCACGGGCTGCTAGATAGGAGCGATCTCGGGAGTCAAAATGCTAGCTTGCAGGCACCGTTTTGTGGGCCGCCTCACCATCCACAACCTTGCCATGTGCTTGTTAGCCAGAGCATGCACGGACACGTTTGGTTTTCTTATCGAGATGAGGAAATGCCCAGAAGAGGTGTGACAACGTAGCTGAGAATAGACAGCCACGCCGCTATGACTCGTCTGCGCCAGCCCTGCTTGGTAGATGCGACACAAGAGAGATTTGCTTGGAAAAGCTTCGCACGTGAGGAGCTTTTGCTGAGCATATGAGACTGAGATGGTAAAATCCAAACCCGGAGCCGAACGGAACAGTCGCGGTTCGGGCGCAACTGTGTGAGGAGGATGTGTCTGGGGAAGCTTGCGTCATGGTTCCGTGGCTATGCGGATCCCACGACTTCGTGGGTTAATTAATTGCTAGGGAAGACAAGTTCGAAGAGATAGAGATAGAGCCTGAAGATGGAGGTGAAGGTCCTTACCCCAAGGAGGAAGTCCCATCCAGAATGCCATATGATCCAAGACAATCATACAGCTGCAGTGCTGCTTGAGCTGAGTCTTTTCGGAGGCTTGCCAGACGTGTCGGAGGCTGATCCGGCTTTGGTCGGTGATCCGGTGCGTTCCTCAAGTATGCAGTGTATGTGCGGTCTACCGGTAGAGCGGGTTAATGCCTGGCCAGCCCCTTGGCAATGATGCCAACAAGGACAGGTACAGCCGAGACGGGTTGCTGATTGGTCCCACCAGCAGCTAAGCAGTCGATCAGCCACGTTTTGCTTGGCCCGGCGAACCATGGGCCAGTCCTGGACTGTGAGCCAGGTCGGTTATCGGCCGGTCTTGGCGAGAGCCACGCGCTGATGAAACGTTGTTTCCTGGATGATGATGATGATGCTGCTGCTGCTGCTGCTGATCCCCACTTCCCCAAATGTTGCCGAGTGGTGGGTAGTGTGGCCACCACCCTTGTTCTTCGTTATCGAGGCGAGGGGCGGCTCTTGACTCGCTGGGGCGGCCTGCGGGCTTGACATAGCATCAGCGTTATCTTTTCCTTTCCGGGCACCTTTTGCCCGTAAACAGGACAGCGACAGCGCAGCACAGCACTGTGACGCCGCCGTTGCAGGAAACTGGTGCGACCCCAGCTCGCAGGCCTGTCCTTCCCATTAATGATTCACATCACCAGTCTGGTCTGGTGGTTGCGCCCGCCCGACTCATAGCTGGTTAACGTATTTTGGACAAAGGACTGGTTCTGATGGTCACCGTGTCGCACTGCGCTTCTCCTGGTCCCCGGAATTTGGCGTCCTGCTTCGTGGGGCCAGGGGCCTGCTGTTTCTCCAAAATCGCGCCCCCCCTTCTCGCAGCGTTTCTCCCATTAGGATGCCAGTAGAGCTTAGCCAGGTCTTGGCTGCTAGACAAGCCCCCCCGAACCCCCAAAGAAAGGCGAAGTCTCCAGCGGCCCCACCAGATGCTGGGCCCGGGATCGACCAGCAATCGTGCGGCCATGATACGGACGGGCACTTGTTATCTGCTGGCCCCATGTCATACGTGTGAGTGAAGGCAAAACAGGGGAGCTCTCTTGGTCGCTTGTAAGCGAGTCGTGTCCCGGGCGGGAATCCCTTGACGGAGTTGGAGGTCGGGGTGTCTGCTGCACCTTGGGTGTGTGTGCGTGCAAGCATATATGAAGCCATGATCGCCGCAATCTTTGTGCTTCGTTATCTTGGGGCCTTGTCTCTTCGTCTTTCTTTTTCGCCAAGTCCCTCCCGTATTTTCGACAGCGTGGTCTTGCGTTCATGAGCAGTCTGGCTCATTGCTCGGCCTTTGTCGTTATTAGACCCCGACTTATACGACCCCTCGTCCACGTCGACATCTGCACAGGGAATTACGACAGCAACATTTAAATACAAAAGTCGCCCACCATGTCGGGTGAGAAAGAGCTCGGGCTCCGGTCGTCGCAGAGCGACCAGGATGCTGCCGCTGGGACAGCCGTCTTCACCACATCCGAGGGTGTCCTCGAGACCAAGAGAGGTCTGAGCCCTCGTCATGTGCAGCTTATGGCCATTGGTGGCTCCATTGGTGTCGGCCTCTGGGTATGTTGTCCGGGCGTGTGGTTGGCTCTATTGGCGTAAGAAAAACAAAGACTAACCGGAGCGCTGCGCTTGTCAACAGGTCGGTGTCGGCGGTGTTCTCAGCAAGGCTGGGCCTCTGTCTCTGGTCCTCGGATACATGTTCTGGGGCCTGCTCTTCGTCTGGCCTCTGAACTTGTGCGTCGCCGAGATGTGCGCCTACCTCCCGATCCGCGGATCCATCTTCGAACTTGCCTCCCGCTATGTTGACCCGGCTCTCGGTTTCGCCATGGGCTGGACGTATTTCTTCGCCGGAACCATGCTCGTCTGCGTGGAATATTCCGCCGTGTCGACCGTTATTCAGTACTGGAACGCAGACATCAACCCGGCCGCCTGGATCGCGCTCGCCATGGTCTCGTGCGTCGCCGTCAACGTCATCGCCGTCAAGTTTTATGGCGAGTCCGAGTTCATCATGGCCTCGTTCAAGGTCATTCTGCTCTTTGGACTCTGCTTCCTGACGCTAATCACCATGTCGGGTGGCAACCCCAGGCACGACGCTTACGGGTTCCGCAACTGGGGCAACGGCGACTTCATGCACCCGTACTACACAACCGGCTCGACCGGACGCTTCCTCGCATGGTGGGAAGTCGTTATTTACGCGGCCTTTACGATCGCGGGACCGGATATGATTGCCTTGGCCGCTGGTGAAATTCAGAACCCTCGCCGGACGATTCCCCGTGTCGCGAAGCTCGTCTTCTACCGCCTTGTGGGATTCTACGTTGTCGGCGTCCTCTGCGTCGGCATCATCTGCTCCTCGACGGATCCTGGCCTCCTCGGTGCCATCAAGAGCGGAGAGCCCGGCGCTGGTGCCAGTCCTTGGGTCATCGGCATCAAGAACCTGGGTATCGAGGGGCTGCCGTCCGTCATCAACGCGGCGATCCTGCTCAGCGGATGGAGCTGCGGTAATGCCTACTTGTACTCTGCGAGCAGAACTCTCTATGGTCTCGCCAAAGGTTAGTGAAAAAATTCCCAAAAGAATTGAAGCGCTGGGGCTGCCGAAGAAAAAACGAAAAAGAAGAAAGACAACCCCGGATGCGACTCTACCACCCACCCATCAGAACGCCCTCCCCCAGAGCAATTTGCAGGAACTAACATTCTCTCTCTACCCAAATTCACAGATGGCCAAGCTCCCAAGATCTTCCTCAAGTGCACAAAGGCGGGCGTCCCGATCTGGTGCGTGCTCGCCGTGTCCCTGATCACGTGCATCTCGTTCCTGGTGGCCGACAACAACTCGAGCGAGGTGTTTTTCTGGTTCGTCGACCTGACCACGACGGCGCTCATCATGACCTACACCATGATGTACATTGCCTATGTCGGGTGGTACCGCGCCCGCACCGCGCAGGGCATGGACCCGGCCAGCCTTCCCTACCGCGCCCCCTGGGCCCCTTACACGGCGTACGGCGGCCTGAGCCTGGGCGTGCTGCTGCTCATCTTTGTGGGCTGGAACTCGTTTGTGCCCTGGGACACGCGCGACTTTGTGACCAACTACTTTGGCGTGGCATGGGGCGTCTTCATGTTCGTCCTGTGGAAGGTCCTCAAGAAGACCAAGATGGTGAGCCCCGCGGAGGCCGACCTCATCTCGGGCAAGGCCGAGATCGACGAGGAGTGCAGGCACTGGGAGGAGGGCGGCATCGAGGAGAACGAGAAGAAGAGGCTCGCGCAGATGTCGTTTGTCCGGAGATGCTGGGAGCGCATCTGGTAAAAGATGTGTGTTTCCTCTTGGTTACAAAAGAAGGCGGCATGCGGCTATTCCAGTTCGGAAAATGGGTTTGCAATTGGCTAGGAAGGGGCATTTTTTTGCGATTGCCGATGTTCTAGACTACCAGCTGTCTCATTGTCATGCAGGAAATAATCTCACTCAGATAAGCTTGTGTTTCTCGTTCTGTGCTTGTTCTCTCTTGTCCAGCTTGGTATTCTGATGTGGCGGACCAGGCCAGCTGTTTCTATGATGCCTCTGGAATTCTGGCGTCTTAACAGCTGTTCCACCCAAGTCCCAGCGGGCAGACTGTGCCCAATTTATGAAGTTGTATGTATTTGTTCGAGTCAGAGGTATCAGAGGTATCAGATGCCCGTTCGGTACATGGGGAAAATCTCCCCACTGAAACAAAAGGTGCGGGGAGAAGGCGGAGTTCCGGGGCACAGTCAAGCAAAGTGGTTTTCACACGGAGTGCAACATGACAAGGGCGTCTCGTCTTGCTTGTGAAAATGCGCGCGAGAGCGAAATCTGTGGTTCGATGCTTACCTGAAAGTCGGCTTGTCTAGTATCCACACTTTGGAGGCCGCACGAGAAGTAACACCGCATCATGAACAAAGTTGTCCTTGCAGTAGTGCAATACGTGTCTCTGACGATCACCGTTAAGCATTTCTACCCGAGCGGAACGGGCTTGTCTCACCCGAAGCATCTTCTGCATACATATAGTCGGTCGTTCCGCGATTTTGCGGATCAAATGAGACCAGCCTCCAGGATCCGCAGTATTGAATGGGTGCTAAAAACTCAGGGGTGGGGTAGGTACTACGTAGAGGGAGCCCAGATTCAAAGGGGCGGGCCCTCAGGCTAGGACGTAGTTGCGGGAGCCTTGATATGCGCGAATTCGTGAAATCACGTTGAATAGCGGACACAGGTAGTGTTGTGGAAGCAATCAGTAGCTTGATCCGCAGAATTGCGTTACGATTGAACCTGGTGCCCTCGAACCGGGCAAATGACGTGGGAATATTGCTCCCCAGCGGTCTCGTCGTACATGGCGAACGCCACATTGTAGCCTCGTGATGGCGAAAGATTTTGGATGTTTCAGTATGGGCTGCTTACTCTGGAGGGGGCGCCAAGTTTGATGCAGAAATGGTGGCGGTGGCACGCACGGGTGCATGCAGTGTGACCACCAATATTATCTGACGAGCCGCATGAGGAGGGCCCGCAGCGTGACGAGGATTGGCGTGCGTTAAGCGAATGGCGGACGGGGGGGCTTTTCAGCCTGGTGGCAGTGAGCGTGCAGCGTGCAGCGTGCAGAGCCAAAGCAAGGTGTCGCGATGCTCTTGACATTGCCGGGCCGATCCGGAAAGGCTCCCACGAACAGTCCTCACATGAGAGCTCGAAGTACCTCAAGCTCCGTAATCAAGATTGCTGAATACAGGAAGCTTCCGAGACAGTTGGGAGGGCTCTTAGTCAGGTCCCGTCCCAGGCACTCCCGGGGACTGGAGCCTGGAGGTGTCACAATTGCCGTTCCCCACCACCTCCTCTCCCCAGTAGCTCGCCGCGCCGTTGGGCTCCCGGTCGTAACCCCAGCCGACGAGCACCAATCAAACGAGGTCCTAAGCCCTGGGGGCACGCTGCAGCTTGCAGTTGGTATGTCTTACGGGTGTCTTCTAGGCGCTCCTTCCCGGCCGAGGGGCTGCCCAGAGGACGCTCGCCGCAAGGTTCCAAGGTTGCCAGCCGGTGGCGGGCAGCCACTTCACCTCATCTCGAAGCAGCGACCGCCATGCAATTTCCAGCCCCCCCAGCAGCCACGATGCGCCCTCATTCAGCCTTCCCATGTTCTAGGCCCCCAACTGGGGTGGCACGGAGCTTCTGCTCGCCCAGACACCTCAGCTAACCATGTCCGCCCCCAAGGATCGCCCGGCCTCATCCCTGCCTCAGCCCTGCCACCTCCCGTCTTATCGCCCCAGCACGCTCCCCGTCCCTCAAGCCACCTCCCATCCCAGGGGTCTCTGCCGGAGCCAGCGCCTGCCGTCCCCAGACGCTCTCCTCCTCAGCCCGTCGCACACGGCTCTCCTCTGCCCGTCCATCCTCCTCGCATCACGAGAGGACGACACGACATGTCTCGATGCTGCATCCTCCAACCCGCCTGCGTCTTTTGATTGAGCCTGGGCACAAAGACTCGGATCCCGTGCGCCACTCATGATGGCGACCGACATCAGACTTTTCACCCGCCGGCCGCGGAGCGTCCTCTCGCCTCGCGATGAAGGCGAGCACGTCGTCCTGGCCGACTGCAGGACAAAGGACCTGGTCTACTCCTCACAGATGGCCTACTTCAACACCACCTTAGACAACAGTCCCGAGGACATTGCCGTCGTCAAGACAGCCCAGGGACAGACCGCCGTCTGGTTTGGCCAGTCCACCAGCGCCCTCTTCACCGCCACCGGCACCACCTTCAAGGCCGTCCTCAACGGAACGGCAGAGGATGGCGATTTCGTGGGCACCGGCGACAATGGCTACGGCACCTTCTACTGCTACCAGAACTTCTACCAGGACCAGTACATGTACGGCGACTCGACTTGCAACATGGTGGTGGACTGCAATCATAGAGTACCTTGTAAGTACAGTGTGCCCGCCTGGCAGCCACGTCATGCCATATATCTGTGATTGTCCTCTGCATGGCGTCCCCACGACCGTTTCTATATTCTGTCCTGCTCTCTGGAGCTTCTCGGCTGGATCAGGCATGCTGGATGGAGACTGACGAACCGAGGCAGCTGCAACGCCAACCCCTTCTCCATCAACTACTTCATCGAATGCTTTATCTACACCAGCCATCATTGGCATCAGCGTTGGTGCTGGTGTTGCCTGCATATTGCTCGCGCTTGCATCGGGCTACTTTCTGTGGAGACACTATCGTCCCAAGCCCAATGCGCCCACGTCAGCGCAGGATGCGGAGCGCGCAGACCATGGGCACACAACCGGCCATGAGGAGCCGAAGCCAGCCGACAAAGATACGCCGGCTCAGATCCACGAGCTGGCGGCGTATCCTCAAGACAATGAGCCAGCCTACAGCCCAGCAACCGAGATTGACGGCGTGGCAAGGGCAGAAGTGGAGTTCCAACCTGAGAGATTTAGCTTTGGGGATGGAGGCACGAACGACTTTTCAGGGTTTCGGCCTCCCCAAATCCACGAGACGAGCCCAGTACTCGACAAGCTTGACAAGCTCGACAAGTTCGACAAACCAAAAGCGGATGACTAAGCGACAAGCCTTGACGCACGGCGCCGTGGCATTTCCGCCCATGACGCTATTTGGCACGCATATCTAGCATACCCCAGGAACCAGATGACCAGAAAATCCATGACCGAAGCCCCAGACGCGAATCTGAGACTAGCGGGCACACAGCCCGGGAGACAAAATGTCTCAGTTCCCCAGGAAGGGACCATTCTTTCAACGGAGACGCAGACGAGCACGTGAACAGGCCGCGCGCTTCGGGCGGCGGCCGAGTGCTGAGCAGAGCACAGAGTGCATCATGGGACAGTACCTAACTCACGTTGCACAGCGCTCATGCAACTTTTCGCTTCGTGGGCCTCCCAGACGAAAGCGATGCCGACACGCATATTAGTGTCCGGGTGGATCCGGGCACACGCGGCTCTTCGCAAGGGAGGCTGAGACAAACGCAACGACGATCCAGCCAGGGACAGGATTGATGACACTATTGAATCGTACCATCCCGACTCCGTCCATCGGTGGGCCAGTTTCCCGAATTACCTCTCGTTCACGCCAAATATGTCCGCATGCACATCAAGCATGGGAATGAGGCCGGATCTATGCCGCGCTGGTGACGCGGCTTGGCGTGCGTATGTACATTCCAAAACAGCCATGTCTTCTATGTGATTTTCCATTGGGAAGGGGGGGGGAGGCTATTGTAATTCTTAGTGATGGATGATGGGGAGTAGCTTGTTGTATGCTGCTCAGCTTGGATACACCGAAGGTCCATGGCAGCGATCGACAATGCACAATAGCGTGCGTGTGGCTCTCTGGCGCCCTTGGCAGGACCCATTCCTAAGGGAAGGGAGGGCAGTGATATAAGAACGACAAGTCTTGGTGAAATGGGGGAGCGGGTTTTGGAAACTCGGCCGTTAGTCGTATACAACGCAATCACAAAACACTCCTTCTCGCTCCTGAATAACACGGCAGATTGAAAATATCTCCTGGACAGTGAAGCGTCTGATCGACGAGAACTGCCTTGCCAGAAATCTTCACCCTCAAGATCCTTGCAGATTTATCTGCCAACATTTGTCGGCGAAGCGAAGCGGACGCCCGTACGCAGCAAATTGCCTTGGCGCCCTGAAACAGTCGATTTATTGCAAAGACTTCGGCATGAAGACATCAACACTTTCGCTCATCGCGTGCTCACTGGCGGTGCTTACCACGGTGAGTCCCAAATTTCACGCGATTCATCCCTCCCTCAGGCGCGTGTGGCCATGAAGGACCTGGCGATGGCCGCAATGCACGCACTCATACTGACTACGTACCCAACCCCAATTTGCCGCTCAGGCCGCCGCCGCGGACAATGTCAAGCCTCTCCTCCCGCGGCACAACAAGCTCGATGCCAGCAGCGGCGCCGTATTAGCAGGGATCGTGGCAGACAGCACCCACATCATCCACAACACGGCGATGATGACGGCGACGGGGTCCGAGTACTACGCTGCTGCGGTGGCGTCGACGCTGCTTCTCGCGGGGAGCACGCCGCCGCCAACAACCAGTGAGAAGACGCACGCCGAGACGACATCCTCCGCGGGGGCCAGTCATGGTGGTAGCAGTAGTGGTGGCAGCGCGGGCACGGGCACGATGGGGCATGCGACAAGCATCTCGGGCGCTACTACTACTGCGGCGTCGATGACTGCGACGACCAGGAAGGCCACTACAGGCAGTGAGGGCACCGCGGCGGCTACGACGACGGTGCCCACTGGTGTTGTGCATGCTGGTGCTTCGTCGCTTGGAGGAGGAGGAGGGGGGTGGTGGGCGTTGGGTGTGCTTTTGGCTGCGTTGGCTATTTGAGGGTGGTCGTTTTGCTTGCATGTGCCTTATTCGTTTGATGCTGGGGGATTGGATGGATGGAGATTCTCACCAGGGAGATAGAGACCAGATAACCGTGTCGGGTAAGGAGTCATTAATTACGGCCTTGGTATTTCAGCGCCTCTTGGAAGCGCGGAGGGGAGGGTTGCGAGATGGGATTCTTTTTCGGATGAGGAAACCACGAGATGGCGAGAGAGAGTCACAGTCGGCAAGGCAACCAAAGTCTGCACACTCAGGGAGCAGAGTGGATGGGAAAATGTCACGAGGTTCAGAGTTGATCTGATAAGTCTTTGTACGCAGTATTTTTCTCCATCTCTGTCGTCGCGTCGTTGCGTCTTGTGGCTGCCAGGAGGTTTTAGATAGATTTCTCAGACAGGTCAAGAGGTCAAAAAATGAAGAAATGGAATACAAAGCTTTTCGCGCCGTGTTGCGATGCCACTGCACTACCAGAGATTCCTTTGGCCTGTCAGAGAGATGCGAAATCAAACTCCTTTCGCTGGCAGAGATCTTTGCGACTGCGTCAGGTAGCGGGTGAAGGACTACCGGGTTACAGAACGGGCGTCCACGGTCTGCGGGAGCGAGACGGGATGAGGTGTGTGCGACGTTGTGCGACGCAGAAGTCCCAAAGGTGGATGGATGGATCAAGCTCTGCGAACCGAGATGCGATTGCGCTGAGATGGAACGGAGTTTGGGGTATAATACGGACTCTAAAGTGATGTCAGGTGTGATCGTGGAACCGCTTTGTTCAACAGGGCGAGGAAGGTCTCTCTACCTAAGGTAGGTTGGCACGTAGCTCCAGAGTGTGGTGTGCTAGTGTCGGGCAGCAACTGCTGATTGGCTGTGTGTGGGCGAGGGTTGCCTAATCCGGCTCAAGCTTTTTGTGTTCACGATTTGCACCAGACCAGCAGAGTGACCCTCTGTCGCAGATGCTTCTTGGGGCCTGGAAATAGACATTTGGCCCATCAGATCGTTCTCAGCAGTCAAGCACGCGCGGTGGAAGTGCTGCGGTGGCCCCCTTTCCCGGATAAGATGCAGCGATGCAGCCCTACAGGGCCTTTATCACATGGTGCGTGCCCATTGACAAACAAGAATTGAACTCCGCGTTCCTTGGGCTTCACGGTCCGACTCCGTGCGTGGGTTCAAACACGCACGACGACAATAGGCTTGGAAAAGCCCAAGTGCACGGCTCCCAGCGTCGGAATACGAATGACGTGTTGTCTTCGGCGAAGAGCATTGCAGCACGATAAACCAGACATTTCTAGTTTTGTGATGTTTGCGGAACGAGCAGCGAGGCTGCGCGCACATTATCATGTGACATCTGGTCGACTTGCGACAAACCTTGGAAGTGCTGAGGTATGCCAAGCCGAATTAAACATCGCGGAGAATTCAAAGCCTCGTGGTTTCGGGCAATTTGTGTCTAAGCACACGCGCCAACAGGGCGGCCAGCCTGCCATGCTTGGCGAATGCTTGAGGGCCTGTTATTGCTTGTGGTCTGTGGAGCCTTGACAGCTTCTTTGCCACCGCGCATTGCTCCTAGGTCTGCACCAGTACATGTGATGGTGATTGAAATGGCAGAGGCTATGCGGTTCTTCGCAGTAGATCTCAGATCGCGCTCAGATCAGTTACTCAAAAGGAGCACAGAAGTAGCATCCATGATTTTGTTTCAGCCCCCAGAGCACAGGTTCTGTTCCAACGACCAGTCCACCCGTGGACGCTCCATATAAGCTTGGTTCGGCACCAGGATCGACAGCGCCATCTCGGCCGAGATGGAGGCCATCCGCAGCTTTGTCGGCCAGTTCCTCACCCCGCTGCAGGGGCTCGCCGACGCGGTAAAGATCGCGGGTAATCGCGGTAACCTGCAGGCTGTTGCCTTCGGCACGGTCCTTGCCCAGCTGCTGCCCATCATCCAGACTCTGGTCGGCGCTATCTAGTTTCATAGGGGAAGGCTGTGATATCTAGGACTTGGTTCTAGTCTAGAACAACTTTGTAGGCTGATGTGGAACAAATATATTGCGAAGATTGAGACCTCTAAACATCTAAACCTCTAGATCTCTATATCTCTAAACCTCGGGGAATTATACTACCCAGTCAGTTCAGAAATCCGACCATGCCCTTAGGCTTGCATGGAGTGGCTGCAGACCACGGAAGCGGGGCATCGAGCCATGCCAGCTCTGTTTTTCTCAGGATAGATGAGCGCATGCGGCTTCTGTGCCGCATTGAACGGCTTGATATCCGGGTCCAGGATTGATCTCGTGTGGTTGTGAGCCTCTGGGCTCCGTCCTGATGCAACAATGCCTGGCCCCCACTTGCAGCAGAGGAGACGAATTACGTTCTCTGCCTGGGTTGCGGAGGCGATCCTTCCGGGCTTTTCCTGGCCCTGATCTCGATGAGTTATCGTGTGGCCTTTGTGGTCTTGGGAGTCCTCGTCGGATTCATCAGACTCGGACTCGCCATTGAAGCGCTCATAGAATTTGAACTTGGTCAGGAGCTCCGGAACAGACACGTTGGTGTCGATGATGTCAATGTCTACATGCACGTTGAAGTTTTTGCGTGCTTCAACGTGGCTGGGTCGAGTCTGCCGAGAGTTGCCTTGAAGGTGAAGATGCGGTGATGGTGGCCGACGATTTGGATCGTTTCATTGCGCTTGCTGTATGCGAGGAGGGCGCGAGAGCTGCTGGCATTTTTCCACCGTCCAGCAGAAACGTTTTGTTTCCCTTCGTCTTCACTTGGATCCGTGTCATTGACCTCTGGCAAGAGCGTACTGATTCTGGCTCGTTTGATGGGTCGAGATACAACCTTGTCTTTCTTGTCCTTGTCGCTGTTCTCGTCTGGAAAGGTCTCGTACACGCCGACACGGGTCGTTGCAGGCAAGACGCGTTGGGACCTGCTGACTCGGCGGGCGAGTTCCTCATATTCAGCGATATTGCTGATGCCTCTGGCTGCCTTGGTGGCAGCGGCCCGTTCTGCTCAACCAGAGTCTATTACAGATCGGTTAGAACAGACAAGCAGGAAACAATGATGTGACAACTTCTGACCTCGGGTGGACATCTTGACGGAGCAGGCGGATGCCTGTCGAGGACATTCCAGATGGGACGAGGACGAGCAAGGACGGCAGGCTTCGAGTCTAGTGCGACTTATTCGAGTAATCTTCGGGGACCTCCGCAGGCAGGCAGCAGACAACTTCTTGTGGCAACACGGATGGGCCGAGGATAGTGCGCGAGGCAGGTTCTACCAGACAACGATGAGGAGCTTGGTTGTCGCTGGCATGACTGGCGACAGTTGGGAAATCAACGACCACAAACAATTTCGAAAAGCGAGGGCGGAAGAATTTTCGTGTGCACATGACGCTGCACGACAAACGGAGTGGCTCGATCAGGTCTGGTGCCGCCATTCTACTCGCCAGCCACTTGCTTACGACCTCTGCACCTCTGAAAACGCCAGCAGGGAACAGGCATGGTGGGAAGGAGAAGAGCCAGCGCCTGAACACAGGCTGGAAATCTCCCTAGAAGAGGACAGGGAGTATGGGCATAGCATCAACAGATAGGACAGACGCGGTCGCGTTCGTTGGAGCGCTTGTCACGCGGGCAGACGGGCACATGCTGTCGCATTAAAAGGGACAAGCTGGGGGACACGAGCCAAGATAAAAGCCACGTTCTGCCTAACAGGGCGATGCTATCACATTGCAAACCACTTGCACAGGATTCACCATTACCAACATGACAAGGTACGCCAGTGAGTTACGATGTTCTGGATCGAAGTGACGGATTTGCCATGTTGAGGACTGTGGCTACAGCCAGTCATGCACTGGGCATGTGTGCATCGGCAGTAGCCTGTGGGGTCGCTCTTGTTGTCAGTGCCGCTCCTTCCTGGCCTAGGCACGATCCAAGTAGCGTAGCTGCAATTGTCTCTTGCTTGGTTGCCCCACGGCGTGCATCGACTGTGACGTGCGGCGATTCATCAACCGCCGACCTTGTCGATTGGTTGGTTGGCAGACAGGCAGACAGACCATCGCCGACACCGGCCCTGGCCCGGATGGTGGGGCTGCCTTTGCCTTACGGACGGCGGTCCCGGAGCCGGCGGGCCAGGCACGGAGTTCGGGGCGCGGGGCCAGGACCCTGGACTGAACCCATACGAATGGTGGCGCCCTCCGGCTACAAGCCCGTCAGTCACACATGCATACACACACACACACTGGGCCCAAGTTGCGGCCTTTTCCTTGGGTCTTTGATGATTCTCTTTTTTTCTCCTTCTGACCCAAACATCCTCTCCCTGACCCAACCACAGTCACTTGGACGACAGAAACACATCAACGAGTGGAACAGACACACAGAGACAAGGAATGGCTTCATTCGCAGCCTCTGTCCCGCAGCGCAGCGCGCCGACTCGCGAGGAGCTGTGCAGGCTGTTTGTGGGCAAGACAGTGGGCGAGGTGCCCAAGCCGGCGGCCATCATGGACGTCGCCGTGGCCCGGCGCAACTGCGCGGCCGTCGACAAGGCCGTGGCTGCGCTGGGCGTGGGCTTCCGCGCACACATCAAGACTCACAAGGTACGAGGGAAGGGAACAGTCTACGATCGACACGAGGGACACTTCCATGGCTGACAGACACCAACAACAGACTACAGAGCTCACCCGCCTGCAGGTGCAGAACCTCGGCCCCTCGCAGCCCATCAACCTCGTCGCCTCGACGCTGGCCGAGATTGAGCACCTGGTGCCCCTCATCGCCGAGTACGCGTCTGCCGGCCGCAGCGTCAACATCCTCTACGGAATTCCCCTCCCGCCCTCGCAGGTCAGCCGCCTCGCCCACATCGCCCGGCGCATCGGCGTCCCGGGCTCCATCTCGGTCCTCGTCGACCACCCGGCCCAGCTCGAGCCCCTCGCCACCACCTTCCACGACACGGCCGGCTTCCCAGTAAAGGTCTTTATCAAGGTCGACACGGGCTACCACCGCGCCGGCCTGCCCCCCGCGGCGCTCAACAAGGGTGGCCTCATTGACAGGATCGCCCAGCTCAACACCAAGGTCGAGTTTCTGGGTCTTTACTCGCACAGCAGCCTCAGCTACAACGGAAACACCCCGCGGGACGCCATGGACGCCCTCGCGGGGGAGATTGACGGCTGCATGCAGGCCCTGCGCGACTGCGGCGCCGCGTTTGCCTCCCTGGCCGCCACCACCACGAGCCAGAAGCAACAGAGACAACTGGTCATCAGCGTCGGCGCCTCCCCGCAGATCATCTCCGTGGGCAACCTGCTCTCGTCGTCGTCGTCCTCATCGTCATCCTCGGCGGCGGACAGCGACAGCGCAAACCTCCGCAGATCCATCGCCGCCGTCTCGTCATCGCCATCGTCATCAACAGACAGCAGCAGCTCCTTTACCACGACCCTCGAGCTCCACGCGGGCGTCTACGCGGTCCGCGACATCCAGCAGCTCGCCACCAACGCCGTGCCTCCTTCTTCGTCGCCTTCGTCTGGTACCGCATCCGAGACAACATCAAGCACGACAGCCACCACCACCACCACTGCAGAGCTGTACCACATCGACGAGCCCGAGGCCCACGTCGCCTTCAGCGTCGCGGCAGAGGTGTGCAGCGTGTACAACGACCATGAGCGCGCCGAGCCCGAGGCCCTCATCGCCGTCGGCGTTCTGGGCTTGGGCAGGGAGCCGTGCAAGATGTACCCCGGCTGGGGCATCCTGGGCACCCAGGGCGTGGACGGCAGCGGCAGCGGCGGCAGGAGGATCATGATTAGCAGGATCAGCCAGGAGCACGGGATCGCGGCGTGGTTGCCACCTACAAGTGAGGCAGGGGCGGGAAGGGGCGCCCGTGGTGAAGAACATGTCCTCCCGCCACTGCCGCTCGAGGTCGGCCAGGTCGTCCGCGTGTATCCGAACCACGCGTGCATCACGGGCGCCATGTACGGGTGGTACCTGGTCGTTGACTCGGACGAAAAGGATCCAGGGGCCGGGGAGGTGGTCCGGGATGTGTGGGTGCGTGCTTCGGGATGGTAGACTTGCTGATGAGATGATACACACACACACACAAACACGCACAGAGAGGGAAAGAGAGATAGAGAGATAGAATAGCAATACAGAGGAGAGTTTGCTAGACACGCATTGGGCTTCAGGTTCATACAATCACAACGCAGTCAGCCAGTGGCAGGACGTGTCCTCCTATCGTGTCATGGTCTTGAAAACTGCCGATCGTGGGAACCCACCCAGCGAGATTCTGTTGTCGTTTGCTGCTCGTGGCCTACCAGGAATTGCCCCCAAACCTAAAATCACACAACGTAGACAGGAGACATCGCAGAGACGCCCGGGAAAACGATGCTTGCGTGTAAAGAGACCCGAAGATCTATTTACGTTGCTGATTCTGAAGTGTCTTTTCCTAAGAGGACAGACTCCACGCCCATAATAGCTATCACTTTAACCTCATTCCTGCGAGTGGCCCCGTCTCTTGGTTGTCAAATCCGACGAACGGCATCGGCACAACTCGGAGTTACGTGATGTCATCATCGGCGGTGAAAAAAAAAAAGAAGCTTTTACCGGTTAGCTTGAAGATGACAAACCGGTCTAGATGCTCCCGGGCCAGAAATAGCCATGCAAGGTGCAGGGGATCCTTTCCCCTTAGACCCGGGATCTCACCACCACTCAATCCAGTGAAGGGAGCACACCGCATAAAGAAGATACTGCAAGAATGCAACACGAGCTGACTAATACTCATCACGAATAATCGTGCGCGTATGGGTAGCGAAATACTGCTTGCATGCTTTACATGCATGTACGAAGCATTGGGCCTGGCACCCCAAGGCCCAGCATGCTGGTCTTGGGCACATCGTCCCCGTATCACGACTGTTGTCGTTGGTACGCCAGATAGACTGAGCAAGTCCCCATGACAGAGTCGTGTAGCGGCACAGTCACTCGCCTTGTGAGTCGCAAGGTAACCTTCACATCGAACTTGGTGTCTCGACACGAGGTCGTTCCTCGAGGCTAGGGAAGGGTGGAACGTTACCCGCTCGACGAACGGGAGGGATGTAGCCGTGTTCCAGAGGGCCGGAGAGTGGCCCGTTGTTTCCTCCAATGCTGAATGCGGTGGCGTCCGTGGCTACACCACATCCCTAGCCCGGCATGGGAAACTCCCGAGGCGGCCATCTCCGGCGTCATGCATGCATGCATGGAGAAAATGCACATTTGTTAAGCTCGGTTTTTGCGCGATTCTCCAACAGATCGCTCGCTGCACATAAAGACAAGACTTGCGCGGAAGAGGCAACAGGATGACGAAGCCGGCAACAAGTACCCCTGCATCCCACCGGCAACGCCATCTGTGGGAGCTCACGGCTCGGTGTGGCTGGCATAGGTGAGCCTCCACACGCGACGACAGCAGGGTCGCACAGAGGTGGAGTAGGGACTTTCACAGCTATCTGCCCAGCCTCATAAGGCTGAAGCTTGGAGTGCAAGAGAGTATAGTGTCGAGTCGTGGCACCTTGTCGACTTCCGAACATCTTGGCGTCCGGCGTTCCCCACACCCATAGCGGCAGTATGCGCAAGATGCGTCTTTGGGGGCATGGCGTGTCCCGGACCCGGGCGCGGCCCCGAGGACAAGGCTCAGGACGACATGGCCTCGTTGGGGGCTGATTATCAGTGCCCTGTTGGGTGATGTCACCCGAGTCAGCATAGCATAAGGAACGCCACTGCTTGACACCGATGCAAGTATTGGAGATATACAGGTGTGGGAGGCTGCAGCCACCTGTGCTGACGAAACACAATGCTCGGATTGATCGAGACCATTGCACGCGGGGAACAGGGGTCCCGAAGCAGTCAGCCCTCCAACGGTAAGATTGGACTCCTTGTATGATCCATCTCCTCAAATTCGTGGTGTACCACCGCATGCTCGGGCCGCCAAAGGATTGGGTGGACCCAGCACAGGGTCTCGACGTTGAGAGGCCCTGCAGGTGAAAGCAAGCCACGTCCACAATGCCGGAGAAACCCCCTGTACAGACCAGTGGAAGAGAGTGCTGCTTCTACAGAAACAAACTATCGACTTCCAGATCGAGCGTGGTGGTGTTGAGGGGCAACAGTAACGCTGGGCCCAGTAATCCATACAGCAGTGGGTGGTACAAGTCCCGATGTCGTAATGGACTGCTTGGTTCTCATGTCTAAGAAAGCGCTCGTAATCGGTGAAGTGCAGCACTGATGATGGCGTCGTTGCGAAAGCGAGGCCATCCCAGCGGCATCGCGAAAGGCATATCATCGCTTGCTCGAGGAATGTCGTGGCCACCGCCCCGAGGCAGGTCCACATCTCTCAAGCTGAACGCCTCCCTGCTCAACGAACTAGACGTCGGTCAATGATTGACGATGCTGCACTGTTGTTCCTTGTCGAACCTCGACTCGACAGACCTTGGACTTTCAGTTATTGCAAAAATGCAGTTTTGCCGAGCTTAGCCCCTTCTGGGAGCCTGTTGTAACAAGCCAGACGAGTATGCCGTAGGCATCCCGCGTTGTGTCATGCTTGTTGGCCAGCATGGGTCGTTGTCAAGGACACGAGTGGGCGGGAGTGGTTGAGGCGTGGCAGACTGGTTGCATTGCGCGTGTGGGGCAGTGCCGTAGTGCTGCACTTCAGGGTTCTCTCTGCCGCGCCTGGTGTCAAGTCCACGTGCCAACCCACCACGCTCCAACTTCATTCAGGTCATCGGTCTGTGTGGCAGGGCTCACCACCACTGTTGGACAAGCGACCGAGCATGTCAAAGCGGCTGAGTCGCGCACGCACTGAGTGCTTCAGCGATGGGCTGCTCGCCGTCAAGCCGTACATAAGGACGACTGATCGCAACCACAATGGCGTCCCCACCAAGCCAGCACCAGCTGGTTTACCGCCCGCAAGCCAACGAGACCAAGCCCGGGGCAGGCTCTCGCGATGAGTTCTGCGTAGACAGCATGACACGAACACAACCTCAGAGGAAGAGAGCCTGGGGGCCCAAGGGGCGATCCGGTATGCACGCAGAAAGGCGATTGCTATCGTGGCTCAACACTGACAGTGGTGGTAGGTTGTCGTGAGTGCAAACAAGGCCACCATAAATGCGACGAACAAAAACCGGCATGCTCTCGGTGCCTGCAGAATGGCCGGTCTTGCGTGTATTCGGCAAGTCTCCCGAGACACGGCCAACAAATTGGAGCGCAAGAATGTAAGCAGGCGTGGCTATCTCTGGCAAGCTGCCATGCGAGGGCGTTCGTGCTTGCAAGTCCGATCCGAGCTTCGTCGACGTGGCTTGATTCCAAGTATGGCATATACTTTGATCACTTCCGATATCACGTTGCGTACCAGCTCGGCGCAAACGCCTTCAGCGATTTCTGGCGCCGTTGCGTACTCAGAGAGAGTGCGCGTGACAAATGCATCATGAATGCGATTCTTGCTCTTGGCAGCCTCGACAGAGCACGGAAATGCGATCCTCTGGCTGCGTCCACGCCTTTGTTCACAGCGCTGCCGTCGCCGAGCAGACATCGTGTACGAGCCTCCATTCCTGATCATTATCCACAGGCGTTGTCGCTGTACGCCAAAGCGCTAGGGGAATTCCGCCGTCGCGTTGCGTTGGGTGCAGTCCCCCGAGGACTACTCTCATCGTGACACTGCTCCTGGTAGCCTTTGAGCATCTTCATGGCAACACAGAAGCGGTCGACAAGCTCACTTCCAAGGCCCTTGCTCTCTTGAAAAACGAGGCTGTGTTGCCCTCACACAGCGGGTGGGATGCTGGCAGCGATTCGATACCTGACCAAGGCCTAGCCCCGACCATCGCGGCCGACCTCGATGATGACGGTGTTCGCGTCGCGGAAATGCTGCTCGAACGCATGGTCAGCCTGAATGCGCTTTACACTCCCTTGTATCCACGGTGTAATGCCCTGACTCACGCACGCATTATTGCCACAAAAAAAGAATCGAAGCCGGGCAGGTACTCGTTGTCATATCTGGACAAGCACTCAACGCTGTCCGAGATCGAATCTGCCTGGATGTCGTTCCTCACTGCTTTTGGCACGTGGATTCAAGATGCGCACCAAGCCGGCTTAAAGGCGTATGCCAGCAAGGTCGCCATTGACGATGAGTTGCTGACAGAGCAAGCACACTACAAGGACCAGCTCGAATTTTTCCTGGACGTTGTTCGACAGCGACTGGAAAAGAATGCCCCGATTCTGCAGGCTGAGGCCAGAAATGGTTTGGATTTACCAGAACACCTGGAGGCGAAGATGCTCACGGCGGGGCTCACTGATGCTGAAAGATTCACTCTTGAGCGTATCCTTATTGCTGCTCAGACTGGATACATAACTATTTCGTCATCAACTGATCCAACTGCGAGCACGTGGGACACCTTTAAGAGTACCATACTTGATGTGCTCGATCGTGTAAGCGGAGTCCTGGACTCTTTATCTCCAGAGGCTCGCGAGTCTGGTGTGCTCTATGACGATATTCTGGGTGTTTCGGCGCACCTGGCCATCGAAAGTCGTGACTACGACGTGCGCAGGAAAGCCATGGCCCGGTGGGCGAGGATGCTGAGTCCGCGGTCCAGCTGGGAAAACAAGAGCTGTTTCATGGCTGCCACGGCACTTATATCCGTGGAGGAGGCAGGGAGACTCTCGGGTAACGCGTCGTATGCTGACACCGCGACGGAAGGCTCCCGTCACGCTGATTCCGATGCCGAGGTGGACGTGGATTTCACAAGTCGAGAAGCCTCAGGAAACCCGACGGCTGCCAAAGAGGCGAGTGGGCATGGCGTCATACCCATCGAGGCTCAGTATAAGTGGATCGGTGGCATATGGGATGAATCGTACACGACGTACACGGTGATTCTGAGGTCAAAGGTCCGTGCAGGCATGGTAGCGAACGGCGCTGATCCGGGTGCTGCGGAGGAAGACACAAAGATTGTGCTTGACCTTGGAGATTTCCATTTCGGTGGGAATGGCAATGAGAGCCTCCAGGCAGTGGAACGACTGCAGAGGTATCTTGGTAGGTGAGACGACCTGATACGAAACCTCTGTTGTGTTGCTGAGGAAGCTTGCCGCCGTAGTTGATTATGGGGGAAAGCTGCACGTGTGATATAATGGCAGATGACCAGTTCACCATCAGCATGGCCGACGGACTTGCGGTTGATGTTGAGGTTGTTGCCTAGCTTGTGACAGCCCCGTTCGCGGCATGGTGACGCTTGGCGAGAGCCAAATTCTGCGTGGTCATTCGGCCTTGCTGGATGGAGGCGCAATGGCGAGCATTGATCCTGGCACCCTTGTTTCCAGGCTGGAAGGACGACGCGCCGCTCGGCGCAATGGCGAATTTGGCTTTGAGAATGCGCCGAAACGCGGCTGCCTTTGGTCTATTCCACCACGAAGGGCCATGGGGTCTCAGATGAAGTTGAGCATAGAACAGTGGCGCACTGGCCAGGTATTCTCGTGCTCGTCAAACGGCACGGCAAGGGCAAAGCAAGGGTCGAGTACGTTTTCGAGGTCGCAGAGGTGAGGGGGTTTCGATAAATGCCAGGTGCTCTGCTCACTGCGAGTGAAGGTTGTCAGTCCCGTTGAGCTGCGAGGCTCATTCACCAAGATTTGGTTGTCACAGTTCCGTTCTGGGATCGTGGCTTCCCGTCATGTCGTCGTCCCTCGCGCGTGCTCTTGCCTGAGGTGGCTCTAGTGCGAAGCCAGTCACAGTGCGTAAACCGTGCTGGCAACGCTACACTAACGTACGCTGTCAAGCAGTGCCTGGACCGTTGCCCACCGACCCTCCAAGGTTGTTTTGAGACACAAACTACGTGAGAAGCACTCGAGCATCCAGCCGCCCCGGAACGCTCCCAGCTCTAGAAACAGCGACACCCATGATGTGACCATGGACAGCCGGCTGCGCATGCACCGACGATGTATCGCAGGGCCCGACAGCGTCGGCTCGACGACGACAGGGACCCCGAACTGTGACTGTCCCTCGGACCCCCGAGCAAGACCGACTGGAACGCATCCCTGCAACCCTTGGCCAGCCTTCTCCAGAGCTTGGCAGCCTTGGCCTGACGTCCTCGATTTGCAACCTGGCTCCAGATCGCCAATGCTTGCGTCCCAGGGCAGCTCTCCTGTCCCTGGCCAGATCGGATCCAGCTCCATCGACCACGGCCACCGAGCTTGTCGGCCTGCGGCATCTACCAACACCGCTTCGAGGCCAGCAGACACGGCGCACCCGCCAGCTGCCCGTCTGGACAAACCCGTCCACTGGGACCACCGGAGCATGCTAGTCAGGGCTTTGGTCCGTGGCATTGGGCATAGGCCAAGGATTGTGACATTGCGGCGCACCATGGGAGAAATTGTCGGTCAAAACTGGCCGCCCTGGCGACTGCACCAGGTCCCGGGCAAGCAGGTCTGAGCGGGCCTGCATGTCAGACAGAGCTGAGCCCCGCAAGTCAAGAAGCCGTCCCCACTACGGGAAGCACCCCTGTCTGCCTCTCTTTGCCGGATCTTCCTCACATTCCTCGATCGCCCGCATCAGTCGTCCTTTGTTCTGTCTGTCTGCTTCGGCTGTTTCTGGCCGAACAGGGCAGGACGTCCAGCGAACCGGCAGGGATCTCCTACCCCAGATCAAACCTTGATTCCCATGGCGTCTCCATCCAACCACTAACCTCAGTTTCAGCTTGAAAAGCCTGCCAAGACACCACGACACGCCTCTCGGCAACCGCTGCCGGTCCCAGCAATCCAGGACATGAGCAACAAGCACAGCCTCACGAATGACGCATCATGTTATGCATGCTTCCGTTGATCGAACTTGAGCCGCTGGTTGACAGTCACCGTTTGCTGCTATATGCGTGGTTGGAAAGATGGCATGTCAACAGTATGAGCAGCTAGCTGGAGACGGCCCATGGAAATTTCTCCATCCGAGAGGCAGCTTCTGGAACAAATGCATGGCCCGGATTCCCAAAGCGAGCCCTAACGCGGAAGCCGGTTAACTGCCAGGGGCAAGCTGCTTGTTTGGCGCAGCGGTGTGGTCAGGGGTAGGGTCGTTTCTGACGACATTGACTTTTGTCCCGGGCCCTCTCTACTGGAACGCGAGCTCGGGAAGAGTGTCGAATCCAGCCAGTGACACTAATAGTATCCTGCCACTAAGGACCCTGTTGGGCATGCAGCGCTGTGCTAACGTGAGTCCAGCCATTGCTAGTCGCGCATGTCACATTGGCTGGTCGGAAGGGACGGCCTGGAGAGCTCGTCAAAGCACATGGCGTGACAGAGAGGACATCTGACAAAAGCATTACCTGCTGCGCCTCCCCGCATTTGATCCCCATCCTAGCCTCTAGGGTGTACCCGCTTGCCACTCCGGGTGCGCTTGCTAGCCACCAGACGCTGTCATTGGGTCGATGGTCGACACCCTGTACGAGCCAGGGTTGGTCCACAACGAAATCGAGACATACACAAGCCAGCTTCATGGGCATGTTTACATCATGACCTTCACCTTTGCGCGTTGCAAGTGGAGCCAAGGCGTGGTCCGGCAGAAACGCGCACCTTGGCGGCCTGAATATCGTTGTGAGTGCCAGAGGCCAGGTGGAACTGGAACATCTCGACTCTGTGGACTCAAATACCCGTGATGCCCCAAGAGGATGCCCAACGTTAGGAACTGAGCAACCCAGTGCTTCTCATACTTGATCGACTTCTCCAAAATCCCCTCGCGTCACATTCTCCACCTAAAGCCAACTTCTCGTACGCAACATGCAGATTCGCCAGTCCCTATTCCTCGCCGCAGCCGGCCGCGCTGTGGCCCAGCAACTCCCCAGCCTGACTGAGGCGCTTGCCTCGCAAAATGAGACTCTGTCGACACTGATCTGTAAGTCTGATGTCCTTCTCCATTATGAATAGCAGCCACGTTGGAACATACTCGACTGAAACCTGACTTGCAGCCTTGATTAGCAACAACACCGCCGTCAGCCAGAGCATCGGCCAGCTGTCTAACATTACCATCCTGGCTCCCAATAACGAGGCTCTCAACAGTCTCATCAGCAATGCCGATCCCGCAACTGCCATGATGCTAGCCCAGCCAGACTTCATCCAGGCTGTCCTGAGCTACCACATCCTGAACGGCACTTACTACGGCTCCAACTTTACCGAGACTGCCGCATTTGTGCCCACCGCTCTCACCAACGAGACCTACACTAACGTCACTGGTGGACAACGCGTCGAGGGTGTCGTCCAGGACGGAAATGTCGTGCTCTACAGTGGTCTCCGCTTGAACTCCACTGTAGTGACTGCTGTACGTGTTTCGCAGGCTCCTTGACTTTCTGTTTACGTTTCAGATGCTGATAGAATCTGTAGAACCTCAACTTCACCGGCGGTGTTATCCACATCATCGACTCGGTCCTCACCATCCCTGGGAGCATCCCCGACACCCTGACTGCTGCTAACCTGACTGCCCTTGCTGGTGCAGTCGGGGCTGCCGATCTGGGCGACGCCCTGACCGACCTGCAGAACGTCACCATCTTTGCTCCCAGCAACGATGCTTTTGGCGCGATTGGCAGCATCACTGGCAACCTGTCCACCGAGGCTCTCGCTGGCATTCTCCAGTACCACGTCGTTGACGGTGTTCTCGGCTACAGCAGCGGCCTTTCCGACACCACTTTGACTGCTCTTGATGGCTCTGAGCTCAACATTCGCGTTATAGACGGCGAGGTCTTTGTCAACTCTGCCAAGGTTGTCATCCCCGACGTTCTTGTCGCCAACGGTGTTGTTCACGTCATTGACCAGTAAGTCCTCGGTCTTTTCTCTTCCGATTCTCCCGGTAAGACTTTTAGAAGAAGAACCATACCTTACCACAATGCATATAGGGTCCTCAACCCATCCGCCGCCTTGGCCACCCCCAACCCCAGTGCCACCACGACCACCCCGGCCTTCTCGGGTGCTTCGTCGACCACCGGCGTCCCCTTCACCAGCAACGCCGCGACCCCGTCCAGCACCGTCCCTGCCGCCAGCACCTCAGGCGTCCCTCGCCCGACTGGTGCCGCTGCTCCCATGAAGACCGGTGCCGTCGGCGCTGCTGCCCTGTTCGGCGGTGCTGCTGTCCTGATGAACATGTAAGGCCCATCTGACTGAGGTGAATTGTGGTGTCAGGCATGGTCAGGCCAAGAATGAAAGGCGTGGAGAAGATCCGATGACGTTGAGCAGAGTATCGTGGCGTGGATGATTGATCTTTTATTCCCCTGTCGGAGGAGTGGTGCTCCCTGTAACAGAACTTGTGGTACTTCACGATAATATGTCCCTAATATTTTGGCCGGAATACATGTGTAATCCTCATTCTTTCTGCCACAGACGTGCTTCGTGAGCTGATATCCGCCCGCCATGCTACGAGCACGCATCGGCGGTTCTGGATCGTTTCGCTACATGTTTGAACCTAGCGACAACACTGCCTACTCAAGAATATGATGGAGACTGCGTTAGGATGCCTGCTGGCTCTCTAAATCTACTAAGCTCTAGTATCCAACCCCTAAAAAGAAATTCCGTTTCACTATATGCCACTCGTCACGTTTGTTCCTCTTACTTGCCTCCCGAGTACGACACGACGGCGTACTGCCCACTCCAGGCCCACTTCCTTGACCCGCTGTCGCCGCCGCCGCCTTCGCGGGCGCGGAGCTCCTCGTCCAGGCCGGGCTGGAGACCAACCACCACGTCGGCCTTGCAAGTGCGCAGCGCCATGACGTTGACGCCGGATCCAGGTCCGAGGGGGCCGATGGCCTCGGTGAACGGTGTGGTGGGATCCCACATGGCCTAGTTTACAAACAGATCAGCATATATATAAAGGCGAGGAGAAAGTATGAAGGTTGGGGGTTGTCGTGACTGGAAGGTCCATGGCAAAAAAAAAAAAGAAAAAAGAACGTACATCACCAGTAAGCTTCCTGTAGTTGAGATCGCCTTTGAAGATGACGAGCTCGCTCGTCTTGAGATCCTCGTGAAGCTCCGGGTCCGAGGCGGGCAGCCGCCAGAAGCTGCCGCCGTGGGTCCAGAACCGATTCGGCCTCAGCAGGAGCTCGCCTTCGGCATGGTGCTGGGCCAGCTGCGAGAAGACGAACGAGATGTCGGCAGCCTCGGCGTCAGACAAAGGCGCCGCCGCCGTGCTGGACGAGGAGGCGGCGGCGTCCTTGCCGTCCTCGGCGGCGGGGGTCGACGACGCGGCGAAGAACCCCTTCGGGTTCGCCAGCGCGCCGAGGATGGAGGCAAAGTCGCTCGGGAGCACATCCGACACGAACCACGGGATCGACTTTGGATGCAAAACGACAAGTGTCGCGAGTCCCGATGTGAGGAGGTAGGACGCGAGGATGAGATCGACGTAGAGCTCGAAGCCAGAGTTGTCCAGGACGATATCGACCCGGCGCTCCTTCTTGCCCTCGTCGCGGGCCTTCTTGAGCGTGTCGTACGCCTGCTGGAGGTCGTTGGCCAGGATGTTCTTCTCCGACTCCTTGCGCGCCTTGGCACCCTGAAGCTTCTGGATATCCTCGTAGGACAGGCTGGTGAGGAGGGAGAGATCTGTGGCATTGCCCCATAGGCAGATCTCGCACATCTCGACGAATAGCAGCCTCTGGGCCTCCTCGTGTTCTTCTGGGGTTTTGTTGGCGGCCTCCTCAGTCTTTGCAGCCAGCCCGTTGACAAGGTCCTTGAAGCGAGTCGCGATCTCGTAGACGGCCGGCCGCGAAGACCGGAACGTGTCGTTCTTCTGGCGCGCAAACACGTCGTACGACTTCCAGTGCTGCGACATGCTGAAGGATGTGCTCATGCGCCTGTGCGTCGAATAGTCAGCGCCGGGACGAACAGTTTGGCGACGGTATCTCCCCATACTTGTAAAGATAGCACTCGCTGAACAGCCACGGGACGTTGAACCATGAAGGTGTGCCAAGTGCCTCCAGCTCGTGGTTGTAAAGGGCTACGTCGGGCGTGCCATCATCGCGAATCGGTCTGTCGAGAATGAGGTGTTATTGGTCTGGCTCGGTAAACGGTCGTGGGTCGAGGACAAGCGGCGATGAGTGTATGCGTACGATAGCTTGCGGTCATGTTGTAGCTCATATTTCAAGGCTACCAGGTCCTCAATGATTCGCTTGCCCTCGGCGTTCTTCTCGGCATCATTGCTTTCCGAAAGTGTTCGGAAGACGTCGTCGATGGCACCAGTCTGGGGCTCGGTCAGTACCACAATTGCGCAGTGGCAGAGAGTCAACACCAAGTAGCCATGCTCGAAGACATACAATGATGACGGGCCACCTGTCTCGAGCCGATATATACGCAAACGACGTCTTGTCACTTGTCGCGTAAGGAGCTGTGGGGCCGAGGATGTGGTTAGTCGGTGGTCCATGACGGCATTCGAGGGATGAGACGTTGCTGCGTACGGGTCTTGGTATCGTGCTCCATTGTGCTTGTCGAAAGCACGCGCTTTAAGTGGAAGTCGAACGAGCGGGTGTTGTTTGCGTGAAGCTGGAACACCCAAGAACGCTTATCATGTCTTCAATTGTGGTGGGGTGAGCTGCGGTGGAGGGGCACGGCTATGACGATGCATCTTATCGATTATGCCAGAACAGCCAACCAGTTGTGCTCAGGCAGTGTCTCGCAGGCATATGTGAGCTTGACTGGGCTCCTGGGAAATGCAGGCGGAATGGACCTCTCCAGCGCAACATAATGCATTTTTTATAAGACAAGTTAAGTATTCGCAAAGGTAAAATACAACCTCAACGTTCGTGGTGCTCGCAGTAATGAACAGTGCGGGAGCATTCCGCGGAGGAAATTCAGCCCGAACAGTGCTGCATGTACCAGCATGCGGCTCCACGGGTCTTGCTAACGAACCACCAGACCTTGGTTATGAACCAAGCTACCTTCCCAAGCGTCTACTGCTTGAATTCGGACGCTTCGGTCTTGATCGTCCCGCCAATATTCGTTCCATTCTCCAGCCTCGGGAAAATCACAGCCTTGTCGTCGGACGCAATGCCGTTGGTGCTGGCTTCTGCAGACTGGGGGTAAACAAGGCTGTAGATATAGCGGCTGGCAAAAAAGGCGCCAAGAGCCCACAGCCAGGCGAGCACGCCAACGCTGACTGTGAAGAAGAGGACTGGCACCAGGAAGCAGAGCCCTACGCCGACCCAGAAGAAGGTGAAGCACAGGGCGGATACAAGAGCAAGGCAGAGTGTGGAGACGGCGAAGCTAAGGAAGAAGACGACCGGGATGAAGGAGAATACCAAGTTGAAGAGGATGAAGCTCTAAATGTCCCCAGCAATTAGAATTCAGATGGCGACCCGGCAGTCGAATGATTGGTAGAAGAAAGCCGGCAACAGTCGCAGGGAAGTTCTTACAGTCAATATGGGTCGCGTGGACGCCAGGTCGGCAGACCTCTGATAATACTTTTGGCGGACGGCAGGGTCAACGACGCGGTCGACAGTATCCCTGCCGTAGGCATAGGCGCTCGAGGCAGTGGCTCTCGCCCTGGCGCTGACGTCGTCTGCTCCCATGGTGAGCTGCGAGAGAAAGGCTGGGACCTGGTCTGGAGAACACGTGGTGGGGCGTGAGCGCTGCTGGGATGCGATGAGGCTGCAGGTTGCAGGTTGCGCACGGGTGGGCACGTCGGTCGCCGCGTGGGTTTGTGGCTACAGCGCCGAGCAGGGTGGTCCAATGGAGTCCAGGTAGAAATGCCTCGCAGGTGTTGGCGTGCTCGTGAGGTAGACAATGACGATGATGGAATAGCTACAGAGTGTCGGGCGGATGGTGAGCAGAGCGAGGGCCTGGCGTGCGAGATGAGGCGAGGTCTGTCTGTCGCGGCTTGACTGGACCCCCAGGGCTAGAGGTGGATGGCCACATCAATGATGTGCGCGAACTGTGACGCGACCACTTTCCCAGTCCCTTGGTTGGTGGTGCCTGCCAGCTAATTACGGCGCGGCGCGGCGCTGCAGCTACCCGGCCGCCTTCCCTTGCCAGGCCAGCACTGTCTCACGCCAGACGCAAGCCCCAACGACAGATGACAACAGACGAAAGATTAATAACCATCAAGCGTTGTGGTTCCCCCGATCTCAATCGCCCCGTTCTGTCGCGACACTCTGCTTGCCCGGCGCAAGCGTCCTATAAGCGTGATCATGCAGAGTCTCGCTCTCTACAGCAAGATCACCCTGCCTCCCCTGCTGCCGACCATGCCACAATCGACGACATCGGCACTATCACAAGAATCGACGAAAAGCAGGGCTCCAACACAACTTTTCCGCCGCGCCCATACGAAGACATGCATCAACATCGGCCAATATCGGCGCCAGGATCTTCTTGTGTGTTGCGCACTCAACTCCGGTCATGGCAACAAAGCACTTGAAAATGTGACAGCTCGTCGTGGGGATATCCACACAAAGAGTGAACCAGGGTGCTGAGAGGCTGGATCTGCAACCCGTTTCCGCGGTCCCCGGTCACTGCGACACGGCCTTAGCCTAGAGCCGATGCCCCTCTTAGCAGCGGCCCGCACCGGATAGCCTGCCCGGCCGTCCTTGTCCCATCAGCCCAGCGATTGCGACGTGAAACGGGGCCGGACCGGTGTGTGAGGATCACGGGCTGGATGATTTGCTGTGCCCTGTGTGTACATGAGCACCTGCGTAACATCAACCACCGGCGATGCCTGTCCGCCACGGACCTTGCAGAATCGCATCACAATCCCCGCGAGCTGATGCGCCCACCTTCCTGGTCAGATCAGGTGTGGTCTCAGGGGTCCTGCCACGCAGGCTCCCTTTCTTTCGGGCAGCCGCTTCGAGGTGGTGCGCCACGGGCAGGGGTGCAATATCGAGTTATCTTATTGTGGCCAACAGACTTTTTCTTGAAGGATCAATGTGATCATTGGTAGGCTCGGCCACGTTCTCCGGTGCGTGTCTTGGCTACGCGGCCTGATGAGGCGGGACAGGCCAGGAGCAGCATGCCGAATCCTACAGATTCTACCCGCATCATTATCTGCATGCACTGTTGTTGGCACAGCTCGGAAGAGGATCGCATGCCGGGGGTGGCGCGTAGAAGTAAGCTCATGGGCGCGCGCCGCATGCCGTGATGATGACGAAGAAGTTAGGTGTTTGACTAACACGCGATCGAGGAAAAAGCACAGCATGAGGAAAAAGAAACTGCCAGATCAGTGTGGCAGGGCATGTAGGCGATCCGCCTTACGCGGTAACAAGCCAAGGAAGTCGTGCAGATGCCCCTGTCGCGCTCAAGATTATCTGCACGTTGCATGGAGGCACGAGCAAGGTGTGCCTATTCCCCTCCATCTCAGAGGTTATGTCCGCGATTCCCGGTGTCTCTTTAATCGGCCGCTCGGCTGGATTGGAGTCGTCGGACATGGAACATGAAATGACTTCCTTCAATAACTATACGGCGGCGAAGCTCTTGATTCCGAAACCTTGCTGCTACTTTTCAGCAGGACTCCTCCAGCTCAAGCACAGAACAATACGATCCTGGTCTGTCTGTTTTGTAGACGGCCGCCAGCTTGGAACTCTCAGATTGTGTCCCACCTTAGTCCAACACTGAATTGTCGAGCTCCGGCAGACCTTACGCATACGGACGACGAGCCGGGTGACTTTTAGGCGTACCCCGGAAGCCAATTCGCGTCATTATTCTGGTCGTCACGATCCAAAGAACCACCGAAAGCATGGACTGGCCGCTTCGCGATTCGATATCAACAGTCACATCGTCAGAGGCGGCGATAGAAAGCACAGCCGGCACAGTGACGAGCACGGCCTCGACAGCTCCGTCCTCGAAGGGCATCGGAGTGCCAATGATACCCGAATCGGAAATACTGCGTTGTCCGCCCTTAGCCGCGCTATGCTTCCGATCCATCGACGCCAAGTCGGGGACGGAGTCAATCCTTGGTGACAAGTATGCGGCAGAGCTGGCCGACCGCCTTAACATTACATCCTCACGCCTGGGCACAAAGCCGGACCTGGCCAGCGAGCTCATGTGCCTGCGGGCGATGATTGTGGACGTGTACTGCCTCAAGTTTGCAGACGCGCACCACGACGAGACGGGCTGCACGATACTCAACTTGACCACAGGTTTCGACACGCGGTTCCTGCGGCTCAAGTCAAGACCGCATGTTCGATGGGTGGAGGTGGACAGTCCCGAGTTCACGCACATGCGCCAGAGAGTATTCCCGCCGTCGGGCCATTTATACCGCACGAGAACACCGTACCAAGTATCCTCCGCGACCTCGCTGCCCCCGGCACCCACGACACCAGCAACTCCACACTACGACGAGAAGATGGACAACGACAAGGAGCAGAACCCAGTCCTCGAGCTGGCCGTCGCGGACCTGGCCGACACGGACTCGTGGCTGCCCTCTGTGCCCGCGGACCGCCCGACGCTCGTCCTCATGGAGGCCGGCGCGTGGATGACGCCGAGGGCTGACTTTACCCACATCATGCGGTCCGTGGTGGACCACTTCGCCGCGCACGGCGGGCGCCTCGTGTTCGACGTCATGAGCCGCCTCAACGCCCTCATGTTCCGGTACAAGGCGATCCCGCCCATCCGTATGTTCACCTTTAAGATCGAGTGGCACTGCGAGGACGCCGACGCCCTGGGCGCCGAGATCCACCCCCGGCTTAGGTACCTCGAGAAGAAGGGCTACCACGACGCCACGACCGAGGACAACGAGGAGTGGATGCCCAACTTCTACGGCGGCAAGCTGAGGAGCAGGCTGCTGAACAAGATGCCCGGGTTTAGCAGTGGTCTGAGGCTGTTGTTTTACGAGTTTCCAGCCTTGGCGGCGACTGGAGAAGTTGTGCCTGAGTTAATAGAAAGAGAGAGAGCGTGAGAGAAACGGGGGGAGAGGCGGACATGGCGCGCGCGCCCTGAGAAAGGGCGGGCAGGCGGGCTCTTGCCGATGCGATGTCGCTCGCTAAGCTGTCTACACTTGTTTGTGCAAGAACAGCAAAGGCAGATTAAGCATATTTCTTCAGCATTCAACCCTTCTTGTTTCGAAATTTCTCAAGCAAGCGGTCATGATGTCAGATTTCTTTCTTGAGTAAGATACCAGGAGTAGGACCAGGGATATAGCAAGCGTGTTATGTTTACCCACAAAAAGTCGTTTGAATTTTATTATTATTGATTTCATCTTTGCTACTTATCCTCCACTGGCTTCCATCTCGCTGTGGTGTATTTTCTGGACTTGGACTAGCCCTTGACGACTCACGTGAAAAGTCAGACTCTCTCAAGCCGAAACGCCCGTCTAGGGGTGAGCCAGAACCGCCCGTGGCCGCTCAGACCGCGCGCTGCACCGGCGTTACCGGGTCTACTGCCCTGCATGTGCAGTTGGCTAGGCCGCATCAGAGCCTGCGCACCCGTCGACGAGACATTTCCCCTCTCGAGTTCGGCGTCATCAACAGCAGACGCAGGCGCAGACATGCTCTGAGAACCCGTAGCACCTGCTCGACGCATGGTCTCCGTAGAGGGCCCGCGCCGTCGAGCATGTTCGCCGACATTGGCTTCCTCATCCTCCGTCGTCGCCCTCGGTAGAGACGAGAGCAGCAGCTCCGCCTCGACTTCCTTGTCGGCAATCTTCCATGTCCTCAGGCCGAGCAGGCTCAGCGCGCCGGCGAGGAACATGCACCCGACAAACACCTGGCCGTTCAGGAACGCCCCGAAGCCGCCGCCGCCGTCCACGAGCTGGATGGCAATGGCCTCGGCGAAGGTGGTGGGCAGCACGAGCGCGAAGCAGATGCTGCCCATGACGCCGCCCAGCTCGACGAGCCCGACGACCTCGGCCAGGACGGGGGATATCGAGCTCCAGAAGGTGCCGCACACGGTCCCCACGAGCAAGGAAAAGGCGAGCAGCGCGCCGTAGCTGTGCGCGGGCAGCCACAGGGCAAACACGAAGAGCGCGCAGGCGAAAGTGGCGGCGAGGGCGATGTTGATCCGCCCGACCCGGTCGCTGTAGTACCCTACTATCGGGCGACCGACCGCAGAGCCGAGGTTGAGCAGAGCTTGTGCGACGGAGCCCTGGACCGGATCTAGGCCGATCGACGTCGCGTAGGTCGGGAGCGAGTAGAGAAGCGTGATGTAGCCGAGTTCGGTGACGAAGCCCCAGAGCACAACGAGCAGGATCTCGACACGGCCAAAGTGGCGAGGGTTCAGGGCCTGGTGCTGGCTTTTACCTGTAATGCCGTCGCCGCTGCCGCGGCGGCGCTGGCGGCAGAGGGGATGTTGGCGCAGGAAGGCGACAGATGCCAGGTTCATGACGAGAGAGACGAAGCTGAGGATGCGGTACGTCCAGACAACATCATATCTTTGTAGCAGTTGTCCTGTGAGCAGACTGTATGCGAGGCCACCGAGACCTGCGCCGGACGCCGCTAGACCGACTGCCAGGCTGCGATGTCGAGAGAACCAGTGAGGGAGTACTTCCATGGCCTGGATCCGCTTCTGTGTAAGTAGTTGGGGGGTCATGAGATACACGGCAGGAAGACACTAACCGGCAGGTAGATGAAGCCCATACCCCAGCCAAAGACGAAACCCTGTGTCAGGATCAGCTGCCAGATCTGCGTCGATGACCCTGCCGCACAGAGTGCCGCAAAGATGAAGAGAGCGCCGGCGAGCATCGTCACTCGAGGGCCAAAGCGGGCATGGGCCGCCACAGCCACTGGGGCAATGATGAGAGATTGCGAAATGGACAAGCCGCCAATGAGGGCATAGAGAAACTTGCTCGCCCCAGGAAAGCTATCATTGGTGAGGAAGTGGTTGAGCAGCACACCCCATGATGCATTGATCCCCCACGTGTGCGCATTGGCGACAAAGACGCAGACGGCGACGACCCAGCCATACCCGCCATCAAGGGGGAAGCCTTCGGCTCCCGCAAGGACTGGAGTGTTCAGTCGGATTGAGGCTGGGCGAGAGGAGGGGGCGCTGGTCTGTCGCCCACGGTCATCCTCGTAAGCGTTTTCCAAGTTGATCTCTTCAAGCTCGATGGCGTGGTCATGGTTGGTAGTGGTCGTGGCGGCGGAGGTGCTGAGAGGACCACCTAGCTCACACGACTGCTGCGCGAGTGACATGGTTGGGTGGCGCGGCGGCACTGCCGAGATGGGATGTGGTTAAGGGGTCTTGATCAAAATGGCAGCATCTTGATTCCATTTGGATGTGCTTGTGTTGTCATGCTCAGAGCCCAAGGTTGTTCAACCAGGACCGCAAAGTGTGAGCCGACATCGGGGTGATAAGATATCGGGGGCAGCGCCGAGGCCGTCTAATCATGCACGACGGAGCGGACCGTCCGACTGCCTGGTCCACCAGAAAAGTGTGGCATGCATGCATGCAAGCCCTCAAGGCACATTTGACTTGTAAGCGTCTACGTTGCTCGGCCATTAAGGCGCGCGTCGAGAACAATGGCAACGTGAGCGCTGGCGTTCTTAACGTGCAAATGCTGGAAGTGAGACACTATGCCCAAGGTGGCACCACGAGTCCAGGGCAAGCCTTCTCCGGCCTTGCGTACAGCGCTGAGCAAGGTCAAGCTCACCGGCACAGTCACAGATGTAGACAAAGTAGCTCGACACCAGTTGCGAATTTAAAAAAACCTGCAGGGCCGACTGCAATGTCAGGGCCCCTGTGCGGCTTTGGCAACATCTGCCTCCCACGCCTCGCGGAGGCTCTCGAGGCACTCCAGCACGCGCGAACCGACGTCTTGGTCGATGACGCTTAGCTGGTGGGAAGAGAGCTTGCTCAGAACAAAGTCCGAGACGGTCTTTTGGTCGCGGTCCACGGGTCTGCCTATCCCCACGGAGATGCGGTGCCACCGCGCGCCGGGGTAGCTGCTTGGCTTGATGCTGCTGTTGATGCTCTTGAGGCCATTGTGGCCGCGGTGCGAGGCTTGCCACTTGCGGATCTTGACGACGCCAAAGGCCTCCTCGAGGTCGTCGCTGACCACGACGAGGGCAAGCTCCTGCGGCTTGAGGTTGTGGTCTGCGAGGTGCTGCTTCCAGGCCTTACTGACCCAGGGACCAGAGACGTTCATGAAGGTGGGTGACTGCTTGAGCGTGTAGGGTGTTCCATCGGAACGCAGGGAGCGGTCTTTCTTGTCTCTGGAGAAGGCCGATTGTGAGGGTCCAAGTGTCCGCTGGAGGGAGGCAAGAGCGAAATGGCCGGCAGAGTGCAGCGACTGGGCATAAGGCTCCTTGTTGCCCAGGCTGGCCACCAGGAAGCGGGGGGTAAAGACAGACATGTCCGTGGCCGAGGAGTCTTGAGCAACTCGGCGTCCGGCCCTGGGAAGGTAGGAGATGTAGCGGGAGGCGGAATTTAGCGATGCCGGCGCAAGATATTGCAGGCCGGGCCCGACTGACACCATGGAGAAAGCCTTTGAGGGTTGCGGGTACGGTACTTCGTGGCTAGTGGAGCGGGCGATCGTGGCGCGGCTAAGGAAGGACGAAGCTGAGAAAACGAGGCGCAGCGTCCACGCTAGCCTGGGAGAGCGCCTGCCTCCATTCATTGGTGCCTGGCACGGGCAAGTCGATCTGTCCGTCGCTGACGTCGATTCCGCCCGGAGCCAACGTCGCAGCCCCCACTTGCATTCCCTGGCCGGCTGTCTGGTGCCGCCCGTGTCAAGGCTCAGCCACCGGCCATCTCGTCATGCTGCTCGACTGCGGCCCAAAAGCAACAACACCTCGCTCTCGCCGCTCACCACACATACACACACACTTCGCCAACCTCGACCTGCACACCCATCTCTGCGCCTGTCTTCTCGCGAAACCCACGATACCCCTCGACCCAGCAGCTCTGCCACCCTACGTCCCCCCTGAACAGCCCGCGGCGTCTGCCTGGTCAACCCCGCGCCCGCATCGCCAGAGATTGTTCTCTTTCCCAACACATTGACGGCCACCACGACGCGGGCCCCGGATCCCACCCTTTAGCCCAAGAAGAGGCTTCCAACACACAGCAACCCTCTTGCAGACATCCACACCGCCGCCATCATGTCGTGGGCCGGCTTCAAGAAGAATGTCAACCGCGCCACGACGCAGGTCATGATGAAGACGGGCCATGTCGAAAAGACAAACGACCGCGACTACGAGGTGGAGGAGCGCCGCTTCCGCACAATGGAGGCCGCGTCCAATCGGTTACAAAAGGAGGCCAGGGGTTACCTTGACTCATTGCGAGGTATGTGTGCGGCGGCTTGACAGAGGGGGGAAGGCTGACTTCTTGGATTACCCCCGGATTGGGATTTCTTCCAGGAGTGGGCATCGTGGAATGAACAAAAAAAGGGCTAACGCGGCAATTTGCAGCCATGACTGCTTCACAAATGCGCATCGCCGAGACCATCGATGCGTTCTACGGCGACTCGGGCGCGCGAGACGGCGTGAGCAGGAGTTACAAGCAGGCGGTGGAAGACCTCGACGCCGAGACGATCAAGGCGCTCGACGGGCCTTACCGGACGACAGTATTAGATCCCATCACCAGATTCTGCGCCTACTTCCCAGATGTCAACGAATGTACGTACCCTTACTCTCACGTGGGAACCTGCAGCATGGTTGTGGAGCTAGCTAGCTTCCTTCGGCCATATGTCCCTGACGGCTGACGACTAACCGGGCACCACACAGGCATCAAGAAGCGCGGCCACAAGATGCTCGACTACGACGCCCTGCGCGCCAAGGTCAAGAAGCTCGCCGAGAAGCCCGACAAGGACGTCACCAAGCTGCCCCGCGCCGAGAAAGAGATGGACATGGCAAGGGCCCAGTACGAGCAGCTCAACGAGCAACTAAGCACCGAGCTGCCCCAGCTCATCGACCTGCGCGTGCCCTACCTCGACCCGAGCTTCGAGGCCCTCGTCAAGATCCAGCTGCGCTTCTGCGCCGAGGCGTACAGCCGCATGGCCCAGGTCCAGCAGTACCTCGACGCCGACACGAGGGAACAGTACGCCCAGGGACACCTCGATCAGCGCGTGGAGCAGGTGCTGCAGGAGATTCGGGAGCTCAGCATCAGCGGTACGGTCTAGACTTTTGGCCTGGTATTGCTGCTTATCTTTTTCGTTATTGGTCCAGAGCGATGGTCGCACAAGCTGAATGCCTTGGCTCACTTTCTTTGTCTGGCGTTCTGGGAAGAACATTGAGGTTGATGAGGGACTTGGTGGTCATGTCGTCACTCTCACGGCTGCCTATGGGCTAGGCATAATCATGATAAAAACATCGAAACGTCCATTTCACGTGAATGTGAACCATTTTCCCATGCAAAGATTAGGATCACTGTATGGGCTTCGACAGCGGCACAATCCTGATCATGGCTGCAGCCGGTCTGCCCGCCTGGGTGGTCATACCTAGTAATTGCCATAATGATCCCCACTCAAGGATCACAGCGGAGCCATGACAAGCAGGAATTAACTGAGGTGTTTCCTTGCCTACAATCTATTTGGTACGACCGGCTGCTCGAAATCTGGTAGCTAAGTAAGCAAAGTGGTCTCTCCGTGAGGCTGCATATGCCACAAACTCTGCTCTAATCGACCGTATCTGCCCACACCGTCCCTTTCCCTGCTTCTGCGTTGTTTCTGGTGGTCCTTATGCTAGAGCCCGGCCATGGAGGCCATAGCGGCATTCGCGGCAGCGGCAAATGCCTCCTGCAAGACTGATGTCTTTCCATACAAGTCGTCGGAGGTTCTGGAGACTTTCCAATGTTGAGCTGTCTGGGATAACGTGAGACACAACAATCTCCGGGATCCATCGGCACATCTCCTCAAGCAGAACTTGCAATCTCCTGGTTGCAACTTCATAATACTCATATATGTCATCGTCGGGGTATCCCATGAGAGACAGATATTCTTCGTGTTGCGAAAGAGTTTCCAGTTCCATATCCCATGGGACATGGTATTTGTGTTGCCGACTCTGGATGTACATATCCTCTTCGGCCTGCGGAACAATTGTCCATGCCTCTCGCGTGTAGATGCTTCGGGAAGAGTCGAAATCCCCATTTCCATGAAAGTCAGCAGGTTCGAGGTGATTCCAGTGGTTCTCGTCATAGTCATGGCTGGGTTCTTCATCAGCAAGCGTGTCTTGCTTGTCATGACCACCACATGAAGACTCTTGGTCTTCCAAATCTGGGAAAAGTTCTTCGTACAAGCACAATGGTTTGTCAGGGTCGTGATGGCAACAGCATTCTGCCTGATTCTGGGTAGGAGGCCGACTGGTCTTTTCAGAGAAATTCTGTGGTAGCCACTCGATAATGTGTAGCTCCTCCAGGCATTCAAAGAGATCTGTGAAAAAACCGAATGGGAAGATGTCATCTCCGTCTATCAAAAGGAGCTTTTGTGCTCCCGACAGTGCCAGTTGCTTGACCCTAAACAGGTCTGCTGGTTTAAATTGCGTGACGTCCCAGTCGTGGCCATCGGGAAGCGGAACAGTGCAAGTGTGGTCGATTGCCTTCAGCAACAAGGTGTCGATGTCGAAATTGAACCAAGTCAGGGCAGGAGCGGATCTGGTTGCATAAGCGAGCTTGTAACCCTGGACCTGTAGCGTCCCTCTGGATTCTTTGCATGTATGCAGTAGTGCTGGTACCGGGGCATGGCTGAATAAAGCTGCCTTGCGCATAAGGTCCCAGGCAACCTCCTGATAATCCATGACCCAATTGAGCTTGATTTCGGGGGTTAAATCGCCGAGGAACCTATTCCGCTTCGGGCCTTCTTCTGCCTTCTTTTGTACGCTGAAGCCGCAATCATCAAGGGTCTTCTGAGACGCTGGCGTATCGATATCTAGGTTGTACAGCCAGTTGTATGCGAAATGGACGTGGTCGTCGTCAATTTCGAAGTCGGGTGGCAGAACGCTCGTGCGGAAACGCTCCATGAATCTGGCTTTGCACTCGTGTCTCTCTTGAACATGGACAACGCGAGGCTGGATTGTTGCCTCGTATATGAGGGCTCGGATCTCGGGCGGCAAATGCGGGAAAGAGTGGAAAGTTTTGGGTGCCATGATGAATACCGTGCCGAGGAGTGCACTCGGGCGTGGGCTCCTCAAGATGCAGCAGCAGTCGTCTTCCCCAGAAGACTTTGTCGGGTGTTGCTCTCGGATGCCTTCGTGGTACGCTTCGGTCTGATGAGGCTCAGGGCAGGAATATGGTGCAGAGGTCGGCCGTGGGCATTGTAGCCTCCTCAGGTGGTGATGAGTATTAGCACCAGACCAAGCAAGAGCCTGCTGTGCGCTGAAGAATTGGTTGGGTGAATGTTCGTGAGGATGGGCGACCTCCTGCTCAGGAGTGGAAAATGCAGAGGAAGCTTGCGTAATAGTCTGGGCAGGAGCGCCCGAAAAGAGTCGGTGCTTGGTGATGCCCATCAGGTGCCTGAAAATGTCAAGTGCTGTACCTGCGCTGAAGGATCTCCCTGGCCAGGTTGTGACTGCCTTGTGAAGCCGGACTGCTTTGCCCCAACGACGCCCAATCTCTCGGCGAGTTCAGACCAGCGCCACCAGCATCCTCAGGAAGAAAGTCAGCTGTTCAATGTTTGCAGGCTCATCAGACAACGGCCCGGATCCTCTGTTCACACTGGGCACAAAGTGAACATGGCACTGCTCTTCATCATAGGTGCGGCAATCCACAGCTCAGCAGGCCGCACTCAACATGTGCACATCCTTCTCCAGGCTGGCATATCACTGAGGCCATGCGAGCTCCCCCCAGTAAACGAGGTTTTCATTCTGGGCAATCGCGCTAGATGACTCCTATAAGCAACGGAATGTTATGATCCAGACCGCAGTCCACCAACAGATTTTTGACACGCCCACGATGGACGTATCTAGGGCTCCTTGACAGCATAGCTGTATACACCGTATATTGACAGAGCATAAGTGACGGTTGTCGTGAACTGAAATAGATGTCTTCGAGAAGCCGTAACTCGACCCCGTCCCCTTCCTCGGTGCCAGTCTGCCTATCCGTCCGGACTTTCGAACTCCGCTCTCCAGTCACAAAAAACACTCTCATAACGCGACACCGCGCTGCTGCATTGGTCCCAATCTACAGACTGGCGCGACCCTTGGCAGTCCTTGCCAGAGTAGTAAGAGCAATAAAATATTTCCTTGTTGAAGCGGTCAGGCCAATAGAGCGCGTTAGCCGAGTGGGTGCCGGTATAGGAGTAGTTGTAGCATTTCCAGGCTTGAAGGACGAACTCGGTATTGTACTTGGTACAGCCGTAGTCGGTATAATATTGAACCTTGACTGGCAAATTGTCATAGGGGATGCGTGTCATCCCGAGATCGTGCGCCGTGACATTTGATAGCACCGGTCCAGGAGTAGGGGCAGCAGCAGGAGCAGGAACGGGGCTAGCAAGCGACAGGGCCCAGAATAGACTTAAAGCCTGGACAGAGTAAGTCCGCAGCATCTTGCCTAGTTGTTTGATAATCGGTATTTATTAGTAGTGGACACATAAGGTAGAATATTAGACTGCTTGACAATACCTTCCAGTTCTAAGGCAACGCTTAGCTAGCAATGAAGTTCAGAATGAAAGATCTCAAGGTCTGTTGGAAGCAGGGAACTTTATACCTATTACTCGAAGTACACGTTTAACGCATATACCTGCCGGGCCATCCTGCTAAGCTGAAATTCCACATAGTTCTAAAGCCTTTCATCCATTTATTCGTCTCATAGTTAGCGAAATTGTTTGCTGGCGTCATTACCAACGAGATAGTTTGCTGGCGTCACTACCAGCAAGATGGTTCTCTGGCGTCATTACCAGCGTTGACGCCAGCAAACGGGGAAAAGACTGATACCAATTACTCTTGTAGGTATGATATCAATACTCTAATAGTTACGGTGGTTTTTGTCTCGATGAGCCCTCTGTCTGGCGAATTGGACCTCCCAGCGTCTGCACAGATTTATTGCCAGCGGCGAACATTCTGCCAAATAGCACGGCCAAATCCAGGCTCGCAAACCTTTTGTCTTGTTGTTATTGTGTATCGCAGAAAGGCGAGCTCCCGGTGCCAAGCGAGCAGGTGACTGGTATTCGTCCACAGCTTCGACTCTGGTAAAGATCGTCATCCGAGTGGTCTATGACGAGGAGTCGTTCGTGGAGCAGTATCTGCATTATTCCGGCCACGGCAGAAGAATATACTTGTTCGCCGTTATTTGTGGAAGAACGCATTGATAAATGGCGCTGCGCTCAACTCGTCAAGATCTGCCGCTTCTTCTGCCGGACCATCACTGCACATCAAGGTCTGACACGGGGCAAGACTCTAGGGCCGCGAAGGTCCTTCCCGATACACTGTATGACAGAATCCCAGACACAACACTAGATGGTGGCCCCGGACAGAGAACCTATCAGAGGCTTCGACCACATCGACAGCAGCAGCAGCAACAACAGCGTGATGCCAGTTCTTCGTTTGCGTTTGTCCACACGCGCGGCGGGAAGACGATTAACAGCAGCCACGCTCCCAAGTTGACAACACGAAAGGTCGTTCCAAACACAACCACATGGAGTATAATGCACATCATCAGCACCACCAGCAAATAAGAGATTCTTTGGGACGACCACGATGACCTCATCTCGTGCGCCCCGATAGCAAAGCTGCTCGGCCTTTATGATCTATTGACCGCAATCATCAACCTCTCCATGTCGAAGATCATTCAAACGCGCAGAGTATAATTAGCATTGTGTATTGGGCCTCGCAAGCCTCCGCCTGATTTCGTTCGCCAGTGGTGAAAATTGATAAAGTTGCGCCCACCATTGATTACACACTTGCAGGGGCAATGACAAATTATGCGCCATAATGTGAGCTCCCGTTTCCTACCAGCAAATGAAATACATTCTTCCATCGCATAGATAGAGATCGTGGGCGGAGTGGCCTCTGATGGCGAGAAAATGAACAACCGGCCGCCACAGCTCTGACCTCAATAGCACAAACGGTCGTTCCATCCACAAACACAAACTGGAAGGCGGCACAGGCATAGAAAAAATGCCGCCAGTCGAGACGCTCTCGGCGGATATATCCTTGTCGCTCCCCGTGATCGAGAACGTGCCACAGGACAGCCAGCAGGTTTAACAGAGCGAGGGCGGACGGAAATAGTCCGGTGAAACGCTGAGTTTGCTTTCCTTGTTCTTTGGTGGCTTAGAGTTGCATCAAGGCGAAGCGATGCATATAGATTGATAGATCCGAACCCTTTTCAGCTCTTGGGATGGTGGTGTGGGATCTCTGCTAAATAATCTACACATGGCTGGCAGGCAAACTGGAGACCTTATAGAGCCCCTAAGACAAGCTGATATCTGCATCACCTGCAATTCTTAGCGACCAGCCTCCTGAGCCTTTTAGAGCACAGTGAACTAGTCGACATTCACGCGTGCAAGGGGGCCAGACTTTTCGGCTGGACCTCAAAAGTGATGGTAAGCCGGCGAAGATACCTGCCTGCGTCTAGATTCTAAACTCAAGGTTATGTCAAAGGCCTGTGGATCCACGTTCTTGATTCTTTCGCTGCCGCCGTCCCAACGTTGGCTAGCGCGCTCTATTAGGCCTCTGGACTGTAGTAGTCTTGCAATCATCCGATAGATTGACACGGACCTAGCGAGCCTAGATTAGCAAGACCTTATTTTCTTGCTCAGGGGTCAGGACCTTGCTTCTACGGGCGGCCTGCCAGAAGACAGGTATACATATAAAATAACTTGACTTCCACTGTCACGATTCCAGGAATCTTGGGAGGCATCCCATGACCATCTCCAAGCGAGCAGCCTCATATTCCATCCTTCCATATAGCCGCTGTCCCTGACAACTAATGATGCGGTCTTACTTGCTCATCGCTGCCACTGCAGCGGTTGCATCTGCCCTGGATGACATCAATACGAAGCCAGACGCCCTTGATACCGACTTCCTCAAGAGCCTGCCTAACCCCGTAGTCAACCTCATTCCGGGTCTCTTAGAGCATACTATTTCTTTCGATACTGACGCTGCCGTCGTTACTGCCGCCGCCGAGGTGGACGAGACCCCCTTGAGCGTCTTCCCTGCTGCCACCAGCGTCCCCATCAACGCTGCAGGAGAGGATGGCGGTGCTCAGAGACGTGCAACCTCGACCCAACAGCGTGCGGTGCCGGAGCAGCTTGCGGCACGTGACGCTTGCGGCCCGGAACCCATCATCTCTAACATCTACAATATTGACGTCTCGAGCTATGCATCCTTTATGGCCGACCCTAAGATTGCGTCGATTGCTTCCGGGGCCGCTACGCCTTCTGGCTATGTCCAGAGCTTTAAGAATCTCTACGGCGCCACTAGCGCCAGCGCATATATGGGCTACACCGTCCTGACGACTGGCTACGATGTCGATGCCTGTGCTAGACAGTGTGATGAGCAGTCTGGCTGCTTGGCCTTCAATATCTTTTTCGAGCGAAGCCCCATGGTCAGCCCCGGCCCCGGCTGCGAGAACCCGGCCGCATTTGCAAACATCATGTGCAGCTTCTGGGGAGTACCCCTCGACAAGACGACAGCTACCTACAAGGGCTCATATAGAGAGGAGTTCCAGGTCGGCATAGCCGGTTCGACGGCTTATACGGTCGTTACTGTGGGCCGTCCCGTTGACGGCTACGTTTCACCTCCGTCGGACCTGGGCAAGGCTTCGATGCAGGCTCCTCTACGCGACTGCGGCGGCACGTGGACGTACATGGGCTACAAGATCTACCAGGACCAGCCGTTCGACCCTCGCCTATGTGGTGCGGCCTGCGATGCCCAGACCGAGTACAACATTGCCCACCCTCCCTCTACAGGGAAGGCGGCTAAGTGTGGTGCCTTTGGCACTTATCTGGTCCAGAAGACTACCTCGTCGGGCACGTGGATCCTGGGCCAGATGTGTACTCTGTATACTTCGACTTATAACGCGACCCTCGCGACTAATACGGGTAGGACAGACCCGGACAGGACTCAGTGGACAATATCCGCCAGTTTCTTCTACTCGCGGGCTGACCGCCAACCCATCTGCAGCTCGTCTATAGAATACCTCAAGGCCGAGGGCCAGGAGTTCTGCTCGTCATTTATTAGCTACTCAGCCCCCTCGGTTACTATTTTAACTTCCGCCACTCCGACCAATAAGGCCATCATTACCGCCACCTTGACTGTCACCGTCAACACCGGCAGCCCGACCACCACATTCACAGGCAATGCCAACTGGAAGCGTGGTGGCAAGTTTGCCCGCCAGGAGGGTCCTTCTTCATCAGAACCCTTGTCGGCGGCTGCCCCTGAGCCCACCGCCGCACCCTCATCGACAACCAACCACGAACACCTCGACGTCGAGGTGTCGGCCATCGCCAACCTGGGCCCCAGCACCATTGCCGTCCTGACCGACGTCGTCACTCAGGCCTTGCCTAGCAACGGAACCACTCCCAGGTTCGCCCGCCGCGCCGTCGCCACACCGACTTCTATCGCGGACTGGCCGACTTCGCGCATCTCTGAGGCCTGCTCTGACGTCGCCGCGGGCACCGTCACCGTGGTCAGAACCCAGTTCGCCGCCTCCCTGACCACGACCACGACCGCGCTGGCCAGCACCACCATCGCTGCCTGCATCATCCCCTCGCAGCAGGCCGAGTACAAAAACCTGATTCCCATATGGGGCGCCTGGGACGCCGCCGGCGCGAGTCCCGGACTCAACCCGAACGGGCAGTACGGTCGCGTCGCCGCCGTGCAGCTGCCGTTCCCGTACTGCGCATACGGCGTCTGCACAAACGTCATCTCCGTCTCCACCGACGGCGCCTTCTTCTTCACCAACCCAGCCAACAGTGCGGAGAGAATCACCATGAACGTCTACCAGGGCACGGGCCAGTACCTATACCCGGGCCAAACCCACGGCGTGTACACTCGTATCACCGGCGCCCAGGGAAGTAGGCAATTCACCATAAGCTGGTACGCCGCGACCTTCCAGTGGAATCACGCAATGATGCACGTCACGGCCACCTGGTACGAAAACGCGCCCAACACCGTCTACTACAAGTACTACGATGCCGTCCAGGTTTATACGAACATCCACAGCATCTCCAAGGGTACGTTTTCCCTCTCTCTTTTTCGTCATCAGGACATCTCTTCTTGCCCCTGTTGCCCCTCTCTCTCTCAACAGGAAAGAAAGAAGGAAAGAGAAACCCCAAAACCAAGAGTATGAAAAGTTATGTTCGACGTGACTCACGAACGCATTCTGTTGCAAAACAATATATAGGGAATACCTTGACCCGCGTCTGGCCCGCTGGGTACATGAAGGCCGGCACGCAGATCAGGATTGACACCACGCCCGGCTCCGACGGCGCGGCCACCTTTGCCGCGACGCAGCGCAACCGTATCGACTGCTGCACAATCCAGGATGGCACAGCTGCACCGAATGGCAGCCCCAGGCCCTCTGAAAAGAAAAGCAAAAAAAGAAATCGAGATCGAGGGGAGTTGGTTGTCAATGCCCTGGCGTTGTCTGTTGTGACGAGCTGGGCGCGCGGCGGGGCGGAGGCATTATCCTCGAAGAGGGGAATCACATCAGCACTTTGCATGTGAAAAATATTGGAACCTCTTTTTGTCTTGGTTGCGGCATCACTGGTATTTTGTGCATGTGCAGGGCTTCAGAGTCCCAGAGATCCTTGAACTGCGAGCAGTCATGAATGATGTTCATGTCTCTTCATGGTGACGGCGCGCACTCTTGCACCGAGGCTGCAAAGGATAAATGCTTCATGCCTTCCGTCTCGATCGGTAGACTCGATAGAAGATCCCCATGTTCAGCAGATGCAGTAAATAGTGTCGGGGAAATGCCGAGGTTACCAGCCAGGCGAGCTAGTGGTAGTGTGCCAGGAGTTCGGGAAGGGTGTTGTATCTTCGCAGCAGTCTACAGGATGAGAAGAAGCCAATCTTGTCCTCTGCACGGGGCAAAGCAATGCAGAACAGCGCGGCTCCCGGTCCGGGCCGGCTACATGGAGCCCGTCTGGCGGCGGCAGTCGAATCTAACATCGGGCTTGTCATTCGTGCAGCGCGCCTTCAAGGGGCTGCGTGCCTGGCAAAGAATCTGTGGGGACCGCGAAGAGGATCAGCAGGGAAGCTGAGCTGGGCAACACCCCTCATGACCAAACGGTGACTGCATCATGACAAAAAGTGGCGCAACATTCGCCGGGCGTAAGTTACCGCTCCGGGCAACGTCTTTATTCGAACTTGGCAATGGGATGAGCCAGGGGGGTGAGCTGTTACCAATCCACTGTCGTCGGGCCAAATGCCGCAAGAGTTCTTGCGATTGCCTGGAGTTCTCTGGAGTGTTCGGCACAAAACCCGGGGGGGGCCGCAGGGCACCCCAGAAGGATAAACCACGCCATGTAGTCTTGCTATTCCAGTCTCTCTCAGTCCGACGTGATGTGTGCCAGTGAGGCATGCAGTCAGAGCTCCATGCAGTTTAGGTCAGCCAGCCGCACCGGAATTAGACATGGCAGGGTTCCATATTGTCAGGTGATTCCAAAACTTCTTCGTTGATCGAATTGCCAGGGTCTGAGTCCGGGCGCTAGTATCGGCGCCATCGTCCGGGCGCTAGTATCGGCGCCATCGTATCAGATATGCCCGGACCGGCAGCCCAGCCGAATGCCTCCGAGTCATTGGCTGGAACGATGGGCACCTGAAGACCAGAGCGTCGACATGACGTTGAGCGGGAGTCAAGAACACGCAACAATGACTCGCACCAGCAATATGTCAAGAAGAACCCGCCCTTTGAACCGCCGCGTGGGGAGATGCTGTGCAACACACTGCCGGACTGTTTGGTCCGTATGCACAGGGAATGTCCAGATCACGGCAAGGGACAAATGCTGCCAGAAGCTGATGCGTAGGGGTCTGTCAAGCACAATTCGCCTGTCTGGCTCATGTGCTCCGAATTAGCGCAAACCCTCTTATAGCAAACCCCTTTGTACGTAGATTGTTGGGTTCTATCAAGAATCCAATCTCGAGGTTTTGCTGCTTACCACCCAAGTATTGGTGAGACTGCCTCGTTTCGGTAATAGCTCCCGATGCGCTTCACTTCAAACGGGGCTTATTCGACCTCCTGGATGCCAAGCATGGCATCTCAAAATGACCCTGAACCACGGCCGATGCGACGGCTTCTCCCAGCACCGGCTGCTGCCGACAGCGCGGTCGACCGGACCCCTGCACATTCCAGCTCCAGGATCGGAGCCGGCTCCGGTGCCTGTGAGCCGTGCCGCCGGCGCAAGACGAAGGTCAGTGTGGTCAGTCAGATCAAGCACAGCCGAGTCGAGGACTGACCGAGCTCGACTAGTGTAATGGGGCACGCCCTTTCTGTTCCAGATGTGCCGGGCGCAAGACCGAGTGTCACTATGTCGAGCACATGCAGCCCAAGGTCATGCGGCAGAAGCTCGACGACGCTGAGAACGAACTCAGGAGCCATCACGAGCTCTTCCGGCTCATACAGTCCCGCAGCGAGGAGGAGTCGGTCGAGATCGTCCGCCGGATGCGGTTCGGCCAGGGGGTGCAATCTCTCTTGCGGTATGTCAGGGATGCCGATCTGCTCGTTCAACTAGCTGTCGAGCCAGATGTTTGGCACAAGTATGGCTTTTCTTAGATTCAAGAAACAACTGAGTGGCTCAGGCACTCCCGAAACCGTTTCGTGTCGTCTTCCCTCACTGTGCAACTGGCCCAGTCTCTGTCATCCTCCATTATCCTGGCTTTGGGCACAGGCGCCGTCGTCAACCCGGCTTCTCATCGAACCATCTCATATGCTTACGTGTAATGGCACATGCAGTGAGCCCACTCCCCGGCCCCGAAGCGCGCCGACCATTGGTAGCCAATGTCTCTTCAACAATGACCTCCGCGCAGACGCCGGGCGGACTTGATGCCCCAAGATACGCGCACAAGCCTTACCGGTCCTCCCTCCGGGGTGGAGTCTTGATGGCGGGATATTCTGTCATGAGCAGCGCAGTCCAATCCGAGCCGAGCTAGGCGGCCAGCAGAAAAGTCCGAACACTCCACAAGGGGCATCCATGGCAGCCTGCCCGAATCAAGAAGGCCCACCGCCTCGCCGAGTAAGGCTGGCCGTGGAGACTGGCAGACCACTGCCGCATTGAGACGTACGAACATCCTGCCGCCGTCTCTCTGGCGTTTCTCTCCGAGGTAATATACCCCCCTACGCATGGTGACGACACTATGATAAGATTGACTGCCGTTTCTTCGAGTCTGAGAGGGCGAAATACAATCGATCTAGAGCTGGGGCACAGCACACAACACAGCCTTCTCGACAGCCTCTTCGCCTCACGATCGTGTCCAGCAGGTGCGGGTCTTTGACCACGGCCGTGATAGCGCAGATGCTTAGCCCTGCCATCTCGAGTTGCTTGGCAATGCTGCTGGAGCTGGAGGGAGGGAGGGCCCGCATCTTTCTATCTTGGACCTGGACAGGTTCGAAGGGATACTGGCACATCAAATAATTCTGCACAGTGCAACAGCGGAAATGCGCAAGTACATTCAACAAGAAATTCTACTTGGTGATCCTTTGGCTCTCATCGCAAGCTCGCTTCTGGACAAGTCAGAGCAGATCATGCCGGCCTGTGATGTAAGAGTTATCGGGGGTGCGGCTTGTTGTCTACCCGCAGCTGGTATCGACTGGTGCATGTACAGACCACTATCAAACTGCTGTGCAATAGCAGGGCGAGTATGCTACGTAGGTACTTACCTTTATATATGGCGGATCATAAGCTTCCATAGTTGACGGATTAATAACAAGCGTTCCACGGAATGATATGACGGGGAGGATGCTAGCACGCTGCGCATAAATTGGAGGAGACCCAGGCCACCTAGGCTGACTGTCCGTCAAACCATCTTACTTGATTCGTGCGACCCGGAAAATCACGAAGCTCGGAGGTCGCCAAACGCCTGCCTAGAGGAGATCAAAGCGGGACGAAACCCATGATTGAAATATACTAGTGGAGGCCACGGCCACATGAGCGAGTATTGCGTGAGCGATTGTTGTCACCCAACTCCACGTCTTCGGTCAAATTCACTACGACGACGCCCGGAAAAGCACCAACAACAAGGACGGTGGAAAATGTCAAGACTAATCGGGAGCAACATCGAGACATGCACCACCCAGGCGGTCTCAACTGAGCGTTACCAGCGAATCACGGCCACGGCGATAACCACGATGGCAGTCGGTGCAACTCCCACAGCCTGCGTGCCGTGCCTTGACCGCGCCAATCAGCACCCTACGACTGTCGTCGATGGCGTGCGGCTGAGAATTCCGCGCTCGCTGCAGGTGCTTGGCTCGTGTGACGGGGATGCTTGTTTGGACGGAAGTCGGCGGGTAACGGGACAAAGGGAAAGCTTGTCTCGAGGTGGCTGCTGTATCGGGCCTAGGCTTGGCGTCAGCTGGTAGGCGTGCAGACGAAAGAGGCAGGTGTCAGTTGCGAGGCGTGGCCAATGGCAGAGCTGAATCAGGGGGTGGGGTCATAGGCAATTGCCTTGTTCATTCTGGCACCGTGACCCCCTTGCTCTTGCCCTGAATGGGGCCCCCTGCCCATGGGGTCTTGCACGTGCCTGTTTGATGGCAATTGGGAGGAGGATGGACAAGTACGCTTCTGCATGTCGAAATGAGGCACAGACGAGGGCTCTCGGTGAGCACAGCGAGCAATTGGTTTCTGTCTCCTCTGTCCAGGCTGAGGCTACGAACAAGGGACATGCTAATCAACCTAGCCTTCTGGTCGGGCGGGCAGCGACTCTCGGCGGCCCGGCCACGGGGACCGGCGGGGAACGCTGATTTGCTCGTCGATGCTATCGAGACATGAACGTCGTCGTGGCGATAGCTCGTCCCGATCCACCCGACCACTTGCCTTTCTGGCTGCTAGTGTTGGAGCTGTCAGACCCTGGGCCATGTATAAAGCCAGGGCCCTGCGGGAGATCTGCCTCCTGGATTTCATGTAGGTAGATCTTTGTGTCCACGTCCCATCACGACCGCGACTGACAAGAACGTAGTCTGCCAGCCCGCCCTGGTTCCGTGTCGCTCTCTCCCTCTTCTCCGTCTACAGCAGCAGTCAAGCATGTTTGGCAAGACGTGCCTCCTGCCCCAGGCAGGCCTGCTGCTCGAGTCGCTCGCCGGGCTCGCCCAGCTGCAGTGCCCGCTGCTCGCGACCGGCCCCCAGAGCTGCCACGCGCCCAACCCGGACAGCCTCAACTCGTGCTGCTACAACACGCCTGGCGGCCAGCTGTTGCTCACCCAGTTCTGGGACACGGCGCCCTCGACGGGGCCCGCCGACTCGTGGACGCTGCACGGCCTCTGGCCCGACAACTGCGACGGCTCCTACGAGCAGTACTGCGCCCCCGAGCGCGAGTTCACAAACATCACCGCCGTCCTCGCCCAGGGCGCCCCCTGCACCCTCAACTACATGCAGACGTACTGGAAGGACTACCAGGGCAACGACGAGAGCTTCTGGGAGCACGAGTTCAACAAGCACGGCACCTGCATCAGCACCCTCGACCCAAAGTGCTACCGCCGCCACCAGCCCGGCGACGAGGTCGTCGACTACTTTGTCCGCGCCGTCCAGCTCTTCAAGACGCTGCCCTCGTACGCCTGGCTCAAGCAGGCCGGCATCGTCCCCTCAAACACCCAGACCTACACCCGCGCAGACATCCAGGCCGCCCTCAAGAAGCACCACGGCCACGATGTCATCATCAACTGCAACAAGAAGAAGGAACTCAATGAGCTCTGGTACCACTACAACGCCTTTGGCTCCGTCGTCAACGGCCGCTTCGTCCCCGTAGACCCCGTTGGCAGCCCCTCCACCTGCCCAGAGACCGGCATCAAGTACCTCCCCAAGTACGACACTTCAGTCCCTCCACCTTCGACCACCACCACCACCACGACTGCCAGCCCAACCACCACCGCCGCGCCCGCTCCCACCGGCACCGTCGCCCTCTCGGGCAAGGGCTACCTGTACGCATCCACCGGCACCCCAGCCTCGGCTGCGGGTTTCCTCATTAGCGGCGGCAAGTGGTACGCCACCGGCGGCACCCCGGCCACCTATACGGCCACGCCCAACCCCGACGGCCTGACCTTCACGCTCAACTCGAGCAAGGGCAATTGCGCAATCCAGGACGCCGCCGACTCGAGCCTGCTTTGCAGCGCCGATGTTGTCACGGGCAGCAGCTTCGGCTGGAACGGCCAGGCGCTGACGTACGGCGGCTCGCCGGCCTTCTTTGCCGACAGCGTGCCGCAGGGCCAGACGCAGGCCACGGTATACGCGGTGGAGAAGGCCGTGGGGGTGACGTTTAGCTGGTCTCCGCGGTAGATGGTCTGTGGGGGATTAGATGGCAGTAGCTAGAAATGACGTTATGAATAATCGCATCGTGTTTTGTGCCTCAGTCATCGTTGAGCTTTGTTGACGAAGTTTCGAGCATGGTTATGTGGCATGTGCGTAGAGGAATTCTTGGGTTTACGGTGGTTTTGGTCAGAAAATCTGGATATCAGGCACGAACTATACGGCATGTGAACAAGCAGAGTCAAGGTACGCTAGGCATACTGCTCCGAACGATCTATCACGCGTAACGCTGGCCGTAGTGTGTGTGCTTGCCTCACGCCGAACGGTTATCTCGACAGCTTGTACACGCTGCTTTCCATTGAGCCTGAGTTTCCAGTGTGTCAGGCAGGCCGACCATTTCCACAGCAACAAGGGCTCAGAACTCGACTGACACCATGCGCGGTGAAGACCGCGTCCTTTACTTCTGACCCAATGCTCAGTACGCAACAAGCACCACTCCTCTGCCAATCCTGCTTCATATCCGACAGCGCGTCAAAATGCCTGGGCATCTAAGTCATTTGCTCACGCCGGTCAATCGCCTGGATCGCGACCAGCATATGAAGGACAACCCGCCTCGCCCCTACCGGCCAGGTTACAAATTCTCAGCACGCCCTCACAAACCCCCCGCCGCCTTCTGGCACAGAGATTCCCCGCGAACAGGTCCCTATGCCGATGAGATCTGGTTACAGTCTGTAACGCGCATGGAGGCTGTCCTGAGAAATCCTCCTCTGGAAGCAAAGGGTACCTCTCATCGCGTACTCCGCTCCCACCGCACAATCACACTCAAGATCACCAAGATCCTCGGCGGAAAGAAGGACTACGATGATGTATACGTTGCCGTCTGCACCGTGTCGGGGCACTCTACTCGCTATCTCAACCTCCCCAGCACAGTAGTTGCCAAGATCTACGACCTGGTGTACTACAGCCTGCGGAGGAAGAACGCGTACCTCAACGCCGCACACAAGGCCGATGGGGACTACTCTCGCGAAGCTGCCGTCCACGAGCGGCTCTCCTCTACCAAGACAACTAGCTCTAGCTCTTCAACTTCGCCGTCCTTCACCCCGACATACTACGGTGCCTGGACGTTCGATGTCGCGGTGTCGTACCCTGCTGTACCGAAGGTCGAGAGCCGTGCAGTCCGGCTCCTGCTCATGGAGTACATCTCTGGCCCATCCTTGGATCGCGTGTGGCGCAAATACCTTTGGCAGCTTTTCATCCCTTCGGCGGAAGAATACCGCATGACGATTTGGGCGGCCGTTCTTGACGCTCAGGCTCGCCTGGCAGCCTGCGGAGTTAAACATCGTGACGAGGCACTACGGAATATTGTCATCTGCCCCGGACCGGCGGAGACGAGTGACGGATCACTGGATATCGTAAAGCAGAAGCTCCTGCCCCCGCCGAGGGTCGTGGAAATCGATTTCGAAAAATCGGGTTTGAGGCCGCTGCCTGGTGGCCGAGATTCGCGGCCTGAGAATCCAATTGACCGTGAGTGGGTGGCACGCGCCTTCACGGAGCTCGGTGGCTGGCTTCCGTATTGGTACCACCATGATGCATCCCGACGGAGGCGGTGGCTTGTCAGGCAGTTTGGTGGCGAGAAGCGGGAGGCTTACCGGCCGATCAAGCAGGATCTTGGATCTTTGCACTTGCAGTAAACACTGAACTCCGCGTGTGATGACTGCATCCGCCATAGAGGACCAGAAGGAGCTTCAAAAATTGGACATCAACAGGGCCATTTCTTTTGGTTTCATATTCCCCCACTTCCTCATCAATACTTGAACCCGCCCAACCGCCTAGCAAACATCCCCCGAGGATCCATCCCCCTCTGCAGCTCACTGAACCGCGCATAGTCGCGATAACTCCCCGTCACGTTCTGGTCCCCGGCGGCATCGTTCATAAACAGCGGCAGATACCTCTCCTCGGCAAGCCACACGGGAACCATCTCGTCCAACCACTCCGTCATCGCCCGCGACACCGCGTACCCCTTGGCGTCGTCCAGGCTGGTCGTCCAGCTACCTTGGAACTCGAGAATCAGCCTGTCCGGGTCGCTGCCCCGCAGGCCCATGGCGTTGCCGCCCGCGGCGTCGGAGCTGGCGCCCACGATGGACGGGAGCGGCTGGAAGTCGACGCTGAACTGGGCGGATGCGCGGAGCGGGCTCGCGAGTTCGGTGTACTTGTCACGGATAGCAGTGTAGATGGAGGGGTTAGAAGGGATGAAGGGAATCGTGTAGGTCTGTAACGGCCCATAGTGTCAGTATATCACACTGTTACGATGAATGGCCCAGAAGGAGCGGCAGGTACTTACGCGGAACGAGACTCGTGCGTTGAGGAGCCTGGCTGACTCGCCATTGCTTTTGAGCTGTGTTGATGCGATTAACCACAATATCACCCTGTACTAAGACAAAAAGCAAACCCCCAAACTTACCAAATCTGCGTACGTCCTCGTCCAAGTCGCGTCCAAAAGCGCAGGGATCTTGAGATACTCGGCAAATGGGCCCTCGGAGGGCGGCTCGGGCCCGTCGTAAAAGTAGAAGATGAAGTGCACCTCGACACCTGCTGGGGCAATGATGGTAGAGTGGATCACGGCGGCCTTCGGGTCTGCTGCCCCAGCAGAGACGAAGCCGTGCAGGGCCGCGTAGAGGTCGTCGTCCATTGCCGCGCTATAGACGCGCACGCCGCCCCAGACTTTGCCGATTGGGTGCGGTCTGACCTTGAACTCGGTGACAATGCCTTTCAAAGTGCTCGCTTTGATTAGTACAAAGGCTTTTTCTGGGGGAAAGGATCGCTGAGAATGAGTTGGCTCACCAAATTGGCTGCCACTACCGCGCATGGCGACTGCAATGTCAGGGTGCTGGGCCGCGTCGATGTTGATGATTGACCCGTTGGCCACTACTGTCTCCCAACCTACAATACTCTGGAATACGGTCAGCTGGCGCCTCGGTCCTCTTCGAGATGCTCTTTGCCATATCAGGACACTTACATCGGCAGCCAGGCCATACTGGGCACTAAGAAAGGAGATCCCTCCTTGCAGAAGATAACCGCCAACTCCAACGAGACCTGGCAGAAGGGATCAGCAGACAGACAGAGTTTTAACGCTCTTATTCACGATACATGAACAGCAGCAAATCAGGCGACCTACCAAGTCTCCCCCCGACGACGGTAACACCACTGGGCGCCAAGTCCCCAATCACATCATTCCACTCCCCGCCAGGCTTCACATACGCCAGCCCGGACGCAGCATCATACCTCGCCCCAGCCATGTCCGTCATGGCGATCAGCACGCCGTCGTCGACGGTGGCGTGCCCGACATTCGGGTCGTGCCCGCCGCTGCGCACCGCGAAGTCGACACCGGGAAACCGGCCGAGCACCCGCACCGCGGCCGACACGTGCTCCGCGGACTGCGGGACGACGATGCACGCGGGCCTGACGCTGCGCAGGGCCGTCGACCAGTACGACTGCCGCTCCTGGTTGTACTGGATGAGGTCCTGCTGCGGGTGGTAGACCTGTTTGGGGGGTAGCAGGGCCGCGATCTCGGAGCAGGCCTGGAGCGTGGAGGACGTTGGTGTTGCGAGGACAACGACCGCGGGCGGGAGGAGCAGGCAGAGTGTCAGGGCCGCCGCGAGGACGCGGAAGGGGGCGATGATGAATATCATCATGATTAGCAGCCTGACGCCTGGGTTTGCCCTTTTGCTGGTGACTGCTCCTGTGAGGTTGAGAAGTTAGGGAAAGAGAAGAAACAGGACGGATTTGGCTGGAAGATGTAATGGTATATAACAGCGCTTTCAGCGAAAATGATCACCGGCGCAAAGGTGCCGCGCTGCTTCAGGGTATAGACCCCGGCACGACAGATCATCATGGCTCGAAAGTGACATGGGAATTGCCGCTGCCCGATGTAGTCAGTCGCTGGTGCTACCTTGGCGGTTTCCAGCAAAGCATTCGTACTCCCTCATGGCCTTGCAGAGGGACACCTTGCGAGGTCACGTTGAAGCTACTGCAGGCCTGCGCCATGATCGAAAGAGACCAGCGGAAGATCGCCTGTTAACAATTGCCCATGTTCCGAGGCACCAAAGCTATCAAAGGCTAAATTACCTGTCAGTGGTAAGCAACGCTGTAGGGATCGTGCGATAACCCCTGCTGCGCCGAGGTATCCGACGATCACTATCTCGAATGGTACTTGGCCCCGCTTTTGATCAGGCAAAGTGATGCGGGATTATCTTGGAGGTATGGCAAGGCAATCTATACGAATACGGACGCGAGCTTGTACACACGGGAAGTCATGGCCCATTGTGAAACCGCCGTGCATATGTTTTCGACAGCGGTCGATCGCGAGTACAGATGAAGGCCGAGGGATGACAGAAGTTCCATGGCTTTTTGGAGCTGGTGCTTTTTGGAGCTGGTTAATGAGGGCTCTGGTCTGATATTCTGGGATTGATCATCTTGGTTAGCAGCGATATACACCTGAATGGAGCATTTCCGCTGGCTCGAAGCAAAGGGAAACACACCAGCCTAATAGGTAATTGTGTTCAGAGCTTTCTCCCGTCCTTGGTTCTCATAGCACTGCTCATCCTGGTAATACGAAGCATCGCCGTGGCCTCCGCGATGGTGTTGCGCAGTACCGAGCGAGCCTTAGATCATGGAATAATCAATACCGCGTGCTGCCGATTCGTCTGTTCGCGGCCAGCAGACAATGCTTGGTGTCGAATCCCTGGGAGTTGTTTACTGGCGTTGAACATGAATAGTAAATTGAGCAATCGCCACTTGCGGGAAAGCGCAAGAATATTCCGACTCACCCGTAGAATTCAATAGGAGGGTGATTCACGATCGCGCAACGATCGCATAGTGCCCACCCAGAAGTTCAGTGCCAGAACTGAAAGGGAATCCGTCATACCCTCTCCAGAAGATAGGCAATCATAGCAGATATTTGAGAGCAAAAGTATCTAGCGGATTCTTGTGCCCGATCTGCTTTCGGCTACCCAAGCAGGATCATGATAAGATAGTCAAGACGCGAATTTACAACTCTTCACATATCGTGCTTGATAGATACTTTAGTTCTTTACGGGAATCAAGCCCATACCTTGTATAAACCATGGGCGCCTACTCGCTCACATTACGTCATAATTTCTATTCGCCGAAGCCCTCAAGAGCCACTGGTAACGCTCCCAGCGCGTGTTGACTGATCCTGACGCATGAGGCGAGGTTTCTGCGGGGTAGATGATTCCCACTTATCACGAGGCTCTCTACCACGCAACCGACAACAGACCTCAATCCTTGCGGATATCATGAAGGGCGTGGACCGGGTCTGAAAAGGCGAGGGGCGGTTTCGAGGTAGCACATACAGCTGGCGAGAGAGTCCTTGAGAATCGCGGAAGGCGGACTCATTAGGGCACACGATGAGCTTGATCAAGTGCACAGTGGCTCAACGCGACTGCCAGATCGACTAAAATGGACTTGTATTCATCCCACGTGATTTGAGGCATGATGTGGGCCTCGCAATATGTGCGGCAACGTGCTACGGATCTACTGCTTGTACTTATTCACGTAGCATGTTCTGGTGGAGAAAGACTTTAAGCACTTGTTCGATGGTAAGGGTTATGAAGCTACATAGAGTAGGAAGGCGGACATCTGAACTGATGTGTTTCCTTGAAATAAGGCAATGCACAGCCCCATATGTTTCCAAAAATGGGGTCAACGGCAAATTACGAAATTGCATCGCATCCTAACGTCCGAGAGGCAGGTCCAAGTACCATACGCCTGGGTCTGTGTAATGATGGGGGCTAATCAGCGTGTCTGTTGAAGAAATCCAAAGGCCCTCGGTAAGCCACAGCCTTCAAGATCGCTTTGTTTGTTAAGCCAAGAACACAGCCCCCCGGGTGGTACTCGCAGCCCTGTTCCTGACGGTATGAGGTAACCGGACGAAATCGGACGGACACATAGGAGAGCGTTGACCGCTTCATGCCAGCCTTAAAAACGGGGCAGATCGGTTTAGAGTACCGGATCGGGAAGCCCGGCGCTGCCATGAAGAGCGCCTGGGTCGAAATCGACCCACGGCACTGGCCCGGTCAGGCGTTGTGGATCTCACCGTGTAAATCCAGCAATCAGAGCATGAGAACGGGGTGATGGCTTAATATACTCGACGGGTCCAAAGCGAGGTCTCCCCACAAGCCCCTTAGACTTACGTACGGACAGTACTCCCATTGGCTCAGGATGCACAGACTTCACTGGGCTGCCGGTGCGTAAAAGATGGGTGGTCAATGCGTATGGTGTTCCTGCCAACCCTCCCTTGATCTTGATTCGGCCAAAGATCCTCGAAGCAGGTCTGTAGAAAATGGCATAGTTGGAAAGTTCTTGGCTGATGCTGTTTTGTACGCCTTGCATATTGTTTTGAGGAAAGATTTGCAACGGCGGAATCATGCCATGCCAAGTACTAGCTTATGGTACAATGCTACGCCTATTCATTGGCGCATGAATCCAAGCCCATGATGCGAATCAGTGGTAAGGGTCGGCTTCATTATTTCTCGCCGTGGAGAACTTCTGTTTTTAGATCCAGGTTCGGGGATGTCGCGGCTTCTGCCGTCCGCAGACTGGAGCTAAACCGCTCCACAAGCACACAGGGATATGGTGTACAGCCTGGCATTTCTGGGTCCAAGTGACGGCCTGGGTGGCGAGCACGAGAAGTCCGTCCACCATTTGGAATCTGAAGGTGGCACTCGAGGCGCCAAGACGCTAATCTCTGAATTCATGGAGCATGTAGCTCAGACAACGCAACTGTTAATCGATAGACATTCAATCAGTTAGATTGGATGAAAGGCAAGAACACTCCACTAATAAGTGCAGTCTCTTTAATGGGCATGATTTAATTGTTAGTGAAATGGCATTTTGTGGAGCGGTCGAGTGCCATCTCCAGATTCCATATGGTGCCGTCGCCGCGGACAGTCTGCCGGGTTCAACGTGAGAAGGTATAAAACCCGGCTGCTATACAGGTGTCTTTGCATCTTCTCATCTCCATCATCAACGCTCGTCCTTCAGATCAGCTTGCTCTTCCGCATTCATTGTCAAGCCATTTTACTAGCACATTTCAAGCTTCCATCCACTACAAGCAACATGGTTACCTTTGCCAGCAGTATCTCCGTTGTGTTCGGCCTCTTGGCCCTCGCCAGCGCCGCGCCTTCGCTCCAAGGCCGCGACGTGTCGTGCAGAGACGACCTCGGTGCCCCTGACTTTGGTCATGTAAGCGCTCAGATACAGACTCGCAAAGCATCCTCAGCCTGGTTCGGGAAGTATTCGCACTTACTGACTTGGTGCGCATCACAAACAGGCTAGCGAAGCTGTCGAGTGCATCAACTATCTTGCCGGCTTGGGCAACCAGGCCTGCGTTTCGTCCATCAGTGGTGTCAATTTCTGCCGCCGTGGCAGTACCCAGATTACGGGACTCTCTAAGACTGGGAAGAACGGCGCCACCTCGAGCTGGTAAGACTTTCCCACCGTGATACACATCATTCACATGCTAACCTTGAGCCGTGTCACAGCGCAAACGTCGCCCGTGCTGCCGGCGCCATCATGGATCGCTGCACCCGACAAGCGGCTGATGGAGTGCTGTTCGTTAAGGGCTCCAACGAGGCCTGGGGCAACGGCGACCTGCTCGTCGACATCCGCAAGGTCTAGTCAGTGTCCGTGGGATTTTCCTCTTAGTCAACTCGACGGAAAGACCGTCCTTCCTTCTCCAGAGAGACTGTATCCCTTAGTCGCGTTTACTTGGGTTTCCCATATTCGTGTAAAATAGTGATGAGTAGTGAATGGAAGCGATTAGTACATCGCTCGAGAGTTGGCGGACCCTGCGGGTTTATTTGAGTAGGAGCTATCGAACCGACAGTTCAATATAATCATGTACGGGAGACAAGGCCCAGCAAAGCATTTTGTCTTGACGCCTTGTAAAATGGTGCAAGCCAGAAAACAACTACGACGAATTTTACGACCCTGCTGAACTCTGTGCTGATCAATCTGGGTCTCTTGACAAGGTGCCGTGGAACGGCGGACCGATGTACCTAGGTATCCACAAAAGAAAACCCGAAAAATCCACATTGCTGCCAGCCTGAGAAATTGACTGGCACCCGCCACAATCAGTGGAATGCCTCGAAGAATGGGCTAGCCTTCCAGAAAAATCTCCACAATTTTCCTGTATATTATATGATAGCGCCACTCCCTCTCACCAATCACAGGAAAGGCATTGTGGCAGAGTGGTCTAATGCGATAGACTAGAAATCTATTTCCTTCGGGAGCGTCTGTTCGAATCAGGCCAATGTCGCTGTATAGCATCAGCGGGCGTCTACAGACGCCTTCATTTTTTGCATTACGGTCAGTATCCGTGGTGGTGCGGATTTTTCAGGGGTTGATTTGGCCTTTTTCTGTGGCCGGGGTTGTTTTTTGGGCCTGCAAGGGGTCCGGCTACACCGTGAAGACGGTATTACTGGGTTGCGACTGCCAGAAAATGAGCTCCAAGTCAAACTTGAAGTGCATTAGTTAAGTATCTGCCGTGTTATCAATTTTCACGCCTGCCCGAAATTGTTATATTTTTGGCAGATTCGGGGGGGTTTTGCTCAACCATCGCGCCCACACGTCTTTTCACACAAACGTACTGATGTCCACGCCGAATGATTTACTTACCACTGTTCTCAGGTGCAGGCGATGCATTGTAAACAGCCACATGGGCAGTGGTTGTGTCACTCGTGCATTTTTGCCACTGAAGCACTTCAGGGCCTGATGATTTTGGTTTTTCTTTCCGTTGCACTCTAAGCACCAGTCCTATTGCTTTAGTATATGCTGGACTGTTGTGAGATTGTTCCTATGGTGAATCAAGTGTTGCGCAACTTGCCAGTCATACTCGCAATCGAAAGCCTTATTATTCATCTAATCTATTCTAGCATCAGCCCTTTGAAGAGAAATGCGGATCGCCATTATCATCACTGGCGGCACGACCAGAATGGGCCAAGTGGTCTCGTACCGAAGATGATAGTATGCTCAATTTCACGTTGTCCTGTTCTAGAAAATCCGGGCTAAGTAAAGTTCCAGTCCTTGGTCGAGAGACCAAGTACCTCGAAACGTCGAATAATGCGTTGCTCCTCCTCTTCGTTTTGCCCTTTGATACGCTTAAGCCTACGCTTCCCAGCTACTGTACGAGACATTTCATCCACCTGAAACGCAAGCCTTTCGCCGTCCCTGCCCTCTCGCGTGTCCTGTATGACTGTGCGCTTCTCCAACTTGTCCGAATCAAGTTGCGACTCGAAACCTTCGAAGACGATGAACCCAGCTGCTACAATAGTGGCGTGTTGCGTGGGGACGTCGACGTTGAAGCCTCCGGAGTCCTTCTGGCGACGAAACATGCCCGGATATGGGCCACTGAAAACCAAGGGGTGTCGATACTCGTGATGTAGAAGGTGTAGCAAGACAGCCTGCCTGTCCACTCTTGCAGCCTTGGCCAGCTCTGAGACACTCCGGCAAACGACCTGCATGCGGAGGAAGTCGTGCCACGGCCAGTTCTCCACGTACCGGCTCTTGGCCACCACGAGGAAAGCACCGACGAGGAGCCAGCTGAACATGACCAGCTGGAAGGGGTCCACACCCGGCAGACTATCCTTTACAACGAAGGGTAGTGGGATGCTGCCGAGAATGGCGCCTATAGCGATAACTAGAGCAGTGCTTGAGTATCGCTTTGTGCTCACGCTGACAGTATCTTGTGTTACAGTCCAGCTCAGGATCTCGGCCTTCCGAGATGCATAGTCCTGCAAGACCTGTGCGACACCTTGCCGCAGCAAATACTCGGGGGAGTCATTGCCGATGTCTACTTCTGTATCTGTGCGAACGAGAGGACTAGGTTAGTAGCGCGAAACTACACAGAGATCCTCATCACCACTCTGATGATGAGCTATCAAAGTGGTTAAGAATGGAAAGTCCCTCACCGTCCTCTGAAACCATGAGTGGCGCTTTGAACGGCGGCAAAACACCGGCCTCCCTCTTGGCATCTCGTGATCTGGCAGCATGATTCCATCGCATGCTTAAATTTACCTCAAGCCTCGGGAAATTCTCGACTGATACCTGCAAGGCAGGCTGTGGGGGTTCATTTGCTGCTCTCACGAAAACGCTTAGTAGTGTATCTAGGGAAGTCACTCTCGCAGACTGGCCTGCAATGGCCATTGGCAGGAGGAGAGACACAACATGATCCAGTCGAGTGGTCTCAACAGTGCCTGTATCAGGTTTGGGCTGAGAATTGTCACTCTGGCAGTTCCAGACGACCTTGACTGAGTTGTCCGAATGACTGGCCGGAATGTCTTCGACCTGGCCTATTTTGCGTGATATTGCCAGCAGAAGTTTGAGAGCTGTATAGCTTCGAAGCATGTCCTTGATATTGGTAGATGTTTGGATTGCACCGCTCCCGTTTATGGTAAACTGACGCAGTTCTTGGTCGAGCCCACTTCGACAGAGAAGCGTGCGCAGTTGGTCTCCAAGGAGGAGGAATCGGACGTCGAGGGAGGATAACACCGCGGACACCAACGTATGGAGCTGATCACGGAACAAGCTTTTGCCCTGATAGTACCCGATGTCCCAATCAGTGTCATTTGGAAACACGACCGGCTTTTTCTCATCTCCAGGAAACTCGATAACAATGACATCTTCACTCTTTTGCATGGTGTTGATTTGTCGAAGAACGTCTTCTGCGCGCGCCAACGAGTTCTCTGCCCACCGTGTTGGATCCAGGGCAATGGTCTTGAGCTTGACTGACCAACGTGCAAGGACTGCAATGTAATGATTGCTGAAGCTCCTCACATCAGTGACGCGGACGATCCACCAAGCAAGCGAGCGAAAGACATGATCCAGCAGGGCATGATATGCCATCATATTCCGTCTTCCGTCTGGGAGAAGTTTAGGACGATGGCCCGTAACGCCAGCAGGGCGGTCCAAAAAGCGCGTTCTGAGGTGAACGCGAGATCTCATGAGTCTGTCGTAATTGTCCTCGGTCACATAGTGACTTAGTGCCACCAGTGCATTGTCGTGGTTGATGATTTGCAGCGCGTTCTCGAGCTGGCCGACTATGTCTGATAATTCGGAATAGCCGACTGAGTCCGTGATGCCCAAAGTGCCAAAGCTGTTGAATATCTCTGGTACCTCGGACTGACTAGCAAAGCGGACCAGCTGACTTATTTCCAGCTGCAGGTTGCTATTTTCGTCCTCGACTGTGATGCCAAAGAATGCAGAGTTGTCAAATGCTGGTAAATCTCTCAGAGTTACGCCGGACTCAGGAAGATCATAGCGCAGATAGTCTGTCGCTCTAGCGTATATTGCATCCTCGTCGAGGACTATATGATCTTCTTCCTTGTGTAGGTCGGGAGTCGACCTGTCTGCATTTGCCTGATTCTCCTCATCTCTTGGTTGCATGCAGTCAGTGGTCTTGTTCTTCCTGGCTGCCAAGCACAGCGGGGCAGACTGTCATCCTGCTAGGCGCACTTACGAAGTCCTGCTGCTCTGGATCGCCATATCGGGCTGAGCGTGGCTTGACTTGTGTCAAAAGCACTAGTAAAGTCTTCGGTGTGATGCTGCTTGCGTAGAAGAAGAGGGAGTGAAATGATGAGGAGGGCTGAGGGGGGATAAGCATTGCGGCCCGCCCCCGTCTCCCCTGCAGAGACCAAAGGCCTCGCCCCAATGGCTCCTCAGCTCTATGCACATCAGATTAACGACCCCGGCCCTGCAGCTTGCGGCGCAGCTGACCCCTGCCATCGCAATATTGGCACCACAGCCTGGGCGGCAAGGCTCGCTCATGGCCGAGGAATCAGGACTTCCCCCGCTCCCTCCATGATTCCTCAAAGCCTGCGTGGCACGATCGGCCGCCGCACAGCAAGTCCAATGCCTTGTATTCTTTTCTTCCAGCTCTGACAACCGAGCGCGAACCCTAAGCTTGCTGGAATCCCCCGCCCCTGAGCGCATGAACGAAGTCGCCGATCTCGGCACGTGCCCCTTGAGCCCCAAGTCGTTGCCTGCTTCACGCCTCCGAGCGACCAGTACGATACTACAGAGTCAAAGATCATGATGGATCTCGAGCCTTATCTGAAACTGAAGGAGAAAATGGGCGCGAAGGATGAAGGAGGTGTAAAAACTTCAGGTTGCACCCCCCAGGCGTATCATGGCCATAGCCACAACTAACGTCGTGCGATAGTCATCAAGTACGCCTACACTGAGCTCTTGGAGAAACAGCGAAAGGAGGGAGGAGAACCCCTGGTCATACAAAAGTCATCTGGCGTGAGCGCCAGAGATACAAGCTCTCCGTACAGCCAGTATGCGATTGTGGAGCGGGACCGGGTCAACAACAAAGGGGAGAACGAAGGAGCAGGCCTTGAGATTCAGAGTGAATTCATGCAAGAGGCACTCCGATCAATCATTGGCAAACACTCACAGATTGGCACCAGCGCCGATCCTATCATCTTCGAGAAGCCGTACTATGCGCTGTTCCACTGCCGTAAAGAGCTGCGGGAGATGGCTACACGTGCAAGCAACGTACCAGAACAAACCCAGCACCTCGGATGGCTCAACGATTTCATATCGAATAACCTCAAAGCTCTTGGCAAAGTACAGACAGGCCTTGTAGACAAGGGACTCATCGACTTCAAGCACCTACCTCTCATATTCGAAGCAGGTAGTGTTGTTGTGGGCCAGCTCCTGGTGCATGGCGAGCATATCAAGACTCCAGCTAAAGCTCACAAGACAAAGCAGCCAGAATGCTTCCTATTCCACCGACTATCTGAGCCTGTCAAAGACGAGAATACGGGGATGAAGTACATTGACATCGAAGTGCTGCGATGGGGATACAATGGCTCCATGTTCGGATTGACCAAGGAGAAGACGCGTATCAAAGAGTTCGCAGGGTCAAAGAAGATCACAGACCTTGACTGCTTCCCATTGCAGTACCTCGGGGAAGAGGAGAAGAACTCTTTGATTCCAAGACTCGTCCAGAGGGGCAAGATGTGGTGCCAAAATGTCGATGCGAGCAATTTCCAATACCAAGGTAGGATTGGTGGAAGGAAACTCCAGAATTTCATTTTAGGCGACGTATTTACTGACTTCTCACAGGTATTGCCATGGTGCCAGAGGAGTCTAAGCGGGGTTGGGAAACCAACCTTGTGCCAAAAGCGGTGGGTTTGCAGACAAGTATCATTGCCAACCTTTAAACCTACTTGCTGACATTGTTGTCCTCCAGCTATCTGGCCGCATCATCCTGGATCACCATGCCTTTATGCGCGCTTTCCCGGCATTAGGCAACCCGCTCTACAGCAGCGGCTCGTCCGAGGGCGCGGAAGATGATCAGGATGCAGCGCTATCGAACAACGCGCCTAGTCCAGCTGATTTGTGGACACTGTCATCCAAAATCACCATATATAGACTCGGGCTATGGAGCTTTTTTGACAGGCAGGATTTCAAGCCAACAGATGCCCAAGCCCTACTCTGCCCAGGAACGTCGCTAGGGTACAGCTTGCAAGGGAAAGAATGGGGCTACTTCGACGTTGATCTGCTCAACAATGTCGAGTGGGCCAAAGATCCGCTTGGAAAACTGGAGGTTCCCCAGATTCAGAAGGACATGCTTCTTGATCTGATCACCGATCACAACACTAAATCTGTGGGTATGGACGTGGCAGCTGGGAAAGGAGAGGGCTTGATATTTCTGCTGTGCGGTCCGCCCGGCTGTGGCAAGACACTCACGGCCGGTAAGTCTTTAAAGGCTACCTGAAAACCACTCAGGCATGCGCCTTTGCTGCCCATCGCTAATGACTCATCTATCGTGAACAGAAATGATGGCGGAACAACAAAAACGAGCCCTCATCCGTGTCACATCAGGCGACCTCGGGGACCATCCTGGCGAAGTCGATCAGCGTCTGACGGCCTTGCTCGAACTCGCCTTGCGGGCCTCTGCGGTAGTTCTGATCGACGAGGCTGATACCTTTCTCGCGAAACGAACTCGTGGCGGCTCGATTGGGGATTACTTCCACAATGCCATTGTTGCTATTTTCCTCAAGCAGTTGGAATACTTTCCTGGTATCATCTTCCTCACGACCAACCAGGACGACGACATCGACCCGGCTGTCATATCACGTGTGATTCGTCTACGTTATGGACGACTCAATCCCAGTGGCAGGGCAAAGATATGGAGACACCACTTGTCCCGCGCCGAGAAGGTTCCTAGTGAAAATGAGCTAGACCAGCTGTGCGCTCGCCTGGGCGAGGCCTTCGAGCTGGACGGTAGGGAGATCAAAACACTGTCCAACCTGTCATTGACGATATGCCGAAGTAGGAAGCGGGAGATCTCAGAGGAAGTGGTCAGGCAGCTCTTCGACTTGACACATGGGACCAGCGTCATTGGCTCGCGTGCGTAGCATTGTCACACGAAAGGGCTGGTCACACGAATTGCGCGAGCAGACCACGCACGATGTAGACATCCAATATATCACATTAGATCAGGCCAGACGTCATATCTCCCAAGGAGCCCCTAAGCAGGTACTCTGGAACAACGCCGAGCACCTGGCGCTGCGAACGAGATTCTCCGTGCTCCCCATGACAGTCTCAAACGCAGCCTCATTCGCAGATGCTCCGCCGCCATCCCCGGAATCCACGGGACTGACATAGCCCAACTGTTTCGGCGGCTGGTAATGATTCATGACCTGCGGGTTGACCACGAGACACTTCAACTTGCCCTTGCTGCAATAACCTGACAGCGCGACGTCAAAAGCCTCGAGCCCGTTCTCCGAGAAGCCTAGCTCGACAATCTTGCGCTCAACGAGCTCAGAACAGCCACCGCCCACGAGTTCCGCCACTACCGCGACGAGCAGTTCCACGGAACCACCGCTGCAAACCGCGCCGTACATCCCCCCTAGCCATGCGGACGAAGACTCCCCCGCATCGCCGTCGTCGTCATCGCAGTCCAACGTGGCGATCCTAGCAGGAGGGATAGGCGGTGGTGTCGGCGGCGCCATCCTGCTCGCATCCCTGGCCGCCCTGATACTGTACAGGGTCAGGAGGAAGCGCAGAGGAGCGAGTGACGGCACCGACCGCTCTCGAGGAGGGATGATGATGGCGGGAGGGAACAACAAGTTCCCGACGATATCACTGTCACCAGAATACAACAACCATAACCACAGCCATACAAACCACTATCATACGTACCACACTGGACACTCGTACCCCCCGCCGTTGCAGCCCGGCTCTGACGCCGAGTCGGGGTGCAGGAGCAGCAGCAGCAGCGGTGACGACAAGACGACGGACATGAAGTCTTACGAGCATGGATATGGGGGTCATGGCGTCGGCAGAAGCATGCAGAATTTGATGCAGCCGTTGTCACCACCTCGAGCAGCGTGGCTCTCGCCACCACAGGGGATTGCTGAACTGCCTGGGGATCATCATAGCCGATATCATCCTGTAGAGTTATGATGGAATTGCTTGAAGGAATGCAGTCGGGAGGATATGCCTTGGTGTACACGGGCCCAATCTGGGGGTTAGCATGATCTACAACTGGGAATTATCCTCAAACAAATCAAGCAAGACTTTTTTAGTGAGGGCGCATGTGCATGTCGAAGCACGCTGAGGCACAGTCACGGGGTCGTGCTTTGCAGCAAGGTACTCCTGTTAGTTTTGCCCACGAGTCTACGACAGGATTCCTGACAAAGGATGCAAAATGTTCCGTGGAAGGAATCAACATTGTGCATGGGCGATGGCCCCTACTCCCACCCAACACGGGAGAGACTGCCTTGGAGGGGCAAGCGTCGTCAAGCAGCGAGACGCGCCTTTGTGGGGAAGGGAAGCTCACCGTTAAGTGCGTAGGCCGGACCCAACTTTGTCAAAGGCAGACGCCGCAGGGGACTGGATGCAGCGAACAACAGCACGAGCACGCACCTGGGAGCTCACTCAGGTGGTAAAGCCACGTCCCCCGTTCCATCCCGTAGAGCCCTCCATCTTCGACGTAATAAGCTGGAGGGAGGACTGGTAGAAACGCGTGCGTTGTGCGTGCAGCATCTATTTCAGGCTGCTTAGCGCCGCCGTGTCTGGCAGAAGCGCTGCTGTTAGGCCGTGGGTGGCCGATTGGGCGACCAGCTGCGCCTGCTGAAACGCAACCAGCAGGTCCCGTCCTCCCCGGCGTCAAGTGCTGGCCTGCCGCCCACGGGAAAGGGCACGGCCTTGAAACACGAGCGAGGAGGCTGTGCTGCTTGCCGCTTCACATTCACAATGTCGGCGGAGGTAATCAACACAACAAGACAGCTAGCGCGCAGGCGTGACGTCGATGGTGCACTGTGAGGACGGGACTGGGCGCGCTGAAACAGGCCCGGGGCGCGTGCGTGCGTGGCCGGGTCCAATATCGACTCCTGGATATCATCAGCCTGACACTTGGTCGCGGTGCACATTCCACCAGGTAGGCGTGCAAGTGGGTTCTGCACGAGTGGCTAGCCCAACCCCCAAGGTTCTTGCGGAGGCGCAGTCGTTCGCTTGCTGGTGGATGTTGCGACAGCGTGTTGCGCGTCGGCGGGTCGGTGTTGCGGGTACGTGGAGGCGGGCTGCTCATGATCTCTCGTGTTGCGCTCTGGACCTGAGGATTGGGTTGGACGTGCTCGACCAGTAGTGGTCCAGAATCACAGAGAGTCAGAAACAACGGGCCATTGTCTTGCAAATTGCTGTCTGCTGCATAGAGCACTTGTGCCTCGATGGAAAATGCTGGATTGCGCAATCGGAGGCTAATCATCGCTCGGGTCAGGGCTAGGTGCTGCAAGCACTTTGGCCGACCCTGCTTTGGCGGCCGCTATCGCTGTCCAACTCCAAATCGCCCGACGGAGCCTTCCCCGTGTTGCCCTTAGCGTGGCGGGGGCCACCGTCCCCGGGCCAGACGACAAGACTAAAATGGCGACGGCCAAATCTTGCTTGTTAGCGCTGTGTGCGGCTTGATCCATGATGTTGCCCTCTTGCACAAGACTTTTAGCTACGGCCGCTTGACAAAGAGTCTCATGGAAGAACGAACAGCCGACAACCTGGGATGTGGGCAGAGGCTGTCTGTTGTTTGCAGGAACCTTGGAAGAAGCGCAGGTGTCTTTCCTGCTCTGTCCGCTCCACAGCGCCTTCCCCGCCACCAACAAGAAATGGTGTGGTTGCACCTGCCTGCACACCACATTCCATTTCTAGAAGGACGGGGCTGGACACCGTACCATAGTATGTAGCGTACCTCCCCTGTCGTCCCAAACCCCAACCTCAAGGGCCACCTGCATGTGGCTTGTAGACTCGGGGCGAGGCAAAAAAGACAAAGACCAGTGCAGGCTCTTCTCCCCCAAGATAACCGTCAAGCTTCGTTGCCAAGTCTTGCTATCATCCATATCTGCCAGTCCCATACTTGTCGATGGGCATTCTTGGCTGCATGTGCCAAGCCTGCCTGCACCGGACCACGCCGTATGTACCTCGCTGGATATCGCCATCACATCCTGGCTCAAAGATCAGCAAGAGCTCGTGTCTAAATATTGGCCACCGGCTGGCTGGATACCAATAAGCAAGATAAATCGGCCAGAAGCGAGCAGCGGCAAATTTAGCGTGGACATTGCTCATCCTTCAAAGGGCGAGTTGAGTGCGCGCTGATGAACTCGGCGTCAAAGAAGCGCGCACTGGGCCAGCCGTAAGCTGGACGATTGGCTCTCGCACGTCAATCGCAGTCGTGTCTTGTTTCATGGGCCAGCATCACCACGAGTCTTTGGGTGAATGGCTGCCATTTGATCAGTTCACCACAGACCTTGAAGCCAAGTAACAAGTACTCTTTGCATGCGTGAGATGTTAATCCCTTTGATCAGCTTGCGGGCCGATTGCCACCAGCTCGCAATCGTCTCCCCCCTCCAGCGCATGCAGTTGTTTAGAACCACCCCTGCAAACCAACCACCATTGGCTCGGTCGCACAAACCAGTTCTGCTTCCCGGATATTGCACCGATGTTGCGCAGAGAGGTTGTCGCTCGCCGGCTTGGACCAATTTAACCTCTTCATCCTGAGCGTTGCATCGCTTGCAAAGTGTCGCCTGTCGTCATTGTTACACCACATTACAAAGGAGATCGACATTTGTTGTGTCTCTGCTCCATACTTGTATGCAGCTAACCTTTTTCCACAAGACGGTGTAGATCAGTAGTCGTGGTACGCAAGCAAAACAAAACGATGGACCTGGAGTTGTGCCGTTTTTCAAGCAGGCTTTTGAACAATGCATATTATGCCTTGACAAGAATACATGAAGCGATGCTTGATGCAGAGAAGGCGTGGGCATGCAGATTACCACCTTGCGAACATTTTGTACATATCCGTGTGCACCTCTCATTCCCCGGGTCCCTCCCACTCCCTCCCCCTCCCTGTCCCTGGCCTGGTTCACACATGCCTCTTGGCGTGAATTTGCCACATGCCACTCGCTGCGTATCTGAGAATGCAGTCAACAGTAACGCCCACGCCATGCTGGCGACCAAGACGGCCGAGGTGGGTACCAGAAAAGTACGGGCACTGACCCAATCAAATCCCCTACAGAGTGTCCGGACTTTTCTGCTCACAGCCTGACGGCTTCTGTAGCTGGAGGTCCGCTGGAGATGAGCAGTGAAAGATCAATGGCTTGGCTGTATCGGCTCATGCGATCATGCTTCCGATGACCAGCGAACTGTCAGTCGATATCGAGCGGTTGCTGGCTCTCCGCGTGCCGCCAGTCGTGCCACCGGCTAAAGATGTTGGGCCAGCCCCCCCGCAAGACCGGTTGCTCATTGGCTTTGGACGGTGCTCGTTCTGGCCAGGCTGGCTTGCGCAGCCAAGGACAACATCCACCACAGTGGTCCACACCAACAGGCTGGCTGGATGCCCACCGCTGGGGGCCAAGCAGTAGCCCCTGCGTCCAGGCCTCACACCCCTGTCATGGCCGCCGCATTAGCGCGCTCCTGTTCCTTGTCTCGCCTGGTTCAGGGCCTGTCCCAAGGCGCGGCGTCCCTGGAGCTAGCGTGCGCTAACACGGCCTGCAATCTAGCTCAAGGATGGTGTACGGGTGTAACTCCTCCGCATGTGTGCCCCAACCAGCACGCCCGCCACCCTCTCTGATAACAGCATGGGTCACTCCTGCCGACACGACACGGGGTCCTGCTTGACAGCACTTTCCTTACAAGTTCCTTCAGTCTGCTCTTCCATAGTCTCTCGCTCAAACCATCCACTCCACGGTTTACTTCTCCGGCAAACCTCGCAGCGCGTTGATCGCCTCAGTCCTCGTCATCCCCCAAAACTATTACGCTACACTGCAATTGCATCTGCGTTGCGGTCCGACATCGCTACGTCGATATCGCCCTTTGCGCCTGCCATTGATCACGAAACAGCCACCCTCTTGAGACCAGCGACAACACCTTCAACATGAACTTCACCAAAAAGTTCGACCGTGCCTTCCAATGGGCCGGCGAGAAGATGGGCCAGGAGGCCAAGACATGCCATACAGACGACTTCAAGGCGTTGGAGACCGAAATGGCTCTCCGGCACGAGGGTACGTTACAATCCACGCCCCTATCCACTCATACAATGATCTGGCTCTGACTGAGAAGTTGATGAATAGGAATGGAGCGCCTGCAAAAGTCAATGAACACATATGTCAAGCACTTGTCCCGCCGCTGCGACTCGTTCGAGGACAAGGAGAAGGGCTTGCCTGTCAGCTTTCTTGGCCGGACCATGATCGCTCACGGCGAGGACTTCGAGCCCAATTCGGAGTTTGGAAACTGCCTCATCGGTAAGTGGTGCGCGAGAGACTTGAGGAGCCAACCAAAACTGACGCTTGCGACGTCCCACAGCTCTTGGCACTGCCAATGAACGCATCTCGGGCATCCAGGAAGGCTACGTTGCTAACGCCACGTCGTACTGGCTCGAGTCCACGGAGCGGTCTCTAGCCATGATGAAGGAATACCAGGTAAGAACTCTGTGCTCTTCGATAGTACGCGCACTTAAATGTCGGTCGTGCCCATGCTGACCACAATGTTCTACAGAACGCCCGCAAGAAGCTGGAGAACCGCCGCCTCACTTACGATGCCAACACGATCAAGATCCAGAAGGCCAAGCGCGAGGATTTCCGCCTCGAGGAGGAGCTCCGCGCATCCAGAGCCAAGTACGAAGAATCGAGCGAGGATGTGTATCGCAGAATGCAAGACATCAAAGAAGCCGAGGCGGAGAGCACACAGGATCTGACCAGCTTGCTCGATGCACAGCTCGAGTACTACGAGCGTTGTGCCGAGGAGCTACGCCGTGTCCGTCGCGATTGGGTCGGAGGGCAAGGCCACATCTCTAGCGGCGGTCCGAGGTCTCCAGACCACGGCTCGCGCCGCGCCACTCGGAGCAGGAGCAACACGGCGCACTCAATCTCGGAGCGCAACGACCGCACAGAGCGCTGGGCTACGCGTCAGGACATCCACGAGGAGCCCGAGCCCAGGGACGAGCCCGAGCCCCGCCTGCCCATCCGTTCTGGCCGCATCACAAGCAACGGCTCTGCCTCGTCTGAGACCAGCAGCCGCCCGACAATCACTCGTGCTAACACGTACGGGGGCACATTTGAGGGTCCTGCCAGCCGCCAAGGTTACCGCGAGCCTCCGCCGCCCCCAATGCCTCAGAATGGACTGCTGCGCGTCAAGTCTGCCACGCAGCAACCGCCGCCGCCAAATGTCAGCACTCTGCGCAACAACCTGAGACCTGTGAGCCGCGTGTCGACCAACCAGAGCAGCGACGTGTTTGCGGACGACTATGACACGGGCACGAGCACTGGAAGCCCCGACTACGACCGTAGCGAGAGCCCAGCTACCAGCTACGGCAGCTTGAGTCGGACCACGAGCAACACTGGTCTTGCGTCATCCGGTGTTCTGGCCAAGAAGGCCCCGCCACCGCCGCCCAGCCGATCGAAGAAGCCCGCGCCACCCATTCCTGCCCGCAGGGCCGATTCGGCGTACTAGGGGAGCTGAGTTGAGCTGTTCCAGTAGGCCAGCCAGTGTGTCGGAAGTCCCACAGATGCGGCGAACAACGCTGCCACTAATTTGAAGCATGAATGCCTTGCGTGCACATAGAAGTGTTATGATACACACTGGGTTTTCGGGGTTTGTCCCTTGACCCCATTCAGATGAAGCGAGGCGGGCTGTTTTCCTGGTTTGGTTGGCGTTTGGAGTTTTTGTACATTCTTGTTCCCATGGAAAGACAGATATGGGATGTGAAGAGTCACCCTTGGGCGGCATTGCCGAGGCATAGAAAATCCAATTACCGGACAGGTTCCGCATTCCCACAGAATACCGAACATACCATTGAGTGCGTGGCAGACCTTGCTACATCTGACTAACCAGCATAGGGCGCCATTGAAGCCATCAGGGTGTCGCGTGCTCTGACGGAAGACGACGTAAACCCGCCGGTCTTCTTCTGAAGCGGCTGCGAATGATGCCGGACTGGACTGGGCAAGAGCGACAACGAGGCAGGTGCTTAATGCTGGCAATGCGCGCCATTACGAAAAAGAAAGAAACCCTGTCCCCATGGACAAAAGGGCCAAAGGCCAGATGCCATAGGCACGGGTAATCAACAAGAACATGGCGGACAGGTCTAAATTGCCAGGACAGCGATGTGACGTTTCCAAATGGGTTGACAAAGCAAAAAATATGCCCGCAAGTCCGGCGGAGTTGCTGTTATCCCCTGTGGGCTTGGTGAATGTGTGTGTCCACGACTGGGAGTCTTGCAGTGGGGTGGGGAGGAGAGGTTGGCCCGCCGGTGTCCGACTGCCACCTCGGACCACCCGCCGCAGGATCTCAATCTCGCTGTCCGGCCCTTCCTTGGGGGCTGGCGTGTGTGTGCGCTGGGTGGTGCCCCACTGTCTCCCTCTCCCCCGCAAAAGGTCGCCCTGGCAAATGGTGGGATGTTTGTGGTATGACTTGGGGCCCTGCCTCGAGGAGGCGCCGGCCGGCCGGAGAACGGCTGCGACCGGAGGATTTAAGCTGGGCTGGTGGTTCAAGCATCCCGGGTGGGATGGATGCGCGCGCGTGTTGCATGTCCGGGCGCCCGGGGAGCATGGATTTGAGTGAGGCTCTGCCGTGGGTTTTTGGCAACATCTAGCCAATGGGGGATATCTGGCCTGCCTTTTTTCTGCTTTGTTGTCACGCAGTGACATGTTTGTTGTTTGATAGCCACATCCAGGCAGTCTTATCCATTCATAGTGTGTACGAAAAACAAGCAAAATTAGGATAACCTTGGTGTCCGTGACCAGAACAGCTACAATAGACAGAGCAGCCATCCGGTAATGATGAATGATGCATGATGATTGGCGGATCATGGAAATGCCATGTGGGTTCTGGAGTTTTTGGCTTTTTAGACTCGCCTTTCCCTCCAGCGGACTCGCGCGCGCCGCCCAAGTGCCGAGACCTGCTCTCTACGGTGGAGGCTAGAAGGAAGAAAAGGACCTTCTTTCTTCTTCCGGGAACGGGGGAGCTGCCAGGCGGGGACACACACACACACACACACATGGCGCCCTTTTGGATCGACAGGAAGAAACGAGAGCACTGGTGCACTCTCCTTTTTTCTCGTCTCTTGTGTCTGTTTTCCCCCAATGTCTTCTTTTTTGCGTGTCCTTCCATCTCGTCTGGTCTATTTCATGTCCATGCGTGCAGGCCAAGCGCGACAGTGCCGATGCCAAGGCATACCATCTGAGCTAGTCGTGATAGGGACCTGCCTGTCTTGAGCAGCGGGTCCTCGCCAGCACAAAGAAGATCTGCCATGGATCCGCTGGTCAAACTCGCAGGACTGAGGGCAATGCCGAAGGACTCCGCAGCAGCTAAGCAAGCAGGCATACAAGGGGACCAGAAAAAAAGAAATGGGGAACGGGAGAGAGCAGGCAGAGAGCAGCAAAGGATGGATGCGTGTTGCGTGCGTGTCCGTCCTGGGCCGGCAGGGGAGCCCATTCTGGACAGAGTGCCGGGTCCGTCCTCCAGGGTGGTGGTCTCTCTCCGCGTTACGCCCGCCGGGCGGCGGGAGTGCCGTCGTCCCACGACGCAGGCAGGGAGCAGAGGGACCGAACATGTGACAACTTATATATTCTCCGGGCCGCACCTCTGCTGGGCCCGTCGTCCCGTCGTCGTTTCGCCGTCCTGTGTGGCTTTGACCCGACTGATTCAGCATATCTGGACTATTGCCAACGACGCTTCCTGGGAGATCGCCATCTACACGACCGCCTTTGACCAGCCGCCGCCGCCGCCGCCACACAACAAGACAAGCTTATCTCTCTCTGTGCAGATAGCCCGGCACACCTTAAGGTTGTTGCCCCTCACGCTCAACCACCCTCCCCAGCCCAGCCAGCGAAAGACACACTTCAGGCACACCCGCCCGGAGACAGCCGGCCACCGCTACTGCAGCTCTTCGGAGTGTTGTTTTGTTTGTCGCCACTGCGTCACTAGGCCACACCAGCCGCTGCGCTACGCTACTTGGAGGTACCAGACACACCTCAGCTCTTCTCCCACGCCAGTGCACGTGTGACCGCGCCGGCACGCGACTTCAAACGCATCGCACGAGGGGTCCTCGCCGGCCTACTTGCACGTCCTCCCCCTCGCACAGCTGCAACAACCACACGACACGCGCCCCCTCACGGCTGCCGCACGTGGGCTCTGTCACGCGGCTCGTCGTGTCTCTTTTCTCCCTCGCCTCAAGAGTTGCACATAAGGCACACCGTCGTCCCTTTTTGAGGCCATCACCACCGCCACCGCGCATCACCGCCTCATCCCCACCGTGACCCCGCCTCACATACAAACAAACAGACAGACAGTCAGACAGACACATCACACAACACACAATGGGCTCAGCACAGGAGTTTCCCACGGCAGACCTGCCCATGGACCTCCCGATCATCGACCTCGACGTCTACCTGCGCCACGGCGCCGACTCGGACGCCGCCCGTGCCGAGTGCGCAAAGGCTGCCCGCGCCCTCATCACCTACGGCGCCCTCATCCTCCACGACTCGCGCGTCGCCGAGCAGGACAACGTCACCTTCCTCGACCTGCTCGAGGACTACTTTGCCCAGCCCGCCGACGCCCTGCGCGAGGACGAGCGCCCGGACCTTGGCTACCAGGTCGGCGTCACTCTCGAGAACACCGAGAAGCCCAAGTGCGCCGTCGACGAGCCCTGCCTCGACGTCATCGAGCGCCTCGCCCCCAGCGAGCGACCCCTCGACATTGGCGGCCACGAGCCGGACCCCAAATGCCGCTTCTTCTGGAAGATGAGCGAGGTGCCCCCATACGAGACGCAGTTCCCCAGCCTGAACGCGCCAAACGTCATCCCCAGGGCGGAGAATATTCGGGACCGCTGGACACCGGTCATGGAGAAGTGGGGGACGTCGATGAAGAGCGCGTATGTATTTTCCACAAGCTGGGTTCAGTCCGCGGGGTTGGAAATGCTCCCCCGCAGCAACTGAGACATTGACTGATATATCTCTTTCTATATTCAGTGTGACGGGAGTTGCCGAGATGGCTGCAGTTGGCATGGGTCTGCCCGCGACGACTTTCTCAGACGCCGGCAAGTACGGGTAAGCACACACACTCTGCCTCTCTCTGGACTGGAGCAGTAACAAGATTGAACAATCAACTGACACCACACCCAACAGCCCCCATCTCCTGGCCCCCACGGCGTCGGACCTGCAAAAGTACGGCAAGCAGGACACCATCCTGGCCGGGTTCCACACGGACCTCAACTTCCTCACCATCCACGGCCGCTCGCGGTACCCGGGCCTGCACATCTGGGCGCGCAACACGGGCAAGAAGATCCCCGTCAAGATCCCCGAGGGCAACTACCTGCTCGTCCAGGCGGGCAAGCAGATCGAGCACCTGACGGGAGGGCTCGTCAAGGCCGGGTACCACGAGGTCGTGGTCAACGAGAGGACGCTGGCCGTCATCGAGAAGCGCAAGGCCGTATTTCCCGACCGGCCCCTCGTGCGCATCAGCAGCACCTTCTTCTGGCACCTCAGCAGCGACTTTGACCTCGCGCCCATCCCGTCGCTCGTCCAGCAGGCCAAGGCTGTCCGCGCCGAGCAGTTCAACCTCGGCAAGGACGAGGGCGAGGAGGTCGACTACGTGGCCATGAAGGTTGGCCAGCAGGTCCAGAGCGAGCTCAAGCACATTGCGCTGATGACGTGATGTCATTTTCTTTTGTAGTAGGAGAGTTGCCTTGAAATTGGGCATATATGAGGACTTGCCTTCACGCGAGAATGGGCAGTTTATGAACTCTTTTTTAAGCGATGAGCAGCCGAGGGGAGGAGGAGGAATAGCATTTGCCGAGAGCGTTTCCCATCATATATGATATACACATGTTTTTGCTTTTCTTCATTGATCATTCTGGGAGCATAGCTACGCAGAAGCAGTGGACAAAGGAGGAAGAGGGCATCAAGGGTCAAGAGATCAAGAGCTGGAAAAATGAGGCAGGGAGCTCTGCCGCGCACATATAATATAGCCTGATACCAACATTATATGGAGACTGAGAAGAACGGGATGACGAATCACTTTTGAGAAGAAACACGAGAAGCGGCATCATAGCGGAAGCGTGTTTCACATAAACATGAACTCTGGGGACGAAAGTTCAGCTTCTCGTCTCACAACGACTGCTACGAACCTGCCCCCCCCCCCCCCCCCCCCCCGCGCCTTTGATGTCCTAGTATAGGCACGCAAAGTGGGCTATTCTACCTATCTCGTTGTGTCAAGTGTAGTATTGTCTTGCATGGCAGCACAAAGCATGAAGGTCACGTTGATCTATGCCTGTAGGACTGTCTTATTAAATGCTTGTTTCCTGCTAAAAGTCTCATGCACCCATTCTCCATGTTCAGGTCGACCTGCCCGATCCGCAGGCGGGAATCGGACCCCTAATTTTGTCCAGGGCCGACGGAAGCCGCGAGAGGATGGCCCACTATCCTCAGTGCAGCTGCAGCACTATAGCATTGGCGAACTGGTACGTGATACCATTGCATACCTGCGGCCCCTTCTGCCCGTTCCCTTGCCTGACCCTCATTGGTGGGCATGACCTACAACGATCACGGGCGGCGCCGTAGCTCGCGATCCAGACAGACAAAGAAACAACGTCATTGTCGGTGACCAAGCAATACGCCCTGTACACGGACGCAGCTACTTGTTTGTGTTTGCGTGTGAGCTTTAGTGATTGAATCACACCGGAGTCCTCTTGAAAGTTTTCATTATCATCATCACCGTTTCATCCACTGGATTGTTGACCATGACTTCCCGCTAACCACGGAGACTGGCCTGCCACCAAGCACGGCATCGAACTTTGTTGTTGTGCCGGCAATGCAATCCTGCAGAAATGGATGTCTTCAGCGAATCGATACTCCGGCTGAGGCTGTCTCACGAAACGTAGTGGAATGAAACAGGGCATCTATTTCTATTCCTAGATCTCTCATGGTCGAAAAGTGAACATTCATTGTTGCCGTCCTCGTATATAAATGGTCGAGTAGCCTCTTCATTCGTAGTTGAGATATAATCAGAATCGCATTCATCAATCCCATCGCATGTAGCTCACAAAATAGCGAACAACTTGAAGTGGACAACAGAGCTACTCCGAACTACCAAACCAAAGACAAACCATATAACCTCGCGCAGACATCCAGTATGTCTGCCAGACTTCCCACCCCCCTCAAGCACCACCGGCGGGCTGACGCAGCCCCGTTTCCCAATACCGCCCGAGAGCTCTACGTTGAGCTGGCCAGCATGATTGCCCTGCCATGCCCCGAGCCCGTCCTGCCGGGCAGTGTTGCATACAAAATGCAGCGACTTGTGGTGGAGCTCGTCAGTGCGCTGTGTATCAACGCCAAGATGTTCGAGATGTCGCACACAGCGCCAGTGACGACCTGGCCTTCGCCGCCGCCGCTGACGCAAGGCGCAGGTTCTTGCGAACACACCCAGGCTCCTCCCAGCGAGCAATACAAGAACGGAAAATATACCGACATGACCGACGATGAGCTTGACACCATCATGGTCGCCACGGAGAATACCAGGCGTGAACTCCCCGTGCAACCTCTCGCCCACATCCATCGGCTCCACGAGGAATTCACCGTGTCGTGCATCGACCGTGTGGACCATGGCCAGCGGGAGTTCTTCACCGTGGCGCACTTCGTGAACTATCTGTCCGAGTGCTCGCGCGTGCTCTTGAGCTTCAAGGACGCGCTGTGTGACTTCAACGACGTGGCCGGGGAGCTGTACGCCGAGAACAAGCGCCGCAAGACACTCAAACGACGCACCCCGGCTGTCGAGACCGATGCAATTCAGACCACCGGGAGTCTGTGCCCGGCCGAGGAGCAGATGTGCAAGGCGGCGGAAAGGTTGCTCCAGAACAAGAAGGAAGATGCCGATCTACTGGAGCTAACGGAGAAAAGAAAGACGCGAGAGGCCGCCCCTCCCGGCGGCGAGAACCAGTGATCAGCCCAGTGCGGCAAGTGTATCAGAACAAGAATTGCAGGCGTCATCGCAGCAATGCTGAACCTGTAGCACCAACCAAGGCTCAGAAACTGCATCATTGTTGATATCTCCAAGAAGTTGATCTAGGATGACTGAGGGGGCTTTTGGAGTTTTCTTCTTGCTGGCTGTAACCACTTCGTCAACTTGACATACAATCAGCTATGAAGTTGTACTGCCTTGGCGGATGACCATTCGGTGAGCCCAGAGCACAATTGTCCACTTTGGTCGGTGTTACGGACGTTATGCCTATGCCCGTGAACTAAATATGCACATGTAAAAGCCCCAAGCTATCACACATAGAATCCTATGGAGTGCGCGTAACGTTGCACAGGCCCGAGTCGACACCCAAACGATGTCGGCGTACCCGCGTTGCCCGGAGTCACCAAGTCTTGCTCTGATATTGCACCATGTGTATTCACCTCGGTCCCGCGCCTCCGATAATCCACCTTCAGCACCTTTGCAGAATTAAAATGCCCCTCGTCGTCCGGAATCGTATGAAAGAAAGTAACATGGAACAAGTCAAGCGCCGGGTCGACCCGTTCGTCCAGCACCTCGGGCCATATCCTCGAATAGCACGCCTGGATGACCAGCCTGTCGAGCCCGCGGAACCCCACGACCGCCTTGGCGAGCGCGGCATCTCTCGCGAGCTCAACACAGCAGAACGGGGTCGGGTGGCCGCCGTGACGGCCCCAGCGCACCAGGGCCTCCGAGCCTCTGCTGGACTTCTGGAAATACTGGTCGTCATGAAATACGCCGAGACTGCACTGCCGGCGGTAGTGGTCGTGCCTGAACGTGAACTTGAGCCGCCGCAGCTGGGGTGACTTGTCGGCCATGCTTTTCAGCGCGCCCAACCAGCGTCCGTGCTCGCGCGGCCTGGCCGGTGTGAGAATATGGATGTCCATGCTGGTGATGAACTCTAGGGGCGAGGCTAGCTCGGTCGCCATGCCGCTGCTTCCTGCTCCTCCTCCTCCTTCTCCTCTTCCTCTTCCCCCCTTCCGCGTTCGCAGCAGTCCGTCGAGACGCGACAGACTGATATCGGCACCGGCATCCAGACAGACCATCCTGCGCGAGTACACCAGGGGCGCGAACTCGCGAAAAACATGCCTGCACGTGCAGACGAGCTGCATCGCGGGCCGGCCCCGAAGATCAGGGTGCTGCTTCCTGGCGGCCTTGTGCCTGCTTCCGAACCAGGGCTCCACGGCGCGGGCCTGTCGCCGCTGCGCCTGCTGCTGCATGTGCTGTTCCAAGGGGAGCTGCTGGCCGCCGCCGCCGTGGGCATCATCATCGTCATCGTCATCATCGTCGGTGTTGTTATCGTCCTTGCTGCTTCTGGCCGCTGGGGTTATCGTTGTTGCCGTTGGCTCGTCTTGCTGTTGCTGCTGCTGCTGCTTCTGCTTCTGCTTCTGCTTCTGCTTCTGCAGGTGAGACGCGTCCGCTAGGGGCACGAGCTTGAGCCCTTGTGCTCTGTACAGCAAATGCTCGTAGATTTGGTTGCGAATCTCGGGCGGAAGGTCGAGGAAGGACAGCAACCTGCGCGGCTTACGCTCTCTTGCATCTAGCTGGCGCTTGCGAAAGTATCTGGCGGCATCATCGACATGCAGGCTTTCATCGAACAGCCCAGGCAAAGAGTGATGATAGTAGTCATCGTTGTTGTTGTCGTCGTCGGTGTTGCCCCCGCCGTCGGCGACTAGGTCATGCTTGTGCATTTCATCCATTTCGTTCGTTGCCCACTTCACGTGGTTGTGAAATTCTTTGCTAGGTGCAGCCAGGTTTGCTGTCCGGCAGCAGGGTATGCTTCCCCCATCATGTATTGCTTGGTCATTAACTTGAATGAGTCATTGCCTGCGTGCAGGGTTGAATCGGTTGCATCCCCCGTGGCCGGCGGCGACCTTTTGTGCAGAGAGGGGGTTGGCCCCATTCTGTGCCTCACGATAGCGGTCGGTCGGCTTCCTTCAAAGCGTGCCCTGGGGTTCTTTTAGTCAGCAAGCAACTTTGCGTAGCAACCTTGGAACCACTTTACACTTTACTGGACCACTTGACTGGGCCACTAGTGAGCCGTGACTACGAGTACAAGTTCGCATACTACAAATTATAGAGTAGCATATAAAGTTTAAAACTACAAGGAAAAGAAAACGGACGGGTATGTAGTGGCAGCTGTGATCGGGGTTCTACAGTAATACATAACTACATGGGTATAAGTACACAACATCTAGAAGTAGTAGACTCAATCTACGGGGCGAAAATGATAATAAGGCAGCTTAATAAAACCTCTATCTACCCTTTTATAATAATATTCTTGATGATCTGTGCCGCCTCCTCAAGACGACGGGTGAATAGTTTCGTATTACCCGTTGTTCCATCGATAGCGACGTAGATACTAGTTATGAAAATGTAGAATTAGCTCAAGTTTCGAGCATAAAAGAAATTAGAAGAATAGCAAGAAAACCTGGAGAGATATCTGCTTACCTATAATCTCGAGGACTGACGCTGACAAAGAAGCAGTCTGGCGGCTGCACACCGTGTGTCATGTTGGCGCACGCCACGCCGCTGGGGACGTGGTGCATGATAATGCAGGGCCTCTGCCACAGCAGCCCGGGTTCGAAGAGCGCGGCCTTGGGCTCGTCCTTTGGCCATGCGTTGTTGAGAAGCTCGAGAAATCGCAGGTGTGACCGCCCAGCGAGGCAGCGCTGCATGTTGGCGGTAAAGTCGCGGCCCAGACTTAGAAGAGCGGCCTTCTTGTCGGCCAGAGACGAAGTATTTTGCAGCGCGAGCGTGCAGAAGTCGACGGCAGAGGCGGTCGTGGCTTGGAGCATGTCGCTGCGGCCGCGGTGGTACCCAGCCATAGACACGCTTTCCCATACCTGCACACTGCGTCCGTAGTAGAGACGCGCGGCGAGCTGGACGACTGTGTCGAGGATGGACTTAACGGGCATGTTCCACGCCATCAGATCCTGCGTGCCGAATGTGTCGAGCATGTAGTTGGCGTAGTCGGCGCGGGACGTCACGGCGAGGTATCGCTCGCGTAGGACGAGCATCTGGGTGTCGATCTCTTCTGTAGACTTGAAGGCGACCTCGTGCAGGTCGATAGGGCGAGCAACCTCATCACTATCATTCGCGTCTTGCGTCAGCTTCTGAGCTTCGGCAGAGCCTTCGTTAATAGCCTTCTGGATCCATTCGGAAAAGCGCCACGCCGTCATGCCGTCGAGCATTGCGTGCTCGAGGATCACCGTCGACTTGCCGTTGGCCGCGACAACAAGCTGCGTCGTTTTGTCGCTCCACCGGTTGAAGCCGTTGCCGAACCACGCCTGGCGGACCTGCTCTGCATCGGACTCGGGGGCGCCGTCGTCGAGGCACAGCACAAAGCAGGCTGACTCAATGGTCGAGAGATACTCGGCGTTGGCTGGACTATTGGCAATGCTCCCCGCGCGTGTCTTTGCCCACTCGCTGCGTCCATCCACGGTCAGAATGCCCGTCCAGACGTCTGCCCCGTCCCGCGTGGCCTGAAGAATGGCCTCGTACGTGGCTCTAAGCCTGGCCTGTGGGACGGACTGGCCATGCTTGTCCTCGACCGAGACCTTGAATACACGGCCCTTGCTGAGCACCGCAACGTGCCTCGAGGCGAAGTCGGGCCCGTCATACAGGCGCATTTGGTCGACCTCGCGGCCAGGCTCCCGGACGGCATCAAACAGCCACCGCAGCGACGAGTTGCACGTCGGTTTGCCAAAAAACCACTGGGGCTTAACATCGTGGTTGATGATCTGGGCTCGGAACTCGACTAGCGCCCGCGTGAGGAGCGCGGCGCGTTCGGCTTGGGAGTGCTGCCGGTCGTCGTCGCCAACGCTGTCCGCGTGGCCGCCGACGAAGCTCGAGTAGGGCGCCATGGGCTCCCGGCGCTGCAGATACAGTGCGTTCGCGACCAGATCTGCCGACCAGTTGTCCACGGCCGGGTCGTCATGAGAATCGCGGAACTGGGCATGGATGCTGCGGGCATGGCCGCCGGGCTGGCGGAGCTGCTCAACGCCCTGCTCTAGTTTGAGGCGGGTTGGGCCGTCGAGCAAGTGGGCGTTATTGGAGAGGACGTAGTCGAGCACGTCGTCGAGATCAGGCAGGGGCTGCTTGGAGACATGCGCAGAGTGTCTGCAGCAGCTGAAGCTGTGGCTCGTTTGGACCTTTTTGGTGCTGTTGGCGTCAGGAATGCCACTCTGGATGCCATTCGTGCCCTTCACCTTGTGATCGTGTCCATTCAGGCTCGGTCCGGCTGTGTCCAGGTCCGTGTCTGCCACGATGGCCGCCTTGGGAGCAGTTGATGCTCGTGTCTTGTCACTGATAAACTTGGATCGTCCAGCCAAGAGACTCGCCAGTGCGTTGATGCTCAGTGCCCCCGCAATTTCGGAAGCCTGCACAGGAGCCTGGAAGGTCCTGGAGAGCCAGTTCTTTAGCTCGATCAACACGAGCGAGTCGAGGGCCAGCTGCACAATTGGCACGTCGACAGGTACCTCGACATCGAGAAAGGCGGAAAACCTGGCTGCCGTGGCTGCCGCGATGATCTCAGATGCTGCCTCAAGTGTCTTGGCGCGCGCGACCAGCTTGCCCGGATCCTGCTGTGCCTTTTTCTGATCTCGGTGGGCTGCACCGTCCTGGCCATCTTTACTCGCGTCTGCCTCTGGCAGCAGCTTGAAGATGGGACTCACGACGCGTGCCGATGAAGAAACGCCCTGCATCGTCTTGATCGTGTCCTTGGAAATGCCCGCGATGCTGTGTGAGAAGTCATCGCACACCGCGAGCGGGCTCATGGCGTACTCGAGCAGCAGCATCACCTCGCTAAAAGTCATGAAGAGGATGTTGAGCTTCTGCAGCTCGGCGCCTTTCTGCGGCAGGCTTGCGATGTGGCGAGAGCCAGCCACGGCGCCAATGTCGAGCGAGACGTAGCGGGTCCTAGACCCAGCATTGGCGTTCTGGGCGTCTGCAAAGGCGTCCTGGAATGTGTTGCCTGCCGCGTAGTTGCTCTGCCCCTTGTTGCCGATGATGCCGGTCGACGACGAGAGGAGGATCATAAAGTCAAGCATGTCAGAGGCAAACGCGTCGTGCAAGTTAAGCGTGCCGTGGACCTTGGGCCGCACGGCCATCATGTACTCGTCGTGCGTCATGAGCTCGATGGGGCGGTCCTTGCGAAGAGTCAGCATGTCGCCTGCCGGCTGCAATGTCTTGTCGGATAAGTGCATTTAGTTGCTTACCGCAAGGGCCAGGCCAGAGTGGATAACACCACGAACAGGCCAAAGATCAGTCTTGAGCCTCTCCGCAAGAGCCCTGACATTGCCAGCATCACTGACATCACAACGGACTGACTGGAGGTGGCAACTGTTTCCTGCAGCCGCCATCTCGGCTTTGAACTCTGCAAGTGTGGCCTCGTCTGGCAGGCTCCTCGACATGGTAACGACACAGCCAGCTCCGTTGCGTGCGAGAAGCAAGCACGCTCGCCGGCCAAGATCGCCAAGCCCACCTATAACAACGTATGTCCCCTTGCTGTTCAGTCTCAGGGCTGGCGGAGGGCCGACGGTAGCCTTGACCTGCTCGTCTTCGTCGGCAACCAGAACGATCTTGCCCACGTGGTCGCGGTTGGCCATCATCCGAAACGCCTCTTCTACCCTGCTCATGGGAAGAGTAGTGACGGGGGCCACGGCTCGGAGGTGGCCGCTCTCAAAGAGCGCGAATACCTGCTTGAGAGCGTTGCCCACGACACGCGGGCGTTTGTGAAGTATCAACATCATATCTACAGCGGCAAATATGATGCCCCTATCAAAGGAAGCCATTCCGAGGTGATTCTTCTTGTATATGTCGGCTTTGCCTATCTCGATGAACCTGCCGAAGGCCCCGAGGCACTCGACGCTGGCCCGCAGCTGCTCGCCTGCAAGGGAGTTGAGGACCACGTCGACACCCCTGCCACCGGTTTGGTGCAGGATGCGGTGCTTGAAATTGTCCGAGCCGGACGACAAGACATGGCTTGCGGGAATACCGTAGGTTTCCATGACCAATTGCCGCTTGGAAGCCTTTCCCACCGTGGTGAATATTTCGGCGCCAAGGTACTGAGCTATTTGGATTGCTGCTTGGCCGACACCGCCGGAGCCCGAGTCTGCTTCATTTGTTAGTGTACAAATGATGCCATCCAGGAAAACTCGCTTCAGGGGATCATGTCTAGAGGCATAATACGGTAGAAAAGCACAGCTGGAGCAAGATAGTATGGGTGACGGGTCACATGTCATGAATCAGAACGTACTATTGTAATGAGACGTTAGTAGGGATCCCTCGAAAAGAAGTTCAAGCTCAATGTCAGCGCAGCGGGAGTGTCACATGCTACATACCGGATAAGAACAGATTCGCCCTTCTGCAGCCTGCCCATAGTCACCAGGCCGTACCACGCTGTGGCGAAGATCAATGTCGAGGCAGCACCCTCAACGAACCCCAAACGGTCAGGCAGTTTGTGCGCCCCGAGCCCATCGAGGCGGGGGCAGTTGGCCATCAGCTCTGCGCCAAATCCGCTCACCCTGTCGCCGACCGCGTATCGGCCAATCATGTCGGAGCCGACCTCGGTGACAACGCCGGCGTGCTCGCCAGCCATGACGGTGCCCGGCGGTGCCTGGCCCATGGCTACGAAGATGTCCTTGAAGTTGAGGCCGCTGGCGTGCGGCCGGATCTGGATCTGGTGAGGCGCGAGGGGCTTTGCCATAGTGTTTGTGTCGTCTACAAAGCGCAGCGTGTTGAGCAATCCGGGCACCTCGGGCTCCAGGAGCATGGGCCGACCTGAGTCGTGGAAGCGGTGCTTGGTGGTGCAGTTGCCCGCGTCTGCCCGCCTGCTCGCTGCCCAGGCGTTGAACTTGTCGTCCACCCGCAGGCGAGGGACCAGGACGGCATTGTCGGCACAGTGCTCGTCTGCGCGGCCGATGGCGAACTCAAGCTCGTCGCTCTCGAGGAATTCTGCGCTTGGCCAGAAGCTTTTCTGTGTGATCTGGGCCAATTTGTGGGCTACCGAGAAAAGCCTACGCGCGTCATAGCTGCGACTCAGCAATCCCCGAACGTCCACCGTCACGATCTTGATGGACGAGTTCTCATTGCGGATCACGCGGGTGAAGCCGTTGACCATGCCCTTCATCTCGGCTGCGTTGATTGATTTGATGCTCTCCTGGTATGTTACCCAAACCACACTCTTGGCGGTGGTGACAAGACGACGGATTGCGTCGAAGGTCGATGGGCTGGGCTCCTTGAGCAGCGGCTGCTCGACGTGGTCAAGCAGCAGATACGAAGCTCCTTCATCGATGGAGGCGCTGCCAAGGTTTGCCACCTCGACCTGAGCCCCCTCTGCCCTGAGAGCCTGGCTGATTGCGCCGGCGACCTGGGTGGTGCCTTCAGTTTTGCTCCCCACGAGTATGGAGATGACTCGCTGCTGTGGCTCAGTGGTGACAGCAGGCCCGACAGCCCTGCACACCATAGTCGTGACGACTGCCGTGGCATCCTGGATATTGGGGGCCGCAATGGCCACGCCCGCAAACCCATTGTTCTTGACCACTTGATCCCAGGACGGCACGGACACGGTGGGCGTGTTCTCCCGCCCGTCCTCGCTTATCCACCAGCCGGGCAGCGTGCCGAACGTCGCATTCATGCCGAGCGTGAGCCGGGTGATCTCGAGCAGGATCATGCGGCCGCCGGGCTTGAGCAGCTTGCGGCAGTGTGCCACCGTCTCGTCAAGCCGCGGGGTTGCATGGAGGACATTGGCCGCGACGACGAGATCGAACTGGCCCTCGCCAAACTCGCCCTGGCCGAGCGGGTCCCTCGTGATGTCGAGCGGCCGGAAGTCCATCTTGTGCGCCCACCGCCGGAACTTGTCGCGAGCCTTCTCGAAGAACCCCACCGACACGTCCGTGTAGCAGTACCGCTCGAACAGAAATCCGGTCTGGCTATCCTTGATCTGTCCGTCGTCATCGTCGTCGTTGCCGCCACCGAGTGCCTGCAGGAGTGGGAGCGTCGCGCCACCCGTCCCGGCGCCGATCTCGAGGATCCGCATGGCCGGGTTTTTGAGTGCGAGGAGCCGCACGTACGCAGCCATCTGCATGTTGCTGGACGCCATTAGGCTGCCAGCGTAGAAGCGATCGAGCAGATCGTCGTCGCGGAACATAAGCGTCAGCGACGAGACTCGACCCGTCAATATCCCGGGCATCTGCGACCCGATCCGCTCGATGAGGGAGCCCGTCGGGCCCGTCTGGGCGCTCTGGCGCAGAATCCAGGCGTGCCTGCTCCGGCGCTGCTCGGGCTCGTCGAGCGGTAGCGACGGCATGTCCACTTCCGGGATCAGAGGGATCATGTGCCTGTTCTCGGGCTGCATCAGGGCGCGCATCCATGTCCACAACTTAGGCAGGTGCGGCAGCGTGCTATCGACCGCGAGCCCCTCGTCTGCCATTTGGGAGACGGCACGTTCAAGGTAAATGTAGGCGGCCGACTCGTTGAGGAACAGCGTCTCTGCCTGGCTGTAAGCTGGAGAATAACCCAGACTAAAGAGGCCCCGCTGCGCGAGGTAGCTGTCGAACTCGTCCCGGGTCATCAGGTCGACATCGGGCGCCCACTGCATCCGGTACGTCATGCTCCGCGAGAAGGGTGCCTCGTGTCCGTCTCCAGGCTGACCCTGGAGCTTGGCCTCGCCGACGGCGTGCATGCGCCAGCCCGCGAGCTTGACGACGGGCTTCGCGGTGCCACTCTCGTCTTGCTGGTATACGCGGGTCACGCCAGAGGCTGTCCGGGCAGTCTTGCTGGTGATCTGCGCGGCGACGGACAGCCGCGTGCCCGGTTCGCTGCTGACGCTGGCTGAGATGGTCATTTCGTCAATGGCCGCCGCGACAAAGGGCTGGTTCCCGCAGTGGCGCTGGTAAAGGGCGCACGCCGAGTGGGTGAGGGCGTCGAGGGCTGCCGGGTGTATCAGGTGAGGGCGCTGGAACTGGGCCGGCATGACTCTGGCAATGTCAGGGATCACGACCTCGCTCGATGCCTCGTGGTCGCCCAGGACAAGCTCTATCATGGAGCTGAAGGTCGGGCCAAAGAAGTTGCCGGACAATGCCAGCGCCTTGTAGAAATCGGCTGGATCGCAGGCATCGGTGATTCGGGACCGGATCTGGTCGAGCATCTCGACCTCTGCCGATGCGGTGCTGGCAAAGTCGACCTCAAAGTCCGTGCCGGCTCGCTGCATCCGCGCGCTGATTCGTCCGGTGCAGTGCTCTATCCAGAGCGCGGTAGCCGGGTCGAACGAAGAGATGCGGACTACCTGCCAAGGCACGAGGCCCTTGTTGGCCTCGCCAGGGGCGCCCGTCTCCTCGGGGCTTAGCGTGAGCTGTACCTCGACTGGCTGCTGTTGCTCATCGCCATCCGTTCGGCCTACGACTAGCGGCTTTATGAATTTGAGGTCGCGCAGCAGGAACTCGCTAACGAAGCCAGGTATGCCACGCAGCTCGAAGACCTGCTTGAGCGCCTCGACAGCCATGCAGACGTAGCCCATGCCGGGATACAGGATGAAGCCATCCACAACGTGGTCGCGGATCCAGGGCAGCGACTCGCAGTCGATATAGTGCCGCCACCGGGGCATGCCAGAGTCGGCACCGACATCGAGGACACCGAGCAGGTCGTGGTGTGGGAACTTGCGAAACCGGTGCTCCCGGCTCAGGCGCGCCTCGTGCCAATATGTAGACGTGTGGTCCCACGCATAAGGCGGGAGGTCCGTGAGGACACGAGGCTGGCCTGGCGAGGATGATGGGTATGGCCACAGACGGCCCACCGCAGCCATGTCCAATGTGCTGCTCCCCGCCTCAAAGAGCTTGGCCAACATTTCCAGTGTTGATTGGAGAGCGTCCTGCTTCCGTACCAAAGGTGACACATACACATGCTTGAACCTAGAGCCTGGCATGTCGTTGAGAATTTGTCGGGCCGGACCCTTGAGCGCTGCATGGGGTCCCACCTCGATGAACACGTTGGCACGAGATCGTCCCTCACCAGTGGCAGACTGGATAATGTCTGCGGCGGCCATGGCCACGGCTTTCTGGAACTGCACTGGTGAGACCAGATTCTGGACCCAGTACGCAGCGCCAAAGCCATCCATCTTGCGCTCGCCGCTCACAGACGAGAAAAAGGCTGTACCCTCCCGCACCAGACCATGCTCAACAACGCCTTCGAGCGACTTCAGATATCTGTCAGCGACGGCGAGCATATGTGGCGAGTGGTACGCCGTGTCGACCTTGAGCTTTCGATTGAAGATGCCCTTCTCTGTGAGCACACGGGCCAGGGCGTCAATGGCTGCCTCGTCTCCTGACACCGTTGTGCTCTCGGGGCTGTTGATGCAGGCAGTCACTAGCTTGCCCTCCCCAGCCAGCTTGACATATGGGCGGACCTCGTTCTCGCCGAGACCGACGGACAGCATCGAACCTTTGCACGTATTTGTATCCCTGGCCATCTTTGAGACGATCCCCCGTTCGTAGGATCTGCAGAAAAAGAGCTTATGTCAGTCCACTGCCGTCCTCCAATCCGTTCTGGCTCAGCTTTTATGGAAACCATTACTCACATTCTCAACCCAGCGTGGTGCGTCAGAGCTCCCGCGGCGTATGCGGCAGCGATCTCACCAGAGCTGTGCCCGCACACACGCTGGGCTCGTACCGACAGACTGTCGAAGAGGTCGACGAGGGCGATTTGGATCGCCGTCGTGGCAGGCTGTGAGAGTTCGCTCTCGTTCAGGTGTGATTCCTCCTCGTCCTTGAGCAGCTCGTCGACCAGGTTCCAGGCACATCCCCAGTCGAGGAGTAGTTGCGCTGACTGCGTGATCGACGTTTGAAACCGCCCAGATAGTTGCAGCAGCTCGCGTCCCATGGCGTGCCATTGTGCGCCTTGGCCTGTGAAGACGTAGGTCACGGTTGGCTGGACTGCCGGGGCCTGGACGGGCTTGATCTGTGCGAGTTGTTCGATGAGCGATTCGGCATCAGCTGCTAGGATGGCACTGCGCCATTGATACCTCGATCTGCGAACGTTGAGTGTGTATGCTAGGTCGCGAAGTTTGGCTCTGTGCAAGGGCCTCCTGGATAGCCAGTCTGCGAGCCTTGTAGCCATGTCGCCAAGTGACACTTCTGAGGCAGCAGATAGCACAAAGAGCTGCACCGCTGTCGCTGGGTATTCTAGAGCTCCTATAGCAGCCACTGCTGCGTGGTGAGTGATGCCATCGGTCTGCTCGAGTACATTATCAGGCTCAGTGTTAGCATCCAAGCTGTCATGACCCTTGCTGTGATCAAGGCCGTTCGCGTGTACATTCAGACCATTCTGGACCAACGGAAATCTGTTCAGCGTGTCAAAATCTGCAGCGTCCGCCGTCGTCAGGATAACGTGGGCATTGGTTCCCCCGTAGCCGAAGCCATTGACGGAAACCCTGCGCGGCCCCTGGTAGGATGGCGCTGTCAATGCAACCCCCGATGTCGGGAGCTGTTCACAGGTACACTTGCATTAGCACAACCTCTTGGGGATGAGATGCTGTTTGTGGCAGTTGGGTACCGACCTCCAGCGAACCGCCCATGAACTTAGCAATGGAGGATTTGACGACGTCGAGGTTGATGTTCGCAGGGACGTGGCTGTTCTTCAAGACCATGACCGCTTTGATCAGTGCCGAGACACCGCTTGCGCATCCAAGGTGTCCAATGTTTGCCTTGACGGAACCCACACGGACATTGTGCTCCCTCCTGGTGCCCTTGCAGAAGACTTCGTGGATGGAGCTGATTTCCTCCCGGTCACCTATTATTATTTCACTGTCAGATGGTCCTCTGCCCAAGCATGCCACGAGCTTGTGCAGGACGGTCGACAAGCCTACCTGCTTTAGTCCCCTGGCAAATGCGTCACATTAACAATTGTTCGAGAAGTCCAACACAGATGTACAGGGCTTCACTCACAGTGCCATGTGCCTCAATGTAGAGAGTTTCAGCTGGGTCGAGGCCAGCAGCAGCGTACACCGACTTTGCAAGAGCTATCTGGGCCTCGCTGCTCGGTAGGGTGATTCCGGCCGTTCTGCCGTCCTGGTTGATGCCAGTATTCGCTATGACTGCGTGGATCGTGTCATTGTCACGCCTGGCATAGTCGAGGCGCTTCAAGACGACGATGCCGCATCCTTCGCCACGGCCATATCCACTTCCCCTTTCGTCCCAGACATAGCTTTTCCCATTTGGGTTTACCATTCCGCTAAGGAGAGCAAGTCAGCAGAAACTAACACCTAGTAGCACAATGTTCATCAAGAGAAGACTTACGTGATCTGGCTCATATATATGCTCTGATCAGGATGTATCATGAGCTGACAGGCGCCTGCGATTGCCATACTGGTCTCACCGCATCGGATGCTCTGGCATGCCTGGTGTATAGCAACCATGCTGCCTGACTAGCGGTCGTTATCTTATCGTCAGCGAGATCTGATCGAGAATGGGGTCATGGAAGCGTGGGAATCCTGGTTCCCAGCTTCAGGAAGACTCACACATCCTGTGTCCAGCGTGAAAGATGGGCCCTTCAGGTCGAGGTAGTAGGAGATGTTGTTCGCGAGCAGCGCGCTTCCGTTGCCTAGGATGTGCAGCTTGTGCGCGTTCTGCACATCCTTTGACATCATCCTGTCATAGTCCCTATTAAACTCACCAACGAATACCGCCGTATCAGAACCCCTAACGTCCTCGAGTCGCATTCCCGCGTTCTCGAGCGCCTCGTATACAACCTCGAGCAGCACCCGCTGCTGCGGATCCATGCCGTGCGCATCCCTGGGCGGAACACGAAAAAACCTTGCATCAAAGGCGGAGATGTCCTCCTGTAGAAAGTATCCGCTCTTAAAGGGGAGAGACTCACGAGCATCAGAGCTGGGGTGGTAAAATGCCTCGGCGTTCCATCTCGTAGGGGGGACAGGACCGTGGCCGCTACCACCTGCCTCGAGCAGATCCCAGAGCTTCTCAGGACTGCTGGCACCGCCGGGCAGGCGACAGGCCATGCCCACAATGGCTATTGGGACTGGGCGCTCCATCCTGCCGGAAGTCGTTACGTGTGGCTGTATCGGACGCGAGGAAAGGACTCTGATGACGGGTTTGCCCGCTTTGTAAACCGGTCACGGACAGATTCAGCTCCGTCGATGGTCGAGCGATCACGCCCGGACCTTGGAATATTGCTACATTTTCTATCGGGCCATGAGTACCCTTGCATGGTGTACTGACTCGGAAGCACGGCGCCTTTACTCCACGTATCAGACTCAACAGTGACAATTCTGTCAAGGACAGAGCTGTTCAGGTCTCATGCGGCCAAGGCGCAAATTCTTGATACGTGCCGAAAATGGAACAACGTTACTCGGGGAACCAAGCACAAAATGGCATCCATGTGTACAGAACAATGTGTGCCTCATTGCCCATGAGAGCAGAGCGGAGAACCTGGACCCTGTGATTCAGGGGGGCGGAATTCGCGACCAAGTGCGCGGGACAGAATCCACGCCCTATAAGCGGACGTCTATACGTCACATCAGTTATGTCGGCTGCCGATTGGCTCGCTGGTGGCTGGCTGCACATGGTCCTACTGCAGTACCAGTGCGAGAAGGTGTTCTCGTCTCTCAAAGCGGTCGGATGATTATGACTCCGGTCAGGATCGCTCTGTACTCGTTCCGTCTCGAATGCGTAGCTCGTCTGCCGCTCTACACTGGATTTTCCAACGAGACAGGACCCTTCCGATACGTGCGTCGCAACTCCGGCTTTTCCAGGCTACCGATTGGGCCTTGGCACAGCCCAGCCGCCGGCACGGTAGGGATGGTCCCCCATCGGGAGTCATGGACTTACTTGGCCAGGCTGTACAAAGACTGCATAAGTAAAGGGTGCTCCTTGGCCTAGGCCTAGCAATATCCGGGTTCCTGATGGCATCGGGCAAGAAAGACGACCACGCGAGCAGACTCGACACCACCGTGCACGGCATGACGGACACCAAGCAAGAGCCATCGCCGGCGAGACATGAGGTCGTCGCAGTCGCTGAAGGGTCATCGGGCACGAGAGATGGCGATGTCCCTGAGGCCGAATGTGAGGAGGTGCCAATGACTCGGCTCTGCCTCATCACCTTCGCGCTTAGTCTGGCGGGCCTGCTCACGGCCCTGGATGCGACCATGCTAGGTAACGAAAGCTTGGCACAGCCTTTCCCTCAAGAGGCCGCACTCCATATGCATATGCTGACTAGCATCTGGTCCAGGTCCCGCGCTCCCCGCCATCACGTCAGATTTCCAGGCGCTCGATCATATTGGCTGGTACACGAGCGTCTTCCTGCTTGCGCAGATGCCGTTCCAGCTCGCCTTCGGCCGGCTCATCACGTTCTACGAGCCTAAGCTGTTCAACATGGTGGCCCTCGCAGGCTTCGAAGTGGGCACCGTCTTGTGCGCCACCGCGCCGAGCTCGGCCGTCTTCATCCTTGGCCGCGCTATCTCGGGACTCGGCGCCGCTGGAATGATGGCCGGAGCCTTTGCCATTATCGGGCACATCCCGATACGCAGGCGGCCGCAGCTTATATCTCTCTTCTTCATCGTGCAGTCGGTCGCCTACACCGCCGGACCAAGCATGGCGGGAGCCTTGACAGACTCGTACCTGACTGTGAGTCTTTCCAGCTGCTCTGTTCTGCAGCTTAGAGTGCGCAAACTGACATACAGACTCGGGTTAGTGGCGGTTTAGCTTCTGGCTCCAGTTACGTGAGTGTGTCTACTGCCACTAATGCCCTCTGCCAAAGCCGCCGAGACTTTGGGGGCTAACAAAGGACTGTGACCATATAGCTCTGGGCTTTGTCGCCGTAACGACTCTCTTCTTTGTCCTGGAGCCCAAGCCGAGCCCCAAGGGTCATCTCCCCATGTGGACAAAATTGAGCAGCTGTGACCTTGCCGGTACAGGCCTGCTTGTCTCATGCCTTGCCCTCTTCTTCTTGGCCCTCGAGTGGGGAGGCGCGGCAAGATCATATGCCGCACCCCAGGTATGGGGTTGCCTGCTGGGGTCTGGGCTCTTGGCAGTAGCTTTTGTCAGTCTGCAGGTGGCGAAGAAGGACAGGTAAGCATGCTGTCAGACTCGGGGATGCGCAGGCCCGAATAGACAACATCAAATTCCACTAATACAGACTGCTCGAACAGCGGCCTCGTGCCCTTACACCTGGCCCGTCAGCGCACCGTGGCTTGTTGTTGCATCTTCTCAGCCCTGTATGGTGCCGCCAACATGATTCATTTCACCCTGCTTCCCACATACCTCCAGACAGTCCACGATATCTCTGCGACTCTCTCGGGTGTGTACCAGCTGCCCATCACCCTGTCCAACATTACAAGCATGGCTCTCGCCTCGACAGTCATTACCAAGTACGGCCACTATCTTCCTTTTCTCCGTGCCGGCCCTCTTATCTATCTGGTCGGGGCCGTGCTCTTCCAGCAGATGCGTGTTACGAGCACGGCAGCGTGGTATCTGAGTGCGGAGATCTCCATTGGCGCCGGCTTCGGTCTGGCCGTCCACTCCTCCCTGCTGGCTGTCCAAGTTGTCTGTACCGGCGACGACATACCCGTAGCCGCCGTAATGGAGGTCTTCTCACAGCAGCTGGGGCGCTCGGTCGGCATCAGCATCGCCCAGTCCGTCTTCGTGCAGGCTCTACAGGGGGGCCTGGCAGACATTGCGGCCGCTTCCCCACCTATAGCCAGCGAACAGGTCCTTGGCTTGGCGGGCCAGGGCCTGGAGGAAATGGTTCGCACCATGCAGGCGGTGGAGCCCGCCGTCAGGGCCGCCGTCAAACAGGCCCTCAACTCCGCCGTGGCAACGGCCTACATTCTGCCGGTGGCTGCCACCGCGGGGGCAGCAGTAGTGGTTTGGGTCGTGGAGAACAGGACGATTGATGTCTCCAAGAAGGCGGCGGCCGATGTCCCGGCGGACAGGGGTGGGGAGACGGCGTTGATGCAGAATGGCGGCAAGAAGGCTGCTCGTTCCGCAGATCTGGCGGCTAGCGGCAACTCTCAATATAGAAGTGGGCCTGGGGACCGCGATCTCGGTGGCCAGGGACCCCGGGATGGTTGTATCGCGGTGCCAGGGGACGCTATGGACGCGTAGGTCAACTTAAACCAGCAATCCGAGCAGGGACGAGAAGAATGGCACGCGATGTTGTGCTACCAAGAAGATGATGCTGCGGTACGGGGGCAGGGGCAAACTCTAGTCATATCAAGAGCTACTCGAGAACCAGTCAGCTAGTTGCTTTGTCATTCTGTCACAGGCCTCCATACAAGCCCGCGAGTCTGTCGCCCGGGCTTCGTTGAGTCCTGAATGGTCCGCTATTCGATTCGCGCCCCATTAAAGACTTGAGTACCTGATAGTAGCACTGCTACAAGGGCACCGTCGTATTACGGCCGGCACGATGGGAGGCCGCGACGGGTTACGGCCGCGAAACCGCGTGTTCCTCCAGGCCAATGAGGGTTCTCTACGAAGTCTGACTGGGCTATCATCCGTAGTCGATACTTTTCGTTATCCTCCTTATATCAAAATCGCAAGGGCTTGGTTAGACGATCGGGAGGTCAGCGACCCCAACCCCGAGCTCTTCGATCCCGAGGGGAACCCAGCCACAAGTTCGGTATGGTGCCGGAAGCCCTCAGCCAATTGGTACATTTAGAAATCTGGCTCCCTATCATAGACACAAGGCAAGGTCGTCTACGCAGGTGGCAATGACACCTGTCGCTGCCATCTGGTCGGAATATGTGCGTGGATGTGTGACGCAACGCAAGTCTATACAAGCCCGGCGACTAGCGGCCGCTTGACTGCATAAGGGGCAGGCCGAAGCATTGATTGGCCAGCTGCTTGATCCGCTCCTATCTCCGCTGCTTCTGCTCCGTGAATCAACATCGAGCTTCGGGATCCCCACGTCACGGCCTCATAGTATCAGAGTTGGCTGCATCCACTGTTCCTGGGGTGGCGTCCTGATTCGGACCGAGCATGCCTCGGTCATTTCAGCCGTCAGGAACGCGGAGATACCGCCCGGACAAATGTGACGGGAGCAGCCAATGCAGTGTCCCTCAAAAGTAAGATCCGGCCTTATCACGATTTGATACAATTCACGTAAGTAGGCTGGCCCGCAGGCGTCAATAGCGCAATGGTATTGGATTCACACAGCTCCTTGATGATCATCCACATTGAGGGCACTGCCCCACAGCAAATCTCAACGCTCTGCCTGCTCGATGTACAGGCGTTGCCCACAAAGAGTTGTGCATTGGACATTGGTCTTACTGAACGACCTGCTAAGTCTGCTGTCCATTTCAAGGTAAATTGAAGCCAGCAGAAAGCGATTCAAAATGTGGTCTTGTCTGTACCTGGTCGCACGATGGTACGTCCTCGTCTTTTGCTCGATCAGTGCGCAGTCTTGCTCTACTCAGTAGCCCTGATGACTATCTAGCACCCTGGGCATCTATGATGATCATCTTCGCTTCACAAATGCATCCAAGTGCACTCCTCTCGCACTTGCGTCTGGGAGAGCCGCGTTCTCAACAAAGGACGTCAGCCTCCTCGTCCCCACCATCGACACGCCAGACGACTTTGTGGAGTGCATCAAGTCATGGCTTGCCAACTCGCCGCGTGAGGTAATTATTGTAACAGTGACACGAGATCTGCAGCGGCTCAACGAGCTGCTGGCTTTGGCGGGATTGAGAGTCAGTAGCAATGCAGGCGTGCCGATCTCAGTTATAACGGTCCCTCGGCCGGGGAGACGGGAGCAGATGGTTGTGGCGCTGCGTAAAGCCACAGGCAAGATTGTAGCTTGGGTCGACGATGACACGTACTGGCCCAGCGACAAGGTCCTGCCACACTTGCTGGCCGGCTTCGAGGACCACAGGGTTGGCGGCGCGGGAGGGAAGCAGAGGTGGGTCGTTCGCGGAGCCATTCGATTGTGGTAGTTCTCATAATGTTCATTTTGCTGACACGGTCATCTTTTCACAATTAGCGCCTTTGTCCCTCCTGAGCGCCGAGATGCGAACGTCATCACGCCGTCCGAGGTTGCCTCGATCCGCGCCATCAACAGCTTCGTCACCCTCAACGCCGCAGAGTACGCGAGAGCGGGCGTCGTGTGGTGTCTCGCGGGCCGGACACTGCTCGCCCGTGCTGCAGCCGTGCAGACAGACGACTTCTGCCACGCCCTGACGCACGAGACTTGGATGGGCCAGAAGATCAACACGGGCGACGATGGCTTCGTCACGCACTATCTACTGAGGCATGGCTGGCGGCTCGCCTTCCAGAGCGCGCCCGAGGCAGAGGTCCTCACGCGGGTCGAACCCGCCGCGGGCAGCTTTGTCAAACAGCTCGTCCGGTGGCGGAGGTCGGGCTATCGCAGCTTCCTTGCGCTCGTGCTGGACTGGCCAGGGTTCTCGAGGGTGTATGCTGAGTACCCCCGCTTCGCACTGTCAGTGGTGCGGTATCTGCTCAAACCGGTTTCGGTCGTGGTCCACACCGTCGCGTGGATCCATGCCTTCTGGGTGCACCCAAAGTTCGCGTAAGTAATCATTACTACGAATTTAGTTGTTTCCTTGTACCAGAATCTCTTGCCTGTCCTTATTCCCCCCACCCAGTCGTTACCACGCAGCGTACGCGAAGTTAAACTAACAATCTGAATAGAGGTCTGCTGTTTTTGTACCAGCTTTATTTGTTGTTTTCAAAAACTGTGGGATTTTACGCTGAAAACTCTTGGATTGGATATGGCAACACATGGGCAATCCTGCTCATGGACAATTTTGATCCGCTGATCAAAGTTTACGTCCTACTTACTCTTAGTGTTGAGGGTTGGATGACTCGTGATGACAAGATAAGGAACAACAAAGAGGCTGGGACAGCTGGAGGAGGCGATGCTGTACCGTCGAGCCTGCAGGACCCCTAGTCAAGCGATGTGCTACACGGCTAGAAGTTGCCCGATCGTGGACCTCCGCTCGTCTTCAAGGCATGTGCGGCCAGCGAGCCACGGTGATTGTGTGAGGTCTGTTGCCGAGAGAGGCAACGCAGCAAGAATTGTGTAATCGATTCCTTGTTGCACATGATTGGCCCCTGCTGTCTAAAAAACGCGCCTGGCATGGACCACGTGCCAAGCCCCTTGATCCAAGTCGGTGGAGTTCGAGGTCAACGGCTTCTCGACCGTCATTGGCGGCTTTGGTCTCAAGACACAGAGCGGCGGCATGCGGCTGGCGCAGACTTGGGTGCGATGGACATGCAGCGGCGGAAATGGTGCAGACGAAAAGCTCGTCTTGTCTGACAGCCTACTGCGCCAACACGACAACATCTTTACCTTGCTCGTCGTCAGCGCTGATGGGGTCGAGGAGACCGGCAGACTTTGCGCCGAAGCAAGGGCAGTCGTGGAGGCCGCGTCCCTTCCTCACAAGCTCTTGTCGGGTACCTCCATCGTGGTCCTCTCAACGAGCAAGCTGTGTACTGATGGACTCAATCCGAATTCTCAAGCAGCTGGGCTGCATGCATTCCAGAGATACGGTGCTGCCATCAAGCAAGAAACGTGTGTCAGGAGCAACGTCTCAACATACATTGAACGCCTTGGACAACCCACCAGGTTTGCGATCCTCAGACCTGACTGCTTCATCTTCGCGTGTGCAAAGGACGGCAACGACCTAGTTGCTTGCTTGCAAGAGTTGAGGCGGGACACTGAGCCATGACGAAAATGCTCTGGGGGACACGTTCCGTACTCTGGCATCGTTGTCCGCTCCCGCATGACCTGCCCTTATCCTTGGCCGAGCCTGCGGGCCGTCACAATAAACCCCCGAAGCCCGGTTAGGCCGGTTCACCCCGGAGGCTGGATTGTGACACCTTAGATAGGGGTATACAAAATACTAAATACGTCAGCATTCAGAGCAATCCAAATACTGCATAATGCACTAAATACGACTATTACAGCTGCTAAAATGGCCTCATTTTCTATAAGTTAAAGCGGGTAGGTGGTGCGGCAAAGGGGAGGGCCGGATTTGGCGTTTCGCGTGAGTTTTGTGACCACTCTGTAAGTCCGTGCCTGGCAGTAACAGATCATGGCGATTTATGCACGCAAAACGAAGGCAGCCTGCGTGGAAGGGATTCCGCGGAATGGCCATGCTGCGGAAAGTCATGGGGAAGCGGAACTAGCGGTGAGGTGGGGCATTGACATGCCCCGAACTTTAATCATCAGAACCCCGAAATAAGGTGTAGAGGGGCGGGTTGCGACTCTATTGTCTGGGGATCAGGCTGCTAGTCAAACAAAGGACTCAACCATCTCCACGTCTTGTCGTTGGTGGGCTCTCCCTCATCAACTCGATTGCTTTCTTTGACTCTGGCGCACTTGGAGGCTGGTGCTGAAATCTCGTGGTGTGACTTGGTCGTCGAGTAAACTGCACAAGCTATGTGGCAACGGGACCGTCCTTGGCGGCTGCGTGCAACTCTCCTATGGCCCTTCCTCACCAGACCGGTTGAGCTTAAGAGGTCCAATATCCATGCTCAATGCCAGGATGCCACCCTGTGCTCCTTTGTCCGCCAGTTCCGGTGAGCTGGCCAGCTTGCGTCACTAGAGAGGAGATTGGTGACGGGGAGGTCCAATCCCGAACCTGGTTACGAGCGGAAATCGCTGACTGGGAGGCCCAATCCCGAACCTGCTTAAGAGCTCCTTATCCGATGCCTTGCTTGCTATGCTTGGAAGAGGTGTGCCTTGGGTGTTGTGTCGAGCAGTTTCATGAATTATGAGCGTGTGCTTCCATACTAAAAGCCTGCCGTTCTGGGGCTTTTCACAATGTTTTCTGGCTCCAAATGAATCTCAAACCCTGGGGCCGATCGGTTGAGAATAGCGAGACAAGCTTTCCGAGTTCGACGCTCGCCCCCCCTCATTGACTAGCGTCGGCACTTGACATACCGGCCCCCCTTATTCTCGCGCTCCCATCGGCCGAGTTTCAGAGCGAATCCCGGTCTATGGAAACGGCTGGCATATCAACCAATCTCCTTGCGCGAATAGTCTCATGGTGGGCACCAACTCACACGTACCGCAACTTTCATCGGGCAGCCACTATTTGTTGTCTATGCTGATCTTGTCCCCATTAGGTCACGGCTCTATGGCGGAGAGCGGAACATGTCTGCTGTACTGAAAGCTGTATATAAGTATGGCACGTTCAGCTACTCGGCGCCAAATATCGAGTCTATACTTCCAGACATAATTTACAACACTACGGGGTCGTAACATTCCTCCTATACATCGGCAACCGGATGAATCAGCCCGTCTAGGAGTTCGAATCGAATATGACGTTACTCAACGTAGTGGTAGCTACACCTATCGTAGTAGGTCAAGGTCCAATGCCCAACTCGCACCGGCGTATCGCTCTTGCTATCTGGGAAGCTAATAGGACTCGGCCAGGCCGGAATCTTCCTGGCGGCGCGGGGGCTATATCTACTATTCTTTCACCCTCTTGCTAAGGTCCCAGGGCCCAAGCTTTACGCTATTACCGACTTGATATATCTCTACTACGTGATCCAAGGCGAATGGCCAGCAAAGCTTAAGACACTCCACGACATCTACGGCCCCACGCTACGCTTCGGCCCTAACGACGTATCCTCGATTGCTCCCGAAACCTGGAAGATTGTATACGGGCATAAGGCACAACAGGCTATGACTTTTGAGAAGGATATGAGATTCTTCAACAAGCCACCCGGTAGCGTTGACAATATCCTACTTGCTGATAATAATGGGCATAGGCGGATGCGCCGCGCTCTCGCGCATGCCTTCTCCGAGAAGGCCCTTCGTGGCCAGGAGGAGCTAATGATAAGCTACGTCAACCTGTTCATCTCCAAAATCGCCGACAAGGCCGCCGCGCAGGAGCCAGTCGTCGATATTATGCTCTGGTATAACTACCTTACCTTCGATCTGATTGGCGACCTTGCCTTTGGGAAGCCCTTTGGCTGCTTAGAGCAAGGCGGCTACCACCCTTGGGTGGCAATGATCTTCCAAGCTGCTGCATCAACCGTATTCGGACAGGTCATGAATAGGCATCCTACGCTAGGCGCTATCCGTTCCTGGATCTGGCCGGACAAGTTAACGCCGAGCTTCATCCAGCACGCGCAGCTCAGCGAACAGACCGCCTACGAGCGTATTGAGCGCGGCAGTATCGGCCGCGAGGACTTCGTAGACTATATCCTCCGGCATAACGACGAGAAGGGTCTCTCGCGGGAGGAAATAGCGGCCAATGCTAGATTCTTGATTCTTGCTGGGAGTGAGACGACGGCTACGTTACTTAGCGGCACGACTTTTATGCTGCTTACGAATAGAGACAAGTATAACAAGCTTGTCCAGGAGATTCGGCAAAGGTTCTCATCCGAGGAAGAGATTGATATGATCTCGGTCAACGATCTCCCGTTTCTGCTAGCTGTGCTTAATGAGGGCTTAAGGATGTGTAAGTTAACGGCCTGTATGTACGTACAAGCTCAAATGCTGACACATCTGTGGCTGTAGACCCCCCCGTACCTGCTGGATTTCCTCGTCTTGCCCCTGCCGGCGGCGGGACTGTCGACGGTTTCTACCTTCCAGAGAACGTAAGTGACGCACTCAGGCTGAGATAGTTCACCCTCCTGAGACTAAGCACGGAATATCTTACTAACATCACCTCTACGTAAAGACGAGCATTTCCGTGCCTCAATGGTCTGCGTACCATTGTGAGCAGAACTGGACCGACCCCGAGAGCTTCGTTCCCGAGCGCTGGCTTGGCACCGAGCCTCGATACGCCAACGACAAGCGTGACGTCCTCCAGCCCTTCTCGTTCGGACCCCGGAACTGCCTTGGCAAAAAGTAAGTACTAATCGGCAACAGCTCTAGTTCCAACGCCCTCCACCACTAAGAGAGAAGATTGAATACCTTCTTAGCCCTATCCAAGTGCGAAGATGTCGAGAACTAACGGACATTGCACTTTAGCCTTGCCAATGCCGAGATGCGCATAATCCTGGCGCGGTTGCTGTGGCGTTTTGATCTCGAGCTTCTGCAAGAGAGCCGCAACTGGATGCAGCAGCGCGTCTTCGTCCTGTGGGAAAAGCCAGCCCTCATGGTCAAGGTCACGCCCGTGCAAAGGTCGTAGTTTTTGTTCTCTTCCGTAGACGTGCCCCTCACGAGGTTATGGCATGGTATTGAGAAGCAGCCCTGGTTCAGCACATCTGAGGCACAACTCACTAGACCTTTGAATCATGCCAGAATATCAAAGTCAGATAGTTCGGGGTGATTCACGTAGGACGTGCTCCGCATGCCAATGGAAAAAGTCACAAGCGCTACTGATTTGGACGTGCGTCCAAAGCAGTCGACCGTCGCAGGTACGACATCTAGTTGCACGTCAGCAAGCACATGTGTCACTTGGATGCTAATGATACATGACCTAATGACGGAGATCTATCCCGTATTCCCGTTGCCGTTCGTCGTGAGTAGTGTAATTGAATCGAGAGTTCCTAGACTCGCTCAACCATAAGTACAAACAATCCGAGCCAGGGTTCAACCCAGATAAGGAAGGAAGAAACGGCGCGCACAGGTCAAGATTGTCGTATCCAATCAACAGCAGGACTTTCCGACTGCATGGGAGCCCAGCCCCTCTTTAGATGCGACTCTGACCGGCTATCACACATAGCCGGACCAGCCTGGATCATCGCACACTGCAATTCGGCATGCTTCTCCAAACCTCGTCTGTCCATGATGTGTACCTAGCATCACCGCATCGAGGTATCAAACTTGAAATATAGCAGTCCTTGTGCAGCTTCTCCAGTGGCTTTCAGGCCAGTCCACAGTCGCCAAGACCGCAGAAGCCTTTGCCCTCGCGTTGGTGGTTTGGCGGTTCTCTGCTCGATGGCTTGCGAAGCTGCCACCGGGTTCACCCCCGCTCTACAAAGATGGCAATGGCATATTGAGCTCGCATCGGTTCATCACCTTGCGCGCGGAATACCTGGCTGAGGGTATCTCTAAGAGTCCCAGTGGCCAGTTCAGCTCTTGGTATGGTTCAAACCATCTTGTCGTCCTGTCGGGCGAAGTAGCGCGCACGAGCTTTCTTACTGCACGAGGGCTGGACCCGACGGCCGGGTAGGTGCACTTTGATACGTCCGATCCCAAAAAGGAGTGTCAGCTCATCTCAAAAATCCTTGATAGATTCGTCGCTCTACTCGGTGGTTTTCTCGACATCAGCGAAGTTGACAAGGATAACACTCGCCGCGCATTTCAGATATACAAGCGATGTGCACAAATTGACCACATGACCAGCATCCTCCCGCGCCTCGTCTCCGACAGCGACTCTCACATGCGCGCTCTGGGCCTCACAGCCAACGAGAAGGGCAGGGCGGCCATCATTAGCCCCCAGAAGTTCCTCGGCCTCTTGAGCTACCAGCTCACGCACCGGGCTTCGGGCGTCCATGACATCGTAAACGACCCGGTCTTGCTGCGCGAGACCTGGAACGTCTACACGCCCCTCGAAGACTCGCCCTACATTGACATCATGCTGCCTTGGCTGCCCACGCCATCCAAGCTGCGCAAGGTCTGGGGCTACGCGAAGCTGCACTTGACGGTGACCAAGATTGCGCGGGAGCGCAAAGCAGAGGGACGTACGGAGGAGGACATGCTGCAGATGATGATCGAAGCAGATTTAGGGTCCAAGATGCAGTCGGTTGCGGTCATCGGCGCTGTGCTCGCTGGGGTGTTCAACACCACTTTCTCAACCGTGTACAATATATGCTGCCTAGCAAACGAGCCGGAGTGGCTCGCCAAGGTCCGCACCGAGATCGAAAATGTCCTCGAGAGACGGCGCAAGGTGGCAGAGAATGCGTCCGAGCCACTGGTTGATACCTTGCAGAGACTTTCGGTCCGAGACTGGGAGACTTGCTTTCCCATCCTGAGGGCAGCCATCACCGAGAGCATCAGATTCACCATGGCTGGGTCAGTGGTGAGGAAGAACATCGGCGCAAAGGACCTCGAGATAGGTGTCGGAGGCCTCGTTGTACCAGCGGGCAGCCTCGCAATCCACGCCACGGCCGACACGCACATGAACCAGGCAATCTATCCGGAGCCCCTGAAGTGGGACTCCAGTCGGTTTCTCGGGGACAAGCACCAAGGCGATGACGTGCCTCACGGTTATCTAGGCTGGGAATCAGGAAATCATCCTTGTCCTGCCAGGAGGGTGAGTACATGGTGCTTTCATATTTCGAGAGTAGGAAACCACGAAGGCTAACGGGATCGGCAAAGTGTGCGGAGCTGAATGTGATTGTGGCGAGTGTGCTGTTCGTCGCCCACTACGATTTCCATGTTTGCGACCGGGTTGGCAATCGCAAGGCTGGCCCACTGCCTCCTATCATATACAATCGACAGGGGGCCGGACAGCTGAAGACGAACGTATACCTCAAGTGCCAGAGCAGAATTTAGGAGCCGACGCGAGTGCCAGCAGGCTGAGCCACCGGGATTGAATGTCGACTAGACTTGAGTGCTTCTGGGGGTTCGGAACGCGGACATTGGCACTTCAAAAAGATGCGAGCACAGTATGAAGTCTGCAGGGCCGTACTCTATTGCTCGCTCGAGCACGGATTTAGCCTACAACGAGCTCTATAGCCTCTTGGAAACCGCACTAGCATTGAGGCCCCCCCTTCGCCGAAAGCGTGAGACTTGGAGCAGCGAATGCCCTATTTGGAGTCCCTGACTAAGCAATGTGTATGAGAGTGTATAGGAGTATATGCCTTGCGCTTCGGAGCGCAGCTTCTACTATTCACGATTTTCCTTGGGCGGTTGGTACCCGTATAAGTAGCCCGCCAAATACTCGTTCAGAGGCCCTGACAGCATTCTTTCCCAAATGTTGCGTCTAAGGAGCAATGCTCGGATTCATGAGTAGACACAAACCTTACGTATGAATCCAACATGGGAGGATAGATACAGCAAACAAATGACAAGCATCGCCTCCTCCAAAAGGGACAGGCAGACATACGCTCAGCAAGCGCCCGTGCAACCATAGGCCTGGTTGTACTCTGCCGATATGATGGGAAACCAGAAGCACTCCTTGATTTGGTCAGAGGCCTTGCTGCACCTGCCGACCTTTTTGCCGCCGCTGTACACGTCGTAGTCGTCGCCCGTCTTCTGGAACTCGAGGTCCTTGGAGCACAGATTGACCTTGAAGGACTGCTCGGGCCAGGGATAGCTCCAGTCGCCCTTTGCGCCGTCGAGGTCCGGAGACGTGTCTATGGCGTCGCAGTTGTCGACGTTCTTCTTCTCGACGGCCTTGGCCAGGCTCTGCGGGCTGGACGACTCGGTGACCCAGGCGCCGTTGTAGAGGTAGAACGTCGGGGGCCCGGTCGGGATGTCGTCGTCCGGGTTGTGCGTGGGCTCTGGCGGCGGAGCGGGGGAGCTTTGGTCGACACGCACGTGCTGAAGGTCTGGCATGCCTCTACCCCTGGCGGCACTCCGAGGGCGTAGGTCCTCCAGGTGGATACCGAGGCGCAGTCTGTGGGGATTGGGCCGCCCGTCGGGATTGGTTCGAGCGTGGGGAAGTCAGTGTCCGGACCTCCAGTCGGAATTGGTTCGTTATCGCTGGGCGGTGCCGGTGGTGTGAAGTCTGGAGGCTGGCCGATGGGGTTGAAATCGCAGTAGAAGCCCTTGCACAGCACGCCACAGTGTGCTGTGCAGATTGGGCTCGGAGGGCCGGGCTGGAAGGTCACCGGAGGCCCCGTTGGGCCCCGGGGTCCCTGACCTCCCGGATCGCCTGGACCGCCTGGACCGCCTGGACCGCCGGGACCGGGCAGCGGGTATGAGTCGTAGTCCTGCCGGAACTCGAGCCCCCTCTTGGCCACCGTGCAGAACGTATTGCCCTCGATGCCGTTCCAGATGATGGGGATTCCCGTGCCCTGGCGTGGGGCTCGCGTGCTGTTCCAAGGATGGCGTCTGCGGGCGCTCAACTGCGTTCTGCGGCGAGGGATGGTACGTCCCAGCTTGCAGCGTTCCACTAGCTCGGCGAAATCGTGTGCGGCACACTAATCCTCCCCAACGAGCAGCCAGCCAAAGTTTGGCAACTGCAATGCCCCTCCGAAGCCGCCTCCCGGGCCTGGCAGTCCATCCCCCGACGGCTCCTGTGGCGGCACCAACCAGTTCAACTGCACGGGCACGTCGTTCGGAGACTGCTGCTCGTCGAGCGGGTTCTGTGGCTCGACATCGGCGCACTGCGGCGTAGGATGCCAGTCTTCCTTCGGCACTTGTCGCGACTCTGGCAATGTCTCTCCCGACGGCCGGTGCGGATCGGCCGGCGGGAACAAGGTGCGCCCGGATTCTGGCTTCGGCAACTGCTGCTCGAGCAGCGGCTACTGCGGAGACTCGGCCGGACACTGCGGGGCCGGGTCCCAGTCTGCCTTTGGCGGCGCAGGTGCGGTAACATCTCGACCGACGGAGCGTGTGGTAGCAAGAACGGCAAAGCTTGCAAGGGATCTGGCTTCGGAGATTGCTGCTCGTCCAGCGGGTTCTGTGGCGGGAGTAGTACTCACTGCGGCGTGGGCTGCCAGTCGAGCTTTGGCACCTGCAACACGGGCTCTGGCTCCATTTCGACTGACGGCGTCTGTGGGACCAAGAACGGCAAGACTTGTGCCGGTTCCGTGTTTGGCAATTGCTGCTCGAGCACAGGCAGTTGTGGAAAGACAACCAACCACTGTGGCCAAGGATGGTGAGTACTCTCCAAAAATACTAGCAGACGTCCTCCACGAAAGCACCAACTGACGATGAATTTCCTGAACTGTAGCCAATTTGGCTTCTCAAACTCCTGCATCACGAGCAACATCCCCACTGTGGATGGGACCTGCGGCTCCAGCAAGGGCGGGTTCACCTGTGCGGGAGGAGACTTCGACAACCAGTGCTGCAGCTCTGGCGGATTTCGTGGCACCACGGCTGGCTATTGTGGCTCCGCATGCCAGACGGGTTTCGGGCGATGTAACTAGAATTGTTTTGGAGTTATAGATGATTATCTCAATCATGTTACTCTTGTCCATATCGGTGTGATCCACAACCTGACAAGCCGTAAACCGCTGCTTCTTGGAGACCGGGAAAAAGACATGAGTCACATGACCATTCCGTAAGACGACATGTTACATAGCGCAGATGTACAAGGATGAGAGCATTCCGCGGGCTCGGCGATGAACCGTAGCTAGTAGCTAATGTTCTAAGGGAAGGGACGCCCGCACAGTGCGGAGCACAAGAGGACGCTCGGATTTAGATCCATTACGCCGAGCTCCACAGCCTCGTAAATATTGCACCAGCGTGAAGTTCACGCAAAGCACGCTACGAAAACCTGCGTCAGCCACCACCAACGGCCACGATTGCTTTTTCCCTCCTTCATTCTTCCAAGCTCACAAGGCTGCTCTCTGTCCCGATGGATTCTCAACCACCATCGTGGGCTGCCCGGCTTGCCATAGAGAGCGGCTTCCATGCCATTGCCGCCTCGAGCCGGGATGTCAAGCTCCTCTGTCTGCAGCGGTTCGTCCGCCTGTACGCGTACGGGGCTTCGTTCCTGATCCTTGCGCAGTTCTTGTCCAGCATGGACTTCTCTGACGATCAGATTGGTCTGTTCATGACGCTGACCCTCCTCGGCGACGTGGTCCTCAGCTTCGTATTGACGGCCGTCACCGACGCCGTTGGTCGCCGGCGCGTGCTGGCAGTGGGCGCGCTCATGCTGGTCCTGAGTGGCGCCGTGTTCGCCTTTGTCGATAACTACTGGGTGCTGCTCCTTGCAAGCATCGTCGGCGTCATCAGCCCCGGCGGCAACGAGATTGGGCCGTTCCGCGCCATCGAGGAGTCGGTGCTTGCTCAACTGACACCCCAGGATCAACGCAGCGACATATTCGCCTGGTACACGCTCTTCGGAACAGCTGGCACCGCATTGGGCACCTTGACCTGCGGCTGGATGGTGCAGGGTTTGCAGAGTCTTGACGACTGGACGGACATTGCTGCTTACCAGGCCGTGTTCCTTGTCTACGCGGCTTTGGGACTCGTCAAATGTGTCATCAACATGATGCTGTCTTCTGCCGTCGAGGCCGAGCCGCTGCAGCATTCCCATCAGGAAGCAGACCCAGAGTCGGAAGCAGGACTGCTGCCGGATGAAGAGACAAGGCTCCTGCCAGACGCGGATTCCGGAAGCTGTGCCGAAGCAGAGCCCACGCCCACAAGTTCATCAGCGCAACGGGGGAAACCATCGCCTCCGCCCCCCACCCTCGGGCAACGTGCCAGGTCTCTCATCCCGAACATATCGCCCGCATCGCGAGCCATCCTATGGCGATTGCTCATCCTCTTCGGCATGGACTCGTTCGGGTCCGGCATGGCCTCCCCGTCATGGCTCACGTACTTCTTCACGACGGTTCATTCACTGCAGCCGGGCACCTTAGGAACTCTGTTCCTCGTCACAAACCTGATCGCTACCGTTTCCAATCTGGCTGCCCTGCCCTTGGCCCGCCGCATCGGCCCTCTCCGAACCATGGTATTCACCCATCTGCCCTCCTCCGTCTTTCTGGCTGCCATCCCGCTCCCAGCTCCATCGTCGCCTGCTGGGACCTGGACCGCCATGGCCTTCCTTGCCCTGCGCGCTTGCACTTCAAACATGGATACGGCGCCCAGGCAGACCTTCCTCGCGGCGGCCGTCCTCCCTGCTGAGCGAACCGCAGTCCTCGGCGTTGTCAACATCGTCAAGACGCTGGCACAGGCCGGAGGTATTGGTTCCACCGGCCTGTTCGCGGAGAGGTCCCTGTGGGTTGTGGCTCTTGGGGGCGCTGGGCTGATGAAGGCTTCTTATGATCTATTTATGCTATGGATGTTTGTACATCTCAAGTAATGGGATGGTAGGAAGAGTCGAACACGACGCCTGGGCTCCGCGGCCTCGCCAAGTAGTAGCTGGTGCGTGATCCACGATGGCGCCGAATCCTGCTTACCAGGCGGCTAGTCTATCCCGTGTATAGTAAGCATTTTATAGATAGATATGTGGTGGGTAGGCCCTGGATTAACAGACGTCATCTGCTGTCGAGGATATATGGCGCCTGTCCTGGCCGTCTCACGGATAATCCCTTGGGATCATAGCCCCGAGGACGAACTGGCTGTTGTGTCTAGGTTGAGTTGGCTTAATCTCGGGTTCGTTGTGCCTAATCTCGGGGTGGGTTGCGTTCTATGGACAGATATTGCCAAATAGTCTTGAGAATCTCGGTCTATCAATCAGCTGCCTATTATAATCGATTGTAGTTCTGGTTGACTCTCCAGTGTCCTGCTTGTTTCATAACATTGTGGGGTCTTGTGTTTCGCTAGTCAGCGGATGTCGGCAGGCTACTTGAAGTTATATTGACACCCCGGGGCAATTAACTCGTGTCCGCGGCAGCATGCCTTGCACAGCCCAATGGCGAATACATCCAGGACAGGGGTTCCCACCGGTCTGGTGCCCCTGCCCGGAAGTCACGACCAACTGCAGATTGTGGAGTCGATTCAGCTTATCCGGTGCTGCCAGTACAGCCATCCTTCATCCGCCAAAGACGCAGTAGAGTTTGTGGACTCTAAATACTTAAATACTTATATTTATTCTGTGGCATCAATGTGCATGCAGTACAGACTTTATTGACAGTGGCGAGCAGGTAACGATGGTGTTTCAGGGAGTGATGACCGAATATCTTCAGCAACGCAGAACGGGACAGGGGTGAGGGCTACTTCTGCAAGTTGTCACGACCAACCAACATTTCAAGCTGAAACTTTCAGGGGAGGTTCAAGGGGGGCAGTCAGCCCAAAGCCTACCTGGGAAAGTCATCATGTCCAGCCGGGATGCACAAAAGGGAGGAAGTCCCCTCTGACAGGCTCGCGCTTCCTGTGTGGCCGTCCTTTGCCAGCCTCACCTGGAGCCGCTCGCCATTATGACCCAATCTACACCACAAGGCCATCGACAATCACACCCGGTCGTCCCTGGCCAGACAGCACCGGCCCTACCTGCCTCGCCTCCCCAAGTGATCTTCGCTGGATTCTCCTCCCTCTCAACCCCTCCTCGTGTTTCCCCAGCCCCGTCACCCAGCAATGACCGCGGGGCCATCGTTTCCTCGGCCTCCCCAAGCACGTCATTGCGCGACTTCAGCTTCTTCACACCACCGAGCTTCTACAATCCAAGTGCGAACTTAAGAGCATCGCCATCATCAGGACCATGGACGCCTTCACCACCGCCGGCTTTTACATTCAGTGCTGGAGTAAGCCTCACAAGCCGTGCCGGTACACCACAGAGTCCTTCACCTGCATCACCTCCAGCTTTCACATTCGCAGCTGGTAGCAGTCGAGCGAGCCGTGACGGTACGCCGCTGACTTCTTCACCGTCACCGACTCCACGCAGTCTGTCTATACAGAGCGCGGTGCAGAGTCTTGAAAAATTGTCTCTGCTATCGCCGAGAGATGTAGCACCTTCTTCAGCTGCTGCTTCTAACCACGCGGTGCGGCAGCTGATCCCAGCGCGCACTTCCCTTTCAGTACGACAGAGTTTGCCGGCGGCCAGTCCGGGAATTGCTCCACCCTCGGGATCTCAAGCATGTATGACCTCGGGTCCCGGTACTCAAAATCAAACAGCAGCGACAAGAGAGGATACCTCATCGAGAAGAGCAGCTACAGGCCTCGCTAGCATGGTGGCCTCTGAGCCGTACAATCCTTGCAGTGAGGTTGATCCCCAGCATGAGTTCTTCTCTCCGAAATTGCAAAAGGATTATCAAGCTGGAATCGAACTTGCAGCCAGTATTGCTGCTTGCGTTGCCGAAACAGTTGCTCAGGTTCCAGTGGTGGATGCCGAGAGACTGCAACACCTTCTCAAAGATGCGCAGACACTGAAGGACTTCCGGCCATCCAAAACTCGGACTGTGGCGGTATCGGGCACCTCCGGACATGGTGAGTTGCATAATCCAAGCCAAGCAGGAGATTTGGAGTCTGATTTCTTGCAGGCAAAAGCAGCTTGATCAATTCTCTGCTGCACTATCCCGACATATCTGCTGCGGTAAGATCCCGTGTTACGCGGGCCAATAACCCAGCCCCTTGTGCGTTCATCCTGTTAACAAAGGGCTCCCCGAGCACGGCAGGGCAATTCTGGAAGTGCATGCACCATGGTCATTACTGAGTACCACTACCGTCGCCCGGAACAGAGAAGCCCAATCACTATCGAAGTTGAATATTTGTCCCGTGCGAGCAGAGCGGAACTCATCAACGACCTCGTGTGGAACTACAGGCAATTCTATCTTCCTGTCGTCGAGAGCGGCGAGACATCGCCAGAAGAACATCGCAGATTCAGCCGTGAATCGGACCACGCGTGGTCCGCGCTCGAGACGGCTTTCAAGCATTGCGACGGGTTCGACGAGAGCTTTCTCCAAGGCAGCTTGGCAGATAGTATGAGCGCAGATGAGGAGGCTGTACAAGAAGAGACCAAACGAATCGCGGCACGTCTAATCGAGTGGGCAGATGAGATTGAATGGCCCGCGGGGGCTGAAGGGGGCCTCTGGTCCACCACGGCTCAGGATGCCGCTGAATGCTGGACCAAGACCAGGTTGTTCACTTCAAACAGTGTCTGGCCTTTCACTCAGAGAATCAGGTGAGATTGAATTCGTCTGGTACCAGGTCTCCATGTGCTGACTGTTCAGGATCTATATTGATGCCCAGATCCTGAAGGCAGGGATCGTTCTCGCAGACCTGCCCGGTAAGTCTGACGAGCAGTTTTTGTGATCACCGTCTACCGTGCTTACTTTCAAAATCAGGCCTTCAGGACACCAACTTGGCCCGTGTCCGTGCTTCGCAGAAGTATATCACACACTGCGACCAAATCTTGGTCGTAGCTCAAATCGGTCGCGCAATCACGGACGACTCTCTCCACTCGTCGCTGAAAGATATCATCAAGCAGCATATGGCCACGGAGCTGGAGAGCACTGCTAGGAGACCCAGGGTTGCCGTCGTGTGCACAAGATCTGATGTAAGTTCACTTCAGCAGACTTTCTCGCTCTGCACACATGGTGCTGATGTTTCCGCAGGACATTGATGTGGCCGATGCCTTTCGTCTATTCTGCGGAGCTGGGGGCAGGCTAGAGAACAGTACCGCAATGCAAGCCGCAAGACAGGAACTCAGTGCTGCCCAGTCCACTGGGGATTTCATGGCGCTCAACGCCGCCAAGGAGAGGTGAGCTTCCCATGCAAGCAGCCAGTGAGGCATTGCACCAGCGACGGAATCTCACGCAAAACAGACAGCGTGTCTTGCTGATACAAGCACGCAACGACCATGTCACGGAAGGTCTTCAAGAAGCATGCCTGTCCCAAATCCATACTGGACACCTGCCCGTCTTCTGTGTTTCCAACCAGTTCTATCAGCAGCACAGCGAAATGGGCGGCAAGCAAGCATTTATCCAATTATCACAGATCCCCAAATTGCGACAATTTTGTCGTGCAACAGCGGCTGATGGCCAGCTGGCCGAAGTGCGCAATTTCCTGAACTCAAGCCTGCCCCAGCTCTTGAGCTCTATAGATTTGTGGGCAATAGGCTATGCCACGAAAATAGCAGCAGTACAGCCAGTTCTTCCTGACACCCGGAGGCTGAAGCAGCTACTAGACCGTGCGCCGACTAACGTATGTGTTCTCAAACACCATCTACTGGAACCATTTTGTAGTCTGGTCGCTGACCCAACCCGCTAGGCCGGCACGATGATAAAAAAGTCACAGCTTGACATGCAATCTTGTTTCCAGGAAAAGGTGTTGGAATATGCAGGCAAGTATCTCAGCAAGCTTTACCGGCCATTCTTTGGGGGGTTGATTTGGCTGACAGACGAGTCCAGCCGACCAAAGCGAGCAATGGAAAGAAGCTGCAGTGTCAGCAGCAGGAGATTGGCACGCAGTGAGTTAACTCTCTGACTACCTTGCTGGTTTCTGTTCATCATGAAAGGCTAACAATTTGGCAACAGTTGTACGCTTGTAAGTTCCATTGCTGTTCTCCGGAGTCAACATCTAGCTGCTCACTAACACTGCTTGACGAAAAGCTCAATACCACGCATGGTGCGTACACAATGGCGAATACGAGACAAGAAATCTCAAGAAGAATTGGAATGCGGAGATAATTGATCGGATGCGTTCCGAGCTCGAATCAGCCTGGTCACTCGTGGGACAAGAGTTCAACAATACATTGGGTGAGCTTCGCGATGATCTTGCTGGCATCATCGATGAATTAGCCATGGAAGCTGGAGGTATGTCGTTTGCGTTTCACGTTCATGTTGATCTTGGAAATGATCACTAACACCCGCAAGCGACAGCGACCGGGCTTACGAGAGCTTCGCTGCAGGTGTCAATGGCCAGCAGCAGAAGAGTGCTAAGATATGAGCTCTCTTGTGTGCGGGCGCAATTTCGTCAGGACTTCAGGTATGACCTGCCAAGAATCAAGAAGCAGCGGAGCGCTCCAACTAAGACGAGTACAGTTGCCTCAGGGGTGATTTTACCCAGGCGGATGTGTCTTCTGTCATTGTACGTGAAATGACGGATGCATACCGCCGGGCTCGGGCGGCTAGGCCGGGGCACAATATGAGGCGGCGGCAGATTGATATTGTGGACGGGTATCTAAAGAACGGCAATATCTTCCACAGAATGACCGAGGCACTTGCAACGGAGCTCGAGGAGCTGCTGTCCATGACCCACCAGTCGATACAAAATGCCTGGAACCAAGTCATGGGACAAGTTTCGGCCGACTTAGCAGTGGTCTTGCAGTCGGGAGAGCAGCCAATCACGGAGGGAAACTTCGCTGAGAGGCAGGCAAGGGTTCGGATTTTGAGCATTGTGCAGCCCAAGATAACCGGTTTGAAGAGGAGGCTGCGCGAAATTGTGGGGGATGACATGGGTTCATAAGGAATATATGTCCTTTGTTTACCTTCCTAGTGCATAACATGAAGTCTTTTTGAGTCACAGATTTGAGTTGGCCGTGAGGATCCGTTTGTGCCGATGTGCATTCTCTCGATTTGTTGGCAGATTTGTCCTGAGCCTAGCACGCTCCCGCTTTGGCAGCCACAGCATTTTAAACAAAGGACGCGAGAATCAGCTCGATGTGAGATTAGATCTCGATATTTGTCATTGAAAAGTCCCACTGCTTCGCACAACCAATTGTCAATTTAGTCGTTAAAAGGTGGCACAACTCGGATAAAGAGTAATGCAAGTATTGCGGCCATCTATGACGCGGATCAGACGCCGTACACACGCATTCGATGACTTCCAGCCCAGAATTCTTCAAATAACGCTATGAAGCTGACTAGCACGGGCCTCCCGAGCCTGGATTCGGCCCGTGGACTCGCGCTCCGTGTAGCATGCTAACGCTCATAGGTGAAGCTGCACCGCCACGAGCTGATGACATCGTTCCAAGCAAAGTCTTCCAGGTTGCGATGCCTGTCGTCATCGTAAACCGGACCGCCTCGGTCGCCAGAGCAGTTACTATCACTAGCGTTTGGATTTTGGTGAGTGCTTGCTTTCTTCTCGATGCCGCCTATGCCTGTCAGAGAAATGACTGCTTACCGATAGATGAAGCAGTAAATAAAAGGATCTGTGGTCTTGACCGAGCTGATGGCGTCATTCCAGCCATTGGGGGCGCTGCGGTATCCGATTGTGATTAGTCTGTGATCGTGCTATGTGGCTGCTAGATGCCCTCTAGAGTAGTGTGGTCTTTCCAGCAGAGGAGAGAACAGCGCAAGTGACTAGGTACTCTGCGACATGCCACCAGCAGCTTCACCGCACTTACTTGATGCAGGAGCCGAGATTTGCTGGATAATCCAAGCAGTCTTTGAAGTCTGCGTGGCGACAGACTTTGAACAACAAGTCACGCGCTTCGAGCGTGATGCCGTTGTCATCGCCACCAGCAGCGGGAGTTCGAGGGGAACTTGGGGCCGCGACAGCAGTGCTGGCAGCCACGAGTCCGAGGAGAATACTCTGTATCAGCATACTTGGGGATGAGTTCCGTACGAAATGGCGCATATGGTGAAGTCTTGGGCATTTGCTTTGCTGCTGACAGTCTGTGCCTTCTCGGGCCAAAATCGCCGGCGGACCTCTTGAGCTTTATAGTGTCCAAAGAATAGGGCAGCACTTACTGAGAGGGCTGACGAAGGCTCTTCTGGACTGGGCCCGGAGCTGATCAGAAACTCGAGTATTCTTCCTGTTGACAACACAAGACCGACGTGCAGCGCTGATGATGCCAGCAAAGTCATTTGCGCATCCAGTCGCCGAGCGCATAGATCAACAATGTCGGCATGCACGACTATAAATCCACCCTTGCACCCTTCACCCCAATTCTGCCTAGTTAATGCCCCCGACATACTTTGTGAGACCCAGTCAATGTGTGCAGCATACTCCCACAGCCCCAACAACGACCCATGGTCACCTTGCTGACGCCAACACACGACAGAGCGCTGACGCAATCTGCTTTTTCCAACAGCACGAGATCAAGTGCGTAAAACCTGGCACCAATCATATCGAATCAATATTCACTCACCTGTCGGTTCGGCCCTCGGCCCGACCCGCCATCAAACAACGGTATTGTGCCGAGCCCTGCTCGATATCGTTCCGTTCTATTCTTGCGGCTGGCCAGGGTGTATGCGTCATTGTGCTTGGTGTGGCTGACAGTATTGCAGTAGCCGTAGAAACTCTGTCAAGTAAGCCTGGATCCCAGAAGAGATCTTGTCTTCCTGGCTGTCGTGGTCTCCGGTGTGGTCTCGATCGAATATAACGAACTAGATCCATATTCGGAGTAATCGTGATGCTAGTTCTGGTGCGAGTGGTGTTTCTAACACCACGAAATTGGCGCAGTGCTAGAACAATGAAGAAAGAGAAAGAAGAGCAACAACAAACTGTTGCTGGCTCAGTGTCGTCTCTTACTTAATTGATAGCGACGTTAGACTGCTCCCCATCGGACCACAGGCTGTGTCATTATATCACAAACTTGCAGGCTGCCTCAAGAGGGTGGCGGCTTTTTGAACACTCGGTGTAATCTCGTAACTGGGCGGCTTGCTTTCCTAGAACACAGTCATCGGCCCCCCATGAGCATTTGGCTACCAGTCGATATTTTCGGTTTATGCTCGTATGAAAGTCGAATCAGCCATCAAAGCAGCCCAGAATGATGATTCATTCGATTTCCTGTCCACCTTTGAAAAAAAAGAAATACTCTGCGAGAATGTCCAAGTTGAAGCGAACCCCGATTTGCGTTGACGACAACTCTTTGATCCCTCATGACCTTTTCAATCACTATGGGTGCCATCGAGACATTTCGCATGAATCGCGTACAGACCCCAAATTCCAAGATTTGCATCATGCAACTCTGACGACGACCACACTCCGCGTCTACCATTTGCTTTACGCAGGCCAGGAGCTTCACGATCTAGAAAGTGGTCAAAGCGATAGCGAGTGCTGTGAATCATGATTCCGCGACATGGGTCCGTCGAGCAGCAGGCAGCAGTACGTAGCTGCAGGGGTCGCCCCTTTCCCACAAATGACGGGAACTCCACGATGCGCAGTGTGAACTTGCAAGGCAATCCACGTTTTCAAGCGGCAGCAAGATACTGAAGAACCAATCCCGCGCCGCAAGAATGGCCGCCGCCCAAGCGAGCTTCAGATGCTGGTCAGCCCTGCCCACAGAGCTGCTCCGGCTCATTGCCAATAATCTATCCAGCCGCGACGCGCTTGCCTTTGCAGCCACCGACCACTTCCATCACGAAGTGCTTGATGAGTGGGCGTGGGCTCGGCATATCCGCTCAGAGGATGACCCTCACCGCTACCGACCGCTGTGGTGGGCAGCGAGCCAGACCGCGTCGCATCCGTGTGCCCTCCGCACGGCAGAGCGCGCTCTCCGCCTCGGCGCAGACCCAAATGCATGCGTCGAGGAGAAACCCGGTGAGCGGCAACCGCAAGATGGGAAAACGCCGCTGCTTCTCGCTGTGCAGAGCGATGCCGCCGCCATGGTCCAGCTCCTCCTCGCCCATGGCGCAGATCCATCGCTCCCCGGTCCTTGGTTCACGCCGCCGGTCACTGCCGCCGCTAGCGAGGGCAAGCTGGTCGCCCTCAAGGCTCTCTTGGCCTGGGCCGTTGAAAACGAAAGGACTCACATCTTCGACACAGACAGCGATCCCGCGGGCAACACTGCGATCGGCGCGGCCGCCGTCATGGGCCAAGACGATGCGGTGCGAATGCTGCTCGACCACGGGGTCCCTGTTGACCTGCGCGTCAGCACGGGTACCAACTCCCATATGGGGATGGGCGACGGCTGCACGGCGCTGTCTCTCGCGCTGTCCATCGGTCGCCGGAGCACAGTGGCCCTGCTGCTCGATGCAGGTGCGGACCTGCTGCTCGTTGACGACCAAGGCGCCACGGTGCTCGACAAGGGCGTCGAGATGGCCGCCTCGGGCACGATCAAAGGCCTGCGGGACAAGGAGGCACGCTTCGCGGCTGCCCTCGACCTGCTCAGATACGTCCTCGAGGTCCAGCGGCAGAGATGTCAGGCCGCCGACGCGCGGATCAACGAGCAGGAGGGCTTGGTGTGGCTAGGCATGACGCAGGCCCAAGTCTACAGGCTGCTCCTCCCGTCTCGGCTCTCGGCAAACGTGCTGCGCGTTCTCATCGAGGCCGGGATCCCTGTTGACACCCAGTGTCCTCGGCACGGCACCACGCTGCTATGGGAGATCGCTGGCAACGACGGGCCCACCATGTCGCTGAGCGGCATGCAGAAGACGAGGGCGGACATGGCACGCCTGCTGATCGATGCGGGCGCGGACGTCAACGTCCTTGGACACAAACCAGGCGGCTGGCCAATGGACAACAGCCGCAAGACACCTCTTGGGCGTGCAATCCAGGCCGGGTTCAGGGACGTGATAGTCTTGCTGCTCAGCCGCGGCGCCGACGTCACGCTCAAGGACGCTAAAGGCCGTGGTGCCCTCGCTACTGCGGTTAGCAGGCCGATGCCGGGCTTGCTGCAGTTGCTCCTCGACCATGGCCGCCAGCCCGACGGATCGCTTAGCCCTGTGATGAAGGAGCAGCTGGAGCTCAGGGACAACTTGGGCCGGACGCCGCTCCTGCTAGCCGCGACTGTTCGCGGGGAAGGGGCAGTGAGACCAATGCAGATCCTGCTGGAGAATGGCGCCAAGGTTGACGTCCAAGACAGGTACGGCGGCACGCCACTCTATCATGCCGTCAGCAATAAATACATGGTACACCTTTTGCCAGCGCTCGCTGCGAAAGGCGCCAGGATTGACACCCAGGACCCGAACCGGTCGCTGCTGCTTTCCGCCGTCCGGAACGGCGCCCATGAGGCGGTCCCGGTCCTGGTCGCCCTTGGTGCAGATGTCGACCTCGTGCGCACCTTGCCCGACGGGTTGAGCCTCACGCCGCTAGTCGAGGCGGTGCATGGAGCCGATCTGCAAGGTGCCGAGGCTCTGCTAAAGGCCGGTGCGAGCCTGCGCAAGGCATTCCAGTGCGACCCCGGCTTGCTGGACTGCTGTCGAAAGCAGGGGGACTCGGCGATGGCGGATCTCCTCTTGGCGCACGGGGCGGCGGAATGGGACAGCGGGACGGCGGTGACAATCGCTAGATTCTTGCGACCCGTGGGGAGGAGGTGACCAAATTGACAGCTTCGCGGTGATGGAAGTGCTATTTGGCGTCAGCCCTTATTCCGTCCGCTGGCGTCACTGCCAGTGACATGACGCCAGCAAACAGAATGAAGGTTCAGCACGGAGCGCTGCTTCTTGGCAACAATGACATAGCGAGGATTAGTGAGTGAGAAGAATCATCTTAGGCCTTCATATAACTTCTACACTTGACACGCGCCGAATAATAAGTATAAAGTTGGCCATCTCCCCCAGCTTTTTAGATCATTGAATCTGAGCATCGCACCACGATTCATCAGCATCTCAGGCTTCTCTACACTAGTACCAAAAGGTATTGTTCAAGTGATCTAATGTCTTGCCGTATCTGTCCTCTACTAACTAACAAACCTCAAAGCAAACCCTTATAACGAAAAATGCTGGCTTCCTACTCGGTCCAGACTTTGAGTCTGTTCATGGCCCTCGCGATGGCCGGACCTGTCCCCGATCCCGCTCCCGATGCGATCCCCGGACCCACGTTATCAACCGTCGCGACGAACAATATTGTCATCCCCAATGCAGTGGAAGTGCCAGTCAAGATCCAGTACTACAAGGACTACGGCTGCAAGAGCTATAACGTCGAGTTCACCATCACTTCCGGCAACTGCTGGAACTACGGCTACATCGGCACCCACTCGGCCAACGCGGTCGGCTGGCCCGACAAGGACGGCAGCGCCTCGCTCATCTGCACCTACTTCTCCTCCAAGGACTGCCAGGGCGCGAACCACGAGGTGTACCGCGACGTGTGCGTCAGCGATCTTACCCGGTTCGAGAGCATAGTTTGCGACTATTACCCATAAGCACACTATACGATGGCAGAGAGAGGTGGAAGAAAGGATCAATTCGCACTGGATAGACAGGGCAGATAGACAAACTGATACGTCAGGCAAGCCGAGTCGAGGGCCTGGGAAACTATTCATTTCACTTCGCGACACTCGCTAGCCATCTCTTTACCAAAGTACAAGAAGCGCGCTGCTTTATAATGCCAGCCTCTGGAATCTCTGGAATCTGACATGATAATTCATACTGGCTCAACGCGAAGAGGCGCCTTGCTTGTGATGCACCTGAAGCCCCTAACATGCCCACTGCTAAGGTATTTCCGTCTATGGCTTGAGAATGCGACGGTCCTGACGGTCACCAGAACTTTTTCGCAAATGCAGCGACGGAGACCGGTGGAATTCATGGCAATGGTTATCTCGAGGCGAATAATTCGCGACGCTATAGGGTATTATGACCGGCGCCTGCCAATCGGCTGTTGACACGGGAATTTCTTCAATGATGCGAGCGTGAAGATTAACCCCGGCTGGGTACGGTGGCGTTCAAATTCTTGTCCAGGCCAGACATTCGCAGTGGTCAGCTCAGACAGAATAGTTGGCGAATGGCTGACCGTCTCATATCTGGCCTTCTTTCATTCGTTCGGTGAACTAAGTAGGGACTGCGATCGGCAGTTTCCGCTGCGTGCTTGGCACCTTCGACTTTGCCAAACTCAGAAACCGGCCTGGTATCTAAGCCTTGGTGTACGTGATCACTTGTGCTGAAAGCGCGCCTGATAGCGCGAAAGATCCACTGGAAAACGGTCTAATTAATTAGAATATTCAGATCAGGCATGGTCCTTGTGAGTTTGACGAGGCATGCTGGAAAGGGTGGCCCGGAAAACACACTCGGCCTACCGTATCCTTCTCAATCGGTAGCCCCTTCGCTTTTCGTGCTCGGGTCTGCTGCCATAGCATTGACGCGATTGCTAAGTTTCAAATCCTCAAAGTCCTCATCCATTCCGACGACACCAATCGGCCAGGCTGACCGTACATGCTGGGCAATCAAGGACCTGCGTGCTCCGTCATCTCGCTCATTGCGCAGAGTCAGATATCCCTGTAAGATACTGAGATCCTGAGCATCCATGCCGTCCTTAACCATGTGAAGGACCGCCTCGGCTAGGTACGAGTTTGCAGCCTGGTCATATAGACCCTTGGCGGCGAGAATGATTGTCGAACGCTTTGCGTCTCGAACTTTATCATCACCTGGCGTGCCTTCTATGCTCTCGGCGGCGAGCTCCTTCAGACGGATGAACGCGGTATAAGAAAGCAGCTGGATCATAAAGATGTCATAAAACTCCGACCCATGATGAAGGTAGTAGATTCTTAGCAGCACCTCCAATCGATTCTTTGCTTGAACGAGGATATGGCTTGGATCGAACTCCTTTGGTATGTTGAACATGCGGGGCTGTAAATCGCTCTGTGATGCCACAACAGACTCGAAAATCATGATGATGATGTTGTAGTAATGCATACTGGAGCATGGTCAGCTATATCAGACGGTGTGATATCGAGAGTCCGTGTGACTTACTGGAGTTTGAGCTGATGGGGATACTTGATGTTTGCTGCAGAGAGCTCCCTGGGAAGTCGCGCATAACAGTCCATGATCTTCCTCCGGAAATTCATCGCCGCTAGGAGAGTAAGATCTTGTGGATTCTTTCTCGCGTTGAAAGAATATAATGCGAACTCGTTCACAACCGCCCGGAATTCAGATATGGCCTTGAACGAATGGCCAAAGTTCATGGGGAATAGCTGCTCATTCGACGGATATCGAAGCCATATTTCTCCATAAAAGCCAGTGTCTGTATCAGGATCAGATAACGGGACTGTTGGAGGTCGATCCAGAATTGGCAACAGGAAGACATGACAACTGTGGACACTGTCGCAGTCGGGCTTATTAGAATCCTGCTCATCTCCACGTCCAACTGAACAAGTCATGGTAACGTACGCTTGTAACCCAAACACGCCCCAGGCAGTCATCGTGCGGGATATTTGGGATTTCCTGTCCAAAGACGCACCGGGCTTGGAAAAGAGATCAAGCGCGCGAGCGCCGCGAACCGCATGTTCGAGGTACATGCTGCCGATCTCGTCACATGCGTTCGCGTCGTTGACAATGGAAAGCACAGCGGCGCCTTGTACGTTGGTAAGTTTGATTTTGCCCGCTTCGAGCTCGAAAAGGCGTCTGCATTCGGCCAGCAGTCGATACTGGAGGCTTTGGGGGTCCCAAAATGCGGCACGGTTAGGAATGGCTAGGTGACCATGCTGTGGTATAAGTGGCTGTCAGTCCATTCGTACAGAAGTAAGACCAGGTTACGGGGGAAGCGTACACATGTAGATGCCAGTATTGCGTTGACCAGGAAAGGAGAGCAGAATTGTTCCCGGTTGGCCACCATGTCGTCCAGAAAGCAATCCTTGTGGAACTGGGGATAAAAGACATATTCGAACTGGAAATAGGTCTGCAGAAGGCGAACAAAGAGGGCGTTGCCCTCAATGACTGTGGTCCATGCAGACGCCTCGACGAGATCGAAGCGGGGATCGACGACCTCGGCAGCATGGTACGGGACGAGACTCGGGTCGTTCTTGGGTGCTGCAACGTCATTGGCGGGTGCCTTCGTGTGCTCTGTAAGAACACTAGCTGACTTGTACAGGGCCGAATCGAGGTAAGGGTTGCCATCGAACAGATATGCCGGCATCTGCCTGAGGTAGGGGAATGTGTACAGCATTCGCGTTTCTGGAGCCAGGCGAAGCTGGAGCAGTAGGTCGCCCTCGCGGATGTGGCGCACAACGTCTTGGGCGTCACGGCCGGTGCGGATGCGCCGGTAGATCTCTGTGGCCTCGGCTTCGGATTTGTCCCTGACCGCGTCGAAGAGCTGCTTGTACACATCGCGCTCGCGTTCGACCTCTGCAACTTTGCGCTTGAGCGTGTCATGGGATTTACTGGTCACGGGAACCGGATATGTGCACTTGACTCGGCGAGCCATGCATCTCGTACACGCCGGAGTGCCACCGTCACACTGGTTGCAAGTCAGTGTCCCAAGCTAGGGCCCAGAGAAAACAGAGGTAGGAACTCGAACCTTGACTTTCTGCCGGCGACAAAGCTCGCACGCAACCCGCTGGCCCCTTCCCAGCTCGACGCCACCTGGAGCAGGAGGAGGGCCATCAGCACCACCAGCATCACCGGAGACTGGGAGTCGTGGCTGTATCGGGCGGAAGGCCCGCTTGGCCACGCCGGAGCCGGGAAGTGCCGCCATCGACAGCCAGGGACCGGATTCTGGGCCGGCCAAGACGCGCGTACCTACCGACACTGGGTGAGAGAGTGACCAGTCAGGTCGGGGGCGTCCGTGTCGAGCTGACAAGAGCAAAGGTCGCCCGCGCCCTGGCTGCCAGTGCTGAGGAGGCTCGAAGCCATGGCCGTGGCGAGGGACATGCAGGCGCGTGCCTGCAATGACGAGCCTCACGGGTCATGCCGCCTGCAGGGAGTGGGTGGGACTGCAGGGGAAAGGGAGCGGAAATCTATCCGCTGCTGTCTTGGCCGATGCTGGGGACGAAGCAGCTGGGCGCAGAGTGCAGACAAACACAGGTAGCTGCTAACAATTTCCCCATCCGCTCGGAGTCCCACTTCCGATCTCAGATCCAATGCCGTCGGATCCAACAGTGCGCCCACCATGTGGCACGGACCACATCACACCACGAATCACGCACACGCACACGGACCTATGCGCGTACCCACACCTCATCCGCACGCACAGTGGAACCCTTAGATATTACTGCGTCGACACCGCTGCTACCATCACTCAGGCCAGCATCGCCAGTGGCAGCACTGCGACCAGGGGAGCAGCCAAGGCCGTCTCTGGCAGATGTTGTATTCAAGTATCCTTTCCATTACTCAGTCATCAAATGCGGGGGCTTACAGTCGCTCGGCCACCGACATGTACATCGAATTTAACCTGGGCACGGCCACGTCTTCATCAGTAAATCAATACTGGACCCAGAGGTATGTTCAAAGAGCCCATAAGGCTTCGGTACTAGAATATTGAGAAAATGCAGGGATCTGAGCCAATAAGGTCTGTTATGTTTGGAGATACTTCGTTTGCTCCGCAAAATAGCAGCCATTTCGAAGTACTTGTGACCGTCACAGTTACTTGCCACTGCCGCTTGGTAAATTGGAGTTATCGAGGGACTTCGATGAGCGCCAGGATAACGTGGGACGCATTTGTATCGGAGCCTTATGGGGCTCCCCGAACTACAGCCTTAGTTAAGCTGGTAGAGCCCCGACCTCTCACATAGTCGTGTCAGTATATTCATTAAAATGGTAGGGGATGCTAAGGAGAGAGTTGAGAAGGAGCGACATTGCGACATTATCCGCGCTTTCGGGGGACTCTGTCAGACTGGGCCAAAGCTGCTGCTTTTATCCAACGAAAGACTGCACTATCGACATTTGAGTCGGCCTTGCGCAACGGCATGGCCTGTGATGAGCGATGAGCAGCGTCGAAGCCGCTGTATGCTTGCTGAGGGTAGGGTGGAAGGGCAGAAGCAGGAACCGCTCTTATGAGGTGCCAATAGCCATGTTCCCAGTTGTAATGGACTTCGTACAGTATGCTTCAACCGCTCTCATTGCTTCACTCCTCCATCCCGTATCTGCATTAATAGAGATTGCCTTACGTGACGGATCGCAACAAGCATTGCCACGATACTGTCATGACTCACATGTATGAGTGGCCTGTCTGGAAGAGTCCAGCATCGGGCACAAGTTGTTGGCCTTTCCCTTTTGCTGCTTTGAATCTCTGTCTCTCGCATAAGGCATAACATAGAGGGCCTATCACCCATATGATATTGGAGCCTACATCTGCAACTTGCCTCCAATACCTCCACCCCGGCACCGACCCAATGAGTTCCTACCAGGTAAACAACAATTCCTGAAGACAGAACGGGAAATTTGCGGGCTAATTCTACTAGATGGGATGAAGAAGCAGCAGCACGCAACGCCATTCTGGGGTGCTTGAGCCATATGTAGAACGATTCAAAACCGAGGGGAGAACGACACCAGCTGACACACTGGAGCCACCTCTGAACATTTCACAGCCACGAGACCTGGTACAGGACCTGTATGGTGACCTGTACGACCGCGATACTGTCAGATGACACCGCACCGGGCCATGGGCGCAACTGGCTCACAGTAAGGGCCATCTGGCGATACGGTGGCGCCGCGACGTGGTTTCGACTTATCTTGCTTGACACCGTTTATGTGGCCGGCCTTGGAATATTGAGCGATGCAAAGGTTCACCAGAACGCTATCTAGCATGGGAAAGTCTCCCGTGCGCTTCTCTGCACCCGCGAGCGAAAACACCGTGCGGGGCAAGCCGTAGCATTCCCCTCTGCCAAGCACGACTGCGGCGGTGATCACTGCAGATGCAATGCTACCTCAGCGGAGGGTACTCACTGCCAGATTGCCGACAGGGACGTCAAGCAAATGTAGCATTCGCGGCTACATATGCCGCAATCCCCCTCAGAGTCGCCACGCGAAATGGGCGGGCCGCTGGTTGGTAGAGCACGGAACTCCGCAAGCCGCAGACGAACTCCCTCCGAGGACCATGGGGGCCAGAGCACCGTCGGTCGCCAATTCCATGGTGTGGAGAATTGGGTTATGATGGCAACCATGCATTATAGAATTGGCATGGTTCTCGGGAAAAAAAGTCTGCCCGCGCGGCTGCCGACCTCGGGCTTCGAGTCCGCTTATCAAAGTGAAAGATCCCCGCGGTGTAGTCTCCCAAGCCTTCATAGAGATTGCAACAAAAGTCACTCTACTTCTTCCACTCAAGCACTGATTCCGGACGTTGCGAAGACGACCCTCGTTGCAACAGCGCTGCTACTCGCGAGCAGCGTCACAAACATCGCCGCTTCGTCCACTTCGTCTCTTCAACGTGAACGCCAAGTCAGTTCCGATGACCCTCCCTATCTCCAAGAACTGTTGGGCTTCCTGGACAGCATATCGGAGGACCTGTAGGAGGTGAACAGCGCGCTGCACAAGAACCCAGAGCTCGGGTACCAGGAACACAAGGCGCACGACCTCCTCGCTTCATTCCTCGAGGCCAGGGAAGGGTCGTACGTCGTCACCCGCTCGACGCACGGAATCGAGACGGCGTTTGCAGCCGTAATCTAGGGGAGTCCGGAGAGAGGCCTGTTGTTTCCTTCAATGCTGAATACGATGCGTCTCCTTCGTAATTACTGCAAGCATGCCTTACGCTTATGTAGCTGGCTCAGCAAGAAGTCGCTAATCATGGGCGAATAAGACAGACGCTCTGCTCGGTCTTGGGCATGCCTGCGGCCACAATCTCATTACGACAGTCGGCCTGGGGGGTGCTCTGGCAACTTGCCGAGATCATGCGAGCCCACCAGCTCCCAGGCAAGGTCATTCTCTTCGGCACTCTCGCGGAAGAAAGTGAGTTCTGCCTCCTCCGGTCATCACAAAGGCTCCACCCCCCCCCCCCCCCCGCATAGTTTCAAAGGAAACCTGACAGCTAACACATTCCCTCTCCTCTCTATCTGCAGGCCTCGGCGGCAAGATCAAGATGCTCGAGGCGGGCGTCTTCCCCAACCACACGATCGACGTGAGCCTGAGGGCCCACCCGACCGTGGGCGGCGGGGGCTGTACGCGAAGCACTTTGCGGCCTGCTGAGCACCAACGAGGAGACTCTGCCGGAGATGCCTATCAACGACACATGTCGACATTCCCAACTTTTCCGTCCAGATTCATGGTGGTTATCGTGCTTGGGGCTCTGGACCGGCGAAACCCGCCGGGGGCACCCCGCCTCCGCACGGGGTTGGGGTCGTGGTTGGAGAAGGCCCAGCGACTTTCCTGATTGGGGCATGCCCTGGAAGTCCAGGGGGCGCCGCTGGCGGCTTGGCACCTTCTGTCCTGGCTGTCGCCGTCCTCCGATGGCCGGGCCAGCAGCAGGCAGACCCGGAAGGTGTCGTCCGCTCTGTTGGGCAGGCTGGCGCATGAATGACCCGAGTCAGGACGACTGTACTGTGTCGGGAGGGATGGCCGAAGAAGCGAGAGCGCTGAACTGAAGTCGACTGGAGCATGGCGACTCGTCGAGATAAGGCCTGTAACTGGGGGGGAACCCGCCCCTGCAGCGCCCATCTGTGGGGTGACGTCTGGGCTGGACGCTTACTGTAAGCGAACCAGATCCTCGGTCCGGGTGCTTATTGGCCTCGAAGGAGAAGCAGAGGAAGGTGAAGGCGACAACAGCACGACACAGATACGCACACACACACACACACATGCGGCCATCCGTGCTCCTCCCGGCAAGGCCAAAGATGAATTGGATTGACGCGACCAACATGTGCTGGACTCTGTGCTGATGAATGGATGGACGTGGTGGGGCCAGCGATCGGCGGCGCCAGCCTATTTCTTGCGCGCTGGTGCGCACCTGGCGCATTTGGCCTAGCCTCGACGGGCTCAGCTCCCCAACACCAACCGCCGGCCGTGATCGTCGCTCGTGATTGTCGTGTTTCACAGGCTCGACAAGGCACGCCCTCGTCCTCCTCGCCGCCGGACACCGGGGCCCTGTGCCTGCCATCGCCAATCAGAATCCTCTCTCCTCGCCAAAGCCCGGCTTGGCATGCCCGCCAACAACGTCAGTCGGGATGGCCTCGGCTCCTGTCAGCACTATTAGAGCTGCCCGTCTCCCGCCTCCGGATGGCCAGCTACAACTCTCTGTGACGAGCCTGAGTGTCTTTTCGTCGCCGTTGCTCCCTCACGACGACAAGCAGCACCTTCAGCTGAAGCAAGCACCCGCAGCATCTTGACCCGCCCCCGCCATGATGCGCGCCGCCTCGCTCAAGTCCACCCTGGCCCTGGCCACAGGCCTCGCTGCCTCGCTGGCCGCCGCCGCCTCCGAGGACTCGCTGTACAGCCAGCGCCTCAGCAAGCGCTTCATTGATGACGCCGGCAACTACAACATCTCCTTCTACCACGTCAATGATGTCCACGCCCATCTCGACCAGTTCAACTCGCGCGGCTCCAACTGCTCCAAGCCAGAGGCCGGCTGCTTCGGTGGCTACGCCCGCATAAAGTCCTTTGTTGACGAGACGCGCCCCAGCCACCCAGACTCTCTCTGGCTCAACGTCGGCGACGAGTTCCAGGGCACCCTCTACTACTCGTACTATGGCGGCGAGAAGATTGCAGAGACCATCAACCAGCTCGGCTTCGACGCCATGACCCTTGGCAACCACGAGTTTGACGGCGGCGACGACAAGCTCGGCGACTTCCTCAAGAACCTCACCTTCCCCATCGTCTCGGCCAACATTGTCTCGGACAACGAGAAGCTCAACTCGACCATTGTCCCCTACCACATCTTTGAAAAGTACAACCTGGCCGTCATCGGCGTCACCACCGAGACCACCCCGAGCATCAGCAAGCCCGGCCCCGGGACCAAGTTCACCGACGTCACCGCCGCCGTCCAGCGCTGCATCGACGAGATCTACAGCACCACCAACATCACCCGCATCGCCGCCATCACCCACATCGGCTACGAGGAGGACATCCAGCTCGCCAAGGACACCACGGGCCTGCACCTCATCATGGGCGGCCACTCCCACACCCTCCTGGGCGACATGGAGGGCGCCGAGGGTAAGTACCCCACCATCGAGAAGAACAAGGACGGCGACGAGGTCTTCATCGTCACGGCCTACCGCTGGGGCGAGTACGTCGGCTACATCGACGTCACCTACGACGCCGAGGGCAAGATCCTGGCTTACCACGGCGCCCCCGTCCACATGACCAACCAGACCTCCCAGGACCCGGAGCTCGAGGCCCAGATTGTCGACTGGGCGGGCGCTTTCAAGGCCTTTGCCGAGGAGAAGGTCGGCGAGACCACCACTGTTCTCGACCAAACAACCTGCCAGAAGAAGGAGTGCAATCTGGGTGACGTCACGGCCGAGTAAGTCCCCCCCTCCCTTTTCTTTTGGTCCAGATTGAACCACGCGTGGCACTGGGTTTACTAATCGTCTTGATTGGACAGGGCTCTTCTCCAGTACCGCATCGCCTCCGGCGCCAGCAACGCCGCCTTCGCCATGATCAACGCCGGCGGCATCCGCGCGTCCATCGACCAGGGCGACATCACCCGCGGCGAGGTCCTGACGACGTACCCCTTTGGCAACGCCGTCGTCGAGGTGACGTACAAGGGGTCGGACCTGTGGAAGGTGTTTGAGGGCCTGGTCAGCGCCGTCAGCCAGTTCAACGGCCAGAAGGTCACCAGCTTCTTCCAGATCAGCAGCGGCATCAAGGTCGAGTACAACCCGGACAACGAGGTCGGCAAGAGGCTCGTCCGCCTGAGCGTCGGCCCCTCCAAGGACAAGCTCGAGCCCATCGACCTGAACAAGGACTACACCCTTGTCACGCTCGACTTCATCGCGGGCGGTGGCGACAACATCCTGCCGCCGAGCGAGAATCTCGTCGTCCTCGACACCCAGGAGGAGGTCTTTGTAAGTTACTATCCAGTCGCCCCCCATTTTTCTCGCCGCCCGACGATAGGGCCACGACCAGCCAGTCAATCAGCCAGCCAGACTAACACAGCACTTCTTCTTCTTTCTTCTCAGATCGACTATCTCGGCGCCCATAGCCCCATCACCGCCGAGCTCGACGGCCGCATCGCCATTGTGTCCGGCTCAGCGACGGGCGGCTCTGGCGGCGGCGCCAACTCGAGTGCCACGCCCTCGCCATCGGGCACCGGCGCCGCCGCAACCCCGCCACCTAGCTCTGGTGAGCGCCTGAGCAGCCCGGGCACGTGTGTGGTGCTGCTTGTCTTCACGGCCATGCTCGCGTTTGTCGTGTCGTAAGCTTGCGTGCAGTAGGGGAGAGATGGGGATGGGATCGACTTCATGCTTAGATTTTCATGACCAAAAAAACGAATAGGAAATTATGATTCACGATTTACACATGAATGAATGAAAAATGTGTTGGGAAGGTGACATGTTCTAGCTAGTGCCTGAGCACAAGATGTTGCGCAAGTCCAGCTGTACCCAAGGCCGGTTGTGGAAGTCTAGGTGGTCGATCTTTGGTGGGTCATCTTGTCCATCTCGCGCGCGTTTCATCCATCAAGCTCTGATTTGATGACAGCAGAAGCAAGCACCCCACGCTGGGCTCCGTTCGTTGTTACTCTGTGGAGTTGGAATCCCCATTTGGCTCATCCCAACGGACCGACAATGGACGGACCCATGGCCAAGGACAAGCTCGGTCGCGCACAATAGATGTGGAGTCCTGGTACATCTACGACACTGCACAGGTCCCAAGGGGAATGTGACCTGGAATGGGGTATGTGAACGTTCTTAACTTTGGGACACCGAGATGATTGGCACACGCGCAATGTTGGGACGGATATCTTGATACAAGCGTGGGAAGGACACGCCATGGAGCTATCAATGACTAAACTATAAAGAGAGGGCTTGAAGTGAAGGACGCGAGGTTACATGGGGGTATAAGATGGAGACAGGAAGGTGTACACATGCTGAAGAACTTTTGCTTGAACTCATTGGTGCCGGACCAGATAGTCTATGTGCGTGGCCCAGGTGGTTCATACCAGAGAGGGGATCTTAACCGGGGACTTGGCACACGCGGCCTCAGGTCAAGACTGTGCTGAGCGTCGGCGCTTGGCCGTGGCAATGTCTCTGGCTGAAGGAAGAGGCTTGCGCTTCTTTGTCTTTGGGGTGATCTTCTCGACAGGCGAGGTGACAACCAGCTCTTCGTCCGAGCTCTCTTTTGATTCTTCTTCTTCTTCCTCTTCTTCTGCGTCTTCTTCTTGTGAATTGTTTCCCCGGACCAACGGTTCTGGCTGTGTTTCCCGAAGATCATGCCCACCAGTAGCCAAACGAGTGTCTGTATCCAACACCTCGTCCCAGGTTCGAGTCCCTGAGACGACAGCCGCGACGTTGATGCGAGCCCGTCCAAGCTCAATGCGATCCCTAAAGTCGGGCATGTCGTCCACATGCGCAGCCGCGCGGCGCCAGTCTCCGTCACAGGCCCGCAGCAGCACGGCCCAGAGGCGCTCAAAGTGTGCCCAGCCCAGACCGGTCCTCTTGGCCATATGCCCGCTGGCCTGTCTCTCCAGGGCGTTGGCAATGTTGCAGTGCATCATGGTCGCCTTGCCAGCCACACAGCCGCTGCACCGGGCGCCCTTGTAGAAGGTGCGGCTCTTCTGCACGCGGCACCAGTCCGAGGGGATCGGAGGTTTCGAGGGCCCCTTGTGCTTCTTCGCCCACGTCTTCCTGCATGGCTCGCAGGGACCATTGGGGTTGTCCATGCCAAATGTGTCGTCGGTGTGGATTCTTCGGGCCAGCTCGTACTCCTTCTGTGTGGAACCCGATTTCGGAGTGGCCTTGCCGAAGCGACGCAATGTGCGTTGTGTACATGGAGCCGGCGGAGTGGCGGCAGCTTCGGGAGAGTCGTTGCTGATTTTCTCTGTATTATGGGAATGTATTTCGTTCTCCTTCTGCTCTGTGACCGCGGGCACCTCGATTCCAGAACTTGTACCGCCATGAGTCACAAGTTGTGTAGAGTCAGCCGGCGACATTGAGGGGGATTCGCCATCGATCGGCGTGTTCAGCAACCATGGTTTTGGCTCAGCTTCGACCATGCGGAGCTGCTCTTCTTGCTGTTCTGGTTCTAGTCTTGCCAAGTCGTAGTAGCTCCTCGCGATGGCCGCGACTTCTTGCCAGACGTGGTCAAGGTCTTCATCAGCCAGCTCGGCCAGTCCGGGCAAGTCCCTGAAGGCTTGATCCAAACGCTCTGGGAAGGAATCCACTGTGATAGATTCGGGGTCGTCAGCAATGGCCGCGACGGCTCGACAGAAAAGCTTTCTGGTCCAGACTATATCCTCAAAAGCGTCATCGTCTACGGTGTCCTCTTCGAGTAGCTTGCTGTAGACCTTGTCGCGAGCACTTAGGACGGCACAGTCAAAGAAGAGCCACTGGAGCGCAAACCATGCCGGATTGAAGAGGCGGCGTGTTCCATCGTCGGGAGGCATTTTCGCGGACTTCCTGAGCCACTCCTCGGCAGCCTCAGTGAGTCGTATTGCCGACATTCTCCGAGTGATGTTGTGTGCGTCCTGTGCGAGCTTGATAGGGTCGTGTTGGATGATTGATGCCATTTCAGGACAGGTGGTCTGGTGATATGTTGACCTGGTCGTAGGTGCTATGATGAGTCTGTTGTGAAGGCTTTGCACGGTTGTGGGAGCAGGCGCAAGTGAGTCCCGGTCTGAGGTTGAGATATATAGAGCGCCAAGCAGAGGCCGGCCGGGACGATGGGGAGGTTTCGGAGATGAATGGCGCGCCGTGAAGGGCGGCCTGCCCGACCTGTTTGCAACATGGCTCCCCACGTCCTCTAGCTCTTTGACAACTGCCTCTGTTTCATCATGGTTGCCAGCCACTGTGAGCTCTGAGGCCTGGGCGCAAACATTACTCCGCTCTTTGAAAGCGAGCAGATTGCTGATGTGGTCCTTGCCATAGTCGAGTGGTTGCTAGAGATCGCGCACTGCCCGTCTTTCTGCTTCGATTGACGCATGCAGCATCACCGACCGTCTCACCAGAAAGCGTCTTGTCATGCATACACCTGATGTCTTGCGGTTGACTGTATCTCTTTGTTCGCACAGTTGTGCCAGCATGCGTCGAGCATTCATAGTTGGACGCCTTCGACATGGCCATGATCACGGGTGAAACCATGCGCCACAAGTTGAAGGACCTGTAGATTCCTTTTACAGTCTGAAAGTAATGCCTACGGGCAACGTGCGGATCGGTGTGGCCGACGCTGAAGCGTGCAAGTCAGGTGCAGATGAAGTCATTGCCTGCTTCCAATATCTCAACTTGACTTGAACGTCGCGGTGCGGGAAGGAAGTGACGTTGGTTTAAGTCTTGTGGAGCTGCAGGGTGTGGCATGGGGAGGAAAGCAAGCCCTGCAGTGCAGCGGCTTGCACAATCCATCCATCCTCCTCTTCCCGCAACCACCACAGTGACCACTACCACCACCAGCCCAGCCTCGAACCTGCCACGGCAAGATCTACAGGAGCAGTACGTGTAGCATCTGTGACAGCTTCAGTCCAGCACTCAGATGCCAGGCACGTCCCCATCTACTCGGGACCTCGTCCTGCACGTATCCTGCCCATGCTGTTGGCTGCTAGCTGCAGATCACGTCCATGTCGCTCGCAAGCCACGACCAGTTCCAGGACAGCCTCCACGCCACCACCTGTCTTTCCAGTAGGTCCTTTCGTGCGCGAACCTCGCAGCCCCTGTTGAAGGAGACAAGAACCATTTTATCCACCAACCGAGGAATCGTCCATGCTCGAATGCTCTCACCAACTGCCTGTAATTGGAAAGACATTCTAATTGGAGCAGCCTCCGGCTCTTCGAAACCCCACCGCCGCAGTCTTTCTTGCTTGCATGAGGCGTACAACGAGCTCTGGATGGGTGCAGAACTCTAGCTTCTGAGAGAACATGCTGCTCTGGACTTGGGACAGGGGTCCCAGTAGGGCAGCGTTCAGCAGAACCCCAGCTTAGCCTCGGGAACTGCTCGTCTCGACCTCCCCTGCCGGTTCCCCGCACACTGCTCCTCGTCGCCAACAACCAGTAACCCGCACGACACTGGAGTCAGGATGCTACGCTGGATGTCATGCCGAGGCCTCTACCCCAGCTTTTCTCCCAGACGGGAACAACTGGCCGGGGTCACAACCATGTTCGATCTCCATAATCGACCGCCCTTGCTCACGTCACTCTCCCCATGTACATGGCTTGACAGCCAACACGCAACTGTCAAGTGCAGAGAAACCGGAATGGAACCCTACCAAGCACATACTTGACAGGTCATACCTTGATCAAGCTGGCACGCACGAGCGTTCGGACGCCTCAGTGGAGCCACCAACGATTGCACCCGCGAGGAGTCGCTGACATGGACAAGCACCGTGAACCTTCATGTGCTTGTAAGAAGCCCTGCCGTTATTATGCCATGGATCCATCCAAGACCGTCCTGGTCCACTGGACCCAGCCAACATGGCAGCCATAGCCCCCGGGAAAAGGATCAGCAGTATTTCTATGGATGCCTGTCCCCCAGCCAAACGAAGCCTCGCCCTCTTGGCTCTTCCGGGTGTCATCTGCGCGACTTGGTTTTTTAAGAATGTGCACGCAGCTGTCAAGCCTGTCGTCTGTTCTAAGTTGAGGCAGTGCACTCGTCGCTTGCTCTCAACGACATCTCAATCTGCGTTGGCCGTCAAGCTGCAAGCAGAAGCCGTATCAACAACTCGAGCCAGGTTCCGCGACAGGGACTTGCTGTCTCGAGCTTAATTCCCGGTGTCTACGTGATACTAGGATCGAAGATTTACTAGCACGTCGCAAAGTCCATTCACTGCACCAACAAACACGCTCTCAATATCCTGCCCTGTGTGCCACCAATATGCTGATCAATCATTCCAGGCCAGCCATGCTGCTGGTCCGCTGCGGCATATGGCTTTTTGGTTACCTCGGTCTTGGCTGCCTCATCTACTTCTTCTTAGCCCTCTTCATTTTCGGCGAAGCTGGTATCAAGCATCCATTTAGTATCGCCGTCGAATGTGTCGGGGCAGTCGAAATTCTGTGGTATCTTATCTGGTATCTGCCATATCGAATGTACCTGGGTCGTCCAGGTCTACCACTAGACACAATCACAAAGGATGAGCGACATGGACTGTACCGGAAGCTCATCACCAACATTCCCGACTCACACCTCTTTATGCGAAAGTGGTTCTGCAATGCTCATCTGGACGAGATCTATCGCGAGGATATCAAGGACTGGCTGTTGTGGGCACTGTGGAACAAGTGGCACAAGCCAGAGGAGGACATGGAGGAGAACGAAGAGCTCGAGATGCTGATTGACGAGTGGGAAGAGCACACCGGCATGCGGTTTCGCAAGGGACGCGGCGGCGCAACGGCAATCCGGGCGAGTCTAGATCCTGTTGCCACAAGACATGCCTCACTCTTGTGGTACTGGACCGTGTGGGCCGTGGATCTCACGACGACGACTTGGCTCATGCTGTTCCTGGGATTCCGCTTCTACCGCCAGCCCTTACACACCTTCTTCACAAACTTCCCGTTCCGGCCCATGACTCTGTTGTCATTGCGGCGGTCTGCAGCGCCTGACTTCAGCTACTTTTATCGGCCCGCGAAGCATCCCAAAATTGGGCGATGCAGGAAGCGGACCGTGGTATTCTTGCACGGCATTGGCATGGGTCTCTCGCCATACCTGGCCTGGCTCAGCTCCATGCCCAGAGACATTGGCATGGTAATTATCGAGTTCATGCCGGTGTCTGGTCGGATCTGCCCACAAGCCGTCTCGCAGCGCGAATTTGTCAGCTCCATGCGCAGCATCCTCTCACAGCATTCTCTCGACGATGTTGTTCTGATCGGCCACTCCTACGGCACACTGATGGTGCGCTCCCTCCTTGACGACCCCATCGTCAACAGCAAGATCCACTCGGTCGTGCTGATCGACCCAGCGTCCATCATGATGCACCTCCCCGAGCTCGGCTACAACATCATGCGCCGCCGGCCGCGCAACGCCCCGGAGCTCGAGATGCAGTGGTTCGCGGCAGCGGATCCGCGTACGGCACACACGCTCACGCGCCGGCTACACTGGCAGGACTGCATCCTGTGGCGCGAGCAGCTGGTCGAGAAGCGCACGACCGTTGTCATCGCGTCGCGCGACTGCGTGACCAGCCCCTCGGCGACGGCGAGCTACGTATACTATGGGCACGTCGACTACGAGGAGAGCGACAAAAAGGAGTGGCGCAAGACGCCAGATACGTGGACAGGCAGGGGCGAGCTGGAGCTGTTTTACCTCTGGGATCGGGACCACGGGCAGAGCTTGCTCGCGCCAGCCGAGATCAAGCGGATCACTCGCATTGTCGAGACGTACTGCGACACGGGGCTGGATCCGACGGGCATTCTGAGACGGGACGAAGAAGGAAGCCAACTGCCCTTGGCGTCGGGTGAGGACGAGAAGCCCTCGGCCTTCGCAGTGGAGAACGAGCACAGTGGCAGCGGGGGAAGCGTGGTGGAGCCTGGCGAGCAGGCAAGTGAGAAGCACTTCGGCGCGACGACAAACTCGGCCGCAGTGTAATTAGACGGGGAGTGCATTTGCAGGCGAGACCTGGCAATATCGGGACCTATATATGACATGACGGCACAACTTTAGTGAATTCTATCGTCCAACTACTCAGGTTCGCCGGGAGAATTCTTGCCATTGGTACGGCTGTTTTATGTGAGGGCAGAGTGCTCCACGGCCACCGTCGTACACAGAACAGTCCGCACATTCAAGCTCAGGCCGGTGATGCAGCGGCGATAGATATTTAGTTAAGGACGAACTCCTTTCAACAAACAGTCTTCGTGGCTCAGTTGGTTAGAGCGTTGGTCTCATATCATTCAATTGATTGACTCAGTTAAACAATATTGGGACATCCAAAGGTCGTGAGTTCGAGCCTCACCGAGGACAAAATCCTTGGCATATCATCTTTTTTGCTCTTTTTCCGGTCCATCTTCCTGTATTGAGGCCGCATTGAATTTTTTATTTTTTTTGGAGTTGTGTTGTTGTCTTCATTGCTGGTTTAGTAGTTGTCACTCATTGGGTCTCTTTGTTTGGCATTGTCATCGGTTATCTCCGTACACTTGTTTGCACGTTGTTTGGTAACTCAATCTCTTTTCCCCTCCATTTCTCTCACATGGACAGTATTTCTTTTGATTCCCTTTTGTTTCCTCGTTCTTGGGTTTTCTTTTCTCGATCTCTCTTTCACATGATGGGAAACAGTAAACATCGTGATGCTTGAAACGCTGTAAGAAGAAGCCCGCTAGCATGCTTTACTGACATGGCAAACATTTTGCTTCTGGATAGTTTGTCCTAATAATTCCGAATTCCCCGCCCCCTTTCAGTCCAAATACCATATGTGGTGGCCCAGCGCATCCTCGAACGCTGTTCTACGTCCTCCCCTCAATGTCCTGCAGCGCCCTGACCAGCGACGAGCCTCCCTCGGCCCACATGACGGTCCCGTCCACGGCCAGCGGACCTCTCGTCGGCTTTGGCACGGGCACCTGCCCACTCAGAATCCTCTCCACGCTCAGGGGCTCTGCGCTTCCGTAGAAGGAGGCGTTTGCGTCTGCCCTTACCGCGACGATGGTCCCAGACGCTTTGGCACCTGTCCATGCTCCCCGCGTCGAGCGCGTGTAGCTTAAGATGGGCTCCTCTGCACGGATGCGAACGTCACTCGTCATGGTTCGGACATGCACACCTCCAGCCTCTGCTGGACTTAGGGCCTGGCTATGGCCCCTACTCTTGCTTGCGTCGGCGCTGCCGTCCTCGTCCAGGACGGGTCCGGGAGTAACACCAATCTCGCTCCCCAGACCGAGCTTGGGCCGCGTGAAGGCGTCGACTGCCGCGTCAGTGGTGAGCACAAAGACGCAGTCGTTGAACTCGGATCCGGCTCCGCCGCCGCCACGGAGTCCTGCACCCACAGACTGCACGATGAAGCCCGAGGGCGGCGACCATTGCCGACCAACATCAGACTCGGTCGAGGGCAGTCTCGCAATGACCACTCCGGACCCGCGCGCGCCACTGAGATGCAGGCCGCCGGCGCGGAACGTGGTGAAAATCGCCAGTCCCTTGGCACTGGCCATGACATGCGGCGGAATCTGGATAGGGGCTGGAGCTGAGTGCGACGGCCGTCGCTGGCTGAGATCAGCACGCTCCTTGCCTTTGCCCTCGGAGGCAAAGCTGAAGATGGACGACGCTGCTTCTTCTCCACAGCAGAACGCACGCAGGATCCGTGCAGCCTTGTCACATTCCTTGTCCAGTGTCATTGGCCAGAATGCTTCAGAGCCGAGCTTGTTGGCAATCGTGTTGATGGGCTCGCCCACCTTGTTTGTCGTCCATTTCGATATGTTCTCTCCCAGGCGAAGCTTCTTCAACTTGTTGGCCGAAGTGGAGATCGGCCGGTGGCCGAACTTGCGGCTGGGAGTGGTCGAGGATGCCGGAGCCGTGAGTAAACCCGGGTTGACGGTATGCATTGCGCTAGGAAGACCGTCCGGGCCTGGGCTCACCACCTTTGGGGGACCAAAGATGCCAGCAGTGGCTGAAGAAGAAGAGGTTGTAGTAGGCGGAGCAGAGGCGGCTGTCGGGGGCGGCGGAAAGTAGGGCACCGGCTTCCTTACTATTGCAGGCTTGGCCGTCACGGACGGTGCAGATGTTACCCGGCTTATTTGTAATGGTGGAGTGGCAACTCGCTCTGGCGTGCTCGACCCGGAGCCGCTCCAATAGTCTGGGGGCGCGGCGAAGAACTGCGCATATGCCAAGGTACGAGAAGTCTTGCGCTTAGGCGGCGGTCTTGGGGGAGGGGGCGCTGAAAGCGGAGTGACGAACTCTGATCGCTCCAGTTGTTGTTGCTGCTGTTGTCTTTGGACGGCACTTGCTGCAATGGCCAGCAGGGGTTCGTCATGGTACGCCGGCGGAGCGGGCTCATAAATTGACTGCCGTTGGCTCCGGCTCCCAGGCGAAGAAGTGCCAGCCCGAGCCAAGCGCTGCTTGTTCTGCAAGATTGAGGACTGACGCTGGGCACTGCCGTTGTTGAGTGTCGAGAACCTTGGAGGACTGGAGGAGCTGTCGAGTTCAGGCTCGCTGGACATGCGTGGGGGTGTGTCTGGCGGTGTAGGTCCAAAGGTGCCTGCCCTGACTAGAGATGGCTTCCTCTCGACGGTGTTCGCCCGGCTGCGCGGTGGTGTTGATATTGGAGACCAGTCGCGGCGGTACTGGTGCAGTGCCGCCTGCTCCTGTTGGAGGCGCAAGAGACTCGACGGCCTCCTGCTTTCTCTCCGGACTGTGCCAAGGATCATGACTGGTTCGTCCTCTTCTTCCTCCGAGTCCATTTGTGGCGCAACTGAAGAACTGGATACAGTCTGTCTTCTCCGCATGCCTTGTCCGCCAAGCTGAGAATCGTCGTCGCTGCCACCCGTCTGCTCCTCGTATATTGACCCACCATCATCACCATCGTCATCGTAAGCTAGAGGCGAGAAGGACTCGTCCATCTCCTCATCGAGATCGGTCAATTGTTGCTGGTGCCGACGGCCTAGCTCCGAGTCTGCTCTTTTGATACCGCCAAATGGTGCCAGGGGGGCAGGGACTAGATGGACTGTCTCTGCGGGCCACGAGTTGAGCCGCTGCTTGTCCTGCCAGTGGGACTGCTGACTCTCGAGCCGCTGCACGGCCTCGATGCGCTCGCGCTCCTGGTCCGCGAGCTCTCGGCAGTACTCTGAGTGGGAGATGATATCATCGCAAGGATGTGACCGCAGCGGATGCGGGTGTGCCACAATGCCAAGTCCCTCGACCTCGGCCGGGGCCGTCCTTGTGTAGGTGAACCATTTCAAGTCCATGGCTGTTGCCGTGATAATGGGCACGGGCTGCTCTGTGTCGTCAGAATCGTCGTCTTGGCTGTGGATATATGGCATGCACGAGTGTTCTGGATATGGCAGGGCCGAAGCTGGGGCGGGCTGACCCATGGTGAGCAGAGGTCGTGGGGACGAGCCGAGGGCGGGCGAACAGGATAAAGAACAAGCTGGTTTGAAATGCGGACACGCCTGACGTAGGCGAACAGAGGCGTGATGATCCAAGATTGCCAGCGCAGATCTGCTGCTCTTATGCAACGGCGATCGTAGTGGCGGGCGTCCGAGAGTGTGTTGTTGATCTGCTTCAATCGAGCAGCAAAGAGACCTCAACCATGGCTACCTGATCTGACACAACGGCACCGGCGAATCGCATTCAAGGCAGTCGAGGTCCACCCGTCAAGTCTGTAAGGCCGCGGTTTCGTTGGAAAGGGGAAAAAGGAAAGAAACCCACAAAACCGACCAGCGGATGAGAGCGGACATTGATCTTTTGTTTTGTCGAGACCGGAAAGACGAGCACCCAGCGTGTCCGGCTGTCTTACTGGGGAGACTGCGAGCGACGAGCCCCTGGAAATGCTTAGCGTGCTCTGAGAAGATTACCGCTTGCAGTGTCTTCCGGCGAGGATCAGTCACTGTCTGCAGATGGTCTCTGCAATGTGCATCCTAGTTCTCTCCAGGTTGATCTTATGCCTGCGGAGGCTTGATCGCCCTCGCCGACACCGGCTTGGCAACGGACCGTCAAGCCTTGGCCCTTTCATTGTTTCCAAGGCTCGAGTGACGAAAACACCATGTGACCTGGTTGCCTCGTCAGTTGCCTAGCTCTACATCTGTGAGATTCCTTGCAGCATGGGCTACACGACAGTTTCAGACCCCCTCCCCCTGCAGGTGCAAGTGCAGTGCTTTGCACACGTGGCCGCGCAACTCGAATGCCAACAACAGCGGCAGCAGCAGCAACAACAACAGCAACGCCAGAAGAAGCAGGACTTTTCGGAGCTTCTACGAGTTGGCGATTTGACGAGATGTCCGGTGTCCTGCGGCAGTTGCTGCTTGGCGTGCTCGGGTTTGTCGATCCCATGTCATCGGCAAGGGTTGGGCAGAGTAAGCGGCGCTCGCTGGTGCAGCCTGAAATAAACACACGCCACATGCCTGCCGCCTTCCCCGCGACCTTTGCCCCGTCTTGCCTGCTCGTCAACTGCTTAATAACACGCTTTATTGCACACCAACAGCATCCCATAATTGCATGGCACCCGTTTCAGCTTCGTCACCGGAAAAGAAACATCACAGGTGGGGTGCATACTTGGTGCTCGTAAGCTCATGCACATTTGGCATTGGTAGTTTCACCACACCAGGACTCGATAATGGTAGGCTTGCACACAGGGTTTGCTCTCGGCCGTTTGTCTTCGTAGCATATCATCTGGCGGCGATCGATGTTCATGATGATTCCACGCCAAACCACTGCATTGCTCCCTCCGTCTACAGGTACAGGCCCTCGGGCTCTCCTTCCTGCTTCGTCTTGAGCACTCTCTCCCTTGCCGCCCGGAAGTCGGCCATCTGCACGCGCATGCGGCGCTCCCGTAGGGCAAGGAGACCCGCCTCGGAGCAGATTGCCTTGATATCTGCTCCCGATAGGTCGTCCTTCTGGGTGATGAACTCGTCCAGGTCGACGTCCTCGTTCAGGTTCATCTTGCTTGTGTGCAGGTTGAAGATCTTGCGCTTCGTGTTTTGGTCGGGGTTCTCAAAGAGAATTTTGCGGTCGATACGTCCAGGGCGGATCAGCGCGGGATCCAGCGACTCGATCTTGTTGGTGGCCATGATGACCTTGACATCGCCACGATCGTCGAAACCGTCAAGCTGGTTGAGCAGCTCCAGCATGGTTCGCTGCACCTCTCTCTCACCTCCAGATGTGGAGTCGTATCGCTTGGTACCGATGGCGTCGATTTCGTCGATGAAGACGATGGAAGGTGCGTTCTCGCCAGCAACCTAGATGTAGAGTGTGAGCTCGTTCCCGATAATCATACCTGCTTAGAATGATCTTGAACTCACCTGGAAGAGCTGCCGCACAAGACGGGGACCATCACCAAGATACTTCTGGATCAGCTCACTGCCCACGATTCGCAAGAAGGTGGCAGAGGTTTGGTTGGCGACGGCCTTGGCCAGTAATGTCTTGCCGGTGCCAGGAGCACCATAGAGAATGACACCCTTTGGAGGCTTGATGCCCATTTCCTCGTAGAGCTCAGGATGTAACAGGGGCAACTCCACTGATTCTCTGACTTCCTGAATCTGCTGCTCGAGACCACCAATATCGGCGTAAGACTCTGTGGGCGCCTTGTCGAGCTTCATGACATTGACGGCCGGGTCGGCATCGTCAGTCAGGACACCGACAATGGAGACGCTCTTGTGGTGAAGCAGGACGGAGGCACCAGGCTCAAGGAGGTCCTTGTCGACGAAGCTCATGATGCTCACGTAGTACTCTGGGCCAGTCGTGCTAGAGACAATCGCATGGTCGTCGTCAATCATCTCCTCCAGTGTGCCGACACCCATGGGACTGCCGCGCATGTCGTCGACGCGGCCGCGCTCATCAGCGTTGCGATCACCAGCCTCGGGGTCGGGGATGGGACCGGTCGCATCCTTGGCAGCCTTCTGCTTCCTGAAGCGCTCCTGGTTCTCTACATATTCCTCTTCGAGAAGCAGGTGGTCGTGGATGCGCTGCATCCGGAGGAGGCGAAGCTTGCATCGGCTTGTGGGGTATACGGCGGGCAGCTTCGCAGCGGCAGAGGTGCCGGCAGCCTTCTTCTTCTTGCGACCGATCCTTGTGGTTGGCCGCGGCGGGGGCTCGTACTTGGGCTTGTCCTTCTATGGATTCGGTATGCAGTGTCAGAACCGTCTCTGTGGCGGTGATGATATCATGAGGGGCTCATCACATACCTTCTTGTCCTTGTCGTCCCTGCCATCGCCGGCACCGCCCATGCCAGATTGGTTTTGACCCTGCAAGTAGAGAGAATATTAGCATGGTGTCGCCGAGTTTGGCTGGAAGATGTTGTGGTTGGGATGGGCCAGGGCTTACCATCGTGGCGAGCGAACCGGTATCTCAAATGGGAGCTAGAGAGTCTGTTTGGGGTGTGCGGGACTGTGACTGTGTGCGCTGGTGCGCCGTGTAGGGGGTTTCCTCTGTTCCTGCCAGCCAGAGTAGAAAGACTGGTGGGCGTTTGTGGCAGCGGGTGATGTGCCGTTGGCGGTGATGATTGAAGCAGCGAAGTGTGGTGTTGAGGTGGATGGGGTGCTGCCAGACAACGACGACGTCGACTGGACTGGAGCTGCTTGAGCTTGGCTTGGCGCTGTGGGTTGATTTCAGGCGCCCAAGTGACAACGCGTGCACATGGCAAGCCCGGGCCAGACTTTGAGCTAGCTGAGGCTGCTCAGTCATCCAAATGCGGGCGGCGCATGCTGCTGGAGGCCCAGGTTGAATTGGTGCAGCTGGTAGTCTGCCCCGCAGCCCCGCTGCCAGCTGCCAGTCCTTCAGTAGACCAGCTGAAGCTATGACGCCAGATCGGTCCCTGAAGACAGCCAGCCTTAGAGTGCTGGCTTTGGAGATTTGGAGCCCTGCATCAGTAGCAGCGAACTCTTGTGCCGCACTTTGAGCGTAGAGATCCGTTCTCGTCGTCCCATCGTCAGGTGCTTCGCCTACGCCACTTTCACGCCCTTTGTCGCAACCGCCAAGACAGTGATAGGTACGTACACAACAAGAGAACTCGAGACGGTCATCAGCATTTGCTGTCCAGGTCGACCGTGCCCCACCAACATGAAGCTCGACTCGAGGCAGGGCTTGTCGGTGAGCCGCTCAGCTTCGAGCCTACTGGCTGCTGCCAGCTCGATGGGGCCCGAAAACAAACCGGAGCCAGCCATTCCCAGACACACAACTGCCGGCTCAGGGCCCTGGATGTCTTGATGTTGCCGCTGGGAGCTACTATGCACAGCACCGACATGTTGCCAGCAGGCCGAGAGAACTGTGCTCAAGGTTGACCATGGGCTTGTTCACTATCTCCAGCTTTTTCCAAAATGGCAGTGATGTGTGCTGCACCACCTGCACAAGGCAGCCAGCCAATTGCCCATGAAGTGGTCGCCGCCTCAACATTGTTTCAAGGATCCCGCAAAGGCGACCTACTGAGTGTTTAAGCCCTGGGCACAACTCCTGAAGCTGCCACTCAGGTCCGCGAAATACCATACAAGCAGCAACCCGTGGGAGTGCGGGCCCCGAGACGGGCACTGTACCCTGTCCGAAGGAGAGTTACGGGAGCGCTAGCGGAAGCCCTCGGTACCTCCATAGTTGCGGGAGTCCTCGCCTCTGAGGCCCGTACCCCCCACGGCCCGCGTCCCAGTAGCTGGGACGAGACACGGGCCTGCCACAGTGCCAGTCCGGCAACTGCAGGACTGCACCGGCCGATGCTTGTTCTTTTTTTTGGGCGGTCGCGATCCTGCCCGCTGGCTGCAACTCCCTGTCGCCGCACCCACCACGCCGCCGTCTTCTATCGCCAGTCAAGCAACCGCAGCTCCCCACGACTGCTTCTCCCAGCTCAACCCGTCCTCGCCTTGCGAACGCCCGACTCTCTTCCTCCCCACGATCGCCGCTCACCTCTCGCCAACATGCAGGCCTTCTCCAGACAGATGCGGCCAGGCTCCGCCGTCCTGCGCCAGCTCTCCAAGCGCACCTACAGCTCCTCCTCGTCCCCCTACTCCAAGACCATCGACAACCTCCGCATCAACTCGGAGACAAAGGTCCTCTTCCAGGGCTTCACCGGAAAGCAGGGATCGTAAGTCGCCCGTCCGCCTCACTGCCTATCCGATCCGTGCCATTGCCGTGGTGCTTGTGGCGAGGGGTAGACAGAGACTTGATATCAAGCTCCGCGATGCACAAACCGCGCAAATCGCCCACAGCAAGCTCGACAGCCACATTGCACTTTTCTCGCCTCGGCTCGTTCAGGATGCACCACAGCATGTTGCTAACAGTCTTCTCGCAGTTTCCACGCCGAGCAGGCTATCGCCTATGGTAATTGCCAACTCTCCCCCACTACCACCACAGACCGATCCATACGCCGCACAGCCAGCTTCCCAAGTGGCTCGACAAAAGGTTAACAGTTCTCAGGCACGAAGGTTGTTGGTGGTACCAACCCCAAGAAGGCCGGCACTACGCACTTGGATCTCCCCGTCTTCGGCACTGTCGCTGAGGGTGTCAAGGAGACTGGTGCCAATGCTACTGCTCTCTTCGTCCCGTGAGTGCCCGTCCGTACATGCAGCATCTGGCTCTTCTTGTGTCAAGTCACTTACCATCCCGACGATACAGCCCCCCGCTTGCCGCTGCCGGTATCGAGGAGGCCCTGAACGCCGAGGTGCCCCTCGTCGTCTGCATTACTGAGGGTATTCCCCAGCACGGTACGTCCCAGCATACCACAAACTCCTACCCAAAGTCACCTTGCGAAAATGCTGACTTCGCCTATCAGACATGGTTCGCATTACCGACATGCTCAAGACCCAGGACAAGACCCGTCTCGTCGGCCCCAACTGCCCCGGCATCATCGCCCCCGGCCAGTGCAAGATCGGCATCATGCCCGGCTTCATCCACAAGCGCGGCCGCATCGGTATCGTCTCCCGTTCCGGTACTCTGACCTACGAGGCCGTCAACCAGACCACCCAGGCCGGCCTGGGTCAGTCTCTCGTTGTCGGCATTGGCGGTGACCCCTTCAGCGGCACCAACTTCATCGACTGCCTCAACGTCTTCCTCAAGGACCCCGAGACCGACGGCATCATCATGATTGGTGAGATTGGTGGCTCGGCCGAGGAGGATGCCGCCGACTTCCTCAAGGAGTACAACACTGCCAACAAGCCCGTCGTTAGCTTCATTGCCGGCATCAGCGCTCCTCCTGGACGCAGAATGGGTCACGCTGGTGCCATCGTCTCTGGTGGCAAGGGCGGCGCCGACTCCAAGATCAAGGCCCTCGAGGATGCCGGTGTGATTGTCGAGCGCTCCCCTGCCAGCCTGGGCCGTGCCCTGCGTGAGGAGTTCGTCAGACGCGACCTCCTATAAGCGAATAGCCGAGTTTGGAAGAGGGGGGAGGGAAGGAGACGCGATCCGCGTGTAGTAAATTATGCAGGGCAAGGGGGATCGTGCCGTGTGAGTGACTATAATGACTGGGTTCGGGGCACGGAACCTCGCCTCGCCTCGCCTTGTGGCTCAAAGTATCTGTGGCTGTTTTGTTTGTTGTCTCCATTTCCTTGGTCCAAATAGACGGCGGAAGGCATCACCGGGTTTTTTGAAATCTCATCCAAAGAGTAGTAGAGGAGATATGATGGGTCATTTGGCGAAAATGCATTGTATATTTTCATCCATGCATCCCACGTGGGCGTTCCGCTGTGCTAAAGCTACCCCGAGTCTTCTCCCCAGTAAGAAGTCCTCTGTGCCAACTGGCAAATCTATGTGACCGCCGCCGCTCTATTGCGAACTTAACACGGCGTTGACGATAACAATCTGGAAGCCAGGTTCGAATTCTTGAGCAATATTTATTTTAATTCTACCTGGTAGTATAAAGCTATTAAAACCTAACTTCTTATTTCAAACAATTCTGATTCATACTAGCGAAGAAGAGCAAATACATCTTGTTCTTTTGCACACTCCGCCCTTCTTCGGCAGGCGTGGATGATGTATGATATATTAGACCAGACGGGCGCGCGGGCCGGGCAGGCAGGGCAGGACAAGGAGTCTTGGACCTACGCAGGCGGATGGTTGACATCCGCCCCCCCCCCCCCCCCATCCCCCCTTGGTCGCATCGAGACCACACAGCCCCTTGAACAGAGATTCGACATGTAAATTGTTGCCATGTTTGCAGTAGGCGAGCGATGATTTATTTGTAGACGGCAGGGCAAGTAAGATCCAGGGGGACACGAAAATCTCAAGCCCGAATATCATATCTATTGTTATTGCTCTATAATGTGTAGAGCGTGCCCATTCGTCTTCAAAGTGGTCTCGACAAGGTGGTTTCTAAGCAACAAAACAATGATTCCAATTCAAATCTGGCAAAGACGCCCAAACAAGGCTATGCAAGGTTTAACCAAATACGATGAAAACAGATCGGGGTATTGGGGGGACTGCGCGCGAGACAATAACCACAGCTACAAGACATGGCTGAGCAGAGCAATCGCTAGTGATAAGAACCCCAGAATGCTGTACTGATGTCCAACAACACGCATTGCGGCATTGGTCGGAGACGGTGTTGGCGATGGTGGTAGGAGGCGGTCACTACATGTGCGTTAGCTTTTCTGTTCGACATAATAGAATATAAGGAAGCGGCAGAAAGCACCACCGCTGCCATGTCAGATGTAAGGGTTTGGCACACGGAAAGACAAAAGAGCACATACGGCAAAGTGTAACGGCCAAAAAAGTCCATGATCAGACTGCTCGCGTTGAACTGCGTTGTTCCAGTGCCGACAGCCTGACCGCTGCTTTGAGATATCCGAAAAAAGTCTGCAGGCCAGACGTGCCCGACGTTCTTGCCTGCGAAGACGAGCTGGACCAGCCCGGCCGTGGTGCCCGAGCCATAGGTATACCGCTCGGCACTCCCGCCCAGCTTCTCGATCACGCTGCCCAGCGATCCCTCGATGGCGCTCGCTGAAGTGTACGTGCCCATGTCGAGAGTGTCGAGGCCGTCGCGCAGAGCCCACTGCTCCGCCCAGTACGGGATGTCGGGCGTGCAGGCGCCCCGGCGGTCACCGCCTTCGTAGTCGATGACGATGTCGTCGCCGCCGTGGAAGGCGAGGATGGGGATGTCTGCGCGGCCCGGGTCACAGGGGAGCTTGTCGGTGGTGGGCCTGCATGAGTTTGTGGCCGGGTTGGGGTAAGGGTAGTAGTAGGCGCCAGCTACGGGGGCGTAGGCGGCAAAGATGGCAGCGGTGTCGGGGCTGCAGGCGAGGAGGTTGGTCATGCCGCCGCCCTGGGACATGCCGCTTGCGTAGATGCGGGCGTTGTCGATGCAGATGTGGCTGCGGACGTCGTCGAGGATGGCGAGGACGTAGCCAACGTCGTCGATGCCCTGGGCAGCCATCTCGGGGGCGATCTGCCACATGCGCTGGGTGGTGCCGTCCTCAAAGGTGGCCTCTGGATAGACGACAACATAGGACGACTTTGGGTTGAAGTCTGGGATGGTGAAGTAGTCGACACTGGCCTGGAGGGCGGCGGAGGAGCCGCTGCCGTGGAAGGACAAGACGAGGGGCGAGGGCAGCGAGGCGTTGTAGCTCGGGGGCAGCCAGTAGAAGTAGTGGCGGTCGCCGCCCATGGCGGTGCTGAGGGTGAGGTTGACCTCGGTCATGGTGCTCAGCGCGGCAGGCGCGGCGCTCCCGCAGCCATGCGACGGCGACGAGGCGGCCACGGCAGTCCCAAACATGCTCGAGGCGGCAAGCGCGACCAGGCCCACGAGCAGCGACGACACCGACGGCCGCGGCCAGACGCTCCCGCGAGAAGGACAGCACTCCATGATGATGATGTCGTCGTTGTTGTCGTCCGAAGGGCGGGCGACAAATGGTGGAAGAGGAAGAGAACCCGCGGCGAAGAAGCAGCAGCACCTTTGTGTTGTGCCTGCCGTGTGGCTGGCAGTGCGCATGTGAGGGCAGGGCGGGCTGAATGATTGATGACTTATACGGAGCCAGGAAAAAGAAAGCAAATGACGACCAGCAGCACGACGCCAGCCGCCGCGTGGCTAGCGCCCGCGGTTGGTTCCCGGTGGCTGTCTGTCGCCGCGGTGGCCGTTGAAGCTGCTGATGCGCTAGGCCGATCCAAGTCAGGCACAGGCACTTGAGTTGACAGGCACTTCAATCAGTCACAATATCTATGGGGACAGTGCTCAGGAACAGAGTTCGTTGATGCCCTCTGAATGGGGAATGAACGAAGTGGCCCCCACGTCAGGACCGCAGAGGCTCTCTCTGGTGATGTCGCACGGCACACGACTGCCGGAAAACTGCTGTGCAGGCGCTGAACACCCCCCCAAAGAGCCATTCATGCATGCACCTATTCAGCTTGGCACAGCCACGATGCATTCATTCGTTTCGATCAACTCTATCAGCAGAAAAGAAGGAACGAAGATGCCCTTGATACATGGATGAGCCAGCCTGCGGTCGGCCCGCGCAGGGATGCCAAGGCGCCATTCTTCAAACAATCCCTGAACCAACCAATCCAAACGTCCCCTGTCCATGCTTGGCGTGCTTGCTTTTTCGGCATGATCTACAGGCAAAGGCTCCATTCTTGCCGCACGGCCGCCGTGCTCACTTGATTAAACACGGCAGAGGCAGTCGCCCGGCCCCATCATGCACGGCCAGCGCGTCCTGTCTCTCGTATCTGCTTGCTTGATTGCCTGTATTCCCAAAGCAAAAGCGCTTTCATGCATTGCAGCTGGCCAGCCCATCCAATTGCCGGGCAGTCATCGTCCCAAAAGTGGCGCCAGAAGATCGTCGTGGATCCGGCCCTGTGGAACCCTGGGATCGGGGATGCAACCCTGCCAATCTTCCCGAGGCCATGATGCAACTAAACCCTGCATGTCAGTCTTTGGGCTGCAACACACTCAAGGGCACCGCTTCCTGCGGGCACAAGCAACATCGTCACACCTGCTTGCGCAGATTCATAAACACGCCTTGGCCACAATATTGTTTTCGCACAAAACCACAGCGCATTGCCTATGTAAAACTCAATCGCTAAATCACAACCACCCAAGTCATCTTGTCCGCTCGTGGTGATGGACTGGGTTTACTCTGCTGCTCTCTCCATGGATCCCGACTCAACTGCTCGAGGTTGAACACATTGCAGAATATTGTCAGCCAGTGCACCTCTTCGAGTCAGCTTGCCTTTTGGCGAATCCGACAACCACCTAGAACTCTCCCTTTCGTTACGAACCCCCCAGTCACCGTCCCTTGGCGCGTTGTGTCCTTGAGCCCAATGCCATCAGCCACTTCCTTCGTCGCTAACAATAGGTCTCCTCAGAGACGAGGACCCGGACGCGGGCAAGGAGAGGGCGGAGGAGGCTTTGGCGCTGGCTTCGGCGCCGGCTTCGGTGCCGGCTTCGGCGGTCGGGTCTGACTTGGACGATCATGGCTCTCCTGAGCCCCTTCCTCATCGCTAGCGGGAGTAATCTTCTTTTGGCACTTCTCAACCGGCAACTCGCAAGCGTCTAGATTCTGCGGAGGAGGCGTCGGAGGCGGTCTTGGGGGTCGCGGCTGTGGACGAGGAGGCGGAGGGTGTGGCGGCGTGGGCGGAGGGCTGGGTGGGGGTGTAAAGTCCCGTGGAGCCTCCGTGGACATGTATGCCACTCTCTGGCCAGATACATCGTCGTCCTCGGCGTGGGCTCTACGAACCGGCCCAACGTGATTTTGGGGTGATATAGGACGCGAAGCTTCCGGAGCTGGACGCGGCCAGGGCAGAGGAGTGTAGGAGGTTGTGGCGGGCCGAGACGGCGGAGGAGTCTGTGAGAGACCATCCCTGGTAAGTCTGACACTATCTGCTGCTCCACAATCAGGGCCAAGAGCTCTGCCGCGAGCCGAAACAAGGTAGGAGCTGCTGATGATGAAGACGGAGGCTTGGCCTTGCTTATCCTTCTGGAATCTTTGCCTGTCAACAATGAGCCCAGCGTCGTGGCCGGTACACCCGCTGACCCTGCTACACCATGTGGCTTGATCGAGCTCGGGAGGAAGGACCGACATCTCGGTCCGCGTGGGCTGATATTGAGGCACGAGATATCTGAGGAGAAAATGATTAGTCATTTTTTTCTGCACAAGTTGCACTCTTTTCTCTCTTCTTTACAAGGCACTCTGACCCAAGGCCTTTGTCATGTGGAAATCAACAGCATTTCCGCCAGTTACCTACCTTGCTACTGTGGCGGTACTGGACATTGGCCAGTGGCGGATTCCAAAGGGTAGAGATAGTGGAGATTCCGAAGGTTGTGGGCTTCTTGGGGAATATTCCGAGGTGTATCTCGCGTCGTGCCTGCTTTATCGCTCGTGTTGTTCTTGTTGCTGTCTGTCATGATCCTCGACCAAGAACTGCGAGCGAAGCGCTCCATATATACGGAAACTACCGACATTCCTCTGACAAGAAGTGTGCTCACCATGAACTGAAATCCCCTCATCCACATGAGTTGTGTTGTGTAGAATTATGCTTGACAGCCCAGGGCCGTCTCCATTCGGCGCAGACAGTGCTTCGCAGAAATGGTACTCCTGATATTACTATGCAGAGCCAGTGATGTCGAAGAAGCATCCAAAGGAAAAACAGTGATCTTGAAGCACTGGCGGCTGACGGCTAGGGTTGACTCAAATAGAGCGTATCCGAAGCGTCGAAAGAGTCGGAGACATGGCGTGAAGAGCCATGGACCGTTGATTCTTGCTTGAATGGGTGGTGAGCAAGTTGGAGGTGACAGATAAGATCTTGTCCATTATTAAATCACAATAGCGACCTCTCAGTCGAGATCAAAATGGCTGTATGATGGTGGTGTTTCGGAAAAGCTCCTCGGCCTTGAAAGGTTTGCTGTTGCTGGGCGTGATTCTCTTCCCGTTCACGTTGGTCGTGCTTGTAGGTTGTGCGTTCGTTCCTCAGTCATCAACGCAATGAGTGAAATCTGCCCCGTGGGAGATGGACCCAGGGGATCTCCCTGAGTATAGACACCTCGTTTGGCACAGTGATGATTTCGTAACGGCCGCTGGTCGTTCTCTGGTCGTCCACCAGTGGTATGATTTGGGCGTGTTGCAATGGCGTAGCATTCTCAGACTCATGTCCCACGATGCTGTGCGCAGTGTCATCGACAGGGACGATGCTACCATGACCCACTGATGCGACGGTCCCAGACATTGTTTCCTCATCATGCTTGCGGACAAAGTCATCAGCTTTGGCTTGTAGATACCTCGTGAATGCCGACCTTAGCGGGGTCCTGCGATGGGAAAGCAGTCTGATTGGAGGGGCATTTTCGATGTAGACGAGGTCTGGAGCCACTGGGTTGAAAATCAGATTGAGTCGTGATAGCCGATAGGGGCGCAGCACCAGATGGTCGATCTTTGGGCTGAAGACACCACGGACGATTCGACGTGAAGAGCCGGCAAAGCAAGTGATGCAACCTCTGGTGACTGAAGGGGCTGTGGATGCCAGCATATCTTTAGACAGACTCTGCGCCGAGGTCTTTTCGCGGGCTTCCGGGTCGAGATAGTCGTCGAAAAAGACCATGCTTTCTTCGTCGTCTTCGCTGTCAGGCTCGCTACGGTTACTGTCCACATCCATAGCATCCGAGAGATCGTCTGGAGCCACGCCCGAGGCTGCGATAGCAGGTCCGGTGACTAGTCGTTCGACGACATCGAAGCCGTCCGGGCCGAGGCTGGCAGCGAGGACGTGGTACTCAAAGGTAACGGGTGTGTAGCGGCATTCGCCGTCGTCGTGGCCGAAAATGTACGTCCGCATTTCGGCGCAGACATGCGCAATGACGGGCAGATGACGAAATGCCAACGCCGTCCTCGGGCATACACGAAGCTGGGCACCGCGGCCCTCGAGCTCAAAGTCGAGGGTTCGAGGCTCGAGAGTGAGGGCGTAGATCATGAAGCGGATCTCTGGAGGGAGCACATGGAGAGTGCCGACAGGCGAATGTGGCGGCAGTTGCTGCTGCATGATCTTTGTTGTGGCTTTGTGAGACTTTGAAGAACAAAAACCATGAAAGCGGGTTCAAAGTGGGAGAAGCAGCTCTAAGAACAGGAGGTCCTGAAGCGGAGGACAGTCAATTCTGGGAGAGTCAGGGAGTCGACCGACAGCCCTTGGGAAAGAGAATCTGGACAGGCGGAGGCCGAGCTGCTGGCCGTTTGCTCTCGAGGATGCTGCCTCTGTGGTGCCAGCCAGCCGGGTCAGCCTGTCGCAACTTGGGCGTCGAGATCAAAGCCACGGCCAGTCCTTGACAATGCGATCCAGAACTGGCGGGCTCAGGGCTGGCGCAGACTGGCTCCAACGGCGGCATTAGGGCGGTCACAGAGAGAGCCTCTGGGCTGCAGGTGGCTTGGGCAGGGCCACCTGGGCATGCCTAGACGCACCCAGGCGAGCCCCCGCACGCCGCCCAGTGGCCGTCAGACCCCTGCACCAACGCCACTGGCCCGGCCTGGATCCTCTCCCGAACTCCGCGCGGGGAGCCAGGAGATACGCTCTGGTGCTTGACGAGCTTGTTCTGGTCCGGAGCTGCGACTTGCTCAAGCTTGTCCTCATGTCAACAGGTAGGCTGACAGCGACCCCGGCCCTTGGCACAAACTGGAGACAAGTCACGCCTATGGTCGTGCCTTCCAAAACAAGCAAGGTTTCTTTCTTTGTCCACGGCAAAAGCTGCCCAATGTCTCATGGCTGACAGCCAGATGCTCCCATGGCGTCGCATGCGGGGCGACAGGATACTTCTTCCTCTGCAACCAGGATCACCAGTCTTTGAATAAAGCCAGGCAGGTCAGTTCTTGAACACTATCACCCTTCCTTCCAGTTTAAGCGGCTTGAAGCTGACAGCCTCCGGGCTGGACAGCCGCCGGCAAGTGGGGCGGGCTCCGCTCGCGCAGCTTCCTTCCATCCTCCGGCGTCGATTCCGGCGGGGTGGGGACCCTCAAAACACCATCGCGGGGCCAGCTTCAGTTGCATCATCGACCAATCCCCGGGAACAGCTACCGTCGGGTCTCGGGTGCGTTTGCTTCGCAACAAGCATCGCTCATTGCCATCTCTCACTCGGCCATGGCAGCAGCAATGCAGTACTACACCACAACCGCCAGCGATGGCTGCGTCCTCGCCTTTCAGTCCTCCCTGCCCCTCCCAGCATCAAAACAACCCCAGACGGCCAATCCCAGCTACGACCGCTGTATAGTCCTCATGCACGGCTTCTCCGGCTCCAGCGAATACTTCACTCGCAACTTCGCCGCCCTCGCGCAGCACCACTGGGTCGTGGCGCCAGACATGCGCGGCCACGGGCGCTCTGGCCGGCCCACCGGAGGGCACCACGTCGCCCGCCTGGCCGCCGACTTGAAGAGTCTTCTGCGCTTCCTCGTCCAGCAGACTCGTGCCACACGCGTAGCTGCCGGCCAGCAGCCCAGAGGCATCCAGTTCATCCCTGTAGGTTGCTCGATCGGTGCTGCTGTGCTGTGGACGTACGCGGAGCTCTTCGGCCACGGGACACACGATGCCGATGCCCTGCCCGGCGGTGGTGGCGACGATTCCCTGGACCTCACAAGCACCGGCTCCTTTGCGGGATACATCTTTGTGGATCAGGCTCCCTTACAAGACCGCGTCCCAAGTTTCATGAATTCCGGCTCCGGCACTGGCGGCGACACGATCACATGGGACACGGCCAAATCCCATACAGGCTGCTACGACGAGGCCACCATGCACGCCGCCCAGCGCGCCTGGATCCACGACACGGCCAACGCGCACAAGGGCTTAGTCGCTGAATGCCTAGGCTACCGCTTCTCCCCGTCGGCCTCGTCAGCTGTGCGCATCACGGCAGACCAGGCCCGTGCAGATGAGGACTTCTTCACGAGAATCTCCAGCCTCTGTGACCCGGTCTGGCTCGCCCGGCTCCTCGCCGATCATACCCGCTACGACCACCGCGATGCGATTCGCGAGGTCGTTAGCGAGAAGCCCGTGCTCGTCATGGCCGGCGGGCTCTCCGGCTGTTTCCCGCGGGAAGGCCTGCTGGAGACCGCCAGGATCGTGAACGGAGTCGTCGAGGGAGGCGCCGAGGCCAGTGTGTACGAGGATGCGGGGCATTGGCTGTTCTACGAGGATCCAGTGCGGTTCCGGGACGAAGTGGTGCGCTTTATAGACAAGGTCACGGCTGCATGATAAAAGGTGGTAATGGTGTCTCGTGCTGTGCACACCGAGACACTCACCCGAAATTACCATTCGAAGGGACCACAGGTAATTAGAAGCATGGCGAATGAATTCTCCTCTGTTGGTCATGATGCTGTTCAATAGTCCAGAAGTACTGGGTTTGTCTCGTGCATTTCCGCTCCATACTAACTGTATGTGAACTATCAATCCTGCCCCAGAAAGATCATGTATTCTTCTCAAGAGGTAGTGTGAGGGGTTGTCTGCTGTGATATACTACGTGATGTATAAACAATCCCGCTCAGTACTGACGGCATTTCCTTGAGGATATGCATGCAATTGTTGGGGATATTGGTACGGCGCCTCTAACACCGGCACTCTATATAACCAATTTTATTCAGGGACCCTGATGCAGTATGTGGTGCGCCTTGGGCCTCATGATCCCAGAACGCGATATGAGGGCCTGTCGCTGGACGGCGTACGGATACCACGACCAACGGCTGCGTTGTTTCCGAGATCCACTCGGCACTATCCCCCGCCTCAAGCGCCGAATGTTCCTAGTGGCACTACCTAAGCTGGTGGGATCACCCCTGTGATCCTCTCTCGGGTACTAGAATACAAGCTCGTTGACCCGTATCGGAGTTGTCAAGGATGGGAGCCAGAATGGAGCAGTTTAGTGTCTTGCTCATGACTGCCACTCCTGAGCCGGTACTGATAATTGTACTGCAAGGCCGGGCTGTTCAATGGACTGAGCAGCCTGCGTGAGCGGGCAAAGGGGCTCGTTCAGCTCACCATTCCAGGGCGCACTAGCGTGACATTCCCAAGCGCGTCCTCGGCCGTGAAGAATCGTCATGGCCTTGATCTGCAGGTTCAAGCTTCAGGGCCCTCCCGACCATCGAGCCACTTGCTCATGTAAGGTCCATCGAGCCAGTAGCCGAGCTTCTTGTAGTAGCTGCGCACACCGACACCACTGATGACACTAATCTTCTCGCTGCCGTGCTCGTCTCTGGCGATACGTTCTGCTTCCTCCATGAGCAGGGTACCGAAGCCCTGGTGCTGGAACTTTTTGGGATCGCGCGCGTGAACAGGCACGGCAGTACCGTACACGTGCAGCTCGCGCACCAGACTCGTCTGCTGGCCCGTGAGCTCCTCCCGGTACGTGTACTTCTCTGTACACTTGCGCAAGCGCAGGAGACCAACCAAAATGTCCTGCTTGGGGTCTTCGTATGCCAGGAATGTCTCCCAGCCGCCGTTGGCAGTGTAATCGCGGCGTACTAGCTCAATCTGATTGGGCCGAATCTTGTTCTTGACCTCGTTGATGCCGACCTCGCGGGTCCGCACGTCACGGCAGGTTGTGCCAAAGTCCTTCATGCGAGCCAGCGCCAGCTCTCGGAGGTTGCCGTTCTCGACGCCAGATGTGACCAGCGGCATAGGAATATCTCTCTGTACTCGGTAGATTCTGGTCCACGGCGGGACGAGGGCAAGGATCCTTGCAACAATGTCGATCAGCGCATTTGGTGTGTAGTTCTGATAGCGTCCTGTCCGCCACAGCTCGTAGAGCCCAGTGCCACGAATGACCAGCGTTGGATAGATTTTCAGACCATCTGTCCGGAAGGCAGGATTCTCAAAGTATTCTCTGAACTGGTCCAGGTCGCGCTCCATGCCGACATTGGGCAAATCAGGCATCATGTGCGACACAACCTTGAACCCTGCATCCTTGGCCAGGCAGAATGTCTCTGCCACCGCCGCTACCGTGTGGCCGCGGTTGGTGTCGCGCGCAACATCCTCGTACAGGGACTGCACACCAATCTCAAGACGAGTGCAGCCGTACCGCAGCATGTCTGTAAGGTGAGGCTGCCAGCAGTAGTCTGGCCGAGTCTCGATCGTGATGCCCACACACTTGATGTTGCTCATCTCGCCTGCCTCTACGGCCTCATCGACATTGGTCGTCTGGTAGCCGCTCAACGCGTTGTGGAGCTGTGAGATGAACTCTTCGCGGTACGACACGGGCAAGGACATGAATGTTCCGCCCATGATGATGTATTCGACCTTGTCCACCGAATGCCCGAGAGACTTGATCTGGTCCACTCGGCCACGGGCCTGCTCGAACGGATCGTAACGGGCACGGATTGCTCGCATAGATGTTGGCTCGTAGCCAGTGTAGGATTGTGTGCTGTACTCGAAGTCGGAGTCTGGACCTCCCGGGCAATAGACACAGATGTTGCCGGTATAAGCGATGTGCGGACATCGATGAGGCTTGCACATGACGGCGACGACAGCTATGCCTGACGAGGTGCGGATGGGTTTTGCCACGAGTTTTGGCAGAATGTACTTCTTGTAGTGCTCGGGCACGGCGGCAATGATGGCTGTGAGGGGCGGCAGGTTCGCGAGTTTGTGCTTGCGCGCAAGCTTGGATCGGAGGCCGTTGAGGTTGATGTCGCGCTTAGGCTTGCGGGGATCCTTGGACGACTCATGATCCTCGATGAGGGCATTCGCAAGGTCGGCACAGCATCGTAGGAAGCGCTCACTCTCGGGTGCCAGCTTTGCGTCCTTGCCACGGCTGGCCGAGGCCGTCACCGTCATGGTGGCAGTTGCCATGGTCTTTTCGAGGACCCAAGCGGTTCCGGTCGAGGCTCGTGTCCAACGTCAAGTGGTCGTAAGTCTGGTCAGCATGTACCAAATCGAATCCTCGGCTTGTCGCGTGGCTGATATTGCTGGGCAACGCAGGTCGGGTGTTATGTTATGCGTCGGTGGTGCGGATGAGGTGATGGCTGTCACGAAATTTTGAGGATGGAGGGGCAGGGTTGCTGGGTTCGTCGGCGCACCCCAGAGCAGGCCATGTGGGGCGGTGGCCAGGCCATCATTTGACGTTTTAAGAGGCAGGCTGGCACGTGTTGCCCGACTACGATTCTGCTCGCGATGCACTGTATGATATTTCCTTTGACAGGTTTGCCTGCAAATGTCGCTGGCTATGATGGCGGCCAGAACTCCAAACCTGGCGTCATCCGTGGTCTCTGGCAAGCAGGTCACGAGTCCCAGCTGGACCTCCGCCAAGATGCAGGCTGGGGTTCGTGAGGTCATCAAGGCTCACCTCGGCAATGGACACTCGCCAGCTGGCGTGTCTGCAGCGTGGCTCTGGCGTGGCCGCATGGGCTTCCAGTGCAGGTTGCAGTGCCTGGCCTCGGCGGGTGAGCAGTGATCGGGATCTCATGCTGCACACCGTAACGGAGACGTCGTGTCTGGTCGGGCGTGGCGCCTGAAGTCCACTGGGCGAACCCAGCTGGGCTGGACTGGCTGGTGGTGCGGAGCCCCTCATGTTGCAGCTATTTTGGGCCCAGCCAGGCTGGACTGGCACTTGCTCGCAAACAGCTTCATTCGTTCCTCTCCCACTTCCTCTCTACACACCACAAGCGAGTCCTCCGCCTGCCGACAACAATCCTCCTCCTCCTCCACGACCGCCGCATGCCTCACCGATTCCGCTTGATCTAGGCTCGTCGAACGTCTTGGGCAACCACCTCGCCCGTTTGACACCCTCCCCCACGCAACATCACCGCAGCCAGCCCAAACTCCGACACCGCACGCCCTTTCTCGTCTCGCAGACCCTGTCCCCGGCTCGCCCGCAGAACACAGCAGTTGCCTCTACATACCCACAGCACCTCGACTACCAGACCCAGGCGAACATTAGAAGCTGCACGCGGTCTGCATAGCCCACCATGTCGAGCCGAACTCGTCGCATCGCCAAGGAGATGGGAGACATCGAGGCGGACCGTGCCTCGAACCTCTATGTTGCTCTGGCCGACCCGGCTTCCGGAAACCTCACGCACCTCAAGGCCAGCATCCTCGGACCTCCCGGGACCCCGTACGAGGGCGGCACCTTCATGGTCGACATCAAGATCCCCAACGACTACCCCTTCCGCCCTCCCGTCATGAAATTCGACACCAAAGTCTGGCACCCAAACATTAGCAGCCAAACAGTACGGCCACCCCCAGTGTGATGTCCTTGAGTCCCCCTTCCCAAATCGTACTGACGCACGATCCAGGGCGCCATCTGTCTCGACACTCTGAGCACCCGCTGGTCCCCGGTCATGACCATCCGAAGCACGCTGCTCTCCCTGCAATCCCTATTCGAGAGCCCCGAGCCAAAGGACCCTCAAGACGCAGAGGTCGCAAAGATGATGATCCACGACCTCGACGGCTTCAACCGCAAGGCCCACGAATGGGCCGTCCGCCATGCCGGTGCGCCGCACAACCCGAAGCTCCAGTCTGTCCAGCCCCGCTCCTCGCTACAGGCCTCGCCATCCGTCGTCGACGACAGCCGGAGATACCAGGGCTACAACCGGGAACTGGTCAACCGTTTCGTCAGCATGGGCTTCGACGTCGACCGCGTGGTCGAGGCCTTCCTCTTCGTGGGCATTGATAAGAACAATGGTCTGGATTACGAGCTGGAAGAAGCATACATGGGCGACATTACCGCTCGTCTCCTGGGCGAGCCGTGAAAAGCTCAGCCAAAAAACAATGTGACGGCTTCTATTATGGGTTCAAATTGCTTGTTTAATTGTTGGTCATCGTTCACACATGTCATTTAACATCATCAGCAGCAGATCGCACATGGATGGAGTTTGGCGGCGCAAATATCTGGGATCTGAGCCATCATGGACTCGGATCAGCCTACTGTACCTACATTATTATAGGACTTAGGACAAGTCAATTCAAATACAGACAAGACAAAATCATCTTAAGTCCGTTGCCATCCTCAACGTAGTATTCGACTTCAAGAATATTTTCACAACCCCTAGCGTCTATTGTACAGGTATGTGTGTCTTGTAAAAGAAGAGAACGTGGTCTGCAAATGCGACCTGTGCAGAAGAAGCTCGAACTTTCACGGTATTGGTTCTTATTATGTGAATCTACGCTGTGCAAAAAGATCATGTCTCTAGCAAGTCCACCTCCCCCCCCCCCCCTCGGTGTTCGACTGCGCTATGTGATAGCCAATAATTAATCAACCTTAACCACGGTTTAGAACATTTCGGATCATCCCTAGCCCCAACCAGATCTAGCTTATACGCTGAATTCTCTCGATACATCTTTTCAGTGCCACACTTCATCATCAACTGCATTGGGACCTCCTCCTTGTTGCAAGTCCACGCAAGGAGACACATGTGGTCACATCCCATTCTCATCCTTCCGGAAGAATATCTCCACCAGTGCCGCCGTCTTGTCCTGCGCCGTAATCTTCTTCTCGCGCGGCGACATCGGTGGTGCTGGCGGCAGCGTCGAGGCCGAGCCGTCGTACTCGTCCTCCCCTTCGTAACCTTGCTGATCCTGCTTATTATTTGCTGCGTGACCTCCACCGCCACCACCGCCTCCAGATGAGGCCCCAGGCATATGTGCATGTGGAGGACGGCACATGGCGCCGCCAATGATCTCGGCGGCCTGCCTCTCCCATGCCAACCGCCTGTCCACGGCCGCCTCGTCGACGACCTCCTTAGCCGTAGTGCTGCTGCTGGTATCCTCTGTCGTCGTCTTGGGAGGGGTCGCGCCGGTGGGGTTTCCTTGAGCCCTGCGGAAGCTGAGGCCGCGAGAGACGCCGATGGCACCACGGATCGTGCGCGAGGCAATGTTAGTGCCGCCGCCGCCAGCACCACTGCTCTTGTTGGCGATGGCCAGGAGCTCCGCCTTGTTGAGAGGGTTGACATCATTTGCGATCTTGCCCAGCATGGACGTCAGGAATACAAAGGAGATGTTGTTGTAAGGCGAGCTGGAGAGGATGTCGAGGATGATGCTCTTGCTCTGCTCCAGGCCCACCGACGGCCCGCCGTGCCTGCCAAGGTCGGGAATGGTACTGTCAATCTGAGCCCACAGAGCCGCTGTTATGATGCCGTCGGGCATGCTGCGGAGGAACAACACCAGCACCTCGCAGACAGCTTCGAGGCGTTGCAGCGTGGGGACCTCGGCGTTCAGCGCGTCGAGGATGGGCTTGTCTGCTTCGAGGGCCCGAACGATAGTGGCGACGTGTGCGTTGTGCGAGTCCATGACGGACGCAGCGTGGAGGGCAGAGGAGAATGGCCACCCGGGCGAATCGCGAGGTATGTGGCAGTCCTCAATCATGTTCTCGTCCGCGATTGCCCTCTCCGATAGAGACTCTATGGCTTCTGTCAACTTGTACAGCTCGGCGGGCGACGAGTTCTGTACCTCCGAACTTCGAGGGATAGGTCCCCGGAGTTGTTTCTCCTCCACGAGCTTATCTATCCCACCATGGGGTATCCGGATGAGCTCCTCCAGATAACGCCCAAAGCATGTCGGCTTCCAGCTGGCCCGGACAGGCACGAAATGGTCACGGCCCCCGTCGACTCGCAACACGAGCACGTCTTCCAATTGTCTTGTCGCTGCGTTGAGTGCCCTGACGAGAGCAATGCTTCGCACGTGCAAGGCTAGATGCGCATTGATCGTCTCGCCAGGTTCTAATGTGATGCTATTCGCATCGGGACCTCCAGAGAGCTTCTCATCGCCAGATGCGAATGTCGCGTGCAGCCACTGTGGCGGTCTCCTGTTGCCATCCTCGATATCGGGCTTATCGACGAAGCTGAATGTGGCCGAGACCCGTCCCGTGTTGGCAATAGTCAATGAGCGTGTCTTCTTGTCCAAGAATGCTACCTCGCCAAAGTCTACGAGGTCTCCCTCGGGCACAATCTTGCTCTGGTCCGATTCATTAGGTTCCCTGCCATCCACCACTATCGTTATGCCTGGGCGTCCTTCATTTTCTGCTCGGTCAAGTTCCTTGGCCACCTCAGCATGCACCTTGGCCTTCAGTTCCGGTATGACCGCCTCATAGTCTAGCGTGAAGATGCCAACCAGTGGTTTATGGTCCGAGGAAGTGATCCGATGGTGGCTAGTGTAGATATCAAGCTTGATTTCGTCTCGGTCAAGTGTTTGGGTGTTCAGGTGTCCGTCCTCCTCTCCGCTTTCTTCGTATTCGTCGTAGTCGTAGAGATTTTCACTTGCTACTGCGGTGTCGCCACTGCTGGCGGCGTCCGATGTCGGGTTGTAGTCGAACAAGACACTTTCGTCATCAGCAGCTGCGTCGATGCCACGTTTCCGCATATCTTCGTCCTTCTTCCGTGCCTCGGCCTCGTCCTTGACTCTGTTCTCGTAGTCGTGCAAGTTCTTTTTAGTTCGATACAGGATCCTGTCGCACCAGCTTGGTGCTCGTTTCTTTTCAGATGAGTCGAAATGGCTTGTAGTGCCAACATCGTACTTGTAAGTGGGGAGAAATGTGATAGGGCCTTCACGCCAACCTTCATGCAACGCTTTACGGTCTTTGATCGTGTGCGCTAGCTGATCGTGTGGAAGCAAGGAATCAAGCGTGGCCTGAAGGGAGGCTGGATCGTCGTGGGGGTCTGGTATGAAGTCGTCAGGGTCTGGAAGCTCTTCGTCACTTTCGTCGTTTCGATCCATGCCCTCGTTGAATGACGTTTCCCTCGACACCATTCCAGGCGTCTTGGTTCCATCGGGGTCGTTTTCAGGATGATTGTGATTTACGATTACAGTGTCATCCCTGTCGGTGACTTTCTTGCTGGGGTTGGCCAGATCGTATTCTCCAGTCGTGTGTAAAGTCAGAATTCGTTTGATATCCTCCCCCGGCAGCCCGTCCAGACGAAAGTTTAGGTCGCCGAACAGGAAAGCGTAATCTTCGTCCCCAATCTTGGCCTCCTCATCCTCTTCGACGCCGGTCAGGCTGATGGGCGCGAACCGGGTCTGCGAGAGGATCTTGCCATAGTCCCACCAACGACGCTCTAGTGATGTTTGGTCATGGCCGGAAGATAGATGACAATTCGCAAAGACGAGGCTAGTCGTGTCCCCGAGAAGTAGCCGCGACGAAACCGCGCCCTTGTTGCCCATGTAACCCAGCAGGCCGGTGCCGACAGACACAGTTGACTCGTTCGAGATTGTAGCTGCGACTTCTGGAGACGCGTAGATGAGCAACAGCAAGCCAACCATCTGCTGGCATGCAACCAGCTCGTAGCCCTTGGGTAGCCCCGCCTCAAGGGCATGCCTCCATTTGGCAATTGTGGTCGAGTCCGTGTATAGTGATTGCTGCACGAGGTTGAGGCTGACAACCTCCTGGAGTCCAAGGACGTACAGCCCGATCTTGTCACCTCCAAGCAGTCGTACTGAGGGCTCTTCGCTGTTGTGGTGGCTGTCTTCGGTCTGTGCCGAGTCGGCCGCTGGGACACGATCCTGCTGCTGTTCGCTCTCGACAACGCTGGTCTCGGACAGATGCAAGTTGGCGAGATGCGAATTCGCATAAGGCTCCAGGCCTTGTCCGTCTATGAACCATGAGGCCAGGTCCTTGTCTGTGCCTGGGCACGCGGCGACATTCCAGGTGCCGATCTTGATGCGGATGCGATGAGGTCGCGTGTATTCCTTGCGGCGTGCGTGTACGGCTCGGGATAGAGAGAAATGGGCTGTTGAGGGTGATTCGACTGGATCTTGTTGGTCGTCTACAGTCGAAGGGGCGTGCTTGGAGGAGGGCATCTCTGCTGTTCGCGCGACTGTCCTCGCGCGACAGTGACGACGTCGGGGTTCGTTGCCGTTTGTGTCTATTGTCTGGACGAGCCGAGGATGGCGAGCGAGCGCGCACTGAGGCCGCTGCTGCAATCAAAGCCAGCTATTGGGTATAAGCAACGGAAGCAACGAGAGAGGGGGAGGAGAGCATGTCGAGGTCTGAGTACCTTAAGGTAGGGAAGACATGGGCAGCTGGAGAGTGAGGGACTGGCGCAGGTGACGTTGATGGTGGGGTGGACCTGGTGACGGGCTGTGCAGCGCGGGAGGGCAGGGAGGGCGAGGTCCCGCCTGTGTGTCCGATACCCAGCACTAGAGTTTTAAGCTTAAGCAGCGTGCAGCCAGAGCAGCACCTTGCATTTGTCTCGATTGTTTCCCACAGCCCATCTTCGCGGCTTGGCACGATGTTGTGCCACAGTCATAGCTGGCCAATCATCCATTTCAGAGATGATGTCGATCTGCGGGAGTCACCAGACAAGCGGCACAGTCCGTCAGCATCTCCAGATGGGTAAGTGCAGAACATCTCGAGTCGGACCAGCACACGAGCCCCTGTGATCCCTCACGCACTGGTCATCGTTGACACTTGGCCAGGCACTGGTCCTATTCCTGGTTTTGTCCCCTTCTCCGTGCTGAACGCTTCCAGGTTCATTGGCACGTGAGGGTGTGTCTCATCATGCTGCACGCACTGCCCAGTGTGACTAAAGGCAAGGTGTTGACAGCCTGCCAGGCTCGCCGTCCTTGCTGGACTACGTCAACGCCTGTCACTCCATGAAGTACAGCCGCCGTCCTGCCTTGGCTAAGCTGATCCAGCGACATGCACACCCGACATGGAGCAGCATCATGGCATGGTATGGCATGACATGCGTCAAGAGAGGAATGGAGGGGCAGCTCCCCTCGCCTGTGACGTCTGCGCAGGGTTGCACCTGCAGCCAAGCTTTCGGCCCCACCACGCGAGCTCCAGTTCCCGCAAGCCCAACGTCGCCTCGACTGACTGCATGCGTGCCTTGCCACGATCATCACAACCGACAACCACGCCCAGACGAGCTCGGCAGCAGCCCATACCACGACACCACACCCACTGCCAGCCATGTCGCGAGCGACACCACGCAAACACAAAGGCGCCGGCGGCGGCGGCCATGCCCGCACGCGGTCCCAACACCTCCAGGCGCAGGCACAGATGGTCCAGACTTCCGACTACGAGTCCGACACCCCGTACTACATGAGCGCAGATGCCCCCTCGGCTTCCGCCCACCTCGCAAACCGCGGCACCATGAGCATCACCGACCTCAACCTGAGCGTCCTCAAGCGATACTTGCCGAGCATCACACAGGTTCTCCACTCTGCGGTCAACGGCGTCGTCTACATATTCTCCTACTCCTCGATGGAGTGGGAGCGCGGCACCGTCGAGGGCACCGTCTTCGTCTGTCTCCAGGCTGGCCACTCTGCCCACGACCTCGACAGCAATGCCTGTGTCGTGGTGCTCAACCGCAAGGGCCTCGACAACTTCATCCTCGATCTGAGCACGGTCAGTTCCTTCGAGTTCAACGGCGAGTTGTTCATATTCAAAATGGACGATCAAGACAGCGCAAGCGGTGGCCCTCGGATCTACGGTGTCTGGACTCACTACGATGACCTCGAGGAGCGCAAGACTGCCGCCGCACGGATCAGTGAGCTCTGGGCGACAGTACGGGCGGCGAAGGAGCAGAGACAGGCTGCCGGCATTGACTACCACCAACAAGTCCACGATGCTCAGATGGGACCCGCTCTCCAGGCTCTTGGCCGCCGCCTGAGTTTGAGCGCTTTATTTGGCGCCGAGAATGGCGCCTGAGCCTGGCCGGCTTCGAGGAAGAAAATACTTGGGCAGCACTGGCCCTACAAGAACTCAAGCGAGCCCAGTCGTGCAGGATCGAATCCTGGGCTTCTTGGTTACACACGTTCAGCAGCATTAATATGGGCTGCGGATAGCGACAAGCCATTCCAAAACCTGGAATGGGCTTCATACGCGAAGATGCCATTACTGCAGGGCCTCACACCTTGGATATCACGCCCTGCGCACGTGGGTCTGGATATCGACTGGACTACTCAGCTGGTTCTGCTGCTGCTGGGCCACGGTCAAGACTCCCAGATGGACTTGAGGTTACCAGCCTGGCAACAGCAACGCCCGGAATACGGATCTTACTGGTGTGGAGTCTGTGAAGCAGGCACGTCTATCACAAATAGTGATGTCCAGGCTTCTTGGACAGGCTGCGGTTGGTTTTGCACCGCACTACGGAATGTATTGCCCATGTCAGGAATGCTCGCGCCTTGTGACTTGAATATTGGCTAGCAACAACCACCGGCATACTTTGAACGGCAGAAGAGACACCCATGCTCTCCACGCAGGGGCACTAGTGAAACAACTTCCGGACTCATCAACCGAAGCATGCAATAATTAAAACAAATTCAACATTCCTGGATATTTTTCCACGAATTATCATTGGTCTTGTTCCGTGTGCTCTTCAAGTTGGCGATCATGTACAAGTCTTGGGACAGTGTTCGCATGCATGACATTGTGAATGAGAAAGGCCCGTCACGGCTTGGTCCAATTCCTTGACCTGCACACGCTATGAGCTTGCGTGAAGCCGCCATGGGTGATACTCGCTGTTCAACGCAATGGCCCTGCACGTTTCGTGGTCTGTCCCGTGCGTGTGCTTCCCTATTTATACGACACGCCAGATTTGTATCTGCATGCGAGAAAAGGTACGACTGAGCGACCAACTTGAAATACACGCCGGAGCAACGAGATTAGAGAGCCGTTCCAGCATGGCTTACAGTCGAAGAAGCTATCAAAAGGGGAAATAAAGGTCCAGAAGAAAAGAATAAAAAAAAGTTCGGTGGCCAGCGATTGTATACAGGGCGAATCTTTGCCATCTCACTCGACCTTCTGCCTCAGAAACCCCCTTCCCCCGCCCGCTCTGCGTGATGGTGGGTGATGGTGGTAATGGAGTGCGGGAGGCTCGACACTACTGCAGACAGCCACGGCTATTCTGTCAACGATCTGCCTTTGTGGCTGCTGCTGCTGCTGCCCTGTTTCCCGCCTCCCACGCCCCTCCCCCCTTGTCCCCTCTCCAGCAGCGCGAGGCAATGCTGGAGAGCGGTAGCGGGCGGCTGCGGGCTGCGGGCTGCGGTACTCTGCTCGCGTGTCCTGGGGGTTGGGTGGTATGGACCCGTGAAGCAAGTGGCCAAAGCAGAGGCTTTTGACCCATCGTTTTCACGTTCCTTTTTCTTCTTCCCACGCAGGAGAAGGAAGGGGAATCGCAGGGGGTTAGGCGCGCCCTCCCCGAGACGAGCGAGGACCGAGAAAGGGTTGGCAAAGCGTTCGCGTCCGTACACAAATTTTGGGTAAACCAACCCGGCAGATCCCCTCCCCTACACGCCTTTTCGCCTGCAACGGGAAAACGCAACGCGGCAAAGCGGGCAAGGCACATATCTGGACGCGGGCTCGACCGGGGACCAAGCTGGATGATGCAAGATGCAGGTCTCCCAGCCGCTCAACCCGTTCGAGGCTCCGCAACAAGGCTTGTGTACCCAGCCGGGCTTGGCTCCACGGGGACCAGACTGGACACCAGAAGCAAGCAGCAGGGTGCTTGCCTGGTCTGAAAATTCCAGTCGCTCAACCCGTTGAGCTAAGTTGCCCTTTTGGCCGTGCTGCCCCGTGTTGGACGTTGCGCGCGCGGGGGAGGACTGCCAAGTTGATTTGTTTGTTGCGCGAGATGGATATTGAGTCTTATATCCTCACAGCCAATGCCGGCCGCCCTCACAAACACAGACACACACACAATAATGGTCTTAAGGCTGGTTGCCATCGACCGCTACCGTCGTTCGCTGTCAAGACCTTTTTGGCATTGTGCTGTGTGTTCGACGTTGTGCCGGTTAAATCCTTGAAGCGGGTGGTTTCGCGGTGGGAATGGGAGATATGAGCTGGATTTTCTTGCCCGACTGTCCTCGTCAATCACGGTTTGTACTGGTGTCCAGTGTTTCAAGCCAACTCAAAAAGGTGACCGACCATGGACTACAAGTTATCAAGTGAGACAAGACAGATTTTGAGAACTCCGTCAGTAAAGTTCATCAAGGTCATCGCCAATAGTGGATTCTCAGCAACCATGCTCTCAGGAATCTGTGATGCCGTCTGTAGCGTTGGTTCATAAAACTGTTCGAGTGCCTGCTTCCGTGTCACCGGAAGTCCAGTTGACCTTTGTTCTGAACAAGTGGACGCCTCATAAGCAGTACCCAGATCTGCCCTAACAGTGGCGGCGATTGAGAACCGGGCAGGAATTCATAAGTGAATATCACGATGTTTTCCCCCTTTTACCTGTATGGACAACTTGACTTGTCCAGATGAACCGCTACGCAGAACGCGCAGACTAGGCAGGAGCCCCTCGCTTTTTGCAATTGCTCGCATCAGGACTCGAACTGTGTCGCTCGACAGCGGCCTTTGAGATTTCGTCTCGCTCCCGTGTTGTGCTGGAGCCCGACAAAAGAAAGCAAGCAAGCGAGGAGATGATACTGGGATGGCGCAGGTCGAGATAAGAGGTTACTGCTGCACAAACCTTAAGCGGACACAGGAAATAGTGCGGCTCCCCTGCATAACTCGCGGCAGACGCGACTTTTCGATGGGAAGACTTCCATTGGACCGACTAGCGCGCTGGGGACGGGATGCAAACGCAAAGTTCTGATCGGCCTGTGAGGCGTCACAGACACGACACGGCACCGGGATGATGGGAATGGCAATGGCTGGCGTGTTCGGCAACTTGTCCGTACGCTGACGAGTTCTGTTCATTCATCACGTAGGCAGAGGAGCATGTACTTCGAAAGGACTTTGGATACCCTTGGCTGTTGGTTCGTGCTCGCGAACTTGACAGCAATTGCCAAGAAGCTGCTTTGATCAGACCCATGTACCGGCAGAGCTCACTTACGCGATCCAATTACCGAGGGACACTGTCAGCACGCGCACCTGAGTTGCAACGCAAATGTACCATGGCAATCGCAGATGGCCTTGCCTTTTTCTTCCGGCCGGCACGTAGACACGGGTTGCGACCTGGTCAATCTGTTGATTTGCATTTCACGCTCACAAAGAAGCTGTTGACCAACAACAACAACCTCGCGCGCATGCGCGAGAGCGAAGGAAAGTACCTTTACTCAGGTGAGCCGGCGCTGCGTGCTAAGGCAGCCGAGCGATAGGTCGTACACGAACTGCGCCTCATTACCTCCTCGAGTATACCTCTCCTGGAAGGAGATTTGTGATAGTATGGCAGGCGGCTCATCAATGCATGCTGGCCTGATGACTGGCATTGTTGATTCGCACTGTTGTAGCATGAAAGTGCAATTGTAGGCTCAAGCGCTACTGGGCAGGCAGGGAATGCTAAGATGTCGCCGTGTCAACTCGACGGAAGTGATGACTTCTGCAGAGACTGCTTGCTGACAATTGTTGACATAGCATAGCGTAACTTAGACCTCGTTCGCATACTGCGTACTTGCGTATTTAGCGTAGTCGAGGTGCTTCGCCACGAATTCCAAATAATCCCCAACCGCAGTGACAAGCCCGCAAGATAGAGCGTCATGACCGATGTGGTTTACAAATCAGCACAGCAGCACCATTTTGGGACCAACATGTGCTGGGGAGCCTGCAGGTATTGTACTTTGAGGTCTTCGGCCCGCGCCGGATCGAATGACTCGGCCCCTCGACCGACCACCACCGTGCACTCTTGCCTGGCAATTCTGATTACATTGCAACGACGGGTGGCCGGATGTTGCAGCAATTCCTTGTTGGGACGAGATTAATAAAGTGGGAATGCTGCAAGTTCCTGGGAGTGGGACGCTTCGCATGTGATCCATGGATGCTGTGGCCGTGCAGAGAGGATGTAAAGTCGCATCGTACCCCAGATTTGTGCGATCTCTTGTGGTACGTAGCCACCGGGGGGATCATCCGCGTGGGGACCTCGGGAGCAGCCACGGCGCAGCAGCAGCTGCACGCAAGCTGCAGGTGTGATTGATGTCTTGACGATTGAATATGTAATTGATTGCCGCGCCGTTGCTGATTATCAGAGTGCTGGCGTGGGGTGGGTGTGCGGCGTGTGAATGCATGCCTGGCTGCCCAGGTGGGCGTTGCAGGGCGCCAAGCTGTCTGCTTGGAACCCGGCCGGGATCCCGCTTCGCTTGCTGGGGGCGGTGATTGGGCGACGGAAGAATTCCTTATCTCTTGGCGCCTCCGCCACCAACGAACAACCCTTTCGGTCCGAGCTTGGCGCCAGGCCTGTCGCGATAAGGCGGCGAGATATAGCACCACAGTCGCCAGGGATGGGCTTCTCTGCAACCTTCTAATTGCGACCCGGCTCATGCCCTTGATGTTGGTGGTGACAAAGGTCTTTCAAACCCGTGTGTCTGTCTGTCTGTCTCTCGATCTGTCTGTCCGCCTGCCAAGGCCGCGCTGTGCTTCAGCTTGGCAGGTGAGGGTTGTCTCAGCGGTAGAGTTGCGACAAGAAACCTCGGGGCTGAAGCACCCGTGCATATCAGATGTCTCACGGGGCCGACTTAGCCGGTGGAAAAGACACCACTGGCTCTCAGCTTCCAATGGCAGCGGACGGGGTTGCGATGATCGCCAGAGCTCGTCGTGGGGATGTTCAGGTCTAGCAGCTTGGCCGTGCAGGGCCAAGGTGGCCGGATCGGTGATGAAGAAGCTGCCGAGGCGGGCGCAGGGAGCTATTGGAGCCATGCCCAGTAATTAGAGCTCGAGATGTGGATGGAGATGGAGATGATGAGTGATGGCGGCTTGTTCATCCTGCAAGGCCTTGGCGATGCAGTCGTCGAGGCACCCCACATCGGCCTGCGTCACCACGAGATGGCCTCTTTGGGCAGGTACGGTGGGGCCGCCGCCGGCCAAGGCGTGTCTGTCCGCGCTGCCTGCCCCTGCAGCGCCGCCATCCACTTCCCATCTTGACGACGCCAATGCAGGGCCCTGCCTCGCTAGTCCACCACAGCACCCTCCGTGCGTTCTCTCTTTCTTATCTCGGCCCAGATACATACCACGGCGGTCCCTTTGCCTGTCGCCATCCCCGGAGCCGGCCTAGGGCCACCGTCCGAGACCCTCTCCCACGACGCCCCATTAGACTTCTTCCACGCGTTTGCCAACATGCGACCGCGGCCAGACACGCAGCTGCGTTCGCCCTGCCCAAACACCATCTCGACCGATCGCACCACGCCACTTACCCGTGTTTCCGAGAGCTGAAAATGCCATGCGAGCTATTACAAGCTGTCACTGGTCTAGTGCCTGCCACAGTGGCTTGTCCTTTTGCATGCTGCAGGCGCAACGGCCCAAGCCTCGACATTGACAGACAGACAGACAGACAAGCAGCTCGTTCGCTGTGTCCAGAGAACCCTTCCGTTCCATTCCGGGTTCTGCACTACGCCGCCTGCCCACTCCGTGGTCGGCCAGCATGCCCAGCTGTCAGAAGTGGCCCCACAGACGATCGCTTTTATGCCCGACCCGCTGCTGTCTGCTTCCAGAAATGATGAGGCCGCAGTCTGTGCCGCTAGGCAAGTCGTGCGTGCCGAATCGACATGATGACTGCAAACGCCAAATGTTGACGCGCGCCAAGCACTCTTGGACGTCTGTGCCACTGCTTTAAAAATGCCGGGCGCCTCCCGCCAAGTCGTCGCCCAGTCTGCTCCAGAGAGCTCCCCGTCGACTTCCATGCCGAGCCTGCGAAGTCGCAGCGGCCCTCACGGCAATTCTGCTTATCAGTAGTGGCTCCACCAAAACCGCCCTGGGGCTGAAGGTTGACCTCCGAGCTGGGCAGGCCCTTGGCAGATAAGACGTCCTTGACCACTTTCCTGTTGTCTGATTGGCCGGGCTGCTCATTTCGTAAACCCTGGCCAAACTCGACCTCCCCACGACAGTATTATTCGTCCTCACCGGGGAGAGGACGGGATGTTCGTGTTTTTCTGAGAATGCACTTGGTCACTGAAAAGCTGGGGGGCCTCTGCTGTATTGCTGATCAGCAGGATCATATTGAGCTCAAATGTCGACGCTGAGGGGGGTATGTGGCAGGGTGGGTTACATCAGTCTGAGTGTGAGTACAGCCGAGCTTGGCCCAGGTTCCCAGGAGGGAGGCATCGCCATGCAAGTAATCAAACTGCGTTCCTGGGGTGTGTAACCAGAGCCCTCGAGGGCTGTCCCACATCTGCGACTAGTTCCAACACCTGGTCAGGGCCCCTTCGGCGCGGCTTGCGTTTTAGTGATGGTCCGCCGTCTTGTCCATCTGGATTGGGCACCGTATTTCGGAACTGCTCGCCCCTACGTCTCCATCAAGGGTTTCCCTGGGGCCAGGGTTCATGCTTCCATTGCCTAATGCCGCCTTCGTATTTAGAGTCTGAGACCCCCGGCCCCGAGCCTGATTTCTTTTTTGGAAGCCTCCGTCCCGTTTCCACAGCAAGGTCACTTACACTCTCCCACGACCAAGGAGCAGTGTCTTAGCTTGTCGACTCTCTGAACAAGCCAGTGTCCATCGTCATTGTCAACGCCACTCCTTCGCAATGTCGGACCCTACTGTCGTCGTTCCGGATCCTTACCTGGTCGTGCCCTACAATGGCACGACCGGCGAGGCCGATGCCGGCTACTCGAGCGAGAGTGCTGATCTCAACATCTTCTACCAGGTATGGCGCAAGACACGCCGTCGCCGGGCTTGCAGTAGGGATCGAGACTAACACGGACAAACACAGTCGGGCAACCTCGCCTGGATCATGACATGCTCAGCGCTTGTGCTCCTCATGATTCCCGGAGTCGGCCTCTTCTACTCCGGCCTGGCCCGGCGCAAGTCGGCGCTTTCGCTCATCATGCTGTCGCTGCTGTCCATCGCCATCGTCGATTTCCAGTGGTTCTTCTGGGGTTACAGCTTGGCCTTCTCGCACACTGGCAGCGTCTTCATTGGTGACCTGTCCAACTTCGGCCTGATGAAGACCCTCGCCCAGCCGTCGGTCGGTTCCACTGCAATTCCGGACTTGATGTTCTGCCTGTACCAGGGCATGTTCGCCGCCATCACGTAAGAGACTCTACGCCCCAAGACCGACTGCCCGTATCAAGTTGCTGAGAATTTCATGACAGTCCCGCTATCGCTCTCGGTGGCGTGGTTGACCGCGCTCGCATGCTGCCCATGATGGTCTTCATTTTCATCTGGACTGTAAGTTTGCACTTCTACTCTGTCCTAAAGCCAAAACCTGGTAGCTCCAGCCTTTGCTAACGAAGTGGCTCACAACAGACCATTGTGTACGACCCGATTGCCTACTGGACCTGGAACGCCAACGGTTGGGTCTTCCAGATGGGTGGTCTCGACTATGCTGGTGGTACCCCCGTCCACATCTCGTCTGGTGCCGCCGCTCTTGCGCTGTCTCTCATGCTCGGAAAGCGCACTGGCTACGCCAAGTCCGCCGGCCTCCCCTACCGCCCTCACAACGTCACCTATGTCGTTCTCGGCACGGTCTTTCTGTGGGTTGGCTGGTTCGGCTTCAACGGTGGCTCGGCCCTGAGCAGCAACATCCGCGCCATCATGTCGCTCATCAACACCCACCTGGCTGCCTGCATCGGCGGCCTGACCTGGACTCTGCTTGACTACCGCCTCGAGCGCAAGTGGTCCGTTGTCGGTTTCTGCTCCGGTGCCATTGCTGGCCTTGTCGCCATCACTCCCGGCGCCGGTTACGTTACCCCTTGGGCTTCTTTCGTCTTCGGTCTGGTCGGCGCCATCGCTTGCAACTTTGCCACCAAGCTCAAGTTCCTGTTCGGCATTGACGAGGCTCTTGATGTCTTCGCCGTCCACGGCATTGGCGGTATCGTCGGCAACCTTCTCACTGGTCTCTTCGCTGCCGACTACATTGTCACCCTCGACCCTTCTCTTGCCCCTGTCGGTGGCTGGGTCAACAACAACTACGTCCAGCTCGGTTACCAGCTCGCCGACTCCGTCTCTGGTTTCGCCTGGTCTTTTGTCCTCACCTGCCTCATCCTGTTTGTGCTGAACCTCATCCCTGGTCTCAGCCTCCGCGTCTCTCCCGAGGATGAGGAGACTGGCCTCGACGACTGCCAGCTCGGCGAGTTCGCGTACGACTACGTCGAGATCCAGCGCCACACCAGCGACATTGTCGGCAACACCGCGCACGACATTGTCACTCCCGGCCAGGCCACCAGCCCCGCCGGTGCCGCCGCCCGGTCGGTTGATGAGAAGCAGACTTCGGCTGAGGCCGTCTAAAACAGCAATGCCGTGCGATGGTAGACTCGGATCGGTTGGATCGCGTGTAGGCTGGGTTTCGACCTGCTTGCGCTGGGGAAACAAATGTTCCCTCGCTCTGACGCAAGGATTTTGAGTCTTGCATAACACCTAAGCTTGCTGCAATATCTCTCTCTCTCTGTACCCACGCTCGGCGCACGCTTGGAAACGAGCCTCACTCACACAAACTAATCTGTACTCTGTTTCCAATTATACCCCGTGCTCAAACATATATAACCTTTATTAGTCAGACACCCATACATAGACATCCGAATATCTGAACGAGATTGTTCTGAACTCAATTGCGATGCATGCGTCATGATGTCTTGATGTGTGTCCTATCCTGCATCCGTGCCCCTCTGCCGCAAAAGAGTAGAGTCTCATCAGTGAAGTGAACCGCAAATCCCTCACGTCGTCGGCACGCGTCCTCAGCGTTATTACCATGTCGTTTACACGTGTTCCAAGCCTGTGCTGGGCTGGGCTTGATTACTTGATAGCCTTGGGAATCTGGCCATGCCTATCGAAACGACTTCTTCTGTCTCGAACCAAAGAAAAGCGGACAAGTACGTTTTCAACTGAAATGGAGGAAGGTTGGGCGGTAACCCGCAAGGCAAACACGAAGTAACCAGTCCTGAGGACTCGGAGCGGAGTCCATTTCCCCTTTTTTTGTCAAGAAGAACCATCCCGGTATTGTGCTGGGGAAGAAATCGGTCAATATGGCGCAAACTGATGATTGTTGCGAGGTGAGAAGAGAGGTCGCTAGTAGAAAAAGGCGCGATCGCTCGCGTAGATGACGAGCGGTGGTTGTTGTTCTGCAATCTCATGTCATGGCGGAGGTTTCTGGGCTCGGATTGAGTTTTTGTATTTGTATGGGTGAACGCGGCCGAGCTCTAGAAGATACCTATCTATTTTTTCTTAAAAAAGGAAAAGAAGAGAATTTTTTTCTTTCTTTTTCTGTTTCCTCAGTCTCATCCTCAGTTCGTGATGTTTGGGCTCTTCACTGCACCAATAATTCACCAAGAAACAGATTTGAACGTTCAAAACCATAAATTTACATTGGAGTGATGCTGTACCAAAGCTTCGAGCCAAGCAGTTGATGCCCCTGCCGCTTCAGTGGTTTGACGCAAGAAGTGCATCATGCTGCGCGGGCAGGTTGCCCACAGAGTGTAAGTGCTAAAAATCCTTCCTGTGTGGCAGGTTCCTGCTCGGCTGATTCTCAATCCCGTCTTTCATATATCATCGGTAACTGGTACTGATATTGAAGCTATTACGGACTGTCTTGAACTGGGTCGGAGTGATCTTTCAGCTGTGAGAGTTGGCCGGTCGTAGTTTGCAAGGCATTCTGAGCAGCATGGGACATCAGGCATCGTGCGACTCTCGTGTTGGCACTGACATGTACATCGTTGCTCCGTTCGGAAGCACATGGGGCATTGCACTTTCTTGCCGTATCTGACGCGACTGCATTTGACGTCCCATGGCGAGATACACGGAGGACACGGCCGTTGGCCGCAATGTCCGAAAAGGCATCTATACACACCGACCGGTCATAAACTCTCAGCCGTATCATTGGAAGCATTGCCAGTGACTGGCGTTGGATGTCACACCATCCGAGCGCAGTCTGCACTAAAAAGAGAGCTTGTGACAGGCAGTTGTGCCCGTAAAGCAGATCATTGCCGCAGTTCTTGAGGCACAGTAATTCAGACGACACAACATTGACATGGCACTTGCGCCACCGTCTCATGTTCGCAACCAGAAAAGATATGTCTGACGCTCTCCTGGCAGCGAGCCCCTGGGCTCTGTGAGCATGGTCGAAGAGCTGATGCTGTGGCTGCACAGGAAGCGCGAGTGTTGTGCCTGCCAGCCCAGCTGGATCGTGGGCCCTCCTGGCGCACGTGGTCTGGATGGATGTCTGGGCATAGCAGCTTCACACGATGAAGCTCTTATCGCCCGCCACACACCGTATATCGAAACACCACACGTAGCGAGTCTTTCCTCGGCTCTGGGAAGGCTCGAGACAGCTGCTGCTCCAAGGCACCGGGGAAAATTGTCTACTGATCGTTCTCTGCAGGACTCGTTATCTCTGTGTGTGTGTGTGTGGCTGCTGCGGCGTATTGCGAGACTCCTTTACAAGTGTGTGACGCCAAAGCCCGGATGGGGGTGCGTATTCTAGACCAATAACACGAGGCATGCATTTGGACCTGTAACTCGCTTAATCCTCGACCAGCCAGCCGTAAGGCTACGTGCAGAATGTTCCAGAGAAGAACCTGACGCCCTTGACGGAAGCAAGGACGATCACCCCCTGCATGCGCAGGCAGATCATTTTTCCCCCCTGCAGAGGGATACGCGGATCCGTCACTAGACTCCCGGGAGGGGGAAGACGCGGGCTACTCTGTTCCTGCGCTGGACGGGACGGGATGCATTCCGGCCAGTCACAATGTTGGAGCTCGTCACATCTAGGATGTGCATGGTCTGTGCTGTTCAGTGCACGCAGCAAGGGCAATGTAGGTAATTACAATGTAGGTAATTAGATTCAGGATAAACAATTTTGCGCGTATGTGAAGTGGTTGCCGTCACTTGAACAGAATAATATGCTGGGATCGTTGATGTGCTTGGGAAGATGAACGTACAGCTCTTCCGTGCAGTTCGTATTCCCCCTAGACTTTCGAGCTCCATCGTAAATTGAGACTCCCGATATGTTCTTGAGGCTGTAATATGCGAGGCTGCAACGTGCCCGATACTTCACTGCCACGTATAAATTGATCACGGCAACGTAGGTGGGTAGTTCTGCCGCCACAGAAGTCAAGTTCCGCGGAGAGCACGCGCGACGATGGAAATCGACCAGCTACGCATCTAGGTTTAGGCAGCCCCCCCGGGACATTCTGGCGGGACACAAAGGCGCACCCGCAACAACCCTAATCGTGGTACGAGGCCGCTTGCCATGCTCTGAATGCTACATGTCATGGCCTGAATTAACCGTGAGCAGTGCTGCGATTGCCCCACTTGGCATCTCTTGGCCGAGACTTTGAGAGGCGGCAGGCAGGCAGGCATGCATGCATGCATGCATGTCGCCTTTCCTGCAAGTGCTCGCATGCAATCCGACAACTCAAGGCCCTAGGCGAGCTGGGCCGTTAGGGCTTAGCAGCCTTGTGGACCAGGCTGAATCTCTCCAGCTGCGACAGAGGTCGGCGCCAGTGTGTGTGGCCTATTGCTTCCGCGGCCCTGCCCTGGTCTTGGGCCGCTGTGGTAGGCAGGTATCCAACCCGGCGTCGTGGGACGGGCGACAGGGGTCACGCAGTCCAGTTCGGGAGAATGAGGACGAATATAGTAGCGCCACTTGGGCGCCACGCCAGGGGTGCAGGACTGAGAGTCGCCTGATGAGGCAGGAAGGGCCTCGCGTAGCCGTCATCCTCGCCCACGGGGGTGGTTCGTTTTCAGCAGCCAATCAGGCACGGGCGTTGTGGAACTCGTTGAAGCTGGTTGAGGGCCGGGCTGTCTCCGTCGTGGTAGGCCGATGGATCGATCCTTACATAAAGAATCATTAGTAGCTTGATAAGTCATGCTATAAAGTAGCCAGCGCTGTGACACGGGGCGGCCCCGGAAAGACGTTGGAGGCCTGTGGTTGTCAACGCCGACGGCCAATTGGCTTGTCCCATTTACCCATGAGACTCTGGGCGTTCTTGCACGCAGTTGCGACAGAAGCCCGCCAGGTGAGTTAGGCAGCTGTTGGCAACCCGGCTGATGTTTGGATCGCCATCGTAGCATCGCGTCCATGCCTCGTCCGTGGGTTTGTGCGCGACGTGGTTCATACCGGTCTGGAGCAGGAGATTGTGGCTAAATCGTTGGCAGCGGACGGATGTGGTTACGATCTTGTGGTTGTCATGCTGACGCGCGCATCTACCGGCATTTTTTGGTGGTGCCATGACGTCCTCTGCCAATGTTGACGAAGTTCAAGCTCGCAAGGCGCAAGACTACCCCAAGTTTACCTTCGCAAACGTTGGGTAGAGAGAGGGCTGCGAAGTGCTTGATGTCTGTCTCTTGAGAATAAAACCGGGGTTGCCCGATGTAGCGTCTCGTCGTAAACAATGGCCAATCATGACTCATGGCTGTGCCAGGGGTAAGAGAGTGGGCTCAACTGTCTTCGCATTTCTTGGCACCGGCTCATCAATGATGCTGGCCCAGTGGGGACGCCTTGACTTACTTACTTACCTACCAAAGGTAGTCAACTTAGGCGAGGATTCAAGCGCGCCGGCAGTTCGTGATTTTGACTCTGGCAATCCGACCAGCATGCGATGCTTCCACTCCCAGGAGGCGGAGACGCACAGCCGATGGGGCACCCGAGCCGAAGTCCGCGGGCCCTGCGCGCCAGACCTCCTGGGCAGGCTTGACAGGCTCTCAGACCTCGACTGCTTTGATTATGTCAACAGGGAGGGCGCCGATGCCCTGAGCGTGGAAGCACACTTTGATGTCCATTGGGTTGGGCCCATAAGCCTCATGCGCTCTTCTTCTGCAGTCTTCAATCTTGAATGACTGATCTCGGCAAACAGCCCGGCAGAGTACAGATCAGCACAGGGCTCGTATGACTTGCGGCTGGGGTCGAGACCAAGGCGACGCCAACAAGACTGCTCTCAGTCAGGGAGAGATCAGAAACCGGTCTGTCACGAGTCGGCAAAGCGGTGATGGCGCATGATTCCATCATCATCGGCTGCGTTCTATCACTACCACGCCCGGCTGTGTCCGGGAAAACGTGGAGATAGACGTCCTGCTTGCTGACTTGTCCAACTGGGGGAGGCTCAGTGCCGGGCTGCCTCACCCCATCCGGCACTGACTTCACGACAGGGCTGCCTTGCCGAGAGGACGCATGGAGGAGGTGGAAGACCCCTGTGCCAGCACCCGACCAAGCGGGCGTGGGGACGCAGGCTGGCATCAGTGAAGATGATGGCGCGAGCCTGGAGCTTTGATGCGCGGGGCGGGCGCACTCGGCCGATGCTGGACGTATCTCTGGGCGGATAAGGAGGAGATTCGCAGCCAGCCAGGGCGGTGGTTGTGGGAAGTGAGTGAGCTGCTGCTGGTGCTGGCCTGCACTCGTGGCAGATTAACGGTCCAGGCGTCTATAATTAGACACTGGGCCAATCTAAGGACGCCAACGGACGCTAGCTGGTGGGATGCCCCTTTTATGCCAATGGAATGGCGTGGTGACATGCCTGCCAGCCACTAGATGTAGGGCACTGGCCTGGTTCCGGGGGTGGTTTGCGGGGCCGATCTTGCTGGCTCGCAGGCCTGCATTCACCATCCATCGGCACAGCCCTACCGCGGCGCTGGGCCCCCTGCAACCGTTCCAGAGGGCGGCCCCGAGCGTGTTACAGTACGGACTACCGCTGTACAGTAGGGAATTGAGCACCATAACCCAAAGCACACTTCCTTAAGGTAGGCACTCGAGAGGGTCAATAGGACTCTGGCAAGATGGCAAGGTCGTCAAGTCGAGCTGGGCCGGAGCTGCAGGCCGGGGCGCCACTCCCTCACTCACTCACTGACTGACTGACTGCTCAAGTGGGCGGCGCCCGGACTGGCGGCCTGCAGCAGGCGGCGGACCCCAAATCATCCATCATCATCGCCCCCCCTGATGGCGTCGGGCCCGGCAGGAGCGATGCAGGCCGCCCCCGCCATGCCCACTTCTGGCCTCGCGACTGCCAAAAAAGACATCAACCACCACCGAGCTGCCTCTCCCTCTCCTCGTCCTCCATATCACCACCTCGCAACCGCTGCTTCTTCTCCCTACCTCTGTCTACTGCCTTGTTACTGGCACAGCCGCCGCACACCGCATCCTTCTTCAACCTCAGACTCCGGGAGGGCCCCAACGCCACACCCGCCCGTCACGACTGCTCGAGTTCCACCTTCGCAGCTCCACGGCCCATCTGACACCACGAGCCGTCCCACTACAAATGGTCCATGCCGCGTCCACCTTGACCTCACTGCTCGCTGGGTCTCTCTGGCCGTGACTCAATCCGTCAACAGTCTTCCAAAGGTTATGTCGGCGCTCTGCCTGTATTTCCAACCAAGCAGATCTCGTCTCGCCCAGCGTAGGCTCCACGGAGACTTCTCCGGCGACCTGGCTGGACGGCCACAGCCTCTCGGCACTGCTGTCGCGCTAGATTAGAGACCTATCTTCTGCTGAAAGCCAGCACCTGGCACGGTCCACTCGCAAGTCCGAATGTCCAAGGGTGCTCGTCTCCGCTCTCCACGACCGGAGCAGCCGGTCCAGAAGACCGTGATGACGCCTCATACGAAAGAAGCCAGCTACTCATCGCTCACCAGATCCCACCCCAGATCTTTCGCCTCGGGCGATGGGAGTGAAAGATCTGACACGGCAGACCACAGTGGCGACTCTTCGGACAGAAGCCTGAAACACAAAGCCGTGCGCAACTCACCACTCCCACGCAGGAGAGCTTGCCGGCCCAAGGTCCGGACGGGTGTAAGTATCCAAGTTCTGGCATGGCTGTGTCGATACGTTGCTGATCACGGGCGTCTAGTGCGTCACATGTAAATCCCGTCATGTCAAGTGCGACGAAGGAAAGCCGACGTGCGAGCAGTGTGCTCGACTAAGTCTCAAGTGTGGGGGCTACCCTCCGCCAAAGGTGAAAAAGGCGATATCTCGAGCCGAGAGGTTACTTTTGCCGCGTCCAAAAGAAGCCAGCCTCGCGCCCGCTCGGACCAGATCACCATTGGCTGTCGCCATACGACCAGCAGTGGAACCAGCTCCTGCTCCGATGCCGTCAAGCGCAAACATTTTCGATAGCGACAACGACACTTGGTATTTTGCCTTGTTCCGGGACCAGGTCATCCCTGAGCTCTCCCCCTACCACGGGACTCGCTTCTGGCACCAGATTCTCCACCGCGACAGCACCATACATCAGTGCATCCGCCACTGCATCCTTAGCATAGGAGCATACGCGCGCGCCATCCTAGAGCTACGACAGGAAAAGCCCTGGGAGAAACATGCCTCGCACCCTTGGCGGTCTCCGTCACCCTACTGTCCGCATTTTCGGGCTTCACTCGAGCACAACACCAAGGCCTTGCACAGTCTCAGGTCCCATCTCCGGCTTCATGGTGCTGACAATCGCCTCACGATGGCAGCAACATTGCTCTTCATTGTCTTTCAGAACATGCAGGGAAATTTCCACCGGTCCGGTGACCTCATAAGAACAGGGATCAAGATTATGAAGAACATGCGTTCAGGACCAAAGTCATCGCGGAAGGGTCTAGGACGACACCACTGGAACCTTGCAAGGCACAATGCAGGTGATGACGAGAGCGAGATGGCAACCATGTTCGCTCGTCACAGCATCAGTTATGTTTTTGTGCCATTCCACCACGCCAAATTCGCATACCATCTCTTAATCACAGACGACTCGGACGATGATGATGATACTGACTCGGACGGTGGTGATGGGGAGTCCAGCAAAGCTGGCGTACGCGGCGACCAGGACATATTTGACGACTTTGTTGCCCAATGGCCACAAACCATCTCGGAAGCTCAGACACGCTGGGACTACCTGTTGCCCGTCCTCGCCAGCTTCCAGAGCAAGACGGTATGGCACAACCTCAACCCCAGCATCGAGTCTGACCATCTAGCGACACTTGATGAGCAAGCTGGCCTTTTGAGCGAGCTACATAGTTTCCAGTCTGCGCTCGACTCTCTGGCCACAGCAACGCTGAGCGCTAATGGGTTCATGCCGTCGGACGACGCCCGCAAAGTGGAACTGCTCCAGCTGCAGGTCATGATGGCGGTCGTGTTTGTCTCCTGTTGTACGGATCCAACAGAGATGTCTTATGACGGCTTTCTTCAGGAATTCGAAACAGTGCTGTCCAGAGTGGAGGATCTGACACGCTCCGCACCACAAAACGATAAACCAACAAAGATTGGCTTCACAAACGAAGCCGGGGTGCTGCAACTCCTCGCCTTCATCGGCGCCAAATGCCGGGTACAAAGAGTTAGGCATAGGGCAATGGCGCTTTTGAAGGAGTATGAGTGGCGAGAAGGCAACTGGGACGGCGTGAGCCTGGCTCTGGGTCTCGAGGGCATCATGCAACTGGAGGGGCAATGGAGCTCAACTGTCGCCACGCGAGAGAGCGTTTCAAGCGCTCATCTACTGTCAGTCCCACGTTCGGGGCCGTGTGGCACAATGCGCGGACTCTCGATATCCCCAACGCCGGAAGTCTTGTCCACCACACCAATGGTACCACCACCGCAGTCGAGATACACTTGGACAAACATGTTCTGGGATTTTGACAAGCGCCATCTCACTTTTGCCTATTCTCGTGTGATGCGAGACGAGCTGGGCGAGTTCCAAACTGCAGCGTGGAAAATGGACGAATCCCGCATTATCAACGAGTGGAGCTATGCCTCGTCTTCTTGAGCCAAGCTAGCCGTTCTAGAGGTGACATGAGTGCACAGCCAGTCCCTCACTATTCTCCCCGACTTCAAAGCCACGAACGAGCCAACATGATGAAAATATGGTGCACGGCCAGTCTTGCAGAAAGGACAAGGTCTTTAGCACGAGCCGAGGACAGAGAAGATCCGGACGGTTCCTTGCGGGTAATTTCTCAGCAGGCGAGCAGAGATAGGACAGTTGATTGTTGTACCTGTACAATTTGGGTGCTGCCGACTACACGAATTGCAAATGTTACGCTAGATAGAAGATGAATGAAACGGGCACCAGAGCAAATGCCGCTGGCCCCTCAAACCTCCGTCTCAATGCCCGGTTCCTTGGTGTCGTGTTTGAACATGTTCGCCACAGAGCCCTTGAGCCGGCTGGCCTTGCCTCCCACATGGTCCAGCTGACGCGCCACGCGCCACTGCATGATGCCGTGGTGTTTGCGGTGCAGCTGTTTGTGGTGATCCTTGTAGTCGCGTGCCTGCCCGCGGATTCCGCGCGCCCCGTCGTCTGGGTCGTTGTGGCCAGGTGCCAGGACCGAGGCGGCTGCTGCGGTCGTGCCTTCAATCGGGTTGCGGAGGACCTCTGTCACTTTCTGCTTGAAATCGGGTATCGAGATGTTGGATGAAGAGTCGCTGTCGCTACCGCTACCGTCGTGCTCGTCAGACGACGAAGTGTCGTTCGTGTGGACGCGGAGTTTCTTCTTGCGCGTCTCCTGGTCGGCCTCGGCCTGGGAGCTGCTTGGGGTAGACTGCCCTGCTGAGTCATCTTCCTCGTCACTCTCGTCTAACTTCTCGTCGGTGATGGTGTCCAGGCACTCCATAACGTTCCGCATGTCGCCATTCTTCGAGTGGGAGGCGTACGACTTGTGGTATCCCGAGAGCCCGCGCCAGAACTTCAATGTCATCTCGATCTCGCCGAGAGGCTGTTCACCCTCCTCGCTTCCCTTGTAGTCACAGCTGGTGGTCGCGCGTTTGAGCCCCTGCTTGGAGCCCCGCCACACCTTCAAGGTCTTGGTGGCTTGTTCCTCGTCAGCCAGCTCGTGCAGCCACAACACGGCGAATGCGGTCGTCTTGTCCGGTCCAATAGTCGACTCGCGAAACTCCACCACCATAGCCGAGGCGTGGCGCTTGCGGACTGGCAAGAACGGGTTCTCACCAGACCTGGACTTGGTCTTCCACTCGCCATCGGACGCTGCCATTTTCGCTCTGGCCATGTTTGTGCGAATCTTGATCCGGTTCTCTGTAAGGTTGTTTGGCAGACCGCCTTTGGGCTTCACACTCCCGACGACTTCAAGTGTGCCATAGGTCCAACCCATAAGAGGTGCCGGCAGCTCAAGCTCGACGCTGCGCCAGACGAGACTGATCCGGGCCCTGCCATATCCGATGCCACCGACGAGGGGAAAGTTCTCCATGATCTGACTCCGCTTCTCAAACATCTTTGCCAATGGAAGGAAAACGATGCCAATCAAGGGATCGTCCTCGCGCTCCCGGGCGTCTCGGACAGACACGATGACCTCGGTATCCTGCCAGTTGCTGATGAACCGCTCGGTGCCGGCGTTGAAGAAGGGCTTCGAGTTCTTTGGCTTTGTGCGAGTCCTGTAGACCTTCTTGTGATTGATGATTACTGTACAATAACTGTCGGGCATGTCGTCAGAACGCTCGGACTCGTCCTCGTGATCGCCGCCCTGGCCTTTGTCCTCCTTCTGTAACTTCTGCACTTCGAGACCGGTGATCTGGTGGATCTGTATGCTCAAAATTCCAGAGGGCTTTTTTGAGCATGGTGGCGCGGCACAGATCATTGAAGACTCGAGCTCCGCGAAGTCCTGGGCCTTTTGTTGTCGCACTTCCTCGTCGTCAGCTGGCTTGTTAGCCTCTCTAAGCTTTCGCTCGGCTGTCTTGGAGACATGTTCTTTTAGCTCGTCCATGGTCCTAATTTCTCTGTTGAAGTCTTGCTGCTCCAGCTGCTTCTGAGTGATGCCTGTCTTGTTGAAGTAGCCGACAGCCCAGGTCAAAGAACCAGGCATTTTCTCGGTCGGATCTTGCCCAGTAAACCGGTCCTCACGCTCCTGCATCTTGTTGTACGACTCCGAGTTCCTCATCAACGATTTGAGATCAACCTCTACCCGGCCAAGATCATCATCAGCGGTCCACTTGTCAGAGTCCCAAAGCTGTAGACGAAGCTTCTCCTCCGCATTGATCTCTTCTGGTGTGACCAAGATGGCCGCATGCTCCTGCCAGCAGGGTTCACTCTCCTCCTCGATGATCCGTGTAGCTGACACAGGCTTGCCAAACTTGCCCCAGCTGACGGTCACATAAGCGTCGCTTGAGCCCTCCTTGAAGGGACCTAGTCCGCCGTCACCCTGCTTGAAACCGCGGGCCGACTTGATGTAGATCCAGACAACGCCTCTGCTGTTTGTGTCTTTCTTGAAGTCTTCGCCCACGAGCATGCTCTTCAAGTCGAGCGTCAAGCTCTTCGGCGCAACGTACTCGGCCAGTGCGGCGTCAATCGACGATTGGACGAAGGCGGAGATGAGAGGGACGTCCATCAGGTTGAGGCTGTGCTTTGAGAGGGGTACGCAGGAGAGACTGGCCTTTGGCTGGCCAAGGAATGTAATGGTGCACAGTTGCACAAATGGAGGATCCGGCGTGAGCTGCAGACGAAGTCGCATGGTCATGATGATGCCGCGCAGCTCGACCCAGACCGGGACCGCTATCCCACCTGGCAGGTAGAACTTGAGATACAAGTGGGCGTTCTTCACCTTTGACTGGATAGACTTTCCGGACTTCCGGCTTCTGTATGCCACTGCCATCTCCAGATTGACGAAGTCGCCCTCCTCGGGCTGCAGACCCTGGTGGCTGGCTTGCTCGTTCTCAGCGCTCTCGTTGTCCCGGTTGGCCTCCTTTGAGATATCCTCGGATGATGCTGACGCATCCTGGCTCGCTGCTCCAGTGGGGAGCCAGCGCACGCCGAGGATGCGCATGGACTCACTGCCTTGACCCATATCGTCGATCGAGACCATCTTGACTACCTTTGGGAGGGATGCTTGCATGACATCCTCAATCTGGTCGACGAGCGAGGTAAAGAGATCCGGATTGACCAGCGGCCAGATAGAGGAGAAGAGTGAGTTGAGCCATTGCACCGACTCCGGAATCTGCTCGTCTTGCTGAACCATGGCCTGCTCCTCACGAGCTGCAGCATCCCAAGTCTCGTCATCGAAGAGTTCGTTTGTCTTCTTCTTTGCCCACTGGCCAATGCCAATGACAGATAACGCTGCCAGGGGACTGAGCACAGCCAAGCTCGGCAGCAGAGACCGAGCACCAATAAAGGAAGGCACAAGGGTGGACACGATGAAGATGAAGGCAATGATTCCGGCGCCTGCGTACACGGCTTGCTGATATATCGCACTCAGTTCGCGCCGAGTGTCGTCGAAATCTGGCGGTGGGAAAAGCCTCTGCATGCCGTTGTAGCCATGTTGCATGGTCCTCGATTCGTGGTCGAGCTCCTCCTCTGACTTGGACTGGCACTGAGGGCCGGTCGCAGTTGTGTGATGCGTGCCAGGTTCCGGGTCGTTCTCGGGCACTGATTTGAGGTCCTTTTCTGTCTGGTCGTGGATGGTGATGGGCAGGTGGGTGACAGGATCCGTGACTTGTCGACCGGCACCATGCCTCTTGGTTTTCTTCATGGCTTTCCTCTTGTCTCTGGCATTGGTAGCCCCAGCTGCAGTCTCGGTGGCAGACTTCTCCGGGCCTTTGTCCTTCTTGTGGCCATGTCCATATTTGTTGGGCTCGCCAGAATCTTCCCCACGAGGCTGGTTGCCTTCCGAAGCTTTCATCGCCAGGTTGTCGCGTGACTCGCCCGACTTGTCGACCATGTTGCGATTCTCGGCGGGATATGGCTCATGTCGGGTCTTTGGGGTTTCGTCGTCCTGGAAGATGGCCTTTGCCGAGTGAAAGGCGCGCACGGCCTTGGACTCGTCCTCGGGGCCCTGCTGGGCCTGCTCCTCGTCCTTGATCTGCCCATCGAGCTCCTTGCGGTGCTCACGGTAGCCCTTGATGGTGGGGATCGGGTGTTTGCCGCTGTGTGGGCCGGCGAAGCGCTTCGTGGACGCCGAGCGCTCGATGTCGTCGGTGTCTGCCATGGCGATGTGAGCTGCCTAGCAGAGGGGTTCAGAGAAAGCAAAGGTCTCGAGGCCGCCCGGATGATGTTGTTATTTGTGTTGCTATTGGTTCTTGCTACTATCGTTGATGTACAAAACTAGGGCAGAGGGGAACATGGCAAGGTTGAAACTACAGGCTTCCAAGACTGGGGAGTGCCTGGCTGCGACTCGGGCACATATTGGAGATCTTGCGGCAGGACCGAGACGAAGAGAGAACCGGTGCAGGATCTGTGGATGGCAGTGGAAGCGGCCGGAGTCGTCATAATCGTCAGACGGGGGCCGGAACCTGTCGAGGACCAGGCCCGAGGCTGCTTCATGTGGAGAGCGAGTGCAGGAGTGTGACTGTTTGCCTTGGAGCTGCCCAGGTGGCAGGCGTGGAGGAGGGGCCGATGAGGTCATTGCACCTGCCATGACACGCGGCGGCTGCTTTGGGGTGCAGCAACGGCTGCCGGTTAGCCGCGCTGTAGCGGGGGTTTGTTTGTGCCTGCAGGGTGGTACATACGCTCGTACATATGCCCACACCGGCCAGCCCTGTCATGCCCGCCTTGATGACAACTTTAGAACTTGGCTCCCCTGCAGGCACCAGAACAACTGCCGTCGTCGTTCATCGTCGTGCCTCGTCGTGCCTCTTCGATTACTGCACCATCCGGCCTCGGCCGAGACCAAGCAAGGCTGCCCCGGCTGCCAGTCAGCACGCCAACAGCGCCTCGCCCGCGCGCGGCTCCAGCACGTAGCAGTAGTGGTGCACGTCGGGGTCATTGCTCCGCGCCTTGGCCGTTGGCACTCGCGCCAGCACGTCAACCTTAAACAGCAGCCCGTCCAGAAAGGCAAACCGTGTGGCAGAGTAGCTCATCGAGATCCACGCCCCGTCTGTCGCCAGGCTTGCCTTGACGCCTGCTGCCATCTTGCGCACCGCCTCTTCGCCGCCGCACGAGATAGCGTCGGCCGTACTCTTGTCCAGCACGAGGTCAAACTGCCCAGCCCAGGCGGCATCCCCAGAGCAGAGCTGCGTCGCATCAGCCACCACGTACTCCATCGCCGTGTCTCCAAACGCGGCCTGCTCCAGCGCCCGGCTCCGCTCAATTGCCAGCGGCTCATAGTCGACGTTGGTGACGTTGGTGAAGCCGCGCCGGCGCAGGTGGTTGTGCACGTCGCTTGTCCCGCAGCCCAGGTGCAGCACGCGAGCAGACTTTTCCAGCCGGGCCAGTCGCGGCTCCAGTTCCTGCACGAACCGCTCAGACGGCACCAGCCACTCAAAGGCTTGCTCCGAGACAAAGCGCTCGTGCCAGTAGCTCTGCTTCTCAAAGTCGGACGGCATGCTGGGCTCTCTGGGCTCTCTCGAGAAGGCGTCGATTTGCGTGGTGGCCGCGATGAATGCCGTGCTAAGTGTGTCGTGACTTGGCTTGGCTTGGCTCAGTTCTGCACAGATATCGTGTCTGCGGAGAATTATCGAGGTGGGTCTATGGGGCAAGCGCCAGTGACGTTGCGAATAGCTGCACATTCTGAGCGTCCCCTCTGCACCCCTGATCCTTCCAGCTAGGTGCGTATATGTACCTCTGCATTTCTGGACCGTGGCTGCAGTTCTTCACATGCCCGACTGCTATCTTCTTTGCCGTATCTACCATTCTATAAGCGTCTCTGCAACTCGAGCGCCAAGCTCTGTTGCTGCTGGTAACTTCTCGCAACGCTCAAACCCAAGTTGATTAGCCCCTAGGGGGTCAGCCCGGCTGGCGTGACTAGAGTGCTTTCCTTTCTAGGCATGCAATGATGTCCGTATAGCATCCCGCGAGCCACGGCGTGATGGCACTGCATGCGTTTTTTATGACAGGCATAACCTTTTACTTTGTCCTCGACTCTCTCCGCCTGCCGAAGCTTAACTCAGACCAGAATCTGCTTGGAAGGGATATCTGAAGTATTCGCCGCGAACCACCTCACCCTTGGTCCAGAAGCATTGCTGGATGTCCTCCAGAAACCGGCCCATTCTCGTGCTTGCTGTTACACGATAGATAAAAGGTATGGTAGTGAGACGGGTAGTAGAATAAACGTAAGGAGGTCATTGCTCAACATATGTGCTACTATCACGCCAGGTCTGATCACACTCACAGACACAGTCCTCAGGGGTCGAGGAAGCGGCGGCAGGCTTCTGACCACAGCTGTCGAAGCCAGATTGTCCCAGCATAGACTAAAACGTCTGTTCTGCTGTATCTAGTAACGGCAGTCGCCATCAGAGACCAACCAGCGAAGCCACGATGGTGCAGGCATGGGCATCCAAGGCGCAAAAGTGGCGAAAGCTTGATATCAAGGCGCATAGACGTATCTCAAAGCCGTGCGCGCTGGCGCTGGCATTGGACTTGACGTCTACTGCTATTCTACGACGAGCCATTATTTGAACATGCGTGAAGGGCCAATTCGGCCAGACACGCAGGAACGATCAAGGTGAACGCAACAGAATTCCTCTTTTCTATCCTCTGGCCACCAGAGATACACGTCAAGCCAAGTGAGCGGATGGAGGCGGGTATTTCTTTCATCTTTCATCAAAGCCAGCAATGGGTCTAGGCTCCCATCGCACCAGTCCAGCAATCTCGAGCCCCGGTCATGCAGGACTGGTAGCCAATATCAGGGATAGCAATATTCGTGGAATGAATATAGCCGGCCGGCCGTTATCAAAATCAGACACGTGAGTGTCATCGGCCCATCGAGCTTGGAGACATGTATGTACACGGTCAGTCTCGGTCAGCTCTTAATACGCATAGCGTCAACCAGCCACTTTCGAGGTGACCTTGCATACGACTTTGGCTTCGCCTGACCGGACGGCTGTGGGTACAAGAGCACACAAGGGCATCGCTGGTGCTACTCTATGTGCTCGCCTGGAGATTGACTGAGCTTGACTAGCGAAGCCACCTTCTTTTGCACGACAGCAGGTACTCCAAAGCAGAAGCACGATTTCGATGGACAATGTTTCAAAATGGAGAACCGAGGGCCTTTGCCGCATCAGATTATGAAGGATGGTAGTGTTGTAGATCCTATTTGCAAGGACTTTTTGCTCCGTCACATCCTCTTTCAACCAATGGTCACGGGAACAATCGCCGTCAGACTTAAGATGGAATTCATGTACAGACAAGGCGCGGACAGTCAAATTTGTTGCATCTCGCTTGACCAATCATTTTAAATCATGCCATGTGGAAGAGATCAAAGTTTCAGGCCAGTGCGGTGGCCATCACACGAGCGCAGGGTACAACCTCAGATGAAGATGTTGACGTCGTACGGTGCAGATCGCACCCTCCCACATTTACCTTTGTCTCGATTAGTGGTTGCCGAGCGCAACAGGGGAGGGGCCCGCCGCTCTGATCGAAGACGCCCCCCCCGGCCAGCATCACCCACGTGGCACTAAGACAAACTTTTGTCTCTGCCAAACCCTCCAACGCCTCTGTATCATATGGCCGCCACGCTCCTGAGCTGTTTCCGACGTCGCGTAACGACTGGTGGAGAGGAGCTGGGCGAAACGCTAGTTCACCAAAGTCACTGCCAACTATCGTTTTCTTGCTGGCACAACAGAATGCACGCGAGGGCAGTCCCGTCGTCAGAAGTTTGGCACCACGGCAAGTTCCGTCTTCAATTGAGCAAGACGGGACACTCATGTGTCGTTGGCGGGTTTCACTATCGAGATGTCCATCCCTTCCCAGTCAGCCTGTATGTATGATCAGCCGCCTGCCCACGCGGTCATATTGCGTCCAATGCCTCTCAATCCTGGTGAATGCGCGGGTTACATCGGGCCTCCATCCACAATCGTGGGTTGAGTCTCCGAGGTCCATTGGGAGGAGCGGTTAGTGCACATGTCGATGCTACCCACGTGCTGATCTGCGAGGGGCAACCTTAATGCGGGTGGCTTGGCTGCCACGCGGTTTTTTGGGATCCGGACATCAGGCAAACCCCCGGCCTCCGCTGAATCTTACTTGGCTTTGCAGGTGGATGCAGCCACTCTGGTCTGGCCACCAGCCGCCTGGGGACCTTTGACCTGAGGTCAGAATCTGGCACGGGCGTGCTCGCCTCGTAGGAACAAACAATTGTGCCCTGCGTCATCCTTGATGGGACCCAGCACGCGACCGGCGCACCAAGGGTCCTTGTTCACAAAGAAAGCCCCGCAACCTTTGACATCATCTGATGAGCAGGGTGGACCATGGAAACGCCTGGAGACCCATCCGGACTGCCGAATGGCTGAAAAGAAGCAGAGCCGGTGTTGCATCGCCCCGTTGGGAGGGCCTGGGGAGAGACCTCCGACTGCTCGTGGTGGCAAGGAGTACATACTCCGTTCTGCCGTGGGAATTGCAGGCCCCGCGTAGCGTCTGGAGTGGACGTTGCCATGTGGGCTGGGCGCAACTGGGATCGCCATTGTGCTCGAGCGGCTCATCTCCCTGGTCCTCTGTTGTCTGTGGTGCGAGGTGGACCAAAACCACGGCCTTTGGTGCACTTGCCGCGATCTCGCGCGCGCCCCCCCACCGGCAGGCTCTTGAAACGGTTTGATGCTAGCCTTTGAGCTAGCTAGTGGGCGAATCTCGGGACACCTGAGAGACGGCCTTGCCGTTTGTTGGTATTATGTACGTACCTGCAGAGTAAGCGTTGTTTTCGCACGCGTGCCGTCTCCGGAGATGAAGCCGACTGCTGCTTGAGTGATGGTCGACACCAGGGGTCGTTTGTTGATGTCTTCCCCCGTTTAGGTCTAAGGAAGTACGTATCGATCTTATTGACGACGTCGGAGGAGCACGTATCGAGCAGGTCAGTCACACAAAGGTCAAGCAGTAGCAGATCGCTGCCTGCAATGCTCTAGGCGTGCCAGGGCCATGGCCCGAAAGTGAAGGGCTGGACAAAGATCAACGCTCCAGAACGGGGCAGAGCTCCGCCTCGGGTTGTTCGCAGTCGTCGTAGCGTGCTACCTACGGCAGCAGTGGCTGGCAAGGATCGAGGCTGCAGAAGCCACCGTGGACGAGGACGAGAGAAGGGCAGCAGGATTGATTGATTGACGCGCGACTGACTGATATATCGACTGATTTATTGATTGGTAGACTGACTGATCACTTTTGCCTGGAGGACGGGACGGCGGATGGGCGGATGGCTTGTGTGGTTGCAGCGGCCGAGTCCCAGGCTGGCGGTGTACCCGCGCCATTGCCGCCTCCAGGGTCGCTTCGTGGCGGAGCTAGTGGCTTGCTTCGCTGGGTTCATTTCACAGCTGGCCCGTCCCATCCCCCCCACTCGTGCCCAGGTGGCCTGCTATTAGCTCTCGCCTTCGTTCTTCATCAGGCCATCACGCCCCCATCCTCCCCTCCCCTCTCCCGCTCTATTCTTCACCCGCCAGCCAGCGTTCTGCAAACAGTTCTCCACCAGTCCAGTCGTCCACCTCTCCAAGATCGACAGAAAACCACATCCCACAGCTCCTGCGCGTGCGCTCCCCGTCTTGCTCGCTCGCTGTTCTCCTCATTCGCCCTCGCATTTCCCGTGCCTCATCACCTAGCAGCACAGTGTCTCTCATCCTTCTCCGCCGCCGCCGCCGCCATGCCTGCCTCGCTCGACTCATCGCGGCCCATCATGGCCCCCTCGGTACGTTGAAACTTTCTTTGGTCGCCGATGCCTCCGTCGCCAGGGCGCTCCCCAGTCATGCCAAACCTTGCGACGCCTGCTGGACACTGCCCGCGCTGCCCGCGACCCGTGTGCTGCTTGTTCGGCACCTTGGATGGCATCAGGAGGCGCTTCTTGGTCGTGGGCCTGCGCGCTGGTGGAGCTTCCAACCCCATCTCCTTGCTCATGACCGAATGGTACCGCCCGTGTCCCGTGCACGCTTGGTGTGTTTCAATGGGTCCCCTGGGCCACTTCGCCATCCACTCCTCATGTCGTCACGCCACACACCAGTCCAATTCCCGTGGCTCCTTGGCTTGGCCATCATCAAAGTCAACACTGCCGCATTCCACAGGGTTTTCTCCCCACGCACGTTTTACACCTACACGACACAACATCCTCCTCTTGCCACGCTCTTCAGCGAGCCGCCACTAACAATACCATTGTTATCCGCGTTACAGCTCGACTCAACTCCTCGCGCCTCTGTTCGTTACAGCACCTTCAGCATGGCTGCTCCTTCTATCTCTGGCACCATCCAGACCACAGACTCGGCTCACGCCGAGATCCACCACATCGAGCATGGCCTCCTTCGCATGGAGAACAAGGCGCTATCCCAACAGCGGGTGGTGCTCTCAGAAGACAAAGCCGCCAACCTGAACAAGCTCGCTCTCGGTGCCAAGCTCGAGCGCGCTCTCGACCGCCGCATGTCCAGTCAAGATGCCGTCATGCGGCCACGCAAGGAGCGTAAGCCTCAATACGACGTCGAAAACGAGAAGGTCGAGGTTGAGAGCCACTGAGCGACAGCGGTGGCCATGGAGGGCTCTTCGCTCCATGAACATTATTTATGACGCCAAATCATCTCCACGACCAATGTCTCGCACCACGCGAGAAACTTATACGACGCACCAAGCAGAGCTTGACAGCAGGCGGACGTGCCTCGGCTACTGGACCGTGAGCTGCCAGTAATTCGCGTTACAGGGAAGAGTGTTCCGTCACTCTTTCCCCGCCTGGCCCGTCGGACCAGACGGCCGGCGTTGCTAGCACGTGTCCAAGCTCCGCCTGCAACAACCCGCGTCTACACCAGCCGACCCCGCCGGCTGCGCTCTTTGGAAATTTCTTTATGTCATCAGCATACGAGTCTCGTGAGGGTGGATTGGAAACAAGCTCTAATTGGAGCAGGCAGGATGGCTCCTTTTGTATTCCGCGCGATACCATTAAGCATGTTTCACACGCATCTTACGAATTGGCCAGCAATGAAATACACACACCAATGATGGAATTTGGGAGGGAGCCGGGCGTCGTTGCAAACTTTCATGTTTCATCATCTTAGAAACCTACGTGCGCGGGCCTGCTCGTTCGCTGGAACTTTTGTGACTATGCTGTGCCACAAACAGCTGAGGATCTAGTGAAGATGAGAGTGCCTTCCGGGTCAATAGGCGAGTGAGTACATGTGACAAACAAATTACATCTGACGTAGATTATAGTGGTGCCTAGCAACCTACTCAGGTACCTAAGCAAGCATGGCGGGATGTGACAACCAATCGTGGCACGGGGCCGACGAAGGGGTGCATTATCTACGTAGTCAACTTCAGGAAGTACTCATTTGCAGAGGCCCCCAGGACTTGCAATTTAGACGACGTTGGCAGAGGCACCTCATTGACAACGTCTTGGGTCGTTCACACGCACAAGGGCAAATAGTGGTGAGGGAAGGGCACCGACGCTACTACCGTGGATTTATATTCAGTGTCATAGAAACATGGGAATGCCTTTTTTCTTGAGGCCAGATTTGTCTTTTGTAGTCTGAGAAAATGCCGAGGCGAAAGTACTAACTGGCTAACACGCCCTCGCGAGTGCTCTGCCGCACTTTTTGATGATAGCTTATGCTGAAAATCTCGACTGTGTCCCTCAAGCTGGTGCCGTGTTGTTCTCTCTGGAACCTTGGGTAGGCAGCTCGACTCAACAGGCAGACTCTGCCGGGCAAACGTACAGGTTTAATGAGCCGGTGGTGATGATCCTGGTCACCCCTCTTCTCCCCTTGCCTTCCTTTCTCTCTCCCGTGCCTCACGTGCGCGCGCCCGCGCGCTCCGCTACCTCGCACCCGCCGCGTCGAGCTTCGTCTTGATCTCCTGGCCGAGCGCCTGCAGTTCCGCCTCCTCGCCTTCCATCTCGAGGCCCTTTGCGACCCACTCGCCCGCCTCCTCGAGCCTGCCCATCTCCATGAGGCACTTGCCCCTGCGCCACCAGGCCTTTGAGTTGCCTACGCGCTTCGCCTCGACGCTGGCCTCGGCGTCGGCCGCGCCCTCGGGCCAGTTCTGCATCGCCATCTGCGCCTGCGCGCGGTTCGCGTACAGCGCGCTGATCTCCTCCCTCACCAGGCCCTGCGGCTCCCAGGCCGGTCTCTGCAGGGCCATCTGCAGCCCCAGCGTGTAGAACTTGACGGCCTCGGCGTGTTTGCCCTTGCGGTACTCGCCGTTGCCGGACTCGCGCAGCTTGGTGATGTTGGCGGACCGCTTGGGGTTCACGGGTACCGGGGGCGGCGGGATCTGGGCGGGCGTGTCGAGTGAGAGTAAAGCCCGGTGCAGGCTGTTGAGCTGCTCGAGCTCGGCCTCGAGCGCGCGCGAACTCGCGGACGAGTGTGCGGATATGGTCTTTGTCTGGGGGTCGATCTGCAGCGGCAGATGTGTGTACTCGTCTAGGTCCGACATCTTGCGGAGGGTTTCAATGCGGTCGTCGTCTTGTGTATGTGGGTTTTTGTCTGGTGTATTTCTTTCCCGAGGAGATGTTGGCAGATGTTGTTGAAGGTCGTCGAGGGATCTTTGGAGGGTACAAAGTCGTCTGGAGTCTTGGGGCTGAGTCGTTTGTCGGTAGTGATTGCAGGGCAGTAGAGTGCTGGTTTGAAAGACAACTAGGGTTCAGGGTCGTACTAATGAGGAGACGCCGTGTTGAGGAGGGAAGAAGTCCAAGCTGGGTATCGTTACGAAACAGGAATCAAAGAGGCGTCATGGTTGGTGGTCCATGAGCCTGGTGGGACGCTGGCGACGACTCAAGAGTTGAGTCGTGGAGATCTGGCTCCTTGACAGGGACCACCCCAAAGTGGACAGCATGGCGGCAATGCCCCGCAGTGTGTGTGACCGATAAGGTGCTACCGGCACGATAAGCGCCTCTCCCATCCCATGGGTGGCCCTTTTGTGTCTTGAGCTCAACCTTGTGTCCGTGACAAAGGGAGCTAAAACCTGCGAAACTTTATGGGATGAATTAGACCATACTCATCTCTTTGTTCTTCAATGCGCTTGGTTACTCCTGGAAAATCTCGCCTTCTTGAGGGAATGAATTCCCGGCCATCGACTTCCCTTTCGCGTCTGGCGAGGACATTGATCCTTGGAGGTGTGGACGTCTGCCATGATGTTTCCCGTACTTCTGTCAACCACCCTTAACAGGTGCTTGCAGATCGCTTAGAGAAATGCAGACAATCACTCCGAGTCTTGCGAGAGCAAGGGCCGTTCCTTATCACGGAACCAGGTATCGACTCCCAGAAGCGCGAGCTCGCATGTGTTTGCCAGAAACTTGATCATTCACAAACGAAAAGGATTCATCAGTCGGGAATCCCCAGTTTCGGAAATCGAGCTGAATGGCAATGACTGCAACTCACTGTATTTCGGGTCCTTGCATCAAACCCCGAGAAGCAAGGGGACTTTCCATTGATTGCCTACCTACCAAGGTACGCTAGGTCCCTATGGAAGGAAGTGATGCTCTGGATAGCTGGTTTTCCCCCACGCATGATCATCACCTGTCTCGGGCAGGCACAAGTGTGGTCGGCCAGCGAAGCAGACACTGCCCCTCTGCCCACCTGATCTGTCTCGGCGAGCACGCCGCTCTACGGCTGCAACAGGACAATTTGAACGAAACCTCCTCCGCCCCCACGGCACGTACTGGCAGTACTTTTCTTTTTCTCTTGCCCCGTATCGTGGAGGGCGGGTGGAACAGTGTCGATGGAAGTGCGGCATCTCACACAACAAAAGTGTACTTGTTGCAGAGATACCCAGGCCATGCCCAGGACAAAGCTGCATGTTTCGAGAGGCAACGTGCCACGGTAACGTGGCATTAGGCTATTATTGCCTTGCTTAAGACACTGTTGATCCGGTCTCCCTCGTGGCCAGCTGCTGCAGGTCTGCTTTTCTTTTTTTCCATGGCGGCTGCAGCGCGTCAGCATTCAACTTTTTCTGTTTGTTTTAGCTTGGACAATTTAGCGGTCACGAGAGTTTCAGCTAGAATCAGGGACACATGTAAGACACGGCAGGGCTTCCATCCGAGGAAATTGTGCTCAAAAGTGACCGGTGAGGCGGTTAGTTCGCAACTGCACTGATGCGTCGTATGGTTGATGACATAAGCCCCCGTGTTGTAGAATCAGCATCTTGCTTCCACGTCGCCGAGAAAGTTGCTGTGAAGGCTTTGGCAGATGATCGGGGTACTTTCGGCCGGCGTATAGTCTAATGGCCTGCAGATTCCGCCGCGTTCTGACGACAAGAAACCCTTTCCCACATCCAAACTCTTCCTGGCCACATCTGTCACCTCATTCGTCATCAGTCATGGGCTCTGTGGCTCGCAGCAACCCGGCCAGTCGGTGAGAAGCATCTATTGCGGTGTTCAAAAGTTTCTTCTGGGCCTGCCTATCCCGGATCAACCCCTGGGGGTGTTAATGTGAGTCTGATAGTACCGGCATGCCTGGGCAAAGCCGATCAAAGGAGGTGACTTGGGCCAGTGGGGTTAGTCAGTTGGGGAAAAGGCTGGAGCCGAGGTATGAGAGGCCGGTGCGGGCCGTGGGCAGTGCCAGAGAAGCAGATTTCTGCCGGGGTCCTGAGAAGGGGCTTACGACCAAGGAAAGATGGTGCTATCCTTTGATCTCGACGACTTTGTGCTAGTAAGCGGGCGTTCCCGTTGGTGGTTGCGAGACCAAGCGGGGGAGTGAGAAGGAAGGGGGGGTTGATGTGCGAGGGGAACGGTGAGCAGCAGCTATGGCAGAGGATGTACACCAGGCGCAACTGGACTCCAACGAGCAAGCGGAAGCTAAACTAGCGTCCGGGTCCCCTTCTTCCCTTCATTTGTTACGTTGAAGCCTCTCCTTAAGCATGTCCTTAAGAGGAAAGTTTACTTGACGAGACATGCAGAGGTAGTGCATCAAATGCAAATCTGACACCTCCACATCCTGCCGTTTATCAACAATTGCGCTAGCATAGCCACCAAGGAGCAATAGATTTTGCATCTTTGCATGCATGCACGTATGCCATTCGTCACGATGCGGTTCCAGCCGGGATAGGTCGCAAGAGGTCACCATGCTAGGTTACCTCAACCCATGCGTGGGCCAAGCACATGCACACCGGAAACCCGGTTCGATTGTCTCTCGATATGCCCCACTGTATCATCCCTTTGACTTTGTCCTCAAGATACGCGAGAAAGATGGATGTGTGTGTGTGGTGTGGCATTCATTACTTCCTTTTGGCGCAGGGATGCTTCCACACCCCACACACACACACGCTCCCAGTCTTTCTCACCTCTCCCATTTTTCCGGACAGCAAGTATAGGCATCATCATATTTGCTTTGTCTCCGTTGCCCGAAAACAGCTTCCTAGACAGGCGGACTTCCGTTTTGATGCAGGTCAGGGGCATGGCCCAGTGACCGGCACCCTTGCTCTCGGCCAGAGGAAAAGAAAAAGGCCCCTCCTATCTCAAACCGATTTCTTGGGTCGCAGCAACCCCTGGGAGCCCAACGGTTTTGCATATGTGGCGCGCGAGATAAGAGACACCCATTTTTGTGCGATATCATCTCATAGAACCATGTTTTTCTTTTTTTTCTTTCTCTTTCTGTCAATTCCTGACGTCCACACTTGCAGCTTGTGCTGCGGCCCCAGGACTTCATTTAGGTACCTTTGCATGTGCAGTCCCCGATCTGGATCAATACCCGCCTCGAGATCTGGCTTGCCACGGGGCAACCCGCACGGGAGGGTAAAACGGGATGGGGGGCCATCGCCGGTGTAGAGACACGGCATGCCACTCTTTGACATTGCCCAAGCTTGAGAGAGCAGTGTTCTTGGTTCACGAAACCTTAAGTGGCGTAGATCCGGAGAAAAAGGCGGTTCGCTCACGACCACGGCCTATCAAATGCCCTTGGGTAAACATACAACCATGACTCGTGACCGCACATGCACGTCTGACGGTCAGCCACGTGTACCTGCTTCCGTCTCCCCCCTCACACCAGCTCGGTCGCATTTGTCAACTTTAATCCTGGAATCGCATGCCCGCTCTCGTACGGTCGAGCGGCATGTCCGATATCTCCTGGTGCGCATGTGCGTCGATGTCGTGGGTTTTTTGAGTTGCCATGATCGTGTGTAACGATGAGAACAGGGGATAACTGTCTGGACATGCATGCTTGGCGTTGCTTCTTTGCCCAACCAGATCAAGCCGGAGAGGCAAGTCGTGGAAGCGCAGGCCTGCTGGTCGGGCGGGCCTCGGGTCTTTTCTGGTGGCTGCGTGACATTGCCATCCTTGCCTGGGCTTTGCCGGGCCGGCCTGGTCCAGCTGTTCATTGTTCCTGAGCTGAGTTGGCCGAGCTCCCTGGTGTTGTTCCATCTTCAACCGCGGTCGAGAACGCATTTTCGTTGCACTAGACCCCAAACATCGACCAGAGTTCCTGCTTAAGGAAACATAATACTGCGAGACAAAGTCGTGGGAATTCCACTTTGCATGACGCCACACACCCAGAACAAGCAAGGTCGATTTTCAAACATCGCGTGTGATCTGGGACAATGTCGCCAGGTGGATATGCGCCCCTGCTTTACATAGCAACCCCTGCTCGGGTTCCACTCCCTCAAAGTGGACCCGTGGCTGAGTTCCACTCAGTCGTGGGAGCAGGCCCCCCTTGTTGGGCTGCACCTCGGCCAAGGGTCGATGAGCTTCGGCCGCATGTGTCACTTTTTGTTCCAAGTACAGAGCACAAAATAATTTTTTTTTTTTTTTGGTTTTCCTTCTGAGCTCTCGAAATCATCAGTCATTGCATACAAGGCATAGCTAAGAGACCTGCGTCTGCTTCTGGAAGCAATACAGACAGCGCGCTGAGATGGAACCAGGATCTGAAAAAGAAAGCATTCGAATGGGTGTGTCTTTATGAAATACATGAGGAAGAAAAAGACGAGTCGACCAACCACCATCTTGTGTGCTGTGTCATACCTGAGTAAAGGAGGCCCAGGTCAACTTGGGTACCGGAAATGAGAGGCGGTGGCGGTGGCAAACTGCAGGAGCACCCTGTGTAGTGTTCCCGGTGCTGCTAAGAAGGTCGCGCTGTCGACGTGCCAATGTGTGACCCATGCTCGTCTCCGTCTTGATCGTGAACAAGATCATCCTTGACAGCAGCCCAGTCATTGCTATCGTCGTCGTCATCGACAACGAAGGCGGCTGTGCCGTTGGAATATTTGGGTTCCATATAGTCAGGTAGGGGCGCTACTGGATACAGCCGGTTTGGCACTTTGAGCGCTCGGAACCCGAACGCCGCATCCCAGGCAACTTGCATCTGAGGAGGGACTTCCCAGCCGAGCTTCGGATCGTGCAGCCACAACCGCACCACATGCCGAGCGGAACTTGCTCCGTCGTCGTACTCCTCCCTGGCATGGAGCAGGCTCCAATTGTTGATAAAGATCATATCGCCCGTGCAGCTAGAGATCTTCACCTGGTGTTGGCGTGCCACCTTCTGCACCAAGGCAAGGGCCTCGTGCTGGGCTGGGCGCAGGCTAGGCACGAGCCCTGCACGTGCGGCCGGGTGTGGGCCGATACGTGCGGGATCCAGAGCGATGACCAGCTTGCCTCCATGCTCCTGCAGGAGGGGCGCGAGGATGTATGGGGGTCTTTGCCCAGCTCTGGTTGGTGGTGCCATGTGTCGGTGTTAGTGTCTGTCGCTCCCAGAAGCGGCAATGTTGCGCAAGGACTTACACCTGAACTGGCCAATCCGCGGCAGCGAGCGTAGCCAGCACTTCTGGATCTTCTTCTTGAAGTTGGGCGTGAATAGCGTCTGCAGAGACCAAACACAGCTCGCCACCAGAAGACGCCCTTGAGCGAACATGCATAGCTAGTATCGAGCAACCCATATCCGTGTGGAATGGCTTTGAAGTCAAGTCGTTAGTGTCACGTCCCAATCGCCCTGAATATTGAGCCGGGTCGGTACTACGCACCAGCTCGCGGTTCGTATGTATTCCATGGCGACGTTCTCGCGGCGTGGACCATGATTTGAGCTCCGTGACGTGGGCTTTGAAGGATTAGCGTGGACACAGCATTTGGGCCGGCCCTCACTCTTTCGAAGCAAAACGCCATAGCTGGCACTTACAGAGAACAAGCCCTTTAGGATTCTGGATCCCCCTTTGAGCCCCGATGTAACTTGAGAGCCCCAGGAATATGATGGTGTTGTCCTCCACAGAATATCTTGAGGGATCAAGACCGCGCAGAACTGCAACGCCGCCACTTTGATGAACCGTATTCGCGGCGAATTCAAGTCGGGACCGCAATGACGGCAGGGAGAAATTGTCCTGGCCAACTTCATCACCATCTAGTTCAAGTTCTATGACTCAATGTCAACCAACATGCTTCTAGATTTGCGCCCCATGGCCAAGCACTCACCTTTGAAGTTGTCGAGGGCTGTCTCAACTTCGTAAACGTCATCTTCGTCGAGTTCGACGAGAATCATCTGCTGGTCCAGAGCGTGCGGGCTAGGCATTGCAACGTTCGACCCTTAAATTGCAAGTAAGATGCAACTCGGAGTCTGTTGTTGTGGTGTGATCGGGACAGGTAATAATGATCAGAGAATTCCGCGTTGCGCAAGTCTTTTTCCTGCTGGTCTGACTTGGCTTGGATCTTGGATCTCGGACATCCATGGGCATTGAGCTGGGTACGCACCTCAGTGCCAGGGCAGGGGCTAGTTATAAGTTGCGCCGACTGTGAGAAACGTCCACCGAACTGGTCATGCATGGCCTTTGGGACATCTGGGCTCGGATGAACGCTTGACAGATCTGCCCAACTCGGCAAATAGGCGCCGGCACAGCTAACTTGCTGGTGTCATCGCCTGGTCTGAGCTAAACGACACCACAGTGGAGATGGCGGCTACTGACAAAGACACGTCGGAAGCTGGTCTCATAACAGCTCATAGCTTTCCCATGCTCGGCACGAGGTGATCTGCAGCCCGAATGGCATGAACACACCTCATCATGTCCCTCCAGGCTTTGCCTGCCATTCGTGGCGCGCAACATCAGGGTGGCAGAAAGCGGCAGAGAATAACGGCTGGCGAGATGGGCCCAATAGGGGGCGAGAAAAAAAAAAGCTGGACGGGGGGTCTACGCACGATGCGATAGCGTCTATGCGATGAGCAAGCTTAACTGACACGGCTGCCTGTGCCTATCATGAGTTATGCATCACAGACAGGGGGCCCGAGTGTGCATATGGCGTCCAACTCGACGATGATGCTCAAAGGAGGGTGTAATGGTAATACCACGAACGTCGGAAGTGGGCGGCCATGACTGCTGGCTCCTTTGTACGGATACCGTGCCGCGGTACGTTTAGTGCAGCATATCAGGGAGACAGTGAACAGGGTTCGATTGGATCATAAAAAAGAGCCACGCTCCAGGGATCGTGGGTCCCAGATTTCGACCGGTGAGAGAGGGTGTGCGATGACGAGGTGGCCCCCCTACAATTCCCAGCTGGTAGGTCGTGGCCCGGGTCTGGAGGCAAGAAGAACCGCGCCAAGCCGGCCAATTGACTGTGTGCTGAGATGCGACTCTGCGGCCGGGGTGACTTTGTAAGTCGACTTGAGCTTTCGAGAAGTTGCCTTGCCCATCATGACGAACCCACGTGGGGCCACCCCAGGGGGGGCATATGTAGTGGCTGGCGACGATGTCGAGGGGTCCGAGCCGAACGTCATGCTGCTGAAACAAGACGACACCGGGTCGCTGAGAGGAAGAGGACAAGCGGAGAGCATGCCGAGTCCAGCGAGGCGGTTTGTCTGGACCTGATGCAAGCGTGGGCCACTAAATTACGCTGTAGGTACAGTCGAGGTGCGGCGCGGTGCCGAGTGCAAGGGCCGGGCCGCGCCATAGCATGTGGAGACTCGGTGCTTCGATTCGATGGGGGTGCGGGGAAAGCGGACGACAAGCTGATCGCGGGAGGTGAATGGCATGGCATGGCATCCTAGGATGGCATGGTGGTGTGTTGGAAGAAGGATCCGGCGGTCTGGCGAGGCTGCATGGAAGGACAATGTCAAGCTGCTTCCAGACTGGCGCGGCAGCGGCGTGGGAGGGATGCCAGATGAGCACTTTCCCCCCGTCAGTCAGTCAGTATGTATCCCTGCACTGGGCTGGATCTTATCTATGCAGGAGGGCCCGTGAAGAATGCAAGCCTTGCCGTGCGTGGGTTGGAGCTGATGCATCCGCCCGTGGCAAAAGATGCGAATGTCGTCAGTTGTCAGATATGACAGGCGCGGGCAGGCACGCAGATAGGGCTGGAGGTGGGCATGTGGGCAGCACACATGGTGTCGGGGATGGAGGTGAGAGCCTGCCTGCCTGGATGTGCGCTGTAAGTCACTGCGCCGGGCTGCAAAAGCAATCAAGACATCCATCCATGGCCATCTCTCGAGGCAGGTGCGCCCCCAGGACAGGCCGACCCGCCCGGCCGCTCGTCCTCACCTCCAGAAACAGCCTGCTCAAGCCATCGCCAGTCTTTTGAGCAGCCTCCCGCACGCCTGTCGACTCCTGCATCGCCCGCTCGCGCACCCGCCCTCCAGCACACACACTCGAGCGCTCTCTCCCACACACGCACGCACGGCTGAGGACGACCGCCCCTGCTCGCTCCCTCGCAACCGCGTCTTGCCCACCTGGTTCCCAGCCCAGGCGTCCCCTGTGCCACATCTCCACCGCGCTGACCGGTTTCCACGGCTCGTCGATGCTTGCTCCCGTCACCGGTCTCGCGATCCCCGCTTCTTTGCATCTCCGGGTGCTTGCTGCCCAATGCCAGCGCCGCTCTCTACCTGTCCGGTGCCCGTGACCTCGAACACTCCCTCCCGTCCCGGCCTGGTCCCCCAGTCGCCGCCGGCCGTCTGAGCGCCTAGGCTGGCATCCATCGCTCCTCGAGGCCATCACCACAAACCTTGTTGGGATCACCCGGCCGCGCTCCCAGCCCACAGACTAGACAGACTTCCTCTCCTCCCGTCGACCGCTAGTCGTACAGTTCAACGGCTACTCGCCAGTACCCTGCTCTGGTCTGTTGTGTGGCGTGCGTGGTTACATCCACGCTCCGTCCCCACGATGGCGCGAAGCGCTCATGTCGCCACAGCTGTAAGCACGTGTTGCATCTTCCACCAGAGACACTGCCCAGAGCTCTGTTCACCCTTCTCATATCATTCTAACCCTGTCACACGCTGTGCCGCACCGACGGCTTCGTCCATTCTGTCTCGCCTCGCTCTCCCCCCCGTACTCCTCGTGGGCCCACCGGCTCCTTTCACTTTTGACCCTGATGGCATTTTGATACTTACCTCTGTTGTCCTGGTGTAAGACAAGGAAGCAGGCTCGGGCCGTGCCCTACGCCTACCCGGTCGACACCCGTCGTGTCAGTGGTCAGAGCATGCCCCGGCGGAAGTTGCACTCTAGTGTCTCCCTGCCCAAGCAGCCTCCAGATGCTAGCCATGCGTCCTTGCTAGCCTCCAACTCCCACATGTTCTCTGGACACTCTTCATCCTTCAACGCTGGCTTGAGCGGTGGCATCGACGTCGACTTTTGCTTTGGGCTGCCCAGTCCCCCCACGCCAAGTCCCGTCAACCACCTCAGGTTGGTAGAAACCTCGTCCTACAACTCATCCCACCCTAGCACGTCGGATGCCAACGTGCCCCTGGGTGACTTTCTGGCAACCTGGGGTGTAGGCTGCGTTGACCCCTCGAATCCCGTGGGCGCCTTCGCTTGTGCGACTTGGCCGCTCGACCCAGGGTGTCACGACACATACGTCCCGCAACACCTCCAGAATCACGAGTATCCTACTGGAGCTCACCACCCACTTGCCCAGAACAGCCAGGGTGTTGCCTCATTTCCGGCACATCAGTTTGGCTCGCTCGATTCCGGGCACTACCCGAACTCGTTCTATCAGGTCTTTTCGCCTGAGCCAGCCCACAGTTTAGGCAGCGATCCCTCATTCCTACCCCGGCCGATGTCTAGTGGCGCCATGGACGGGTCATGGGTATTGGAGCCGGAGGAACCTGCCAATACTGTCGAAGACGTCACCCATGATTTGGCAGTGGCGTTGGACGAGACTTCGCTGCCGTGTCGAGATTATTCAGAGGGGTCAGACGATGGCGTGCTGGTGGAGATCCCAAGCGCCTCTGTAGAACCCACCGTTGCTCATCGCTCGTCGCTGTCCCCCACGGCTACGCAAACGGCTGGAAAGGGAAAGAAGCATACACGAAGCTGCCTATCGCCGGAAGGGCGTATGGAGGCAGCGTGTACGCGCAGGAATGGAGCTTGTGTGCGCTGTGTCATGCAGAAATCCAAGGTGCGGTTGACAACCACAGACGTGTCGTGATTTTTGAGGGTCTAGAAATGCAGCTGACTTTTTCACCAGTGTCGTGCGGACCCAGATAACCCACTCGGGGGGTGCTTGACCTGCGCAGATGTCTCGTTGGAGTCCAAGAAGGTGATTCACAGACTATCATGTGTCCGGTGGAAACTCAGCGAGGTGGTCATGTTTCGCGGAGATGGGCTCAACTTAACCAGCAGATGGAGAGGAACAGCCATGAAGGACCTCGGACCCAGTGACTGGGTGGACAACACGCCGCGCATCCTGGTTTGGCAGCTGGACCATACGCCTTATCCCCTGCAGTTTGTTGTCAAGCGCTTCCGCCCTCAGCCAGGCGACAGCGTGACGCGAAGATGGCAGGACTCGAAGGGGCGGAATCGAGAGACGCGCATTGAGCCATTTGGCTTAGCTGATATACACAGAACCGCCCAGGACTACATGATGTACAACTATACCAACGCCCTGCTGGCGCTGGATAAAGTAAGGAACGAGATGACTGGCCAGGTCGACGAGATCGTCTGCAGAACCTACGAAGAAGTGTAAGTCAAGGTCATGGTGTTCGACGATAGCTTGGTGGGGTCACTCACGGCTGGTTGTACTTGTAGCTCACGGCGCATCGTAATGACCGAAGTAAGTGCTGCCCCGAACCTGACATGCTGGGCAGAGGACTGACAGTGCACTTGCAGAGACCGCAGGGTCTGGGTGCCAAGAAGGTAAACCCTGCCGATTTCTTACACAAATACATCAAGCTTTGGTTCGGAATTCGTAAGTCCACCTGGGTAGACGTATGCGTGCTTTGTTGGATGCCAAACTGAGCTCCCTGCGCAGGCAATTCCGTGGGTTCTGCATTCATCACCCCGGGCACCGACATGCTGGATATGCAACCGGAAACTCATCCCGACTACCCGTATGGGGACAAGGTGTCGATCCCGAGGATGATTTCGGAGCAGTTTTACAACCTCCAGTACGAGAAGCTCCTGGTGCCTGTCCGGAGGCAGATTCTGGAAGAACTCAAACAGATGATGACTGGCAAAGAGCCTGAGCACTTCTATACTGTCTACCTGACCATTTTCATGCTGCTCTACGAGACTTCGTTCGCCAGTGCAGATCGGCACCGTCGCGCAGTGCAATACGATGAGCCCGTGAGTCCTGCTTTCGATCACTTTAGGCACTATCTAAGTAAGCAACTAAAATCGATGGCAGACATATTACTCGCTCCCCTTGTTTGTGGAGAACCTGCAGTTCAGCGCCAACATCTTGCTTCTGTACTGGCACTATTACAAGCGAGATTTCAACCCGCTCAGAATGAATTGGGACAGCGTCAAGAAGAAAGATCCTTGGTCCAAACTGACCCTCCAACAAAGAGGTTTCCTACATGGCAGTTGGCAGTATTTTGCAGACAGGGGTGAGTAGTGTCACAACTTGTGCCAATGGAAGATACGGTTCTGACATGGACCTCTACAGCTGCACGGCCCATGGAGAAGCTGACATGGAAGGATGAGCTGTATTTCGTCGCACAAATGTTTGAAGATGACTGGTTTGTTCGTCCGACGTACGCGGGAAATTGAGCATTCCCAACCCGAGGGCCAGGGGCAACAAGGCAGAAAAGACGGGCTGGGCGTTTCGGTACGGATAAATGAGTGCGATCAGCAATGGTATTCGGTCATGGGACGGGTGGTTCTTTGGATTGGGTTTAGAGGTGCGTTACATTGGGAAAACAGCGGTTCGCTGAATGTGATTAGCAAGCACGGGTCTGGCTAGGGCGCTCGGGTCCTGGAAGATTTTGTCTTCCGACGATTGGGTTTCTCCGGTGAATTGAAAGCATCGAGCTCCCCCCTTCCCGGCATTTTCCTACATGCGGCAGGTCATGTTGGTGAAAACGAGTGCCAAAAGGTCGTGCATGAGACTATTTGACAAGGCAAGGGTGCACGGCAGACGACGACCAGCGGCCGAGCATGACCCCGCAATGGTTGAGTGAAGCTGACTATGAACAGCCAGAACAAGATGTCTCTATCTCTATGATGCATTCACGAAGAGCCAAGGACATCCTAATGTTCACGTTCAGAAGCTCACAAAATGCGCGATCAGTGAGCCAGACCTACAAGCCGAGTTGGAACCCAAAAGTGCAAACGCGCGTAGGCAGTTGTTAAGAGCGTTTCGCGCCCCGTCGTTGTTGGCTTTGCGTGCTCTCACGCGACGGGCGAGGAGAGCTAGGCTTCTGCAATAATGCCTGCTAGCCATGGAACCAGGCATGGAATCTAGACCACGAATAGCGGATGGGCAGTGTTGCCCGTTTCCCATTCCATGGCTGCTATTCCGCAACTATGCAAACAGATTTTTGTTCGATTTTATATCAAGGGTTTTTCTTTTTTTTTTTCCTCGAGATATGCGAGGTTTATTTAAATTGCCTTGTTAAGCCAAATGTCAAAAGAAGCTGCGAAGGCCAAGTGAAACTACATCACTGTATTGTTACTGGGATCGTACAGCAAGGCAGGGGACCACTTGAAACATAATTGAATTAATTCCTGAAGGCGCCTGCTCATCTTTGGTTGTCGTCGCCGTGCAGGACGCTCTCGCAAACCACAGGCATATCTCCAACCCCACCACAGCCCCCCGGTCTTGGCATGCTGTCAGGATGACGGCACCGCCATCACCAGCCAACCGCCCCCAAACGAGAGGGTCCGTTGCCGAGATGCCGCCCGCATGCCTGCAGACGCAGCAGCAGCTTGCATATGTACATCTGGCAGCCAGGCAGCGACCTGTCTCATTGGTCGAGGGAGCGGTTCGCAGATAAGTAGAGGGGGAATGCAACCTGCCTGCGTGCACTAAGTAGCAGCTGCGAGCAGGGCCGCCCCGTCTCGTCCGCCAGTTAATGCTCACTGGGTGCTGTGAGCCCGAAGCCAAGGCAGAGAGATGACAGACATAACGTCATCGTGAGTTCATGCCCATAAGCCGGACGAGGAGGAAAATTAAATGGATAGAAGTGGTGTTGCAGTTCTTTTGGCTGTCGCGAGAGTCGTCGTCGTGCTTTCTGTTCAGCAACAACGACCCACAGGCAGCTCACCTACTGCACCAGACAGGCTCTTGACGACACGTAAAACACCAGCGTCCGCTGATACGTTTGCTCATTTCCTGCGCGTCTCTATCGCGGCACTAATTTTGGGGAGAGAGCTTAAAATCACGGCAGCTTCGACGAGTGCCCCCCCATCCCCCCCCGGGACCGCGACATCTACAAGAAACAAACGATCTTTTCGAGATCACGCACGATCGGGCGCTCGTCAAACAAACACTAGTCCAAAAGCACAAGACGCCAGCCGTTTCCCCGGGCAAGGAGGTTCACGATTCAAGCAGGAAACTTACGAAAACCAAAGGCCATAAGAGACGTCTCAGAAAAACAAAGAAAGACGACCTTCGAGATGTCAGAGGGACCCTTCGTCGCCATCGCGCGCGGCCTTCACGACTTGTGGGAGAGCTTTCTCGTCGGGCTGGGCTCGTTGTACTACAAGGTCCTTGGTCGGCACTAGTCTTTGTGTGGTCCAACTGCATCTAGCCCACCAGACTCGCCTTCCCATGTCGTCTCGCATCCCGCGCCGGCCTCTTCAAGGGGTCTATCTCTGAAACCCGAGCCTTGCCATAATGGAAGTCGAGGAGCACGAACACCAGCTTTCGATGCCGACATGGGAAGTGATCGGTTGGTCGTTCATCATGTCACAACGATCGCGCGCGCGCGGCCTACATCGTGGGACTCGGCTAAGGCGAATGAGCTCTTGTTCCGTGTCGGGTTCATGGGTCGTCGACGAGATATATCGATAAGCAATGCAGAGGGAGGAGGAGGCCAGCGGGATACCGGAGGCGACGACGACCGTGAATTTTCTTTCCCTTCTGGAAGATGTGGATGCCTACCACCTGGTCGCACACACATTTGGCGGAGACGCCGATTTGGTCGATGCAGCCTAGTAATTCAGAAGCAGAGTTCCATGTTGGGAGGATCTTGGGTGACCCTAGCTCGAAACTGGATGCTGTGGGCGGTTCTTCTGCACCAGCAGTGGAAGTTGCTGGCTCACGAGGAACAAGTGGTGTGCGAAAGGGTAACGAGTGGTTGGGGATTGAACCTGCTGCGATTCGCAGAGGTCATCGTTGCGCTGAGCGGTCTTGGGGGGCAAATCAAGTCAATTTGAGGCCTAGACCTGGGCATCTGAAAGACGTTGTTGAGCTTCTTGCGCGACATGTTAATGAATACGAGCGAGTGATTTCGAACCTGGACAGTGCATTACGGTGTGATGCGACCCGACTCTGCCGTGCTCAACACTGTGTCCATTGGGTGCGCGGAACCTGGTCCATGCTGCCGCAACCCCGTGGCAGTCACAGGTCACAGGTACAAGGCCAGTCAGACTTGCCCGCTGCCTGCACCGCCGTCAATCTCGGCTGTTTGCGTGCTACAGCAGATATCACGAGAAACACCGGCGGTGTCGCTGAACTGTGCAGTACTGCTGCGAGAGTTACATTGTATGTCAATTTGAGGTCACGTAGGGCCAAAACGGGTCTGTGGCGCCAACTTGCGCGGGCTAGTCACTGCGCGCTAGCCGGAGCGGTGGGCTGCTTGGAGGATCAGGTGGAAGGCCAAGTCCAATCTTGACAAACCTCCTTGACGTCAAAGACGGCGCACACCGTAGCGAAACGAGGTGTGCGAGCGAGCAGTCCGTCCCTGGAAATTGAGACTGGCCCTGCCGCACCCCGGCAGGGAGGGTCGTTGCGGATCACATACGCGCGTCTAGGTGCAGATCATGTAGATGCAGGCTCGGGAGCCGAGAGGGCGACACTTCATGGGTCACGGAATGGCTCTGGGTACGGAACAGCAGCCGCCAGGTTCCTCCTTGGCGATTCTTGACAGACAGCGGGAGCGTGCGAACTGCCGAGCCCTCTGCCAAGGCTGGCAATCTGTCGCAGCCAGCTTCAGACAAGTCTCGTGCCAGGAGTGCGACGGCTGCTGGGCCACTTCTGGCGGCACTGACCACTTGTGCGGGTGCGGTGAGCGAGCGAGTCTGAGGAGGCAGATCACCATCTCGGCGGGCGAGCGGTCGTCGTCATCCAGCTCAAGCACGCAACCGCGACAATCACCACGAGCATTGAGCCCTGCGTCTGGCAACTTTTGATATCGCAGCCGGCAGAGGGCATCATCGACGGGCGGGCGACGCGTGTTGTTTTGTGGACTTGTGATGGTGATGGGCCGCCCACAGTTGGACAAAGAAGTGGGTGGGCGGAGCGGATTGGCGAGGCTGTAATTAACTTAAGCTTGAAAAGGAGCATGTTTGCCCTAAGGTACTTTGGCTCAAGGTAAGATTGCCGGCTGGCCGTGCTCTGGAAACACCCCAGCAGCGCGACAGGCCAGACCCAGCTGGGCAATGAGGCAGTGCAGTGCAGACCCCTTTTCGCCCACTTGCAAGTCTCGAGCTGGCGGCCCGGGCAGGCGTAGCGCCAGGGGCCAAGGCATGGCAGGTGGGGCACTGGGCGGCCGGGCGCCGCCATTGGCCGCGGCGGGCCACACCAGAAACCAAGGGCAGGCCAGTGCGCCGCCGTTGTGCCTGGGACTCTGGGCTGTTCCTGCAGCACATCCTTGCACCGGCCCCACGGCGGCCCCCCCAGCGAAAGCGTTGTGGTGCTGTACTGTGTGCAGTTGTGCCCACCCACCCACCTCTCGCAGCTCCTCCTCACCACGGCCTCACAACCATCATCATCACCATCAGCAGCCTGCTGGTGTGTGGGTGTGCTCCTCTCCCCTTGGACACCCCTTGCCACTCGCCCCTGGCCGATCTTGGCCATGCTTGGCGCTTGGCGCCAACTACTACGTACCGGCTTGTGCGAGCCTCATGATTGATCCCCCCCAGAAGGATCCACTACGGCCTTTCCTTTTCCTTCTCGCGCTCCTCCCAGCCAGCTTGCTCTGCTTGCTCTCCTTCCGACCTCGAATCACTCCTTCATCGTCGTGCGACCTCATTACCGCACTTGTTCTTGTCCCGTTTTCTTGACCTCGTTTTCGGTTGCTGCGACCTAACTCCTAATACAGGCTGCCCGGAACTTGCCAGCAAGTTTCTGCCGCCTGCGCCCTCGTTCTCAGCGCCTGTTTTGCCTGCACCGACTACGCCAACTCTTACTACCAACTTCTCGTCACTCTCTCAGGCTCTTTTTGCCCAACCACGCTCTCATCTCTGCTCTTCTTCTCGACGACAATTAACAACAAGAACCGCGACAATTACTTACCACTACTAGCTCGCCCAACATGGTCAACATCAAGTCTACCCTCGCCGCGGCGGCCCTCGCCGGCTCGGCCCTTGCCGCCATCGAGCCCATCGTCATGAAGGGCACCAAGTTCTTCTACAACAACGGCACCCAGTTCTACGTCAAGGGTATCGCCTACCAGTCCGAGATGGGTGCCGCCTCTCGGGCTGTGGTGAAGCGCTACGGCTTCGAGCCCGACCCAACCGCCAACATCATCGACCCTCTTGCCGACGCGGCCCAGTGCCAGAAGGATGTGCCCCTGCTCGCCCGTCTCGGCACCAACGTCATCCGCACATATGCCATTGACCCTACCAAGGACCACACCGCCTGCATGAAGCTCCTTGAGCAGGCCGGCATCTATGTTCTTGCTGATCTCGGCCACCCGGCTGTGTCCATCAACCGTGACTCTCCTGCCTGGAACGTCCAGCTCTACAAGCGCTACACAAACGTCATCGACGAGCTTGGCAAGTTCGACAACGTTCTCGGCTTCTTGTCCGGCAACGAGGTCACCAACAACAACACCAACACTGATGCCTCGGCGTTCGTCAAGGCTGCCACTCGTGACGCCAAGGCCTACATCAAGGCCAAGATGGACAAGGGCCACCGCTGGATGGGCGTCGGCTACGCCTCGAACGACGATGCCGAGATCCGTGCCGAGATGGCGCAGTACTTCAACTGCGGCAAGCAGGAGAACGCCATCGACTTCTGGGGTTACAACATCTACTCGTGGTGCGGCAAGAGCAGCTTCCAGCAGTCCGGCTACGACGTCCAGGTCCAGTTCTTCAGCAACTACTCTGTCCCCGTCTTCTTCGCCGAGTATGGTTGCAACACTGTCGGTGGCGCCGAGGGCCGTCTCTTCGAGGACACCCTTGCCATCTATTCCAAGCAGATGACCGACGTCTTCAGCGGCGGTATTGTCTTCAAGTTCCAGCAGGAGAAGAACGACTACGGTCTCGTCAAGGCTGGCCAGCCCATGAAGAACTTCAAGGTCCTCGAATCCCAGATGAAGAAGATTGACCCCACCGTTGTCCAGATGGACTCCTACACGCCCACCAACACTCCTCAGGCCTGCCCCAACGTCGGTACCAACTGGAAGGTCACTGGCAGCGCTCTCCCCCCTACTCCCAACGCCGACTTGTGCACCTGTGCCTACAACGCCGCCAAGTGCCGCCAGGCTGACAAGCTCGACGTCGAGGACTATGGCGCCATCTTTGACTACATCTGCAAGAACGATGCCGCAGCCTGCGCTGGTATCAAGGCCGACACTGAGACTGGTGTCTATGGCCCTTACGTCATGTGCAACCCCAAGGAGCAACTCGCTGTTGTCCTTGATGCCTGTGAGTACCACCGACTTTATCAAGTGTGCACATGATCTCAGTACTGACCCACGCAATACAGACTACGCCAACCAGAAAGGCCGCGCCGATGCCTGCGACTTCAAGGGTGCTGCTCAGCTTGTCAGCAACCCCAACGCTGCCCCTTCGTGCACTGCCCAGCTCGAGAGTGCCAGTGCCGCCGCTGCTGTTGCCGCGACTGGCACTGCTCCCTCTTCCAACGGTGGCAGCACTGGCAACGCCGCTCCTCGCACCGTGCCGACGGGCGGCTTCATGTCCGGAAGCACCCTCGCCATGGGTGCCTGGGTCCTGGGCTCCATTGCCGTTGGTGCTGGCATGGTTGCCCTATAAGGGAGACGTCTTCGCATTTATTGTTTCACATTTCGTTCTCAAGATAGGCGGAGTGCGTTGTTGAACTGGGCTACAAAGGCATCCATACATAGCGGAAACACATGCATGGTGGGACTCTCCAGGACAAGTTGTAAATGACCTTCGTGTCTGACTTGCTTGTGGCGGTGGGAGTAATGTACATACGTGAGATACCACTACACTTTATGAGCGGTGGCCAACCTCTTTGAGTCATGTGCTCGTGGGGCCCTGCTAGGCAGTCATCTTTCTTTGTACCGCATTACCTTGATATTGTAATAGACAAAAAGCGTCAGAGAACAGTCGCTTGCGTGCTTTTTTGCTTGTCCATCATGCTGCGTGCCCAGTATGCTCATGTAAATTATTCCACCCACGCAGTCGTCAGCGGCGTAAGCAAATGTGGATGGCTGCTGCAATCCTACTATTGCTCCAAGCTCCCCAGACTAACACAGAGACCGGCTTCCTCGCAGCACGGCGCGGGATGTATGATCTTGATCGCCCGTCCCAGCCGAGACCTCTCGTGTTTTGGAGTCAGGGGGGCCACTAATTATGGTTGTACAAGAAACTTTTTCTACGCTCTAGATGGGTACAGTTCGCGCAGCCACGAATGTACCTTTTCCGCCACCGTCTTGCTGTGGTCTGTTGTGCAAAGAGATGTCAGTCAGTCACACGCGACCGGAGAGGCAAAGAGAGGAGGAATAATGACGAGACCATTTTTCTCCTTCTTTGTCCAGAGATACCACTTACGAATGCAGAAGGCATGAGGGAGGTTGCCCTCGTCGACGACGATCCGGGTTGATGCCGTTGAGGGTGGGGGTGGCTTTTGGCTGTTGCTTCTGCTGCTGCTGCTGCTGCTGCTGCTGCTGTTTCCACCTGTGCTGTGGTCGCTCTCTGCTTCTGTAACCTCATCATCACCGGCACCGGGTTTTACTGTCCCGGCCCCGTTGGTGGTGGTGCGCTCGGCGATGAACAGATCACGGTAGTGGTCCGCGACCCAGTGATCGTTCTGGCCGAAGAAGAAGAAGAATTTCGGCGGCGGCGGGGTTGCTGGCTCTGAGAAGGAGGAAGAATTTACAGCTTGAGTGTTGTTGTTGCTGCTGCTGCTGCTGTTCGATGTGACCCCTGCTGCTGCTGTTGTTGTTGTCGGGTCGTGTTCAATCTCCCAGAGCTCGCGATCCCACTTGTCCTCACGGATGACCCGCATCTCGTCCATGCCCATGTACAGGGCCTGCCAGACACCGTCGCGCGACTTGAGCCAGGGCACGAGCACCTCCGCCGCGTGCGGGGGGAAACGCAGGACGGACGAGACGATCCACGACACAGCGGGCGCGGGGAGGACCGCGAGGAGGCCCCTCGCGATGCGGTAGGCGTTGGGGCCGAGGACGGGGATCTGCCGGAGCATGTCTAGGCGCTTGCCGGCCGTGGACTGGGCAATGTGGGTGATGGTGGGGAAGAGCAAGATGGCGGAGCGGAGGTTGAGGGGCGCGGCGGCTGAGGGGGCCGAGGTTTGTTGCTGTTGCTGCTGCTGCTGCTGCTGACGTAGTGCCATGTTGCGGTGGAAGAGCTCGAGGGCAATGTACGAGCCGACCGAGTGGCCGACGAGTACAATGTCGTCGAAAGGGCGGCGGGGGGCATCTCGGTGCTGTCCCGGTGGGATTGTCTGGATGGTGCCATTGTCTGCGTCTACACCGAGGTTCCGGAGAGTGGTCTGGACGTGCGTGATCTGGAACTCGAGATCGCGAGGCGGGTTGGCTGGGGACGAGAAAGAGCAGTCATGGTCCGCGTCGCTGAAGCCGGCGAGGTCCTGGCCATAGATGTGGAAGCGAGGCGAGCCGGAGCGCTGCTCGTCGAGGAGCTGGCGCAGGGTGGTGAGGAAGGGGCGGTAGAAGCCAACGAGCCCCGGGTTGCCCGAGATCATGTAGATGAGGACATTGCGGACATGGCTCGAGCCTGCCACAGCGGCGCCTTCGGGGCTGGCCGGAGGAGGAGGAGGAGGCAGGGAGATGGCCGCAGGGGCAGACGGCATGTTGTGTTGTTGCCTGCTCCGTAATTATCGCCCAGCGTCTGCCTGAGCTTGTGAGGGATGGCGATGAGCTGCAGTTGAGATACGGTCAACCGCGCAGGAGCTCTCAGGAGGGCGTCCCGGTGAGGACTTGTTCGAGACCAGACAAAGAATGCTGGTTGCGCTTGAGAACAGGCTTGCCGTGCGTGCGGACCGCATGGATGTTGCCCCACAACAACAACAACCTCACAACATCAGTGCCCCGTAGCCGGTCCTTATCGCTCCAGCATCACGCTCCGTGCAGTCTCTCGGCAACACAGCACGCCCAAAGTTGCAGTGCATTCGCCGGGGGATTCCGGGCACCTGTTGCGATTTGGACATGCAAGCTCAACATTCAGCTTTCGGCGAGGTGGAGTTATGTGATACAGGCCCTGAGCTTGTTTTGGGGGGAGAGACAAGGCCAGGAGGTGCTTGTTCGTCCCGTCAACATCTTGGGGGACACCAAGATTGTCTCAAATTTCGGATTCGACAACAGCAGGCGCCTCGTGAGGTTTCGACGTGATGGTTGGCAGAGGCTTGGGGTAGGTCTGGACCTGGCCGTTGTTTGAGGGCCTGAGGAAAGACTCCCAAGCTCGTGGTTCTCCAACACTACCCGATAGTTGAAGGCCTTGGAGGACACTCGAACCTCGGGTTAGTTTGACGGCTCTATTTTCCATGGGATGTCCGCACGTGCATCACAAGCACCCGGGTTGCAGCCAGCCTCGCGCGGGAAGGACCCACCGTGGCCCGTCACGTCACGCTGGACAATTCCCCGCGGTGCGTCATTGAGCCTGTTGCGCCAACTTGGCATCCCAGCAGCAGCAGCAGCGAGGCACTTGCAACAGGGCAGCAGGCAGCTCGTCGTACCACACAAGGAAGAACATGGACAAGAGATGTGCCTACGCCCAGAGGCGGGGTCTTGATGCTCTCAAGGAAGCCCAAGAATGCCCTCGAATGTCGGGGTCTCGGGCGGGTGGCAGGGATTCGATGCCGGCGTCGAGGTTGCATCGTAATCGCCGGCACGTCTCGAAGACCTGTCAGCCTCGCAAGGCCCGCCTGATGCCCTGATGCCTAAAGCATGCATGCAGCACGCCTGGCAGGCTGGAAAGTCCGTCCAGGTGATTAGCTCCGGTTCGTCCGGCTGCGGCCCCCAAGCACGTGCGCCGCCAGCTCGGGCTCCTGCCCTGCCCAAGCTAAGCTTGACCAAGCTTGTGTGGAACCCCCCCGCGCCTCGATCCGTCATCGTCTGCTTCCACCCCATCCGAAAATGCACCTTGGTCAGATGCTCAACTCTATCCACCTATTCGTCGCCTCGCCTCGTCCTTGTGCCAGCCCGGCTCAAAATCCCCTCCCTCTCCCCCTCGAACCAGCATCTCTTACCTGCAGCTCTTACACTTGATCGAATGCCTTCAGCCTTCCCTTCCGACCTTCACCACAGCTCTCCAGCTCGAACCTCCCCCGGCAGCTCCTCTACCCCGCGATAGCTTCACGTTCTCACCAGTCCGGCCCCGCCTCGCCCGCGTGCCGCCTCGAGCCTCGCCCCATCTCTAAAACTTCGACCTCCCAGGCGACCCGAAGTCGTTCTCGGAGGTCCTCTGTGCCTTACGACGTCACACCATGGACACCACCTCGGAGCTGCGGCAGCGCGTGCCCCTCAACAAGGTCCCTCAGCCCACCTCCTCAGCCGACTTTGTCCACCCGTCGGGCAGGGCAAAGTATGGGCGCTTCCGGAGCTACTTCCGGGCCCTGACCTTCTCGATATACTTTACGTTGGGCATCGTAGCGTATGTGCTCGCCCTCAGTGCAGCCCGGTGATCTTGGCGCACATAGCTGACGGGAGCCTGCAGGACACACGTAACTCAGATCCTCGGCTCGCCCTTGTACTTTATCGACAAGGACCTCTACTATGCATACATGAGCCTCACCAAGGCAAACTTTGGCCTCCTCACCACCACCATGACACAATGGTGGGCGCCCACCGTCATCAGGGTCAGCGGCGACGCCTCCGTCGCAGGCCAGCTCAGCCTGACTCCGGATGGGCGCATCGAGTGCGCCTTCCCCGAACGCCTCGTCCTCATCGCCAATCACCAGATCTACACTGACTGGCTCTACCTCTGGTGGGTCGGCTACACCAGCAATCCCCAGATGCACGGCCACATCTACATCATCCTCAAGGAGTCGCTTAAGTGGATCCCCTTCATCGGTCCCGGCTGCATGTTCCTCAGCTTCATCTTCATGTCTCGCAAAATGGCAACAGACAGGCCGCGCCTCGCGCATCGCCTTGGCAAGCTCAAGACGGTGCATAAGAAGCCGGACGGCCAGACGTATCTTAACCCAATGTGGCTCCTGCTGTTTCCAGAAGGCACCAACCTGTCCGCCAATGGCAGAAACAAGTCGGCTGCGTGGGCAGCAAAGTCGGGCCAGCAAGACTTGCAGCATCTCATGCTACCCCGGAGCACGGGCATGTATTACTGTCTGTCTGAGCTCAAGGGCACCGTCGATTATGTCTATGACTGTGCGGTCGCCTACGAGGGTATTCCGTAAGTTCTCTCTGGTGCTCAGTTTCCCAACCTTTTAGCATTCTGTCGTCATCGTCGGCTAACTTCTTCCTCCTTTCCGGATTCCAGCCGCGGCAAGTTTGGCGAGGACTACTTTAGTTTGTCAAGCACATACTTTCAAGGGCGACCACCAAAATCTGTCAACTTCTACTGGAGGCGCTATGCCGTGGCCGACATCCCTCTTGGCAGTGCAGAGGAGTTTGACCAGTGGATGCGCAAGATCTGGGCCGAGAAAGACGAGCTCATGGAGCAGTACATGGCAACGGGCCGCTTCCCCGCGAATGGCGCAGGCATCAAGGGTCACATTGAGACGGAGGTGCGTACGAAGCACTGGTGGGAGTTCTTCCAGATCTTCACCATGCTTGGTGCATTCGGGCTCTTGTTCAACGTCATTCTGAAGCTGTTTCGGCAAATTCTCCGAAACTGAGGTCGTGACTAGCAAGACACTGTTCGAGATGGACACAAGGACGGGGACAGCCCGCTGACTTTGTGGCTCAGCCCTGTCTGTGGCCTTCGGGGGGATCCCACTGCTGGGTTATTGAAGTGTCATGAAGTTGCTTGTCCGCCTGGACTTGGATAGCCCTGGAAGAATGCCCCAATGGGTGTCATGAACTTGCACACACCATGATAATGAAGGCCGCAAGCACCATCTGGGTGATTGATACATCTCGTGAGAATGCCTTGTCTCGAGCACCGTGACGGAGTGCATGACACGGTGGATGACTTTTGACCGAGCCTCGAACGAGGAAGGCTGCCCAGGAGACGGCCCCATTCGCATTTCACCTCCTTCTTCATATATGCACTTGACCTATATTTAATAGCCTGTTTTTCTTCTTCCTTTTTTCCCCGAACCACGATGCGGCTCTGTAATGCCCACGCCCCTCCTACCTCGCAAGAGGCACCTCCCGGCCAGTTGTGGCACTCTCCTTGGCCGCCTCAATGATGCGCAGCACATCCGCCGCCTGGGTCGCTGGCACGGGGACGTCCTCCTCCTTGCCGCTAGCCAAGGCCCGTGCAAAGAGCTCGTAGAACCGGGCATATGTCTGGGGCGGGGTGATGTTTGGCAGCGCGCGCTCCTCGAGCTTCCCGTCGTCCGCCACCGTGACCAGCCGGGCCGCGCAGCTGTCGTCGTCCTCGAGCCCGAACTGCGCGTCGCCGACCTTCATCCCGCTCCTGAGCTGGGGCTCCTGCGTGTCGAGCCCCGTCTTGTAGTAGCTGCCCTTTGTGCCGCGGATCCAGAACCGGGGCTGGCGCGTCTCGGCGCTGTGCACGGTCGCGCTGGCCCGGACCGTGAGACCCCCGCGGGAAGGGTAGTAGAGCGTCACGACGATGCTGTCGGGCTCCATCTCCTCGGCGGTGGCGGTGGTGGCGTCCACGAGCATACCGTCCCGCTGCACCGAGAACTTTGCGTAGACGCTGCCGGGGAGGCCGAAGAGCACGTAGACCTGGTCGAGCAGGTGCGAGCCCAGGTCGTAGAGCACGCCGCCGCCCTGGCTCATGGGCAGGGTGCCCTTCCAATTTGTCGGCTTGTCCGGGCGGTAGCGCTCAAAGTACGTGTTGAACTCGACGACGCGGCCAATGTCGGCGTCCACCACCGCCGAGGAGCCGGACTGGCTCTTGTCCTTGTTGCCACTGTTGGCGAGGAGCTGCTGCACCGTGAGGAAGTCGCTGTCCCAGCGGCGGTTCTGGTACACGCAGATGAGCCGGCCGGCCTCGCGGCTCTGCTTGATGAGTTCCTCGGCCTCGCGCACGGTCGGGACAAAGGGCTTCTCCACAAAGACGTGCTTGCCGGCCGCGAGGGCCTGCTGGGCGAAAGAGAAGTGCGTGCCGGGCGGGGTCGAGAGGACGACGACGTCGAGACTGGAGTCGGCGAGGAACTCGTCGAGGCTGGTGAAGTGCTTGGCCTCCGGGTGGTCCTCTGGCGCCGAGTCGCCGGACTTGGGGCTGCGCTGGAGGATCGAGTGGAGCCTGAGGGTCGGGGTGACCTGGATGAAGGGGATGTGGAAGACCTTGGCCGACAGGCTTTGGGATTGTGAATGTGTCAGTCTGGGCAAGCCGGGATTGAGGGTTGCTGGTGTTGTAAAACTCACCCGTAGCCAATGATGCCCACGTTGAATGTCTTTGCTTGGCCCGCCATCATTGCAGCTGTTGGGATGGTGGTGATGGGATGTCGGGATGTCGTCTGCGTCCAAAGTGTGCGGGGTGCGGGACTGTGGGTTGTGGAGGTGGTAGTGAGGGGGAGGAGCCTCCAAATTTCAAACGGCGAAAAGCTGGGTGGGCTACTTTAAGTATTTGGGCAGTGTCCACGCCTTCCACGAGACCAATGATTAAAAGTATCGAGCACAGAAAGATCGACCGACGAGATGGAGCTCGAGCTCAACGGAGCTCTCGCCGGTGACACATCTCCCACAGCTGATTAATGCATTCAACATGTCGTCAATGTGGCTCCTCCTTGGCCGTCACCGAGAGCCACGATGCACGCTTGTGTGCGGAGAAGCGCCGAGGATTGGCCCGAACACGGGGCGGAGGCATTCGTCGCTTAGAGCCTTGGCAGGCCGTTCTACGCAAGCGAGCCTGCGGCTAGAATGACTCAATGCACACGTCCCGTCTGCTCCTGGCTCGAGTTTGCTGTCGTCAACTGCGCCGAGTGTCCGGCACCGAGCGGTTCCCCGGAATTGCCCTCCCTGGCAGCTCCGGCCGGGGTGCCCGGGGCACTTCCAGCACACCACAAGCGGCACGGCGCCGCCGCAGCGCCGGGGGAAAGTGCAATCCACTTACGCTAGTACGTAATGGCCAGACAAAAGCCCCGTGGCGCAGAGGCAACACGAATGTCCTCTTCCAGGTATTTTCAAGATGGCGCTTTAGCCTCGACACTCTTGATCCGATGTACATGTGCCCTGGTTGCTGCCTTGGCCGGCTCCTGTCCTGCCCGCTCTTGATACCTCTCTCCAATACGGCCTCCGCATCTCACGCGCCCAACAACAATCTCCCCATCGCCGCCTTCCCCCCTCCTTTTCACGCCTTTCCGAGGAGCCCTTCCATCATTGAAGTTGGATGATCTGCAGAAAAGGGTCAGCATATGCTTGCGAAGGTCGTCAAAGCTGTGTTCCTTACAATGTTTTGTCCTGGAGACGCGCCGGCCTCCGCCCGAGCCGCGGTGATCAGGTGATTGATGGCGCCTTCGACAGTACTGCCTGCCTTGGGACGAATTTCAACGGTAGTACCACTGGCGTCCTTGATCATTATGCTGATAGTGGAGGGCGGCACGTCCGCGTCGTTGGCAGCCACGTCCGGCGGATCCAAAGGCAGGAGACGGATCGGCCCCCACGCCGACTCCAGGTTTGGGACAATCGTTTTCCGCGCCTCGCGATAGCACTGATGGAATTGACGGTTGTCGATGCGCTGGGCACTAGGAAACGCGTGCTGACTGAGCTGCGCCTTGTAGGCCTCCGCTAGGGGTCCAAATATGCCCACCTCGAGAGGCTGGAGCACATGGGCGACGTGCGGTGGCAGGCAGAGGGGAAGGATCTTGTGGTCCTGGCAGAACTCTGCGAACTCGACGGTTGTATGGCTGCCGTGCCCGGCAAGGATCAGGACGCGGTGTTCTCCTTGTAGACGCTCTGACGTGATTTTGTCAAAATGCCGTAACCACTCCAGAGCAATCTCGTTGGTCGCCCAGCCATTAGGAGAGACTTGGGTGACAGTGTTGTCACCGAGACCCCCGTCGAGCCATCCCTCGATGACCTGCTTGCCCTCGAATATGACAAAGGGCGGCAAAACGTGGTCCTGGCCGATGCATTCGATAAATGAAATCCATTCGCGATTCCCGGCGGATTGTGCAGAGAGGGCCTCCTTAGAGTTGCGATGTGTGAAGACTGGTACCTCCTCACCCACTCCTCTCATGAGCACGCCTCTCTCATCCATGTTGTATATGTCGGCATCTTTGACGTTGTATTTTGCAACAGTGTCGCGGTACAATTTGAGCCCATGATTGAGAGTCTCTGGGGATGGGATGTCCTGCCGAGCGTGCTCCGTCCTGCGGTCCAGGATGGGCTTCAGGTGCGGGTTCCGCTTCAGAAACTTGAGGTACCAGTTGGGCCCCAGGGGCGCGGTGTCGCCCTTACGCTGGAGCAGTTCGGTTGCGAAGCACTCGATGGCCTTGATCGACACTGGCTAGCCCCACTGCTTCATCTGGAGGACGGCGTTGCTCAGGGATTCTTCCTAGTGGGGCGTCAAGCGCTGGAGCAGCGCCCGGGCGCGAGAAGCAGACCCGCGGCCGGCGAAACGGTGGTGGAGTGTGGATCGCGGGATGCCAAAGAGGGCAGCGGCCTTGTTCACCGACGCAACTTCACCCGCCGCGAGCGCGGCAAGGGCGCGCTGCATCTGGTCCTCGTCAACCATCGCGGCCCGTACCTGTAAAGAGAAGGTCGCGCCCGACACGACTCTCTCGTCCGAATTCTCTGTATGATTTCCCCTGCGTTGCTTTTCTCCAGTTGTTTAAAAGTGACTTGTTGTTTACGTCGCGAGAAAAAGGAAGCTCGAGCCAAGGTGTCCCGCCAGCCAGGGGCCATGACCTGGAAGCTTGAGGTGCGCCATGTACCTGGACTCTATGGAAGGGCAGCCATTCCAACGCGTTCTTGCCTGTCTTTGAAGATTCAAAGCAATTAGAATGGTCTCTTGAGTCTATCTACCCTTGGGCGATGACAGCCAGGCCTAAATCAATGGCCGTGTGTAATCCAATCCAGTGAGATGTAAAAGAGTCAATGTGTGTGCGGTCGCGAGCTCAAGCTCATGGGAGGGCCCCACTCAGCCCGCCCCAAGCACCTTCCCCAAAATTTCGTCTGGGGGTCACAAAGAAAGCCCGACCTCCCAAAGCTTAACCCCACCATTTTCCTCGGGAGCCTTTCTAAACGACATCATCGCCCTCCGGCCCAGGACCGCTCCACGAAGGCGAAACGCACTTCATCTCGTCTTCCTGGTGGCACGCCCCTCAACCCGCTGCTTTGCGCCAGCCGCGTTGCCTGTTGATCGCCAGAGGATGGACGGTCGCCCCCTCTGTCACTGCCAGAGCCCCGACATCGGCTCCTCCGAATTATCTTTCCCTGCGCCGCCAACGAGCATGCTCATCACAGAGCAAGGCGACCAGACATGATTCCAAGGCTGTTGTCGCGGACCCCCCGGCAAAGCCTCCCGCGCGATACACTGTGTCGGCTCTTCACCACGACTGCACGCCGCCTCGAGATACGCGATGCTCGCTCCCTCCCCACCCGCATCCAGCCAGCCTACAAGGAGAGCTCGACATCCTCCCTTCTCTCTCTCCACTGGCCAGAGCCGCCCCGAAACGTCCTCATCGTCCCCAAGCTACTGTCGCCAAAGGTCAACGAGTCCGCCGTCGCTTTCGCTCGCCACATACAGACCGAATACCCGAATCTCAACCTCATCTTTGAGCGGCGCGTCGCCGAAGAGATCCACGACTCTCTGCCGCAACCTATCTACACCTCAGAGCCCGCCCACTTCCCCAGCAGGATCGACGTCGTGGCCACTCTTGGAGGCGATGGCACCATCCTGCGGGCCGCCAGTCTCTTTAGCCTCCACGAGTCCGTCCCTCCCGTGCTTGCCTTCAGCATGGGCACGCTGGGCTTTCTCGGCGAATGGAAGTTTGACGAGTTCAAGCGCGCCTGGCGCGAAGTGTACATGAGCGGCAGCAAGGTTGCTGTTAGCGACCTGCAGGATCCCCATACACAGACAGCCGCTGGTGCTCGCAAGCATCCCAAGGACGAGGCCGAAAACCTACATGTCGCCTGGGACCATGTACGCGGCAAGAGCCTCGGCACCGCACGCTCGAGCAAAATCCTCTTGCGCAATAGACTAAAGGTCGGGATATATGATCAGAATGGTATCAACGTCAACGAGCAGCTCATGCCGACCTCAACCGCCGAGCTCCACCAGCCTCTTCCCCCCGTGCCCCCAGAGCACAAACAGCTGTCCAGCTCTGGCCAGCCCCTGGCGCCGGCCTTTCATGCCATCAACGAACTTGTCATACATCGCGGACCGAACCCCCATCTCGCCATTATTGACGTCTTTGTCGACAACCACTTCCTGACCGAGGCCGTGGCCGACGGTATTCTCGTCAGCACCCCGACAGGCTCCACCGCGTACTCCTTGTCTGCTGGTGGTAGTATCATGCATCCACTAGTCAAGGCTCTTCTCATCACACCCATCTGTGCACGAAGTTTGAGCTTCCGCCCCCTCGGGCTTCCTCTCAGCACCAAAGTCGTGCTCAAGATCAGCGAGAAGAATCGCGGGCGCGAGCTGGAAGTCAGCATTGATGGCAAGAGGACAGCCGGCGTCACTATTGGCATGGAAATCCGCATAGAAGGCGAGATGGTCGGGCCTCGCGTCCACGGAGAGGGCAGCTGGAATGGTGGTGTGCCTTGTGTGATCCGCACTCCACCACATGGTGGCAACAATAGAGATGGCATTGCAGAGGACGACGACGGCTGGGTCGGCGGCCTCAATGGCTTGCTCAAATTCAACTACCCATTTGGCGAGTGACTTGTCCGCTACGCGCTCGCTATCCTCAGAAACCTCCTCCGTCACATGCGATGGAATCTGCAGCGCCGGCATGCCATAACATGGCACTGCCGACATTCATAAATGAACTGCGGCATCAGATGGAAGCACTCTTCGCATCGCCGAGGGCCTGGCCTACCTCGCCACCGTTCATGGGTGCATTCATGGTTGATCCTGAGATCTTCCATGAGTGCCGCAATCCGCGGATTTGGCCTTTCGCGAGCCACCTCTTGCGCAACTTGAGGGGCTTCTATGATCACGGGGTTGTGCTGTGGCGCGGCAACTTCTCCTTGGCCCACTGCTCCCTCCACTGCTCCCTCCACTGCTCTATCTGGAGCTTCTTCTGGGACGCGGGGATGGTGTCGTGCGTCAATCTCAGCAGCACGTTCGAAAAGACGGCGTTCGTCCCATTGGTCGCATTGGCAAGTTTTCCACTCTGCGCCGCATACGTAGCAGAATTGAAACCCACAACGACAGCTATCACATGCGTGTGTTAGTGTCAACCCGATCTGGCCCCGCTGCCAAAACTAACGAGCCCAACATACCTCATGTGATTGCAACCCATGCTGAGGTCCACCATGCTCCAACATTGCTGGCAACGCTGCCAGCCTTGCTGTCTCGCAAGCTCAATGACACTTTGCAGCGCATCGTCGTTGGGGCAGTCGCCGCCGTGTGCGGCTTGCTTGCAGGTCGTGCAGGTCTGACGCGCACACAGGGTGCAAGTGGCGACGGCGTTGAGACAGTGTGAGGGCGGGACGAACGCGGCGCAGGACGGGTCGTGACAGTAGGTGCGGCGAGGAGTAGAGAATTCGACTGCTTTGAACTCAAACTCGCGCACGAGATTGCCCGTGAGGAAAAGGCGTATCTGGTGACCTGGCCGAATCGCCAGCTTGCAGCATCGTGGCGGGAAGTAGACCTCATCCGTGATTGCATGGCGGAACAGCTGCTGCAGACAGTCGCGGCAGTACTCGTGCTTGCACGGCACGGTGGCCAGCTCTGCGTGATGCTTGCGTTCCATGCACGAGTTGCACTGGTGCATTGGGTCTTTGTGTCCCGATGTTGTTTGGCGCTGCAGCTGAGGCGCTCTTCCTGCCTCGCGTGAGGCTGCCCATGCAGAGCTCTCCGGCTGGTCTCCGGCGAAGCTCGAAGTCTCGTTGTCGTCGTTGTCGTGACGAGCTTCGATGTCGTCTGTATGCTGCGCCGCGACGTAGAGATGTGCCATCTTCTCAATCAGCTGCTCGTAGTCGTCAGTGTCGGATGCGCCTGAGCCCTCCTCCTTATTCTCGACAGCTGATCCTGCAGCTGCACCACCATGACTGCCGCTCAGCGAGATGGACAGGTCTCGGTCATGGGTAGCCATCCGCTCTTGCCTTTGTGCTAGCACACAGGCTTCTCCATCAAGGCGGACGGCAGTCTGGAGGCTCCGGGTCATGATCCGGTCTGCGACGAGCGTCTCGGCCTTCTGGACCTCTTCCTCGAGGAAGAGGCGCATTGCCATCTGGTTGTCCGTCTCGGCGCCGGCCACCTGCTTGCCCTTGCCAACCATATCTGCCACCGCGTTCTGGCTGTCCTCATGGAGGAGTTGCAGGATGAGGGCTGCCGTGGCGTCGTCCATGGAGGACATGTTGGGAGGTGTGTCGTGCTGCATTTTGTTTGGTATGTTCTGGCTTCTCGCTAGGAGTTTGCGCTTTGGGTATGATGGTCGTCTGCCGCTCAGTCTCTGCTATTGCTGCGTAATGAGCATGGATAGTTCGGAATGTACAGCATTGATAGCGAGAATAGTAGAGAAAGTGGTTGAAAATACCAGAGGTTGTGGACGGAGCAGAAGCCTGTTGCAAACGAGCCGTTGATTAGCCCTGTGTAGAGGCGTGCACCCAAATCCAGTGAGCATGCGGCTACTGCATGCGGGAGGCCGACCACCATGTGCTGTGGCGTATTGAAGAATGCTCTGCAGGCCTCTCCTCTGATGCGGTCATTGCACCAGCTGTCTGCGATGGGTACCTGCAGCGTGACCAAGCCGTGAAGGCCACAGCGGCGGCACTCGTACTACACTCAGATTGGCATCACATCCTGGCCCCTGTCACTATCAGATCCGGATCACCAGTCTGCGTGTCCACACTCATGGTTGGGCTTGGAGGCGCGCCGGACTGTCACCTCCGTCTGGAGTGCACTGTACGGCTTGAGCAGCTTCTGTTGTCGATACGTTGTTTGGCAGAGAGGGACAAGTCGACAGTGCCTACAGCGTTGACCGAGCCGTCAGATTATACGGGCGACACTCGCATACTCAGACTGGAGCTGGATAGCGGGCATTGGACAACATGCCGATAACTAGTAGACCTAGAATTGGCCTGGGGTCGCGCTTTGAGGCGAATCTCGCAAGTCGCTTACAGAGCCCAAAGCATTCGAACGATGGTTGGATATACAACTACGTAGAGGGAAACAAAAGATACGTGCAACAGAAAATGCTACGCTCCAGCGAACGCCAGGGCATCCTATGTCTTCTCCATCCACTTGGTTTCCCAATATTCTGCAATCTCCCTAGCGCGCTGAGCCAAGATGGACTGTTGTATCCTTTTTTTTTGACCTTGGTATACTGTATCAGAGTGGTTCTCGTACATCAACAATCACAGTCAATATGTGTCGCGGATTCGATACGAATGTGTCGTCACACCCCTTGACTCGCCGGCTTTGGCGCATCAGTCCGTCCCACCGTCCCCGTTGCTCCCTCTCTCTACCTCCGTATTCTGCATTGCTCAGTATTCGTAAACGCACCGGAGACTCTCGTACCGATTGAGATTCCCGGCACAATGATCGTACTCTCCCCCTTGGACTGCTCCTGTGCAGTCCCGGCCGCTGTAGAATCTGCAGCGGAGCACGGTATCGGCCACCTCGCCCCACGAGACTGCATTGGCCGAATGGGTGCCGCTGTACTGGTAGTTGTAGCATCTAGAGGGCTGAATGGTGAACTCGACATTGTACTTGGTGCACTGGTAGTCGGTGTAGTATTGAATCTTGATTGATAAATCCTGTGCGTCGATTCCCACCTCGGCATCGGCGACCTCGAGATTATGCGTCATCGTGTTCGACATTGTGAGGAGAGGCGCAGGAGCTGGAACGGGAACAGGGCCGGCCATTGTGAGGGCCCAGAACAGACTTAAAGTCTGGATGAAGTGAATAACCTGCATCTTGGTACTAAGTGGTCAGTGGTTGGTATTTGTTAGTGAAGAACGGAGATGACACGACATCGGACAGCTTACCAACCAACACCTTTTAGTAACAATGTGAGCTCCAGATATTAGTGGCTGAAGATGCGTTTCTAAGAGCAAAAGATTTCAAGATTTGAAGGGAACAGGTAGGTTTATAGCGATCCACACAGGTGACGTCGGCTCAGGGCCACAGCCTTGCATTGATTTGCTGGCGTCATTACCAGCGAGAAGATAGATGATGCCAGCAAACGGCATGAAGGTTGACGCCAACTAATGGCTGACGCCAAACACTCCCATTGGTACATTACCAATTCACAGGCCGGGCAGATTGCCCAGATCAGGGTTTGGCGCAGAGAGCAGTATTTCATGAGTCAAGATCATCACAATGTTCTTCTCTAGCCCGCCAGTACACCACCAATTACTGCCCAGGAAGGTAAGCAGTACTCAACACATTCTGAATTCTTGCATATGACATCTGAAACCGTGGTGCATTCGACAGATGATGCCCCTTCCCACACCATCTCTCACAGTCGTAACGACATTATTCTTTGTGTTGTTATCGCTGGCTCCACTATTAAAATGGCGCGGCCTAGAATCTGGGTATGGGCTCCCACAAGTATGCTTGCACCTCACTGGGAAAATACCACCGAGACTGATAGACCTTGATACGTGGAACATTATTCCAAGCTCGAGTTATGAAGAGCTCAGCTAGCCACGGCCTGGCGCCGGTGGTAAGCATGAACGACTAGCGGCACAGTTCACTGAATCCACAATAAGGCCCGGTCTGCTTCAACAAATTGAAGCCTCTGCCCGGTTAGCTCAATCGGTAGAGCGTGAGACTCTTAATCTCAAGGTTGCGGGTTCGACCCCCGCATCGGGCTCAATTCCCGATGCGCTCCTGATCACAGGAGCATGTCAACTCTTTCTTTTTTTTTTGGTCGATTCGTCATCGGCTTTCCCAGTTTGCGCAGGCTATATACTTGGTGTCGCCCAAGCCTGATTGCCTTGTTGGTCTTCTGGGTGGTTGAGCCGCCAATCACGGACGCTACTGGATCCACTTTTTGCTTTCCGCGCAGCGACCTGCGACCAGCGCTTCGGTCGACCTGGAACAGTGATAGGATACTCGTACTCATCCAGAGTAGGTGTGGAATTTAATCCACATAACTGGGCTTGCCTGCGGCCCTCCGGTACAAAGTTGAACGAATGACTGTGTCTCAAACATGGGACATTATAGCCGTGATCGAGTATCAGGCAGAAGTTCGCACAGGTGGAATACATTGGCTCTTGCTGGACACTGGACACTCGAGCCTTGAGCCTAGTCTGTGGTCCGTGCCTGTGTTATCCCCCTTCCCTCCTTAGAGTACAGGAAAAAATTCAACCTCCTCGCCAAACCTTCCAGTACGTCAGTCTTCATTCCTGTGTGAATTTGACCACAAAAATAAGCCGGAACCAGCATGTGACCCAGAACCCACGTAATGATCGAGCCGCATCTCATACCCTTTTGTCTCCCACCAGGAAGACCCACAGGCATACCATCCACCATATCGCTCCGGGGCGCAGCTGAAGAGCGACAATGACTTCCTGCGTTTCAACTATGTTCAGACTGATCCCCCAATCTGGTACTTGGAAGGCAAATCCCCAGCATGAGTAGCCATCACTTCCACTCCACAGATCGAGGGAAATCTCGAGCCACTTTTCAAGCCCACACCGGCTGGTGGTGACTGGCACAAGATTGCAAAGCTCCCTGTGACCCAATCCCCAGTCTAGGCGATCGATATTGCCAGCGAGGACCTCGACCAGCTGGAAAGGTTTTGGTACTTCACGCATACGCAAGTCTGTGAGGAAGAGGGAGCTGAATGGGTCGCTTGCGGAGACAATAACGAGAACGAGCGGCCGGCTCCTGCTATTGGGTAGCGGGGCGGCCGTGATGGCCCTGATGCGGATTTGTAGTTGCTTATGAGATGCTGTGGAGAAGAGCGGCCGTAAGAAGCACGGCTAGAAGCTGACGGTTACGCCATCTCTTGGTGATGAGTTCGTTGCGGTGAGGGACTGCGTAGATGACGAGTTGTAGCTATCGTTTTGGTTTATAGTAGAAGTGGGGCCAACTCCAGAATATAGCTGTTCATGCCTGGCTCATGAGTAACGGCGAGGATCTCATCAAAGCCAAGGATTACGAACCACCGTTGCACTGAAGTGCATGCAGTCCCCGGTATCGACCTTATCGACCTTATCGACTGCAAGAGCGGGAGCGAGATTTGCCCGTGGCGGGAGTGGCCAATCGGGGTCGGTCCGCACGTCTACGCGCCGCCCTCACTGTCCTGGGCCTCGTTCACGCTGCCAACCAACACTCCAGAGCAACCACGGGCGGGCCACCACTGCGACATTCGCTGTCCCTCGTTCGTTTCGCCCCTCCCGACACCAACCCACCCCGCTCGCGTTGCCTACTTGACGTCCTCACCACCGTGGCTGGTGTTGTCTCAGTGTCTCCCGCTACGTCCTGCAGGAATCTCTCAAATCGACAGCATATACTGTTTCATCAGCTCCCTGTCGCCATTTTCAAAATTGCCGTCGGCCTTCAGCACATACCCCGCATTTGCAAAACGGAATCCTTCCTCGAAATCCTCAAGTCGCGTATGGCGGATAAACTACCAGCAAGCAGCCCTCGCACGCGCTAACCATTCAGTCAACCAAATCCAGGGCTCAATCATGCCCCAAGCCGTCGCAGACCTACAACCTGTAGGCGATAACATGTCCCTACGCGACATACAACGATCGATGAAGAAGGACCCAGACGGACAAGGTATAAGTGCATTGGGCTACGATGGTGTGCTCCGTACTTTTGACACCGAGCGGAATATCCTTGATGCAGTTGGCCTCAACCCAGCCCAGATCAGAGAATATTACGATGGTCTACCGATGCCCGAGAGATTCCTCACCGCCGACGGCCGTAACATATCCCGTTGGGATATGTACCACCCCGATGCAGAAAATATTCCCAGGAAGTTTACAGAGGAGGATAAAGCCAAAATGCTGGCACATAACGAGGAGGTGGACAGGCGCGGAGTTACAAGCTGTGCTCCGCGTGCTTCACAAGACGGCTGTAAACCGAGTTCAAGATAGTTCCTTTCGCTTTTCATTATTGTGGAGTGTTTATCATTCTATCATCTCTCGCGCTCTTTCCTGTGCATTTGTCTTGTGATACTGTGCGTGTGGCTCCGTGGGCGGTTCAAGGGTACTTCTCTTCGCATAACTGGTGTTGTCCGCACAAGTGGACTTGTGGGCCACACCCCGAGTACAAAGCATTCGCTGTCCCCAACATCCTGGCGTGTAGAACCCACTATTACTCTTCCTTCCGTCTCTCGTCTCCAACGTCTACGGGTTGGAGCACAAAAGAAAGCAAGGAAAACCACCATGGCAGATCAACAAGAAGACCAGCCTCCATACCCGTCTTGGGAAGAGCTCTGGGATCGGCATGAAAATGCACCAGGCCAGACCGTAGAAGAGGTCATGGCCCGACCTCCTCTGCCCCGGTTTGCCGAATACACTTACCGCCTCTTCTGGCACTTTCGCGACGACTTCCCAGCCTGCATCTCCGTCGCCCTCGTCGAGCGGGTCGAAGAGGATGCTGAGCCATTCTTCAAACCTTTCGAGGATGGCGCCGCTGGCGACGGCGGCACGTGGCACGAGATTGCAGACTGGCCCCTGACCGAGCCCAAGGTCTCGTCGATCAACGCCTCCAGCTACGACCTCGAACAGCTGGAGGGCGATTGGGTCGCTACGCACCAGGAACATTGTGGGGATAATGGCGAATGGGTGAATTACGGGGAGCTTGGCCGCAGCGACATAAAGCCGACCATCAGGGAGAGGGAACCTCCTGATTGGACCTGCAGGGGTGATACAAAGTGTCTCGTGCGATGTTGTGGAGAGGATCGGCCGGTAGGGAAAAAGGGCCAGAAGGTGACCGTGACACCCTCTCCCAGCCATGACTTCGTGACGGTCAAGGACTACCTCAGCAGCAAGTTCGAAACATGTTTTCTCCGCCTCATTCCTACCTCGACGTATCCAGCTAACACTATATAAAATATTGTAAGCCGTGCATCCCTGGCTCATAAGCAAGCGTAGCGACATTATGTATGCGAAGACAGTCGCGCAAGAGATGCCGGAGCTTGATGCTGAGTCTCTAGAGTGGATGACTCAGCGTGGCCCGGGACATGAGACTATACTAAAACGGTGGTATGTTAGAAAGCCGAAAGGGAAAGGCAAGACAGTTCTCGTCGTGCCTATTAATGGCTGAGGGAGTAACATTACGAGCAATCCGACAGGCAGCCCACCTCAGGTGTATACTATGGTTGAAGTCTGGGTGGTCTCTCTCCCACACGGCTCGTCCAATATTTTCACAGAAGTATGCAAAGAAGGCCGGGACGTTATGCCAATGCGTTATAATAGACTCTATATACTGGTGTTCCGAGCACGAAGCCCGCAAATGATATATATAGAAATAGTGAATTGAAGAGGACAATCCCGGTTTGTCTGAGCACACCCACGGGCTAGACACTTCTCCCACCCCCTTCATCGTCGTCAGCATCACCATCGAGTCATGTCATCATCCATATTCCTGCATGATGAAGGGAAACCCCCAGCATAGCTCCTGAGGAGGAACAACTAGCAGCCCCCACTCATCCTCGCCGCGTAGCAAGTCCTACACAAAGACCGAGACTTTGCTTAGGACTTGTTGGTGTTGATCCAGGTGACGAACTGGCCGATGCGAGTGTAGACGCCGTAGGCGTTGGGACGAGCGCAGCCATCACCCCAGGACACGAGGCCGATCAGAGTCTTGGAGGAGTCGACGATGGGGCCGCCAGAGTCGCCCTGGCAAGAGTCCTTGCCACCGGCGGCGAGGCCGGCGCAGATCATGGAGGTGGTAACGGACGAGGCGCCGTACGCGGCCTGGCAGGTGGCCCGGCTGACGACGGGGACAGTGACCTTGCGCAGGGCGGTCGGGAGGGAGCCGCTGCCCTCAGAGGTGGTACCCCTTTGAGAAAGGAATGGCGTTAGTTGTTACACTTGGCATACGCAGGGGTCAAATGGTGCTGAAAGTGGACGAGAGAAAGCTTACCATCCGGCGGTGACAGCCGAAGAGCCAGCGGCGGGATCAGAGCCCTGAGCAGGAAGGGTGACGTAGCCGATGGTGGAGCTGGTCGGGATAGCAGTCGACAGGCGCCAGAGGGCAACGTCGTTGTCGGTAGTGCCACTGTTGTAGCTTGGGTGCACCAGGATGCGGGAGACGCCAACCTGGGTGCCACCAGAGTTGCGGTTCTGGAGGAAGGGAAGTGGTTAGATCAGGGCCGTCAGGCTTTCTAAAGTGCCCCTCGTAGGGTGATGTGGTAAGGCTTACGAGAGAGCCGGCGCGGACGCGGACGGAAGAGGCAGACTGGCCAACGGAGCAGTGGGCAGCAGTAATCACGGTGTTGGCATTGAGCAAGACACCGCCGCAGAAGTGGGAGCCCCCCTGGGACAGAGAGACGATGAAGGGGAAATCTCCAGCGCTGGCAGCCTCACCACCAACAATGCTGATGGACGAGGTACCCTCATCAACCTCATCGCGGGCCTCGGGGACCGGGAAGGGCTTGGTGGTGGGAGCCGCAGAGGCAATGGCCGGGAGAACCGCCAGGACCGCGGCAAGCTTAGTAAGAGCAAGCATGATGAAGGTGGGGGAATGATATCCGTAGGCGAGGATGAGGATGGCTTGACTGATGAGGGTAGTGAGCTGTCTAGATTCTGGGTGGAATGCCAGGCGATCACCGGCTGGTTATATATCTCGACGATCACGGCTGAGGAGACTACAAGGGACATATCATGATGATCTTCAGGCACAGCCGGTTTGTTTCTTGCGCAGACCCGCAGATCAGCGCTATCAATGGGTCGTATTGAAGCATGTAGTGGTTGGAAAGAGAAGGTCGCAGCCATCACAGGCAAGAGGCGCCTGTGTACTACGACTGCGACCGCGACTTGGAGAGTTGGGCCAAGGTGTTGCCCATGCATCGCCAGCAGGCACGCATCCGCACGGGCTGTGCAGGGCGAACGAGAGTGCTTGCTCGTATGCGGGGGAGCCATGCCAGGGTGGTATTGTATGGGTACGTACAAGAGCCCAGAACCAAGTACCGAGAGGATCAGTGAACTGACTGACGGGAAGGGTAGTTGCTAAGCATTCTGCTCTCGAAGAACCTTGATGGGGGAAATGCTACAGGGCAGCAAAGAACCTCGAGCCCTGCAGCGCCAAGCCGAAGGGAGGTCACGATCAACCGCCGGTAATCGGCCGACAGACAGGACTATTATGTTGATTCGCGCGAGGCGATTAAGCTCTTGGACGAATAGAGGTGCATGCATCGCAGGGCTCGTTCCTCAGAGAGGCAGGTCAGTCGACCTGGTACCCCTGCAATGATCTGACCTTCTGGCGAATCAGCTGGCCGTGGGACCACCGGGTCGAGCGGCAGTGGCACCCAAGGCATGGGTCTGGAGGGTATTGCCGCCAATGAGCATTGTCTGGAGGGCCGCGGCAGATGTTGCGTGCGGAGGATTGACGATCAACGTTGTTTATTCCGAACAGGGGGCAGAGGCAATAAGCTCAGCCGGCTTCGCGAAAGAGCGCAAAAGGGGAAGTCGAGATGGACGCCCCTGGGACTACGCGCCATCGCGCCAGCCAAGCAAGTATAACAACATACTCCACGTCTCTTCCGGGCAGGTCAAGAGAAGCTTGGCGTTTCTGAATGCTTCGCAAGCGGGATATCATCATCGAGCTCAATGGTGATTCGTGCAGGTGTCAAGCGGTAGCCGTCGACCCCAGTGGGCAGACATCCTTCCAATCGCTTTGGGCCAGCCACGCGGCGAATTTGGGCGGTCATTGGGGTCGTCAGTCGTCACGACATCATAGTGATCATGTTTGCGAACGGCGGCTTGTCCGCGTAGCTCACCACGTTGAGTTTCTCAACCACGAGAACCACCCTGGTTCAATCAGATAATAACTCCTCTCTGCCTCAGTACCTGTATATGCATTCTGTGGCTCATTACAAGACTCAGCCAAACTATCAGTATGCAGCCCTGGATGAGCGACTCCCACATCGAAGTGTCCCAGGACCGTGAAGCACACGGCGAGGTAATCATGCAAACACATGAGCACCAACCATTGAACGATGCACCTGGACTGCTGTAACCGCCTAGTGACCCATGACGGGGTAGGTGTCTTGGCGTGGAGGTTTCGCGGCAATGATGTGCGGGCTCTTTTGCCAGTGGAGCCACCGAACCTGCAAGGGTTGGTGAGTAGCAGGCCAGGCATGCTAATCCGTGCTGCCCCCGCCTGACGTGGCCCAGACCCTGGCCCTTTGTGATAAGCCTGTGCCATACTCATGCCTGCCTGCGGCACTGTAGCATCAGAAGTGGGAGAGGAAGTGCCTGCTGTGAATGATTGCTTCGTAGGGAAAATGCATGATGACAGCCCAATGTGCCAATTCGGGAGCTGGAAGGCGCAGCTCGCAGTTAGATGATGCTTCAGGGCCGGTTTGCCACATGAAGGCATTCAGGAGTAAAGAAAGCTTGTGCGGTACAAGCTCGCGTCAGGGTCACGGCATCAAGAAAGAGCTCATGCACGTGATGCACGTGATGCACCGCGCGGAAGCCATTTAAATTCGACCTGTGTTGAGCGCTGGATTCAAGCTCCCCCTACTAGAGAGAGCCCCGTCGTATGGTACGTATCCCAAGCGTTGATGCTCCAGTGGGGGCATCATGACTGGCCAGAAGGAAAATGATTCCCCAGAACCAAGACCCAAAACTGCCTGCAGAACGCCGTATGCCTTCTCTTATGAAAAACTACTTAACGGCTACTGCCGCTGGGTTGAGTTGGGGGGTGGGGAAGGAGGGGGGGGGAGAGCGCTGCTCAATCACGACGGAACGGGATTTGGCGATATTCATATACCATGGTCGAGCATCAGAGGAAGGCCCAGAATAGACCTAAAGTACTTGAGATATCCTAGATGACTGAGTCTCTCAACGAATTATGTAAGCAAGGCAGCAAGCATCAAGAATCACCACGTCGGTGTTCCCCCTGCGAAATCCCCTCGCGCCACATGATCCGTCACAGCTTCCAGAGGTGTGTCGATGTGAACAGCCTTCTTGACGGCAGCAGGCATCACGGTTCCCAATCACAAGAACGTGACCTTGCCCTCGGGCACATCGTGTGGGATAATGGCGAACAATACCACCCGAAGCGATCGTGCTCCAGCGAGCCTCTGCACAATCCCTACAGAGCTCTTCGAGCAGATCCTCACGCATCTCCCTTTCGACCACTCTACAGTTCAGGCACTGCGCCTCGTCTGCCCCCGCCACGACGAGCTCATCTTGCGCCGTCTCTTTCGGCGCATCTCCATATCCGCACTCAAGCGGTCCCGCGAGACATTCCTCAACATCGCCTCCCGCCCACACATCGCCAAGCACGTTCGGGAGCTAGTATGGTTTGACCTCCCCGGCACGGTTCTCAGCAAGCGCTCGGAGCATTCAATCCGGAATGCTTCAGTCGACGACGTAGATTCGCAGGACCCAGAGCACTCATGGGAGGAGGCCGACCACCGGGCGACAGAGCGCGCGCTACACGCCCAAATGGCCCAGGCGTGCTGGATGAAGAGCTACGGCAGTCAGAGTGAGGCCGCTGAGGACCCCTTTGCGAGTGAGTGGCAGAACGTATTTGATGAGTTTTGCGGGTGGTTTTTGCCTGCCCTGAAAAATATGCCGCTGCTGAGTACGGTCGTGGCGCACCGGGTGGACCTACACATAAACAAGAAGCCGGATTCTCTACCCCGTGCAAGCGTCGTGTACCGCGACGAGACGATCCAGTCGATGAGGGAGGGGTCGCCGAAACTGCCGGTACGGCACGGGGCTCAGTCAAGGCTGTTTCTCGACCTTATCCTCTGGAATGTGCAGGTAAGGGTCATCATGGGCAGACAAGGCGAGACCGGGACCATAGAAGGGCACTTTCAGATTACGGCCCCCGAGCATAACCCTTCCAGCTTGCGGTGGCCGTTGTGGAGGGCACGATGCATACACCTCGACTGCCTCCCGCGGGGTTCTTTTGCTAAGTTCAGGTCGGTTGTGCTTAAGCCGGATCGAGGTGACAGCGCAACGATGGCTCGAGTGCTGGCTTTGCTAGCGGCGGATAAGCCTTTGAGGATAAGGCTACGGGGCTTAAAGCTGCTGAATGGCGGCGGACTCGGGTTCGAGCACGTGGTGGGGAAGAATCTACAGTGGCAGAACCTCAGACTTCTGCACTTGGTCCGCGTGGCCGTGACGGTGACACAGCTGGCCGCGTTTGTTGGGCAGCATCGCAAGACGCTGGTGGGGCTGGTGCTGGATCGGTGCGGCATCACGTTGGGTCATATGGAGGCGCTGGGGAGCCTGGAGCCGTGGTCCGAGCTGACGGGTATCGAGATCATGACAGTTGGGACAGAGACCTGCATCGTGGAGATGGATGCCTTGCTCGAGGCGTTGCGACATGGGCGCATGCACTCTGCCTTGTGGCATGCTGCGTTCCCAGACCTCTATATGCCCATGGACACAATGATCAGCACCACGCCAGACCAGACTATAGAGAGGGTGTCGACGGGGATACCGGCTGAGACGAAAGTCACCATGTTCTTACAGCCCTATCGATTCGCACAAGCGGCCTTCTCGCAGCGGTGGATGTGGGGGAGGGCCAACGGACAAGGTCCTGTGTATTACTGGTCTGTCAAGGAGCAGGGCAAAGGCGAGCCGACGACGGTGTGGCGGTTCACGCATAGGCGAGGGAGCGACGCGCAGCAGGAGGTGCGTTATGGCGACAACCCTCGGGACTTCTGGGAGGGCGACTGGGACGAGGACCGCGAGGGCGACACGGCTGAGGCGACGCCCTTCAGCCGCAACTTTATAATGCACGACAAGGGAATATGGTCCGGTTGGAATTGCCGCTACAACCAGAGCAACAACGTGCCCGAAGGTGCTACTGAGTTCACAGACGAGGCCAGGAAGGAGCTCGTCGATCTCGGACTCTGGGAAGAATATGAAACGAAGGTGCGAGTACCATACAGTTTGCCGTCTCACTAGACGCTTGCCATTTTCGCGTTCCCTGCTCGACCACGCCATCCTCCCGCCACGAGTTATGGCGTTATCCACACCGAAGCTGCGTCGTTATCCACGCGGGTCTCCCCCGACGTCCCTTCATAGTCGCCTCGCCTCGGAGGACGCCTGGCTAGGACAACATTGTGTGGAGCGCTTTGGTCACGGGCCTCTCCTTTCAAGATGGCGTAACAGTATACAGTGTTTTTTGTTTGTTTGAGAATGTGACTGGAGTGGGTGCCCAAGCGCGGCCGTTGCGCGCCCGCCTCGCGTCACGCACACAGCGCGCAAATATCTACTGCACCACGAAGCATCAAGGTGGCTGCTTCTGGGAACATTGCAACTCTTGAACAGAAGCCGCAGTCGACGTTGTGGACGATACCTGCTACCGGGTCCCGTGTAGATGCAGAGGGTCTCTGAAAAGTGACAATGTCCACGAGGAGGAGTTCGTGTTGCCGGTGGTGGTGTTGATGGTGTCGTTGTCGCCGTGCAGAAACGCGAGGGCGTCACACAAGCTGCTGGCGCGATGATGATACATTGCTGCGTGCCTGTTGCGGCAGGCAGGAGAACCCTCTGCAAGTGCCGAAAACTCACCACCTCTAGTGGATGACCCAGCTCAGGCATGCCATACATTTCAGATGAATACGAAACCCCACACTCTACAGAGGTTGTGATGACCAGTTGGTCAAAGATGCTGCCCCAGCGGTTTTGTACATAACAAAGTGACTTGGTTACCATCATCATCATCGCAGCGCCTTGGAACGACCAGTGCCCCATTTCCACACACAACCCCCAAGCAATACGTCATCCCCACGAAGTCCTCTCCATCTGTTCGTCGACACCACAAGATCAACGCACCCCTCCAGCAGGAATCCCCATTTGCGCACGAACCCGTCGCTGGCCTCCCAGTTGTGCGCGCTCCACGGCCGATCGCCCCAAACCACCAGTCCTCGTCGTTCGGGGTCGTCCAAACCATCATACACGCCTTTTCCGAGGTCATGCGCAAGGTCATCTAGGTCAAGGCGGTGGGCATGTAGAATAATGTTGTCACGTAGCTGCGGGATTGGAATTGCTGCGAATATGTTGAACCAGGAAACCGTCGCTGGTTTCCGTGAAGAACTGGATGGTGGCTCCGAGGTGTTGTTGTTATTGAACTGGTGCTTTGGAGGATGGCTGCGCCGCTCTAGCTCGAGGCTGGTTGGATGCAGGTCGCGAGGCAGCTGCGAGGTGTTGGGCAGGCTTGCAGGTCGAACGCCGAGTGACTGCGGGCAGCCCGCGGGCAGCACATGGAGCATGGACAATATGGACATGTTGAGCAGGATCGCACGAACCGCATTGTACTGCACCAGCGTGATGAGCTGGTGGTCTGGTACCAAGGGAAACTTTAGTTCTTGAACAAAGTCCATGGCGTCCGGATTACAGTGTCGAGCCTGCTCGCACGGCCATGCTTGCCTGTCACAAGACGCGGCATAAGGCAGAAGAGGTCTGATCAGTTTAGTAGGTGCTGGTATCGTAGACACATTCGTCCTGACCCGGCATTGGTCCTCGTGCTGCTGCTGAGTGGGCTGTCTGTGATGGTCAGCGGATCTTGGAAGAGCACAGCCGCCTTGTCTCGGCACTAACAGGCCAAAGCCTTCCCACGGGCCGCCAAGCGACTGACTCGCGAGCTCCTGCACTTGGCGGAGGGCTTTGCGCTGGCCTGTGGCACCTTGTGTGAATAGGATGCACCAAAAGCGGACGTTCGTAATGGTGCGACTTACGCCACGCCTGCTGCCTCTGACGGTTCTGAAGCTTTTGCCGCTCCCCTTTACTCAAGGCCGCGTCGGCCAGGTCTACACGGCGCACGGCTTGATGAGTGCACAGGACAAGGTTCTGGGATGGGTGAGGCTTACTGGTCATGTTGCCCTCCCCCGAGTGACTTTGGCTCGAAAGTGTACAGTGCATGACCATTCGCGTGCCGGAGTAACGAATTTGCTGTAATTCCTTCTCACATGCTCTTGGATGCCGCGGAAAGGATCGAAGCCTGTCTGCGTACCTTGACGGAAGCTGACAAACCCTCCTTAACAGATGTCAGCATCGCACACCGTGGCTGGCTTACCTGATCACTGGAGACGTGCATGGGCGTTACGCGCTAATACCCAATCTGGCATTTCGGGGATTGGATTGCACCGTGTCATCGGCTATGGGCAAACTACGATGGGTCGATGTTTGGCAATATTGCCTGCATGCTCGCGACTCGGCGAGGCGGGCTCACCCTACGTTACGCACTATGGTCCCTTTCGGCGTGTACTGAGGGCGCCTCTGCCTATCTGTTTGAGCGCGCTCCCCTTCATTTGGTAGCATCTGATCGAGATATTGGGCGTGTAAGCAAGTATAGATGAACTATATAAACAAAACACCGCGCAGGGCTCTCCTTCGCAAACTTTTCTATCCCACTCAGTCACAACTGTCTTTTCCATATTTGGACTCCGACCGTTGAAACAGGTGGAACGACCACTTCTAGTACACTGAGAACATAACAGCAACACGGAACAAGGACCAAATGTCCGCAGCCAAGACGAAGACTATCGCCGCATTTGGCGCGACTGGCGGTGTAGTCGGATCGAGTCTTGCGCGTGCGCTCAGAGCTGGGCACTTTGCCAACGCTCGTAAGTTATCTGTGGTGTCATATGAGCGCACCCCTTCTTGGCCAACCGCTTCACGTGGCTAACTCTTGGCCTGATGCACCATAAATAGTTGCCCGCAACCCCGAGAAGCTCTTCAACAGCTTGATCACCAGCCACAATGTGCCTGTCCAGACTTTGGACAAGTACCTGACAATTGTCGAAGGGGACGTCCGTGATCGAGCCGCGGTAGCACAGACCCTTTTAGTGAAACGAACGACGGACAGAGACGATGATGCCGAGGACAATGATATTGCCCGGGACGTTGCGGACGTTATCCTGAGCGGCATTGGTTCGTTCCCGTACTTCCAGTGGAGTATTCGGACGCCATTCCCCCTGCGTGACCCGACGATCACAGAGGATGGGGTTGCCACTATTTTCGGAGCACTAGACGACATTTTTGCCGGTACTTTCTCTGGGAAAAGTGCGGCAAACCGTGATGAAGGTGGCATGACGCGCCGCCGTAGACCTTCAGCACCCGGCAAAAAGCCCCTGCTCGTGGTAGTCAGCACTGCTGGAGCTAGTCGCACGCAAGCAATCCCGTGGCCCATCCGCTGGCTATACAACTACCTCCTGGGACCTCCACTCGCCGACAAGATCAAGATGGAGCAGCTCGTCATGAGCGATCAGGGCAGGCACGTTCAGGACTTTGTGATCATGCGGCCTCTGATTTTGACTGCTGGTGGCGCGACAGAAGAAGGTAACGGCCAGCTGCGGATAGGGTGGGAGTGGGGACTTAGCGATGCTGGCGCTCGGGATGGTCAGAGCCTTCGGGAGAGGGAGCCTGGGCCGGTTGTAGGATACTTTGTCAGTCGCGAGGATGTAGGAAAGTTCATTTTTGAGAAGGTGGTGGTACAAGGCGGCTGGGAGGGGAAGGCCGTATATACCGTGTACTAGCAGTCTGGTTTTGATCAGATCGTCTCGTGTCTCATGTGCGCGGCACATGCCTCCTTGACCTCTGGAAACTATCCAACATCTAGTGTTGACAGGTGTAACTGCGCGATTGGGTACATGCCTGAAGATGGCAGTAGTACTTGACGAGATCATGAACAAAGGAGATGAGAGACTTGTATTGCAGTTCCAGTGTTGATAGAAATTGGTAGAACTGATATGAAACTGTGATATGCTAGGGTGCAGCCAATGTCATGATTCTCTGAACCCTCGTGATTGCAACCACCACGCTTCCGCGCTTTGTGTATTATCGCCGCCAGCTTCCCCAGCCAGAATGTAATCTTGCAGAATCCGGAAATGACACCGATCAGGTCTATGTAGACCTCGCTGTGGATTAACCACAGAGACTGGCAGGCGACAAACCCCCTTTATTCGTAAGGTGTTTGTTTCTCCTGTACCTAGAGGGACCCTCACCTCGCCCCTCGATAGTGGCAACTCTACCCCGAGAATATCGGAAGTTCATTTACCACTTGTTCGCGTTGATCCACGTCACAAATTGGCCGACGCGGGTATAAACACCGTAAGCGTTAGGCCGAGCGCAGCCATCACCCCAGGATACGAGGCCGATAAGCGTCTTGGAGGTGTTCACTAAGGGCCCACCAGAGTCGCCCTGGCAAGCATCCTTGCCACCGGCAGCAAGGCCGGCACATACCATAGAGGTAGTAATGGTGTCAAGTTTATACGCCGCCTGGCAGGTAGCGCGGCCAACGATGGGAACGGTAACCTTACGTAGGGCGTCGGGAGTATTATAGCCACCCTCAATAGTAAAACCCCTTTGAGAGGAGAGAAGTATTAGTAAGTCATATCTAAGAAAACAGGACTAGGGGGGTTTACCATCCGGCAACAATAGCTAAAGAACCAGCAGCGGGATCAGAGTCCTGAGCAGGGAGGGTCACGTAGCCGATAGTAGAACTGGTCCGTATCGGAGTCGACAGGCGCCAGAGCGCAATATCATTATTGGCCCAGCTGTCGCTATATTTTGGGTGCACTAAGATCTCGGAAACGTTGACCTTGACCCCTCCAGAATTGTGCTTCTATAAAGGATGACTAGTCTGAGCAGGCTGATTCAAGCGGTTCTAAGAGAGGAAGATGAATATGACTTACAAGAGAGCCTGCGCGGACGCTGACCTGTACGGGAGTCTGGGAGATGGAACAATGGCCAGCAGTGACAACGGTGTTCGCGTTAAGTAGGACACCACCGCACATATGGTAGTCGTATCCGAAACCGCTCAAAGAGACCATAAACGGGAAGTCTCCGGCACTTGCAGCCTCGCCACCAACGATGTAAATAGACGAGGCACCATCATCAACCTCGTCGCGGGCCTCGAGCACGTCGGACGGCGTCGTAGGTGCTGCAGAGACGAGGGCCGGGATCACCGCTAAGATGACGGCAAGCTTGGCAAGGGGAAGCATAGCAATAGTAGAGGAGCAATGCCCGAGGACAAGATTCAGAGACGGATAAGGGATTGGACAAGGAAAGCTTAACTACTAAGAGTAAGAAGCTACATAGGCTCTAGGTTGAAGGGATAGATGATCACTGCCTAGTTATATATCTCCATACGGATCAGGTTATGAAGACTGCCCTTGAGTCTATTACTAATTTTCTGGAGATTCGCTTTTAAGGCGCCGACGCGTACCAGCTTAGCACTACCCCTCACAAGCTCCCTCTTTGAGGAAGAGGTGCATGTTGAAAGGGCTGCCATCCTCAGAGAGGCAGGTCAATCGACTTTATACACCTATCATGGTCAGACTTAGAGCGGGTCCAAAAGAATGTCCCCGCCAACAAGCACTTTATTGTTAACATTGATTGACGATTGACGTTAGTAGCTCTGAGACAGGTACTAAGAACAACGAGCATAGGCGTCTGGGCGTGAAGCCCTCACGCCAACAACATCTAGGCTCTTTTGCCATTCATGACATTTTACCGCTGAGGCTAAATGGAACATGTGGAACGTAACACCAGTCGAGCCAGTTGAATTTGCAGTTATCAGAAAACGACAAGGAATCTGCACAGGCAGGCCGGGCGCTGCCCAACGTGATTATTCTCGCAGGGGTCCAGTTGTCGGGCCAGCATGCGATGATAAGCCTGTGCCGCGCTCGTGCCTGCCTGGAATGCGTATGGAAGAGGGACTGCATGCCTTAATAATTGCTCAGTGAACAAAGTGCATGATGCGTGCTCCGTTTCGGCAGCTAGGAGCCGTGGCTCCCAATGAGATTATCCTTGGAGAACACATTGCCATATGGAGGCAATGAGAGAAAAAGCCTTCTCAAGTAGGGCTCATGTCAGGGGTACAGCGTTGGCGAAGAGCCTGACATGCATCTGTACCTCCGTCCGATGTTTAACGGCGGAGGATTGTTACGCCACCAATCCTTCAACCCATATTGCCCCCCTCTCCCCACCCTCCGCTTGATTGTAGTAATTACCCAGTCCAACTCAGGCACTGGTCATCTCTTGCTTAGCTAACTGCAGCTGAAATGCCGATGTCGCAACGACTACACCCACAGAATGCCACCCACTCGGTGATCCATACTCGAGATGATCTGGTGACATATTTAAGGAACGATATACTCATGGAATGTGCCTCTACACAATCATCTATGTCGGAGACTTGGTCCGATACCTGCTGATATAACTTGTGGACTATTGACTTCTTCTTGCTCTGCAGCTATTATGAACTCGTGAAGCCAGATCTGCATCTCGAATGTGGGTGCATGTGCCGCAAAACGCGGCTCCGGCCGGAAATCCTTTTGATAAGTAGACCAGGCTATAATGTGGCGGACTGTTTGTCATGGATACGATACCGGGTGCGTTGTCCTCACCTTCAAGCGTGAATAGAGCCACGTACGGCTTTGCGAGATCTTGATTTCGTTTTTGGTAGCCACATACCTCGAATGCATCATCTGCGAGGATCGGGAAGAAGAGAAGTAGCTACAACTAGCTCCATTTTGCAACAGCGAGGGGGTATAGATCAAAACAACACAGATGACAACGACGTGTCCGTGTATAGCGAGCTCAATGAGTACGAACAAGGAATCATAGATAAGCTGATAGCCATATGCTCCTGACCGTAATTTTCATTTTAATCTTGGCAACAATGGCGACGCACGCTTGTACTATTGTAAGCATTCCGCCGCCGCCACTGCACCACAAGAAGACTCGCCTTCAGAATCATCGAGTCATTCGTCGTCCATCCGTATGTACTATGTACCCAGAGAGGTCCAGCGTAATTATCGAGAAGAGAACTAGTGTAAAGCTCCTCAAGCCCCCGATTGATGTAGCCAGGTAGTCAACCTCTCGAAAGGGATCGGAACTCGACGTTCCTTTACCACTTGTGGGTGTTAATCCAGTCGACAAAGAGGCCGACGTTAGTGTAGACACCGTAGAGTTCGGGGAGAGCACAGCCAGCACCCCAGGAAGTCAGACCGAGGACGGCCTTGGACTTGGCGTCAACGATAGGGCCGCCAGAGTCGCCCTGGCAAGCGTCCTTCCCACCTGCGACTAAACCGGCGCAGATCATGGCGGTAGTAACGTCCTCTCCCGGATACGAGGCCTGACAGCGATCGCGGCTAACAATAGGGACGGAGACCTTCTGTAGTGTAGCAGCAAGGGTTCTATTACCCGGGAGGGTGTAACCCCTTTTGAGAACGGAAAGTATTAGTCGACTATTTTTTATGTTTTATAGAGAGGGGGTCAAGGGATTTTACCATCCGGCTGTAACGGCTGGAGCGCCGTCGGTAGGATCAGAGCCCTGAATAGGGAGCTTGGAGTAGCTAATAGTCGAACTGGTCCTGATCGGAGTCGCTAGGTGCCAGAGGGCGATGTCGTTTGTGAAAAAGGTAGGGTCATAGTACTTCTCGTGGACCACAATCTCGGACACGTTAACTAGGACACCACCAGAAGCCCATTTCTAGAAATATTAAGTTGTTAGGGCGGGGTTAACAAAATGGCTTACACGGAGAGGTTAAGGCTTACAAGGGAGCCGGCACGGACTTGGACGAGTGACGCAGTCTGGGTCCAAGAGCAGTGGCCAGCAGTGAGTACGGTGTTAGCGTTGATTAGGACACCACCACAGAAGTGGGAGCTGAACGGTCCGATTGGAGAGAGAGACACGATGAAAGGGAAGTCCTTAGCACCGGCTTCCTCGCCACCAACGATATTGACAGACGAAGTGCCCTCGTCAAGCTCAACTCCGTCGCGGTCCTCGAGCTCCGCCAAGGGATTCGGAGCAGGAGCGGCAGTAGCAATAGCCGACAGCACCGCTAGCGCCGCGGCGACCTTGGTGAGAGCAAGCATGATATCAGTAGTAGAGGAGTGGTATCTGATGATAAGGATGGGGATGAGGACGGCTCGAATGTCAAGAGGAGTGAGCTGTCTTGGCTTTGGGTGGAAGGGCAGGTGATCATTGCCTGTTTATATATTTCGAGACGGACATCGGCTTAGAAGACCTTGGGTACATATCGTAGCACTCTTCAGATACAGCCATCATGTTTTCTGCTGACACGCAGATCCGCACATCGGCGCTATCAACATGTCGCATTGAGGCACGTGGAAGTCAGAATGAGAAGGTCGCAGCCATTGCAGCCAAGCGGCGCCTACGTACAACGACCTGGAACGGCTCCAGCCAAGGCGTTGCCGTCAATCCTGGGCTGTCCAGGCAAGTCAAGATTGCTTGCTGGTTACTAACGGGAAAGCTTGTCGCAAAGCCGGAGGGATGTTGCTATCACCCACCGGATAATCGGCCGAAAGATAGCGCTGTTATGTTAGCCCGTACGGGCGAACCAAGCTTTTGAAGGATTAGAGGTGTATACCTCAAAATGCCATCTCAAGCTCGTAAAGGAATAGACATGCATATGTCAAAAGACCTCACTCCTCAGAGAGGCAGGTCAGTCGACTTTCCACCCCTGCAAGGATCTGCGCCAGGGCATGGGTCAGGAGAATATTCCCGCCAATAAGCCCCATCTAGCCAGGGGTCCACGTTGTTTGTTCCGACCGAGACCTACAGCTGCGGACAAGACACTTTTCTGACTTTGCGAAAGAGCGCAAAAAAGGCGGCCGAAGTGAGTGGAACCCTAGGAGTTGGGCACCATTTCGAGGGACAAGTATGCACAACGACAGTCGCTTCGGTCGCTTTCGGTCAGGTCAAGAGAAGCTTGTGGCTTCTAGATGCTTCGGATGCGAGATGGCACCATCAAGCTCAACAGTAATCCATGCGAATGTTGAGTGGCAGCCTCCACAACTTGCGGCGTGACGGCTAGGGATGTGATTGTACGGTACATAATTACATGTGACAGGCCCGCCGAATAGCACAGAGAGGCGACGGAGAACAGAATTAAGCACTATACTATGCTGGGGCAGAGTGGCTTGGTCAAATCATGGCCTTGCGAAAGAAGAAGTGTTTCCCAGGTTGAAAGAATTATATTGTTTTCCTGCAAACACATTTACCCATTCTTTCTGCAACACTCTGGATCCCTCTCTTGGCATCCAATATCTGAGTGTCTTTGTGAAAGATGGTGGGAAAAAAATGGTGCATACGTTGTTGCCTGGTCAGCCATGGGTTCAGTGACTACTCAGAACCCCACAAGAACAAGAGCTGGGAAAGGTTCGCGACGATGATGGCCGCTGCTCATGCGACGGACCTCTTGTGGCAGGTTTCGGTCAATGAGCTCGAGGCCGGGGGCCAATCAGGGAGGTGTTGGGCCGAACTTAGGCCAGCAGTACAAGTTTAATTGGCATTGTCTGGTTCAATACAGTCCAAGAATACACACGAAGATGCGATTGAAACGAAGACCGCCATGATAGGCCCCAGATATGAGCAACGCCTTGAGAAAGTCTATGGCAGGCTGTCACCTGCAGATCCGTCGATCAACGCAAAGGGAATGGGTGACCGCCGGTACGCTAGCATCGGAGCTTGACTGTTGGAAAATGACTCATTCAGTGAGTGTGAGGCTGGCAAACGCCAGCACTTATAGCTCTATAGTCTTGCAGGATGGGTTAAGACAGTGCCGAGCACGAAATCTTCTCATCATCTTGGGAAACTGGGCACGCACCTTGCACTCAGGTTCTTTTTCGACTTGTGCGACACGAGAAAGAAAACGCCGGAGGACTTGTTACACTCAATAGCGTTCGATAGTATCATCCGGGTGCAGAGGTCACGAAACTCCTTGACAGGCTGTTCACGTCTAGCGATGATGGCCACCGACAGCCAGACATCAGTGCTCTTTGGACCCTTGATGAATTGATGCTACAGAGAGCCCCAGAAATAGCCGTCGTCGGAGACACTCCGGATGAGTGCACGACGAGAGACAAGCTCCTTGCCCGACCCAGGCGATTTCCAATGGCTCGAACACGAAGAGCACCAAGTTGATTGTGGCTGGGCGGGCTGAAACACGATTTCAATGCAGAATTCCTCAAATTTTCGGCAGCAATAACGGCAAGCTGCTGATAATGGAGGCTGTGGACGCCGACACACCCTCCTGTGTGAACCACGAGCTTCATCAACGGCATGATCTCATGGAAAAGAAATGCTTCGCGACCTCCTGGGCCAGTACGCAGGCAGAGGACAGATGACATGGATGTGGTGTGCGTGTGCATTCTTCCTAATGTGCTGCTAAAATCTGACGCTTCGGTGGGCGGAGTGTCAAGTGAACAACAGCCTTGCCACTGTCTCCAACCCCGGGCGATCAGCGCATCTCTACGCATCCTGCATCGGGACCACAGCGAGACACACGAGCGCATGCCTCAAACCATACCGCCAAAGCTCACAGATAACACAGTTCGTCTGCTTCGTCTTGTTATCCATGTCAAACGACCTGTGCTGAGAGGGAAACCAGCGTGAGGCTCTTTGAGCCCCCATTCATCGTAGCCAGGTACATCCTCCCCAAAAGGGTCCGACCGGACACTTTGTTTACTTATGGGTGTTGATCCAGTTGACGAACAGGCCGACGTTAGTGTAGACACCATAGGCATTTGGGCGAGCGCACCCGTAACCCCAGGACGTAAGGCCGATGAGAGTCTTGGAGGCGGCGTCGACGATAGGGCCGCCAGAGTCGCCTGAGCAAGCATCTTTACCCCCGGCAGCGAAGCCGGCGCAAACAAAATCGGTAGTAATAGACTGGTCTAAATACGCGGCCTGGCAGGTGGCCCGGCTGACGATGGGAACGGAGACCTTGAGCAGAGACTCAGGGAGTTCGCCAGCATATTCGTCGGTGATACCCCTAGAAAGGAGTATTATCAGTTCATGTCTTGATTCATGAGGTAATAGTACTAATGGGGATTTACCATCCGGCAGTGACGGCGGGTAAGCCGCCAGCGGGATCAAAGCCCTGAGTAGGGAGTTTAACGTAGCTAATCGTAGAGCTGTTCCGGATAGGAGCGGAAAGGCGCCAGAGACCGATATCGTTATTAGCGAAGTTGGGAATCTCGTACTTCTCATGGACCACGATCCGAGAGACGCCGACCTGGACACCGCCAGAGGCCCAGTTCTAAAGAAGATTAGTAGTTAGGGCAGCTTTTTTCAATGCGTTTCTAGTAGAGTTATATAGTATATCTTACCAGGGAGCCGGCACGGACCTTCATACGTGAGGGAGTCCGGCCATAAGAGCAGTGACCAGCAGTAATCACGGTATTTTCGTCAAGTAGGGAACCGCCGCAGAGGTGATAGCCATCTTGGGATAGAGAGACAATAAAGGGGAAATCTCCAGCGCTGGCAGCCTCACCGCCGACGATATTAACAGACGAGGTGCCTTCGTCAACCTCATCGCGCGCACCAAGGTTCGAAGCAGGAGCGGCAAAAGCAATAGCCGGGAGTACCGCCAAGATCGCGGCAAGCTTGGTGAGAGCAAGCATGATAGTAGAAGCGGAGTTGTATCTGAGGACAAAAGGTCAGGATGACGGTGAGGGTGCTCAATTGATGAGGGGGGTCTGGGTACAAGAACAAGTGACTGCAACCTAGTTATATATCTTCCCGCAGATCACAGCTAAGGAGACCAAGGTCAGTTCGTCACCAGTTCCTTTGAGACTACTCTTCGAGTACCGACACATGCCCAAGCAACAATACGCTGACCTGGCTCCCTGCCAACATGCGAGTAAGCACTCTAGATTTACCCGGACAGCCCGCGATGAACCATACGTGCTAATGATGCGTGGCCGATGCCCGAGCTAAAGCCTTTCGAAGCCGCAGCACAAAGGCGCTTTTGGCGAGCAATGACTTCGACCTTCTCTTTCTAAACTCTGCATGCCTTAATGCGACCTGTTGATAGCGCAGGCCTAGGGATCTGCATAAGAGGTAACCGGTTGTGCCGAGCAATCATTGTGATGTGACCCCGAAAAGGTCGTCGCCAGGCATTATAACCCCGTGAACAACCTCGATGAGGTTACATGGCAGGAGAGCTCTGTGACCCCAGGCCGAACGGGGTTGCAATCAACCACCAGTAGTCGGCCGAGAGACGGGACGATTTGGTTGATTCGCACGGGGCAACCAACCCCTCAAAGGAACAGAGGTGCAGATGTCAAAACAGCCCCGTTCCTCAGAGGAAGGTCGGCCGATTTTGGATCCCCACAATGATCTGACGTAGAGCAGGGGGCGAAAGAGTGTTCCCGCCAATGAGCGCTGTCTGGCCGAGGATGAACGACATTTGTTCTAGAACAGGTACCAGGGATGAGGAGCCAATGCGCCCAGGCGTTGCATTGCCGCGGCGATAATGCACAGGTTCGTTTACCAGTCATGCCTTCCCCACCGAGGCAAAACTGGACAGACTCTATTTACAGCAGGCTTATCCAACCAGTACATGTGACGCGACCCAAATAGTTAGAGCGAGGCGGGTCCACAGGGACTGGTCGACGACAAGGAGTTTGCACAGACCGACCGTCCGTGGCCCGACGTAGTCGGCCTTCATAGGGGCCCTACAGTTGGGCCAGCCAAGCGCACTGGCATTTCGGTGATCAGCCTGTGCCGCACTCGTGCCTGTTTTGACTGCATGCGGCAGTCGGGCAAAACACTTTGTTTTCAACATGAAGCATCATACAAAGGGTCTGTCTGGCCTCCTTATGTTCGATGGCCACGAGAGCCATCATTTTATCAATTTTGAGTTGTATTGTAGACCGCAGCGCATTGCCACGCCCTGTATACCTGCTCCGTCGCCGCATACGCTTCATCGTCTTGATATCAGGTACTATCGCTTCTGAAGTGGGTGTTCGGCGAGAAGACCGAGTATCTAACTCAGGGGGTGGACCATGTCGCTTGCGCATTCCTGGGACGATTCACGAACTGAACAGGGAGCTGCACAACTCCCTAAACACAGCGGCTGTGCAAAGTGCGACACGTCCCTTCGAGAGAGCCGTATTTTGGCTCCTAGAACTGGTATAAGAGGCGCCGCACTCTTGTTCAACCTCACAGGGGAATCGACACCCCTTCAGTCTTGGCCTATCAACCATCCAATCGGAGCTGAGAGAGTCGGAGATGAAGTACCTGGAGCCACTCCACGGATACGACAGTACTCCAGGACGTGATAGCGTCACGACATGCCGGCCACCTGTCAACGCCCTTCAAAACCAAGGCAGATGCCCGCCTGACGCGGGAGCTTCTTGCTGAAGCGCGATGGTAAGACCGGCATGGATGTGACAGCCTTCACCAACTGCTTAGACCATCGCGTTGGGGTGTTGAGTGGGCGCTTGTACTGTCGGGGAGTCTAGTAGTGGTCAGCATCGGACAATCCCAGCCCGAGCAAGCCTTGAAAGAGCGGCGGCGAGACGTTCTGAGGAAGATCTCATGTCCACATGCAAGGTGGGCAGGCACTTAGGTCGGGGAGGATGCCAAGCAGGCGTCTCATGGCGTAGATGAACCTTTTCTGCACCGACACGAGCATGGAGTTGCAACGGCAAGCGAGGCGCGCTGGACATACTCTGGCCACCGTATGTAGACTGGCCACAGTTGTGAGAATGTTCAACATCTTGGTTTGCAGGTCTGCTCGGGCGCTCTTTTAGCACATGCACGATGCTATTTTTTGAGCACAGAGGGAGGCGCGACGAAAGAGAGAATGCGCATGCATCGGTGATGGTACTCAGCATCCTTTGTCATCGCAGCATCGAGACATCATCAAATTAGAAGCAACAGCCTCAGAGTGAGACAGCACGAGGCCAAATTATAGGTGTCGTATTGATACATGTTCGCCGGGCTTGAAGGCGTGTATATATGGAATGTACATGACCACTTGCTCAAAAGCGCTCCTTGTCAGCAATAGGAACATCTGATCCAGTGGCGTTCTTGTACTGGCCGCGGATGAAGTCCGAGATCTGCTCGTCCTTGGCCTGCTCGACGGCGTTCTCGTTGCTCTGGTCACCCTGACCCAGAAACTTTTCCTGCACGAAATCGACACCTGTCAAACAGCCAAGCTACGTCAGCCCAGGAACAGTTGACGCATGTGCGTCACCACGACGCGTCGCTGGCAGAATGTCAGTGAGGGGGCCTACCCTTGTCGAGAGCATCCTCGTTCTTTTCGCTCTCGGGACCGCCGCCAGCCATGCCATGGAGCTTGTCCATGAAGCCACCGCCGCCGCTGCTCGACCCCTGGGTCTGCTGCTCCGTCCGGCCCTCGTTGGTGGCGGTATTGTTGTCAGTGTTGTTGCCGTTGCCGGCGAGGTTCTTGACGAAGTCCATGGTGTGGCAGAGTTGGAGATTTAGATGATGAGATGAGGGATTGGGGAGACTACCTGCGTCTGGAGCTTTGGACCTTCGACCGAGTTTATATGGCTGACGGGTAGCCAGCCTGGAATGCAGCAGCGCGTCACACTGAGGACTAGCTGAGCAAGGGTCGATACAGGTTAAAAAGTGGGCACGAAACGACCACCCGCATCATGGTGTGCTGCGCTAATCGTGCGGAGATGCCAGCTCATAGGCTGGCCAAGACCAGTCGCAAGTGTCGTGACGAAAGCTTTAGGTCCCTGGGTGCCGGAAGATCAAGCGGACCTCCCAAGGAATTGAGCTGTCGTCAGGTATAACCTGGGAAGAAGATGAAGCCCGACGCTCGATGGAGACTACAGTATGCCATTCATCGGTAGCCCGACGTGCGCATCCAGTTCTGCAGCACAACATGAATTGCTTCAGATGGCTACTCTGAGATGCAGTGCTTGCCGACAACGCGCTCAAACTTAGCAGACACGGCGCAGGTGTGATGTCACACTGGGCTGGGGGGCTACGACGTGGGGGCGGCCTGGTGGGGAAACCTTGTTCCGACTCTTCAATTGGGGAGCGAGCAGGGCGCGCAATGGAGAGAACCAAAGCTTTAGAAGAGAGGCGCATCAAGGGCACCACAAAGCACTTCTTGCCATGGCAGAAGACGGAGGGTTCGAGGGCAACATCGCGCAAGGAGACGTACTGAAATAATGGAGCAGCAGAATGGGAGCGGAAGGCGAGGTGTCGAAGGATCCAGAAGCCAACGCAGCCCATGGCTTGCTCAATAGGCACGTTCAAGTCACGCGCACCTCGGTTTGGCCTGCATGTGTTGCGACCGGTTCTAGATGCTGCGAAGTGCTGTCAGGTAGGGCCAGGCATTGTGTGCCTAGACACTCGACGCATGGCCAACTCACCGTGCTGCCTCGCGCGATGCCATCGCCGTGGTCATGTAGTACAGCAAATCAGGCGTGTGCCTGCCCACCAGCAGGAAGCCGTGGTGGTCAGTGTCAGTAGCGCGATCCCCCCACTGAGCCTAAGCGCCTGCCTGGCCTTAAGACAGAGGCGTTCCGGAACCGTGAGACTCTCGAGCCGGCGGCCTACAGTACAACACACATTGCAGATCGAGGCCTTCATCACCTTGGGCATGGCCAGCATTCGTGCTCCTGCTCCTGTGCGTGCGCTTGCAGATCGGTTGTTCCGAGGCACCCCATCCTGAGAGGTCCTGAGAGGGTTTGAGGATGACCCAGGCGCGAGGAGCCCTTGTGTTGGTCTGAGTGGGCGATTGGAGGCTGGGAACGCCATAACTACCTTACCTTAGTGATGGACCTGATCCACATCCCGACGCCTGGCCCCGATCGCGGCTCGGCAGGGATGTGGCGGCAGGCGGACGTGGAGGGCGGGATCCACGCCCAAGGAGCAGTCAGCTCGGGCCGGGAGGCATCATGGATGGTCTTTGGGCTGAGAGAGGGCTGAGCATCTCGTGCCCGCGAGATGAAGACTGATTGTTTCGTCGCGGGAACCGGTGCGCCACGGCGCTGGTGATGACGAGTCCTGAGACCATGGTCGTGTAGCAATGATAATATCTGGATGCATTGGGTGGGAGAGCTGCCATGCGTGCGGCTGACGAGTTGCAATATCCGCCTTGAAGAGCAACGACCACAACGACACCGACAACAACGACGCCGTCGACGAGTGAGCTGAAAAAGCAGAGCCACAGGCAGGGATGGAAGGTCGAGCTCGCGGATAGACGAGGGGAGGAGGTCTGGACCGGGAATCGGTTCCTCCGGCAGGCGTGGCGTGGTGTGTTATCGCTCACTCACAGGAAGCCACGCATGCTGCGCAACCAAGGACAGGGTGAGACAGGCGACATGTCGGACTACGCCGACGGGATGAGAAAAAGCAAACAAGACGCAGATGCTAGCGCAGCACGCATCATGCATCGCGGATCACTATTCTCGCCCTTCTCGCAGGCACAGGCCCGGCCGCCCCTTGCGCACGCATGGCGAGACAGGCCGCTCACTGCAGGGAGCCCGGCTGCCCCACAAAAAGCAACGGCAGGCAGGTGCTCGCCAGCGCAGGGGCAGGCACGGCTGACTGCTTCCAAGGTTGGTTGCTTGCAAAGTCAAGTCAAGTCAAGTGTCGGCAGGTCCAGTTCACCTCGCTCGCTCGCTCTCACCTGCACCTGCCGCCCCACTCGATGCCGCTCGTGCCACTTTACTTTGGACGGCATTGGCCTCTTTCGGATCGGATCGCCAGGCCCGGGCCTGGCGTCACGAAAGCAACACTTGACAGCCTGCAGAGCCCAAAGCCTCCCAGCCCACCACGTGTGCCACGCACCTCGTCTCGTCTCAGGCCATCGTCCAGAACTAGATCGCCAAGCATCAGCTCCTCCTCGATAAGTCCAACACCAGCCGCCCTGCCGTGTCGCTGCTGCTCAGCCTCGGATTCGGCTCGCGGCTCGACTGCAGATCCAGCCATCACACTAATTACAGCCCAGGCCAACGCACCGTCGCCAGGGGCCGGGCCCAGCTCAAATCACTCCATGCGCGGAGCCGTGCCAGCAGCTCGGGCAGCTCGTCCAGGCCGCGAGGCTCCAAGACGAGCCGTTGATGTGCCAATTTTGGCAAGGGAAGCTGCAGCTACTGGCTAGCGCCCAGCGCCACGCCCGCGGCAGACGAGCACGCCTTGCCAGATTGGGACAAGATGTTCCTTTTTTCCGCAGGCACGGCTCACCTTAGGCCACACCCCCTGGGCCTCGGAGAGGCTGGAATCGGCATGGCAGGCCAAAAAAGGCCCGGCCAGGGACCGCGGGCCTTGCAGGCAACATCAGCTTCACGACTTCGATAGTGTCGGCCGTTCATGCACGTCCCTGATAGTCAGTTTGCGAGACATGGGTACGGCAGCTGAACCAGGCCGACTCGTGGCGTTCTCGGAGAGAGGCCCTTTTCCCATGGGTGGCATCGTCGCCAAGGTCGCCAGCATGCGGATATATGGCCGTCCCAGAATCCACTTCTTCAGCGTGACTCCGTTTCTTCAGGTCCTCTCGACCATCGTCCTTCGCTTCGCCGCTCTACTCTACTGCCGAGGGCTACGGACAAGACCCACCAAGCACGATGATCCTACGCCTCGGCGCCAAGGTGGCACTCGCCCTGCAAGCACTGGCTCTGCTCGGTGAGCATGTTGCAGCACAACAGTTTGAGGGTGACGCGTATGAAAATAGCCTGCCAAACGTGCCAGGGGCAGAAAAGGCGTACTGGAAAATCACAGGTTGGTGCTTCAATCTTTTTTTTCTGCACAGCGCCGGAGGCTAACACACGCTTACAGACAAGAAGGGACGCACGTTCACTCAGTTGAACTACTTCTCACAGGACGGAAACCGCAAGCGCTTGGTTCCAGAGAATGTTCAGCGAGTCGTAATCATCGTCCATGGGGCAAACCGCGACCCGCAGCTGTACATGTCCAATATGCTCAGTGCTCTCGCGCAGGTGCGCAAATCGGCTGGACCAAACTTCACGAATACACAGATCATCAGTAAGTCCAAGTAGTCGACTGCCTCACTTGCACACAGACGTACTGACTGCTGTTCTGCAGCACCCTACTTCCCCAACGGTGAGGATAAGGGCGTCGGTTACCCCTGGGACAGCAGTGCGCCCGCGGGTGGTTATGGCTCGACATCGAACGCGCTCGTCTGGTCGGGGAATTCCTGGATGGACGGCGGCAACAACCAGTACCCACGACAGCAGATTGCGACGTCATCATATGATTGCATCGACCAGATCATCCAGTACTTTGCTGACAAGTCTCGCTATCCCAACGTCCATCAAATTGTCGTGGGAGGCCACAGCGCTGGTGCTCAGTTTGTACATCGCTATGCCGCGGTCGGCTATGATCTCTCTGAATACCTCGGCGACGTTGGCCTCACGCTCTGGGTCGGAAACCCCAACAGCTACCTGTGGTTGAACTCGAGCCGCCCCATCGACACTTCTAATTGCGCTGACTACAATGACTGGCGCATGGGTCTGGACAACTACGACCAAACATACAACAAGGAGCTGGTGGCCCGTGGCGTCGCCGCGGTCCAGGCCAATTACAACTCCAAGTCGATTGCCTACGTCCGGGGTCTGCGAGATCGTGGCGACACATCAGACGACTGCAGTCCCTTCGTCGAAGGTCAGCAACGCGACGAGCGCTTCTTCAACTTCATCAATGCGTTCCCGCCGTCTTGCGCCGGCCCTGCAGACCCCGCCTGTGATACCGTGGACTACGTCAACATTGGCCACGATGCAGGCTCCATTTTTGCCTCCGCTGCTGGTCAAGCTCGGCTCTTTATCGACAACTTCACTGGTCAGAAGGACAAGAAGCCAGACTATTTTTGCCCACGTCAGCAGGCTGGTGACAGTCCGCTTCCAGACCCGACGTGCGACCGCGTGGTTCAACCACCGAGCGGCACTTTCAACGGCATGACGTATCAAGGTTGCTGGACCGACAGTGGCATAGCTAGTCTGTCCAAGCGCATGCCGGACGACTCGAGCAACAGCGTGGATAGATGCACAAAGAAGTGCGCCGATGCTGGCTACGCTCTAGCGGGCATGGAGTTTGGCACCCAATGTTTCTGTGGCGACCAACTGACCAGCAGGGCGACACAAGTCGCCGAGCGTGGTTGTTTCCAGGACTGTGCAGGGGACGATACGCAGATATGTGGCGGTGGCAGTCGCCTGTCGCTCTGGGGTACCGGCAAGCCAACCGTGCTTCAGCCACCGCGAAACCCGCCGTCTGTAGGGGCGTACAAGTATGCTGGCTGTTACAAGGACAATCAAGGCAGCAAAGCGATGCCTGTCGGTAAGCCCGGCGGCAGCTCTTTGACGCTTGAGAAGTGTGCTTCTGCCTGCGCTGGGTACAACTACTTTGGCACCGAGTACGCCTCCGAGTGTACTTGCGCCAACCTCCTCGTGGGCCGGAGCAACACAAAGACGGACGACAGCGACTGTTCTATGCCTTGCTCAGGCGACCCATCGCAGTTCTGCGGCGCGGGCAACCGCCTTACCTTGTATTCTCTCAACGGTGGCCCGGTTAACTACCAGGGCAGTGGTTCGGGCTCTACGCCTCCAGCAACCCCCTCCTCGTCCGGCACGCCCAATACCGATCTTGTCTGCCCGAGCAGCAACGGGGCCACATACACCTCAAGTGGCAAGAAGTTCACGGTACAATGTGGTACTGATCACGCGGGTAATGATCTCAAGTCATTGAGCACGGACACGTTTGCAGGCTGTATCGACGCCTGCGCCGCCACAAATGGGTGCGTCGTCGTTGCCTATTCTGGAACGGCTTGCTATCTGAAGAACGGAATCGGCGCAGAAGTCAAGAATGGCGTTTGGGGTGCGGTCATTCAGTCTACGTCGACGCCTGCTACAAAAACAACCTCAACTGTCTCGTCGACCACATCCTCCATCGTCTCTGCTTCAGCCAGCAGTCCCAGTGCGACACCCTCATCCTCGCCACCTCCCACCACCAATCTGGTCTGTCCAGATAGTGATGGCGTCACGTATAATTCCAACGGTCAAGCGTTCACAGTCCAGTGTGGCACCGATCATGCAGGAAATGACTTGACATCTTTGACCACAGACACGTTCGCAGGCTGCGTCGATGCGTGTGCCACGACAGCTGGTTGTGTCGTTTTGGCCTACTCCGGCACTGCCTGTTATTTGAAGAACGGGATAGGAGAGGAAGTTCAGAATGGTGTCTGGGGAGCCATCATCCAAAGGGCGCAAACGTCTTCAACGACGACATCGTCATCGGCTGCGTCAACCATATCATCTACGCGGTCCAGCTCGTCCAGCGTCTCCAGCGCGGCCTCCTCACCGTCTTCGACACCTGCTACCAGAATCACGTGCCCGAATAGCGATGGCGTCTCATACAACTCGAACGGCAAGACCTTTGTCGTTCAATGCGGCACTGACCATGCTGGAAATGACTTCAAGTCCTTGAGCACGGACACATTTGCTGGCTGCGTCAACGCCTGCGCCACGACGGACGGCTGTGTTGTGTTGGCGTACTCTGGCACAGCATGCTACCTCAAGAACGCCATTGGCGCTGAAGTGAAGAACGGTGTCTGGGGCGCCATCCTCAAGGTGGGGACAGCTGACTCTTCTACAACAGCGTCGTCGACTCTGTCAGTGTCGTCAACCTCGTCAGCATCGTCGACCTCGTCGGCGTCGTCAATCTCGTCATCGTCTTCAACCTCGTCGACTTCGTCAGCGGCTCCATCAATTTCGGTGTCGGTCGCTACAGCTTCTTCGAGTGGTTCGGCAACTTCTTCGTCAGTCTCATCCACAAGTACATCTGATTTGTCCGATGTGACAACAAGCACTTCGTCAGTGTCGTCCGGCAGTACATCTTCAACATCAAGTGGCACACCGCCGCCTCGCTCGACATCATCATCAGTTGAGTCATTTACAACAATTCTGTCTACTTCATCCTCAAGTAGTAGCACATCGGTCTCTTCCTCGTCGTCTTCGTCGGCCCCCACCGCTGTCCCAACAGCGCTTTCATGCCCTGCATCGAACGGAACAATCTACACGGTTGCATCAGGGGCTGAATTCAAGGTCGAGTGTGGAATCGACCACTATGGTGGAGACATGCCCAAGCCCAACCCGGTCTACGTCACCAAGTTCCAGGCATGCGTGGATGCTTGCGGTGCCCGTGAAGGGTGCAAGGCTGCCGCTCTTTCCGGCACCGCCTGCTACCTCAAAAGTTCAGTTGGACCCCCGATCAAAAACAAAGTACTTGGTGCAGTCCTCGTTCCAGATGGCAGCAGAGCGACTTCATCAAGCTCATGCGTGACGTCGAGGTCCTGCACATCGGCCCCCTCACCCTCATAGCATCCCTATTCTGGGCTGCGTGATGTGGAAAATTTGGTGGAGTTGTCGTTGCCTTCACACTAATGGTTTGCACAGTCCCAGTACGCCTTCATGGCAATCTGATCCTGGGGCGGAGTCGTTTTGGTTGCTTTCTCTCATTTTGTATTTAGACTTGCTTGCCTCCCTTTCACATACATAGACAAGTTTATAATAAGCTATATGATCCTTCCGCCTCTAACGCACCCATGCCGTCGGATGACAATGCACGTCAAAGCGATACTGTCTACGCACTGCATTTCCCGACAGCCCAGTGATTTGTGCATTATCTCAACAGCCGCGATGTATGGTTTTGCTCGAGGACAGCTTCGTGCCCTTTGCCGCCCTTCTTCAAACCCTATCCGGCCATCATCGCCCTCGACGGATTTTACTGACACTCAATAACGCCAGGCCACGATGGCCAGGGAATCGGGAGATGGCAAGTGGTTCTTGTTGGCGACGAGCTCGATCGAGGAGGGTGTGTGTTCCAGGTGCACCACTCTTTGGACCTGCGTATCATGCGGGAGGTGGGTCTTCTGTGACGCCGCTAGGCACCATGACACGGCTCGTGTCTAGGCACCGGCAGGATGCAGTCCGGTGTGCCGGTTTGTCGACCGAGGCTGGAAGTCATGGCTTCTGCAATGGCTGGCTGGCTGCGAGCGGGATGGCATTCACTGTCATCATGCGTGAAGGATCATGGGCGAGCACGGCCGGCCAACATCACCACGACGCAGCAGTGCCAAGGTGAGTGTGGCTAACAGGGGATGACGGGGACGTTGTTTTACAACTCGTCACTTCGCACACGGCAGTCCTGATCAACGAGGATCGTTTTCGCAGGGAACTGTGTCTTGGCCAGACTGCAGCAAATGTCAAAACTACATCAATCGCTGGAAAAAAATTTGTTTGCCTTGGAAGCAACTGAGAGCAGGTTGACCGCCTCACTGGACTGGCGAATTGGTCCTGTGTCGCAGTGCAGGCGGATGCCAAGGCCGAGCTGAGGATGGGCACGGCAACACACGTCACACTGCATTGCAGCGCGCCCAGCAGAGACAAGGCCCAGCTGTGCGTCATCTCGTATTGAAGAGACGAGCTGGCAGTGACCAGAAATAATGTTTTTTGTTGCCGCGGCCGAGTCCAGCAGCACCACGGATCACGCCCAGAGACAGAGTCGGAGGCCGAGACCAATCACAACATCATCAGGCCAGCGCGCCGATGCGAAGAAGATGCAATGGCTTTGGGTACAGCTTCGATGGCGGATGACGGCAAACTCCGACTTCAACACATAAATAGGTCACGGAAGCCCCCGAAACCCGGCATCGAGAGCAACGACCCCTCTCTATCTTGCCAGGAGCAGCGCATTGTTCCGAACAGCCACGACGCCGCCCGCCACAATGGCTCCATCGGCACACTTGCGGACCATGACAACGCTTGCCCATCTTGCCGCCATGGCCGCGGCAGTGGGCGAGTTCCATGTCCCAAGCTTCTACGCCTTCTCACCCAGTGGGCGGCCGGGCAACAGCGGGTATTGCCGCATGAATTGTAAGTCGCTCAGAAGACGCTGTTGTCAACCCCCAATCCAAGAAGTACTGACACAAGTTGCTCGTCTCTGGCAAGTCACCATCATCGACACCCAGACGGCCGACGAGACCGAGTGCCACCCGTTCTTCACCTGCTACGAGGTGAACGACCAGCCCTTTGTGGCCTTCCCCGATGCCACGGCCCCCGTGGTGTGCGACGACGACGCCTTCAAGGTGTACCTGGAGGAATACACCAGCATTGGCAGCTTCCGCCTGCATGTCGAGCACTGTGCCGCCGGCGCGGCAGCACCGAACGAGGGCGTGAGCGACGTCATCAGCTACGACAACTACTCGCGGGCCGACGGGTACGTCTTCATCTGCGGCGCGAGTGGCGTGTGCGAGTCCAGATTCGACAATCCGGCCGTGCCCATTGTCGTGCCATTCATTATCTAGTCGAGACGGCTTGGAACATACAAAATTTGGTGGACCAGCATTGGCAGCAATGGAAAGGGCTAGGGAACGCGCTTCTGCCAGCATCGGCGAGCCCGTTTGACCACATTTTGCTCGACACTGTCCAGGACTGCTCCGTTAGTTACTGAAGTCTCGTGTGAGTTGTGCTGTGTCGTGGCGCTCACTAGCTGGCTGGCCGCAAGAGCAAGCAACAGCTGTTGCATATGGGCAACGAGGGAGTGCCCCGCGACTTGGTAGTAATACTGTACGTTGACTACCTGCTGTGCACATGTTGTGCGTGCAATTGTATAAGATAAGGGGCTACGCGGTGATCATGATCAACCGGTGGCGCGCGTCTCTATCTTGCTGCACTCATTACGACCTTGCCCTAGTCGTACTGGAACATGCCCCCTTTCCTAGCTCCAGTACTGCTCATAATTACAGCCCCGGGGCGTTGATCGTGCCGCGAGCTCGGCGCGCCGCACGCCAGCCCCGGTCCCGACCATCAGCTCAACGCGCACGTTGGGAAAACTGCCCAGTAGGCCCTACATAACCGTCGCGGCCGTCGTCGTGCCGTACTCGCCGTCCGGTAGTACGGTGATAACGGCAATATGCGGCCCGATGCGTCCCAGCGCGTAGCTGTTGATGTCGTGCGGCGAGGTGTATGGGGCACGCCGGCGTGGGTGGCGTCGAGAAACCGTCCACGTCGGGATAAACCCATAAGGACAGCGACATGTAAGAACGATGCATGAGTAACACTTTGACCCCTCTACTAGCTGGCCTTGAATTCTCAGTCCCGGCCAACGGGGAAAAAGCCTTGCTCATGGGGCTTTTGGTTGTTGCTCACCTGCAGAGCTGTCAGCGAGTGTGTCAGCGGCCTGAGAGGACAAGTTGGTTGCCAAGGCTGACTTGACTGCACCATTTTGGGGCTGAAAGCTGCAGAAAGTGGCCTCGACTAGTGCAGGGACCAAAACAGTCCGAAATGCCCCATTGTATGCAGTTGTGGCCCAAGTCTTCGCCGGATGTTGTCCTGAGGGCACCAAGGCGAGAGAGAGGATGGGAGCAAGTCGAGCCGAGAACCCGAAAAGCATATAGCGTTAGTGTGAATGTAGCTTGATGTCTCTTCCCCAGGTTTAAGTATCGGGCTGTGACCGTGCGGTTGCGGGGTCGGCTGTGCTTTCCAGGGTTGCTTTCCCATTCTGTGCGCACAAGTCCGTTTATCATATCATCTCGCGAGATCGAGGCGGTATCATGGAGCCCACGCTCGTAATTCAAGTGGCAAGGGCCCAGCCTAGTTCTCCATTGCGCGCCCCAAGAGTGAAACGTTCGTCGTTGGCGTATGCACACTTCTGAGGAGGTCAAGCTTGAATCGTCATAAAGGATGGCACAGATCCTTGTTGACAAGTGGGTGTTTCGCTCTGCATGTCGAACCCCGGTCTTAGCCTCTTGAGGGGGCCCTTCTGGACAATCCGCCTGGATGTCCGATGTTGATTCTGTGCCTTGCCACCGCCAAGGCCGTAAAATAAAGCTGACCAGCACTGCAAGCAGCAAGCGAGCGCTGGGTACTAGTAGCATGCGTTGGATATGCATTTGTGACTGCTGAACCGTGCTTAAACGCGCATGGATTTTGCATAGTCCCATGGCGAACTGATCGGATCGTGGCGTGAATCTAGGGTTTTTTGTCCTGGCTAGACCAACGCGTCTGCTTCCTCTGGATGGATTGAGCACGTGCATGTTCACTTAGCCATGTCCGACGGCGCCAACTCAATAGATGCCAAGACCTGGCGCAGCTCCAGACCTCATGGAGGTGGGTTGTCCAAGCTAGTTAAAGCCCATGCCAATGTTTGGTGCCGATCTAATCCAAAGCGCATCGTCTAGCCCTGACAGTGTCCACATGCAGAGAACCCAGCCGGTACTGATTTCTTGCCGATGCGAACCTGGCCCCGCGCCTAAATAAGCGTCAGAGATCCTTTCAAGGGAGCGGCAGGGATTGAGGGCTGACCCACGATTAGAATTGTTTCTCCCGGGCTCCTTATCGGCACTTCACTCTCGAAAGTCAGCTCGGAAACTCGTTTGGGCCGCCGGGCGCTAACTATTGACGAAGGTACTGCTAACAACATGGCACTTGGACTTGTCCACCTACCCGCCGTTCAGCTGGTATGTCGGAGCTTTCCAAGTATCTCGAATTGCTCTTTCTTCCGAGATGGTGCTGTGCTTCTTGTGATGTTGCTGCTATTGCACGACAGCCATAGATCCCTGGTGCGAAGTGGGTGAGGAATGTGTATGATCGTTACGTTACGCGGGCGCGAAGGTCTTCTCGTCAAAGTCGTGCTCCTTCAACGAGCTTCTCAACAACGACATCTGTCCCGGGAGTACACCATCCCAACCCATGCTCGACAACAACATATACGATGAATCCTTGTCGAGTTTCTTGGACACTAACATCCATCCCTGTATCGCGAGCCACCCTACGTGCCGAGCCAAAGTGAAGGTACTTGACCTTTGACATAGACTCGAGTCCACCCACACACATGCTTATAGATCGACCACATTCAAGCCACCTGATTCCTTTGAACCATCAATCATGATCAGTGTCGGATCTCGAGCCCGTGATCCGAACCCACTAATAACTTGAAGCATTTAAAGACATGGTCAATCACACCCCGCCACCATCTCCTTATCGTCTCTCATAGTCATAATCAGACATCAATCGAGACTCTGATTCAGGTTTTCACTAAGAAAAGTATTTAACAGGTCCAGGGCTATTGTGGGTTGGTTATGATGGCAACGCCAACAAGTTGATCGGTACCTTTCCAGTGGAGTCCCCGCCGGTTTTGGCTAGCGTCAAACGTCGAGTTACGTGGGACATGTACTGCTCGTACTGCTTGTGGCTAGTGTGTATGTGGCTGTTTGCAACCACCGAGTTGGAGGAGGAAAGGTCATTCGAGAAGGTCCAGAAATCAGATGGTTCAATAAACAAACTAGCAAAATGTACTGCCTATATTAACTGCATCACCTCGTTGCAGCCATCTTTCCACTCAAAGAAGCATAATGACCCTCGCAAGCTAACGTAGTAGTATGAGTTGGCCCTAACACTTCCCTGAGTCTACTCAAGGCCTTGACAAAAAGCTCGCCAGCCTCGTCGAGTCGATTCTGCATATGGTAGAGGTAAGCGAGGCAGTAGGTGCTCGTGAGTGTGTCGGGATGGTGCTTGCCCAGAGCTTTCTCACAATCATCAAGCGCCCGTCGATACATCGCCTCGGCCTCTTCGTACTTGCCCTGGTCCCGCAGTAGTCCAGCGAGATTACTGACGCTGTTGATTGTGGAATGGTGGTGCTTGCCTAGCGCCATCTCATAACCATCAAGCGCCCGCCGGCTCATTGTCTCCGCCTCTTCGTACTCTCCCCGTTGCTGCAGCACTCCGGCAAGATTGCTAACGCTCGTGAGTGTGTCTGGATGATCCTTTCCCAGCGCCTTCTCGCGAAGTTGAAGCGCCCGCCGGTTCAGCGCCTCCGCCTCTTCGTACTTTTCCTGTTCCTGCAGCACTCCGGCAAGATTGCTGACGCTCGTGAGTGTGTCTGGATGACCCTTTCCCAGCGCCTTCTCGCGAAGGTGAAGCGCCCGTCGGTTCATCGCCTCAGCCTCTTCGTACTTGCCCTGGTGCTGCAGGACTCCAGCAAGATTGCTGACGCTCGTGAGTGTGTCTGGATGATCCTTTCCCAGCGCCTTCTCGCGAAGGTGAAGCGCCCGTCGGTTCATCGCCTCAGCCTCTTCGTACTTGCCCTGGTGCTGCAGGACTCCAGCAAGATTGCTGACGCCCGTGAGTGTTGAAGGATCGTTTTTGCCCAGCACCTTCGTATAACCATCAAGCGCCCGCCGGTTCATCGCCTCCGCCTCTTCGTACTTTCCCCGTTGCTGCAGCACTGCAGCAAGATTGCTGACGCTCGTGAGTGTGTCTGGATGATCCTCTCCCAGCGCCTTCTCGCGAAGGTGAAGCGCCCGTCGGTTCAGCGCCTCCGCCTCTTCGTACTTACCCTGGTTCAGCAGCAATTTAGCAAGATTGCTGACGCTCGTAAGTGTGTCTGGATGGTGCTTGCCCAGCGCTTTCTCACAATTAGCAAGCGCCTGTCGGCTCACTGCCTCCGCCTCTTCGTACTTCCCCTGGTCCTGGAGCACTCCAGCAAGATTGCTGATACAGGTGAGTGTGGAACGATGGTCTTTGCCCAGCACCTTCGTATAACCATCAAGCGCCCGTCGGTTCATCGCCTCCGCCTCTTCATACTTGCCCTGGTGCCGCAGTAATTCAGTAAGAATGCTAACGCTTATAAGCATATCCCTAGTCTCTGCGCCAAGAACTGCCTCTTGAACCTCTACTGCCTTCCGCAGTAATGCCTCAGCACTCTCATACCCTCCCACCTTCCACCTATATGATCCTGCGTTTGTCAATAAACGCGCCCATTCTGTCGCTCCCTTAGTATCTGCAGGCTGCGTTTCGATAAGCTGCGCAATATGAGGCTCAAGTTGCTGACACTTTGGCCAATTCTTATAAATCCCCAACGGGTAGTCCTCTGACATGCCTTGTAGAAATATCTGCTTCCATCTTGCTATATTACCCACTAACGAGAGCCATGCTCGCGCACAAAACTGTACGAGTGCATGCATCTCATAGATACCTTGTTGCACGGTAACGGCCACAAGCGAGTAATCTCGGAGCGTTTCTAGGTCATCGTCCAGACCGTCGTCGTCGTCGTTGTCATCTTCGCCGTTTTCATCATCATCATCATCGTCGTCGTCGTCGTCGTCGTCGTCGTCGTCGTCGTCGTCGTCGTCGTCGTCGTCGTCGTCAGACTTTCCATCATCGTGATATTCCCCAATCATGCGTCTCCGCTGATAGTAGCTTCGCAGTACCCATTCCGGTATCTCCTGCGGGTCGAAAAGGCTCATGAGAGAGAGCAAGTCTGCTGCCGACCGCCGCTCCTTCTGGATCTGCTCAAACGTGATCTGCCACGTCACCATGACCGAGTTCGCTGCCGTCCCGTCACGCCGAAGATCACCCAGATCTCGATTTAGCAGGCTTTCCTTCTTTTTCTCATTCTTTCGAAAGTGTTCCAGATACGTCGAGCATGAGATCCGTGGCCATCGTCGGGCGATGTACGCAGCTGCCTGGGTGATTGCGAGAGGTATGTACTCGAGCGCTTGAGCTAAGGGGGCGGCTGCCTCTTCCTCGTATTTGTCGCGAAGCCTTTTCTGAAGTAATTGCGTTGCTTGGTTCTCGCCCATCCGCTGCATGGGGAAGACACCCCAGCTGCCTGCTAGCCGTTCGGCCGCATCCCTGTTCCGCGACGTAACGAGGATCCTGCCATTCTCAGTCTGCGGCAGAAGCGACGCCAATACTCGTTGCTTTGATATAGTTGTCCCAGCCCGGTCGCGAATGCTTGGATAGAACACTCCGACATCGTCCGCATTGTCCAGTATCATTAGCCAGTACCCATTCTCCGCGCTGAACAACCAGTCATACACCAGCTGCAGCACATCGACCTTGGGATCATGGCGGTGTGGCAGCTGCAGTCGCTCTGCAATGCCGCGATACGCCTCCTCAAACCGCGCTTCGGTGTCCGCGTGTACCCAGAGCACGAACGTAGTCGGCGATTGTTGTCGGATTCGGTGCGCGTACTCGATCGCTATCTGAGACTTGCCGATACCTCCCAGGCCGACGAGGGCGGCACGGCTGCCAGGCTGCCCGAGGGTTGTATCCAGCCACGCAGTCACGTCAGGTCGCTCGACGAAGTCGGCATCGGGAAGGAAGGGGACGGTCGAGAAGGATTCGACGCGTCGCGGTGTGGATTCTACAAGTCGTCAGCCTGCCGATTCTTGCTGTTTCGTAGGAGGGCCGGCCCTCACCCGGTTCGTGGACGGTGACGTTCAGGATCCCTCCCGAGACGTGGGTCCCCGCTAAGACGGTCCGGCCCTCGATCCGCTCAAATGTCGAAGACGGGGCTATTGGTCGAAGTGCGGGGAAATCCATCCCAACCGCTGACGGACTCGAGCGAACACTAGTGAAATTCAGATTGTAGGAGCATTCGGTGCCTTAACCATGCTGCAAACATCAGCTAACAGGCTGCGCAGAGGATCACCCCTTGTTTCGGAAATTGAAGCTACGGCTGAACTCCGGAACAACTCAGCTGCAACCCCGCATCATATCCATCCCGCTCCTTCACCTTAGTCACCGGAAAAGCCCTTTACGTTTCGACCATTTATGAACCGACTTCTCGACCGCCTCTCTCAACGTACGCTTACAAAGAATGGAACTGGATCCCGCCGACTACACTATCGCATGGATTGCCCCTTTGGAGATCGAGACGCAGGCCGCCCTGCATATGCTGGATAACAGACACCATGGCCGGTTCTCCGTCAGTCGCGGCGATGACTACGTGTTTCACGCTGGCGACATAGGTGGACATAATGTCATCATTGCAACTCTGCCAGCTGGCCAAGAATACGGCACAGGATCTGCTGCAGCGCTTGCGGGCCAGGTCAAGAAGTTCTTCCCTAACCTGTGGTTCGGCTTGCTCGTTGGCGTGGCTGCTGGCCTGCCAAGGACTTCCCAGACCCAAGCACGAGACATCCGGCTAGGCGACGTCTTGGTCGCTCTTCCCGAGGGCGACAGCGCTGGACTTATTGCATATGACCTTGGGAAAGAGACTGGGACGGATACGTTTCAGCTCTTGAAATCCGGGCATGTGCTAGCTACTACCGAGACCGTTATCAGGTCAGCGATCGGAAGTATTAAACTTCACGCACCGAATGACGCAGCTATTTTCCTTCCATTCTATAACAAGATGAAGGACCAGGAACATATTGGGGGGACATTTGTTGATCCGGGCCAGGAGAATGATGTCCTGTACGAGACGAGCGATGACGGCAACGAGCAACAAGTAGTCAGAGAAGCACGACCAGCCACAAGACGGACTCGCGTGTGGTATGGTCCGATAGGCTCTGGAGAGAAGCTCATGAAAAATGCTCGCAAGAGGAATGAGCTGCGAGACAAGTACAACATCATCGGGCTCGAAATGGAAGCAGCTGGGACAATGAATCGCATTCCCGTTGGGGTGATTCGAGGCGTCTGTGACTACGGAGACGAGCACAAAAATAAGGAATGGCAGCCATACGCCGCCGCCATGGCAGCCGCGTATGCAAAGGCCCTCTTGTTGGAGATTCCGCCCAAGAAGGGAACATCCTCAACAACAGCGCAAGAGCAAGGAGTTCACTTCAATGGCCCGATCTCAGGACGCAACGTGCTTGCAGGGATGACCACATCAGGCGGAACGGTGAATCTGAACTTTTCATAAGTTGACGACACCGTAGGAATTGGCATTCATTGGCAGTTCCTTTAATCTTACTAATACATTGGTGCTATTGGGGCCCTCTGTGGTGATGGCATAATTTCATAGTGAACAACCTCCCCTCCAAACGGCCAACCCACGGGTATTTTCAGGTCTAGCGCCCCAAGACCTGACTCTATTGGCTCGGCTCCTCGCGCTTCCTCTTGGTCAGGCACATTTGTCCCTGGTACAATGCTCTTCCTGCGGCGATCGCGACTTATATATATGAAGTCATATCGTAAGAATCACCAAAGTCTCATTCAGAGAGATTTCGAGGGGTACATGAGATCTTGTGTTAAGATGGTGGGTGGTAAGCAAGGTAGTGCTGAGGGTCATTTTCGAAACGCCGGAATTTTTGTAGAAAGTTATGCTTGGAAAAGAATTGAGTTTGTTCTAGAGCACAAAGTACTTAATCTACCACGACTTCATCTACCTATCGGTGCAGGCTTTGTAAGTTTTGCAGATTTTGCAAGCGCTCATTTGGTATATGCAGGTGACTGACATTTTCTCTTCGGCTACTATTTGGCAGAGCTATGTACGAGAGGCTCGGTATCGCATGGGCTAGTTCCGCCTTCGCCTTTATCTCGGTCGCGTTTATTCCGATCCCTTTCATCCTCTATCGCTACGGCGAGAAGATTCGTCACAAGAGCAAGAATGCGAGACACGACTTCTAGCCAAAGCTGCCAGGCGAACAGTGTTAATGGAGACTACTTATCTGCATTTGGCCCTGAGACTAATCTACGGCCTGCCTAGAGTGGAGTAAGATTTCACGTAGAGCAAGCCAAGATCGTCTCGGGAGGTCTTCGTTTCGATTCATATTGTCTACACTTTCTCTTATATTTTTTATCACGAGCGCAAGCTATATCCGTAGCCTCCAGCCACTTTAGACTTGGTAGTCCCTAGACTTAATCTACTGGCCAGCATATAAGCGGCCGATTCGGCGGACTGAACTACTCCAGATCCTCCGTGTTCCACTTCAAGCTCTGCTCCAAAGTAGTCCAACCGCCCTGGCCAAGGTCACGAAGCAGCTGCTCGGCCCTAGCACGGGGCACAACCTCGTAGAGATCCCTCCCTGACTGGAAGTTCTCCGGGAACGTCTTATTGGGATGCATCTTGCGGAAGATGTCCAGTATCAAATCTCCGTTGTAAGGCGCTGCAAACCCAAATATGCGTTCCGACACCACGTCCGGGTGTATAGCAGCGGCCACGTGCAGGCGGGCGGCGTCCTGCACATCAACAAAGTGCTCTAAAATACACAATTGCACGTTAGTCACCAATCTGGAGCTTGCACATGTTGACTAGGCTGAGAGTGCGGCAAGATTAGACTCACGAGGTGGAAGCATCTTCATATACGTTGCGTCGCCCTTGAACAACGCAGCCAGCATCCCGGCAGTGCTCGGATGGCCTTGATGCTCAACAGAAAGGCTCTTGCCGAGGGCCAGGTTGGGTAGTACGGTGTTGAGCACGAATGCCGGTTTCTCTTGCTGCACGAACTTCCACGCCTCCTTTTCGGCTAAGGTCTTGGCCGCAGCGTATACGGACCAGGCCCGCTCGGGCTCATACGGCGGCGGGCGGTTTGCGACCTCGATGACACCGTCGTTCCAGCTATCCACAGTCAGCGTTCCCGGCGTGTCTGCCAGGTTCGCCGACGCGGTGACGGAAGACGAGGTGAGCACGAAGCGCTTCACTAGGGGCTCCTTGGCAGCGGAGCGTATGGCGCTCAGTACCATCTCGACGGTCCAGGGTATGATGGCGTTCGGGTTCGGGCTGAGGCTCGTGTCAGTCGCGGTATGGACGACCGCTGCTGCTCCCTTGACCACGTCGTCGAAGGCGCCGGGGGCGGCCATGTCCGGGACCGCGACGAGGGAGAACTTGTCGGCGCCGTACTTCTCCGCGAAGAGCTCGGAGACCCAAGCGTTCTTGCTCACATCGCGAGTCGTCGCGCGGACTTTGTAGCCACGCTGCAGGAATTGGTCGGAAATGTGCGAGCCAATGAAGCCAGTAGCGCCGGTGACTACCACCAGGGAGCCCTTAGGGATGGCGGGGGAGTCGATAAGGGACATTGTGTATATCCTTTTGGTGCAAGTGGATTGGTTGGTGTCGGTAGATGATGTTTTTAAGTGTGGATGGTAGCAGAAGAATGCTTTGCAAATGAGGTCTCTCGTCTTGCAACGAGAATCAGTGATGAAGCTGTCATGGGAACCGCGACTTTATCTTCGAACCAGCTCATGGAGCTGAACATGATTTGCAATCCGATCGTGAGTTTTGAATCCGAAGGCGTAGTATCCGTTCGAGCGAGGGTCGAATTGCATGCACGTCGCTGACAACGCAACCATCTCCACCGGGCCGTTCGAGTCCGCAAGTGCCGCTTTCCCAAAGAGCATTTGTAAGGGCCTGGAGGTAGTCTGCATGGGGATCCCGGTCCAAACGCGACACTATCTGAAGTGTATTTCCAATCGGGGGAGTCCGATGGCCAATCAGAGACGCGCCTGGGTCTGGGAGGCGTCTTGGCCACTTTGTCAGCCAGGCCCCAGGTGAGGAGGGCTGAAACTTGCTTCTGCTTCTAAGACCAGGGATGTGTTGGGGTCCGAGACTTTCGTCATGTCTTCATTCTCGTCTGTTCGTGCCCCTCTCGGGCTTTGACTACTGTTGGTCTGTCATCGATCGAACTAAGTGGACGGTTAAAGATAATGCCCTCTGGTTTGAAATCAAAGCGCTTGACGTTTCTACCGCGCGGTTTTTGCCAATCCAACCGACTTTAGACATCAATACTGTACTCAAGCAGGAGGGGGTAGGTTAGATCCAGGAGGACACCGTGTCGTTTGCATGGGGTCCTAAGCCAACCAACTTTCACTAACTCTCCTACCAACAAACGCACCAGACGTTCGCGACTTGGGCATTTGCTCATCCAAGCTCCGAGCACCAGGGAAGCATGCTATCGTCCAGTTAAAATACCATACCGTATTTTTGGGTCAAGCATCTGTATTCGACCCAAAAAGTCCGTGTCAGCCTGGAGTAAATGACTAGGGCTATGCTGCGAACAACTGCCACGCCGCAAGTGTGCACCAGAGACAAGTGTTTTTCTACAGTGTACGACTGTCATGGGATTGATACTCGGATATCCTATCACCTGGCTCATCAGACCAACTCGATGACCCTATCCTCAGCGTCGTCGAAGTGGTGCCGATTATAAGACGCGGCCATACCGACCCGACGATAACAGGGGACGGAGGAAGACATGGCTTTCCCCACATCCTGCACTTCTTGTAAGGTCAAAAACTGCTCTCTCATCCAGGAGGGACCTTTAGGTTTCCCTGGAAGAACTTTTTTCATCAGGAGGCATGTATACAGACCCTCCTCAAACGTTCCGTCTTGTATATTCATCCGATCAGGTCCAAAAGTAGACAGAGGACGAACTTCGAGGGATGGGATCAGCAAATTCTTGACCGGCCCGCACAGCGTAAGATGTGCTCGCAGCAGCTCCGAAACCAGAGGCTGATCCTGCCACTTGATATCCGAGCTGATTAGCCGTGTGCAATTTACGTTCGCGCCATTGGAGAACTCTATCGAATCTTTTGGGCTCGCCATTTGCTTATACCTCGAGATCCATGACCAGGACGGAATGCCTGGGATCAATTGCGAGTCGTCAAGTCGGTGGGTCCCTTCCCAGGCGAGATCCGAGGCGATTGTTTCTTCCCAGCAGCCCAGCAGGTACGTGAAGCCGCTTACTTCCGCCATGCGTTCGACCATCCCTGTGAGTGCAGGGAGCCTATCTGAAGTAAATGCGAATTCCAGCTGGCAGTACATCGACATCCACTGGCGCCATGTAGTGTAAGCAAGAGCAGAGACATTGCTGGCCTCATTGAGGCCATCTATGAGATGCATCTGCGCGAAGGTCCGAGTAAAAGAATGATCAAGGAGAGGCGGTCCGGCCAGATTAACCCCAGCTTCGGTCAGGTACACCTGGCTACACTGCCAGTGCATTTCTGGGAAGCAGCAGTGCATGATACGTCGAGAGAGGACTTGCTCTTGGAGGGTCCAGCCACGCGCGCTCAGTATACTACGCGACGTGCTCTGTCCAAGCGGATATGGGTAGACTCGGACGCTGAAAACATGTATGGAGTCTCCTGCTGTTCTGGCCGTGAAGCGATGCACGTGATCCAGCCGGTCAATCACATTGAAAGTTCCAGATGCCTCACTTCTGGACAAAAGCGACTGGTCGACAAACAATCCTTGCCTACTCGAAGCCGCACTCGATGCGGCGATCGTGAGGAGGGCATTCGCAAGACGTCATTCATACGCGAGGCCTCGGCCCGCCAGTCTTCGGCATCGTCCTGCACAATGCAGAGGCTGTCAATCCAGATGTGCGTGATTCCGAGACTGCGGCAGAGAGAAAAGGCTTCGCGAAAGGTCCGGGGGGCCTCCATCTCGTTGACCTGGCGCATGTGTCGCTCGAGGTTAGCTCTAACAGTCGTCATGGCCACATGGCCGCCCCAGCAGTGGCTGAGGGCAGCGTATCTTGTTACGCCGGTGCATGTGGGCTCGGAGTCGCTTTCCACTAGGCGGGTACGGTCGTGCTCGGCAAAGTTGCGCGAAGAAGATAGGCGGATGAGGCGTTTCGGCAGTGAGTCTCGTGCTGGCTCTTTGAACTGCTGGTTGCACCTTGTATGTTCTTTCTCGCAAGTTTCCAACCAGCGCCTAGCAACCAAGTGCTTTTCCTGAACGCTAGCGCTAGGGGCTGGTGTCGTCCATATTGCTGGGACTGATAACGCGCCCGCCCTGGTCGGGTAGAAAGCGACCGACAGATAGATCTCGAGGTCTTTGTAATTTGAGCTGAACTTCAACCCGACAATGATTGGGTAGAATGTAATTTGCGCCTCATCTCTTTTTGGAAGGCTGCTGTGCCGCTCCGAGAGTCTGAGGGAGACTCTGACGACAGCAGCGTTCAGATCGCGCGCTGTGAGCCCGAGATAGTCCGCGCTGCCAAGTCTAGCTGCAAGAGTGTCGAGGATCACGCCGCAGATGGCGCAAGAATCTGACACGGATTGCCCCAAGCATTCCTTGAAATATTCCTCGTAGGTGTCGCTGCTGTCCAAGAACACTGGCGGTTGGCGTGCATTGAAAGGTGCGGAGCACCGCAGGCACAAAGGCCGCACGTGGTTGGGGTCGGAATGTAGAGCCATCTGTTGGCAGAGCAAGCATCTGCGAGACGAGGAGGAGGCAGAAAGCGGGGTTGGCATATCTTATAGTCACACGTTGACACCGATGCCAAGCTTGCCTCTGATGTGCGTCTGCTGGGTACAGTTCCCGAGCACAAGAACTCCCACCCGTGGCCGATACGGGTTGCACCATTCTCCGCATGGCTCTTTCATCACGAGAACGAAGGTGACGCGCAGAAACGCGACAGCAACCAGCTCCCGCTCCTGTCCCTACTTTCCGCGTCCCACCTGACTCACTCAGATAGATGACTTACAACCAACAGCCAACATCCTTTCACCGCCCCCGCGACGCCAGCGAAACTCGCACCATGCGCTCGGCCAGGCGACCTCTGCCATCACCCTGTCCACGCGCAGCATGACCACCACCACCACCAACATGGCCTCTTCATTATTTCCGGCATTGCCAACCGAGCTCCGCGTGCAACTCTGGTCTTTCGCCGTCATGCACCCTCGTCGCATTCTCTTGGATGCGCAGAAACTCGTGCTCGGACCCGCATGGCTCTCAAAGACCCCTGCGTCCGCCGTCGTTCACGCCTGCCAGGAGGCTCGGGCCAACGCACCATACGCAAAGGCTTTCCGGCCGCGATGGGGGGCATGGCCGGGACTCGGTACGCCTGAGCCAAATTTGTCATCGACATGGTTGTCATGGTCACCGAGGGCGAGGGCGACTAGCGAGCTGATCCGCTCGGACTGATCGAAGACGACGAAGTTCAGAAGTTTGACTATTACGTAGACCAGTATTACGACCTGTGCGTAGAGCAAGTCAACGGCGTGCTAGAGCATAGTATTTAGTAGCTTTCAATTTTTGGTCTCCGCTACTATCGATCTGAGCTTTTGTTTTTCTACCAATCTGTCCTCAGGTAAACCAGACATCGTGAGGCAAGAGCAAGGGTGTGGGCCAAGTTGGTCAATATCTCCAAAGCAATAATTCCCAAGCCTTGTCCATGAAACGAGTACGATCGGACACGATGCCTCCACTAACCCAAGACATCGCTGCTCAAGGGCAGCTAGCAAGCCAACAACTTCGCCTCCGTCTGCTCCCACCCGGTCCCAGGCAAGCTTGTGCTCCCGGGCCATTTTTTCTTGATAGTATTACGTCTTAAATTCTTCAATGTCTTTTGTGATCTGTGCAGGTGTCTTGCCGTTGGGATCATTGAGTGCGACCGCTAGCGTCTCATCTCAGTCGACTGTGTCCCACCTCAAGCTGGGGTCGACCGGGCTGGCACCAGGCGGGACCGTCTTGAGAACAATCTTGATGCCTTTGACGTCCTGTATTGCTGATAGCAGCCGCGACAACATGGGGTGCATGATCGCCATGTCTTGCCTCCCGGACGAGTGTGATTGCAGGTTCACAACCTGTGTTGAGACTCTCGAGCGCGTTGTTGCTTTTGGCCTTGATGACCGCATCCCAGCCATGCCGATTACTTTGAGATAATTGTCCTCGTCGAGTTTCACGACTTTGTACGACTTGTAATCCTGGACTATCGTCCACGCCAGCTTTGGTGTGCCATCGTTGTTCTCATTTGGTATCCACGGTATCCACGGTCCCTTGAGATTATTGGGGTCTGCCTTCGTGAACGACTTCTTCAATGCTATACCGCAGAGATGCTTGGGGAGTCTGGCTGCTGTATTTTCCGCGTCGAAGTCTTCGGAGTCGACTCCGAGTTACTTTTCGTTTGCGTCGGCAACCAGGGCCAGGGTCTTTCCGAGTTGATTGCCACTTATGTGCCATGACTTTGTAGAAGGTGCACACCTTGCCCGAATTGGGCTTGCAAGGCTCCCATGGCAATTTTCCACCAGTCACTTGGTTGCAATGAGCCGCAACAGTGCGCACCTTTTGCAGCAATCTAGCCCGCCAATGAGGGAGCGCCCGGCGGCTCGGTAATAATGCTGTGCACATGTTGTGCGTGCACAATTGCATGAGACAGGGCCACGCGATGGTCCCCATATTATGCGGAATTCGTCACAGCGCACTCAACCGTGTTGCATTACTACGTCTCCAGGCCATGCCGCAGCTTGCCTTGCTCAACGGACCAAGAGAAGCTAGGTCCTCATATCCGTCCCCGGGGGCGTTAACGCCGCTTGCTGCCATTTGCCCAGCATAGAGACCTGCTACCAGGCCGTGGCATGCCCCGACGATGCGTGTGCGACCAGGAGGTAGTTTGATGCGGAGCCTGGTTGCTTGAGACCGATCGAGACCGCGTTGTTCTGTCGATCTGTCGCTGGATTGTATGGGCTACCGCACGCCACTCTGCATTTGAGGTCACTCTGGTACTAGGCTGGATCAACCTGAGTGCGAGCAAGCTTTCCAAGCCTATGCTGTCCCCTCCTTGTGGAAACAATGGTTGATCAGCAGGACGCTAACGACGCGCCCGCGCACACTAGCAGCTCAGCAGCCACGAAAAGTGGCTGTCTCGTCTACATCAATCGGAGCTAGTTTTCACCAAGCTTTGCACTCTCCAAGTTCGGCGTCAAGATTGACTATTCCAGCCCGCACTAGAGATCTTGGTGTATTCGCAGTCAGGCTCCGCTCCAGAAACGCCACCGCAGCTGAATGAACCCTGCGATGCGGGCAGAAGCTCTGTACGCATGAGCCGAGCTATTGCAAAGCACGGCCTTATCGCCACAAACTCTACTGTCCTCCCCTCCCTCTTTCCTTTGCGGTTCATTCCAATGAGAGTCACGAGGCCACCTTTACATCATTCCTGCTTCTCCATCCATAGGAATAGAGTCACACACGACTAAGAGTGGTTTTGCAGACCTACAGCGAACGACGATGGCAGCTCAGTAGTTAATTAGCGACGAGCCGTTACCTTTTATACAAGGCCTTTTGTCGTGGTGACGTGTAGTTCGGGAGACCAATGAGGTTAAGCAGAGACCTAGTGTGATTGATAGGCATTGTGCCACTTCGCTTGGCAAAAAGCTTGTGTACGGCGTAGCTCGTCGAGATCCCTCTCTCCTCGGCTAAAGATTGCATTCTCAGTAGCCAACCTAGGTCGTCAGCTTTTGAAAGAAAGAAGGCGCTGCATGGCCCCTCAGCTCGCACACTCATCCCCGTGGGCAGCGTTGTCGATAAATATCTACCGCAAACCCTTTTCCCACAGGATGGCAATCGTACTTCTCTGACATCTCCCATCATCCTTGACCATCCGGCCATTTTCTGTCACTACGATGCGTACTCTCCCAGTTTTCGTGTCGGGCGTGCTCGCTGCTGCTCTTGTTTCTGGTCGTGGTCCTCAGCATGTCGGCCCGGCTTTATCAAAAAGGGCTTTTAGCCACCCACGATCACCACGTGCAGCGGCCGCCAGAGATCAGCCCACGTTCCCATCTTGTCCAGAGCCTTTAATTGCACAGAATGCCAACACGACCAGTAAGTGACAAGTTGCCTGTCGTGTCACCCTGCTCTTCTAACCAAAGAAACCAGAGTACTTTGTGAATGGCACAGGCATTCCCGAGGTCGACTTCGACATCGGCGAGTCTTATGCCGGTCTCATGCCTATTGGTGAAGACCAGTCACGCTCGCTATACTTTTGGTTCTTCCCTACAACGAACCCACAAGGCAAAGATGATATTGTCATCTGGCTTAACGGTGGACCTGGCTGCAGCTCCCTAGAAGGGTTACTGCAGGAAAATGGACCGTTCATCTGGCAGTATGGCACATATCAGCCGACAAAGAACTATTGGACATGGGCCAACCTCACAAACATTGTGCGTCAGCTGCTATTCCGTAAATCAAACAATGATTTCTAACACAGGATAACACAGATCTGGGTTGAACAGCCTGTGGGAACAGGGTTTTCACAAGGCCAACCGACCGAGAAGAACGAAGACGATGTCGCCAAAAGTTTCCTCGGCTTCTTCAAGAACTTCATCGACACTTTTGCACTGCATAGCAAGAATATTTACATCACGGGCGAGAGCTATGCTGGCTTCTACGTGCCGTATATTGCTAGTGCAATGCTCGACCAGGAAGATAAGGACTACTTGAATGTCAAGGGGACATTAATCTATGATCCTGTTCTAGGCAATATAGGGTTGCAGACTGACGTAGTTACGGTACCTTACGTCGACAAGTGGGCTGAGCTTTTCAACCTGAACGACTCGTTTACTGCCGAAATCTATGACAGCCATAAGTCGTGCGGTTATCAGGATTATATCGACAAGTATCTGGTCTATCCTCCACCGGACGGGAGCTTTCCCGACCCTGTCGAGGCATCTACTACGACGGGATGCGATCTAGGGACGCGGGTCGCAAACGCCGTGTTCCTGGTAAACCCGTGCTTCGACGTCTTTCAGATCACCACTACTTGTCCCGTACTATGGGACGTTCTTGGATTTCCCGGCTCGTTCAACTACCTACCCGCAGGTACGGAGATCTACTTCAACCGTACCGATGTACAAAAGGCCATCAACGCACCCTTGCAGGAATGGAACGAGTGCGTCAGTGGCGTGTTAGTGAGTGGCGACACTTCTCCACCCCCAGCATGGTCTGTATACCCGAGCGTTATTGAGCGGTCTGAACGGTCTATCTTGGCTCACGGGAACCTCGATTACTCCCTTATTGATATGGGTGTGAGGTTAGTGATTCAGAATATGACGTGGGGCGGGAAACAAGGTTTCCAGGAAGCGCCAGGAAAACACAAGTTTTTCGTCCCGTACCACCCTGAAGCTAGTCAAGAGACGCTAGCCGCAGCAGGGGAGATGGGTATTGTCCATACCGAGCGCGGGTTGACTTGGGTCGAGACGTACTTATGTGGACACATGGTACCGCAGTACCAGCCCAGCGCAGCATATCGGCAGCTCGAGTTTCTCCTTGGCAGGATTGATAGTCTCACGGAGAAGGGAGATTTCACTACTCAAGCTGGTGATTATGGCAACTGATAGGGTTCTTTTCTTTTTGTTGGTTGGAAGGGGCGGAGGTCGGGGGGTTCGCTGATTGCTGCAGCATTTCTAGCAAACGAATCTAGTCTCGAGGCTTCTGAATCAGAACATTGTCAGCTTCTAAAAGGTTCGCCATAAACAAAATTTGCAATCGATGCTGGTGCTTCTCTTTGCCGCTGACACATTACCGGGTGGGGGTCGAATGTAATGTTCAAAGCGTCGAATTGTGGACTACTAGCGGGTGACTGTCGTCGAAGATCGAAACCGGAGTGAAAGTCGTTTGCTTACCTGGGTCGAAAGTTCTGGTAGCCTCTAAAGCGAGCGAATTGTCGCTGGGCATAGTGGACAATCGCGATTAACGAGGTAAAAGAGAATCAGTAGCGCCTGAGGCGCCAGAAGTTTGAGCATCATCATGTTCATGCCGACCGATGTGGGGGATCTACCATCTTGCTCAGAAAAGATAGGAGAAAATGGTCCAGGCAAAGACGAGGAGTCCTTGTATAGCCTCCACGCAGAAGGATGCGATGAGAACATATAGCTCGGGAGAGATATGCCAGTTCAGGACTGCCGAGACGGGTCGCAAGCTCGGAGGATGTAAAGTAGAAAAACGGGATGGTAGGTCCTACTAACCTGGCTTGGGAGGGACCGGATTGATAGCACGTCCTGCGGTTGTGCTGCCAAGGACAACTATCGAATGGTTCTGACACCACAGGAAGCATCTGCAGAGTGTTATTCAAACAATCGATCGCGGGGAAGAATGGGCAGCTTCCGAACCCTGCACGTGCCAGAAAGAATGCCAGTCCTCCAAACTGGAGCCTCACCACCACGCCAGGGTCGGGGGCACGACTAACATTAGAGACCCTTCCGACGCTACCCGGGATGATTGTCCTCGCGCCAACAACTGGCCAAAAGTTGGCAAAAAGGTCTTCTCTGCTGCACGATGCAGGGGCGCGGGGCATTCCTGCATCTCCAAGGAGTCGAGCGTTCCTATAAAAATGTAGGGGATACCGCATTCATCACGTTCTCCCTCTTTCCCAGTCGCCATTTCATCCTGTCATCTTACATGGTCACGCAAACATCATGGGCTTCCGTGTACTGGACGACGATCACGAAACTGCACTCAAAGCCAGCATCGAAACGTCTTTGTCAGCTAACACTGGACTACTTACCTGTCTGCGATACGAAGTCGGTCTGCCACTCCTCACGAACCCGCCCGAGGAAGAACTCGCATGTCACGAAACCGTCCAGGAAACCACCTTTGTCAGCGCACATATCTCGTCTCGCCTCCACAGCTTGTACTCGCAGCTCGCTGCCCATGCCACCGCCCTCACCAATGCCTCCGACTCAGCAACGAAGCTCGATACTGTCTCGCTGATCATCAAGGTGGCGGCGCAATCCATTAACAGAATCAAACCCTGCAATCACCGTGATTACCACTCTCGACGCCTCCATCTGCAAGACCCAGAGAATCTACCCCTGCTGCCCTTCGTACGTAGGCTGTCAGCCAAGTCCGATCTGACGCGTGGCGGCATCTGCGAGTCGTGCAACATTCGCCCTTTGTCACTCCTCCTTCCTCTGCAATGCGCAGCCGCCCTACCGCAGCTCACCACGCTGTGTCTACCTTGGTTATGGGAGAGACCTATGCCGTTCCCATCTCCGAGCACGCCTGTGCGAGAGCACTACACTCGGCACTGGGAGGGACCCTTGCGGGACGCGAGGCATGAATTCGGAAACGCGATCTGCCACCAGGAAAGGTACCTCTGCGGCAAGCAAATCCCAGAGAGTCTCAAGTCGATGGGACGAGGCCGAGAAGCTAGAGGTGGAAGTGATGGAGATAAGCAAGGTAGTCGCGTGTGCTGATTGGGACGCGCTTTAGATATGCTCCGGCCGTGGCTAGGGCGAGAGGAAGCCCGTCCAGCTTTCGTGTAAGACCTTTTGTATCGTTATCTCATATAACGTAATCCACGGGCGAGTGGCCCATACGGGCGAGTGGCCCACTTTCATTCACTATACCGAATCCAACTCTTCTTCACGCGTTTATTCCACCACGAAAGATGGAGACGCCTTCTAAAGAGAGTCAATTGTTCCTTGCTATCCAAGCAATGGAAAACGACCCAAACTTAAGCACCCGACGCGCTGCCGAGATGTTCAACGTCCCCCGAACAACCCTACGACGCCGAGAGAAGGGAGTACCTGCCCGACGCGAAAGCCCTCCGAATTCTACAAAATTAACCAAGCTGGAAGAGGAGAAGATTGTTGAATACATTCTCGACTTGGATGCGCGAGCATATCCTCCTCGGCTAAGTGAGGTTAGAGAAATGGCGAATTAACTACTCGCGAAGCGCGACAGGCCAGGTGTCGGAATCAACTGGGCCTCAACCTTTGTTAAACGACGACCAGAGCTCCAGACGCGTTTCTTTCGCAAGTACGACTACAAGAGAGCCCAGTGCGAGGATCCCGACGCGATAAACGCGTGGTTTCGGCTTGTGCGGAACGTAGTTGCGAAATACGGTGTCGCGGACTCCGATATCTACAACTTCGACGAGACAGGCTTTCAGATGGGCGTTATCGCGACCGGGATGGTCGTTACAAACGCGCAAAGACGTTCGAACGTTAAGATGAAGCAACCAGGTAATCGGGAATGGGTTACGGTTATCCAGGGCGTCGGCGCGACCGGATTTTACGTCCCGCCGTTCGTAGTATTTGCCGGCAAATATCACCTCTCGACCTGGTACTAAGACGACGCGATTCCTCGCGACTGGAGAATTATAACGTCCCTAAACGGCTGGACTATAAATGAAATTGGTCTAGATTGGATTCGGCATTTCGATCAGCATATAAAGTTGCGAACAAAAGGCGATTATCGCCTCCTCGTCCTCGACGGCCACGAAAGTCACCACTCGGTCGAATTCGAGCTCTACTACAAGGACAGCAAGATTATTACGCTCTATATACCTCCTCACTCGTCTCATATACTCCAGCCTCTCGATGTTGGGTGTTTTAGTCCGCTAAAGAAAGCATACGGTCGGCAAATCGAGCTCAAGATAAAGGCGGGTATAACGCATATCAGCAAGGAGGACTTCCTCCCCTCGTTTTTAGCAGCATTCCAACAGACAATAACGGAAAAAAACATCCAGGGAGGCTTCAGAGGGGCAGGACTTGTACCCTATAACCCAGAAGCAGTCTTATCCAAGCTCGATATTGTCCTGGGGCGGATGAGGGTTCTCCTAATCGGGGACAAAACAACCACCACGACGGAAGGGAGTTCACCGCTTGCCAGTTTCGGCGGTGTTTCCGGCGAGGTTCACTCTGGCCCTGGGCCAGAGTGAGGGCATTCCCAGATAAGGGGCCAAAGCAGATTTTCGACGGGGGAGCCAGCCACATCAACAACGCCCTGTTGATGCGACACTTGTGAGGGAATCTCTGATCATGGCATTGTCAGTCAATTGCGTACAAGAACGGGTGCAGAAGCGTAGGAATTCAATGGGGTGGAAAAATCAAGTCGGATTGGTGAAGCTGAGTGATGGATGTGAGGCTCCATGCTATGAAAAACGTCACGATAGCTTCAAGCCTTAAGTAGTACTGTACAAATATGCCCCTGATCAGTCTATCCCGCACTGCCCTGACACAGTAGTCGATTGCAGGGATTTTCGGAGCTTGGAAACGAAGTAACTTGAACCATGTGTAACGGTCTGTTAACGGAAAATCAGAGTCACCATGGTCTTCCGCGTACTGAATCCAGACATCCAGGCCCAGCTTCAGAAATCCATCTCGCCTACCGGCATTCTCTGGCCTAATGTTAGGGTTCCCCGTCGTTTTACCATACGTAGCGTCCCGGAAGTTAAATGTAGCAAAGTAGTCTAGATAGAGGTATATAATACTTGTTACGGTTTGCACCGTGCCTGACACGGTTAGCGTCGTGCACATCAGGATTGACACCGTGCACGACATGACCGTCTGGCCTAACCCAGACATCTGCACCCCCGTGGCTGACCTAAGGTCACCCGTATATAAGACCTTCAACAGGTCGTAGATAACCTTAGAAAGGACAAGTTTTACCATTACTACATTTGTACTGCTTCGCAACCATTAACGACCGAGACGTCTTAACTGACCGAACGAAGGGGAACCCTAACACGACTCAGCCTGTGGCCAGCGGCGGGTAGGTCCGGCAATGGCTGTTTCGAACATGTGGCGTGGCGCGCGTTCCTCCAGCCAGACCTATTTAGTGATACCGAGGCATGTTTTCCCCGCGCGCTTCTATTTCTGGCTGCCTAGAGCTGGAATTGCCTAGTCGAGCACCTCATTCAGATTGGCATATGAGACAAACCTTGGCGCCCCGGGAGGGGGGGGGGCAAATGGCTAGTGGTAGGCAAACATAACAAAGATGCGAACAAAGGAAACATCCCTGACAGCTCGAGTTGCGTGATGGCCATCTCCAATCGACCGCTTTGACGTCCATTGTAGAAGACTTGACAATACATAAATGGATGGCAATGCAGGTCGCACGGGATAACGTCCTGCACCAGAAACGAGCCCAAGCACAGGTTTGACCACGTCAGGATCAGGTGGCCGGTGGGCAGAAGTATCGGTGCTGCTGTCAACGTATTGTTTCATGGCGGGGAAGCTTTGTCGTGATCATTCGTCCATAGCCAACAGAACTATGCACGTACCCCTGCTGTGCACAGATTATGCGTGCACAATTACAGAAGCCAACGAGGCAGGACTTGGGAAGGTGTGTGGGGTGAGGTGGGGGTGGGGTGGGGTGGTGGGGATGATCGACCATTCGCGTGCGTGGCTTTCGACAACAACAAGTTCCCATTTTGCTGCACTCCCTCCCCCCAGCTGCACAGTTGTGCCTGCCACCATCCACGAGGTGGCAATCCAACCACCCGGATCCTGCTGCAACTTGCTTTGCGCAAATGACCAAGACGAAGTCGTCGGACCGCCACCGCCGCTTGCTGCCACTGCCCAAGATGGAGACCCTCTGGTCAGTGATCGAGGTGCCGGCCCTCGCCCGCCATGGACCGTGCTGAGGCGGGGCGACTCCATACCTATGTTAACAACTGACTGACAACGATTTGCAACAGGGACCGCAGCAAGGAGTGGGGAAAAGACCAGTTCGACAAGGGCAAGCGGCACCTCCAGGAGGCGGCCGGGCTCGGGGCCAAGCCAAACGTCGTCCCTCCTGGCGAGGTCGACATCCGCTGCGAGCCCCGGGTTGTCGAGATCGGCTGGCACCCCGTGGCCGGCCTTGCGGGCAAGTGGTTCGCCGAACAGACCGGCCTGGGCAAGCAGATCACCGAGCGCATCCACAAGTACCCTGATCCCACGCAGCATGTGAGTCGGCGTTCTCCCTTCCCTTCTCGGACCGGACCCTTTCAGAGCGGGCCCCGGGTCGATACAGTCACAGAACCATTGCTGACACGGACTGCCGGCTCGACACAGTGGGGTGTGCTTGTCGGCGGCTATGTTCATCAGCTGTGGATGGTGAGTTGGTGGCCAGACTGACAATGACCCGGCACGCACGCAGCGCCACTCACGACACGAGCAGGACGAGGATCTCGACGTCATATACATCAACGAGGTGCTCCAGCACGACCAGTGGCACACCTTCCCTGTCGGCAAGACACGCTTCAACGACGAAGCCCTCAGGCAAGCAGGTCAGCACTGCCCGTGTCTCTCTGGTCACCCATCCCCCCACGCCCCCTTACTTTCAGACCAGCTGACCCGCGGGCGAGCTCGCCAGGCGAGATGACCATCCACGAGATGCGCGAGAAGCGTGCAGCCTATCATCTCATCGAGAACAACTGCCAGAACTTTGCCAGCAACCTGCTGCGCAAGATCCAGATCGGGCACCACCGCGAGTTTGCCACGGCGCTTGCCGTGTACAACAACGCATTCAGCGCATCCCAGCTCAAGACTTTGTTTGAGCAGCACCCGGACGATGACCCGGAGCAACGTCCGGACGGCCCGCCAGAGGGCACCGTCGGGCTCGCCGAGAAGGTAATGGACGAGCAAACTACCCAGCTAGACAAACATGGAAACTAGACAACGTCGTATCCTGTCATTCGTGCATCGCGTGCCTCAGACCGTATGTGACGTCCTCGACTCGTGAAAACCAACTGTTGTCCCAGAGTCGCGGCCCCTTTGCGGGAATGATTTCCAGTTGAAAATGAGAGTGGGACCAGTTCGATTATCAGACAAGAACATATTGAAATGAGCACTTAACAGATCACAGTGCCCAGAAACGTCATCAAATCGGATGGACCTTCCTCGGTCGGCTAAGGAGATCAATCAAAGCGGAATGGCGGTGGAAATGGAAATTGGGAAAGCGAGTACATCTGTTTTTACCAAACACTTTCCCACTTTCCAATTCCGCCGGCTGAATGGTTCAGAGTACATGTGAGTGTGGTGGGGAATAGCTTCTAGTCAAGCCCGTGGAACCAGCTAAAATGGGGCGAGGTGCGAGAATATGGGTCGCTTCCCACAATTTCCTTGATTTTTGGCCCACTTGCTGACGCTCTTCTGTTGCCCATTCTGTTGCCTGTTCTACTGCCTATTTTGTCGCCCTTCTTGCATTGTGACTACGAATTACTCCAGCTTTATGCGGTACTGTAGATTCAGCTCATGATCTGATTTGATTCGGAATTGTTGCATACAAGCTAACTTCGTACTTAGAACGCGGCGGCAAGCCTGCGGCCGAGAATGCGGCCCGAGGTGAACTCCGGTGGAGATGAGAGATTCCGATTATCCTCGATGGTAATTAGACCTCAGACTCGGGTCCCATAGGACGTAAGAGGTGCCTGTCAACCATTAGTGCATGGAGAATGCAAGGAGAGTCAACATCAGCCTTCTGTCTAACTTCCGGCTGAGCGTTCCGGAGAGTCTTGCCCCTGGATGTTCCCGCCTCGCCGAGGTCAGTATCGCTAGGGCTGGCCGAGGTGTGTGTACACGACCACGGTGGCGGTAGGTATTTACCTCTAACCGGCGTGCGTACTGGCTAATGCGGAACACGTCAACATGTTTTGCAGCCTGGTTCATGCGCTTTGGGCAGGAGCAAGGAGTTTGCGATGAGGAGATCGCCAGGACCTTCGAGTGGATGCGGCTGGAGTTCCCGGAGCTCTTGTCGGTCGCTGGCCCGCCCTGCCAAACTGTTGGCTCGATGCAACCGACAAGTAAGTGATTCTCGGCTGATTCTCCACGTTCTATTGCGTATTGCATGGGGTATCAAGCCGACATTGCGTCCAGTTCGATTCTTATTCTGCATCTCTTGCTGCGACCAGAATGCAACCTACGGTGAGCTAAAGGCTAATATGAAGTTGTGAGTTGACCGAGACGAGGCCATGCCATTGAACGTAAAGCCCCTTGTCGACCGCCTTGTAAGCATACTGCACAGGTTGCGCGAAATCCCATGCCCACCCATAGCAGGCATCAGAGCCTCGTCGGTCTGCCCCTACACAACATGGATCAGTTTGTCGGGATGTCCTCGATATGGGCCATCGGGGTATGAGCCATGGACTGCTACGGTTGGACACGCATGTGATCAATGGCATGGACTTTAATAGCGATGCCAATCTCCGGACCGCTCCTCCCATGGCTTTCACGCACGATTTTGACATTGAGGGACTCTTGTTTGGTCAGCAGGGTTCAACAATCAACCCGAACGCGCTGCACTATAATGAGTCGCCCCATTCCATGTCCATTGATCCTACCTCTCCCTTTGGCCCAATGACGGATATGTCGGCCACACAACGGGATGGCGACAGCTTCGACTGGCTGACTGGTTTCGAGCACCAGATGTCGTTCAATAATGTCAGCGAAAATGCTGTCGACGGTTCATCGCCGTCGGCAGTGAGCAATGCCAGCCAGTGGGGCATCAGCGACGTTATGCTGGACGGATCCGGTGCCAACAACCCGGTCGTAACCGCTGGTACAAGCTCCATGTGGCAACCAGGAATCATAGGTCCTCCCCAGATGCCCAATCCTTACTCCATGGACTTGAGCGGTGCTGTCTTCCTTGATGAATGGCGCGCCTGTCTCACCCCAGCCGCCGGCACAAAAGAACATGAATGATATGTACTTCTCCACCCCTCCGCCTTCAATGAGCTCGCTGAGCCCTTCTATTATGCCCGGCCTGACCACACAGCCCATGCATTTTTGTCTGGCGAGAAGGAAGGATCTATAGGGCTGCAGGGGCTCCTGATGGACAATACAACACCCAAAATGAGTGGGCCATTGTCTGCTGACTAACACAGTTTTCCCTTAACAATTGGTAATGTCCCCATGCAACACTTCTGCCTGGCGGCTGAATATCTGAGAGTGCTATCTTAAAGGGCTGGACTACGCCTCCGGAGCCTTGTCCAGATGTATGAGGCGGGGTAGCCAGCCCCCGAATTTAGGCTGGCCAGGCTTTTTCTTTTAGGTCGCATCGCTTAAAGCGATCGCGAAGTAATGTCACTGCTCCGTAAACCTTGATGCCTCGCAGCATCCGCGCCTGACCATACGTCCCCTCACACTTACTAGTGGCGAGCTACGCTTTGCCAAAAGGATATCCCCCTTATGTTATCTTGTCGTACACCTGGGAGATGACGATCAACGTGAACTACGTTAGTGGTTATGCAGGTAACGGGTACCTTAGAATTCCGTCATGCAGGCCTACAAATGATTGTATCTGTTGCATGATTCATCTGACACGAGCCCCTCGTGTCCGCCACTCCATGACGCTAGGATGCACTTCGTCCTAGGAACTCTCCCTCCCTCCACGTGTGCCACTAGCTCTCATGTACCTGTAATGATCCCAGATCGATCAATGAGACCCCATAAAAGCTCGGGGATTGGTGGAATGGAACATGCGCCTGGAGGTGTTGTGCCACCCTCCTCCCTTTTACCCGTGGACATTCTCACAGGCGCAGAGTCGGGCGATGTATAAAGGCCATTTGATTCAAGAATAACAACCTAAAAATATGAGAGGGTTGGGCTTTCTATTGGTGCAACTACTACAGTGGTGCACTTAATTGCTGGTACGCCCAAGTCGCCGTATCTCTCTTTGACAGAGCAATTCGTTACTGCGCTCCATTACATGCTGCACCGATTTCCCTGTACTGCCTCGTAGACGTTCTTTCCGCTATCATGCTATGATGTGACCATTTTATCGCCGTCTAAGTCCCTGGAGATCCTCAAACATTGTACAAAGCCCGAAAGCTCCGACTAGATATTCGCAGAGTCGATAGCCTAAAGAAACTTGAGACATGCATATGCAAAAGGGACAACCGAGAAAGAGTGCTCCAATCTGGAATGGGCCGTTTCCTGTATACGATGTATCTGCATCATACACGGTCAATATTCACTGGCGTTCATGATTGACAAACGTTTTCACGCTCCATCTTCGGAGGCAGATACTATCCATGGCTCAAATTCTGTGGTTCTCGAGAATGGATAGGAACCATTGAATCGAACGAACTGGATCGACTTTATAACGATGGTTGTGTGAAGACATTGCACAATGGGACGTTCTATTAATTAGTACGAATGCTTCCAGTCTCTCATTAAACATGACAGTCCGAAACAATTGACCACTCTTGTCAAGTCTTGTTATGTAATACAAAAAGGTACGTTTAGGAATCAAGAGCTAAACAGCGCTCTGTTCTTGATAGCCCATTCTTCCAGGCCAAAGACCGGCGGCGCATACTTGTGCAGGTTGGCCACCGCCTTCTCGTAGCCCCCTTCAGCGATTGTCTCGCTTATAACGGACACGTCAGACTTAGCGATTTCCAGAAATTCTTTGACCAGCTGCTGCGCTACAACTTCGGGTACTCCAATCTTGACCAAGTTGTGCACGCCTTCGGTCGCGTCGATCTGGGTAATTTTGATGTCTCGTGGTAGAACCTTGCCGAAAATGCCAATAGCGTCCCGGATTGACAAGAGTTTGGGTCCGCAGAGGGTGATGGCGGTCTCCGGCCCTTCGACGCCACTAGGCAAAGCCTCAGGTCCCTGGACGAGCAATGTGGCCGCGGCCTTGCCGATATCCTCTGGCGCAAGCCAATCTAGTATGGTATCCGGGTAAGGAATCCTGACCTCGCCCTCGGCGATCATAGCTGTCCACCAGCGCACGTTGGTGTTGAAGAAGGCAGGCCGGAGAGCGACGTATGCGCCGCGACCGAATATTGTTGCGAGCTGGATCTCATACTGCGCATGCGCGTATCGGACATAGGTTTCCGGGGTGATCTTGGTAATGTCCCCCTGGACCATGGCGGTGCTCAGAAGCACGACAAACTCGATGCCGGCAGTCTTGAGGGCCTCGATTGCAGCCTTGCCGTAACCTGTATCGCCGTGGATCAGGTAGATGAACGCATGTTTTGCCCCAGTGGTGCGTACAGCAGCTTCCACCGTCTCAGGCTTGGTCAGGTCCGCTGAAACTCTCTGAAAGTTGCGAGCCTTTTCCTCCTCCGAGCTAAGACCCGGAATTGGCTTGGAGATGTCACGTAGGGCGAGAACCACTGACACGCCGTGCTGCTCGGCTGCTATGGCAGCCGCCGAGCCCACGTGACCAGTAGCACCAAAGACGATGACGGGTGGACTCATTTTGAAGGATTTTCTAGGTCGGAAACAGTTTGCTGAGTTTGAGCATTCAATACATACTGGGCGAGAAATGTAGTCAATTATATAGACAGTGATTTTGTCGTTTGTCATTGCCTTGAAAAGACTCAAGCAGTGAAGTAGACAGGGTTCTCTATGCACTGACGGAGAAGACAATGGTCCGGGTTCAGCTCGGCCACGGAAAGAGGAATTGCCCGGTCTTACTTTGTGGCACATAGCCGATTGGTAAGCTGCAGAACAGAAGCTGCCCCTAGCATCATCTTTAGGGAATACGGACATAACAACCACAGCATTCTCTCTATGCGCCGGGGCTCCAGGCAGCCAGAATCTCTTGGCGTCATCCTGGGCAAATGATTGTGTCGCATGTACGCCACAAAAGATTGGCAGCATTCCTGTGTACCTCATCTCGGTCGAGTAACGCCGCATCCCTGTGCAGCCCGGCCACCACAACGGGCATGACGAAGAAAAAAGCAACTTGTCTCCGGCGTGGCAGTCCGCTCTCGTTAGAGCCACGTACGTTATCTGGGCGGCCGTGGCATTTGACCGCGCTCGCGGACCTTTTCGCTTATTAACAAGAGTGAGCTGGCCTGCCAAGCCGTTGTGCTTACCTGTGTCGATCCCTTTGCTTTCAAAAGACGGGCGGCTACTCAGCACGACTGGCCGCATTGGCGATTGACTCCTAGAGGATTAGGAGCCTAAATCGTCGTGGCACGCAATACATCTTCACAGGCGCGTCCCACCGGTTCTAGCCAAGCGTGCGTTATCTAAAGTGTAACAACTAGCTGGAATCCCTACTCTCGATCGGGCCAACCGCCCCCGTCCCTATTTAGTGGTGCTGACAGCAGACTTTGCAAGGCGCGGACGATTCGGCCGAACAGGCCCGCGGACGAAGGCTCCGGCAGAGGCTGAGCCAGCCGGTAACTCCCCCCAGGGAACAAGCTTTGCAGCAGATTGCTAGCATAGTAGCCCCACTCGTTTAGGCGTAGAAACTGACCGAACCTGAGTGAGGGTTACTTATTATAGCTCAACAGAATGTCGCTAAGAGATAACTAACTTCCACTTAGCTAGTAGCGTCTTGCTTTTCGGCCTATAGCAGCCCGCACCCACGATAACTAGCGTGCGTGAATGCCTCATAATTGTTACGGGCTCGGGCTCTGGCCCGAGCCTGGGTGGGTCAAAAAGGGGGAGACAGGGGGGGGTAACAAAACCGTAACGCGCTCACGGAGAGTGCGAACTACCTGCTTTTATTTCCCAAGTTCGTAGTAAATCTAATACGCCTAGTATCTGTTCAGACCTAGGGCCAGTACTTAACAGCAGCTAACTATACGACAGCTGGACTCACTAAGCCGGCGCTAGAACCCCTAGACTGCTCTTCGCATAGCCTCCAAGCATTATCTCCATTCTGAGTCCCGGCAGGATTTCCATAGCTATTAGACGCGCTAATATCTTGGTGTGTAGACATGGGCATTTCTAAGTAGCTTAAGAGGTGAGAATTATCTATTTGTGTAAATGCTGTTTCGGAATTGTGTAAGGCGTTCATTTCCTCGCTGTACTGCCCTCTATCTGCTGCCTTGGTGGGTTGCGGGTTTTCTCTACGGGCCTGGGTGAGATCGGCTAGTTGTTGAAGGTCTGCGTCGAGAGACCGTATGAGCTCTCCCTGCCTTTCTGCGATGCGGTGGAGGAGGTCCCGGCTTTTGTTTGCTTCATCTAGATCTCTTTGTAGAAGGTGTTGTTGCTGCTTCAGAGAAACAATCTCTTGTTTCTGGGCTTCCGTATAAGTCTTCCATTCTTGTATCTTAGTATCGTGTACCTCGGACCAGGCCAGATGCACCCTCCACGGGACGTCGTACATGGTTGTTGGATAGTAGTAGTTATTGTTAAGTACTGGCCCTAGGTCTGAACAGATACTAGGCGTATTAGATTTACTACGAACTTGGGAAATAAAAGCAGGTAGTTCGCACTCTCCGTGAGCGCGTTACGGTTTTGTTACCCCCCCTGTTGTGACGACCCGACCAACAGGTCGCAAGATCGGGCCAGGGACAAGGGCAGGTCATGCACGCGGGGCAGCACACCCCTGGTTACATAAGCATCCCATTATGTCAGCCAGACGGAAGTGGATCGCTGGGATCACCACAGATCCAAGACGATCCAGGATCACCGAGGATCACCAAGGATCCAAGACGATCCAGGATCACGAGGAAACCAAGTGATCCAGGGAACCACGATGAAGGACAAAGGATATATAGCACCAGGAGGATCTCCTTGTAGACAGTCATTACCTTTGTACTTCAGCGATCAATCTAAGTATCACCCTCACCCTTCACTTGACCTAGTCACTCAATTGATCCGAGTGTGATATCTCGCAAGAGACACGAACGACAACCCCCTCGAGAACACGAGAAGCACGGAGTCAGTATTGCATGAGGTCGCTACCTGCCTTATTCAGAACATAAACCCCACCGCGCCGATCAGACGGTTGACCCCGGAGATCGGATCGTGACACCTGTCTCCCCCTTTTTGACCCACCCAGGCTCGGGCCAGAGCCCGAGCCCGTAACATACCCTCTGTCACGATCCGATCTCCGGGGTCAACCGTCTGATCGGCGCTGTGGGGTTTATGTCCTGAATAAGGTAGGTAGCGACCTTATGCAATACTGACTCCGTGCTTGTCGTGTTCTCGAGGGGTTGTTGTTCGTGTCTCTTGCGAGATATCACACTCGGGTTAATTGAGTGACTAGGTCAAGTGAAGGGTGAGAATGATACTTAGATTGATCGCTGAAGTACAAAGGTAATGGCTGTCTATCTAGGAAATCCTTCGCATTATATCCTTTGCCCTTCATCGTGGTTCCAAGGAGGTGTGTCTCTGGATCGCTGGATATGTTCCGATCCACATATCCTGGATCGCTGGATATGTTCCGATCCACATATCCTGCTGACATAATGAAATGCTTACGTAACCTGGGGTGTGCCGTCCCGCGTGCATGACCTGCCCTTGTCCCTGGCCCGATCTTGCGACCTGTTGGTCGGGTCGTCACACCCTCCTCCTCCCCCCTCCTAAGGTGGTCGGTGTCGGGACCGCCGCCCCGGACTATCGTTCCTCCGGACTATAGCTCGAATTGCTTACCGGATTTAGTAGCGTATCGCGTAGCCTCGCCTCTCGCGATATAGTTCACGCGTAGAAACCGCTTGGCTCCCGCGTAGGGGTCGCTTAACTACCGCGTTACGTTGGTCGAGCGTAGCGTGAGGGTCCGGGTACGCTCGTATCTGACGTATGTCCAGACACGACGGCTGCCCGAGAGTATCCCTTTGCGGTCCGGGGCCGAGTCTCCCTTCCCCTCTTGCTGGGGTTCTGACTCTCCTGGTTCCCTCCGTCTCTGTGATCCGGTGTGGGCGGCACGCCTCCGACGACCGCCTAAGGGTGGCCTCCCGCGGATTGGCGTCGGGCTCCCGTTCCTTCCTCCGTGGAGTTCCGCCCTCCTCGCTCTCCCTCCTTCCCGCAGTTCGGGCCCGGGTGCGTCGCGCGCGCCGCGATGCCTCTGCTAGCGCGCTTCATCTATAGGCGTAGGCCCCGCGTGCCTCGTGTGCTGGTTCCTGCGCGGTGAAAAGAAGGCCCGGCGCGCCTCGTGTGATGGCGCCGCCGCGGCGAAAAGTGGGGCGCGAGCCGGCCGGGCGACGTGCGCTGGCCGGCGCACCGGACCCACGTGGTGCGCTCGCCGGGCAGGCCGCCCCTCCTTCTCGACACATATATAAAGCCCTCTCCCACCTTCCACCCCCAAGTTTTTTCCCTCTTTCCTCCTCCTCAAGTCGCTCTCGCAGCTGCCCCGCGTTGGCAGTTTTCTTGCGTTTTTCTCTTCCCCGGTTTCCGCGCCGCTTCCGCGCCGTTTCCGCCTTGCGCCCCGCCACCATGTCTGCCGCCGTCGACTTCACTCCGGGCAGCACTGCCACCGGCTCCGGTGGTGACCCGCCTCGCCGCCCCAGCGGTAACGGCAAGAAGGCCCCCCCCTCCCGCAACGACAACAAGAAGCGCAAGCGCCGCGCCATCCACGGCATCGAGCTGGAGGGCGACTCTTCCGACGAGGAGTTCGCACCGCCCCAGGACGCAGGCTTGCCCTGTGTCATCTGCATGACGCGCGCTTGCAAGACGGGCGAGTACGACTGCCAGCCCGGTCGTGGCAAGTTCTGCGCCGCTTGCGTCAAGGCCCACAAGAGTTGCGACTAGGGTTCCGACATCTTGCCCCACGACGCCAAGGCACGCGCTGCTTGGAAAGCAGTCCCACGTGCCATTGAGGCAGGCGGACACATCACCACCCCGAAGAAGGTGAAGACCGGCACCACCAAGGGCAACAAAGCCGTCTTGTCGCCCGCGTTTCGCGCCATTGCCGACCGCATGTTGAACATCCTCGAGGACTTCCCTCGCCGCCGCTTCGCCAGCGAGACGGGTGCCGACAAGAAGTCCGGTAGCTCCGCCTCGAAGGAGCTCGTTCTCGCCCCCACTCCGTCGGGTGCCCGTGGCGGCAGCGCCAACAACCATCTTGTGCGCATTGCGCAGTTTCTCAACAACCGTTTCGACCACATCGACCGCCGCTTTGATCAGCAGGAAGAGTTTAACAAGCAGGTCGCTAGCAACCTCAGCGACACCGCTCAGCTTACTGCTCACTTGATGCAGTCCATCGGCATGATTCCGCAGCGTGGCCTCCCCGCGCCCACCCCCTTTGGTGGCCGTGCTCAAATTGAGTACGACCCTCCCTCCAGCAGCACCCCGTCGACTCCGTCTCGCACCCCCCGCGCCACCCAGCAGCGCCCTCGCGCCAACCGTTCCGGAGGACGTTCGGGTCGCCGTGAGCGTCGGCCGGAACTCCAGCCAACCCTCCCTCCTGTCGTTGCGGAGCCTGAGCCCACCCTCCCTCCTCTCGTTGAGGAGCCTGAGCCCACCAACCCTTTTGTCGTTGAGCAGGCTGCCCCTGCCCAGGGCGATGTCGACTCGGA